AGCAGCTCTCACCCTTCTCTTGGTACTGCCAATGAGCATCCAATATGTCTGCCAAAGCTCCATTCAGGAACATCAGGAACGTTCTGCTTTTGAGCTCGTTGATTACCAGCTCACGCAAGCTGAAGAGCAAAGCTGTTCAGCGTTCCAGTCTCGAGATTGACCGATGCGAAAATATCACCCTTATGAACATCTTGCCCCTATTTTACATTTGATGGACAGGATGTCTGAAGATGGGAGGCTGCCAAAGCACATCATTGACAGCTACATGCAGCTGCATGCTCATGCGCTGGGCTGCATGGCCGAAGCCTGCAGCGGGCTGGCGGCCACAGGCGGCGCCCTGCAAAGCCTTGGCAGGGCCTTCACAGGCACGTTAAATCTGGAGGCCGTCATGCAAGCTCTGCTACGACATCCACTCGCTGCTGTCACTCCCGAGGTGCATCCCTTACCATCGTGCAGGGACCTGCAGTCCTGCTCAATCATGCGCATGTGCCTGCACCCGGACCGTGACTCCTGCAAAGCAGACACAAATCATTTGCTTGTCTTCGGCCTTCATCATGTCAGTCGAGGGCATTTTGATGCCATGGACAGCACTAATCATTCCAGGTGCTCAACATAGCCCTTACAGAGATCCCGCTAAGCAGAGGCTCACCTGCATGGGCTGGAGTGGTGCATTTGGACTACTAGGAGCTGCAGAATAGAGCCACAGCCAGTTTATATGTACAATTCTTGCACAGCTTGATGACAAGAGGGGCACGTTGATACATGACGCTTGTTTCAGCGTCAAAAGCCAAGGCATGCATGAGGCTGGCGGTGTGTCACGCAGGCGGCCGCCGAGCGTTTTGGTGCGGAGACAGAGACAGAGCGTTGGCGAGCGGTGGAGGGCGTGCTGTGCCTGGCAAGCAGGCTGCCGGCCGGCAGCCGCGCGTTTGCCGGCACCACGCGCGTGCGCATTCTGGCGGAGACTCTGCAGGCCCTGGACGCTTCCCATGACGACACGCTCGTTACCCTGCTGCACTGCCTCAGGTCCGCTGCCTATAGTTCTCCGCACCACAAGTAGCGTGTGACACCTCCTGTTTTCGTTCAACTACCAGAGAAGCTACAGATTCATACTCAGTCAACACAGCCAAGTCCCGGCAGGATGTGATCTCGGGAGAGGGACGCTTCTTGTTTGGTTTGCAATGATGAGCTTGATAGCTCTTGCAAGTGTTGCCCAAGACAATTAATGACAGCATCTGTTTCCTGTCTTTGTGGCTAAAGTTGCCTCATGTGCGCTGCAGGCTCGCTCTGGCGGATGTCATTGGGACGCCGGTGCTGATGCCTGCGGCAGATGCAGCGCTGGGACTGCAATCGGCGGCAGGGGCCACAGAGGGCAACCTGCTTTTGGCAGTAGTAGGCGCGGCCGCGCGGGGTGCATGGGCGGCCGTGCAGGAGTGCCAGCACAATGCACGAAGGCCGGCCGTGGTGACAGCACTGCTGGATGCTGTGCTGCAGCCGTCGCTCTTTGACTGCTGGGCAGAGAGCACTGCGTACAGGTGGGTGTATGGCCCTTTTAAATTGGCCCCCTTTTCCAATGCTGCCTTTGAATGGCCCCAAGTGCCTCAAATGTCTCATGTTTTCTCCTTGATAGAGGAAAGTATTACCAGGTTCTCTTCAGTGTCAAAATCTGTAGTACTCTCGGCTGCCAGGCTGGCGGTGCATGAGGAGGGCGGCCCGCTGTATCGGTTCCTGGACGCGCTCTTCAAGGCGTCTGCCAAATCTCCCCAAACAATGGCCATCGCTGCGGTGCACCTGTGCGGGCTGTGGGTGGAGCATCCTGCCATTGCGCTGCTGTACCTGGGGTTCTGGGAGAGGCTACTATTGTACGGCAATGCTGAGTCTGCTGCACTCAAAGGCTCGGACCTCTCCAGCGAGGCGCGCCTCCATTCTTTTTTCAAAGTGCCCTTCTGGGCGATTGCCAAAGTGGACATGAATGAGACACATTACACACTCGCCTATATAGCCAACGTATCTGAGAAACGTTCGATTGAAGCTTCGATCAGACACTTCAAACATCAAGTGCCCCTACGGACATAGGCTGACAGGACCCAAAGGTCTGCGGACATGCCAGACAATTGTGCCCATTCTTAGAGTGAATCCTTTCCACCCATGCATGCAAGCAGCGGAAGGCTGGTCGAGCTGAGTGTCTCCTCATCCCAGGACTGTCATTGATGAGTGCATGAATATCTTACTGCGCCCCATTGCCGAACTATCAATTGTGTCCATGCAGGCGGAGTTCTTCCAGGAGCCCGGCAATCTCTGTATTGACCCAGATGTCCAGGAAGCGTACATGGGCACAGAGATGGCGGCTCGTGTGACGTCCGTGGTCGCTGCTCACCAGCTGGCCTCACAGCCGCCGCCCCAGCCACAGTCCTGGTTCGGCAGCAGCTCGGCATCTGAAATCACGGGTGCTGGTGCGCCCATCTACCAACCACAAGTGTATTCAAGGGTGGGAACCATGCCGCATCTTCAAGTGCCAAAATGACACTGCCCAAACTTGTTGCATATGAAAATGATGCAGCTGAAGCTCTTTTCTTCAAGCATCATTTTGGAGCAACAGCAGTGCCTACTCAGCAGCTTGGAATCAACAGCTGCAAGGTCGCTCTCGGACGTCAAGATGCCAGATGGAGTTAATTCACCGCTAGTGATATTGTCTGTGGACAGAGAGGGTCGGCCAAGCACTATGGCGGCGGCTGCTGGGGCGGGCTGCGCCGGGCGGCGATCTTGGGCAGCCGGGGCACTATGTTACGGGCAGCACGGTGCACAGGAGCCGCGTGCGTGCATGGCAGGCATTGGCCGTGCTGTCCAAATTCGCCCCTGCCGACGATGTCAAGAACACCTTCCGCACGATCTGGTCCTCCCTGCAGGTGCCCTTTACCCTGCCTGCATCGGGCATGCCATGTGAGGTCTCCCATGCATGCCAACAGCCACATGCTTACCATGCAGCCGTTGAATACGGCATATGTTCAGGGTTAGTGGCCCACGTTTGAAGGCTGGTTTGCAGTCAGGGGTGCTGATGATATGTTTGCAGGTCGATAACATCCCTTCAGTGCGCCAGTACCAGGAGGCCATCCTGGTGGGGCTGCTGCTGAGGCACCCAGAGCTGGTGGAAGAGTACCTGCTGCCAGTCCTGGCAGCCTACGAGCACAGGTGAACCCACTAATGATTTGTGCAGTTATTTACTGCCCTGCCATTCAACAATGGTCAATGTTCTTAGTGTGTCAGAGGAGATGATGAAGGTGTGGGAGTGTTTGCGTGCAGGTGGGAGGGTCTGGCGTCGGCCGTGCTGATGTCAGCGCAGGTCGTCCTGCATGCGCCCAAGGCAGTGCGAGACCGTCTGCTGCAGCCTGTGCTCACCACTCTCTTCCCCTGGACCCTCCACCACCACCACTCCCTCAGGCAAGCCCCACCACTCCCCTCCCTTTGACAGCCTTCCATCGTCACCCCTAGCCACCGCATCAAGATGGCTTTAAAATTAAGCACTATGCACGCATGCCTCTCAAAATGTTTTCCAGAACTCTCCTGTTCGTATACAAATACCAGGCTCACTCTACTGAGCGGCTGTGGCTTCAATTTCACCCGCGTTCAACAGGAGGAGCCATCATGCTTCTTTGCAGGTGCTGAGTCGGTTGAGTCAGCTGAAAGAAGAAATTCTGTGTGGGCAGGACGTTCGCGCAGCTGGTGGTGCAAGAGCTGCTGGAGCGCTTCCCAGAGGCCACCGGCACGGCGCAGAATTTACAGCTGGCGGCCGTGGCGCGCTTCCTGGGAGTAAACGCGGATCTGCGCCGCCTGCGCCGCTCCATCGGTGCCTGCATCGCCGCCTACGACCCGGCCACTGCCAGCAGCCCCCGTGGTGTCTTCTGCGTTGTGCGCTTGCTTCTCATCTCATGCGTTACATGTAATTCCTGCAGACTTGCATCCCTTGTATTGCGCTGTGCCATGCTTTCACGGGGCGATGATCAAAACATGGGCCAAGCGTTCTTCAGAATCACTGGGTATCTAGGCCGCCTATCAAAACCCTTTGTCGGGCAGGCTTTATGAGGATCTCAACTCCTACCTGGAGAATGAGTAGATACATGGAGTGCGTGCTCTAGTTTCTTCACATACTCCTATACGTGAAGATTTTTGCTGCAGGACCTTGGCCAAATAAGAGGGTTGAGCGCCAAGCGTGTGAAACTCATTTTGAGCAGGGCAAGCGGCAATCAGTGCCAGCATTGTCAACTCTTCTTGTGTTGGAAGATTGCCTTTCAAGGATCCACCAAGACGTTTTAAGGCAATATGCCCCATTGAAGGAGGTTGGCGGTGCAGGGGGTGCAGATGGTGGGCAAGCCAGAGGACGGCCCCGGCATAGAGGGCGCCCCATTGGCTCTGCTCGAGCGTGTGACTGCATTCCTGGCTCAGGAGCGCGCCAAGCTGCGCACAGAACTCAACGCAGCCAACACAGGTGACTTCCAGCAAAATATGTTATCCACTGCCCACTAGGACATTTCATCGTCTTTGTAGCGCGCTGCAGGCATAGACGATCTTGATGGATGGTGGTCGGGCAGAAGCAAATGTGTCGCTTGCCTGTGAGAAGCTTGATCAGAGGCATGCATGCACATCCGCAGGGCTTCAGGACTCAGAGTCCCTGGCGGTGTCAGACAGGCAGCGGAAGGCAAACCCTGCAGGGAAGAAAGATGACTCAGCCAGAAGCCTCACCATTGAGCGGAGCCTGACTGTCGCCGATGCTGTCCTCGGTGAGCACTCTGCGTCAGGTGCAGCCCTCCTTGACTTGACCAGTCATGACAACATGGCAAGTGTGCAGATTTGCCTGTAAAAAGCAAAGCTGGGCCTTTACTGTAATGTACAACATCACAGCACACCCTAATATTAAAATCACATGAGATTCTCCTGTATCGGGTAAAGTAGTAGGTTACTAACGTGTGGTTGGGAGCGCAGGTGGGCCTGGGGCGGATGCAGGCGGCAGCGAGCGGCAGGGCATAATAGTGGTAGCTTCTCTGCTGGACAAGGCACCCAACCTGGCAGGCCTGGCCCGCACCTGCGAGGTGCCACTGCCTGGATCCTAGCTGTTTACATATTCTCAAGCCCTGCCTTCTCCATTGTCTTGGACTCTGCTATGCAATATCTGATGCGGCTGTTAGTGGTCATCTTATTATTACGCGCATGGTGTTTATCCTTTCATCCTCTGGCCGGTCATCTGTGCCTGTCGTGCATTGCATCGCCTCAGAAGCAAACTTTCCTTGATCCTTCCCATGCATGCATGCCCCACAGCCAGCTGTGTTGACTGGAGTCCAGAATTGACAGGTGCAACATGGGCCGCCCGCTGGAGAGCTCAGTCGCCATTTGCGAGCTTCGCCACTCTCGAGCCACTTGGGGGCGAGGTGCTCACCTAGCACCTTCTAGCCAGCAGTGATCACCACCATGCAAAGGTTCTGAACAGTGCTGGGTGCATGTGGGCGCAGGTGTTTCAGGCGGCGGCACTGGTGATGGCGGATCTGCGAGTGCTGAAGGATGCTGCGTTTGTGGGAGTGGCCATGACGGCGCAGCAGTGGGTGCCGCTGCTGCAGGTGGCCCCGCGTGACCTCCTGCCCTGGCTCTCCAACAAGCGCGCGCAGGGATACCGGTGAGTGCGCCAGTCTACGGCCTGATACCCTTTCATGGCCTTGTCCACATGCTGAAAGGGCCCTTGTTCATGTGCTCTTTGGAGGTCTTCCCGGGGATGAAACGTTCCGTCAGGGCATAAAACGACAAAGAATGCAGGAAGATGTGCTGTTTGAAGCGCGACGGATGTCTCTGCCTCCGCAATTGTCTCGTATTTTTTGCCGTTGCTGCGCTGGTCTCAAAAGGTGGGTATGCCAGCTCTGGGAAGAGGTTGCATGATCACCCGTGGGCTCATGGCCTATAGGTGGCTCTACCATCACATTAGGGACTTGTTAGGTAGGGGCAGATGAGTGTGACAAACATGTGCAGATCACTTTACTGGCACAAGCGTTCACTGTGTGGCCGACCGATGAGGTGAGTGGTATGCTGATATTGTGTGTGTGGCGCAGGGTGATCGGTCTGGAGCAGACAGTGGAATCACAGGCGCTGCCGCACTTTGAGTTCCCAGAGAGGAGCGTGCTGGTGCTGGGCAAGGAAGGGACAGGAATCCCAGCCAACTTGCTGCAGGCGGTGGACTGCTGCGTGGAAATTCCCCAGCTAGGCCTGATCCGCTCCCTCAATGTCCACGTCAGCGGCGCCCTGGCAGTCTATGAATACACGCGCCAGCAGCAGCGATGGAAGGCCGCGCCTGCTGCTGTGTCTTGACTGGGAGTGTGTGCTTGTGGCTTGCTGTGTTGCAGTGGCATCTGATCTTATATGCAGTGGACCCGAAGTCTGTTTCGACCGTCAATATGTTACAGTGAACTGCAATGGTATTCCCAAGATTTTTTCACAATTTCATTGCATTGCAGTGTTTTGCAGAGTGTTGACAGCAGCAAACACAGCATCAAATCAGCAGCAATTGCCTAAAACACCCAATACATTCATCATTTCTCAAGCACAACAGCTTCCAGAAACATTGTGCAAACCACAGAAGCATAACAACTTCAATCAGAAGGATCCATCATGGATGCAACCTCACAGAGCAAGAATGCACACTCGCTAAACATCCCAGCAGGATGAGTTTATGACATCTCGAATGCAAGTTAGCACTGTCTGCATCACCAAGAATTCCATGAACGACCTAGCCTTCGTTTGTTTGCATTCTGACTACCAAATCTCGATGCTCTTATCTTGCTGACTTTGATTACATATTAATACAGCTCCCCTGTATTATAGAGGGTTTTCACCGGTATATGCCTCACTCCTCGGGGCGCCTGCCCAGGATGCTGTCAACAGCGCTTTTGGCGGCACCGGCGGCTCCGCGCAGCGAGTCCTCCACGGTCTGTGCAGACACCTCGACCGCCTCATTTGCCTTGTGCGCGACCTCCCTCGCCTTGCTGGTCACACCTGTCCAAGGCACATGCCGTCAACAGCCACTGAGCCACAAAGCAATGTCCACAAAACCATACACGCCGCTCTACAGCCACCCCTTGGCATGTCCAGAAATTCCTAGACCTTAAAATTCTAGCTAGAACGTTCAGAATGAACTGGTGCATCTTAGGGCACCAGTTCCTGCTTTACATGCGGTGAGCCATTGGCTGCCAGTCTGCAATGCTGGCAATAGATCATGGATCATATGCAGCTCACATGGTGCGTTGGTGGATGCAAGGGTCAAACCTGGTGCTGTCTCCTGAGCCTTCGCCTTGACCGTCTCCTTGGCCTCCTTGGTCTTCTGGGCAGTCTGGCGCGCGGTCTCATGCGCAGCTTGCTTGGCGCGCTCGGGGTCTTGGGCAACTTCCTTGGCCTTCTGGGCCTTCTCCTTGGCAGCCTCGAGGCTTTCCGCTGCGAATTCAGCAGAGAGCAAAGTCAGGTGTACAGGAGCAACCAAACTCAGAGCAAGACAAGCAGGTCTGCTGTATAACTTCTCCATCCCGCTTTCCAGTCCTCATCAGGATGTAGAAAGCTACTATTGAGGGCGTGTTACAGCACACCTGCTGTCTGCTTGGCGGCCTTCTTCACCTGGCCAGGATCCAGTTCTGTGCTTGTCGCAAAGTGCTTGCCGTGGCCTGCATCAGGCGCATACTGACCCTGTCAACCTGACAGTCACGACGCATATAAAACCATATGACATCATATGAACACACAGGATGGGATGGTGGCAGCAAAGGGAGAAAATAAGTGAAGCAACACAACCTTTGGCAGTGGGCTTGGTGCGCTCGCGCAGCTTGTAAGCCTCCTCAGCCTCCTGAGCCATCTGCTCCTGGGCTTCCTTGGCCCTCACAGAAGCTTCCATGGACTTGGCACCCGCTGTCTGGCCGCCTGAATCACACAACCATTCCCTATAACGCAACTGTGCCCCTTGCACTGCCTTGCAGGTGCCACCACATGGCATGCATGACAACACACAATCCCAGAACTTGTGAATCCTACAAAGATTTCTGTGGGTAGGTAGCACAGTCAGACGTACTGTCTAGGTGGTTGTGGGGAGAGGGGAATATTTGAGGAGCCCAACCTGGTTCATGCCAGGGATACAGGTGCATTTCTGGGACCTCTGCAGGAGACAGGTCCCAGTCTGGCACCGGCGAAGCCTCCTTCACATGCTCTGCTGGCAGATGCTTCACTACACCAGAGAAGGAGGCACCCCTTGACTTGCTGATCTGACCGTCCGTCAAGTGCCTCGAAGCATGCATCAAAGGCTGAGCTGGCCATGCATGCATATACTCACACCTCACATATACCACAAGCTCATCAAATGTTGCCCCCGCCATCATAAAGGGCCATGATGGGCCTTGCTGATGGTTGGATCACCATCCAGTCAGCCGGGGTGCGATCCGGCAGGGAGAAAGTTTGCAGGGCAAGGCAGACGTGCTTGCTGCATGAGGCATTGTGTTGTTATGTCATGCAAGGGGTGTTGACGGGGGGAGGCGCACCCATCTTGTCTGGGTCAAGGCCGGGGGTCCGGTCATCTTCGTCCAGGATGTCCAGCCCAGTCACGACCGGGTCGGCAGTGGGCTCTGAGAAATGCACCGCCTCCTGGAACTTCAGCTCGTCCTCGTCGATCTGCAGCGCCACAAGTGTCCTTAGCTAAGGATCCCTGCACAATGATGACGACGAGACGATGAGATGCTGATGCGCATGATGTCCTTAGCATGTAGTCACATCATGGACCGTGAGTGACAGCGAATAAAATACATCCAAGCCATACATTTAACTGCGATGTCAAAGATCCTCTTGCATACACGCAGTTTTAAGAATCTGAAGATGGTACTTTACGTTGAATGCTGGAGAGATGAGTGGTCTTCTAGGGCAGGAGAATTCAGAAGGACTGCATGTATGTGCTGCGGGCAGGCAGACGGCACAAGGGAGCGACAGGCACAAGCGCATCATAGCCATGTCAGGCAAGGGATATTTTGCCCAGTGCTGCTGCCTGGTGTCCAAATATGACTTGACGTGGCAATCAGTGGCTGACCTGGGGCTTGTCCTGCTTTGCTTGCTCACCCTTGCTGCCTCCCTCGGCTTTCTTGCCTGTGCGGTACGCGCCCCCTGCGGGGCTTCCTGCGCCACCACCTGACTTGCTGCCGGCCCCCTGCAGCAATAAATGACACCATTGCATGTCAGCGCTCAGCTGCATCTCTCGCGCGCAATTTACACCCCTTCCTGCCATCCCCTCAATACAGCGCATAATGAGCACCTGCATTGCCTTCCCATGGAACCGGAACCTGCATCCACCATGCTGATCGCCGGCAGCACACCTAGGGGATGTTGATGATGGGTTGGGCAACTTGACAAGAGCTTGCTAGTTGAGAGCATGCCGACATATCTTCAACTGAGTTGCACCGGCCTTCACAGGAGCAGTTGATGAAAAATAAGAGGATGCACTCCCACAAGCTTGCTTGGGGGTGGATGGCCTGTGAACAGCGCAGTCTCCGGTCAAGTGTCATTGTCTACAGCGCGCCAGTCTCACCTTTGCCTGGCCTCCTTTGGGCTTGGCCTGGCGGCGGTCAGAATGGCTCTTGGAGGATGACAGGTTGGCGTGCGCGCTTTTCTCCTGTCGCTCGGCGTCCTTCCTGAGGCGTTCCAGGTCTCGGCGCGCGGCGGCCGCCTCGGAACGCACGGCCGCCAGCTGGCGCTCAAACTCGGCGCGCATGCGCTCCAGCTTCTGCTCGGCTTCCTTGATAGCGTAGTCTGCCCGGTCCAGCTTCCGCGTCAGCTCCTCCGCCAGGTACACCTGCGCAGACCGTGGCTCTTGCTCGGTCCCGTATTCAATATCATGCAATAGAAAACAGAAAACACCTCCATTTGCGTTATCTGTCAACTCCTCATGAAGTCTACATGTAGAGGAAGACACAGCCCCGGGGCCATTTTCGTTAATCTCTCCACTAAGCCCACATGTCGCCATGGCTTGCAGGCAACTCCCTTTCAGCACGTCAGAACAGGCAGCGAGGAATCTCCATCAAAGAAGGTGTGCTGAAAGTGCATTTCTTTCACAGCACAGGGCATGATAGGAAGTAAAGAGGGACCTGCTCCATCTTGGCGCGTTCGACCTGCTTGCGCGCGGCCTCCAGGGCGTCCTTCTCTCCAGTCAGCATGTCGTGCTCCTGCCTGATCTCGCGCTCCACCTCCTGCCTGCTCGGCTGCTTCTTCTTGGAATGCTCCTCCGACAGCCGCTCGACCACCTGTGCGCACGCCACAGTCATCACCAGTCCAGCTACTGGGAGGTTTCCTCTCATGGCAAATGCTCCTTGGACACCCTGCTAGGTCTCCCAGCCTTGGTTTGTCTGCGAGCCTGTGCTTTATTGTACCGTATTGTGCTTCAGAGTCGCCGTTGCACGGCTGGCATGACCGCCTTGCACATGAGCGCATATGCCGTTGTTCTTATGGCGGGGACACTGCCCCCAGGATTAGCAGGTCATTTTCACTAATATGGCACACTATATATATATAACACTAATATTTTCACCAAATTTTTTAGTTAGCAATTGCAAAAATTCGTGGAACACCAGTGCAACACCTTCAGCTCCTGTGCGCGCAGCGCAGACTCGTACTCGTTGTCAACCTGCTTGGCGATCTGCTCAGTCTCATACACGTAGGCAGACTCCCTGTCGTTGGCGGTGTCGCGTTCCTCCTCCATGTGCATGCGCTGCTGCTTGGCAGCTGCCAGCTCCTTCTCGGTGGCTTCCAGCGCCGCGGCAGCTGCCCCCAGCAGCCGCCGCTCCTCGGCCGCCAGCTGGCCCATGCGCTCATGCAGTCCACCGCTGCGATCCTTGATGTGAGCCTGGATCTCTGTCATACACGCCTCTGCTTCGTCCACCCTCTCCCGCGCCGCCTCGGCCTGCTTACTGGGATGCAGCACAAGACCAAGCTGTTAGCGTGGGAAGTGACAAGTAACTTCACTCTTCTAGTAGGCACAGTAGTGCCAAAGTGTGCAGGAGGCCAGGGAGTTCAATTGCAGCATGTTTTCTAGTGGAGGAGACATACCTTCCTTTTTTTACAGGAAGTCATTGCCATACGATGGCCACAGTGCTGATATGCCGTCAGCATTGCAATGCATGCCCACTTGGACCAAGGTGCCAAGCATGCCAGGGCATGAGTATCAGAGGGGGCGTTGCAGGAGGGCTGTAGCTTACTTGGCGTCGTCTTCGGCCAGGTAGTAGGGAATTTTCTTGGCATGCTTCATCTCCTTCTCTGCCAGCTCTCCAACAAAGTCTTCGGGCTTCTCCAGGCCCTCTCCATTGTCTGCACCGGGCGTCTCTTCCAAGGCAGCCTGCGCATGCAGGCATGCAATCATGTCAGACTCCCAGACGAGTTGAAGAACAGCCAAACATGCGTGCTCTTCTTGGCCCCTGCATGATGTGGGGCATGGAGCATGAGTACCGAGGCATCCACAAGATGCATGCATGCCACAGGTGCTTCACCTGGGCCATGCGCCGCTCCAGATCTTGGATGTCTTTGTGCTTCTCGCTTCTGGAAACGTGGGAGGCCTGCCGGGCAATCACCCGCTTCTCTGACTGGGTTGGGTCGTCAGGTCTGCTCTCGGCCGAAGGGTGCCAGGTCTCTTTTATTGATGAAGCCTGGCCTTGGGGTTCCTTGTCTTGTTCTCCTGTGGCGGTGGGGTGGTGGGCATGTCTTCTGTGTTCCTTTTCTTTCCCCATCCTTGACGAGATGCACTGCATAACACATCAACAAGTCTCCTCACATCATCGTGCATTGAAGTCACCAATGATGACATCAACTGCTGATCAACCGAAATCTCATACCAACATCAATCGAATGGTTGGCGACCTTCTGGGGAGCTAGCAGCAAGCAGCATGCACAGTGAATATTTTTCCACCCGTTACCGGGCGTCCGCTTTGGACCACAAGATACTTAATAAAAGATTGATTGGTGTCATTTCATGAAACAAATACAAGCGCAAACTCATGTGCGCCGGTTGTGGGTACCTCGTCATACGATCTCTCGTCTTTTCGGAATCAGCAAAGGAGCGAATAGCCCCACACAATCAGGTTGTCTTGTTCTTCACCTTATTTAATTTGCTTGCCGCGAATGGTGTCCGCCTCCGACTGTCCGTCTGATCGAGGGATCGGCCAACAGATGTCGTGAATGCCAAAAATACTCCACAAATCCAGCTAAATTCTGCCCAAACCCTAGCTTGTCCACATGGCATGCCACCCTCAACACACACCCCACTGGCAGTCATCCCTTCTTGTCCCAAGCATCCCTCTCAACACAATCTGTGGATTTCTATCACAAGAAATTTTATTGTAAAAGCATATGCACCTGCAGCACTAGCACATGCACTGGCGCCACAAGAAGAAACATTTGTCGGCAGGACAAGATTGAGTATGTAGCCTTCCTTCTGCCGCCCTGCAATGCACCTAGCAGCTGGGTGGAGCTTTCATTTGCTGGCAGACTTGTCCTTGTTATGGAGACCGCTTCTTCCATCAAGGTACTGCGTCAGAGCATGCGGGCTGTCTGTCATGATGGCTGTGATGCCATCCAATTTCAAGGCCACTTCCCAGTCCTCTTCGCGGTTCAGAATGTACACCAGAACAGGTACACCGTGCGCCTGCAATCACACAGCAAATATGCATCAAATTTTCACAGTCAAGGATTGCCCTTGAGAATTGCTTGACATGCATCTTCATGGTGTGATTGGGCATGTCAGATGGCAGGTCGCCTGTATCACGATCTCACAGGCACATATGAAGATGAGGCAAATGGAGGAGGCTGAAAGAGCCTACATTGAGCCATTTGAACAGACCAGGGCGGGGCATGAGCCACTTCTGGAATTTAATAATGGCTTGGAATTTGAGCCGCTGCCATCCAGAGGGAATGTGCTCGATGAGGGCTTCTTCCCAGCCGGTGAAGAGCGAGATGTTGAACACCGTGCCCTGTGGCGGAGTCCACCATCTGATTGTGCCCGTCAAGTACCTTGCATACACCTTGTACACCTGCATGACATCTGCAGCTCGTTGAACATGAGCAGATATGCTTGTCAGTGAGGTTGCTCATGAGAGAATGGTCATTCTGTCAGAGTACCCTGCATACATTTCAAACCCAAGCACAGCATCTAACATGAAACAGCCAGACATTAAGCTGCATGGAGTATGTGAATGACAAACAGCTGCGACATCCTCCATGAGATCTGGGCATTCAAGTGCAGGAATGACACAGGGATCCAGGTGAAAAGGTGCGCACTTCGCTGTTGGGCAGAATCCGCGAGGCTTCTGGGAGGGCCTCCCCACACATCTTCCAGATCTTGGCATTGGATGGCGACCCCAGTATGACCCTGTCGGCCCTGCCAGCCTTCCTTATCTGCTGCGCCACCTTCTCAACAAGCTCCTGTCCACATGCACTGCCAGTAATTGCAATGGTCCACCTGTGCATTTGCAAGGATGACAGCAGGCGCGGTGCAAAGAGCACACCTTGTTCTCGTCCCATATCTCACACTGGATATAGGTGTCAGGTCGCGCCTACATCAGAGAAAGAGCCTGATGCTCTAAGTGTACTCATGCAAGAAAGCTTTCATGAATTTGAAGAAAACAGAGGACAAATGGTTTGCAAACAATGCTGCAAAGGTTTGGTTGGTAGGCTCACCTCGTTGAGGAGCTCCACAAGGGTTGGGATGTGCCTGCCATCTTTGAACTCGGTGGTGTGAATTCGCGGCATGTCGCCAAAGTCAAGAAGAGGCTTCAGGTATTCTTTATATTGGGGAAGCTTTTCCTCAGGAACCTGCACGGCCACCAATGCCAGTCCATGCAGTGATAGGGAATGCAGACATCGTGCATTGGAAGCCAGGTGATTCCCTAGGCTGAAACTGGAACATCAGAACGCTGCAGCACAGTCGCTGCCAATTTAGACAAGTGGATACCAGTCGAATGTCTGCGTCGAGGCCTGTTGCACGCTTCATGTTCAGGTCATGGAAAACAACCGGGGTGCCCTCTGACGTTGGAAGAATGTCCATCTGCATAATCTGAACCAAAAGTATTTCATAGTTTAGGACATGATGTGGCTTGCAGGGCAGTCCAGAGAGGATTTGGTGCAGCCCAGTGGAGAACGATATTCCTTGTGAAGCGCATCAATGCAATCATGCAACTTTTCCTTTCTCTGAAAAGCAGCATCACCCCTGATCCAGCCTCTTCTGCGCTCCTCAAAGCTGCCAATGTATTCTCAGGGGCCTCATTCCCACCAGCTCGATGTGACATTACCTGAAACACAGATGGTCAGTCCATCTCAGGAACCCTCCGCAATGGAAAGACAGTATGTCAAGTCTAACTCAATTGGGATGCTTGTAAAATATCTTTGCTTTGTAGGACGGAACTTACAAGGGGACGCCCTGGTTTTGCCTCGTTCCACGGTGGTGGAAGGCCATCGCTGGCCAGAAGGACCTCCGAGGTCATTAAAAGGGCTCTGATCAGAAGATGGTCAGGAGGAATTCAAAAGTTGTATGTCCTCTGCGGTATACGCTGAGGACTGATGGGAGATAAAGCTTCAGTTTTCAAGACCGATCTGGGAGTGATCAGAAATGTCCACCTCGGTCAGTCCGATAACAGAGCTCCTGAAAGTCTGTATGAGATATATGCAATGATCTCGCTGATATTCGAGCGATCCAAAGTAAATTAACGACAAAAACATTGACCATCGTCGTCCAAGAAAAATTACAACTTCAAAATTGGCACGTGGCGCTTCCTGACAGCTTCTCTACATCTCTCGAGCAGTCAGAACTCTGCAACTCCAAAAGCAACTTCAACACTACTCGATTGCCTCATCATCCCTTCTCCTGGGCACCTGTCCGGGCTTCCCTGGGCTTGGGGCGTTTGTATGCTGACACAGCTTTGGCAGCTTCCTTCAAGGCCTGCGAGCCTTCAGATTTGCCCCAGTCGACCGCATCTCGCTGCGCTGCGCTGTCTAGTTTCACACTTGCGGGAGGCTGGGGTGTGCTGGCAGTCTGTGACTCATCTCGCTTCCGCTTTCTATCTGAGGCCTCAGATCCTTCCGCTTCTTTCCGGCTGCCTTGAACCCCTGCATCATGAAATGGACTCCCATTTCAATGCCCTCCATCATGCAGTGTCATGAATTCGAAGCACTGTGCATGCAATCTGGATGTCCATCATTGCAGCAACAACTGTCGGACCATCATTCTGCATGGCTGCAGCAGCGGGCGCTTGTTACCTACCTGTTTTTCGGAACACAAACGCAGCGAACAGTGCGCTGGCCTGCGCTAGAGACGGGTCGGAGTTGCTGGGGAACCTGGGGTGGAAGTGCTTGATAGGCTTCTGGGCATCAGCCTACAAAAGTGTCACCTCAGCTCCCAGAAAGGTCAAAAAAAAGGCTGCCATACTGGAGTGCCAGATCACGGCGCCCTCCAGAACAGACGTGCTTGTGGATTATGTTCATATTCTGGACACGTGGAGTTCACCTCATCAAAGCAGTCATCCAGCTCTGGGTCCCTCCAGTCAGTGATGGGTTCCAAGCCGTGCTTTGCAGCCACTCCAATGAGCGTGGAGTTGAACACAAGATACTCATAGGACCCCTCTGCAGCTCCAACGCCTGCACAAATTAACGCACCCCCGACTAGTCAGATTGACAGACATGATCATGGGACCCAGCACTCATTCAGAGCTCATTCATGCAAAAACTTTGCAGCATCAAAATTGCAGTTGCACGCCTTGTGTGACAGTGTCGCCAATTGCGCAGGTGTATGCACAGCCGAAGGGCGCAGCCTGGCCCTTCCAAAGCGCCTGCAGTTTGAGCATGGGTGCCTTGAACTGAGGCCAGGATTTGGCTTTGAAGATGGTGTCTTGCACGCGCTTCCCACTGGGGAATGTCCCAAAGAAGTGCCCGCCTGCACCAACACCCAGGAGATCAAGCAAAGATGCATCCAGCGCCAAGCACCCCCGTTTGACTGACACACAGAGACAATGGAGCCATCCTTGCTGTGTCACATTCTTAAAAAGTCAGCATGTCTGGAGCCTTGCCAAGCTTCCTCTCAGACATTTTCCTGACTCCCTGAGCACCCACCATCCTTCAAGTTGATGGCAACATTGTGCAGGAAGGTGTCCAGAGCGCGCTCAGTCACGAAGAAGTAATGGATGGCAAACATGCAGGTCACTGCATCGTATTGCCGCGGCTCCCTCCACAATGACAGGCCCAGCTGGTCTGAGTCTACAAACTCCGCCTCCAGAAGGGGACCTGGTTGGCACACTCAACCTTTTGTATCATACGGTGAAGTTTAGCAGGAACTCTTTTGGCAGGAATGAGCTGCAACCAGATGTCCAGCACAAGCTATGTCCGGTGGAATGCTGGACCTGCCTTGCTGCCTGGGGTTGCGTTGCTTGACATGCTCGGCAAACCGCCTTGTTGCCTCCTCAATTTCCCCAGGGGACAGGTCAACGCCCTTTACATACCTGATCTGTACAGCCGGGAATCGTCACTTACAATTACATCAATGCTTGAGGAGGCAGTGCAGATCAGCTGCGCATTGAGGGAAGCCTTGCAGGTAGAGGGGCTGACCTTCGCTCGTGCCCATTTGTGTATGTCACCGCCTCGACCGCAAGCAAAGTCCAGCAGACTGTCCGCCTCCCCGGCAAATCTGCTCAAGAGACAGGCCCGGTTGAAGCAAACCTTGTCCCACTCACATGCATGGCCTTCATGCAGCTGTGCTGTTGCATCATTACACTTGCCTCAATATCATCCTGCGCTTGATGTCATTGTGGAAGTCTTTCAGAGGCAATGCTGCGCCCTGACGACGCGCAAGGAGGGCCTGCAGGTCACAAAGTGCTAGCATTGGCATGACAATATGAGCTCTCTGACAACTGCTCAACATCAGAGGCCTATGTTCATGATTTTTATTGTACCACTGCAATAATGTAGAGCTGCACATCCCATTATGGCGAGAGTGAAAAGCTGAACCTGATCGCGGTCGACGAATACGTTTGCGTGACTATTATAATGTTCCCTGGTCTTTCTTACAGCATCAGCATCCATCACCAGCCTAGAGGATTAGAAAAAAAAATCCTTTTATTGATATATCATGACCTGGCATGTAGTGCAGGAAGTCGATCGATGGATGATCGAAGCATGACCACGGTTACCAAAGACCTCTGACATGCCTGCACTCCTAACTATCTGTGCACATGCGCAGAAGGTCCGACTTCCCTGATCAACAGAAGTACTCAGGATGTCTAGTGTGATGTGAAATTTTCAAGGAAATTCTGACGAAGATGGAGTAGGTTTTGCAAGACCCCACAAATTTCTCGCGGACCCCTCCATGACGTAAGAAATTCCTGAGTCATAACACACCACGAGAAGGAGTCCCGTCTCGTATGCGCTTCTCCTCGCTTCCTGACGGCATGAATGTATTCATTACGATCAAGAAAATCTTGACCGATATGCTACCGCTTTGAGTCGTTCTGCACGATGTGATCCTGCTGTTTCCCCATATTGAAAGGGGTCGTCTGGTATTGATACAGGGAGACGGCTTGATCAATTTCCACTTTAGTGGCATGTCCTCTGCCTATCACTGAGACGATCACAAAAGAGCTGTCAGACTGCGCCGATCACGGCATTATCAGGGGAAAGGCGTGAACGTTGGACTAGCGGCATGGCCTCAGAATCTGCAGAAGACGATGTGGTTGAGCAGCGGTCGTCGATTTCTTGGAAAAGGATCGACCCTGCAGAGGAAGAATTTCCTGGCAGATTGCAGGACAACAATGACTTGGACGACTTTGAGGAGCTCATGAAGGTGGGCATGCATCCTTGTGCATGAGGTAGCACTGAATGTCAGGCAGTCAAATGTTACAGCCGCTCAGGCTTTCCGTGTTAGGATCAGAAGACACCTAAAATCTGATGTAGTAGAGCTTCTTGCTAGCGCTGATGCTATTTGACCATCCTGCAGGCTGCTCGAGGCAACTTGGACCCTGCCATGAGATCAAAGGTGCGTGACATCAGTGACATGCATCAGCTTCGAGAACGTATTGTCCGCCCCTGCATGATGTGCTGCCAGCAAAACGGGGCCATGATGGAATATCATCATGCATGCAGGTGGCAGTCCTTCCCAGGAGCGAGAGTGGGCATGACAGGAAGGTAGAGCTGGTGCCCCTGAACAGCCTGAACTTCCAGCAGCGCACCCAGATCCTGGACATGGCCCTGAAGACGAAGGACATGGACAACGAGCTCTTCCTGCGCAAAGTGCGCTCCAGGCTGGACAGGTGCTCACCTCCTCCTGTATCGAAGAAACAAATTCCATTGCACACATGCTTCTCTTCGCAGGTCCTCCTTAGGAGGACAAGCTCGCAAGATATAACTGCCCAGTGCAGGGTGGGCATAGAGCTGCCATCGGTGGAGGTGCGATTTGAGGGGCTGGAAGTGGATGCTCAAGCATACGCGGCTGGCCGCGAGCTGCCGTCAATCTTCAATGCCTACAGAAATTGGGTGGAGGTAGGCTACTTCACTGCTTTATCATACATCTTCATTCAGCAAAATTGCATTGCCTTGAGTGTGTGCCCAGATCACCTGCTATGCGTCCTAGTTTCAGCTGCAGTCTCTCCACAGATTCATCGTGTGCTCGGCAGGGGCTGCTGCAGCGGCTGCGGCTGATGCGCAGCACAAAGAAGAACATCAGCATCCTCAAGGGCCTCACCGGCACCATCAAGCCGGGGCGGCTGACGCTGCTGCTGGGGCCGCCGGCTTCGGGCAAGACCACTCTGCTGAAGGCGCTGTCGGGCAAGCTCAGGAAGGACGACCTGGATGTGCGGGGCAAGGTCACCTTTAATGGGTATGGCTTTGATGAGTGCGTCGTGGGGCGTACCTCCGCCTACGTGGACCAGGTGGACAACCACATCGCCGAGCTGACCGTGCGCGAGACGCTCGACTTTGCCGCGCGCGTGCAGGGCGCCGGCTTTGGTGCGTCCCAGCCCTCTCTGGGCCCTGTTTTTTATTCATTCCGTGTCATGTGGGGCGATGTTCAATTCACATTTACATGAAGCATGTGTCAGTGTGTATGGACATTTCCTGTTGTGAGCTCCGAGGCTGTTGATGATGCAGATGAGATCCATGAGCTGCGCAAGCGGGAGAAGGAGCAGGGCATAGAGCCGGACTGGGAGATTGACTCCTTCATGAGAGCAAGCGCAGCGCGGGGCAAACGACACAGCATCATGGCAGATTACGTCATGCGCATGCTTGGCCTCGAGGTATGTTCCAACAGCTGCCTCTGAATAACTGTATTCGCCCCTGTTTGTCATGATGTGCTTCAGTTTCAGCATGGGTGTGATGCCTTGTCATGATGTGCGGTGGCGTGATTGAAGTACATCTCTGACTGTGTTGTCATGGATGCAGGTCTGCGCGGACACTATGATCGGCAGCCAGCTGATCAGGGGCATCAGCGGCGGCCAGAAGAAGCGAGTGACTACAGGCAAGTTCTCTACTGTCCATCAAATTTTCGGCCATAAAATGCTCATGCATTTCTGGAATGTAGAGCATCATGGATTAAACATTAGTTGATTGGGGTTGTCATAGGGGAGATAGTGGTGGGCCCATGCAAGACTCTGTTCATGGACGAGATCTCAACGGGTTTGGATAGCAGCACGACCTACCAGATTGTGCGCTGCATCCGCAACATGGTGCATCTGCGAAAGGTGTGGCCAATCTTCCTGAGATTATCCGTCAACGACGCTGTTGCCTCTGATACCCAACCCACTAGTTGTTATCAAGCAGACCTGGGGCGCCGTTGATCCTGAACAGTTTTTGTCATGTCCTGGCAGAGCACGGTGTGCATGAGCCTGCTGCAGCCGCAGCGGGAGACCTACAACCTCTTTGACGACGTGATGCTCCTGGCTGAAGGTACAATCATCTTCTCCCGACAAGTGTGCATTGTTCAACCCCAGCCTGCTATCATCTGTCCTGCACTGTTTCAGTGAGCCTTCTGAGGAATGCATGGCTGCATCCACTTCCTGGAATCCCCCATGACAAGCAAGTGTGGCTGCGGCAGGGCTGCTGGTGTACCACGGCCCCAAGGAGGAGGTGGTTCCTTTCTTTGAGGGTTTGGGCTTTCGGCTGCCGCCGCGCAAGGGCACGGCCGACTTCCTGCAGGAGATCACCTCGCGCAAGGATCAGCGCCAGTACTGGGCAGACCCCTCCAAGACCTACCGCTTCATTCCCCCCGCCGAAATGGCGCGCGCATTCCATCACTCCCCTGTCGGCCAGGCCGCTGCCGCCGAAGCCGCCTCTCCCCCTGTGCACACCAAGGAAGGTCTGTTGTTCTTGGCACAATATCTCAGGCTATCTCGCCTATTGGTACTCAATCAGACGGTGTCTCGGGCAAGATGGTTGCCACATCAGCCAATCGGTCGTGCAAGGAAGATGTCACGGCTTTCCCTTGCTGGGCATCACTGGTATTGATGGGGAGCACCTTTCTAAGAGAGTTGAATGCAATATGAAGCATTGAAAATTGGACTGAAGGGGAGAGTGTCCAATGGCAGGCTGGGAGGCGCTGGTGCACAGGAGGCATGCGCTGTCTGCGTGGAAGAGCATGAAGGCGTGCATGCGGCGCGAGTTCATCCTCATGTCCCGCCACAGATTCGTCTACTTCTTCCGCATTGCCCAGGTGCTTAGCCCTTTCATCACCTGTCTGGGCCGGCAATATTGTCCGAAATTACTTTTTCTTGTTCCACATTTCTTTTCCTCCATCCAGGGGATCTCGGACAGGGTCTCCAATGCTCGCAAGCTCCCCATGTTTTACAGCAAAATGCACGAAAGTGGGACTATACAGCCCTGTGGGCATGTCTGAGCGTTGTGCGGTGTGCATGCAGCTGGCGCTTGTGGCATTTGCGGCGGCTACGGTATTTCTGCGGGTGCGCATGCCGACAGATACACTGGAGGACGGCAGAAAGTTCCTCGCCTTCATCTTCTTTGGCATCTACTTCATGAATGCCTCTGCCTGGAGCGAGCTCTCCATCACCGTAAGCCCCCTTGCCCACCTGTCCTCCCCAGTGGCAGTCCTGTTCGTAGTTCATTTCTCTCTTGTTTGTGGCTCCTGTACAGAGGCGTGTTGCGTGCTTTTCACAGTGCGTGTCATGAGGGGTGCAGCTAATCACAATGGCACATGGCAAGACCGCTGAGCCTGCTTCTGCTTAATCAATGCCCACCAGCTGCAAATCAATAACACTTCGCTCTGACAGTAATTTTGGCTGGCTGTGCAGCTGGGCAACATCAGCGTGTTCTACAAGCAGCGCAGCAACCTCTTCTACCCAGTCACCAGCTTCAGCCTGCCCACCATCCTCCTGCGCATCCCCCTCTCAGCCGTATCAGCCATGCTGTGGACTGTAATGACATACTTTGTTGTGGGCTTCGCCCCCGACCCTGGCAGGCAACTCCCTCCCTCAGTGTCTGCTAGCATATCCTCCTCACCACAACACCTATGAAATAACAGTAAACTCGGAAGCAGCTCAATGAAAACCTCTCCTATGCATGTGCCCTTCCCATTTTGCATTGTGGCCTTACTAGGAATAATGGGCTGCAATCGTCCCCTAATGAGCGAGGCCAGCCAGCATAAACACTGGGATAGAAAGTGGAGTCAAAAGTGATCCGAGGTATTGCAAGTGCAGGTTCTTCCTGTACTTCCTGATCCATGGCCTGGTCAACCAGACCTCCATCACCATCTTCAGGGCGACTGCGGCCATCGGCAGGGCTGTGGTGCTGTGCAATGTGGTGGCCTTCATTTACATTGCCTACAGCCTCATGCTGTGCGGCTTCATCATCAGCTACAGTGAGACCCCTTTCCTCACCCCTGCACGACAAATCCCTGCACCGAATCACCAGTGCAAACCCATCTGCATGTCTCACCCCTTACAGCACCTGTTCTTGACCGTCTGTCTGACATGGCCTGATGAAGTCTTTGCTGGACGCATCTTGCCAGAAAGTGAGCAGTGCTTGAAGACTGTACTGAGGGTGGGCGTACAGAAAAGAGAAATTGAATGCAGAAACTTGTGTGGGCATGTCATGTGAAGTGTTCATGCCCATGCTGGCAGGCAACATAGGTCCCTGGCTGATCTGGGCGTATTGGATCAACCCACTCACCTACGCCTACAAGGCGGTCACAATCTCAGAGTTCTCAGCGCCTCGCTGGCAGAAGCCCACGCCAGGGAACCCCTCCGTCCCTCTGGGCACAGCCATTCTCCAGGCGAATGACCTGGACACGCGCTCCTGGTGGATTGGGGCCGCCATAGGCATCCTCATCGGCTACGTAATTGTTGGCAACATCGTGCTGAACATTGCACTTCGCGTTCTCAATGGTGGGTGGCACAGCCTAATAATTTGTGCCTAGAATCTGAGATAGATACATACCTAGGGCCATAAAATATAGGGCCAATAGATACCAAATTCACCAGTAAATTGCTCTTGCATGAGCACTGAACTCACTAGACAGTTGTGCTTTGATGAATGTCTTGTGGCAGATCACCCGTAGAACTTTAGCTTTCTGTTCAGTGAAGTTCTTCTTTGTCGAGCTGTTGTGATGTGATTGTCAAACTGTGTGCGATATGGATGCAGAGCTCCAAGGAGGCAAGGCAATAGTGGAGGAGCCCGGGGAAGAGGATGCCTCTGTGAGCAACCATCAGCCTGCTTTGGACACAGCCAAAGCCAGCACGAATGGTGTGCTCACGACGCCAGCTCTCCTGAAATCCCTGCAAGGTTTCTTTTATGACGAGGAGCGTCTCAGTAAGTCGTTCCGAGTGCGGAGAGCTGCTTTGCAGGGGAGGCAAAGGTGCATGCAAAGACAAATGGGTTGCTGGCTGAACCTGGCCAGAACGGGGCCAAGACCAATGGAAATGCTGAGGTGGCGGATTTGGAGTCGCAGCAGGTGGTGCAGGGCGCTTCGCACGGCATGGTGCTGCCTTTCATGCAGGTCACCGTCAGCTTCCGGGACGTGCGCTACTTTGTCCCCATCCCAGAGGTGAGACAGGGCCTCCCAGCTCACAGTAAACACACTAAAAGCACATCACAACGTGCGGAGCTCTTCTGTGATGTCTGTTTGTGGCATGCATGCCAACAATGCCATGCAATCTGCAAAACTAGGTTGACAGAAGGCATGTGTTCTCAGTATTGACCATTTCATGGTCAAAGTGGACTGCTTTCTTGCAAGAGGAATGATAGGGTATTTAGTACCTGCTGAGTGAGCTTGTATGGTATGACAGGGGCATGCGAAGGGGCTGGCTGCCGGGGTAAAGGAGCTGGAGCTGCTGAAGGGCATCACCGGGTGCTTCAGGCCGGGCGTGCTGACGGCGCTCATGGGCGCCAGCGGGGCCGGCAAAACCACGTTCCTTGATCTCCTTGCGGGACGAAAGACTGGTGAGCCCGCTCTTTCGTTTGCTCTTGAACCCATGCCGCTGGGTAGGGGACCAACAGAATTAACGATGGCCAACTGTCACCATGGACAATCTCCAATAGTCCATGGTGACAGCTCACACACTATGCATTACCATACTCGACAGGTATTCAATGAAGAAATGTTGATAGATATTCCTGTCAGAACTCCATGGCAATTTTGCCCACATATACGGAGCAAGTCTGCCCTGGACATCTAATGCGAGGCAGCCTAGTGTGCATTTCATTGCCAAGAATGTGTCCTGGCATGCAGTTGGGAGGATCGAGGGCGACATTCGGGTGAATGGCTTCCCCCAGGAGCACCGGACGTTTGCCAGGGTGTCTGGCTACGTGGAGCAGAGCGACATCCACTCCCCACAGGCATGATCTTCCTGTACGCCATTATCATGCTATGCAAAATCTGCTTGTGGAGCTCACCTTTGCTCCAGTGTGCTCAGCCTACAACCAAGGTCCTGCTGTGACAGCACCATGGCTGATTGCGAATTCTGCAGTCATGCATCATAGTGGCAACAGTGCAATCTGACATGACCATGTGGTGTCCTGGCAGGCGACAGTTGAGGAGGCGCTGTGGTTCTCTGCGCGCCTGCGCCTGTCAAAGGACATCAATAACAAGCGCATGTGGGCCTTCATCCACGAGGTGAGATACAGCACTGTACATGCTGGACTCCTGTGCTCTCTGATCTTAGTGTACATCATTCTATGAATGATGACTAATGATAAAGTCTACATAGCCTTCCTTTACTGGATGAGGCAGAGGAACTCTGCAGCAGTCTACTGCATGCACAGTCAACCTCTGCTAGAAGTCAATTCTGAGGTTGCAGCGACTCAGAAGGATCGACACTTGCTGCTTGGCCAGGTGATGGAGCTGGTTGAGCTGATGCCGCTGCGCAGTGCGCTGGTGGGCCTGCCCGGCACCAGCGGCCTCAGCGTGGAGCAGCGCAAGCGCCTGACCATCGCCGTCGAACTGGTCGCCAACCCCAGCGCCGTCTTTATGGACGAGCCCACCTCAGGCACCCACCTCCCCACATAGCAGGCATACCATGGCAAACATGATCCTGACACATGCAGCACCTGAGCTACCCCAAACAGCCACAGCCAACGGATGCAGTGCTGCAGCTGTGAATGCCCACCAATCCACATGCCAGGCATACCGTGGCAAACATCATCCTGAGTAATGCCGGTCATGATCTACTGTGCTTCCCCCAAACAGCCACAGCCAACGCATGCAGTGCTGCAGCTGTGAGTGCGCACCTATCCACATGCCATAAGGTCTTCAAGGCCAGCAGGAAATGCGAGGCCGAGTCTTAGATCAAACAGGGGAACGCTTCAGGGGTGTGAGCTCACATGTCAACGCTGTGCGCAGGGCTGGATGCGCGGGCGGCCAACATTGTCATGCGTGTTGTCCGCAACATTGCCAACGGCCGCACCATCGTCTGCACCATCCACCAGCCATCCATTGCCGTCTTCGAGGCGCGTATAAACTCTTCTGCTCTCCTCCCATGCATGTCTATTTTGTCCGACCGCGCCACATGCAAGCAGCCAGTCATGCTCCCGATTCATGCCGGGCTCACACAAATTGAAAACGGGAGGCTGATGGATGTTCTGCATGTCTTTCCTCAAGAGAAGACCTGAATAGAGGGAAGCCAGCCTTCTGAGGTGCATTTGCGTGCGCGGCTGCACAGGCTTTTGATGAGCTGCTGCTGCTGAAGCGCGGCGGCGAGGTGATCTATGGCGGTCCGTTGGGCTATCACAGCAGTGACATGGTGCGCTACTTTGAGGCCATCCGCGGCGTGGACCCAATTTCCCCCTCGGCCAATCCAGCCACCTGGATGCTGGAGATCTCCACAATCTCTGCCGAGCAGCGCCTGCGCGCAGACCTGGCCGACCTCTACCGCCACAGCCACCTCGCAGCGTGAGTTGCCACCCAAGTTGTCTACCTGTTTCCTCCTTCAAGAGGCCTGAAGCCTCCTCAACTGCTACTCCTGGGACCTGCTTTTATGAGGCCTCCCACCATGACATGGGGCGCGGCTCTTATTTGCTGCGTGCGTGATACTGGCTTCGACTGGGACCCCTTTGTGTATGAGAGGAGGGCTTCTCAGTCACCGTGGGACACTGAAGCTGGCTTCAAGAAGCAGTCATTGCATGGCCTGGCTGCATGTCATCCACAGAGAGCCCTGGAGCTAGGCTGGTCTTTTCATGCACAGAGAGTAATATGTGAGTGTGCATGAGCAGGGCCATCGAGGACATGGTGGAGGAGCTGAGTCAGCCCAAGCCCGGCACACAGCCGCTGGCGTTTGACTCAGAGCATGCGCAGCCGTTGCTGAACCAATACCTGATCATCCTGAAGAAGAACACCATTGCGTACTGGCGCTACCCTTCCTACAACGCCGTCCGATTCACCTTCACTGCCATCTTTGCTGTGCTCATGGGCGCAGCCTTCTGGCAAGCTGGCGCCAACAGGTGGGCTTTTACCCTGTCAGCACATTTTTGCTATGACGACACCATCATGCAACATCATGGGGAGGATTTGGGACACTGAATTTAGCCCTCTACCCTCTCGTGCTATTACTGAATGCTTGTAGTGATAAATGCATGCAATCCCATGCTGACCGCTGTGTGTATTTCACTGCACAGGACTACGGAGCTTGGGGTCCTGCAGGTGGCAGCTTCCCAGTACCTGGCAGCTCTTATCATCGGCTTTGTCAATTCGGCAACAGTTCAGCCTGTCATTGCCATTGAGAGGACAGTCTTCCACCGAGAGAAGGCAGCAGGCACGCACTTGCTCTTGTCATAAGCTGGATCTACATTTTTCCGCATCCAGAATGTGCTCGTTGACGATTACCTAGTGTACCATGCATGCTCAATTGGTGCTCAGACTTGTTTTCCTTGCAGGCATGTATGCCAGCTTCCCATACGCGCTGGCTCAGGGCGATGTGGAGCTGCCTTATATTGTAGTGCAGACTGTCATCTGGTCCCTGATCACCTATTTCATGATGGGCTTCGAGCTCCAAGCAGGTCAGAAACATCTCCGTGCGGTCACTTCATCACTGTGTTCCAAGCTATGCGATATCTGCTGTCATGCTAGCATGCCTGCAAATGCATTGGCCAGATAAATGTCTCAGTCTTTTGGTTTTTGCCAATATCAGAATCTATATTACACCGCGCCTGTTAAAAGGGTGCACTCTGAATATTAATTCTGTTGTCTGCAGGAAAATTCTTTTGGTACTTGCTGTTCACACTGCTGACCATGTTGTACTACACCTTCTATGGGCTGCTAGCAGTGGTGCTAAGCCCAAACCTGCAAATCTCTTCGGTGGCCTCCACGCTCTTCTATGCCATCTGGAATCTGTTCTCAGGCTTCCTTATCACCCTGCCCCAGATGCCGGTGCGCACATTTCCAAATTCTACCTGCTCCCACTTTTCTCTCTGTTGCTCAACATGCAATTGCCAACCCCGGTCTTTACTTTTGACTCCCGCTGCTGCCAATCCAGTAATGGTGGGGCGGTGGGCAGATTTTCTGCATTTCTGGACTTGTTTTGGTTGTCGTGAGATTTTTCTGGTGGTGTTGAAGAGCTGAATGCATGATTGTATGCTGTGCAGGGTTGGTGGTCATGGTACCTGTGGCTGTGCCCAGTGTTCTGGTCTTGCTGGGGGCTCATCACAACGCAGCTGGGCAATGTCCAGGAGCCCATGACGCTCCAGAATGGCACTGTGACTCAGGTGAGGCAACAACCCATCTGCATTGCTTCCTCAGGACACTGCATGTATCATCGTGCAGGAGTGACTTGAGATACTTTGCAACGTCTTACTGAGGGGCAATGTGCGTGCAGGTGGATGTTTACATCAGGGACCATTTCGCCTTCTACTACGAATGGAGAGGCTGGGTCATTCTCGTGCTGCTAGCGTTTGTGCTGGCTTTCAGGGTTGGTGCTATTGTGGCGGTTACAAAGCTCAGCTTTGTAAAGCGGTGACATCTGCATTAGTTACAGTTATAACTAGATGTGCTAGGTAGCCCAGGTATGCCCATTTCTTCAAGTCTGCAGAAAGATCTTCTAGTGTTGTTTCTCACTCTAGCAATACCGAGGGTCTCTTTATGAGGCTACTAGAATTAATGCGTTGATTCATTTGGAGCCCTGTATATGATTCTAGGACTGCCATTGCAGTCTTTGCATGATAGGTATTGCTGAACTGGTGCCCAGCTGGCTGACAATTGCAATGATCTGCCAGCATGCAATCGGTGCTGTGATCGAGTATCATGGGCATGATGACATTATTTGAATTGGAGGAACTCCATGTAAATTGTATGCTGCCATTAAAGTGCCATAGAGACATGCCTGAAGTGCACTTCCCAGAAAACATGACGGAAGTGCCACTCAATCAGTGATAAGTTTACTTGCGTCAACGATATCGCAGGGTTTTTATGCTCCCGGCTTCATCCTGTAATAGCCATTGTGAGAGGACCTATTAGATATCATTCAAATTGAGCAGGGATAATAGTCAGTGGATGATGTGCAGATCTGAGTTGCATGCATGCAGAAAAGGAGAGAAGTCGGCCTGATCAGGCAGGTGGACGAGAGCATCATATAAGCATGCCACAACAGGAAGTTTAATTGTCTGCAGATGTCTCGTCCTACAAAGTTGGACAGTAGTTGGATTGTTAATTGCATTTCCAATAACAGAACGAGGTATTTGCCTGAGACGCAGCCTAGACTGTCGTGTGCAAGACAAACAGCTCTAGTGATCCAGACAGATCAATATCGTATCATGGAGAAATCACTCACACCTCAAGCTTTTGCGTCCAATAATCTTAATAGAAGCATCACAGAACGCCGCGACAAGAATTTCTTAGAAGATACCTTCCCCAAATCCCTGTTTTTGGTTGTTTCCAACGGCAAGGTTGTGGTTTGGCGCAAACCAAAGACAGAGCTTCGATGGTTTAGGCAATTCGAGTTACAAAATCTGGCCTATGAGCCCTATTCCGACGTCCTTTCCAGGCGTGCAGGTAATAAGACTTCACCTTTATGTGTACCCTCGCCTGAAGGTCTGAATTATGTAATAAATATCGGACATTTGCCTGGGCCTTTCCCAGTGGGTATGTCTGCAGGTGAAGTTGACATCAGCCCATACCTGTTGGGGCAAGGATTGGACACCAAGAATTGGAAGTGGGTGCTGGCTCCTAGCGCAGACCAACTCGAAGAGTTCAAAGCTGGCAGAGACTTGGACTTTGTGGATCTGCGCTCGCTGATGGCGGAGCTCTCTGTCGAAGAGTTGGCAATTACAGGGCATGCTGTGGCTCTTGCCCAATGGCACCAGGTACTTCAGTCTAGCTTCATGACCAGAATCAGTTGATGCTTGACAAGTTCATAGATCACATTATGCAAGCTTCTCCAATCTGTGGAAACTTCCTGTGCACAGAATCACATGTACTGCGGCAAGTGTGGCGGGCCGACAGTGTCAATAGAGAGTGGCAGTAAGCGGCAGTGCACGAAGGACCCGGCTCACAGGGAATATCCTAGGACCGACCCAGTGGTGCGCCTCATGACACCTGGACCTGCAACTCCAGCTCTCACATTCCTGTCACCCCATTGCAGAGCTTGTGCATTTGCCAGGGATGGATATGTGCACATGCATCTCTTTGTGCTACTCAGCGTTTTTTGGGAAGGATCTGTGGCATGCTTCTCTGGTTGTGCTAGTCACTAATTTAATGGCAGGATCTCTGCGCATGCATCCCTTTGTGCTAGGCAAGATCTCCAGGTCAGGACGTGTGCGCACACATGCAGGCGATCATGTTGGTGGAATCTGTAGATGGGCAGAGTGCGCTGCTGGGCAGACCACGCTCGCTCAGCAGGAGGGGCCCTGTCCTGACCTGCCTCTCCGGCTTCATCGAGCAAGGAGAGTCCATCGAGGAAGCGGTGCGCATGACCAAGATCCTGTACCCGATTGCCAGAGTCTTCTCGATAAATATCCTGGAATCAGGCAATGCGCCAAGTTGTGTCATCTCAGTACACAGGGCTTGTATCGAGGAACATTTGAATCACTGTTACAGGTGAAGCGAGAGGTGAGGGAGGAGGCTGGCGTGCAAGTGGGCGCTGTTCAAATCCTGGGATCGCAGCCCTGGCCTGTCGGTGTGCCCCTGCACCTGACCTCTACTGCCGTGACATTTTACAAGCATGATTGAGGAAGGATCATTGACTTGATCAGGCACATGCCATGGCTCGCCGCGATCTGGCGCAGAACTGGACATGCTGTTGGGCATGCCGACTGTGCCTTGCAGCCACCAGAAGATTAACTTTGCCTATGGAAATGCTGGTGCTGGGAGATGAGCATCGGCGTTTTGGTTGCAGGCCGCGGCGGCTCTTGTGAGCTGATGATAGGGTGCGTGGCCAAGGCCACCAGCGATGAGCTGCATGTGGACAGGAGCGAAATGGATGAGGTCAGGTGGATCCACCGGGACCAAGTGGCCAAGGCTGTGCAGAGCAGCTCCAATGCTGACAACCCCCTGCTGGGTGCGGCCGACCTCTCTCGCAACTCTTGACATCACATCACTTGAACTGGGTTTACAAACATTCAGACGGCCCTTAATGAAGGGCTTCAGGACATTTCCAGCACTCAGTGGCTATTGCTCTCTGCCAGAAGGCTGTCGGAGATATATCGTCGATGTGACAGAGTTTGCTTTAACTGATCAGATGAAGGAATGGTGCTGGTTGTAGGCGGAGATGCCAAGCTTGGTGCTGATCTGGACTTCTTTGTTCCACCGCCGTGGGCCATTGCGCATCATCTCATCAAGCTGTGGGTCGAGCAGCCGATCGGATGGTTCTCTAAGCTTTAGCAAACCTGCCATGCTCATGCTTGAGTACACCGCCAAATCTAGAGGAACGTCTGGTGAAAGACTTGTGTCTTCAAGGCACGTCTAGTAGATGTTATATGTCTAGTGGTCACACCCACATCAGGTTGATTCCTTTTACGACGATTCTACTCCAACTTGTCAGATGGCTTCAACAGACAACTAAAGGCACTTGAGTCCCCATGGCGGGAATCACAGAGTCAGATTTTTTTTATAGAACTCATCAGTCCATTTGGACATGTACAATATCCAGTGAATACGTTAGATATAGGAGTACATTGTTATGAGTGATGCTCAATACAGCATCTCACAATTTGAAAGAACGGGTGGTGCACATTCAGAGAATAAAAAGGTGGCACAATCTAGGCCGCCATAGCGTTTGCGTGATGGTCGCCTCTGGACGCCCCATCCTGTGGCAGGACCTTGTAGGGATTGAGGATGCCATTTGGATCGAACACCCTCTTGATCTGTCCCATCAACTTCACAGCTTCCTGGGACTTGGTGTACCTGCACCCCACCAGCATGCATTGTTCAGAGTCTACGCACTAATCTTTCAGACTTTCCTGCACTAACAGCTCTGGACAATGCGTGCATCGCCACTGTTGTGCCATCCTTCAAGCATCCAGACAGATGACAGATTGTCACGCAACAAATTCATCGCTCTGCTGACATCATTGGGTGCCCAACAGTTTTCAACACCTGCAAGCAATCCCAACGACAATGACAGCAGAACGGCCTCAGCTTATGTGCGCATTATAACCACATTGCAGCCCCTCACCCGATGCAGTCCGCCTTCATCTGGCCGAGGCCGTGCTCGGCGCTGACGCTGCCGCGGCGCGCGGCCGTCCACTCGTACACGAACGGCTCGATGTGCTTCAGGATGTTTTCGTCGTAGTGCTTGGTGGAGATGTTGAGGTGCAGATTGCCGTCCCCCAGATGCCCGTAGCCCACCACCTCCACTGGCAGCCCCGCCAGCCGCTGCCGGGTCTCTTCCACCAGACTGTACATCTCCGGCACCGGCATGCTCAGGTCATACTTGTACACCGCGCCTGCCGGTGCAGCACAGACCCCTCATGAGAATCGGCCCTCGGTGTCCCTCATGGATGTTGCAGGGTGCAGCCTCAAGGTAAGGACATATTGACCCTCCTGGTGCATGGCCATGGAAGGACGCAGCGACTCTGCGCATCAGAACGACCAACATGCAAGCAAGCTCCACAAAATGCCAGCCGCAATTGAAGAAGGTCTGGGCAAAAGGGAGCCTTCCCGCTGCATGGCGCGCTTCAGATGCATGACACAGTCGATCCACTCATTCTGTTTGTGGCGATGAAAGAGAGCTGCTGTTCTACAGCAACTAACAGGAGTTTGCTGTCGAGGAAGGGATGGCACCTGCGTGCTTGAGGGCGACGGAGATGCCTTCCCTGAGGCCCCAGATGGCGGCCGTCTGCGTGCTGTCTTGCGCTATCGTGCCGTCCAGCACCCACCCCTCCTCCATCACCTCCTCCAAGAACCCCTGGACCCATTAATAAATCTCCCTTCACACCACTGGGACCAACATGTATACAGCCAACAGCCACGACCCGTAAGGGTGCACTGGAAGGTTGCATCTGATGCCTCCGCTCCAGTCTCGAACAGCCATCACGCATGACTGGAACTACCCTGACAGGGATTGCTGAGCATGGGTACCTTGCACAGGCTTGAGAGGGGGGGAGGGGGGAAGTACAAAGAGGAATGTGGTCATGCCAAGAGTGAAGGCCACCAGGGGGATGCTGGGGGCCTCCGTGGGTATGCAGGCAGACCCGGTTGTCAGCCGTGTGTGGCCGGCGGCCCTTCCGGGCCGCCCCGCACAGATCTCTCTCGGCAGCGGAAGTGGGGGGTCCACTGATTGCACCAGTGGACCCCAGGCTATTGAGCTGCCTTCATAACTAAGATTTTTCATATGCAGGTCCACTCCCTCATCATGAGAGACTCTGTTTCATAAGACTGTGCTCTCTCGAACACCACCACGCTGTGGGGACCAACAATCATCTATGCTTGCAGGCTTTTGAGAAGCTTTCATTGCAGCGTTGTCACTTGCATTCCCAGTCCCCGTCCAAGAGGAGACTGCGCTCACATCATTGTACCACTGCATGACTAATGAAGGCCATTGTGCAAGGTGGAGAGATCCCGACCTCCATTTTTTCATAGTCGTGCGCCTCATTGCTGCCGGAGGTCTCCACCACGAGGTAGAAGGGCGTTTGGGTGTCTGGCAGGGGGTTGCGCACGCCCTCCAAGTGCTCCAGGGTGAGCTCCAGCGACTGCTGGTCCAGGAACTCGAAGGCCGACAGGATCTCACCCAGCTTCTGCCGCGCCCTCACAAATACCTACACACCACCCTCTTCAGTGGCTGCTGGGGTCATTACCTCAATTGTACCCACAGAAACCCAAGATGAAGTCTGTCATTCCAAGTAAGCCAGGGTAAAGGGTAAGGGTAAGAAGGCATCCCTTGATGCTCAAAGAAATGTTGTCACGCCATTGGAAGGCGTTTAGCATGGCGGCATCCTAGAGATGTGAATACTAGTATCAGCAGCAAGGGCGCACCTTTTGGATGGTTGCAAAGTCTGGGACTGCGAGGTAGCTGACGTGCACCGCCGACGGCCGCGGCGGGCACAGGATGGAGACAGCTGTGACCACGCCCAGCGTTCCCTCCGCACCTGTACCATGCCAATAAGGATCAAGTTAGGTTTTTCTCCTTAAGTTTGTCAATTTTATTGGTTATGAAGTATATCTATCTATAAAGGAGATAGTGCCCGGCAATGCTTTTGTTGCGGTGTGGAATGGTCGGGCAAGCGCACCAATGAAGAGCTGTTTGAGATCGTAGCCGGTGTTGTCTTTGCGCAGCGTTTGTAATGTGTCGACGATTGTCCCATCCGCCAGCACGGCCTCCAGCCCCAGCACTGTGCCGTGCAGGCTACCGTACCGCAACAGCCGAAGCCCACCTGGCAGCCATCGCAGATCACTCTTCAAGACTACTTTTGTTGACTACTTATTACTGTGGCCACCATGGACAAAGCAGTTGAGAACAATCACCGCTGTACCAGAACCATCTAATGAGCCCTTCAAATGTAATGCCCACACTCGCTCAACACCGCCCAATGCACATGCAAGCGAGATAGTCCTGCCACCACTGATTCTACTGGGAGTAGAGGGCGATGTTGGTCATGCAGAAAGAAGGCCAAGCAGCGCAGAGTGAATTTTGTGTCTGGCGCACCGGCATTGGTGGAGACGTTGCCGCCAATCTGGCAGCTGCCCTTGGCGCCCAGATCAAGTGGCATGGTGAATCCATGACCCCCCACATGGCGGTCCAATTCCTCCAGAATGCACCCAGACTCGCACACCAGCGTCCCGCTTACCTGCCAGACACAACACGGCAGCTTAATTGTCCTCTCTATGGGGACATGCAGCATGTTTGTGAACAAGGTTCTGATATGTAGTGCAGCGTTGGAGAGGGTGCGCACCTCGTCAAAGGAGATGATACGATTTAAATTGGTTGTGGTGAGGACGATCTCATCGAAGAGAGGTACGCTCCCTCCTACCAATCCAGTATTGCCTCCCTGCCAGCACATAGAATCCTTCATATCAAAGTTGACCAGGGGTGCATCAATTTGAGCGCGAGGAGAAGGGAACACGAAGAGGTGCAATGACTATGCCCACCTGTGGCACGACGGCCAGTCTCCTTGCATTGCAGTGCGCGAGTATCTTGGAGACCTGCTCTGTAGACTTGGGCCGAAGGGCAACAGTGCTCTTCCCCTCGTACTTCCCCATCCAGTCCCTGTCATCAGGGTATCCCTCAATTGGCAATGGGGTCAGACTACTTGATATCCTTTGACATCATCATCAAAGTCACTTTGCATCTTTTCAAAAGGTAAATGAAAGACACACTGGTTCAGAGCTTGCAAAGCTGTACTGTCGGTGATGACCCCGGTGTCTCCAAGCAGGCCGCGAAAGTAATCAATATCACTGCTTTCAACCCTTGCATAGCTGGGATCCCGAATCAGGGGCATTGTGGATCCATGACGCACAGCCCACCACCCATGCAGGCCGCTCGCTTTTGCGAGTCTCTGTGCTATATTTCTAGCAAGCATACTAGGAGTTGGACACTTCACATGTGGGAATCAAAGGGTGACTAAGCTCGCGCAGATCATTCAGAGCACGATGAATATGCTGTTTCCAGATCTCTAGTCCAACAGATCAGACATCGAGAAGCCAGGACGAAGAATTGCTTGGCAGAATCTAAATTTCCCAATGGATAAAACATACAGGTTACCAACTAGCACTTCGATTCTGATGATCTTGCATTCGTCTGCTGAGAACGTGCAGTTGACTTGAAATCTTCCATGTCGACCCTTTCCTCGGCTAGGGTCGACGTCATAATAGTCCCCTCCTGGCCCAAAGTTGTTACTCCAGACAGATGCAGAAGGTCATCGATTTAAGCCTGGCTGTCCATCACTATTGAAAGGTGCCAGAGATATTCAACGTCCATCTTCATCAGTATATAATTTGCACATACTTGATGGCTCGTGACGGATGGCATGGCTTTACTGGGTAGCAAGCGAACCCACTAGTTCATGGAAGCACCGCAATATATTGTTAAATGGTCGAATCTGAAATAGATCCACGGCGTGCTGCGGCGAGCAGGGCTTTCTCAGGAGCTATGTCGGGGTAAGTGGCATTCTGAATGATCTCTGAACTGTCTTTCAGCATCGATGACACCTGTGCGGTGGCCACTGCAGATTGATGCTTCCCATCCTCTTATTGTCCTCCTGTTCAACTGATGGACCTGGAGCTACTGCGCTGATTGTGATTTTATTTTGAGCAGGTTGAGGCATAGGGAGTTGAGCCAGGCTGACCTGCGAGAATTTGATTATGAGGTGTCCAGAACCAAGCACTCGGCAAACCGGGAGAGTAAAGTTGAAAACACGATCGAGGTAATGGATCTGTGAAAAGTGAGATTGATGCACTCAATGAAGTAGGACGTGCTTTCCCTCTCAGATTCTTTTTGTGACTGCAGGACTATGTGGTCAAATCAGAGGAGAAACGATTGTCTCACGAGTCCAGCTCCATGCTGTGCGTCTGAGTCCCTCTTCGATGCATTTATGGTTCTGCATCATGTGTGGGTCATGCATGTCATGTCAGCAAATGTTGGCGCACAACAAACCGGTCTCACATCATGCTAATGTCTGCAGGCGGGACCTGCTTGACATCAGTCCTCTGGTACAAGATGCAGCGGCCGCAATTGTGGATGACTCATTTCTGCGCTGCTTCCAGTCCCAGTCGACTGACCCCTGGAACTGGAACATCTACTTGTTCCCCTTGTGGGCTGTGGGCATGGTTGTCCGCTACCTAATACTCTTTCCTTTGAGGTGAGCCATCCTGCACTCTGTTGTGTGAATTTGGCGCCTATGTCCGTCAAATACAGTAATGTCAATTGCTTCACATACTCAGAATTGATGCAAAATGTTGTGCTCTGCAGGCTGATCGTACTGCTGGGCGGCTTCATCATCTTCTTCATTTTGTTCTTCGCTGTCCATGCAATCTTCAAGGTGGGCCTCCACTCATCGTCCATATTATTCCGTTATTCCAGGCGGTGCAACGCAATGGGCACACTGTCAAATAGAAGGAAAGCCTCGCCAGGCAACCCCCTTGTGCGCAATGGCACTTCTGAGCCCTTAACCTTATCTCTGCACTCCTTACGGGCAGTGTCTGGGCCTTAAAGTGGTGCAATGCTATGGCACCTGGATGTACATTCTTAGGGTGCCTTTGACACATAATGGGCCCATCAAAAATCACATTCAGCGCCCAGATTGTACTATCTGAGCACTCACCCTGCCAACACAGCTCCGCGAAAATGCATCACCACATGAGACTGAGAAGTGACCACTTGCATGGCGTGCAGTCGGACCATGCGCGGCGGTCGCGCTGGGAGCAGTCGCTGGTGCAGTTCCAGTGCCAGATGTTTGTGGCCTCCTGGACAGGAGTGGTGCGCTATCACGGGCCGCGCCCGGTCAACCGCCCCAACCATGTGTGGGTGTGCAACCACACGTCCATGATCGACTACATCATCCTGTGCGCCTACTCGCCCTTCGCCGTCATCATGCAGCTGCACCCCGGCTGGGTCGGCTTCCTGCAGACCCAGGTCCTCAACTGCCTCGGCTGCCTCTGGTTCAACCGCACCGAGGCGCGCCCCTTAATTGAGCCCGCCTCCTTCCTCTGATTTGCATACTGCAGCAAGCTTCAAGGATGTCCAAAATTTGCCGAGGTTGAAAGCCCACCTGTGCACAGAGCACCCCGCAGTCTATTCACCATGGCTGCCAAGCAGGATTCAATCTGCGTTTGAATGCGTCTTGCTCCGCGACCATGGCGCCAGGACTGATCGTTGCTGCACAGGTCCTTACCGGACAGTATATCGACTGTGCTGTCCTCATTCCCATCACCCTTTGTCACTTTGGCTCATGCTTTGTCTCTTTGGCACATGCTTTGCTAATCAAAAGCAAGATGTAGACACATGCTACTATCATATGGAGTTAAAAGGCGTCAACATTGCTGCAAAGCTCAGGTGAAGGATCGGCTGATAGTGGCGGAGCGCATGAAGGCGCACGTGCAGGCGGCCGACACGACGCCGCTGCTGATATTCCCGGAGGGCACCTGCGTGAACAATGAGTACTGCGTCATGTTCAAGCGCGGCGCCTTTGACCTGGGCGCCACCGTGTGCCCCATCGCCATCAAGTACAACAAGATCTTCGTCGACGCCTTCTGGAACTCCAAGCGCCAGTCCTTCACCGCCCACCTGGTGCAGCCCCCTCCCAGCCTGTCATCACGTCCCCTGCAACAAATCGTTGCATTTTACAGCCAGCAGCAGGGCTGCAGTACACACCAATATGATGCTGTCCTTTCGGGCGTGGCATCACGGTCATGCATGCTGATTCCCTCACCGTGGGCCACCTGCTTCGGCCGTGGCAGGCGACTTGATGTCTCAAGGAGCTCCTGTGTGAGTGCATGCACTGCTCAGAGCGGAGGCAAAGCACAACCGCTGCATTGGATGGTGCCTGCACAAGCAGTGAGGGCTAGCAAGGTGGTGAAAACATTGCAGAAGTTTAGGGTCGTGGGGGTAAAACAAGGGTGGAATGCGCGCGCGCAGGGGAAGCTGATGACGAGCTGGGCGGTGGTGTGCGACGTGTATTTCCTGGAGCCGCAGACGAAGCTGCCGGAGGAGAACGCGCAGCAGTTTGCGGAGCGCGTGCAGAAGATGATTGCCGAGCGCGCCAAGCTGCAGGTGGCGCCCTGGGACGGCTACCTCAAGTACTACACCCTCGGCGTCAAGGTGCGCTGGCTTCCCCTCAAGTCACGGCAGTGCCTTGCCCTGCACTGCTCGTGCACTCTGGTTAATTCTGACTGTCCATGTAAAGAGTGTGATGAGAGAGCCTTCCGAGAGTCTGACTGCGCTTGTGCCCCCTGTCTTGCCCATTGTGCTCGTGGGGCTCTTTCTCGTTGGTCAAGAGTACATGCAGTCGATACATCAGCAGCTTTCCATGAGGCAGTGTTAGTGGGTGCATCCGTCTGTGTTTGAGTGGGTTGTATGGTGCCAGAAAGAGTGACATGCGTGCATTGGGGACAGAAAGGGGGGTATCAGGGAGTCAGACGTCCTGAGATGACCATCGGGCCTCGCTGTGGACCGCACTTCCTCCTTTGTCTCAGATTTGATGTATGGTGCAGCACCCGGACCTGATCGAGAAAAGGCGCAAGGTATTTGGAGAGCGCATCGCCCGCTATATCCGGCCGCAGCCGCCGGCGCGGCCCCCAAAGCCGCCAACCAATGCCCTGAATGGCACAGAGGGGGCGCGGCAGCGGCCAGTAAGCCGGGCCACGACATGAAGCGTGCTGCAGGTCTTGTCATGTTGGAACACTGGTCACGAGCGAGAGAGAGAAGAGAGGCTTTCATTGGTTGTGCCCTCATGTCTCTGTCAGTTGTGGCAGACAAGCGGAAGCAAGGGTGAGAATGGCCCGAGTTGCCCAGTGCTCTGGGTGCATTTGATCATGGGGTTGCCCCCAAGCTGTGTAGATTGCACCACTTGAATAATTTCTGTTATTGGTTGTGTTGCTGAACAGGGTCTTTGTCCGCAACTTGCATTAAAATTTGTTGGGACTTGTAATATATAGAAAACCTTATTGAGAAGGGTACTCTTTGACATATGTCGGAAATGGTTGATAGTTTAGCTGCGCTCCCAGTTGCCACACTTGTAAACTGCTTGAATATGGGATTGCATGTGGCCACCGCACAAAAAGGACCAATGCAAAGCGCTTTTATCCACCTTGCAATCTATTGGACCGTACAGATCATGATCAAATGTCCATCATAGAGTACAGTGAAAATGAAATTTAGGTTGTCAAGGTCGAATCAAATGGCCGTGCGCATTGGTAATAAAATGTCGTCAAATTTCAAAGATGCTGCAGAGGCGCATGCCTGCAGTGCATCCAAATTTAGATCAAGTTTGATCAGATTTAAATCAAATACATTCAAAATTGCCGATGTTCACGTACATCCCTTGATCTTTCATCTTTGGTGCTGTTTGTGGCGAGCCCCTTGTAAGCTTGCTGCACAAGGGCCAATATATGCATCGGGGGCTGCCAGTGGCGGTCACAGGTACCCTGATGCGTCGCTGTCATCGTCGGGGTCTTGCTGGGGCACCTGCTTCCTGGGCCTCTCCTCGATGGGCACGCCATAAGCCCCGCTCATTGCCGCGAGCGCCTCCTGCCTCTGCGGCCTCTCCTTGTGGTGCTTCTTGCTCTTGTGGTGCCGCTGCAAACACATCCCATTGATCAGATCGCGCAGCATTCCACAGCCTTGTGTGCAATGCCGTGTAGCACTGAACACCTCTCCTTTTTGTGCGCCATCAGCAGCCGCATCAATTTATTGTAGTTCGTTGCTGAAGAGGGTGAGTGTCTTGCAAGACAGACGTTGCATGCAATTCACTGTGCCACTTCTTCCCTCATCCATGAGCAATGGCAAAGCCGCAGCACTGTATATCCCCTGCATGCTACACCCCGTCTCGGGGTGGGTCCACAGGGCGGGTCACCTTGGTGGGGGTGCCGTCCTGCTGCAGTGACATAGGCGCTCCCGGGCTGGACTGCGCGCTGTGATCCATCGCGTCACTCTCGCCCGGCAGGATGAAGCTGTGCGTGCTCAGCGGGCTGTCCAGCATGGTCACCGGCTCCTGTCATGCAAACCGATTGATTACTCATAGTGATGATCCACAGAAGTACTGCTGCATTAACGGGGAACACAGCATGTAACAGGAGGGGAATCCGAGTAGATACTTCCTACTGGGACAACCCCTGGGTGGACCCGGCAGAGACACAGCCGCAAGAGAAGGATTAAGCCTATACTCAATTTTGGTGTGGACCCACAAATGCAGTTGCTGAGCAGATCTTCCTCAAGCACCCTCACTACCTAGCGCATGCTGCAGGAGAAGCAGCATATGCAGCTTATCTAGCAAGGCCTCTAAAGCAGGGACAATCCATATACCGCACGACTATCTGCCAAAGGCTGGTGTTTGAGCTGCAGGGCTGTATTCATGTTGCCTACCTTGTGCAGAGAGCTGCAAAGGAATTAGCAACGTTGGGGCAAGGGTGGAGGAGGAGACCTCACCAGGAGTGTGTGGAGGTGGCTGGGGCGCTGCAGGGGGCTGGAAATCTTGGCAGAGAAGTCAGTGGACGAGCGCAGCAGCGGGTTGGAGGCCAGAGATGAGCGCATGCTGAGCGTGGATGATTTCCTGCTGGGCGGCCCCAGAGAGGGGCTGCGGCTTAGCGAGTCCTCCTCTGCGATGCTGCTAACATTACTCACTTGCGCGCCGGGCGGCCGGTAGAGGGATCGCCCCAGCAGCCCAGACGACGTCTGCTCCTGCTGCTGCACACCGCTGCAAAGCAAAGCAGAGTTCCATAAGAAGTTGCTCGATCGGCCCAGAAAAAAGCTCATCCAGCATGCCGTTGCATGACTCATGGCCCTGGTTTGACTTGAATGTGGGTGTGACGCATGCTAGGAACCAACGGGCATATTCGGCCTCTGTCCAAGACAAGCAGCTCTGCAGTCGCATGGGCTGCAAATCGCCTTGCACAATGAACGCCCCTCCTGCGTGCACACCTTGCACTGCAAATGATGGCGGGCCCTTTGGTGGGGCCCTCAAAGAGCAATGATGTTTGTTGTAAGAATTCTATGCAGATGCCCCTCATGTCTTAGTCGGGACAAGCGCGCTATACCCCGCATGGATATCGATGGTGTGTTCTGCAGGGGCATGCGGCATGTCACTAACGGCCTCCTTGACTGCGGTCTTGGCGCTGCCAGCAGCCTTTTGAAATGCTGCCACAGCCTTGTCGGCCAGCTGCATGCTCGCCGCATCCCCGCTGTCCCGCAGCACTCCGATGCTCCCCTGTGCGCACCAGCCCTGCCTCAGAAACTCCGTGCTGCTGTCAGACTGTCCCGAGCCAGTGCGACATCATGGCCTCAAATAGTGCTGTCGCTTCCTGCTCTCCTTCGAAACCGAGTTTCCGGGTCGCAGAGTTACGGATAACTCCTGCATGGCTGCAAGAGCAGCCACCTGTGTGTCCTGGCATCTTTGTGAGGGCCCTATAAGCAGCGCTGTGTATAGTTTCTCCAGAGGCAGGATAAGCAGCACCTTCCATCGGTTGCCCATTGGTCTCAGCTACTTCTGTAAAGGCAGTACAGGTGAATGAAAAGCAAGCGGTGGGTGCAGGGGCGCACAGCGAGGGCGTTGGCGTGCAGCGTCAGGGGCCGTCCCTCCTCCAGCAGCCGCAGCTGATCCGCGAGGCTGGAGCGTGCTGCGCGGACGCGCGCGCTCTGCACGCTGCGCACGCTCTCTTGCCGCAGCAGCGCTAAGAGGCTGATCACCACCGGCGCCGCCATTGATAGCAGGGTCACAATGGCCTGCACGCCCAAATTTGGACTCGCTTCATCCAGAATTGTATCAGATTGAGAGCTTGCCAGCTGGCCAAGTGCTCTTCGGTGACCACATTTGTCATCTTGATTCAAGATGTCGCCAGCATTAGTCATTGCTGACATGTGTCAGCGGCACATGCGGCACTTGCATCAGTCAACATTGGCCGCATCTCTGCCCCACCCATTGTCAGCTGCCAAGAGCTTACATAGAAAGCGCACAGACTATACTCTAGCAGACTACTTCTTTGATGGCCATTACACCCTTGTCATGCCCCGCACATCTGTCATGAGGTATCTCCAGAGATGTTGGGTTCGCACCGTCACAGCGACTATAATTCTGTTGCTGTCAAACTTGGTGCAGAAGTTTGTGGACGGCGCGCTGCACCCGGCACACCCCGGTGCAATGTCCAGATCCGCCTGCAAGTCAGGAAAAATTAGTAATTTTGAGCAACAGATGCCGGCACATGTTCTTGGCGTGCTGCGACAAGCTGTAAGAATTGAGGTCAGCGTTTTGAGCGAGGCTGACCCGCGTGCAGAGGTCCGCAGCAGCACATGCGCAGGATGAGCAGCCTGAAAAGGCAGCCTGGTGCATTGTGCATCTGCAAGGAAAGCAACACAAGATCTTCAGTTCTTACCGTGCCAAACCTCTGTGCAAATTAGAGCTGCCCTTTCACCAGCACCAGCACGAGCTGCCATTGCCCCGCAGCCTTGGGTTCTCTGATTGAAAGCGGAACATCAGTGTGACACGCGTATAACCAGTGTGCGCATTTCTGTAACGTGATGAAGGTCAGATGAGGCCAGCCTCTGCACCTGAACTCCAGCAGAGCAAAGTTTGCGGCATCATGCGCTGTCAGGGCAGCAGCTGCAAGTCCCCCCAAGACAACATGCAAAGACAGCCATCCAGCATTCCCGCTTGCCAGAGCAATGATACCCTGCACAGTGTGTTTTATCTTAGCTGGCAGCTGCAGCATCTCCGAAAGGGTGCAATCATCAGGCAGGGGATATCTGATTTTAGAATGGTAAGGATATGGTGGGGCAGAATGCACCAGCAATCCAACCAGTGTGGATATCCCCCAATGGACAAATGACTCTATGGACCAGCGCATGTGCCCATTGAACACCTGCATACAGACCTCACGATGAGAAGGAAACAGGGGGTTGACTAGGGAGCTTGACCTTGAACAGTTTTGTACATGATTTGGAAGGCACACAGAGGCCAGAAGAAGGTAGCTCACCCATAGAAACGTCAAAGCTGGTAAGACTGCAGCTGCTGCGATTTGAATGATACACACGAAGAAGCCCTGCACACGAACAGGTAGGATGTTTCAGGAGGATGTTCCCAGGTTCCGACACCCCAGATTTGTGCCAGAAGTCCTTAAGCAGAGATCGATCTGTTCTATGATCGATCTAAAGAATATAGATGATATCGCTCACACAAAGACTAAGGCTGTCCAGCGGGGCTGAGCGTCTCCTCTTCGACCGAGCACCCACGCGGTGCACACGGAATCTCATGTTGTCAAAGCTGTGTTGAATATATTAATCAAAGGCTACAAAACCACTTCATCTGCTTTTTCTTTTCGGCGGGAGAGCTCCAACCAACCTAGTTTTGTCGAGTGCAGCCTGCTGTTCATTCTAATTTTAGGTGGTGAAAATTGCCCGCTGCCCGATCTCTGGGCACTGCATTTGGGCTCAACATTTCTGGCGCTAGAATTTCGAATTGAAGAGGTTGCAGAACTCTACGCCCTGATCGCTGCATGTCAAAGACGGACGCATTGATCAAGTAACGTCTTATTCACATCAGAGCGACAACGGCTTGCCGTAGACAAAGGGTCGTGGAGGCGTTCTCCACACGGAGATATTGGGAGGTTTTATTTGTGCTTCCAGGAAAGCTTAATGCCCGAGTTGTTTTCAAAGGTACATCCAGACTAACATCAACGTCATAGGTCCTGCGAAATACTGTTTGGGCAGCGTGCTGGTCAGTCTCTCTGTCACGGCATCTACCGTGTTCCACCAATCTCACTCTTGCTTTATCCAGAGCTGCATGCAGCACAATTGCATGAGAAGTCGTGAGATTTTGTCAGTTGAGCAAACACACTATTAATCAATCTGATCCTGACTTAACCACGTATATTGCTGTAAAGCAGGGAAGCATCTTGACGTGGAAGCCCAGCGAAAGAGGTCTAATAAAGAAGACCGCGATGAGCCAGCAGGCGCTCTTTATGACGGCAGTGCTGATAACCTTGCTGTGCATCAGTGCACCTGCTATGATAATGGGTCAGCACCCTCGCAGAGCCGCTAGGGAACTACAACAAACAGGTCCTCTACACAGGCACCTGGCCGCAGAAGCGACAACTAGATTCTCCTCAAAGATCAGCAGAAAAGTCGTCAATGTGGAGGAAACAAGTCATGATGAGGAAGATGAAGGCATGCAGCTGAGCAGTGGCTTCCCACAACATGGAGACATGAACTCAGAAATGGCAGGTGTGGTATTGCTCAATGCTGCACAACCATGCGTGACAATGACTCTCAACAGAAATTATCATGCACAGCTTCTGTGCTCTGTTCCAAATAAACCTACACTGCTGCCAGGACTAGACTAGATAAGCAGCATGCCTGCTGCCTCTCCACCTCTCACAATCTCCGCACCTGCATGAGCTGCAACCTCTGCCGAACATACTCAATCTCTGATGCTCCTGTGCAGACCTTGGAGCAAGCTACTGGACGGCAGAGGATGCTGGTGTGGATGAAAGCATGGCTAAAGGGGATCAGGGGAGTGGCCGGGCAGGCGCCAAAGAGAGGCCAGAATACTGGTCCAAGTTTGGCATCGTGGGCGCGCCTCAGGCCATTCTTTACTACTCCTCTTTCGTTGTCTTCTCGCTGTTCATGTTTAGGAACAGCAGCTCAGGGACGACGGTCATGCCCAAGTCTGGGTGATGGCAGGAGGCTCATATTTCTGTTGCCAGATTACAAAAGCATGTTGTTGCGCATGCTTCCCGGTTTGGGAAAAGTTGTGCTGGAATATGCTTGGGACATCCCAGGCAAGATAGCTCGTGGTTCATGTTGGAAGAGCAGTCTGATGATTTCAGTTGAGATTGACTGCAGTTGTAGAGCTGGAAGACACCGACTTTTGAAGATGCAAGACATGCAGTGTCTGGAATGCACAGATGCCCGATCAAGACTTGCTGCAGCTAGCTGAGAAGTGCTGTTGAAATCACAGTGACCTCACCTTGGCACAAAATCGGCATGCCTGAGACATTATCTTGATCAAGCGGATATTCTCGAATCCACCTATAATAGTATTTAGCATGTCACAATCAGAGCTTTGTCACAGCGTGAAGCTCAAACGTCACGTACAGACCGATGCACTCGTACACATGACTGACAAGCGCAGTTCTAGCGTTTTGTGAACGACATTGATAGTAATAGAATAATTGAAAGAAGACCCAGCCATAGTCTCAAGATTGAGAGCTCCCAAGTCTCCTTGTATGGCGCCAATTGCACCATGAGATACTTTAGTATAGCTCCCTGGAACCTCAATTCTAGCGGACGCCTGGTTCAACTAGTTGTCCCTATTCAGATCAACTCTCTTATTGCGCTAGCGCAGTGAGAGCTTGTCATCAAATCAAGCATCGCCGGTTCAGAAGATGGATCTTCAGCACACAACCACGATAGAGAAAATATGCAAACCTTGACCTATGCAGTGCCCTGTCCAACAATATCCCAATCAATGAGTTGTATCAGCCACACATTGACCAACCACTGTCATCGGCCGCCTGCCTTGCTGTCTAGAACAGACTTCTTGGGGCCGCAGCACCCTCTAGTTGGTGCCCCTATACATGCCTGGTCACCCCCTTCTGCAGACAGAACTGAAATTTGTTCAAAAGTGATGCAAGATATCATGTCATGCGAGGACAGTGCACGTACATAATGTAATTCACCATGGAGTTTGCGCACTGTGCTTGTTCCTGTCGTCCCCCAGTGACTAGGCTGTTTGCGCCGCTCTGGCCATCAGCAAAGTGTCCAGCAGGAAGAAATCATACGTCCAGTACTTGGGAACGACAGTCATCCGACAGAGGCCCGGCTTTGCCGAATCCATATGGGAAATAAGTAATGCCCAACAAAATCACCGCCGCCTCCTATGCAGCGATGCGGCACTCACAACAGCTCAGCACGGCAGTCAGCGGCCGAGGCAGCGCGCACGCTTTGATGCACAGGAGAATGCTGGGCTCTTGGAGCCCATATGAGCCCTCCCAGATGCAGAGACATGTTCTCTGCACGCGGCAGCTCTGAAGGGCGGAAGCCGCAGCCGGCGCCGGCAAAAAGCAGCCAGAAAATGACGCCAGGGACCCCCTTCAAGAGCTGCCGCCAGCTTGCGGCGGATAACTACAGCCTAGCTGCTGGCCCAAAAGCCTGGAGTATACAGCGCGCCTGGATCAAGACAGCGCACAATGCTTCGGCTCTTCATGCGCCCCAAATGCAGTCCGGGGCGGCATGCCACAAGCGGCACGCCCGCCCCGTCATAAAAACTACTGAAAAAAGTTCCATCCTAAGCATGCATCCCCCACCGGCTGAGCGCGCACGTGCGCTCGGCAGCCCGGCCCTTGCTGCTGTCATTTACAGCAAGCCTCAACACAAAGATGCAGGGTGCCCGCTTCCGCAGCAAGGCACCCAGCGACAAATTCGCTGGGGTACATGTCTGACATGCCCTTAAGCCATTGCAACACACCCAGTGGTTTGTCCCTCAATTTTTTCGCGTTCCCACTTCTCACACTTCTGCACCCCAACGCTAGGCCTAGCCGCTACTCAGGAAAGCGCAAATTGCCAGATGCGCCGAGCCATGCTGCTGCCCTCAGTGCCAGGCATCACTCTTCCCCCGGAGCAGCTCCTGTGAGAGACTGCCCCACCCAACAAACCCTCTCAGCCGCTGAAAGCGACCGTGAGCTCATCGGGTCCTGCAAGGTAGAGAAGGGATGCTACGGCACCGGAATCTACTACTGCACCCCAACCTGCATCAACCTCTCCAAAGATAAAGATTGTAGAGACAGAAGCACTCGCTCACAACCTTGTCACCCACGCGCCAGGACATGTGCGCAACTGGAGGCACGCTGGAGCACGGACTCGCCAGTCATCACAAGATGTAGCCGACACGGACATGAACAAACGGAGGCTAGAGCGCTTCTGCAAGCTGCTGGGCTACAAAGGGAAAGCCACAAATGGCTGTCTGGAGTGTCAGTTTGCCCCTCAAAAATTTTAAAGACGCAGTGCAAGCAGCATCCAGGCGGCAGGAGCCTCTGAGCGGTCCTAAAAGCATCTGTCTAGGCTCTGCTGATCTCCAGTGTAAAGTCTACGAGCAGCGGCGGGGTCTGAGTAGCCGGGCAAGCATGCGTGTCACTGCTCCGGGTCGCTCTGGTGCTGGCTCGACTGGTGGGACTTGTGCGAATCCAGCGACGCCTGCGAGGGCAGCCCCGATGCCCTGCACAACAGATGGCCGTCGCAAAAGATCAGCATGACATTTCCTGCATGCTGGAACCCGCAACAACAGCTGGCAAAAATGGAGGCGTGCAATAAAACCATTATTGACAAGCGGGCAGTTCCTCTAAGGCCATGTCACAAGAAATCCTGAATGAAGGGTCTGACTGCGCTTGGGGACATCGCATGCCATCCTCCATCACAGTGACTGGCGCAGTGACGGCAGGCTTGATTACGCTTCTTGGCGGGGCAAGAGGCGTGCCTGTTCTGCGATCTTTGCTGGGAGCCGCTGCCGCCGCGGCGGCCGTGGGAACGGGCGGACCGAGCTGTGGCAAACTGCGGCTGGTAGGACTGCAGGCCCGGCTGCTGCAGCATGGGCTGCTGCAGCTGCGCGTACTGCGCCTGCTGCAGCTGCGGCTGCTGGGGGCCCTGCATGACTGCGTGCAGGGGCATGCCATAGCCCTGCATGCACAATGCTCAAGCTCAGCAACACCGTCAACTCAAAGACTTGCATGGTGGGATTCTTCCCGTGCACTGCAGGCCGCAATCTCCCCTGCTCAGATGGAGAGACGCCAGAAGACTCACTCTAAATCAGCCAAGAAGATCTTGATGGCAAGCCTTGGGCTTTAGATTACGAGTGCTATTTGTTACAAGCGAATATTATGCACACCCTACAAGCACCTCACAAACAGACAACAACCTGTAAATACTCCTGATGACAGTCTTGGTCTGAAGCCCCTGCATTGATGAAGTTGATGGAAGCTGAGATCACCTGAGGGCCTTGGTAGCTGCCGGCAGAGTGGTAGTCGGCATACATGGGCATCGTGGGGCGTGCGTGGCTTATGTGAAGCATGGGCATGGGGGTTCCCTCCATGCCCTGTCCCGGCTGCGGCGCAGCCGCCATGTAGCCGTAGGGCGGCTGCATCGCCATGTTGCCAATCGGCACCAGGTGCCCCTGGCCGTAGATGGGCATCCCCTGCCCAGCACCCAACAGTCACATCAGCGCTAGGCAAGTGCCAGGCACCAGTGCTGTGCTATGTCCCATGCACCATTGGGCTTGGCCTGCCGTTCGCACAGGGGCCGGCACAATGGACCACGTGGCACACTTGCAGCATGCAAAAGTTTACCAGTACCACAAAGTTTTACAGCCGCTGCTGCAATCCAGACTGGCTTGAGGTGAATAAGTGCAGGCAAAGCAAAGACTATTGGAATGAGACATGTCCTGTATAGAGCTGAGCAGGGGATATGAGCGCGCACCGGCATCTGGGGCTGAGAGGGCACAAAGGCGTAGCCGGGGGGTATCTGCATAGGATGCCCGTAGCCGGGCAGCGGGGCGACGTTGCCGACGGGCAGGAACCGGCCGGACTGCTGCTGCTCCGGCGGCAGCGGCAGCTGCATGGGCACCATCACCTGCGCCTGCGGCTGCTGCCCCCGGGACGAGCGAGCCGACGCCGATGCGCTGGGCGATCCCGGGTCCGACAGCGGCGCCACGCGCGGCCCCCTGCCGGCCCCCGGCGGCGGCGGCGGCTGACCCCCCGCTCCCAGGTAGGGGAACTGCATGCGTCAAACAGGCAACTTGGACAACGCCTTTCTGCCCTACGTACATACTTTTTTAATCACTTTCCATGCCTTTTTGGACCCCACCAATGTATCTTCAGCGGATATGCAAGGGGTTTTGCGTGCCATAGCACGTGTGCAAAAGCTTTTCATTTGCTCTGAGATTTGCTCTAAATGCAGACCAACACAGGGAGTGCAGTACTTCAGATGCATTGGAACAAGGGTGCTAGAGAAGTTGGCTGCTTGCCGAGCGACCTCACACCTCTGAGGAGAAGGTACGCTGCACGGAAGGGTGTGCCATGCCCTGCTCGCCGGGCCCAGGTCCAAACTGCTGCAGAGCCCTGCACACGCACCAGGGCTCCCCTCAAGACCCGCTCACAGCCACAAGTAGGCTCTCAATGGAGCAATCAGCCCCGGCAACGACAAGAGCTCACAGCTATGAGCAACATAAACATGTGTGTGCAGGCTTGTGCAGAGCGGGATTTGGCAAGACGCACTCCCGCTGGAAGTCTGGGCCAGGCAACGCCTCCTCCCAGCCGCGCAACAGGCCCTTCTTCCAGCTCGAGCCGGCGCCGCTGTCCTGCGGCCCCGGTCCCTTCCGTTGCTGGGCTGGCCCTGCAATTTCGCGCGCCAGGCTCCTCGACAAAGGCCCGCCACTGCCTGCAACGCCTGCTGCCACAAAACAAAGACCGTATGAGCCAATTATAAGCAAAGGCGGGCCCTGCTGTCCGGGCATATAGAGAGAAGCATGTATACGGATGTTGCGTCCCCCTTACACCCTCTAGAGCGACAGAAAACGTGACGGGGCACATGCACAGTATGCGGAGTGATATGGACATTGAGTATAACATCTGGAGCGGCAGCGCGGATGCTCGCACCCAGTCGTTTTAGTGAGATCCACCCTCAATGGTGGGATTGTGGAGACAGAAGGGTGCAAAGCACGGGCCGGACCTGGGCTTCCGCTTGTGCTGGAGTGGTGGCCGCTGGCGCGCCTCTCCAGAGATGGGCCCTCCGTGGGAAATGCGCGTGCCTTGGCCCTCTGGAACTCCTGCTGGCGCTCCAGCTGTGGCCTGTCGGACATCAGGTTGGAATCAAATCTCTCACCTCGGCACACTGATACATTTGTCTGTCGTGTTCTTGAGCAACAGGAACTTCATACAGTACAAGAAAAGGGAAGGCCCACTGTGGGATGGTGTTTTCAGGTCAGGATGAGGGGTGGTATCATCTTACCGTGTCTCCAAGCCAAGAGGCCCTTTGCCAGACTGTGCCTTGCCTTTGACGCTGCCGGGGCCTGCTCCTTCAAAGTTCCCGCTGTCCCATTTGGAGCCCTCTGTCCTGGAAGCCCTCGCTGCTTCAGCGCCTTCAAGGGCAGCACTGCTGGAGTCCAAGCTCTCCTTGCTGCTGCTGGCAGCGGGGCCTCTGCCAGGATCGCTGTCTGCAGAGCCTCTAGAACCCATGGAGGTTTTCTTTCGAAGCACCCTCGATGCATCAGAGCCACCACTTCTGGTCCGCGGAGTCACACGCACGGCGTCTGCAAGCTTCATCTGCAGTGAATGCCAAATGCCAATCAGGTTTTAGTCAAAGAGGAAAATCACATCAGGCATTACGACCAACAATTTAAAAAAGGATTTTCACGGAAACATCAAAATAAATTCGAGAGCAATCTTGGAAAAAATCCTGACCAGAGGCAGTCCGGTCCTCGAAGTTCTTCTGCCCATGATCTTCCCTTGCTGTGCACCCTCCTCAATGGTTGACGTCTCCAGACCGTAGAATTGTAGCACACGGTGCACTAAAAGCCGCTGCAGACAACAACAGACACATCAATGACCCCAAAGACTCCACCTTTAAGGTCGTTCAAAGAAGCATTCAAAGGACATGAGGGGCGTTGGGGGGACATGCCTGGAATCCTGTGAGGGACTGCCCGAACAAAAGCTCGCTTCTTGTGCTCTGCACAAATTGGCGGACCTCCTCCTCGACCCGCAGCACTGCGTGAACGACACAGGCAGTCGTGAGCCCAGGGGTGCGCAGCCTTGAACAAAGCAGAGCCAAGCGAGGGAGTTCAGGCTTCGCACCCAGCAGCCTGTGCTTCGGGTTGCTCAGAGCCTCCTGTATGGCCTCATCGATGCGCATGAGCGGCTCCGTCCGAGTGCTGGGACCGGCTTGGCCAGGACTGTCCTGATCAAGCCCTTGTCCTGCCTGGGTTGCCGCTCGTCTTCTGGATCTGGACACATCCCGCCCAGCTCTGTGTCACAACAGGCATTTGTTTGGACTGCAACACTTTCCATGCAGCGATTGATACCAAATACTCCACCATCCTCCCAGCGTCCAGCAACTAGACCACAGCGCTACCTGTCCGCCGCCCGTGATGGCAATCCCTCCCATGTAATAGCCACTGCTGGTTCGCCACATACCTGACTCGGGGAGCATCCTGAGCGGTCGCCGGCGGGAGAGGCTCGTTGCCTGAGGTCGAGATGGTCAGCGCCTCCAAGCGCACGGGGGCCAGGTCTTCCGCTGGTTCTTCATCCCCCGTCGCCATGTGCTCCAACCCAGCAGCACGGCCCGCGTCTCCTCCTAGGAAAACATCCGAAACATGACGAAATAGAATCCTCCCCTTGTAGAATTCGCGTCAGGCTTTGGCTTGGTGACGTCAAGACTGTGACTCGACCCTACCACCTGAGCACTGCATGATATAAAAACTCCCCAAGATTCCCCTAATAATATCGGGGTCAGAAGACGGACGCATCGAGAAGTGACTAATGAGAACGAGGAATCACCCCCTACATTCCACATTCCAATTGCTGCATCAGTGCTGTGTGCATCACGTCTCACGCAGTAGAACCCTTGCAGCCGAATCGAGCACACCCACATGTCCTTTTGTAGTGAGATTGGATTGCATGTCTGGCATTTCAGGATGTGATCGGGCAAGCATGATGCAGTCCTCGAGGAGCGCATTTGGCCGTAATTTCAGCCCTTTGTGGGGATCTCCAAGGCATGTATGAGGCTGCATGGAGTCCTTGGGTGCGATGAGAGCTCGCTTTGTTTGTACTGGCTGGCGTGTTGCTCATCAGTGAAGATCCTTCCAGTGACCTATGATGCCCTGCAGAGGCCACGTCGCCACCTTCGACACTTGCGAGGCGTGGAAGGACGTAATATTGCAATACCGTCACCCCACGAACTGAACACGAGCGCATGTTATTTCACTGCATGGCAGTACACTGGGGATGCCTCACTTCGGTGGGTGTACACCAGCGAGCAGGTATGCCTAATACTGCAGCCGTGTTTTATCCTTTCCTGGGATTCCAGTGTTTTGCTGAGGGATGAATTGTATCCAATGCATTTTTTGTGCATGCAGGTGTGCGGTGGCACTGCCCCACAGTGGGCCAGGCTGCAGCAAGAAGACTTGACAGAGGTGGAAAATAAATCGACGGACCGCTCGCTGTCAGGCCTGCTGCACATCCACCTGTACCTGGTCCCACGCAAGGCCGCACCTGAGCGTCCGCCCACCCCCGGCCCCGCCCATCCAACCATCGGCAGTGCGGCCGACGACGGCCGGCGCACGCCAGAGCTCGGGGGTCGGCGCGGCCAGCCGAGCCTGCTGGGGCTGGCCTCGGGCCGCGACGAGGCCAGCTCCGGGGGGAGACTACACGACAGCGCCCGCAGCAGCCCCAGCGGCTCGACAGCAGACGGTTGCCCCGACGAAGAGCAGGAAGAAGGCTCTGGCAGCATGGACGGGGTTCTATCAGCGGCGGAGGGGGTGGGGCTGCGGCCGGCGGGGTGCGAGGGAATGGCGCTGCCGGGGCGGCTGCTGATGTCAGCCTTGCTGGACCTGGATGCGCTGGAGCCGTTGGCGGCTGCGGCAGACCTGGACGGCCGGGCACTGCCGGCCAACACGCTGCTGATTGAGCTCAGCGACGGGCTCTACGTCTGGCCGCCCAGCCAGCACCTGCAGCGCACCGCGTCCGGCGCGGTGCCGGCCGCACAGCCGGCCCCTGCACCGGCCGATGGCCGAGGCGCCGACGGCTCTGCCGCAGCGCTGGGAACCCTACCGCCGAGCGTGTGGGGCAGCCCTCAGGTGGCGCCCTCACCATCCACTCATTCTCATACAGTTCTTCAGATAAATTGGTGTGCTTGTGGATGGGATTTGACACGGTTGTACATGCTGTCCTGAGAGGCACCTCATCTTCTGATTTGGTACAGGCGCTCAAGGCGCGCAATGGCGCCCGAGGCGCCCAGCAGAGGCTATTCAGAGAGGCGCCGCCCGCGCCCGACCCGCCGCCCGCGCGAGCCCATGCACGCAGTGATAGCAGGTAGGATGAACTACCAGTGTTGCTGAACCTGCCCTGAGCTCAGCAACATTAAAGGCTCGGCAGAAATGTGCATTTCTGAGTTTGACTGGAAACAGTGAGCAAGGGAGCGGGCTGGTGTCATGCAGAGGAAGTTCAGAGTCTGTGTCGAGGAGCAGCAGCGTGAGCCGATTCACAGACGGACAGGCGGACGCCGAGAGGCGGTCTTCATTTAGAGGGACCAGCACGAGCGGTTCGGAGGAAGTGCAGGTGGGAGGCCTGCCAAATACACCCTCATCACTTATGTGCACATCCGTAACGGCAGTCCCCATTACACAACTTGCATCAGCGGTCATAAGGGTGCAGAATTCTTTCAGAGCCACATGTTTGAATGCGTCTGCTCAGTCCATGAGAAAGTTTGGTCCTGAACACTGGCATGTCCCCTCAAAAAACTCCCACTCTGAGAAGATCAAAATGGCGGAAGTTGCTTCAAGTATGGTGGAGCTGGAACTTGGATTTGTTCCTGCAATGCAGATGGCTGTGGGCGACCTGGAGTGGTCGCTGATGAGCATCTGTAACGCACACAAGCAGCTGCAAGCCGCGCGTGCCAGGCAACGGCGGCTGCTTGACACCCTGAACGAGGTACATCCATTTGCAACTGTCCGTGCCACTGCTAATAACAAAGTACTGCCAAAAGGGGCCACGACCTCGTGCAGTCAATTGGGACCAAAGGGAGCTTTGCAACTTTGAGATACTTCGCCCTCGTCAAGTCACCAATCTCGGGAATGTATACTCGCACCAACCCTGTAGGCTTATGGATTCAGGTTTAGAATATGTGACGACGTGTGTTGCTTGTCTGCAGACGCACCTTGCACAAAGCAGGAGCAGCGTGTCACGAAAACAATGATCATCGTCATGTCATGTGACGTAATTTGTAGGATTGTGGTAGCCTAGCCTTTACCTGCAGTTTGTCTGCAGGACGCACCTTGCCTCTTGGCAAGGAAAGCGTGTGATAATACAGATAATCCTTTTCTTCGGTGCCCAGGTGGTGGAGCGGCGGGCGGCGGCGCGGCAGCAGGCGGCGGAGCTGCAGAGTGTGCACGACAGGTTGGCATGCCAGGTGACGGCGACGCAGCGCGCGCAGCAGGCGGCCACAGCACTCCAGCGCAGCGTGGCCGTCTCCCGCCAGATCGCCACGCTGCAGGCCCGCGCTCTCCTAGAAGCGGCCTCCGCCATGCAGGTCCGGCAGCCGCCTCTTGGGGTTTTTTAACTTGTTGCACATGGAAAATAGCCAGTACTTAAAGACTTGGGGGTGCTGTCACTTTCCAGGTGCTCTGATTGTCAAGGTCCTGCTGACACCTGCCTGACACTCTTGCTAACTCTTATAACGAGCATACTTGCTAACTCTTACTCGGCTGGCGTGAATGGATGTGGTCCAATGGGATGTGGGGGTGAGGTGTTACATTGGGCTGCACGCAGGAAGCTGGGCGGAGGCTGCAGGAAGCTGCGCGGCTGCTGGAGGTGGAGGGGCGCGGGTCGCGGCTGCAGTGGCTGCAGCGCCAGCTCGTCGCGCGCCGCTGCCGCATGGCCGTCGCCCTCGGCCGCATCTACAGCGTCGGGCCCCGCACAGGTGTGCGCATCACCTAACGCCTCATGAACCTTCTCCCATTTCTGGGCAATCTGTGTTGGACTGTCCAAGAGGGACAATAACCCTTGTACTGACTAGGAGGGATATTGTCCCCTTGTGTTGCCTTATTCCATTGATGTAGTGGCCTCCCGCTTATCGACAAGGGCCAGGACAAATGAGCTGGATCTTTCCAGCCTGAAGTGTTGCATGTTGGGTGCTGTGGGTTATTGGGCGGTAAAGGAAAGATGTGGGGTTTGCTGATAAAAAGGTATTGGCGCCCTGCAGTGACAGAGCCAGAGCCGCCGCCGGGGGGCTTTCTGTGGGACCAACTGGATGACCTGTGGTTCACAGGTATCCTCCCGGACCCCTCTCCGTCCCTGCAGTATCGTTTGGGCTTCCATTGCACTTCCTGTCGCTGTGAGAGAGTGTCCGTTCTACACATCACTGTCTCCTCTTCTTAGTGTTGTACTCTGCCGTTTCTCGTGACAGTGCCCAAGCGATACTGTGGGGTGGAAAGGGGCGAAGGTGGCCTGCCACTCCTTAGAAGGATGGTGTTATCCCCTCTATTTAATGGTGTGAGCAAGCTAGGATGGACAGTGTGAAGATGAGTAGCGCAGAGTGCTGAATGTGCGCAGTTGGGGTTGGTGCAGAGTTTGTGCTCACAAAGGCGCCAGAGCCGCAGCAGCCGGAGGAGGCATCAGATCTGGAGCCGCCTCCGTCGCCGGCGCCCTCAGACCACGGCTCCTTCACCAGCTCCATCAGCAGATTCAGGCAGGCCCCTGCGCTAACTCCCAAGTGCTGGATACCCCTGGTGTTGTCTAGCAAGAATTGCCATGGAAAAGTCCTTAACAATTGGGATTTGGATCACGACAGTAAGGGCAGGAGCACCTACTGAATGCGAAAAAGGAAGGACTTGCGGCTTTGCCCTGCATGCCCCAATTCTCGATTTTTAGTCGCGCACGTATCAAATCTGGCCTCTTTCACCTAAATGTAAGGAGTCCCTAAGTTTAGGAGCCAGAGCATTTGCAGATTACTAACTTGGGGGGATTGCCGCAGGGAGGTGGCGCGGCTGGCGGTGGGGGGACTGGAGCTGGAGCCTGATCTGGCGCGGCGCGCGGCCGACCCAGACGGCGGCTGGCGCGTCGGCCACGCCGAGGCCGAGCGCGCGGCGGCGGCTCTCGGCTACGTGGCGCGGCTGACTCAGCGGCTGGCGCACCTGCTGGACGTCCCCCTGCGCTACCCGCTGCGCTTCGCCAACTCGCGCTCCTCCGTCTTCAGCCACCCGCCGCCCGCCGGCACAATCGGGTGCGCGCCCTGGATTACTAATATTATGATGACATACTTTTCCTGCCAAAAGGCAAGGTACGTCCTGCAGACAAGCTGTACTTCAAGGCTGCCACATTCCTACCCCTTGTTGGACTCGCCAGATCCAAGCAAGACCCAATCAATCGTGGGCATGGTGCTCAGTATTTATTCCCACTTCCCGCCAGCCGGGGCCAAGCCTTGGATGGCGATATTTGTATGGTATGCCAGATGTCACAAGTGACCCTTCAAGGTTAAAAGAAGACACATTTTGGTACCGGCTTTGGGTCTGTAAGTCAGTCGTCAGTGCCGATCTGTGACGCCAGAGCTCTCGTGGAAGGATGTGAGAGTAAAACGGCATCCCCTCACATACTGAACCGCAGCACGTGTAGAGCAGCCATGCAGAGTGGGCACTTCACTGGGCAGAAGCTGTGGTACTGAGCTGTGATGTGTAAGAGGGATGCACATGTGCGATGCCTTGCTGAAGTTATGCCCTGTGCTACTTTGTGCTACCTTTGGCAACCGCCAATTTTCACCCCAAACGAAGTGGTCCTCGAGACTGCATGCTTTTCCTTTTGGTAAGGTAAGATCATTTGTTGAGATGACTGTCAGACATTTTTAATGAGGATTTTGTGGGCAGGGCGAGGGGCCAGAGCGCGGAGGGCAGGGAGGGGCCATCGCGCATGTTCGACCTGCTCCAGATCGGCGAGCGCACGCCGGATGCAGAGGACGCTAGCCTGGCGCCCAAGGAGTTCCCCCTCTTCCTGGACGGCTCCGAACGCATGCGCTTCCGCTACGCCGTCTTCCTGCTCAGCAAAGTGCGCATTTGGTTATCGGCAGATCTTGTGTCTCAAATTGAGTAGAAAATGACTGATGCGGTGAAAGTTGCAAATGAAAGAAGTTTAGTGGGTCTGGCGGCGCCAGTCCTGTTTCCAAAGCCAACAGTCTTTTAATGGACCTTTCTACTGGATCTGGACGACACCCTTGGCACAGATCCCACTGAATCCGATGGTCCAAGCATGGTTGCTAACCTGTCTGCAGAGCTACTTTGTTGCCATGTCAGCACCTTTCTAGAGCTGAAGAGCCTCGGTCAAGGTTGCAGGAACACTGACAGGGTATCAAGACTGTGGTGCTGTGACGAGCAGGACATAGAGCAGCTGCTGAATGCGCATGGGCTGCACTCCACGGGCGCCAACCAGCTGCTGCAGAACCTGTACAAGCTGCTGGCCGCTGCGGCCTCCGCCGCGCCATCCAACAGCAGCGGAAGAGCGCCCTCCATGTAGGCCAATTTTATGTGCCATAGTTCCTGAGAGCCTCACACTTTACAGAAGGTGCATTTGCACTCTGTTTGGGAGTCGCATGGATGTGATGCTTGCGCGAGTGGTCCCTTTCTATTGATTTAGATCCAGCCCTGAGGGGTGTGCCACTTATAGTAGATGTGAGCAACGTGTTGTAGACTAGATGTTCGAGACCAGGCTGATACAGCATCTGTGTGGCAAAGGAGTGGATCAACAAAGAAAGTGATGCATTGATTTGAAGTATACTCTAGTAAATTGCAACACGAAGCCGAAACCAGAAGAATGGATGCATTTGATGTGATTCAGAAGCTTTAGGGCTCTTTAAGAAGACCATTTACTGGTCACCAGTAAGATTTGCAAGCCATTGTAAGTATTGCTGACCACTGGTGGTATCTGTCATTGAGCAACTTTTACAGACCTGGTGCGCTCAATGCCTCCAAAACAAATGATCTCATTGATGCAGCAAGAAGCAATGTCCGGAAAGGAGGCAAGCATCTCATTTTACCTATGAAAGTAGCTCAGTATTTCTACAAGCGTCAACGTCTTACAGCAAAGCTTCCTTTATCGACTCTCACAGCTGTGACAGCGGTTCCTTATCAACTGCTGTCTTCAAAAGTGTCTTCCTCCCATGTGTTTCCAAGCTTAGAGCCCCATGACGTTCGCAGACTGCAGTTCGGGCCATGAGACGAGACACCCCAATCCTCCTGGTACAAAGCAACAGCAAGCAGCTAGAGCTTGACTTCCACATCCACGCCGGCAGGCAGGTCCAGCTGCATGAGCTCGTCGATGGTCTGTGCTGTCAGGTTGCGAATGTCCACCAGGCGGGAGTGTGTCCGCGTCTCAAAGTGCTCCCGAGAGTCCTTATTTACATGAGGCGACCGCAGCACACAGTATATGCGCCGCCTGCAACCACATCCAAGAATTAGGAAGCTCTCGCTGTTCCCCAGTCTTCTACCGGTGCACCAGACTCCATACTGTGGAAATTCGGCACTCCTGACCTCATAGTGCATGGCGAGCAAGAGCACTGCTGTCTCATGCTATACCAAAGATCTTACAGTGGTAAATATTGCAGCCTGAATGAGGGCGCTACTTCTGAATGCGTCGATCGCCAAGTTGCAAGTGAGGGGATGTGAAGCAAGAAGCCCCAGGTTGCTCACCTGGTTGGCAGGTATACAGGGCCACTGACGCGTGCGCCTGTGGATGATGCAGCATCAGATATCAAGCCTACTGACTGCTGCAGCAGCTGAGCATCGTAAGCCTTGAGCTTGATGCGGATCTTCTGCTCCGCAGCTGCTGTTGCTGCTGCGCTCACCACCAAGGACTGGTGCCTGTGCCACAGCAGCTGGCTCAGCAACGCACCACAAGAAGAAGAGATGATCCTTTACAAATAGACGTCTCTGAAAATATTAGAGCTGCCAAGATTCATCTTCAAGTGGTCATCCTCCTCTGAAACGCGAGCCAGGACAAAAACTAGATTTTCAAGCTCCACGTGCAGCACCGCTGTCTACAAGTCTTCCTGTACCTCTCAAATGATATCAATGAAGTTCCTAGTGTGTCCTGACATGTACTGAACCTCAATCTGCCTGAAGAGATCGCCCACCTGGCTCTGCTGCACAAGGGCGCCTGGGGTCTGCAAGAGAAAGTTCTGAGCGTCTGCGGGCAGCCGTGGCGATGCCCCAGAGAAGTACTGGCCATCTGGCTAGCCATTTTCACAATGACTTGCACTCTTTGATGGTCCTGCGGCTTGAAGTGCCAGGATAACCCTTCTTCTGTTCGCGACCCCTTGCCAAATCCCTTGCCACAACCCCGGAAGCTAGGGCGAAGCTTGGCGCCCATTCGTAAGTACGAAATCGAATTGTTCTCGATCCGATGCGCAGCAGTCATGGGGGCAAGCGAGTTCCAGCTGAAAAAGCACCACTCGATCCCAAAGCCCGAGAAGCCTCTCCTAGTGGTGGTCTTGGACGGCTGGGGAGAGGCCCCAGATGACGAGTTCAATGCCATCTCAAGGGCCGAGACACCCTGCATGGATTCTCTCAAGGAATCGAAACCGGATAGATGGATGCTGCTGAAGGCTCACGGCACGGCCGTGGGCCTGCCCTCCGACGATGACATGGGAAACAGCGAGGTGTGCCTAGGTCTTGGGCCTCCTAAAAGCACCTAACTTAAGGAGCCCTATGCCCTTTGGACACCGTGTTACCCTTGCTAGACCACCAAATTATCATTAGACTTCAGGCAGCAATCAAGTGACCAAATTGAGGTGTGGATTTTTGTGTGCCTGCTGACAGGTGGGGCACAACGCACTTGGCGCTGGACAAGTGGTGAGCCCTAGACACCCCAACCAATCCCTGATACACTAAGATGACGCGCCTTTTCCTTCCTGTAACTCTCTCACCATTGCCACCACAGTGCCCGCTTGCAAGCATCGCTGTGCAAGGCACGCTCGATTCCAGGTCCAGTCGCACGTCAAGGAGTGCGCAAAAGGAGCGCAACAGGTGATATCAGCGCTCTTGTGCAAAGGTGAGCCAAGGAGCGGCGCTGGTGGACAAGGCGCTGGAGAAGGGGGAGCTGTTTGATCATGACGGCTGGAAGTACCTGGAGCCAGCGGCAAAGGAGCACACGCTGCACCTGATCGGCCTGCTGTCTGATGGCGGCGTGCACAGCCGCTACAACCAGCTGTGGCTGCTCATCCAGGGGGTGCGCTCCTCTGCCTGTCTCCTACATAAGAAACGCTCTTTACGTCTCATTCTCTGATGGTTCCAATCGCTCTTTAGTGCCCACCATGCTTGGAAGCACCCTGTCACATTTCCTTCAAGTCTGAACAGTCTCCTATTTCACATTGTCAGGCTGGGAGTGCCTGGCCTAGATGATCACAGTGACCCGATACACATTTTCAAGGGCATCAGATTTCAGGGTAGACATCATGCCTTGGAAAAGTGTAATCTAATGGGATCATTCGCAGGCAGCAGAGCGGGGCGTGAAGCGGATCAGGGTACACACGCTGACAGACGGGCGCGACACGGAGGATGGCACCTCGGTCAAGTTCATGGCGCAGCTGCAGAAAGACCTCAGATCCCTCGAGGGCAAGGGGTGCGATGCGCAGGTCGCATCCGGCGGCGGCCGCATGATCACCACCATGGACAGATACGAGGTTCGAGTCCCTCCTGACACCATAAAATTTTCCTTTTGCATGCCTTCCTACCGCAAGCATCCAGCCTCTTCACCAGACTTCAGGGGAGGGCCAGCTTAGGCTGTGGACAGCTTCACAGCAGTTTGGTGATCTGCACGGCATTGTGTGGCAATGAGTGGGGCTGCAGCACAGGAGTCAGGGGGTGCTAAAGACTTAGTAGGAGTGGCATGCATGGTCTAAATAGTATGTGTGTGCGGGGAATGCAGTCGGACTGGAATGTAGTGAAGCGTGGGTGGGAGGCGCATGTACTTGGAGAGGCGCCCAACAAGTTCAAAGACCCAGTGGAAGCCATCAAAGCGCTCAAGGCGTGCCCCCATTCATAAGTACTGTCAAAGTCATGCACCGCCCTGTTTTCTTCAAGCTATGGCCAAGGAGGGCTTGCAAATTTGCAGCTTTGTTTTGAAGCTGCTGCACTGTTGTCTATCGAATGAAGGAGCCATTGTGACGGGCGCCGGTGCAAACTGCAGAAGCCAAAGGAGGCTGGCGGGAAGCCGGTGTCGGACCAATGGATCCCCCCGTTTGTCATAGTGGACGACGATGACAACCCAGTCGGGCCTATTCAGGCAAGCCCACTCTTTGCATGCCTGCAACCAGAGCACTTTGATTTATGACACCTGAGATCTGGGCACTGTGGTGTGCTACGGGACTCTCTGATGCCTGCATGTGCAAGTTCAAGCGGGGACTGATGCAAGGACATAATTTCTCGTGACGGATAGTTTGACAGAAATGTTGTGCCATAACAGGATGGAGATGCGGTGGCGATCTTCAACTTCAGGGCGGACAGAGTGGTGGAGCTGTCCAAGGCGTTCGAGTACAAGGACTTCAAGCATTTCGACCGCAAGCGCCACCCGGATGTGCGCACCCTTTTCTTGATCCGCCCTTTTCCCATCTTGTCTTCCCCACAGGGTGCCAGCATGAGTCGTATCCTGAGCCGTGCATAAATCCGCTGCCAGGCAACACATGATCTGCTGCAGACCGCCTACGCATCTAAGCGGCTGGCGCCAATGCCAGACTCCTGCCTTTAAGAGGGCAGTGTGTAGCCTGCAGTGGTATATCTTAACAACTTGGGAAGTGATCACCCCCTGATCGCCTCCCCGCGCGTTGCCTCTGGCAGCAACAGAGGGAGAAAAGAAAAGGCCAATAAGGGCAAATACTTTACTAATTATTTAGTATACACATGACCCCTTATGGCCCGAACTGAGCATGTGCCGGCATGTGAGTGCAGGTGCGGTTCGCGGGCATGATGCAGTACGACGGGGAGCTGAAGCTGCCGGCGCACTTTCTGGTCCCGCCACCGGCGATCAGCCGCACCACGGGCGAGTTCCTGGCGAAGAGTGGGGTGTCCACATTCGCATGCAGCGAGTCCCAGAAGATCGGCCACGTCACCTTCTTCTGGAATGGCAACCGTGCCGCGCCCTTTGACAAGAAGCTCGAAACCTTCCACGAGGTGCGCTTGTGGTTCTGCGGTCCTTTGATCACAAATACTCTGCCCAGGAGAATACTATTGGATGTGAGTGGAGGGTTCTGTGGAGCTGCACGGGCGAGACAAAGGAAGCAGCCTGGGTGTGCGTGTTTGTGTTAGCAAGGGTAGCTCTGGCAGCGCATTTGAGTATCATCGCAATTGTTGGCATTTCAGAAATTTGCAGCACAACATGCTTAGCTGGTGAAACATCCCATTGCACTGGATGCTTGCTGTGCAGCGCTGCGCTGAATGATACCACCAGCAGTCTACTGTTGATGCCCATCCGCACAGGCTCCCTCCTTGAGATTGGAACACCCTCGAGGCAGAAATATATTTAGGACAGGTGCAGGAGAGAGGGGCATGCATGCATGCTGTGAGTGAGCAGGTGTGAGCGTGACTAATGCGAGCGCAGGTGCCGAGCGATCAGAACATCCCCTTCAACGAGAAGCCGGCCATGCAGTCGGCCAAGATCACAAAGCTGGGCATCGAGGCTCTCAAAAGCGGCAAGTACGACCAAGTGCGGCTCAACTTCCCCAACCCGGACATGGTTGGCCACACGGGCGACCTTGAAGCCACCATCTCAGCCTGCAGCACCGTGGACAGCTGCGTCCAGGTGAGTGTGATTCCTTGATGAGGCATTCCAGACGTGTGGCATCAGTGTACAACAGAGGGAAGCAACGGTGAGATTGGTGGGCGCTGCAGTGGGTAGGTAGCACCACACGGAGCGACGCACTAGTGCTTGCATGATTTGCAGTGTGCTGCAGTGACAACCTCGGTTTGCCACATCCTGTTGTGCATACTGGCAGGCATGCAAATCAAGACTGCATGTCAAGAAACTGTTGCTGTCCATGTGTCCAGGGCTCACTTTCTAGAGAGGCTGCAGAAGAATCTTTTACCATCTGATCTGGCCAGACCCAGAGCAGCCCCTCATATGAGAGCACTGGGCGCTCTATTCCAAAGCGGCCTTCCCTTGCTGCTAGAGGAGGGGTATTCAGAAGGAACTGTCATGAGGTTGAACAAGCATCTGATTGGCAGCGCAAGGGACTGCTATAGTCACAGTATGAATAATCGCCCTTTGCTAAATTCTTCATGGGTTGACACTGGTGTTGGGTGTGATGGCTGGTAGGAGTTGATAAATGCTGTGGAGGAGGTTGGGGGCACCTGGCTGGTGACGGCGGACCACGGCAACGCAGAGGACATGGTGCAGCGCGACAAGAAGTCCGGCAAACCGCTGATGGAGGATGGCAAGCCGCGCATACTCACATCCCACACCCTCAACCCGGTGCGCCGCTGACATACGCACACTGATGACAACAAAAATGAGAATCCATGTCATCAAGACAGGGCACACCTGCGTTGGCGCGCCCTCCAGGCGTGGCATGCTGTGTGAGCGAGTGAGTTCCTGCTGGGACTATTTAGACTGTCCAAAGATTTTGTCTTGTGTGTCAGGCCCGGTGTTTTGTGGCTCCTGCGCATCGCTCAGGCGCCGGTGAATCCCTCACCGGATAGCCATGAATGCCAGGGAAAGCAGAGTCGCAAGTATACTTGTCAGGAAGCTTCGGATTTTTGCGGTGGATGGGTGCAACTGTGAGGCACCTGTCCTGCGCCTTCTTCAGAACAAGCAACGGTAGTGTCATACCCGGGGGTGCATTGTGCAGTTCGGAAATAAAAATCTAAAAAAAAAAAAAAAATGACATGCAACTTCTCAGGTGTTTCTTGTGCATTTATTCAGGTGCCTGTGGCTATGGGCGGGCCAGGGCTGCCAGAGGGAGTAAAGTTCAGAACAGACCTGAAAGAGCCGGGCCTCGCGAATGTTGGCCCAACCATCATCAACCTGCTGGGCTTTGAGGCGCCGGACAACATGGTGCCCACACTCCTGTCAGCCTGAGCTGTGCCCAGACCGCAGTGTAGACATAGAAAGGAAAGCACAATAATGGCGTTTGAGTTTCAGCATCGAGGTCCCCATCAAAGCAACGGTGTGCATCAGGCAGTGTACAATATACTTGGCAGGCAGCAGTCCGCTAGCGCTGTGTCTCAGATGTTGCATGTGCTTTTGGTTCCCTTAAGTTGGCTGCAGGCAAGATATTCTTTGCATGTCTGCCATCAGCTGTTGTTAGACAGCAGATACCTTGATAGGTTTTTTTATCATTAATTTTGCAGGGTATCATCGGTTGTATGGTCTCAGATGTCACCACGGTGGTTTACCAGTTCTTATTTCTTTGCTACAAACAATTTACGTCAAGGAAATCACACTTTGCTGCCAGCAAACATCAAAATGAAAGTGGCTGGCTGACAATATATTCAGTGCAAAGCTTTCAAGCTAGCTGTAGTAAACAACAACAATGCATTTTGCCCTGAGGGCTAGAACAATGAGCTCATGGTGATGCTCATGCCATCATGTTGTACATCACTGATGGTCATTGAGTGCAGAACCATCAATAATCAGAGCATTGATGTCACAAGCTTCAAGCAAGTTGCCGGCCGGCGGCTTCGGCGGTGCATCATGCTGTTGTGCAAGATGTGAGGACCTGCTAGCAATGCCTGCAGGCAGCTGCTACTTCAATTGTCCCTTGCATGCTCATCGGACTTGCATGCATCAAAGTGCGCATCCCACTCAGAGAGGGGTGACCACCCCCTGTATTGCTTGCTACTCCCGCCTTGATGAGCCACCATAAGGCGATGAGTCAGTGATTGCCTCCTCATCTGATGTCCCTAAAGTACTAGCTGATCTGGCCGTAACCCTGTAGTCAGTGCGCAGGGGCCTTTCCTATTGCTCAGCAGATGGAAGACAACACTGATCGTCGCGCACTTCGTTTCATCCCGAGGGAACGTTTCCAACTCCATCACAGTGCGCACACCCTTTGCTGTAACAGCAGGTGACGTGCGCGGGTGGTGCGCTTGGAAGCAACTGTTTCCCTCGCGATCTGTGGCGACCGGAACGCCAAATCACAGAGCAGGCACCTTCGCACCTCCAAGGATCAGCGTTTTGAGTGTGCAGGTACGAATATCTGCTGTACACGCTTCAGATGTGGCCTTCGCGGGTATCCAGGCGGCCATTGCGTCAAAAGCCGAACAAGCAGTGCCTGCTATATTACCTTGTCGTACTGGAAAGTAGCTGCTATCGAAGATGGGAATTGAGGCTTCGAGAGATATAGGATTGGCTCTAGGATCCTTCTGTACAGATTCCCGACCTGAGAGACAAGTGCGGGCATGGCGGAAGGCAGTCACCGAGGCGGTTGAAATGGTCTGACACAGCTGTAGAGCGTTCCGAGATTGAGACCAACGTTCAGGATAATATTATAAACTGCTAGTGGATGCAGTTTCCTGCTCCGTCACAGCCTGCTCTGCTCGCGCCTGTATTGCCGTGTATTAGGCCGTTGCTTATGCTTCCCAATAGATACATTGCTTCCCAATAGACTTTGACAGAGGGAAGTCGGTGAGTTAGGACGACGGTTTTAAGCTATGTTCACTCCAATGTTGCTGCGCAGGGCACAATCTTTCCACGTCCGTACGTAGAGATGGTCTGCGAGCTTCCGCAGTCGTTGCATGCCAGCCAGGTGTGTCCTCGAGCATCGCATCCCTTCTGTTGCCACAGAAGCAGATGAAGACCTTCTCTTTGCCTCATTTTCTTCGATGAATAGGATTTGTACGGTGATCTCGAGGATTCGGAATAAAATTTGACGGATCTGCAGGACGATGCACGACTGCGTCTGCTGAGGGCGCTCCTGCGTAGAAGGACCTTGCACGAGCTCGTCAGAAGCCATCCGAAGCTTGCTCTCGCTCTGCATGCTGCCAGGGCGCGGCTCATGCTGCAAGGAACAAGTGTCGCGACCAGCCCAATGGTTCCCATGGAGACCAGTGTCACCAGCGACGCCCCTGCAGCTACGTCCCCCGAGCAAGGTGCGCTTCTCCACCCTTTTCATGCTCGTTACGAACGCAATCACGGCCTTCAGGATCCTCCTCGAACGCTCCCCACCCGCAGCAGGAGTAAGGACGTCACTGTTTCACGTGCAGGGGCAAACGAGCAAGGCTGGGACGCTGCAGTGAAGGCCGCGTGCCAGCCCCCAAAGCCTCACGTCCCAGTGGAGGCCGAGACGCTGCACCAGCTAGGGGTGCTGGAGCTGCTGATCCAGCACTCTGCGCTGCTGTTGCGACTCACTGCGCGCATGGCGGCGGCGGCGGCTGCCGCGGCCGCGGCGCGGCAGCCGGCACCGGGGCAGGACAGCCACAGCTCGCAGTGCGCCGAGACGGTCTGTCTCGCTGACGACGCCGCGTCACATTGCTGCCGGGGCGGCCGTTGCAAGCGTGCATGTCCCGAAGCCAGCGACGACGGCTGCGAATCTCCCAATGCCCAAGCGAGGAAGCGGGCCCGCCATGGAGCCGGCTCGGAGCCTGCGCATGACGCGCCAGTTCATTCTTCCCGCCACCCGCTCGCCACCCGCGCTGTTCAGGTATATGCTCAGTCTGCATTGTATAGCTACTTTAGTGCATGCAAGCCGCATCCATTTGAAGCAGGGGATGCAAGGAGTGCCACAGAAATGTACCTTCAATGTCTCTACTATCGGAGATTCTGCATGCTGGTCTCTCTCATCTATTCTAAGAAGTTGGAAGCTTGCGTGTTTAAGACGATGGACCTGACAGACACTCTGCTGGACCCACAGGGCGAAGCGCGCCAGAATAAGGCTCTAGCAGGCGACAGCCATGAAGACAGTGCAGGCAGCAGTGGGGAGTATCAGGCCTCGGGAGCGGATGCCAGCAACACAGAGACGAGTGAGAGTGAGCCAAGCAGTGACTACGATGCTGATCTTGAGGATGACGCATCATCTTGCTGCTCCTGAGCCCACCACCAGCTCTGGTGGCCTCCTGCCTGTGGCGGGGCCATCAGAGCACCATAGCCTGCTCTCTCTGTGCCTGAGAGATAGATTGGTTGCACATGCAAAATGCACCTAATAAAGGAGTGTACTAGAAGGCAAGGCGGGCACCAAAGACAGTAGAATCCCGGCCGCTGGCTTTCCTGGGATGCAGTCATTTTGGAGAGAGCTTCATAGTTTCAGCTCTGTCTTGAGGCTTTTGTCCATGTGAGAAAGTGCCCAGCACTGATCAGGGCTAGGAACGGCCAGATGCATTTGTGTTTGCAGAGCTGGCCCGACCTGCCTGCTGCAAAGTGGGCTTTGAACCATTTTGTGGCTGTGCCTGGCTTAATAATTGGCTGTGACAATTCCCCTCTGCAGTGTTGTAGTGCCGATTGAGGGAAGGGCGCTGACACTGTAGACTGGGGGTGCAGATCAAGGGCTTCATCAGGGCATAGGCAAACGCAACTGCTAGCAATAAGTGGGGAGATGGCCTTACCGGGAATAGAGCTGGTCCATATCTGATTGAGTCACTTCACACAGGCAGAGACGCTGCGGCTGCCACAGCTGCAGCTATCTGGACTGGCAATATCGTTTACCAACCAACCAAAATAAATTAAACTGAAGTTTCTGCGTTCAGAGACATTTGGAGATGCAAATGATGGCTCCAAATTGTCTTGGAACGCTGGGCCTGCTAGATCTCAGCAATTTGTCGGTCCACAGATTGTTACCAGATGTTTTGCAGATGTTTTAAAACTGCGCTGCAGATTAGGACCTAGATCAGATCAGACCCTGGCCATGAGTGGACTCCCTCTCATGGCAGGTTCAGAGGAGTTGAGTTTGGCAGAGGAGTTGGAGTGCGACAGCTGATCAGCATGATGTGATGAACATGGTGCATTGCACATCTTACGGCCTTGATTTAGGCAAGACCATGTTGATCGAATCTTTGTGGATGCATTAGTCCGCTTGTACACATCATCACTGTAAGATACAACCACTGCAACCCATGGCACCATGGCCATGCAGATAGATCTGCTTGCCATCACCCTGTTTACGGTACAATTCAGCAGATCCTATACTAATGTTTTCCGTTACAATCTGTTCCCTGGGTCGGCACCACAACTTTCTGGGCTGTATCAAAAACTGTTGTGTACATGTATGCCCTTGTTCGCAAAACCATGGCTTTCCACCCGCCAACTGGTGATGGCAATTTTCATGTCCACATGCCAAAAGTAAGAACAGACGAGAAGGTCACTGTGATACTGGTGCTAAAGGCCACACTTTATCAATGATTAAAGAAAGACACACTCTTCAAATTGACATTGGTCTTTGATTCAATGATCAAACAAGCATCCGTTAATTGCATGAGAGCACTCCCAGCAGCAGGCATTTGGCACTATTCGCGACTGCATGCGTGCAAGCTGTCATTTTTTGCTCTCCACCCACATTGGATTTGAGCACCCCTTGCATTACCGGCCACAGGGAACTGTGGCTCAAAGTTTGGTCAGAGTCCCTTGGCGGCCAATATTACAGCTTCTGCCCCGGTGGCCGCACAAGAACGCGTATAGTCCAGAAGAAAGGCTGTGTCAGCACATTAGTCGCAGATCTGTGACGTAAAAACTGGAAGAGTTGCCATGGTTGTCTTCTCTCCCATGTTACCCCCATGCACGCAAGTTACACATTCACGCCAGCTGCTGAAATAAGCTCCGCCAAGGAGCGAACGGTTTCTCAAACGGTTTCCACCTCAGATAGAAGAAATGAGCACCCGTGGCATCGTCCGCTATTACCGGATCTTGTGCCCTCAGTGTCCGAACAAACATCAATCCCGAGGCCTACAGAACTGATCACGCCAGCTGCTGGCGCAGGGATCCGTCCAGGGGCGTGCGTTGGTGCTCGTTGCGCAGCTGCCCGCATGCGGCGGCCGCGTCGGTGCCGCGGGTGACTCGCATGCTGACGGGGATGCCGGCCTTGTCGAGCGCGTCGCGGAAGGCGCGGCCAGCCGCCTTGCTGGGCCGCTTGAACTGCGCGTCCTCGACGGCGTTCCAGGGGATCAGGTTCACGTGCGCGCCGCGCAGCCCGTGCCGAGTCAGCACCCGCGCCAGCTCCTCCGCCTGCGTGCACATGCCGGCACCTGCCGTCAGCCCCTCCCTTGATCCGCCGCCATCGGCGACTGGCAATGTAGGTGATGCGCTTGGCGCACTGCAACGTGCTTCAAAAGCACATGGGTGAGTGACGAGCAGCGCAGGGAACCGCCGAATAAAGTCTGCATGTTGTGTGCACCTGTGCAGGGGAGTCATTGACCCCGGCAAGGAGGGTGTACTCGAAGGTGACCCGCCGCCCCGTGATGCTGTAGAACTTGCTGCAGTCCTCCAGCAGCGCCTCAAAGGGGTACGCCTTGGCACTGCAGCAGCAGCAGCATGATGCGAAATTTCACGTCTTCTCAAGCAGAGGCACAGAAAGAAAAGCACACTGAAGCCTGGGGATGAAACAGAAAGCAAGCGCGCAAAATTTGCAATAAGCCTTCCCCACATAGAAGAGGAAAGGTTTCTGCAGCACCCTGGCTTGACATGCGAAGTGGAAGACACGGTGCAGAAGCTACTACGTCACAAGAGCAGTTTGCACCCAGGTTAACAAATATCCACCCTGTCCACAAGCAGACAGGGACTACTGATCAATTACAGCAGGTCCAGGGAGGCTCACCTGGGCACGATCTTCTCACGAATTTCCTGGGAGGGCGCATGGATGGAGACTGCCAGGGTGACCTGCAGGCTGTGCTGCTTGAGCGCCTGCGCCAGCATGGCGATGGAGTTGGGCACGCCCACCGTGGAGATGGTGATGTGGCGCGCCCCCACGCCGATGTCAGCGTTGATGAATTGCGCTGACGCCAGCACCGAGCGCCACGTCAGGCACGGCTCGCCCTGCCCCATGTACACTGCGGGCCAGACAGCATGTCTGTCAGACTCGCACATGCAGGCACATGGATACGAAGGCATTGGGATGTCACTTGACATTCCTCAGGAGTGCGACTTGATGCCGGCAAAAAGCTGACACCTGCCTTCTGACATGCCATGCTCGTCAGAACAAGGTGCTTGATTTGGCAGATCTGAACTTCTGCCACAAGATGTGACAAATGTCAAGCAAGGACTTGGAATGGCGGAGTGTTCTTGGTGGGTACTGAATGGGCAGACGGCGCACCGACATTGCTGACGCGCGTGCCAAACTGCTCCTGCACGGTGAGCACCTGGTCCACGATCTCGTGCGGCCGCAGGTTTCGCGCAAAGCCGCCCTTGCCCGTCGCGCAGAACGTGCACCGCATTGGGCAGCCCACCTGTGCATCCCAGATCACTCATCACTTACTGCAACATCGAAGGCGCGCCAGATGAGGATAAGAACTTTGCGGGCTGCGACCGTCGCCATAGCCCTTCTTGTCTTGGCGGGAGGAATGCCTTAATACTGGTGATACCACTCCATGTAACGAGCGACATGTGAAAGTCCCTACCCACACCCTTTTCTGGATATTACTGCGGCACTTGCCAGGGGATTCTAGCGGCGCGCCTGGGAGGAAACGCAGACGGTGAGGCGGGGCTTGTTGCTGTCATCCAGGGGGATGCCAACGGTCTCCACCAGGAAGCCGTCGTGCAGCTGCAGCAGAAACTTCCGCGTGCCGTCCGCCGCGCGCACCTCCTTGAAAAGCTTGGAGCGCCCCGTCGTCACCCCCTGCCTCACCAGCTCCTGTCGCCAGCTGCCGGGCACCTGCGCAAGCAGTCTCACCGCTGACTCAGCTGTAACCTATGGAAAGCGTGCACACTGACACCTCGCTTAGCCTAGCCTCGCAGATTAGCCAAAGGTATGTTGTGAGGAGTTGAGGGACAGTCAGGAGGCCGTCCCAAGGGTCATGAGATTGAATGGAAAGCAAAAGGTGTGAGGCAACTCAGGAAAATGATCTCACATTGGTTATGTCGTTCACGCTGTGTGCGCCGTGCATCAAGCCATCGTACAGTTGCTTCCCCCTGTAGGCTGGCTGTCCCTGCGCCTTGGCAAACTCCTGCAGCTCCTCCAAGGTATTGCCCAGCAACACCTGGCCACCTGAAACAGTGGGAAAACCGCTGAGCACACCATCTGCAAAGAAATGCCTTCCCCTTCAGAGTGTCTGAGGACCTCCAAGACGAGTCATTTGTCATCAAGGAATGCTCTAATCAATAGGACGGTCTGGGCTCACCAGTGTCTGGCCCCCTTCCAGATGTGCTGGCTTGTTGAGAATCCCTCAGCGCCTCTTTCACTGCGATGACGTCAGCGCGATCCCAAGCACCCTCAGTGACACCAGGTTGGCGAGGAATTGTCACCTTTGGCGCGAGCTCCTGAGCTGCAGCAGCCATGCACCTAGCGCCACCTCTCTGCCGTACTTTCTCAGGCATCATGCTTCGGCAACGACATCGCTGCAGGCATTTTATCGATGCTGTCTGACCTAGGTGCACACTTTGCTGCAGAAAAGACAACGTTCTCATCTCGCCAAAAGTAGAAGATCACGCGGATCCTCCGAATGCGTTCAGTGAACCTGAAAATTCACACCAGACGTCAAGACAAACAAAGCAGCTGTAAATCACAATGTAATAATTTGCCAGTACCTACTTATATTTGGAGTTTTGCACTTGCTAGCAATTTGCTGACCTGCAAAACTCCGAAATCGTTTCAGGCGTTCCCTCCAGTTATGTGGTCATCCTCGAGGTTCTCGTCCCTTCCTTCCGTCCCGGCATTTGCAAACGCAGCAGCTTCAAGGCAAACCAAACAGAAAGAAAAAGGGGCCGCAATGGACTTCCTAGCACCTCATCAAAGTGACAGCACGTTTGATTCGATGTTGGCAGGATACCTTCTTGAGGTTCTCCCGACACCAGGACCTGTGTCGCAGAATGCGCACTATGCACCAGGAATGCCCCAGATCATGCCGTCCGAGTTCTTGGGCGAGCCAGGCCTGGACGCGGAGATCATGGTTGGCTTGCCGCAGGACCATGCCAGCTCCAACTCTGGAGAGTATAGCAACGAGCACAACGGAGCACCGTTGGGGGAACCAGTGGCGCATCAGAGATCAAGCAGTGCAGAAGAACATGAAAAATCAGCACAGAGGGCTGCGCGTGTGGCTGAGAAGAACAGGTGCGTGCGTGCACTGCCTTGATGCAGCATGATGCATGCGACCTCTGGAGCTCTGTGATCAGCTATCATTGCCTCACAGGAGGGCTCAAAAGAGATTTCGAGAGAGGGAGAAGATGAAGAAGGCCACGTTGGAGAGCCAGGTGTGTGTGGTTCGCCTGATGGTTGCTCTCACCATCAGAGAGAGCACACGGTGAGATCAACCATGTGCAACCATGTGCTGGTTGCACATGGCTGATCAACGTCAATTTGAATAGCTAGCGTGCCCACGCAAAACTCATGTTCTCAACCCCGCAACATGAAAACTGCTACGCAGGTTGCTGAGCTCACCACGAAGCTAGCAGCGTTGTCCCAGGAGAAGAACAGGCTAGAAAACAGAAACAACATCCTTGAAAAGGTAAGGCTTGATAGAGCTTACGGCTGCAATGCTGGCTTTTGAATGCAATTACAGTGCCGAGGTGTGACAGATATGCACGCGGCACAGGTAGTGAAGCTCAAGGACGAGTACATCACAGATCTGGAGAGCAAGGGGCCGAAGTTGGAATTGCCCCCGGCACAGAGCAATTTGAATGAGGCACTCCAGTGCGCAGTCTGTCTGAGATATCACTGAACAATCTTGCATGCACGTACTACTTTTCAGAGCTTGGTTGAAAGGCATACCTCATCACAAGGAAAGCGATACACCAGTCTCTAACGTAGTCCGTGTGGCGCAGTGACTTCTACAAAGTGGTCATGGAGGGCCCATGCCCGCACAACGATGGCGGAAACATCCCGATGTCTGCTATCCAGAAAACGCACAAGGTGAGCCTTTGACACTTAATTTACAAAATTGATGCCCTGCTATTGCATTGTTTAGTTGACTGCACCAGTTACTGCGTTGCAACAATGCAACATCTGCATGTCAACCTGACCATTTATGGCATGTGGCTCATGGGGTTGGAGCATCATAACTTCATTCCACACTCACTACACACGAACATTGTGCATGATAGTAACGTGACGCCCTGTGGTTGTGCAGGCTTACATCGATGCGCTGGCCAAAGCACTGGTGGAGGGCGCTGAGGATCCCACCAGGCCGGCGCACAAGAGGATGTGTGACCTCGTGCGTGCAGACGTGCGCACTCGCCAAATAACCCTCTGCATGCTAAATTTTTGCTGCGACGACATGAGGGAATGTCAGAGGGGAACATCTTTGAATGACAGCTGTATTGGGGGTTGTTGTGCAGCGGGCAGTGATGGCGCGGATAGGCCTCCTGAGCGACAAGTTGTACATGATAGTTGCCTCGCAGCAGGTCATGCCGCTCGACAAGCCAATCGGCAGGCCGGATATGCAGCACTGGAAGGGTGTCCTGGTGCGCTGCCTCCCCTTAGCTCCTTCCCTTGCTGTAGCTGCGCAAGGACCCCCAAACATTCTCCGACTCTACAGCGTTTTTCTGTCCCTTGCAGCATAGCAGTAAGAGGCCAGAATCCAAAGTTGAGTGCAGACTCCAAATCTGACTGTAGCAAGGCTAGACTTTAAACTTTCCTTTCCAGAAAGTCTGAAGGTGTTTTTGTGTGGTGTGCAGGATACGGTGAATCTGTCTATGTCCCAGAAGGAGGCGGTCCTGGCGGCCAGGCATGATTTGCTCTCGCGCATGGGCTCTATTGTCGCTGACAGGCAGCCCCTCGTGCAGGTGAGCCCAGTGCTGACTCATACTCATGACCTGACCGTGATGTGCTCTCGGCACATGCTGAAGGGCATGTGTAAGCAGGGGCTATCTTCTTTCGATTATCTGGGATTTTTTGCAATGGACATCCAGAGACTTTGCCCGTCTGATCGAGTTGTGCTTCCGATCAAGTCCAGTTTTTGTTGAGGTGCAATTACCTGTGCATGCCATTGATGTAGTGCATGGTGTCCACAGGGAATTGCAGCCAATGCTGAGGGAGGCGACTTCTCCAAGCAGTATGAGGTGCGCTCATCACAGGAAATGATAACAGGAAATGCCTGTTGTCTGGCTGTCAATTTCATTGTCTTCCTTGGCAGCTGGGCATTGTACATATGCTCAACATGCTCCTGCTTGCAAGCAGAGGCGGGAGATGATTGAGCAGCTCCAGAACAATCTCAAGGAGGAGTACCGCGCTGTGTTTGATTTCGAGGTCGCGCTCTATCAGACGGTAAGGCCTTCTCCCCAATTCTGCTTACTTTCCGCTACCAACAGAAATTTGCTAAATTCTGACACTTTCATACAAGCTGTCAGTGCAGCTTACATCGCCTATCACAGTGCTCGTGGGCAGCTGACACCCACACAACCTCTATGTTAACCCCACACAGCTTTCAGCTTGTGGGTGTGTGAGACTTCTTGCAGATTATGGGGGTGGCAGTGTTAGACTCGGAGTGGGTCCTGAGAGGAACACGGGAGCTATGCAGAAGGTTCATGGGCTGAAATACTTCACTGTTCTGTGCACGCAGATTCTCAAGCCGCTGCAGCAGGCGCGCATGCAGGTGGCGTCCTACCCGTGGCCGGTGGACTCGCTGGCCATCTGCGGCCTCATCGCGGCCGAGCGGCAGTCCCGGGAAGCTGGCGGCAGCTTCGAGGAAGGCGCGCAGCAGATGGAGGCTGACTACTCGTCCCTGCTCACCGGCCTGCCTGAGAAAAGCCCTTTCCGCATGCTCGCCGCCCCCATGCCGGTCCTCTGACCTGCTTATTGTTTCGGCGAATGCCCACACGCCAGTCATCTGACCTGCTCTCTGCATTTGGGAATTCCGAGATGCCAATCATTTGACCTGCTCTCTGCCTCAGTGCATGCCCTCACTAGCAGTGTCAAGCAGAATGCACGAGGAGATGTGAGGAAATGGCAAATGCCCCGCCTCTGTTGCAGTTGCAGTAATACTGATATGGCAGCATCAGAAGTGCTTTTGGGTATGAATGGGTTTTTGTTCACCTTTGGTTTAGTATGTGTAGCATGCATGCCTTTGCGCCTGATGTGCTTGTAGAAATGGAGCACTGCCAGAGGGAAGCAGCGGCTGTGGCTTGTTGCCGAGCCGCTGATTCCAGCAGTTATGAAGTTTTGGTCACCTTTTTATTGAGTCCTTTGAATGCAATGTGGGTTGAGACTGCTGGTTGCACAATGTATTGGCAGCTGCACCTTGTTTCCTAGGGTGCATGTTATGTACTTTAGGGGTATTTTTAGGCGATGTTCGTGGGTTGAATATGAACAAAGATCTGGTCCATTCAGATCCGAACCTCATGGGGAAGGGGTTGCTGGGTGAAGTAGTTTACTACTGAAATTTTGTGGGCCTCTCATGAAACAGACCGTACACGGGAATTTCTGTAATGATGCATCATATTGATATATGCATACCTTGAGACTGGTGAATTTACTGTTTTTTTGCAGACGATTGTCTCAAGAGCTTGTCTTTGCAAAAGTCCTGTTGGACATGCTGCACTATCTATTACATATTCCTGATTTTACAATGCGGAGGTACTTTGGGGTTATCAATGCATCAATTCACCAGTGGTTCAATTTTTGGGTTTCTGTGGCTCCTTTATTCAGGGCGATAATATATTTCCTAGTCGAAGGATTTTACAAAATGTTCACCCAGAGGTTGTGTAATATCCTGTCGCAGCAGCCTTTGCTGCATCGGGTGCCAGATTTAATAACCTCTCATACCCCATCTCCTCATAATGCGCTTTGGTGATGGCCTGCTGCGAGTAATCAGGGCTGGTCGCAAATGCCGAGGCCCCCTTCCACGCTGCAAGCACAGGATCCGATGGCATGTGCACGCCCACCTGCAAACATATTACACACCCTGTCCCTTCCCTGTCCTTACGCAACACTTTCCTAGCAAGCCAGGCCCAGTCACTGCTCGTACACAGCCACAATACAATGCAGAAGCTTGCACATTTGAAGGAGGCTGGAGAAGGAGGAACTTATTGCTGCTGTGAAGCCTTGGGCAAAGGAATGCATTGTTGCTGCATGATGTTCACTTGCAAGGCAGCCTTTCATATCTCTGGCGCTCGTTGTGCCTGATCTCTGCAATTATTTCCCTCTAGAACGCCAAAAACAGAAAGCTTTTAAGGACAGCAGGCAGTGGACGGACCTCTATGTCGTCGGGCACGAGCGGCCGCAGCTCCTTGTACAGGCGGTCCCGGAAGCCGGGGCATTTGGCGGAGCCGCCAGTGCAGAGGACGTTGGAGTAGAGCAGCGGGTGCAGGTCTGGGTGGGCCGCCTCCACCGCGTCCACGATGGTCTGCGCGAGGCCCGCCTGCTCCAAGCCGATGTCTGACGGCTGGAACAGGACCTCCGGCACCATGAAGCGCTCGTTGTTCAGCATCAGCACCTGCGCGCACAATGGGATCAATCACTTACAATTATCTGGCAGCCCAGAGAGGCAACACCGTAATGCATTGGGAATGTGCAATATCGACTAAGGAATGACCACAGGTAAATGCGTCTGCCATTTGCTGAGCGCTGTGAATCTTGGAAGCCAAGCACTGCATGCGATTAGATCATCGTAGGTTGAACAACCTTTCTGGATCCTGCCTCAAGGCTGCCTCAAGCTGTGGGTAAGTCTACCATGGCCCCGCTTCAAAGAGAGACCTGGGATTACCTCATGGCAGAGGCATCATGGCCAAGTTACCCACAAGCTGTTGTTCCTAAAAGCCTCGGTCAGGCACGCAAAGACCTCACGAGGCCAATCATCAAGTCCCACTCCAGGCAAGGGAGAATTTTGCAGTCTCACCTGTTCCCGGCTGGACTTGTCGGCGGCGGCCTGCTTGCCCCTCTCCCGCGGCTGCGGCTGACGCACGTGGCCTAGCTGCTCGTTCACACCGTCCGGCAGCACATACTCTAGTCTGTGTGCCCCGGCGCGCGCGCCCGCCAGATCAGCCCTCAGGTCGGCGGACACAAAGCAGACAGTGTCCTTGATGTGCTCCACTAAATATGTTTCCTCCATCATGTTTATGCTCCTGCGGGTCCAAGGAGCTAAAGCTTTAGGACTGGAACAGCGGCGTTTCGATGCAGCCAGGAACTGCATGACTACGCGTCCTAAGAAATCGTCCATCTCAGCCTTTCAGGCCGTATGCAGGTGCATTCTTCTGGATCTGCAATCTCAAGATGAACTTTTGTCTTCTTCTACCACATAGAAAGGCACAATAGCCAGCCTCCATCCATCAGCATTGATTGTTGGAACACAGGTGGGCCAGAGATAGCATCAGCCGCACAGGTCTCAGTGGATTGTGTCCTGCAGGTTGTGCAGTGCTGCACATCAGTGATGCACGCTCTTACTTCTTCATGGACGGTGTGGGGGTGTGCGCACCGATATGAGACGAGCTCCTTCAGGTAATTCGTGAGCGCCTTGCCGCCGAGGTTGACACGCCGCACGGCCGGCCACAGCACGCGCCCGTCGCACAGCGGCACTGCGTGCGTGAACGAGAAGCCTGCATCCACAACCACGCCAACGCCCGCAGCCGCCGCCGGCAGATCGGCGCGCTCGGCCGCCCACGCGCGCAAGCTCAGCGGCTGCGCCGGCATCGCCGCAAAGCTCCTGAAGCCGTACTCCTCAAACACCATCTACGGTGCATGGTGATCCCCCACTTCACATCAATGCTTGGACGCGTCATGTGAGCTGTTTGCGGTCAAGAGCAGGCGTAGGATTGTTGCTGGCGTACGCATGCCAGAGCAGGCAGTGTACCTAAAACCTTCAAGCCTATGCAGATGAGGATGGTGAGATCTATGCATGCAGAATTGAGGAGTACCTGCAGGGTGGAAGCCTGGATGCTGGGCAGGTTGAAGGGCGGCTCGGTCATGAGCAGGCCGCAATCCTGCGGCTGCATCTGCAACAGGGACTTGAACGCCCGCCACCAGACTGCCTTCTCCACATCCCAATTCACCAGGTAGCCCCTGCATGGTACACCTAGTGTCGAGACTGCTACGCTGAAAGGATTGACTGCATGCTTGTATGCAAGCAATCAAGGGAGGGGCATACTAAAGTCCCCCGGAAGGCCCTGACCTGTCAAACGGCCGCTTTAGCACCAGCGAGGAGGCATCTCTGTAGCTCAGCAACTGGTCAGCGACGAAGCTCTGCCGCTCCCCCTTTGCGCGTCCAATCGCATTGGGAAACACTCTGCACACCACAGTCATACCTAGGCCTCACTTGGGAAGGCTGTCCCTTCACGGGCTTGAGGAGCTGGATGCATGCAGTCAACACAAGGGACATGCATGAGCCAGACCATGCCTGTATGGCTCGGACTGTCCAGCTAACCCAATCTTGCAGGACGATCCGCCGTTGTCCAGCACTATCACAGGCTCATGGCCCATGCTGATCAACAGCTACGGTAGAAAATGAGACACACCGGCGTGGGTCAGATGTGAAACTGGATGTATAGATTTATGGTTCTAGATCTCCAACCTGATCTAGAGGATATCCCTTTTGGATATCTAATATTCCAATTTGGGAAAGAGATCCGCTGATATGACGAGGCAATATAAATGCTTTTCGGTGATTCACACGCCAAAATTAACGCGTACCATTTTCACACGTATATAAAAAACAAGGATCAGCAGACTTCGCCCTCAAAATTGCGAGCTTTACTGCAAAATTGCCAAGATGCGGAAAGGTTGCCTAATTATAATACATCTTAGAGGAATTTCCTGTAGATACTTATGGCCTGCCTGAAAGCACACGAAATCTTTCGCTGGATCCTGTGGCCTCTAGAGCGATGAATATACCCAACTCCCCAAGTGCTGGTCACGGGGAGTGCCCACGATCGCGTGTAGCAGGTACTGCGATGGGGTAGTGCTCGGTGGAGGAGCGGGTAGGCACGACAACAGCGGCCTGAGTGAACCCAGCAAATCTGCCCGTGTGCTGCAGCGTTGTCATCGTTGAGCAAGCAGAATGGGACAGGCATGCTCTTGTATGAGCGATAGCAGTCCGGGCGGTCATGCTGACGAAGGAGCTGCGGTGGTACGCCCAGGCAAGGTGAGGCTGCCGAGGGAAAATCCAGGGATGTAGAAAGTGCGAGGTTCGTTAGACCTCAATAGAGATGATCTCATCTTATGCAACTGCTGAGATGCTGAGGAGCTCTTGCCGGCAAGAACTTTTGTCATTTCTGCATATCTCTATGGTCCCTGGCAGGGACACCCCTCTCGTCGTTCTGGGGCCATACCTTACTATTTTCTCTTTTAGGCAAATTCCCGGTACTCAGTACTTCCAAATCATTTCAAGGAAGCTGCTGTAGTAGCTGCTGAGCCTGGTGGAGGACCTTCCTGAACACTGAGCCTGGGTACATTCTTGCAGGGTCAGTTGTATGCACTTGACCGAGGCAGCGCTAAGGAGGAGATGTTGGATGGAGCCATCAATAGTGTGCTCAAGGAGCAGGCAAAAGCAACCAAGCCAGGGCTCGTGCAGCCCACAGCTGGGGAAGCCGTAATTGAGGACTTTGATGCGCAGCCAAAGCGCACTGCTGTCTTCGACCTCGATGCAGTGGAGCTCAGGGACCGCTGCGACTCGGCCTACACACCGCATGTGGTGCCGTTTGAAAACATGAGCCCAATTAGCGATGGACGGAGCTGCCAGGAGTCGCAGAAGGCGCGCACATCTATTATGTGCTTTACTCTATCAGAGCATGCAATATGGAGCCTGGCGCAGTCTGGCTGGCTTGTTGCCACTCTACATTAATCAGTGGCTCCTTAGGAGAGGATTCTGAGGTTACAAGTGTGAATACAGGGTCTGCCTTATGAGACAGTCAACCTGGGTCCTCCCAAGCCGCCATGCAACGACGATCGCGTGGCCACGATCCGGGCTCTGGACTGCTCTGATGGGCCGCCAGACCCGCAAATTGGTGAGGGTCCCACCTTCACTGTCGCGCACAAATACCAGATGTGTGGTTGTCCAATGCGGGGAAGTTTGGTGCACCAGGGGCAATTCGCTCAAAATTGTGGACTGGCTGTCTAGGTGCAGTCCCCACAGTGGGTCTTTGGACATGTATCACAATTCCACAGAGAACAGAACAGACACCTCTGTGCTATGTTCCGCGCCTATTGTCTCCTTCAGGAAGGAACGGTTTATGATGGAGCTAGATTCTCTCACCGTATGCTGAGATTTGATGAGATGCGAAGCAACAGCAAGGCAGCAGACCTTTGTATGCCCCGCAGACGTGACTGCAGACGCCCTGCGTGTATGCCCTGTGACCTCTGGCTTAGGGTTCGCCGACCTTTTAATATTAATGATGCTGAGGGGCTGTGTTGGGGTGGCGCTGCAGAGCACATAATCCAGCTGGCGTGCACAGTGTTTGGGACGTCCAACGCGCTGGTGGCGCTGCTGGACTCGGAGCGCATCATCATCCGCAACGGCAGCGGCATGTTTGCGCCGGGCGACTTCCCTTGGCGCTACTCCTTCTGCGGCTACACGCTCACGCCCCAGAACCCCACCACCATGGTCATCGAGGACGCCCACAAGGACGCTCGGTGCGGCCTCCTACCTGAATCTTATATATTCCTTCATACGATCACTGCAAATCCTGTGTACCCCGTATCTCGCACAGTCCTGGTGTTTTATCATAGGGGTTCCTTTTGTGGCATCCATGGATAGCTGCTCATGGGGCTGTGGGGCAGTTGGAGGAAGTCCTCGAGCTGCGTGGCTTGTCAGCTCCTCATTGTCAATGGCAAGCTGGACAATGTGCTGCCAATTTTTATAAGGTCATGTGCTTGTGGCTGATTGTGAATTTTTGGTCCGCGGTGCAGGTTCAAGGACAACGTGTTTGTGAACGGGGACCCCCCGGTGCGGTTCTACTGCGGGACGCCGCTGGTGGCCAGCAATGGGCACCGCCTGGGGACGCTGTGCTTTGCGGACCACGAGCCGCACAGCTTTGACGCGGAGCGCTGCAACATCCTGAACAACATGGCGGAGCTGTGCGTGCGCGAGATCGAGCGCGACTACATGCTGCGCCAGCAGAGCCAGCAGCCCTCCGAGCTGGAGCTGGTGAGCGCTCCAGCAGCTTTTCAAGAGCTGCTTTGGCTGAAGAATTGAACACTCGTTTCACCTGTGCTGCTCCTGGGCAATAACTGGAGCATATCATCCACCTGCTTTTCAAGAGCTGCTCATGGGCAATGATGGTGACACATGTTTTACACGCCTGTCCAGAGCTGCTCTTGGGCAACGATTGACAGAAGTGTTCACCTGCAAGTTAAGAGCTGCTTTTGGGAATGGATTGGAGCGCAGAATGATCTCAAGGCAGAACGGGACGTGCAAGGTTGCATATTTCATGGTGGAGATTGTGGCTGCGTGATGTACTTTGCGCGGAATGCAGCCAATCCTGGTGATTGTTTGGGAAAATCGTCCGCGCTTGGTACATTGCACATTTAGGCCTGCCTTCAACCGGGGGGTTTTAGGTTCTGCTTGCTGTTTCGTGGCATTACTGCTGTTCAAATGTTGGGATGATGAGGTTGGCTCAAATTTTTTCATTTGTGTGGCTGCAGCTGAATGCTGGCATGAAGCGCGCGCTGGAGGCGTTTCAGGAAGCCATCCTGATGGTGGACGCCTCCTCCCAGGACACATGGACTGTGCTCCACGTCAACAGCGCGTTCCTGCAGCAGACTGGTGCGCCGCCTGTGTCTTCTTCTGCGTGCTTTTGTGAGGTCCTGAGGCTGACCCGCGTGCAAAAATGGATCTTTTTCCCAATGTGGGGTTTCTGCTGTCAGAAACCTTTCTCCAGGGTTCTGACACCCTGATTGGCAAGCATCGAGGGATGATTACACGTATCAGTATGCTGCACGCGTGTGACATGTCATGAGGCTGAGCGAATGCCTCCTTGTCTCGCTGTGCATGTGGATTCTCTCTTGAGCTCAGCCAGGATTGTGACCTTGTGAGTGGCATTGCTGCAGGGTTCAAGAGGAACGCAGTGGTGAAGGGCGACTTCTGGGAGGTGTTTGGCATGAAGGACAGCGCTGAGGTACCCGAGACAGTGAGGGAGACGGCGCTGCTGGGCAAGGAGTTCACCATCAGCAACCTGGTGATCAGGGACAGCGCCAGCCTGGACCCTGCCGCCGCCTCCGCAGCCCCCGGTCGCCTCTTCAACATGGGCTTCAGGTGCGCCCTTGCAACCTGCACAGAGTCGTCCCAGCAGTCTCATGTTGTCTGTGTAACATCAGCTAGCATCAGCTGTCTCAGCTCATGACTTCAGCCCGAAAGGCGCCACTGGGCGCAGACTTCGAGGAGGCAAGGTGCACACTGTGGCTCCCTTGATGGCAGCGAGATTCCGAAATACAATCCCTTTGGCACATCTGTTCCTGCAGAGACGTGAATGCGGAGTTTTCCTGTTTGAATCTCTGCTCGCTGCACAATCACATTATAAATTGCGTGCCTTTTTGTCATTGCACTGTCACTTGACATGGGGCGTTGCCTTTAATTTGCAGGCCGGCGAACCGTGACCAGCTGGACGACAACATGCTGGCCATCGGCGTTCCCTCCTACATGCCCTCCTCCAAGAAGTCCGGCCGCGGCCTCTACTTTGTCTCCATGCGCGAGGCGGCCGCAATCACCTCCATCAACTCCACCTGCAGCAGCCTGGGCGAGTGCAACCTGCGAGATCCACCCTTCGCGGACCTCGAGCTGGGCACGCTGCTGGGCAAGGGCGGCTACGGCAGCGTCTACCGCGGATCCTACAAGGAGCAGCGCTGCGCCGTCAAGGTGCCGCCTCGCACCCTGCTTCCCTGCGTATGGGTCATGTATATGCACCCCTGGCGGCAAATTTGCAGCCTGCTGAGCAGTTCTTGTGAAGCGTTTGTGACGCCGATAGATGTCTGGTGTCTGGTGCGGTGGTTGGTGCCTCGCCAGTGCCTGCTGCTCCATTTGCCATGTAGGAGCTGTGATAGGGTGTGCACCTGAGAGCATGATGGAAGGTCAGTACAAAGGAGCGATAGCCTGACGAGAGCATGTGCAGCAGAGTGGGATGGACAGACAAAAGCAGTGTCAGTGCCAAAGGATGCTGTCAGGGAAAGTGAGCGGCTGTCATTGTGCAGGTGATCGAGGACCTGAATGCGATTACAATGATTGACGGGAAGCCGCTGGAAGCTGTGATCACAGAGGGCATGCGCCACCCCAACATCGTCAACACAATCGCACACACCGTGCAGCATGCGCCGGCGCCGCCGCCGCGGCAGCCGCGCACACACGACTCCGCACACAGCACCCTTCACAGCAGCCCAGGCACCTCCACAACTCCGCGCAAGGCCCCTAAGGGGCTGCAGTCGGAGGGCGTTGCCTGGCTCCTGCTGGAGTACTGCGACATGGGCTGCCTGCAGGTGCTTGCTCCTCACTACCCACCTTTGCCCCTCCCCTGTGAGGAGAATCGCTTGCCATTTTCCGCGCAGCAGCGGCAGGCCTTGCGCATTGACTCATGAAATGGGAGGCATTGCATCACGCTGCACTCTCTTTGACCCTTGTCTCTTGCTCAGAACCGAGCAGCCTGTTTGTCGCTCAGTAGCTCCAGGTGGTGGTGTAAGTCATGGCATGGGACGAAAGGCATCACATGTCTGGTTGAGGCTGCATGGCGTGGGATCTCATGCACAGATTGTGTGTGCGTGCAGGAGGGAATCGACAAGGGGTGGCTCAGGGAGGAGCGATCGCTGACCTCGGCAGAAGGCGTGCCCTGCATGGCCACCATCCTGGCCGTGGCCCTGGAGATCGCGAGCGGAATGGCCTTCCTGCACGAGCGCGACGTGGTCCACGGCGACCTCACAGGAGGTCCGAGCCTGCTGCTACTTAAATTTATGTCTGCAACCCTTTGGTTTGCCGCATTCATGTGGTGATGAGTAGACCAGTCGTTATCGTGAGCAGTTCCGTGACAGTGTTGACGCTGTCTTGATGGCTTCCTGAAGCAGGGTCAACCCTCTTGTTCCACTTGCCTTCTCAGGTGTGCACCGCACAGGACATGCCCACATACCAGAGTCTTGTGCTGGGGAGTCGAGGTGATATTTGCGATGTGGGTTTTGCAGGGAACATCCTGCTGACGAGCAGCGCAGAACAGGCGCACGGCTTCACGGCCAAGGTGGCAGACTTTGGGCTGGCGCGCAACCTGGCCATCACGTCCAAGGTTGAGACCCGCACCTACGGCACCATCACCCACATGCCCCGCGAACTCCTCTGCAATGGCGTCCTCTCCAAGGTGCGCCACACATGCTGCACCCCCTGCTGACTCCCCAATCCAGGGGTGACCTTAATACTTCCGAAAGTACATTGTCGTCTCGTCGTCAAGACTGCTCTTTGTTCATAAATTAAAAGCTTACATGCCGCATCCGTATCTGTTTGTCTTCTCTGCATGCCGGTGTGCACTCTCGCTCAGTGGCTAGGGCAAGCATGCGCAAGCTTGGAGGTGCAGCGCAGAGGCTGTAGAGGCCACTGGCATTAGGGATGGTTCTGTCAGCTGGCAGCAGGGGTGCACACCATGTGAGGTGTGTGGACATGTGGTGCAGGCGGCTGACGTGTACGCGTTCGGAGTGCTGCTGTGGGAGATGATGGCGGGCTGCCGCGCATGGGCGAGCATGAAGCATGCGCAGGTCATGCACTGTATCGTGGTGGAACAGCGCTCGCTTGTCTTCCCGCCGCACGCCCCGGCCGACTACGCCGCCTTCGCCGAGCGCTGCCTCTCACACGAGCCCGCCGAGAGGCCCAGCTTTGAGCAGGCCTGCGCCGAGATTGCCGCCCTGCAGGCCAAGCTTGCCTGATGCGTGGCTGCGAGAGTGTGTCTTTGCCATTGTCACCTGCGGGAGGGCTGAAAGGGCAGGCAGAGATTGCCTGGCAAATAACTGAGAGGGTATCATGCCAATTTCCAATGGAAGAGAGGGGCACTGTATCAGATCGGCATAAATAAAGAGAGCTCCGATCAGGAGCGATATGACACCATCAGTGCTTTGATGCAGCGAGAGCTGCAGCAGTCAAGACAGGATGCGTTTTTGCAACATGATGAGTCTGCTACGGATGCTTTCTGATGAGTCGGGTGTCTGTGCCCAGTCACTTATAATAATTCATTGTCGTCACAAGGCAGGCCTTGACAAGCAGGCGCTGCCGCACGACCACTCTCACAAGCGTTGCCATTGTGCACGGTTTGGAGACACACCTATGTCATGAAGGTTCCGTATTACGTCAAATAAGATTGTATCGTATTGGTTGGTGAGCAGAGTCAGGGCATGGTTAAAGGATCAGGATGTTGGAGGGGCAGCTGCTCCTAGTGCCAAGGGTGAATGATGATGATTGAGCATCTGCATATCCAGCTGTTGACTGGGTGTGTTTGAAAGTCATTTAATCGTTGCTGGGAGCAGCGTGCATATATTGACTATTGTTGGGAGCAAGGCCGTTCCTGAGCTCTGTATATTACACTGAGATAGAATGCGCATGTTTCCCTTGGTCCTAGAAAGGTTTTGGAGTTTGACGCTGTGCAAGCTGTCACAAGTGGGTGCTTTTATGTGTCAGTGCATGTGCATGCGTGTGAGTTCTGGGTGCATGACCATGTGGGAACCCAGGCCCAAGAACAGAGACAAGACGTGTATCACTCTGGTGTTTGGATGTGTAGATCATGACGAGACCTCATGAAGACACCTGCTTTGTTTGTGTTGCTGCGCAGCTTCAAATATGATGTATCATTATGATATGATTGTTGGCGCTGATCTGAGTCCATTGGGTGCATAGGCCAGCGGCACCATTGTGGACTCAACAAGGAATTGTTTGCCCTGTGATGGGCGTCTGGTTGACCTGTGCAGCCTCTCACCATGTTGCAGTTTGTGGCTTACTAAGTTTGTGGCCTTGAAGGCTTCAAGGTCTACCAAGTTTGTGGGATGACTTACTGTCCTTTTTTCTCAATGCGTGCACGCGTCAATCCTGTAATTTTCGTGATACACATAAGACGACTAGCCCATCACCGGGCTTCCTTGCTTCCCCTTCAAAACTGTTGGGCATCATTGCAAGCCATGCATGAGGATCCAGGGTGTCCAAGATTGGCTGGCCACCTCAACACTTCTGTCCAGCTTCTGTCTGCCTAATGGTGCCAATACATTGCTGGTAAAATACATTGCTGGATAGGTGTAGTGAGTTAAAACTTTCTGCAGTGCGTTTCCAGGCGAAGCATTGCGTAGTAAGGCGCTGATTTCCAGCAAGTTTGACTGCGATGTTCACGCCTCATGACCTCCATCCTCGGTCAAGACAGCTCGGCAGAATACCGTTTCCGTCGCTCACTCCATGGGCTGATCCTAATGTCTCATCGTCAAGCCCACCGTTGGGCACCCCATCTCCCATCCATCTGGCTACTCCTGTGTTGCCCAGACTTGGTCCTCGCCCTCTCCAGCCCCAGCAAACTGTAAATTACGGTGTGACAATGATTTCTGGCGACTCTTGAGATTAATATTTGTAGTGCGAGCAATCGTGCCTCACAAGTGACTTGTTCTAGTTTTTTACTGAAGACCAGCATTGCAAGCAGTGCCACAGCATTCCTTCATAACTGAAACAATCTAACCATCGAAATGTGATGATCGAATGAGATTGATCTCACGTTGCTTCAGGTGAAAGCAGAACCGGGAGCCATCAGGGGGGAGGGCCTGGTGCTACACAGTCAGCGAGCACCCACAAATCACGGCTGGGCAGTGAAACACCAGCCTCGCCGTGGCTGTGGCCATCGCGCACGCCTGCTGAGTCCTCCCAGCGTGACAGCGCCAGGAAGTCACCCTCACTCGCAAGTCTGCCAAAGCCCAGCGCCAGCTTGCAGGACAGCCGCGATCGGGGTGAGACCATCATCCTCTACTGCAGCTACATCCTGCCGAAAAAGCTGATCCTGCACTGCATGTGGCTGCATTATGTGTGGCTTGCTGCTTGACTTTGTGTCGAAAACCAGAGCAGGAAGACTCCATGAGCTTCCTTCTTTTCACTAAAACTCATCCTGTTACCATAGCCCGGTCAACCATGAACAAAATTGCGTGTGGTGCAGACAGGGGCAAGAGCGGCTTGCTGAACAGCCTGCATGCTCACAGCAGCGCCCGAAGGATGCTGCATAATGCGCCAACCGCCATGTCGCCTTCGCTCCCCAAGGCAGCGCGCGCCGATCCTGCCCTCGTCAATTTTGCCATCACCGAGGGACGCGCGAGGCTTGGATCGCCCCTTTTGCGTGCTGACTCGACTGCTGAGCTGTCAGTAGATGGCCTCAGCCTACAGAGTGGCACGCTGCAGCTGCCTACACCAATGCTGCAGGGCGTGCAGCAACAAGCCACCACAGGTGAGCTGAGAAGTCCAAGGTCAATGGGAGTGGGATCATCTTGTGAGCAGCGATCCTCGTGAGCCATACGTGACGGCAAAGATAAAGTCCAATTGAGCTCGCTTGAAAGAAGCTTCTGTTTGTGAGACCAGGGTGCTCAGTCAGGTGACGTGCCTTAAATTCTTGAGCGCTCCGAAGATTTGCTTAGATAGCTGTTCACACAGGCATTTGGTGCAGGTGCGGCCGCGGGAACATCAATGGCGCAGACAGAGGTCCAGATGGGGGCTAGGAGGAAACCGATGCCTGTCAATTCCCCGCGCCTGACAGCAGCGCAGCCTTCATGGCTGACATCGGCACAGCAGCCGCCAGCCTCTACAGAGAAGGCCCAGGCCAGCACTGGAAGCGCATGGTCGCCCATGCAGCCAGCCCAGAAGAGGGGACTACAACCGTTGGGTGCAGGTAAGGTTTGCCTCTCTTTTCAGGCCATGTCAATATGGGCGTCAGTGCATAGACTAAAGTCAATCTGACGGGCCGAGCTGAACAGGACATTGCACGCATGCGAGTCTGGTGTTAAGGTGTGAGTTGGTGTTGTCAGGGAAACTCCGAGTCTTGAGCGCAGCACCGCCGCCAAACAAGCAGGAAGAAGCAGAGGCACCATCACAACCTGCCTCCGTTTCCTCGACGGACACCCCGCCACTCCAAACAAGCATTTCTGCCCAGCCTGCTCTGTCGGGCAATCTGCGCTCTGCCAAGGGTAATTCTTCGATCATTTCCAGTGTCTGCTGCTGTGATTTTGTGCCTTGACAGGCCAGCAATCTTAATCACCAGCCCCTATGGCTCTCGTTTCTGCCTGCTGCCCATTGCTGGTTGCACCGAATGGTGCCCATCTGCTAAATGCTGCATGCTCAGTGCTCCTGGGAGGTGCACACATGGCACGCAGAGGCTGATTGCAGATGATGATGGGGGCTCTCTATCAATGTGAATTGTCACTGGGCGCAGGGCGGAGCAAGGAAAGACTTGAGGAGCTGCAGGAGATTCTGAGGCAGCTGGGCGCCCTGGTCCTGCCGCAGCCGTCGCACCCGGCGCCTGTGCGCGCGTTTGAGGGTGTTCCCTTGAAAGGAGCCTCCAGCGATGGGGGATGGGCGCGCGAGCGGCTGGAGCAATTGCGAGACTTGCAGGCGGAAGCGGCCGACTCGCTGGTAGTGCGACAGGTGGGTTCTCAGAGGCGCCACCTGCTGCAAAGACAGTTGTCCAGGTCCAGCGGCCTGCAGATGTCCAGTCATGCTGTGCCCAATAAGGTGCTACTGGGTGTAATTGAAGATATTTCTGCCCCATGTCCTGTCTCTCGATACTTGAATGTCTGTTGCGCCGCTTTGCCCATGCCAGGCTTGTCTTTGCGCCGCTGGCTTGTAAGAATCAAAGTCTAAAGTCCAGTGCATTCTAAGTGATCGTTCAGTTGTCTTTCCTGATCTAAGGTGTGAAATAGCTTCAAAGGGAGGTGATTTGCTGGTCCAGGAGCACCAGGTAGCCGACAGCGGCGGAGCAGCATTGGCTAAGGTGCTGTCGGTCTCCGCGCGGCCGGAGGCTCGCCGGACGGCATTGCTGAACATCGTCACGCAGCCGGCGCTGCGGCAGAGGCAGAGCCGCGGCGCAGATGGCGGCAGCGACCGCGATGGGGGACGGCCGGCGGCGCGTGCACAGTGCGCTCAGGCGGAGGGGTTATTGGAGCGCCTCCGGCGGCTGCAGGCCCTGCAGAGCGAAGCTGCCCAACTCCTTGTGCCCTAAGAGAGGAGGCTAGCAATCGTCGGGGAGGGTCGTTGGCGAGCGCTCGCCGGAACCGTTCCATGTGACATCATGTGATTGTTTGTAGTGTGAACACTGTTGGCAACTTGTCATTGAATGGAAGTATTTGTGTATTGTACTTCACTAGCCTTCTGAGAATAGAACGGGGAAACTGTTGGAGCTTTTAATGTGCAATCCGTGCTTGAGGGGATCAGCTGTGCCTTCAGCGGATGCAACTTGCAACACTGAATATTCGCAGTAATGTGTGCAAAGTATCAATTTGATCAGCGGGAATGACTCATTGCCAGTCGGACTGCCAAGTCTAAAGGAGTGCTGGTGGGTCAGGTTTGCATGATGCACGCCATGCTAGAAGGCTGGGCCCCTGCTGCGGCATCTTCACTCAGCACATTGCATGCACAAGATGTACCAAGCTCCCCAAATTTGTACATTTGGCGGCTCTATGACCTGGGATCAGTGAAGGTGACTCAGCATCAGTAGAGCTTCATCAGAACCGCTATTCTTCCATCTCTGATATTTCATCCTCGTCTCTGAAACTTTCTTCGGGAGTTCGTCTGGAGAGGCAGCCGGCTGTTGCTAGCTACCCGTGATACTGGGTCGGACTGTATCTCAGGTGCATAACTACCGGACTAGCGTTTCAGTGGCCACCTCCGAGATAGTGCGTTGCAGAGGCCGAGGGAGACCCTATTTGTGCGATCCTCGACTATCAGCTTGCGTCGCAGGCCAGCTGCGACAGGTATGCTGCTGGGCATCTCTACCTCTCACGCAAGAGTTGCAATCGGCGCGAAATCGCGCTACTGTGAAGCTGCTGTCGTACCCAAGGGAAGGACTGGCGTTGCGTCATGCAGGCTCACTACGTCATTTTTATTCTTAACGAAGAATATGCAGAACTGAACCTCACTGTGATTACGGACCGCTTTGAAGCGTTCGGATGTGGTGGTGTGCTTCCCAGGTTTCGGGATGCTCCAGGGTGTATGGGCGCGGTGACGAGAGGAACGCACCTGTTTCTGTTCGTCTATGTCATCTTAAATATCAGCGTTACCCAGGTGAGCATCAACAAGCCCTCTTGGTGCCAATAACCTTGGGAAGGATTCAGGTTCTGAGGCAGGTTCCAGGTTGACTTCTGGACGTAGCAGTCTGTGCTAACTCGCCTGCCAAATACCACTTTATTTGAAAAGGTATCTAAGTCAATGATCGTCTTTACTGGAGCATGCTGACACTCACAGATGTAATCCTTTGGCCTTGCAGGGCGCAGAGGTCGAGGGGCTCCGAGTGGTGCGGAGGCCGGGGCGCAGGCTCCTGCAATGCACGACTGAGGCGGCCTGCAGGGCGCGCTGCCCAGCAGGCAACAACATCATCTACCTAGCGCCCCAGGATGGCACCTCGGGGCAATGCGTCTGCATCTGCAGCCCCACCAACACGCAGCAGAACTCCACGCCCTCGACGCGCACCAGCTCGGGCCTCATAGGGGGCAGCAGCTTCGCGCAGCCGCTCAGCGGCGGCGGCGGGGGCGGCAGCGGCGGCGGTGCCGGCGTGGCATCGGGCGGCCAATCCGGCGCCGGCGGGACAAACCCAGATTCTGGCAGCGCAGACAGCAGCACAGCAGCTTCCACACAGAGCTCTGGGTCCGGCTCGGTTGTGGGCACGGTGAACTCAGCCTCGCAGCAGAGCAGCTCCTCTAACAACCTGGTGGGCACAGTCCAGTCATCAGGCTCTTCGGGTTCTGCGAGTGAAACCACTACGGCTGCCCTGGTCAACTCAGCGACTAGCGGCAGCAGTGCTGGGTCAGGTGGCAGCAGCACTTCTAGGTCTTCCAGAGCACCTCCACAGAGCGGCTGAGAGCTGAGCTGAGCTCAGCTAAGCTACAGCTCAGCTCTCAGCCTATGTTTTGCGCTCAGCTCTCAGCTCTCAGCCCATGCTTCACGCATTGTAATTTTGCAGCTGCACGCCCCTGCAGCCTGTCAGTCACCCTTCAAGGCTTCTCTATTGTTGATTCTTCCCACCAAATTGACGAGACGTAGAGGACTATCTCAGATTTGATGTGGTTTTTTTCTCCTAGGGTTGATTTTGAGGTGCAAGCAAGGTCCTGCGATGACCTGTCGACCTCAGTGTGCAGATGGGATTGTACATGCTTTTTGCATGTTTTGGACGATATTTACGTGAACATACTTCTGCTAAATGTGCGACTCCAGATGGTTTCTTCTGTGAGTATGTGAGGCACCCTTGCTCAGCTCAGTGTACAGAAGGACTGAAGTGCCCACTGCGTTTGCAAGCTTCTACAGCTTGCCAAGAGCAAGAGCAGCTCTGTGCTGCGGCCCCAAAGCATCAGGAAGTTTTTAACTGTGCAGGAACTCACAATCAGAATACGTTGGCAAGCATGCAATGGTCTCCAGCAGACGAAGTGAATACTATTGATTACATTTCATGTGGAGAGGTCGTAGGAAGTAGAACTGCTTGGCCCGATCTGCTTCTGTACAGCTGTGTATTTATTCTTGTTCTGTGCCACCCTTATGAGCAGTGCAGGGCATAAGACTTGCTGGCGGCAGTGGCAGATTTTGATGAAAGTTTCTCTTTTATTGGTAGCTTCATGCATCACTGGATGCAGAGGCGCCCAAGGTGTACAAAGTTCCACCCAGACTGCTGGCACTTTGTGTAACTTATTAGACGAGGCAAAGACGGATATCCTGCTTTCCTATGGCATGGCAGATATGTAACGGATCTTGGATTGGATATTTGGCTGTCGTCATTGAAAGGCACAGCCACTCATGCATGGTTCGCAAATTGTAATGGAGTGGTGCGCTTCCATGCTGACCACCACACTTGCACAGGGCAACATTTTGAAGCTACACACATGACTGGGCTACCTGAATGACACCCCCCGACTGCCCTTGGTATTCCGCACCCTCAAGCACACTCAAGCTGGGACCCTTCCTGCTACCCCTATCGCCACATTTGATCGGATCTCCAATTCACATGAATCAATCATTTTAGAAACATATATGTTTCTGGCTTGTTCAGAAGTCGTCCTTTTGTGACAAATTTTAAAAGGTCCTGAAGCAGCACCTGCCACCTTGCACATCATGCAGGGGGCCTTAAGGTTCTATTTAAGCTTATAGATCAGTTGGTGCCCATTGCGGCGGGGCCCAGTGCCGCAGACCTGTGCGCCAGCCACTGCATGACGGTCGCAAACGCATCCTCTCTGGCAGGGTCCTCGCAGCACGCCTCTGCAGACATGTCAAGCACCGAATTCAAATTCGAATTGTAGATATCGCGCACAATCCTCCTGAAGATCGGCAGCGAGCTCCACTTGAAGCGCTGCCACACGTTGCGCAGGGAACGCTGCATCGCCTGCAGCCGCGCCTCTGGAACAGCCAGCAGGATCTGCGGCAGCTGCTCTATGTCCGCCTGTGCACTCCCCAGCAGAGGTCCTCTCAACAATCCCAGCATTCTCCCAGACAGGACATCATCATTTCTCAGCGCTGGGGCTGAAGCCAAGGCAATAAGTCCCCAGCAGTGCAGCTGTCTTGTGCTGGCAGCTTGGACTAGGAAACAGGAAATACTTCTTCCATTTGCTTACACATTGTACAGTATGATGGGCTGCAAAAGGAAAGTAAAAGGGTGAGCTGAACCCAGCGGGACAGCAAGTGCGGTGGAGGCTTTGGGGAAGCAGCCACCTCAGCGATGCGGAGGGAGAAGGCGCTCCAGTCGAGGATAGAAGAGAACACGGGGTCCACTTCATCCATAACCACCACCGGCACGCAGCCGTGCAGGATCGCATCCTCCGCCCGTGGCGAAAATCCGTCGCCTGCCAGAATTTGACTCACTCACCCTTGCAGCAATACGTTTGTAGTTAATAGAGGGGATTGACTGCATGGATCACAATCACGCAATCACAATCACGTTTGTGTTCAGGGCTGCAGTGACTTGCAGGCATGCAGTGACTGATCATATCATGTCCTCCACAGAGGGCTCCACTAGATTGAGGAAGCAGTAAGGAATTGGCGAAGACTGATAGGCGACTGTTTGCAGGATGGCAAGGCCGCTGCTGAGCAGCTGTGCCGGCAGGCTGAGGCGGAGGTGAAGACACTGAAGGAGAACTAGGCGCTGGACTTTGAGCGCATCGGGGTCCTCTCAAACGAGAACGCAGCTTCGTTGGCATACTGATGCATGCATGCATGCATACATGCAGTGCAGGGAGCAAGCCTGGCGGCTGGGCTTCAATTGAGACAGAGCCACAGTTGCTTTGGCCCCGCTAGCAGTTATGATCTTGGCAGATCAGGGGAAGCGCATGCGCATGGTTTTAGCATCAGGCAACGAGGGCTCACCTGGGGCGACGAGGCAGAACTTGGAGCGGGTGAGTAATTCGCTGTAGTCACCGGCGACGTCATCTCGGTCGCCAATGAGGATGGCGTGGCGGCCGGCCCAGTCGTGCTCCTGAGCCAGCGCAAACAGCCGCTGCCGGATGCCCCTGCCACACCACACAGCAAAATCATCGTCTTATTCTGCTGGTCAAAGTCATAGAGAAGGCATCCCATAGAATTAGAAGAAATAGAGAAGGCACCCTTTCTCTGAAAAGTTGCAAACGGTGCTTGGGACCTTCATCTGCCATTCACTGTGTCCCTGGGAACACATTGTCCTGCCACCAAAGGTGGCTTAAAGTCCTTTCTCATAAGGATGCTAGGGCAAGTGGCAGAGGCTCAGCTGCAGGCCCACTGGCTGTGTGGCTGCAACTACTTTGTACCAGAGGCAGTTTGGTGGAGCATGCAGCAGGCATATAGGGAGTGATGGTGAGGAAGAAAGAGCGCGCACCGGCTGTAGTGGGGCAGGCGGTGCTTGCCGACATCTCCCCTGAACAGGAAGAGGATGTCCCGCGGCGGCTGCGGGTGACCCACCAGCGGGGAGAAATTGGCAAATTCCGCCGGATGCTTCAGGTTTGGGATGATCAAATCCTGCGCATGCGCACATTTCTTGGATCCATTACAATTTCTCAAATCAGTCGTCTATCGCCGACTGACAGAACCTCTTTCCGTGCCCAAGCTCATAGAGCATGGCAGCGTATTGCAAGAACACTTGGGAGCAAAGAGGTGTGGTGGGGCATTGTGCCAGAAATAAAGGCGGGGGTTGACACACCTTTATTGGGTCGTAGCAGGCGTGGCCTTTGATGTGGTGGGTGTACCCTTCTGGCCACCACTCGGGGTGGATCACCTCCTGAGTGTAGTTGTCCCAGGGCTTAAAGGCCGAGTTGGATGTGTGGTTCACATCCTGCACGTCCCACAAACCTGCTCTTGTCTGCCTCGAATCTCATCTGCTTCCTTTCGCTCAGCACCAAATTGCCTACATACATGCCATGCAGTACTGCTGCAGAAGCAATGCAACAGAAGCTTGCAGTTGCACAGGGAGGACTTGGCATGCCAAAGCAAAAGGGTGGGCCACCTTGCGCCCCCAGTGGGAAAGGATGATGGATAGCCTGATCTCCTTTGGCGCCCAGCAGGAGCCCTCATCATGCGTGATCAGCCTGCTCATGCCCATACCATGCTTCACATCAGTCCTTTGGGTTCTTAGCTGGCTCTCTGATATTCCTCAATATGCCCTGCAAGCTCACTGGGTGCCTTGATACATATAGCATGCAGTCTCCTCTCTTTTGACCAGCTGGAGCAAGTTAGGCCCTATCAGCAAGCTGCCAGTGCAGGCTGCGCAAGGCAGTTGAAGCTCGCACCAGATGTGGTCTCTGCCGCCCTTGCGCCGCCACCAGGGGTGGTTCACCTCCACCCACTTCTGCGCCTCCAACAGCATGAACATCGCCTGCATCACCCGATTGGCTGCACAGAGCCCAATCCACACCGTCAGCAACACTGCATGTCAAAGCACAGCCACTCTTGTCGCGCCTACTGCCACCCAGCAAGCCTACAGCTTTGCCTGGTGATTGCTCTCCTGCTTGCCACAGATGCAGCTCGTCTCCACAGAACCTGGTTCTCTCTGTAAGGCGCATGAACCTAAAGATGAACGGCTAAACGATCGCGAGCACCTTGGCAACCCCTTGGCATTCCAGGCAATACTGCAGCAAAGAAGAATTATCCACAAGTCGTCAAGGTGGCATCTGCAAGGTTGCCATGGGAAGCATGAGGCATGCCCTCCAGTCTGGCAGAAGTGATAGGGGAGGATGCAACTGCCAGGACGAAAAAGCATTACACCACTCTAAGTTGTGGGCAGCGCAAGCATGTCGCTCAAGGAGCCTCACACCTAATAGAATCTCCTCAGCATTACTGATGCCATGTGTGACGGGGCGTACCTCCGGTTTGGCAGATCTGCATGTCGCCGTCGCGGCGGCAGTCGATGGTGGGTCCATAGTACCAGGGGTGGTCCACGTAGCCCCACACCGGGTGCAGGAAACACGACGTGTACACCGGCATGAAAAAGAAATCCGCCTCCTCCGGATCCAGCGTGCGGTGCTCGCTCTGCGCAGCCGCAACACCCCACTTCACCGTTTAGGCCTGTCTCAAGAGGTCATTTAGGGAAAGTTGCTCAGAAGATTGCTGACTGCCCTTCAGATGACACGAGGCAGGCTGTTTTATTATGATTAATCGTAATGCAGCTGCTTCACGGCATGCATACGCATATATATGGGTGGATGTACTTGACAAGCAGAGCACAAGCAAAGGGAGCACGAGCAGAGGAACCAGTGCAGAGGAAACGTGATTGCATGAGTACAGAGAGTGCCTGCAGGAGGCGCTCGTGGAAGGCGCTCTCGATGCCATAGGTCCAGGAGTTGATGTATGACTCGTTGTTGTCCTTGAACAGGCGCCACACGCACTCACGCTGCACCAGAGTAGAATAGATTGTGCATAAAGTGAGTTCTCACGGTTAGTTGGGTCTTCCTTGGATCTGGCGAGTCCAAGAAGGGGTACGATTGTGGCAGCCTCTGACTGCAGCTTGTCTGCAGGACGTACCTTGCCTTTTGGCAGGAAAAGCGTAGAATAGTAAGAATAATAATGAAGTGAGTGCAGCAGCACAAATACAAACAGAGCTGGCTGTCGATGGCAAGGCATGCGTTTAAGGATGACAAAGACCTTCGAGGGGCAAAGCATATCATGTAAGGCATCTGTGCATGTGACGTCGGCTGACAGGCACCTTGTTGAGGCGGTACTGCAGCATGCGGCTGTTGAACTCGGCGGGCAGGTCATACACATAGATGAGGGGCCGCCTGCGCTCCTGTAGCTGCTCGGCAGCTGGAAGCACCTCCCGCAGCCATGGCTTCTCTGTCAAATTCACCCCTGCATTGCCAAGCCCCCTGGTGAGCACCTTTGCACCTCAGGGCAGGTTGGACTCAGTTCACTGGGCTCCCTGTTACACCACAGGTGTGCAGGAATGGCATGTCTGCAGCTCACACCACTCTGCAGCCGCTCATGCACTGTTCAGGTACCAATGTTTTAGGGCATGAAAAGATCTCACCGTCTGAGGCTGGCAGGCCTGCCACACGGTTGGCACAGTCGTGGCCGAACCAGCCGGGGTCGCACTTGCAGAAGCCCAAGTAACAGACACCGCGCCCGCTGCACTGGTTGATGCAGGTCTGCTCGTGCGGCTGGTCGCAGTAGTCGCCGCCCATGCCGTCCAGGAAGCAATCACACCTGCGGAGATTCATCCACATAGCAGTACACACTCTAGGGGCACTGCTGCTTTGCCTCTATGGAAAAAGTCTAGGCATGCAAAAGCAATTGATGCTGACCTATCTATCCAGGTTGGCATACGCCCCCAGCACACATGCAGATGCATGCAAGGAAATGCAAGGGACTATCAAGATATGTAAAGGTAGGTGTACCTGGTGAAAGGGGTTGCTGCCTCACACCAACCAGTGTCCGGATCAAAGAGCTTGCTGGGTTCATGCTGGCCCCAGTGCAAGGCCTTGCCATCATCACCCTGGCAAAACACAAGCACAGTTGACACAATTAGCATACTGTGCAGCCCCCCAGGCGCCTCGCATGCATGATACTTTCTAATATCAAGTACAGTGAAGCGAGGGATATGGGTGGGCTGACCTTGTTGGGCTGACAGTGCAGGCCCATCGGCCGCCCTTGCCTTGCTGGTGGGTAACTGCACAGATCGCAGCAACCTTCATTGTAGGGTGGGATGCAAAGTACAAATGATCACCACCACTAAGCAAAACAAATGAATTGGCGAAACACATCAGTCCTCACCTGTGAGGCCCTGTGCCAGTGTAAGAAGGTAGCCTTGCATTTGTCCCGTTGCAGTAACAGGCGGCAATGTCATCATCGCACACACCTGACAACAAACCAGCCGTGGCTCTCAGGCATGCTGATAAGTGTCATGGTAGAGCAGGCGCTGATCCTCACAGACATAAGCATCAGAAGGACCTCAGGATCAAATGTATGGCAATGGGAAACTCACCATGGCAGCGACCTGTGGCAACAGGGCCCTCAAATTCCTCGCTCCAAGACTGGGGCGGCCCATTGGGCTGCAAACCGCCCCTGCAACCAGCATGCGCACATGTGTGACTCAAAACTTGCTATCTGGAATGAGACAAGCTCCAAAATAACTGAGTATCTGGCCCTGCTGTGCCAACAACACAGAAGCGTACCTTCGATATCTGTCAGTGCATGGGCGTGGGTCGCGCTCCAAGCAGCCCACTCCCTTCCAACCTGCAAGGCGCCCAATCTCACATAATTCGCACCAAATGACATGTGAGGGGGTCTTCCTGCAAGCTCACGTTCAACACATGCAGCGGGTGAGATGGAGGTCGGAAAGTGAGCCACCTGCCGGGCAGTCACAGGTGCCCGTGATGGCGTTGCAATTGCCCACGCCATTGCAGTCTGCATGGCATGACAGGTTGCTGCTGGGGGGCTGCTTTCTTGGAAGCACAGCATGCTGTCGCAGTGCATGCTGGCACCAGTCGCCAAGAACTGTTCTGCATCGATCTGTCTCATTGGCTGACAGAGCTTGGGTTCTGGGGGCGGCCTCTGCAGTGTCGTTGCCTTTGTGAGAACCCTGCTGACTATGCTGCACCTCCAGATCTGTACTGGAAGGCTGGCTGATTGATCTGTTCCTTCGTAGATCACCGTCAAAAGCTGAATGTTGGCTGTACGTTTGCTGAGTTGGGTTTTCAAGCCATTGCTCTGGCGGCTGAACGTCCTCGACGGCTGCATGCCAATTGTTCCCAGCTCCTCTCGTCTGACGTGGGAGGCCCTGCCTATGAAGTGCGTGATCTTGGGCTCTCTTGGGACGAGCTATCGACAGCTTATGCTTCAAGTTGTCGATCTCAACTAGGGTGGGTCTGAAGGACGCAATTGCCCACTGCGTCGTAAGCAGGAGAGAGGCACCTAGCAGCAGAGACAGGCCAAACACTGCCAACACTCTGCTCAGAACAGCTGCTGAATTTGACATGAGTCTGAGACCATGCAGATATTCTAAGCAGCCCAACGATGGTGACTCAACTGGAAGACAACTTCACAGCGGCCCCAGAATAAAATTAATCATCCAAACCTTTGAGATGAATTGGGATAAAGCAAATCGAAGAAAATTATGGCTGTGCACCGAGAGATCCTGTTTCACGATTGGACATTCCAAGAAATATGAGGCACGTGCCCCATGACAGGTAAGTCCCTAATTCTCGTGTAACGTCAGCTGAAGCAACGCATAAATTTCATAATATGCAGCTTCCCATATGTAATTACATGCGTAAGAGACACAGCGTTGTTCCAGGTGTGCAGTTGTCCAGACACACGAGAGCTTGCACAAGGCACGCTCTTAGTTCTGAACTCAAGAACTGTACGGTGCTTCCATTGGTGCATTCCCTCTACAATCATCTACAATATTCTGGAGTAGCAGTGCTTGCAACAGCACCAGCTATGGATGGAAGTCTAAAATTAGCTAATTGATTGTCTCTGCATACCAGTTCTTGCCCACTACTTTTGCGCACAAAAGAGTGAAATAATTAATGGCTTAGAAGGACCATCTGTAGTCTTTCTGAGCCACTTGATCCATAATGCCGCGCTCTTCCCAGCGCCCAGCCTCCTTCCAGCTCTCCAGGCCGCTCTCAATTTCGTTGATGACCTGCATGCACAATCCTTCAGGATTCCAACAAGCCCGTCATACCGTGATCTCATGGCACAGCACCCTGAATTTGCTGTGCCGCTGGCTATCTAGGGTCTGCAGTACTCAGGGACAGAGCAGCTGAGCACTTGGTATGGTTGTCGTGGGCTGTTGCCTGTGCAAAAGATTAGACTGCCAAACAGCCAGCAGTCCCGGATCGCATATCACAGGCTTCTTCACAATACTCGAGTACTACTAATACTAGTAGTCTCCCAGCAGGTGGGGAAAGGATGGCACACCTTGGCACCAACGGGGTCCGCCTCTATGGCAGCCCAGTAATGGCCCAGCTGCTGCCGATGCACAAAGAGGTCCTCCCAGCCAAAGAACTGCGGCAGAATGAAGCGCATGAAGGTGAGCGTGGGGAAGAGGGCTGCATCGGCCAGGCCCAGATGGTCCCCACCAACGTAGGGGCCCTTGACGAGCCCGTTCAGGACATCCAGCTGGAATGCCAGCCTCTCTATGGCCTTGGCACGCTGCGCTACCTCCATGTCCTTGTACATGGCACCCTGCTCAAGAAGAAAGGCAACGAGCGAGTCGGCAACATTCACTTGCATCATACATCTCCAAAGCATACCAGCAGGCCTGCCATGCTTGTGAGGCGATGTAAGATGCATCTTGAGCTTGTTGAAGCTGCTCAAAACAGTCCTGTTCAAGTCAGGAATCTTCAGGGCAAGGGGTGCCTGCCTGGATTGGGGCAATGTACTGGTCGTGGATTCGCTGAACAAGCATGTCCTTCGCGCGCAGCTCTGGCGTGGGCAGGTCGAAGGATGCACCCTCGTCTCTGTATTTGTCTGCCAAGTAAGCAGCAATCACCTGGAAGCAAAAGATACCCATCACCATTCAGAGGTGCATTTCTCGCCCCTACTGAGAGCAGCTGGAACAGCATTATATATTACCTCTGCTCACCTGACTCTCTGGCAACGATGTGCCATCAGGCAATGCCAACAAGGGCATCAGGCCTTGGGGGTTGAGTGCAAGGTAGGCTTCTGACTTCAAGCCTCCCAGCACTTTGGGAGACTCAATGGCAACCAGGCGCTCAATGTTTTTCTTGTAGATCACAAAGCGACACTGCGCAGCAGGAAGGCTTATCATAAAGGGCGGTAATGGTTGAGAATATGAAGGGTATATTGAATGCAATTAACTTGGATATCCCTTCCAGGGGATGTTGGTTGCTTACCCGTCCTCCGTTGTTTGAAATGGGAACATCAAAAAGCGTTGGTTTCTCAAAACGAGAAGGTACACTTGCAGGAGATATCTGTGGAACGACAGTGGCCATCTAGACCTGGTTGATCTGACACCCTGACCTGGTTTCCTGATCTGACTTCTTTTGCTTGTTGCCAGGAATGAATCAAAACTCCAAATTTACGAAATGTGGTTCTAATGCGAAATACCTATGTTTGATTGCAGTGGCAGATTAGTACTTGTATTCTCCAGAAGACTTCGACAAGGGGTTGACCACAGACAAGTACAACCCTCTCACAGCTGTTTCGGTAGAAGCGAAAACAAGTAAAAAATTTTCACAGTGTTTCCATGCATTAAATATCGTCAGTTTTCCAGAACTTGTGGCTCCTGGCAGTCGGAACTTTCGTAACTGAGATGGACGTGACGTACGGTCGCGACGTCACCTGTCACGTGAGACCAGATTGGTCCATTTGCCAAGCAAGGCAGATGGGCGTGATGAAAGGCGCTGTGTGAAATCCTCAGCTTGGTTTTGAGCAAGGAGGTCCCATCTGGTGGCCGATCTGGGTGCAGCATGGTGCGCACCGCACCCCAGGCACTTGCACAGATTGGAAGGTTGGCCACACCTGCAGCAGAGACTTTGGTTGGACCTGTGGAGGCCAAGATCAAGGATTTTTACAGAGAGGTGCGAATTTGATATTGATCAACCGCCCGGGACATTCATTACAGAAGGACCTGTTCGCCTGCATAGCGTGCCCTACTGACTTGTACCAATTGTAGCAACTTTTTGGGATCGTAAATCGTCTGATTACTGATTAATATATTCCTGCAGGTATCGAGACTCTTGCCATGGACCATGAAGAACTACAACCTGGACGAAATAACAACACTGTCAGAGCTGAGGAAGAATGTCTCGCTCCTCTTCAGGCAGAACGAGCATATCACAGACCCAAAGGTATGCACATAGGTTGATAAAATTATGCTTTGTATTGGAAGTGATTTGAAGCTCTCAGGAATGCACGCTCATCATTGAGAACCATGCCACAGGTGGTCAACATTCTCATTTATAAGGGAAGGGAGGAGCTGGAGGTAAGCCTTCAGCATCTTCCAATCATCACTCGAAAACGATGTGATGTGCAGCATCGCCACCTTTGCGTGCCTAGGTATTTTTGTTAGGCTGTCCTGCACGGTGATAAAGTCAGTGTGTTCTGCAGTCTGTTGCCCTGCAGCACAAGCAACGGCATCACTTGATCGGCCAATTTGTGATTGCGCCTTCAAAGATGCGAGCAGAGATGCACCGGAAGAGGGACATTTCACCGTTCCTGCTGAAGTTCTACAACAACCAGCTCTGAGGCTGGGGTTGTGGCTTCTGCTCATGCATATATGTGCCACCGCGGAATGAAGTGAGTGTTATAATTTGTATTCAGTCGTTGCGTCATAAATTTTCCGATAGGACACAACACACATGAGGGGGCTCTTGTGCAGAGGGACGTGCATCCTATTGTCACAGTTGTGTATGCCCTGCCATGAGTGGGAATTTGCTTCAGCGCCATTTTTGTTGAGGTCTGAAATCATTAATGGGAAGCAATTAAGATGAGAGCAGCCCAGGCTTCTGTAAAACAGTAAAGCGCATTGCGACCATCAAAGTTTGCTTGCGCATGCATGCGCAAGGTGTGAACTCCTGCAGATTATTCATCTGTGGCGGTGTCTCAGATCTGCTTCCGCAATTCTCACAATTGTTGCCATTTCACTCCGCTTGCAAGACATTGAAAGGGATTGCAAGATCTTCACCGGTGCCGTCAACCCTCTGAACAACCCCACAACCTTCAATGTGTATCCTCTCAATCCACCCCGCACACACCCCAAGGCCGCAGCCTGCTGCTATGCATGTCATCGTTGGGGGGCCGGCTGCATGTGGGTGGGCAGGGGCCTGTAGAACTGGTCAAACAGGAAGGGCTCCACGTTGATTTCCAGCGCAGAGACCGGGTAGGGGATGTCAAACGCGGCCAGCACCTCCGGATGCACCACGCCAAAGTGGCCGACGGTTTTGCCATGCGCCAGCACGCTCGCTTGCCGGCCGGGGAAGAAGGTGGAATCCTGCGACGGCCGCCACTCGTAGCCCACGCCTGCCGCCTCCTGCAGCGCATTCCTTCCAGTTCCCAAATCCCCTGCGCACGCCATCAGCCACAATCAGCTCATCAACAACCCCAACAGCGGTATATGCGAGCGTGGCTGCAGGCACATTGCACATGTCCACATTCCTGGCCCAAATATTTAACGAGTGCCGCTTTTACCCGTCCTGTGATGTACTGGGCAGACTGTGAAGGGTGCACCGCCACACAGTGAGCTGCGTTTGAATTGTTTGGTAATGTGGAAGGAGCCATTCCAATAACGCACGCTGGCACATCCCGCCGGGGAATGGATTTGTCCGAGCATCCAGCATCAGGAAGATGCATAGAGGTGCAGCACGGCCAGCAGTCAGCAGAGCTGATCTAGGATCTCTGCGTCAGACTCTAAAACTCTAGAGTCTAAGAGGTAGCGTTTTCAAGTGGAAGAGGTTAGATAAGTGGCTGGGGCCGCACCGAGGAGGGGCACGCCGAGGACGTCCATGACGCGGTTCAGGAGACCGTGGATGACCTCGAAGCTGCCCTCCTTGGCGCAGGCCACCGCCACTAGCCGCCGCTCATTGCGCGCCCCCGTCTCCGCTGCGGCGTCCAGCAGGATCACGTCCGACGCCTCAAACAGCTTCACCGGCAGCGCCGTGTCCTTGTTCGCGCCCAACGTCTTCAGCGCACCTGCGCGCGCGCCACGTATTTAAACTCAACTCTCAAGCACTACTTGAGTAAAAATCTTGCAAGCCCACATACCACTTGATAATATGACATTGGATGCTACGCATCTTGTTCTGGGCTTCAAGTGCCATTGCAGTCCCCTTGGCCGCTCCCATTCTGACGCCCAAATCCCTTGGACCAGAGATTGGAAGACAGCAATCAGGTTAAGACAGCCTCAGCCTTGTGTAGCCTGCTCTCCCATGCTATGTGCCCGGCCTAACACATGATGTCAGCCCTGTTGGCAGCAGGGATACCCCCACACACAAGGTCGCAAGGCACAGTATCCTGAGCGGCACCTGGCAGCAGGCTGGTGCGGCAGACTTCGAACTCGGAGGTGGCGGGGTTGCCGATGGAGGCGGCGGAGGCGCCGTCGTCCGGGCGCAGCAGGTTGGCGAAGTTCTCTGCGCGCGAGCAGAGCGCCCAGGTGAGGATCTCGGTGAAGCCGGCCATTGCGCACTCGCCCCGCAGCAGCTCCAGCAGCGCGCTCAGCGGCAGCTCCGCGCCAATTGTGGTCGTCGACGGCACCGTCCACTCTATGTTGTTGTACCCATACGCGATCGCAACGTCCTGCGCACGGCAGTGCCACACTTTTTGACAATGCAGCACACTTTGGCGCAACTTACCCAGTGCACCGTAGTACGCTAGCCACAGCAGCACTCTTGGGCACTGGAGGAACCCACAGTCAACACACCCACAAAGCAGCCAGGGCAATGCAACAGATTATCAATTGCTTTACTGGAACAGGCTTTATCAGCTTCTGCTCCTGAATGCTTGGTATTGCGCGCCTGACGCCCTCCCTTGTGACCAGCTCGAAATAAAAAGGAGATGCCACAAACAGACCATTTCAGGAGGAGGAGAAGCGGATACTCTGCAGGAGCCCACCTCCATGATGTCGCAGGCATGCAGCACATCGCTGCGCGTGGGGGGCACCTCCACACTGACCGCCTGCCCGCCCCCAACCGCCTTTGCAGTGAGCGCCATGCGGCTGAGCAGCTCCGCGATCTTGGCCGCACCCAGATCCACCCCAACGCAGCGATTGATGTACGCCACATCCACCTCCATCGCTCTGCTGGTCAGGTCCGGGAATACTGCGAGTAACGACTGCCTCTCATTAGGCACTCCGCGCTTGCCGGCCCTCAGGAAGTGAGGTAATTTCTTACAGCTATTCGCATGGCAAAGCCTTACTTAGATGTAAATATCATCAAAACTGCCTACAGGGATCACAATGGAGAGCTAGGGAAAGACGGGTTCCATCATCACGGCAGAGCGAGTGCTCAAGACAAGAGTAAGGGATGCCTCATAAAGTGTACATCACTTATATGATTGCAGCTCTTATTTGTTGCGTGTACAGAGAAAGGTGCATGCAATAGCCTGGCAACTGGCAACAAGGCCTCTTTGCAGCGCACAGTCCCACAGAGCCTGCACCCAGGGGACCTTATAAATGCAAATTTGCTTGCATCCATGCCATGATGATGAGACGGAGCAGCTCACTGTGAGACTGGCCAAAGGCGTCGACAACCTCCACAGGCTCCACCTCGAAGGGGTTGGAGCAGTACTCGGAGAACATGGTGCACATTGTGTTGAGCACCGTCTTGGCCTTGGTCAGGTCAGTGGCCGTGCACTCAATGAAGACATCCCTGGTGTCCAGGGTGATCTGCAGCACAGATCACAAGTGAGACAGAGTAAAGCATGCCAGTACATGACAGTCAGCATTGCCCCAACAGATGCTTTAACTCTTTGGCGGTTCGGCCACCATCAAAGATCCTCTTGATCAATGGGCGCAGGTGAGTGCACTGCAGGGGCGATCCCGTTGAATCACACATCTCGCAAAGTGAATGGAAGGAGCTAGAAGCTGGATAAGGGAGCAAGCCGCGCACCGCAGAGTGGGCCCCATTGATGATGGGGGGCAGGGAAAGGACGGTGCGGTTGGCGTCCAGAATGACTGGGTAGACCACCGACTGCTGTATGATCGGCACGAACTTCCGCAGCTTCAAATCATTATCCAGGTAATGCTGCGCGCACAATACAAACCCTTTTAGCTCCCTCCAGCTCTGAGCCCCTCAAGATCTAGGTGGCAGCGCAACACGTCAAATGCCAGCTCAGCAAGGGTTGCATTTAGATGCACAAGTGGGTCTAAGAGCATGCAGAGAGGCAGCCCACCTGAAGCAATTCTCTGGCGTTGAACTCCCTGGTCTGCTTCAGCGGCCTAAAGCTGATGTCTGCGGGCGACAGCGCCTCAAATGTGAACGGCCCCTGCATGCAGGCCAATCTCTCTGTCAATTCCCACACTTCTCATTGGAAGAACGCTTGCTTGCACTGCCATCCCATAGTTCCACAGTCATGCAACTTTGCACTCCCTCAAAGCCGACATTTAAATATATTCTTGGAAAAATATCAGAGGGACAGCACCTGCACAGTGGCGAGGTCGTGGGTGCCAATGGCGACAAGGGAGCGCTGTCGGCACAGGTTCTGGTGCAGCTTGTCCTGGAGGTCTATGAAGGAGTTGTAACGCAGCTCGTCAAACTTTATCCCCCGCAGTATGGCCGCGACCACAAACGGACGCACCAGCGCCGTCTCTGGCTTCACCACCAGCCGCTGCATCTGCTTGCCTGTCAGCAAACACCAGTATTTGTGACTTCACAGGCTCATGTTCCACGCTGCAGACCCACAAGAAAGGGAAGATTATAAAGGCTTGCATGAGGTGCGCATAGTTTAGGTGACGAGAGGAACTGAAAGGAGCTGTGAGGCAAATTCCACGGCTAGGATGGATTACCTGCCATGTTGGCCAGCCTGTAGTCGACTCTGGGGATGCGGCCATTGAAGATGTTGAGGGCTCGAGCAATGCCCTCCAAGCAGAGCATGTCGTAGCGGTTGGCGGGGATGTCGACTTTGTACAGGATCTCCTCGCTCAGGCCCTCAATGTCCTTCTTGCTCGCCCCCTTATTCCCGAGCTCCTTCTTATGCATTTCCTGCTCTGAGGTCTGCGCATGCATTGAGTCCCTTCTCAAGAGCAGTGCAGAAAGAAAGTGGAGTTTTGTGGAAAAAGGAAGGTGTACAAGGAAGTTGGCGTATTTTGGGAAAGCAAGAAGCTAGAAAAGACTTACAACATCGTCGAGCTCGATACCATACTCGAAGCAGAGCGCCTGGAACTCATCATCAGCTGCGATGCAAAAAATTCTGGTCAATTTGCGAAGAAGAGCCAACACCATATTGCAATTCAACTGCCAAGGAGCAACTGCCAGCAGCTTCCCAGATCATCAATTTTGCAACACTCGCGGATGCAGCTCGCGCGCTCCCATGTAAATGCATAAGAAACTCTATTACTCTGTTGAAGACGCACTGTATCTCTTGCCGAGAGCCTCGAATAGCTTGTCACGCCCAACGCTGACGATGGGCATCCTTTACTATTGTCCTCTTCAACACGAGGATCGCAACGAGGATTCCTTTAACAATTATGTGCTGATTACTTGCCAATCTTATGTGACAACGATCATTGATTGCTTGCAGTGTCAACAGAACAGTCAGTTGGCGATGGCCAATCGAGCGAAGCCTGCTCAGATTCCCCTGGAAGCATTTATACCAGTTCCAACGCTCCCATCGAATGCCAGATTACCACAATGACTATATGCATTTGTCATTTGTTGTGACTGCTTGCATTGGAAGTCGCAGACTGGATCGATTACTCATCGACAGCGGGCCGCCAAGCACGTGCTGGTTTCTGAAGAAGCATCAACTTTGCTTCTGGCAGGAGCAATGGAGTGACTGCATGCATCGTATTTTCTATGCAAAATGCTAGTGCAGGTCAACTAGGAAGATACTGCAAGAAGAGGGTGGTGCATGAGAATTTTGGACATGAGGGTGTCATGACCACGTGTGTTACAGCATCCTAGGCTAGTCGTGTGTATTTCAGATTGACACAGCTCCGGCAATACACACGTACACCAAACCACAGTAATGTGTTCGTAATGCCAAGAACGGGCAATCACAGGACAGAATGAACCCAATTGGAAGGCAGCTGTCGTGCAGCGAACAGCACAGAATTATCGTCGCTTGAGACAAGCCGCACAAGCTACCATTGCCCATGCAAATCCCAATCAATGACATCTGCACGCACTGCATAGCACAAGTGCTCCGAGCAGGGAGTGCGCAGCCGGCCAGAGCCAACTCGCTCTGTTGTGCCGGCCAGGCGGCTCAGCGGAAGAAACCCGGCCTAGGCCTCAGCAGTGGCGGCGCCGGGGATCTCCTCGGCGGGCTTCTCAGCAATCTTGGCGCCGGCCTCTTCGCTGTAGTCACCGTGCACCTCGAGCAGCTTGGTCAGGTCGAACTTGGGGGCGCGCAGGATCTTCACCTTCCTGATCGCCGTGTTCTGCAGTGGGTAGATGCCCTGTGTGGCCTTCTCAATCTCCTTGCCTGCAACCCCCAGAATGGACCCCCATCAGCACATCCTCTAATAATGAACAAGCCCAGCATAATGTGTCGAGAACAGCATCTAGTAGTTGAGTATGACACATGCAAAGCAGCTTATACTGATGCATCAAGGTAGAAAATAGACGGCGGGGCGGCAAGGGAGTGGAGAGAGATGAGGGCTCACCAATGGCCTCAGGGATGAACTTGCCCACCAGCTCCTTCAGATCGCAGGAGGACGCCTCCCTGGTCATGATCTCCACCATCTTCTTGCGGATCTGCCTGATCTGGCTGCTCTGTGCGTATGCAGTCTTCTTGACCTGCACGCAGCAACACCCAATACGCTCAGCGCACTTGCAATTTTACCATCTCACTCACATCTGCACTTTGAGTGTTTCACTGGGCACACACAGCATACTGGTCCAGTCCACACTGCTGCAACGCTGTGATGAAGGCCGTCTGACAATTCCAAGGCTTATGCGACTTTTTCCTAATTCTTGCAAGGCAGGCGCTGACACAACCTCTGCATCACAGCAGAGCATCGGCGCACACAGGACCGACGTGCTGCGTGCGCCCTCAAGGCTGAGCCAATACCATAGTGCATTTACATAATAAGTACTAAGATTGAAACTGTAAAGTACCTGGCCAGTGCGCTTTTTGGTGAAGGCGATGGCAAACATGCGCAGCAGGTAGCCGTCGGTGGTCTTGACGTCCACCTGGGCCTCAATCAGCGTCTGCCACTTGCGCACCAGCGAGCGCAGCTTGTCCGTGGTGTAGTCCATGCCCTGCGCACGGCACGCAGCAAATCTTCATTTCACAGCAACTGGCCCCATATCTGATCTGTTCCGCATTCGCATCCATGGCGCCCGCCCCATTTCCATGTAGCACAGCTTCTGCAGCAACTCTACTCTTGCTAAGAGGAGGAGCAGCTACTTCCAGCAATGTACATATGCAAAGTGATGCAATCAGCACGCCGGCTCAAATATTTCTCGGCTGGCTGGCATGCAGGCTCACCCAGAAGTTGGTCAAGCAGTTGCGGCCTTGCACATCCTCCACGCGTAGCCTGATCTTCCTGAAGGCGTCTGCCTCGTTCTGATGCAGACACCAACAAACTTGGCAAGCGTTGTCAAGCACATCTTCTTAGTAAGCTTACAGTTGAGCAATGCACAGACTAGATACTTCATGATCTGATCAATCAGCAATTTGCTTGTCACTGAAGGAATTTGGGCACTCACGGTCTGAAGATCGGCCAGAGACACCTCGAAGACGCGACCCTTCAAGCCATCTGAAGCGATCTGCACAACGCAAGGAAAATGATCATTAAGGAGACAATAACCAGCAATAGCAACTTGCGCAACAGCAAAAAGCATTTGCCAAGCTGCAACAAATCTATTTTTCCGTACCTTGGTTCCCTGTGTTCTGGTCACCAGAGTCTTGCCAACGTTGCGGCTGGTGAAACTGGAGGGAGCCTTGACATCATACCAGTCCTTCTTCGAGAAGGGATCGACCCTGCATCCAGAATACAAGAGCCATCAACATTGCCCAGATCAACGTAGCAATAATGCAATCGATGTAAAGGATTGTGCACTCACACTTTCTTCTTTCCTCCCTTTTTGCCCTTCGAAATCCGCTTGTTCTTTCCCACAGCCATCGTGGGCAACTACACTTCGCTCCCCAACCTAGCTAGCGGGATGAGCTTTTGCCTATAGGAAACAAATCCAGGCACAGACTCAGGCGGCTGCTCTGACGAGGTACGCCGGAACCGGATGCGCCGCCTAATCAGGATCCAGTCGAGGGAGGGTTCCTTTCGAAGACAGCTGAGACAGCAGGGGGCGTGACCCAGAAGAATGGTATGGATTCCCTGACAGGCCTGGGGAGCCTATCCTGCAAGATGCAGACATGGCAGGAACAGTGCAATCTACATTTTGCATAAAGAAAGCTTCAACCATGGTTGGCCAACTACTAGTACACGGAATTTGAGCGCCGGCGGCCGCCGCGCCGGCGGGCGGCCCGGGCCGGTGATCATGGTGATCTAAGTGAATTTAGAGTCATTTTGGCAAGGCAGAATTAAGCAGATTCATTTCAAGTTTTTAGTCATCCATGCTCCTAAGCTTGCGCCACTCTGAAATGAGGTATGCATGTATTGAAGATTTCTTGTCACTGATACTATCTACTAAGTGTTAGTAACACTTGGGGTGGTGACCTGTTGATGTCTTTCACATGTGTACTACCATCATGGTACATCATAGAACTACGATAGTACTATCATATATCAGTACCATATACCATGATGGTGTACGGAGATTGTTTGTGGCTCCCGTAAAGTGTCAAGTCACGCTGATCATCTTACATGATCATGATTCATGAAGCATATCAGACTTTTCCTGGAATCCAGTCGATCCACTTTTACGGAATTGCGTCACACAGTCCTACTGCAAAGTAACATTGACTCAGGTTGTGCCATCAGCAGTCCCTAGACTTTGCAGAGCACATCAATCTCATGCACAACAACATACTTGTCCCCGGAGGGCGTCTCCATGTTGTCGCCTGCCCACTTGAAGTACAGCACTGAGTCCCCCTCCTTGAGGATGGGGGCCTTCCGGCTGCCGTCCTTTTCCCGCTTCCCTGGACCCACCCGCACCACTGTGCCTGCAATCGGCTTCTCCTTGGCGCTGTCTGGAAGCAACACTCCTCCTGCTGTCACATCGGCCGAGTCTTGCACCTGCGCCCGGGTAATGTGTCAAGCCTGTGGCAGCCATGTGAGCATTTATGCATTCATCATAATTGCCTGCCTGTCTCCAACCCTTTGGGCACTGGGGCGAGCAAGCAAACTCTGTCAATAGTAGACCATTTTTTTGAGTATTGATGGGCAGCAGGCTGTGTTTGAATCCTCTTGAAGAAAGATGCAAGGGCAAAAACAGACCTTGATGAGGACTCTGTCAGCTGCTGGTTTCAGATCTGGGATTTCATCTGCTGTGGCTCTGCTGCGGGGCATCGTGCCAATGACATCGTCCTCTCGGATCAAGATGTGCAAGTCCCCCTGAACAGTAACATCTGTGACGCCGATGCCAAACTTTGAGTATAGTATGGTCTCCCCAACCTTCAGGTCAAAGGTCTGTGTGTTTTCTCCGACCTTGCCATCGCCCACGGCTACAATATCGCCTGCGAGAGGGAAGCACAATGCCTTATTAGCCTTCTAGAACACACACACAGGCAAGCGCAGCTTGAGGGAGAGCTAAAGTCAAATCTTGGATTGTGGTGACATCAGGGTAAAGAAAGATACCAGACGTGGGCTTCTTCTGCGCCGAGCTGGGAAGCAGAACTCCGGCAGTTGTCTTCTCTTCGGCCTCTGCAACCCTTGCAAGTACAAGGTCACCCTTGGGCGCCACCTGTAGCGATACAGCAGCTTCTTTGTTATTGCTAGGCAGCTACTTCAAGCTACTCTGAAGGATTGGCTGATTTGGATGATGCATGTGAGTGTCCAGGATAGCAACGTCTAGAAGATGCGATCTGGGAGACAGAGATCAAAGAAGCGCCCACCTTGGAGTACTGACTAGGGAGTTCTACAGCAGTTGATGCGCAGACACCAGAATTTCGCCTTTGTGGTCTCAGGTTGATAGGCCTCGCCAGGGCAGGTGCAGAGAAAATCCTGCATCGCTGGAAAGTTGTAGTTGCTTGCATGAAGACAAATAGTGCGATACCAAATTGCAATCAATCTACGAAGACCACAAATTTTGTTCTTTTGAAAGGGCCTGATTCAGAGTGATAGCTGATCTAATCTGCTTTGTTGTCTTCCGTAGCCGTCCATCCTGGTGCCAGCATGTCGGAAAAGGGAAGCCTCATCCATGCACGTGAGACAAACATCGGGGTGTCCACCTGAATTCATCCAGCAATAATGCTCAACAATTGACCCATCAGCATTTCCTAGACGATGTTTACATTATCTAAGCATGTGAGCTTCCAGGATCTTTATTCATGAACAAGCCAATATCCATACTGCACCACGGCGATGGGCTTGTGACGTTGCTTCCTGCCCACAGCTGAGAACAGCCATAGCAATGGGGCATAAAAAGGGGAAGAGCGATGCATCCCCGATTGACAGATCGGTTGCAGAGCTGAAGGCCCTGCGTGAGAAAGCGTTGGAGGCTTCAGATCCCCATGAGAAGTGGGCCAGGACCACTGCACTGTTGGATCTGAAATCCTGCTTGAGCCCTGCACTGCTGCTGGCCACAGCCGCAAAACTCGCATACATCCAGGGATTGGACGTGTTGCTGGCGTTGGACTTTGCCAGTGAGGATGTGAAGCAGTTTAGTCGAAAGGCAGACAACGCTCCTTGCCTGGAAACCCTCTGGCAATCCGCCTATGATTGGGCACTGGCAGGTCTCTCCTGGACACCATCGCGTCTGCTCATCAAACACATGCCATGGATTGACTAGTGAACTTCATTGCTGGCAAGTGTCTGGGAGCCGTTGTCACAAATATTGGCAGCGCTCTGCATGTGCCTGAGTCGTGGTGTGACAATGGTCTGCAGGTGCTCAAAAGCACAAATCTGCTGTATGCGCCGTCATGTGCGCAGAGCTCATCTACATCATGAGTGGAAGTGATTTGGACGAGAGATGCAAGGTGCTCGAGGGCTTCACGATCCTCAAGTCCAGTGTCTGGCGTGACCCTGCCGAGGACATCTTGGATCCAAAGGACACAAGACTGACCCCCTGCGAGCAGGCATGCCTTCTGCGCTCTGGTGGCACATCTGTGTCTGCACTTTGCCTCATGCCTTTCTTTCTCTGGTAATGGCCATGCGTGATGTGGGGGACGACCTTGCATTGCAGGTCAAAGGGGATCTCAAAGCTGACCGCGTGAAGAAGTCGCTGGAGATTGTGGGCGCTGTGCTTGAGAAGATCAAGAGCAGCTCAGGGCTGGCTCGCTACCGGAGGAAAGGGCATGGAGGCCTCCTGGACGGCCCTGTGGGCATGCTCATCCGCATCGACGGCAGGTGCAGCCTGCTGGTGCCTGGCTACCTGAGGAAGCTGGATGAAGCGCGACGAGTCGCCGTCAATTTGCACAACATACTTCCCGATCAAAACCTGCAAAATCAGCTCGAGCAGTGGAAGAAGGAGGTGAATCTTGCTGCCTTGGAGTTTCCCCGCAGGCCAACATGTCTTGCACTGACTGCTGTTGGCACCATTGCCCATCCCATGGCGGGCTAGTTGCTGCTTGTCCAGTTCTTGGAAGCGCATGACCACCTGATGTCCCCAAGGCGCATTGAAGGAGGCAGATAGGGCCCAAACATGCACCCGGCTTGGGTGTAATTTAGACCTCGCACAGCAGAGTTGAAGCCCGACCGCGTCATCGCGGCAATCCAGACCGCTTTGCCAGCAACGCGTGCGCGTGTGCATGCGCAGGAGGCCGAGAAGAAGAAGTCACGTAAGGTGCTGCTGCAACACGCTGCCATCGAGCAGGCAGCTGTAGCGCAGCCGGCCCTGCACCGGATGGCGTTGCCTCTACAACTGTACATCGACGTGCACCAGCTGCAGGAAGAGCTGAAGGAAGCATCACAGCAGCCGCTGGACAGCCAGCCAGAGCAGATGCTGTTCTTGACCTCGCGCTGTGCAGACCTGCCCTCCAAGCTGCTCCACAAGCTGCCCCCTGCCCAGCAGAAGAAGGCTGACAGCTTGGCCAAGGAGGCGCGGCCCCAAGACATCCTTGTCCCACAGATCTTCTTCCCACACACCTGTTATGCAAGATGTTGCCCGCAGCACCACCATACAGATAACTGGCTTGCCCCGTACAGCACGCCCGATGCTTTCTGCAAGAAGCAGAGGCATGTGCACCTATTGAGGGGACGCATATTTTGGATGACTTGGAGTGTCCTCTGTTTCGTGGGACAGGAGGAGCCAGATTGCATGCCACTGGTGTAATTGCGCCTTCTGAAGCAACAGCACATGCACTCAGATCCAATCTGATGCTGCTGATCGCAGGTCAAGCACTTTGTTGAGGAGAGCTATGCTGATCTATCCGGCCGAGAGGTGAGGGACACGCGCTCTGCTGACCAGTCATGAATTGTGTGCAATGCAAAGCATATTGTGGTGGCTGATTTGTCTAGGGCCCTTAAGAAGTGTTTGTCCCACACCTTCAGCTTCCTGTCTTTTGTGGGATGCAACACCATTGTTGATGTGTCCTGCAGGAGAGGTTCAAGAAGCACTGCAGCTTCTTTGAGGTTCCAGCAGCGTCAGTCAAGGAGGCCATTGAGCAGGACACCAAGAGCAGCAAGGAGGAGGTGCTTCACATTCTTCTGCAAATACCACAAGTTGCTGGACTGGCAGCTTGGGCCTAGTTGTGTCTTGTGCTTCATGTGTCTGTGGGATTGCATGCCTTGATTCTGAGAAGCTCGTTTGCGTGTGCAGGCAGCGTATGCAAACGGGCTGTTGGCTGACTGGTGTGAGCAGGGCAAGCCACAAGCGGTGGCTAATATCTCCTCTGGGACGTGCGCGAAAGGATCCCTACTGCAGGAGTATGTGGAATCCCTGGCAGCGCCTGCAGTCGAACAGGTCTGTGAGGGACCCCCCTTTTTTAATATCTTCACATTAGTTGAAGAGGTGCTGACCATATGCATGCATGCAAGCTTCCGAGCACTGAGAATGTTTGCCAATTGGACAGCAGTCACAGCAGCCCATTAATGCAGTGTGTTTGTGCTTCAGCTCGCGAAGGCTGGTGAAACAGAGTCTGGGCCGGATATGGGTGACATTGCCCCTCCATCGGCTGAGGAACTGATCAAGGTCAGATGTCTGTCCCAGCATGCCCATTTGCTGTTCTGGTGCTCAAGAATGGAACCTGTCCTTCACAAGCTCTTTGGCACCAGTGACAGCCCTCAATGGCGTTCCTCACGGAGCTATCAGATCAGAATTCTTTCCTGTTTGAGTGGCCATTGCACCAAAAGCAGAAGGGACGGGACAGGCAAGCACCCTAGGGACAAGGTACATGTAAATGGGATATGCGTGCCTTGCAGGTGGCTGTAGAGGGCCAGGGGCTGCTGTGGGAGGGGGAGCTACCAGGGGAGGTGAGGATACCGTCCCCAGCCGAGCTGAAGCGCGCAGTCGAGCAGCTCGGCACAGAGCAGCCCCAGGCGGCAGCAGCGCAGGATGCAGCTTCCCTTGCGGTGGTGGCAGCTGGAGAGCGGCTGCACCCCATGGCTCCTGCCATTGGCGGCTGCGGCGCCCTTGCTGAGCCTCTGCACAGGCACTTCCGGCGCGCACAGCAGGATGCCAGGTGAGCCCTTGCCTCGGCTGCTGCCGTTAGATCCTAGTAGTCTACTTCTCCTTGATTCTGTCGTTGCTCTTTTGCCAGTGTTGACTTTACCACACATCAGCAGCCGCTCTCAAATTTGTTGACCTGCCTGATGGCAGACGATGTGCTGTCCTTGCATTTCTTATAACATGATCTCGGGTATTTCATTTCATTAGTGCGGAAATACACAGAACCACTCGACCCGGAAGTGTTGCTTCGTCTGCACCAATGAGAGGCTGTCTGACAATTGCGCATGTCTGCCTGCCTGCAGCCGATCTGCTGCATGCTTGGACTTGAAGGATCTCCTGAAGGCGGTGGCCGAGCCAGCGCACGGACTGGTGAGCCTAATCATTAACCAGTCAATTTCCTCAATAGCTATCACGAATTGCTCTGGTTCTATGCTCAACCAGAAGAGGATTCATGCCCTTCATGCCAGCAATGAGATCTGCATTTCTGCTGCTGAAGACATGCCACCTCATCGCAGGTAGTAGAGGACATGGAAGCTTCCCTGACTCGCATGTCCCTGCAGACAAGGAACCAAGGTGATTGTGGTCGTTGTGTCTCCCCGCTGTGTCAGTTCCTTGCGCACATGGAGGCCTCTCGCCTCTTTTCCCACTGAGCATTCGAGCATGCATGCGTTTGCTAGCGTTCTATGTGATTTGTATATTGCATGTAGGATTGTCTCTCCTAATTGCACTAGAACATCCGTCTTTCTGCCTGTCTTATCACGTGCAGGGAGTCCATTTTGAATGCCAATCTGACTGGGAATGTCTGTTGGTCTTCTGCAGAGGCTGTGGCTGAGATGGCGGCTGGGAATGCGGGTGGAGGCATCATTGACAACGACTGGAACATCAGGATGGAGCCGATCCGGGACACGGCTGAAAGCAGATACCAGGTCATCACGCTCGGTCAGTCGCGCCCGCAGTACAAGATCAGAGCCGAGCTCAGGCCGGATTTCTGTGACTCCATCGATGATGGGGTGAGGCACTCCCCTCCAATGCACCTAGCCACCCCGCCGGAAACATGTTATTCTTTCATTAATTTATTAATTCATTTGTTCATTCATTCATTCATTCCCTGAGATATATATGGAGTGACCAGGGGGCTTGTCACCTGCACCCCCGCCAAGGCCCCTTTGCAATTTTGTCTCTGTCTTGATGAAGTGACACCCCATGCCATTCTCAAGGAGACCTCCCAGGTTTGCAACTTACGACCCTATGGCCTATGATAGGACCCTTCCTTGGGCCAAAGTTGGAACGACATAGCGAGAGCCGCATATGTGTCATGAGGGCCATGCCCGCACTGTCCCTTTGCAGTCCTGTTGGCGCGCCGCAAAGGCTTAGGCCATGTGCGCATCTGACAGACAGATTGCTGTGGCCGGCCAGGATTGGAACCTCAAGCTCAAGGTGGAGGCGAGGAGGGCGAGGGGCCGGCTGCTGCTGGTTCTGCGCCACCTGCTGTGGCGGCTGGAGGCGGTCCGCTGCGAGGCCTGCTGGGAGGTGGACGCTCCTCCCCACGAGAGCTACTTCCAGGAGCCCATCTGCATCATTGCCGACGCGCTGCGCATGGACGATGAGAGCATCCTGCTGGACTCCAGCCACTTGGTGTACCCGGTGCGTCCGCCGCATCTGTTTTTTATTTGCTGATCGTGCCCTGCATCCTGTCTGTATGCTGTGCGTGCAGAAGTGGCTGCCTGCTGGCTGCGCTTGGGAGCGCTGGCCGCATGTTTATTGTGGCCATGGATATCTAGTATGTTCAAACCACTCGAGTAGCTTGCTACTGCTGTGGTGCCCAACCAGTATTGGGCGCTTCTGCTGGTCTTATCCTGCTGCAACAAGGCGTCTGCTCTCTCAGCGTGCATGATGCATGCATTTGGGGAATCAGCAGCATTTGGGGAAGGATGGGCCATAATGTCAGGTATCCGTGTTTATCCTTTGCTGTTGAAGTAACAATTAAGATCACGGGCCGTCACTAACAGTAGATCTTCCGATAACGGGCAGCCTGATGAAGGCTTTTTCATACGCAACTAAAATTTATGCGAAAAATTAAGTGCATACAGAAAGTTGAGCGATGTACATCATGGGTCACAGGCACCTCCCAAGGACGGCCAGGGGGAGGTTACGCCAGCGCAGATTGAGCTCCCAATTGTGAGCCGCTTTCGCTTCTATGAGGTAGCCGATGGGCCCGGGCGCGGATGCGGACCCGCCAACATCGCCAAATTTGTCCCCGGCTTTGATGTCCCCTCAGGCCACAACGCCGATGCTGCAGCTGCGGTAAGTAAATCTGCTGTGCCTTGAGAGCCTGCGCATTTTCTTGAACCTACACGCGTGGGATCTGTGCGCTGACTCTGGCGCTGCTGAAGGCCAGTCCACATCCCTTGGAGGGGTTGAGTGTGATGAGGGGAGTGTACGCTGATACAAGTTGACTGAAGAGTCCCCTGGTGTATCACCCTGAAGGGATTTGGGGCTCTGATGAGAGTTGCTCCCTTTGCACTGCCAAGGGTGCCTGATGAAGGTCCTGTTCCTGAAGGTCAGGGAGGTTCAGAGCACAAAGAAGCTCCATGAGGGGCGGGATCTGGAAAATGACTTGTGGATGCAGGCTGACAAGGACCCTTCAGAGGACTGGGCGGCTGCACAGAGTGTACCTCCCACCCAGCAGAATGGGGTGCACGCGGATGCGCAGTCGAGCGCGGCTGCAGAGCCTCAGGAGAGCGCTGCAACCGGCGCAGCCCATGCAGCTGATGCAAAGAGCGGCTCCGAGGGTGTGTGCCTGTCCCCTAACAACCCCGACGTGCAATCGTGCATGAGTCCATGTATTCCGAAACGCCTTCTTTACTAAGAGGTAACGTCAGAAGAAAGTGACACAATGAGTTGTTCGGACACCTGGCACGAGAAAGGACGGCATGAAAGTTGTACATATTAAGCTACTTAGTGTCCTGACAAGAGGCTATACAGTGTCTTGGAGTTATGTAGCCCAGTGCTGACATTGATTTGTGGCTCTTGCTTGAAATGCTGTATTTATGCTGTTTTCAATGCAGGTGAGGTCTCCTCTGGGCGCGCTGCCAGGAAGTGGCTGGGCACAGGGCCTTCTCCACTTGATGTCCCTGAGCAGGAGGAGTACAACTCGAGGGTGAGCACTGCCTTCCTTCATGCCTACCAAGCTTCAGGACACGATCTTAAGACACAAGGCTGAAATTTCGCATTCGTGGCATTCTAAGACCTCACTGTTGCGAGATGTATCAGATCTTGAGATGCACAGCGCAAAGCTACTTTTATCATAAATGAACATCCCATCATTCCATCAGCATGGAGAATTTATCCGCACCCCGATGTCGATCTGAGGACTTTCTTCTGATTTTCAGAATCCCCACACCAAGATGGAGATCCTGCAGGACATTTTTGACGGGCTGGAGATGCTGCGAGAGAGCAGGCTGCTGGCACCCTGGCTAGTGTCCTACCTGGCCTCCTACATGATCCAGAACCTGAAGGTGCGCGATAGCTGTAGACCGGGACTCACACCCATGCTTCTTAATAAATCAGCACTCAGCCAGAGGAGGGTCAGCCTCTTTCCTGCTGCTTGTATGTGAACATCGCACAGGCTTGCGGGCAGAGCCTGTCCTGGGGTAGACATGGTCTTGTTGCTCAATATTTCTCAGGAGGATTGTGCGGAGATGGCTGAAATTGGACAGTAACACCTCACTTCTGCACACTGCAGACAGCTAGCTTGCAACATGGACTTTTCTGTTGACGGGGCAATTGATCTATTGGCGCCTTGGGCATTCTTTGTGGGCCGCCCTGATTAGAGGCTTCCATGCTCCTGTCAGAGTGTATTTGATCGGTCCAGTGACAAGTCGAGCACTGACGTGGCTATGGGGTGCATGGCAGGAGGAGGGTGTAAACTGGCTGCAGCTGCACTGGGAGCACCTGGCCTTCCTTTCAGAGAAGAAGCTGGCAATTGTGCGCGACATAGTCCTCCAAGCCCTTGCGCTGCACTGTCATGTGCTGACGGCAACCTCCGAAGCCGCGGCCCTGCAGAGGGCGTATGTAAGTTGCGGCGCCTTGAAAATCTGCCCCATGCTTTTTTTTTTTAGTTATATATGGGCACGCTTCCTTGCCAAAGGCAAGGTGCGCCTGCAGGCAAGCTGCAGACTAGCTGCAGATATGCTCATTATGTACTGAGGAGTATAGCGAGATGTATGAGATTACGATCTACTGATTCTTGACGGCAATTCCGTGCTCTCTCAAGCTGTGCTGGTTCACTGCCGGTGTTTGAAAGCGCCCGCTCGCATGCTTGCATGTGTTGGGCTGTGTCCCCGGCCCTGAGATGCTGCTTTTTGCCTGCAGCATGTCACTGGCCACTTCAACCTGGTCGAGGGCCGGACAGATTGCTTCCAGATGTACTCGCCGCCGCTGCAGCAAGCACTGGCGGAGGCTGTTGACGTTGTGCAACAGGAGAAGCAGAACGTGGTAAGGCATACTTTCATGGGATCTTACAAGTCAATGATGTACTGTGCATGCGTTGGATCTCAGAGTTGGATCTTCTTCAATTCTCACCCCTACCTGCGCCAGCTTCTCTTTTGAGAGACACAGTGGCCCTCCCTTTCAGGCAGGCCTCTCCTATTAGTTGCAGCTCTTGAGGTTGTCCGGTGGATTGGAAAACAGAGACCAGAGTTGAAGCTTCTTCAAGTAGGCCTTCTTTTGAAGGAGCGGCTCTGCTTGCTTCCCTCCCTCATTGACTGGTGGTTAAATTTCTTGTCAGCAGTACAGATCTTGTAGGGCAGGCAAGCCCTTAGGGGCCCCCTTCAACCGTTTGAGGGTGCCACAACGCCCTCTCCCTGTAGTCAGCAACCTCTTGGAAAATGCATGACCATGCAGTGTTTGCCCTTGCTGCAGTGCAAGGGGTGCCAAGGTTGCAATGGGAAGGGCAGCAATGGGCAGGCTGAGGCGCATGAGAGGAGCACGGCCAATGGGGACAGCGCGGAGGCTCGCCAGCAGGCAGAGGAGCTTGAGGTCTTGAGAGCCAAGCTCGCCGGCACAAAAGAGCTCGAGCTTGCCGAAGAGGTGCGTGCTGATCAATCATCCTCTCTTGCATGCTTCGTCGCGGATAGTGTCGCCTGCTAGATACTCATAGCACCGCAGAACATTCCCTCAAGGGACCATGCAAAGGTCTTGCAAACTGAGCAGCAGCCGGGCGCCCTGGCCTCGACTAGTTGCCTTATGCAGTGCTGTCTTGCTTGCCTCCAATGCGGCAGTCGGCTGGTTTCACTTTTGCACGCGCATCTTTCTGCACCCGGATTAAAGAGCAGACCATTGACAGATGAGTAGTATGGTTGAAGACCTGTCCAGGACCTTGGGGGATCCCATGTCTTGGATGACATCAATCTGCAGTCCAAAGCTTGAGTGTTCATTTGCGTTTCTTGGCGGCTCGGGCTGAAACTGGTGTGTTGTGGCGGCAGTACATCGAGGTGCAAATGCGCGACAACCATCCCGAGGACTGGACCGCGTTGTTGGTGGACATTCTGTTCGGCGTGTCCGGCCGCGTCAATGCGCTGCGGCCGCCCACAACTTACAGCCTCAAGGAGGGCGCCGTCAAGGTGCTGAGAAGGCGCATACTACGCGCAACGGCCTGCTTCTCCAAGGCAAGCTCTACACCTATGCTGCAGAAACCGCGCAGAAGCATATTGTGGGCATGCTGCAAGCGCAAACCTTGCTGTTTGTGCCGTTGCAAGAGCAGAGCCTCCGGCATGTGGGTGGAATGTTGCTTGTAAAGAGAACCCTTGCTCCACCCACTGCAGACATAGGCAAAGGGGAAAAAATTTGGTGCCCACCGCAGCACAAGCACAATTATTGGTGCAGAGAGACTGATCACCCAGAGACCCCCCACACATCCTACACTTATGGCGCAAAAAACCAGCTCACAGATGTTTGTGGCATCCTGCCTGGTGTTTTCTTTCCAGCCGCTGTGACGACTGTCAAGTAAGCTGATGGTGGAAGCCGTGCTGCTGCCTCAGGTGATCCAGGAGAAGGCAAGGAGGGAGGACCTGTTGCATGCGGTGGCTAACACCCTCAAAGTACACCTGGATTACGTCGAGCCTCTGAAGGTACGCCCCCGCTGACCGTCGCCCTGTTGTTGGCTAATGTCCACTCCTGGACACCACTGAAATTGCCACTTCCCCTTGTTGTTGCTCCAGCAGTGCAGCCATAGATAGGCATTTAGTGAACTCCTAGAAGAAGATGTCACCCTCTTATCTTGTCGTCTGCATTGGTTACAGGATGGATCCTTGGACAGCGGGAACCTGTCAGCAGACGATGTGCGCCGCGTGACAGAGTGGCTGGATGCAGCTGAGGAGGCCCGTCTGCGTAAGTCACACCCTCTCGGCACAATGCACTGCATCGCAGGCGTTTGCGCTTGTCTTTGAGCATGACATCGATCAGCGTTGATAAGCACTGGAAGGACTTGGACTACCTTGATTGGATCCGGAGGGGTTGCACGCACAGTGCCAAGCGCACGCATGCAGGAGGAAATTGTAAGTGGCACTGGGTTGAGCAGCCTTGCTGGGGTGCAGGCGTCCAGGGTCTCTGGTGGGATGAGCAAGTCCAGGTCAGCACATCCAGGCTGTCCCGGCGCAGACTGGCAGCGGACTTCATTAAAGACCAGCTCGCCAAGGCCTACAGGTGTGCATGGCACAGTTGACCTTGAAATTTTCAAATGAAGCCTAATTGAGTTATAAAGCGTCTCGATCTACCTTAAACTGTGCAGTCCAAGCTATCGGCACATGTGCTTGGCCCCGAGCGTCCTTTGGAAGTGTGTGCTGCTGGATTATTCACAAAGGTCACCTGGAATGCCGTGCATGACTCGTGCTTGGCTTCTCGAGCAATGAAGAACGGGTCATGCATGCAGCAGACATGTCGGCATGCTGTGTGCAGGCGGAGGCAGAGTGCCGGCAGCGGCACGGAGCGCGCAAAGAAAGAGGATGAGGATATTGAAGAGGCGAGTTTCTACCATGAGCCGATCTCCTTGTGCCGTCTGTAAGATATGATGTAAAGAGCTGCTTTTTGACAAATGCATTTGGGGTACTAAAAAGACTGCGTTTTGCACACTTGGATTAGGTATGTTCAGGTGTGCTTGTCAGCTATGTTTGACTTGACACGTGGACCCAAATATCAATGCAGCAATGGTGAGTTTTACTGCCTTACAAAGCGCATGTCTGACAAACTGGCCTGGTATTGCAGAAACGCTCATACATGAAACTGTGCGAGGATCAGCGCAAGCGGGAGCAGATGCATCTTGACAATGTACTTGATGGTGCGCACTTCCCATGCACTCCATATTCCAAATGTAATGTCTCGGCAGCCAACCTTGCCTGTTGAGGCAACCTCCCTCAGCATGACATGTCAGCAGCTGCACACGCATTTCCTAGCCTGGAATCTCCCTGTCATGAGCTGTGTTTTTGTGATTGCACCTTGAAGGTGCATGTAGTCCTCCATGTTATTTATTCATTTCTTACTATTTAAAGAAAGCACATTGTTCCGCTTTTAATTATCTAGCATCTAGGTACCTCCAGCAACACGTGTTTCAGATTTTTCCATCTGATACTGTGCGGTCATGGCATTTCCTCCATCAATGCAATGACTTTCCAAGATGCCGCGTAATCTGCCAGACATGCTGTGACTGATTTTCTCCTGATATTTTGTACCAGAGATGGAGCAGTTCCACAAGGATCCCAGGAGGAAGATGAAGACCAGCGGCCTCAAGAGGGACCTTCAGGAGCATGCCTCCGGCAGACTGTGAGTTGCCATCCTGCCTCAATGCTAAAGAAGATTAAGACCTCCAAAAAGATGCATTTGTGCATTTGGCAGGCAGGTCTGCCTCAGAACAGTATGGCCGCAAAGCACTAAATAACACAACTCCCTGATGCAGCCAACTGGATCTCTTGTGTCAGTGTGTGCTGAATCACCACAGCATGTGAATATTTGCACATGACCATCCGATCCGGATGGTGAAGTGAGTTCCATGGAATATGCAGGAGGCTGTCTGCAGAGGATGTGCTGAAGCGTCTGGCAGAGGAGCAGAAGTATCTGCAGCAAGGCTTCCGAAGTGCCCTAGTAACATTGTTCCGCTGCGATCTGCACATTGCCACTGCACGCCTGGCTGCTATGCGCATCATCAGGCACGCTCTCAAGCCACAGTTCCTACCCTGTAATTGACAGACTGCCTTTTGTGGGTCAACCTGCGTGCTTGATGGATGCTTGCCTTCCTTTTGCCAGATGAGTCAAAAGTTCGTCTTTCCATCTGTCAAACATATCTTAGAGGCCTGCATTTCCTTCTACGGATGCTGAAGCAGTGTGAAGTATTGGCGGAGGTCATGGGCAGCTTCTAGGACCAGGGAGCAGAGAGCAAGCAGCAGCATGGGCAAGAGCAAAGCTATCCGCAATCTGACCTGAGATAGTTTTTGAGGCTGTGACAAGCCACGGACGAACAATTTGATCCGATTGTGTCATGTGCTGGCAGAATCTGCGAGATGGAGCTTACCGTCTGCTTTGGGGAGTACCTGGAGAAGTGGCTGCTGCAGGGCTTGCGCAACACCTTGCACAAAGCCGCTCGCGAGCGCTTGGGTCAGTGCTCTTCCTACATAAACTCCATCCTGCAGTCTGGCATGATTGTACTGTCATCATTCCTACTGAGTGCAGGCCTGTCATCTTCTCTGCATTATGTATAGCCACAAATGAAGGTGTCAAAATCTATCAGGCAATTGCAGGGTGCTTAAGACAGCTTGCTTGCTACGCTCGGAGTGTCGCTCGTCTGCATGACTGCCAGCATGCACCAGCAATGCATGCTGTAAAACGTTGTATTGGGATCCCCGGGTTTTGATGCATTGCTGTGTTGGCATGCAGAGCGCGAGCAGGAGGCAAACATGGCAGCTCTGGTGGAAGAAGAGGAGAAGCTGAAGGCTGTGAAAGCCAAGAAGCAGGCCAAGAAGAAGGCGGCAAAGGCCAAGTCGCTTGTGCCGAGCATCCCCCTGTCAGCATTCCAGGCAGCAGGGGATGTCCACTCAAACGGTGATACTGCAGATGCAACGCCCTCCACCAGCCAGCAAGGCGGGGCCACTTCGACCCTGCACAGTTCCTCTCATTGATGCATGACATAAGTGTAATTCTCAGCATGCAGCATGAGATTTGATGAGTTGTGATACAACACCAGGTTGCAGACTTTTGTAGGCCCCGCAGACGTGGCTGCAGATGCCCTGCGTATATGCCCTATGGCCTTTGGCTTTGGGTTTGCCGACCTGTAATAATATTGACATGCAGGTGATGACTACCAGTATGCCAATTGCATGCAGAACTGTTTCAAATGAAGAGTTGGCTGCCACACTGAGTTTGGGAAGGATGTGTCATCTGTGATTGAGACAGCTGTCATGTGCTGCGTGCCAGGTCCTCCTGAAGCCAGAGCATCGGAGGCTGGGGACTTGAGCGCAGCCGTGGAAAGGCCCATCGACCCTGCATCTGCCGACACAGTACGTTCCCCCTCATGTGACCTTGCATTCTACCTTGCATCTGACAACCTTGTAAGTGGGTGTGATGACTTGCAGTACTTCAACATCTGCTGGGCCCTGTGCCCTAGCGAGATGGAGGATGCATTCTGTGTTGAGCAGGGCTGCATTGTATGACTTCAAGCTGGGACCTAATACGATGTGCACATGGGCGCAAGCTGGGAGGTGATGTCTGAGAGGTGTATTGTGTCTAGCAGACGGAGCAGTGGGACAAGGTTGCCACAACCAGCGCAGAGGCAGACGGCTGGGGTGACGAAGAGAAGGATCAGCCTGAACTGGCGAGCTCGGCAGAGGCCTCGACTGCACTCTCCCTGTGCGCCCCTTGCTGCCCTCTGGACCTAAATCATCCCATATCGACCAAGCTGTTCCGCGCTTGCGTCCAGAATTTGACTAGGCTTGTACATCTGGTTACCATGACTCCATGTGAAAGCAATTGTAGGCCTGTGAAGTATGCCATGCATGCAGAAATTGTCATCTACTCTGCATGAAAATGGTGCACAATTGTCAATTATTACCCCTTGCGCTACCATGTAGATAAGGGTAGGATTTGGGAGTGCCTTTCTGAATATCACTGCTCGTCACTTTGCCCTGAGTGCGCTCTGCTGGCGCAGTGTGCAGGAGGAGGCTGGCGGCTTTGAGTACGTGGAGAGCAAATCGAAGAAGAAGAAGAAGAAGAATAAGAAGAAGACTACCGAGGATGAGGAGGCCTCTGCTGCTTCTGCATCCACCGCATGGTGGAGACCTGAAGGAGCAGGTACCAATCTCTGCTTTTTAAGACCTGATGATTGGGGGCAAGGGGGTTGCAGACATTGAGCGGATTGCAACTGACTTTCTGAGTGGAAGTGGTGTTAATGCACACTGGAAGTTCTAAGTGCACTGCAATTGGAGGTGGCCCGGATCTTCATTTGAATATGTGGTGCTGCGTGTAAACAGGAGACGAGGACACAGCAGACGAGTGGCAGACCGCAAAGCCGCGGCGGCAGCAGCAGAAGCGGGGGGACCGGGGGGACTCGGCAGGCCCCCCGCACCAGCTGAACGGCCACTCTGAGGAGCCGAAATCGCCACTCCCACAGCCGCGGGCCACAGAACGGGCCCCTGCCGCTCCAATGGCATCTCCCAGAGCCGTACCTGTCTCTGTCGGGGATTACGGCTCTCCCGGCCCTGCCTCCCGGACCCAGCCAGCTCAGCGCTGCGCCAAATGCAGAGAGCCCGGCCACAAGTGCGTGCCTTACTCCTGCCCTCATTGCACAACTACATGCGTTGTCTGAGACTTCCGGCACGGATGCTGCCCTTAACTTGCCTGTTTCTTGTGCCTTGGCCTGCGAGCAATGTGCTATGGTGACCCTCGAGATTTCAAGACAGACTCCTTGGCTGCAGGGTGATGGAGTGCCCAGAGCTGGCGCACCTGCCTCCCTTTGTGCGCGGGGAGATCCTGATGGCGCTGCTGGAAGGGAACGCGCAAAGAGTGCATCTTCTGCTGGCGCGGCCGCCGACAAATGCATGCCACTGGTGCGACGCTCCGGAGCACAGCGTGTACATCTGCCCCCAGCTTGCCGGCGTGAAACCCATGCTGAAGGCCGATCTGGCGACGGCGTACGAGACGTGCAACCTCAAGCTGAAGAGGAGCACGTTGGCTGAGCTGGAGCGCCACCTTCCCGCCAGGTGTGGCAAATATTGAAGTATAACTCACCGCCCCTTGAACTCTCCTGCGCTGTGCTAGGATGCCATTCAGTACCACCAAATCTTGCCGTGAATTTATATGCAGAGTTTTTATCAAATAGTTGGTGAGCACCTGAAAGAATTAAATAGACATGTTCATGTCTGATTTACGTGGCAGGCAAGTGGCCACATCAAGTGCACTAACCAAGGTGCTGCTGCCTGCAGGAGCAGATCTGGCACCCGTCCTGGCAGCGACCAGCCACCGGCCCCGCCCAGCAGCGGCAGCCGGCCGCAGCCCGGGGCGCCGTCTCGCGCCGGCCTCGCGCAGCCGCCGCCGCCGCCTCCGGATTGCGTTAGCGGCCGCAGCGAAGCCGAAAGCTGGCGCCGCCAGGTCAGCGCTGGGTCCGATGCCTCTTTTGGCAACGACGGCTCCGCACCCGAGCAGCCGTCGGCCCGGCCGCAGCCGCGCGGCGCAGCGGCCGACAGCCGGCCCCGGCCGCGCGGCGCGGCCGCCGAAGATGCGCGGCCGTCGCCGCGGAGCTCGATGCGCGCCGTCGCTACTCCATTCGTCCCGAGCCAGCCTGGCACTCCCCGGGACGGCGTGGCTTCTACATCCGCGCCTCAGATCAACCACGTGCAGGCTGTCAGGACCGTGCCCATACCTGCCAATGCCACCTACCGGCCGCTGCAGCAGGGTGCAGGTGCGCCTGCTGCCCCTGCCTTGGACCGATTGGCACTGCTACCTCTGTGGGTGCTCTGTGTCTGACGACAAGGCCATGAGCTGGGTTGTGTGAGAAACCAAATGGTGTGGGGATGTGATAGAGCGCTCTTGCCGGGTGCCAGGGCCGGCGTCGCCGGCGCTGGGCGTGCCGCTGCAGCGGCCGGCGCAGGGGCTGCGCAAAGACAGCGCAGACGACAACTTCAGCACCATCATGGACATGCTCTGCCCGCAGCCCTCGCTGGATGCACCTCCAGGTGCGCGGTTCTGCAAGCCTCTAACAGCCTTTTTGCTCAGACCTTATCGTCCTCCTCAAGAATCTGTTGTGTCAGAAAGTAAGCAATGCCTGTGTACCCTTGCATATCAATGGGCTGATGGCCATTAGAAGCATAGCTTTCAAGATTCATGTCTTTTGTTGCTTGGATGTGGCGAGTCCATCTAGGAGCAGACTTTTTTGGCAGCGTGTACCTGCTGCTCCTGTGCAGGCGCACCTCGCCTCTGGCAGGTAAAGCATGTACTATATAACAAAAGGGAATTTCTTCTACGTTGACAGTAGGACCCCGATACTCCCTCTGACAGAATCCTGTGAAGAATTTTTTCTCCAGTTGATGAGGTTTGAAGGTCTGCACCATCTGCTGGGTGCAAATGAAGGACAGCAAGCTTCAATGTGTGCGCGTGTGTGTTGCAGCTGAGCGGAGCTGGGCGGGAGTGGCGGAGGGGCAGGAGGCACGCGCATGGGCAAACAAGGAGGAGGATGACATGCAGACCGCTATCCAGGTGGGCTGCTCTACTTCACCCTTCAGCGCTCACAGCTGCATGCAGCGATGCAATCTATTGTCCTTCATTCTAGCAGCCAATCTAAATCGTTCCGGCTCATACGCCTCATGCAACATGTATTCCCAGTATTGGCGCAGAAATGTATCTTCCCATCCTCGGCGTGTGAGGCAGATGCCATCTCTTATCTGTGCCCACTACGCGACAAAAGCTTCAATGCCCGCACTTCTTAACACTATCAACCATTGCAGTGTTCACCTGAGGTACAGTGCTGACCGGGAGGGAAGCAATGTGTATGCCAAGAGAGCATTAGTAGCAGCAGCAGGAGATGTTGAGTGGGGCAGCGAAGAATTGCCTACAAGACAAATGAGCCTCAGGTGGCTCCCAAAAGGTCTCTAAATGTAATAAAATCTGTAATCGTAATAAATATGGTAATTCAGTCTTAGCAACTTGGCTCGTCTGCGCAGGCGAGCCTGCACAACAAGCGGCGACTGGGGCCAATGTCAGCGCTGATGCTGGGCCCCAATGGGGACCTGGCGGGCGCCAGCTGCCACCAGCAGCCGTCACACAGGGTACAGCAGGCCTCCATGGAGCTTTTGGTGGCCACTCCTGGGCTGCAGAACCAGATCGGGGAGTACAACTGCTTCCTCAACGTCATCATTCAGAGCCTGTGGAACTGTCGCCAGTTCCGGGAGCCCTTCAAGACCGCCTCCGCCGCCTTCTTCTCCGCCCAGGTGGCCCCCTTACCCTCCAAGATGCTCCAGCATCAGCTCTATTTAGCACCTGTTTGCCAGGGGGCTATAAGGTGGAACTTGGTGGCCATAAAAATTACTGAAACGCCCTTGATTCTCATTGAGGAGTCTGAGTTGGTCCACGAATTGAAAGCCCTGGGTCTGTATGTGCTGCAATCCTGATATGTCCTTCATGGCATGACGGCTGAGGACTTGCAAGCGCTTGCCTCAAGCCTGAGAAAGAGAACAGCACTCAAAACTGCATGTGCCTGAACAGTCCGTGGACTGTATGCGTGGCCTGGCAGATGCTAGAGTGGCTGTCGTGGTAGGGATCCTTAGCAAATATCGGATTCTCAATTTTCAATTTGGATGTGCATGCGCAGAGCAACGCGGTGGTTGCAGCGCTGGCGGAGTTGTTTGCCACGTTCGAGGCGGAGGAACGGCAGGGCAGCCGCAGCGTCATCGCACCCACGCGGCTGCGCGAAGCACTTGACGCCCTCAACTCCCACGCCTTCCAGATCGGTATGGCGCCCTCACACATCCGGCAGTGCTGTGCCAATGCGGCCAGAATTTTTCTGACAGAACACTGTGTGGAAACGCATCAGGATATGCATGGGACGCGCATTGGCCGCGCAGCTGCTTGAAGAAAAGGCTGCGTCGGGACCTTATGTGCTTGGGGAACCTTCTTGGGGCTGTGGGTGTGGCAGTTGCAGGCTGAAGGCATTGGCAGAAGGTTCCTTGTTCCGCTGCATCACAGAGAATAAAGAGATTTGGTGTAGTGTTATCCTCTGAATCTTGCGCTCGGGTGTCTAGGGGAGATGAGCGACGCAGCAGAGGTGCTGGGCGCGGTGTACGACAGCCTCAAGGAGGTTCCCGGGGGCGCCGAGTTGGTGAATGCAGTGTTTGGGCTGCGCGTGCGCGAGCTGGTGCACTGCGGCAGCTGCGGCCGGGACACGCACTGCACGCGCTACACGCAGTTCTTCTACAACGTGTCAGCGACAGCGCTGCGCCTGCAGGCCATGCTCAACGGCGAGGACGGCCGCCTGCCGCCGCTCGGCCGCCTGCTCTGGGTGAGTCATCACTTTTACATAACTTCCTGCCGAATTCTCTGCACCCGCTCACCGACGGACAAGGCGATTTGCTGCCTCATCAGCGAGTGCTGGACTGGAGCAGCTCAATCTTGGTGAGAGAAAATTGCAGAAATCTTTGTTGTGCAGCCAGGCGTTTCAACTAAGATTCACTCTGGGGCATGAAGAGCGTGTCCATCTGCGCCAACCAGCTGCTGAATTTGTGCCTGTGATGGTTGGTGAGCATGCCATGACAAGCCGAGTGTGCTGAGCACAGCTCAAATCAATTGTTGAAATTGCGATCTTGCCGTGCATAAGTGAGCGTTGTCATGACGCAGTCGGCTGCCGTTGCAGGAGATTGAGGCGCAGGACGTGAAGAGCTGCGACACGGACGTGGGCGGCTGCGGGCAGCTGAACAGCATTCAGCACCTGCTGGAGGGCGCGCCGCCGAACGTGTTCACCGTGCAGCTGGCCTGGGAGTCCCAGCACGAGTCCTCCGACGCCATCCGCGCCACCCTCGCCGCCATCCAGGAGGTGAATTTCTCACTCCCTCTGAAATGCCCTTCATATTACCTGGACTTCAGAGAGAGCCCACAGAAAGACTCTTCATCATATCCATGAAGGCTGTTCCACCAGACCTCTGTGAGAGGCTGGAGACTGTAGGCATCACAAATGCGCCCGTCATGCAAGACTCCTTGTGTGTCTCCTACCTTTTGCCGCATCTGCACTATGCTTTAAATGCAGCCTCAAACTCCTGCCAGCCTCCAAGCAGCTTGCTTCCCTATGAGCCAATGCCAATGCCAAAGCAATTTGCCATTGATGTTTTGATTCAGCTGCGGTATGCCTGGGCTGAGTCAGTTGCTGTAAGGTGTAGCTCGGCGGGTATTATTCAAGTGTGGGGAATTGAGTACATTGGGAAGATTTCGAGCGCGTGCATGCATGCGCAGGAGGTGGATGTGGGGCACATCTACAAGGCGCAGGAGCCGCGGCAGTACCGGCTGCGCAGCATGGTCTGCTACTACGGCGCGCACTACCACGCTTTCGTGCACGCGAGCGGCCAGTGGATCATGTTTGATGACGCCAATACCAGCGCCGTCGGCGGCTGGGACGCTGTCATGCACAAGTGCCAGCTCGGCAAGATCCAGCCCTCTGTGCTCTTTTTTGAGGCCATGGGCGGCTAGCATGTGGAGGGAGTGTCGATTCTGCGACTCCGTAGGTCAGGGGTGGTGCTTGAATTCATGCTGCGCGGTCCTGAAACCGTTCTGATTTTGTGTTCTTTTGCGAATTGTCGGTTTGTGCTGCTTGCTGTCTCGCGTAGGAAGCTTTTGGGACGGTGGATCCGGAGGCCCCAATTCAGATCGGTACAGGTTGATGTAAGCGAATAGGTAGATAGCAGAGCATCCTGTAACAATAACGTGTACTGGTACTGGACTCATCCTTGCAGACATGTGGGTGGTCACACAAAGCCAAGTGGGATCTTCCACCCCACCCCTCTTCCACCCCTCAATCCCTCCAACAACTTGTTCGTCAGTAACTCAAGCGGCTGCAAATAGCCTCAACATTCACCGTGTCAGACCTCTGAGTGCGTACCATCGACCATGTCGACTGCTTCTTCTCTGAAACCTGCACAGAATCTGTCGATTTCGAGGTTTGAACTGAGATTTGACAGGGACGCCAGCGAACACCGTGTCTCCACCACCGCACGAGATGGCGTGGTTCATCTTGCCTCTGGGAGATCACTTACAGGACCTAGAAGCAGTCACGGGCATCTCAGGCACCACAATGGTGGTCCTGCGCCTGTTGCGATGGACGACGAGAGTGCTCGTCGGCCTTGTGATATCGGCATTTGTGCTGGGATCCGTACTGTTAACCCTGAACAAGGTCCTCCTGAGCTCAGTCTTTCAGAAGTTCAGCTCGATCTGTTACTTCCCATTCATTACCAAGGCATTGAAGAAGGGTGCAGAAGCAGAGGGATTCGCCTTCCTTGCGGAGGATCGACTGTATTCAGTCGCGGTGAGGACCTTGCCATTCTTCACTCGCACTTGTATTGTCGATGGTAGATCTCTTGACATGCACACTTGTGTTGATAAGCTGCCATCTTTTGTCAGAGAGACTTATTGTTGCTGTTGACACTGCAGGTGTACTGCATCTGGGGCTTGACATTCCTAGCAGCGCTGCTGACCATTGTCTTGCGAAATCTGCCAGCTCGAAGGCCCAAGCATGTGCAGAATACATCTAGCCCAGACACCCCACTGCTCAGCAGGCCGGCTGAAGAATTGAGCGCACCGCATGCTGTGGTGTGGGCAGTGTCTTTTCAATATCCCAAAACTGGTTTCCGAATTGACTATCTGACATTGGTGACCCTCAAAAGGCCTCATGTGCTAAGCAATCTTGCTTACGGCTGGCAGGTCAAGCGCATGTTGCATTATCACCTGCCACCAAGGGGCTTCTGGTCTTGGTGGTGTGGTGGCATGGCGGTCTATGACGCCCTTGTGGTGGTGGCCTGGGTGATCGTCAACATTCTATATGTGCAGCAGCGCGTCAGCCTCATCCTGCCCATCTTCAAGCGTGCGCCAACCCCATTGCTGAATCCTGCCTGCCTAGGCCTGCCGTTTGCATTGTGTGATCATATCAGGTCTTTGGATTGTCTTCGACGTATGCTTACATCCAGCTGCAATCAGACCAACGCACTGTGGTGTCTATTCTGCAGAGGCAATCGCGCAGGGACTGCTGCCTGATTGGAGCACTACACAAGCGCTCCTCGCTCTGTGAGCACCCAAATCACCCAGCTTTTTATGCATATCAGTTGGCATGCATACTGCAAAAACACTCTTCTCTGTAGGTGTGATAGTACACCTCATTATGGCTGGATAGTTGAAGTGAATTGGCTGCCGTGCAGCATCTCTGGAGCGCTGGGGTGGGCGGCCACGCTGGACATTCTGCTGCTGTTCTACCCGGTGCCGCGTTCCATCTTCCTGCACTGGCTCATGGGCACCAACTTTCCCACCCTCATCAAATACCACAGGTGCGCATGAGCTATCTTACTGCTCACCCTTGCTTTGTCTACAGCACTTCAGAGCTTCTGTTCAGGATCATGACACTGTCATGCCAGCTGTTTTCCTTTGTCTCCTGTTCATGCAGCGGCCGGCAATGACGAAACATCCTTTATTGGCACCTGACAGGCAAGCACTTGCTTCAGAAAGAGAAAGGAGCAGAGAAACGACTCTTCTCCGTGTACTTAGGATGCGTTCTCCGTGCGTTCTCCGTGCATGTTGTTGCAATGCATCTAGATATGCATGGGGTGGTTTTGAATCAATGGTAGAATGGGAGCAGGTGGCTGGGGCACGGCACGATGTGGATTCTGAGCGTGCACGGCTGCGGCTTCTACGCGCTGTGGCTGTGGGAGCACGATTGGCTTGCGGGCCTAGTCTGGGACCGTAACGGCACCAACATGCTGGCGGGCACGCTGTCCTGGTTGTGCGGCTGCGCGCTCTGGTTCACCTCCCTCGAATTTGTGCGCCGAAAGTACTTCGAGGTGCGAGCTTCCTGTGCAAGGGCTGATGCAGCACTCCAGTCTGAAAGCTGAAAAGCAAGATGATTGCTTAGCACAGATTTAGGGCCCTCTTCAGCACTTGCGAGAGTTCGTGCTTCTGGCTGAAGCTGCACATGCCTGCATGTGCGTGAGTCAGGATCATTGCCTGATGTTGAAGGCAGAATGTTGCTACCTGACTGATTAGGGTGAGACTTGCTTTCATGCAGCTCTTCTACAAGACCCACATCCTGGGCTTCCTGGGCTTCATGCTGTTTGGCTTCATGCACCACATCAGCCTGTGGGCCTACACCATGCCAGGTCAGCACCTCCCTCAGCCTGCCCAAAAACTGTTCTTGACTGTAGCTACTAATCTGACATACGTCTCCGAGACTATGAATTCGGGGCTATAGAGTTACCCCGAATCTTTGCTTAAAAGCATGTCGCAGCCATTGTGCAGCTCCTTGAGTGCAGAGCTGAAAATGATCCTTCATCACTTTGGTAATGCCGGGGTTCTGATTCAGGACTTCTGAATTCACCATGATGGTGTATTTATTATCTCTTGGGATTGGCATCACTGGGCGAGCGTGCCGTATTTTGGGGTGCAGGTCTGCTGCTGTACCTGCTGGACGTGACAATGCGCATGGCGCAGCAGGCGCAGCCGGTGAAGATTACGAGCGTGGATGCCTGCCCCAGCGCCACGCTGGCCACGCTGGAGTTCAACACAGACCCCTACACGCCCGTCAAGCCAGTGCAGGTGTGCAGACGCCGTCGTAGTAATCTCCGTAGCTGATGCAAACTCAGCAAGCCATGCCAAGGACTGCCTCTTTGGAAGCCAGTATTGCAACTCCAAAAAGTCTGTGCTAAAGGGAAAGGAGCTGTAGAGTGCTTGATGTGCTCTTGAAAACATGGCTGGCTCGGCCAAGAACCATATCCCTTGTGCCAAGTGACAGCCAAGCATGGTCATGCAATCATGCAAATCACCATCTTCAGTTACTGCAATCCATGTGAGGTGCTCGGATATCATGCACCATGTCTTACATATAGCAAACTCTCCTACAGGCGCTAAAGCCGTGTCGGCTGTGCACTGCAGGACCTGTTTCTGGGTGTGGATGGCCTGTCGACAGTGCAGTGGCACCCCTACTCCACGGTGGGGGGCCCGCGCCCCCACACGCTGGTGGCCCACATTAAGAGCTACGGCGCATGGACCAGCGGCCTCATGCGCCGGCTGCTGCGCGACGGTTCCGTAACCATGCGCATCGACGGACCTTACGGCGAGTTTGAGGAGCGCCCTGAGTGGACTCGCCACCGCACGCTTGCCATCTTTGCTGGCGGAATTGGGGTGCGCGCATTGCTGCAATGGGAGCTCCAATCCTTAATTGTGAAACAATGAACTCTTAATCTGCAACACATCAGAACCTGAGGTGCTAGCTTGACCTGCTAGACGTAAAGGCACCTGATAGGACAGGTAGAGGAGCAAAATAAGGCATTGCTCGGGCATTATCGAAGTATATTCTCGCGCTGCCGTGGCTGGCGTGCTTGTGCGTACCATCTGCATGCTCGCTCACAAGGCGGTGCTTGCCGATCATGCAGCAGATCACATGGGCCAGCATGCTAGAGCCACTTGATCAGCTTTGCTGATCTGGGCTTGCGTAGGCACATTATAGCAATCTTGGCCTGTCAATCTGGCAAGGTAAACCACTTCATTGTGAGATGAGCGATGCTCACATTTTCAAATGCTGCAAGTACAGTGAAGTAGGCAAGTTCTGATGTCACCTGCTCGCGGCAGGTAACGCCAGTGTTTGGCATACTCAACGACTTGACGCAGCGGCGCGCGGCCGCAGCAGACGGCGGCGGGGACGGCGTGCCGGTGCCCGACAAAGTCATCTTCGTCTTCAGCGCGGCGCAGAAGAACGAGCTGGCCCTGCTGCAGCGACCCCTCCTGTCTGATGCCATGTGAGTGCCCCTCCTGCCTCCTGATGCCAGAAATTTACAAGTGCAATTCATGCTGTTCTGAAGACAGAGGCCTTGCCGCATGTAAGACGGCAATTCATTGGCAGAGAGACCTTGTGTTGTCCTATAGCAGACATGGATTGCTGTCCAGCAGGAAAGTTAAAGCTGACCGAGCTTCCAAGTCCCCTGTGCCTAAAGGTGGGGGTAATAGATTTTCAAGGGGCGACCCCGCATGACTAGAATTCAAAGGTGCATATGATGTTGCCTGTTCTTCACAGGCATGAGGGGTGGCTGGAGCTGGACGCATACTACACAGGAGCCAACAGGGGCAGGGACCCCTCAGACCTGGGCGCGGGGGCACCCAAGCCTGATGAGGCGCTCATCCTGCCCAATGACAGCGCCGCTGACCTCACCACGCCCCAGAGCAGCCGCCTCGCCACCAAATCAGGCGCCCTAGATGACTCAGTGACCAGGTCAGCCTCCTCAGAATTGACCTGATTTGTCGGGCTTTGCCTTGTGTTGCGAAGGAGCATCCATGATGCGCCTGACTCGGTGCTCGCTGCAATGCCAAAGATACGCTGCTGCATGCCAAAGATATTCCACTGCACCACGGCTCTTTGCAACAAGTTAGTAATGAGAGGGCATATGGCCACACCCAGTCAATGGCTTCCATGATGATGATGAAGAAAGAAAGGTGAAGCTAATACGGTTTTTCTTGTGGATTCCACCAGGACTGTGCTGCCGCCATATTTCTTTGGGGATGCGCACTGGGCGCTCGCGCATGTGCTGTGCCTTGTTGGTGCGGTGCTCGGAGGCGTTGCCTCCTTTGGCTACTCCGCGCATGCCAACACTCTACGCCCTGACGGCGCCCCAGACTGGCTGGTGAGCTCTTGCTTTCATTTCTCATTGCAATAAATTTGCTGTCTTGAATACCTAATTTGCATGCGCACGATTTCCAGTGCTATTTCTAGTGGGTCTGCTGTTCTAAGGTGTTTTTTTCGTGGGTGTTGCGCAGATTGGGCTCTACCTGCTGCTGGCATCGGGGCTAGGGGGCATGCTCCTGCCAGCCCTGATCATCATCCCAGCACACATTATCAGGTGGCCTTCTGACTTGTCCCCAAAAGTCCCAGCCAACTGCGGCTTATTCACCCGTGTCAGCCAGCACACGAATGTCTGGAAGAGCACCATTGTGCCCAAACCTTCACTCGTCAATGCCCACCGTCCATCGTTTGGATAGGCAATGCTGCCTGGACCAAGGGGTGTAAAAGGAGAATGACAGGAATGTCAACTTGCAAGGGAAGGAGTTGACACACCCTTCTATCCCCTTTCCCTCCTCTTGACTGCCGCAGCGCTCCACATGGGCGATCTTGCATCGAGGCTGAGGCTGTCGTGCTATGCAGGGCTCGGCACATTAGGCGGCTTGTAGCTGTGGGGACGTACCCACAGCAGCCTACCACGCCAGATGTTGAGAGCAGGGCAGCGCTGCCAGAGGTCAAGGCCACTCCCGGCCGGCCGGACATTTACGCACTGCTGCGGCAGATCTGCGCAGAGCATGAGTCCGAGCAGGAAATCGGCGTTGTGGCTGCAGGTGCCCTTCCTGCTTCATTCCCTGCATGCAGCGGTGTATGGCTCCTCAATTAAGTCCCATTTACCGATTTTGCAATCTGTGCCTAGGCCTCAAAAGGCTTCAAAGAGGCACTGGCTGGGGATCTGCACTGGGGGAATGAGTCGGGACACCAGTGCTGGAAATAGACCATATCCGTGCTGAAAGAGACCGGCAAGTATTTGAGATGGCCGTCTGGCCGTCCTCCAGGGGCTCAGAGAATTTTAGTAGGGAGCTGAGAGTGCTGCGTCGCATGTGCAGGGCCGGAGTTGATGGTGGAAGCTGTGGTGGAGGCGTGCCATGCCCACAATGACTCAGTGGGACTCCTGGGCCGCCCCTACCTGGACGTCAGCAAGCACACCTTCTCCTTGTAAGTGGGTATCTCCACACAGCAGCAGCATGTACCGGGGTTGATCAAGCGCCGGTGTGGGGTCCACGGCAGCAGCCCCATGTATTGAACTGGGTGGGGCTCTGTGTGCTCTGCTGCCCACCAATTGGCACTGGTTTGTAGTGGAAGATGTTGAATATCATTGTGTCCTAGGGGGACACATGTATCTGTTGGCTCACAGAGACAGTTGTAGCAAGGTGCGGACCCATTGATGTACTAGCCAGACGAGGTATGTTTGTACTTGTGAGTAATTTGTATCAAAGATTTCTCAGGCAGGGTTGCTGTGGCATTGTCCAGACACAATGCGGATGAACTCATGAGGTTGCAATTTGGGAGCAAATTCGGTCAGCGTTCCTTCAAGGCCTCGTAGGAAGATCCAGATATGCTCTCCTACCCATGGTTGCATGGTGGCAATTGAGTAATTTTTATGCTTGAATCCTTAGCATGCTATCGAGAGGATTTGTCGTGTCATTTCTGTGTTGTATCTAATGCAGGTCTAGCTAGCTACTGCAGTATAGGTGAAAAACCTGGATGAAAATATATGCTTGCCTTTGATCAATGGTGGGACTGGTACTGATGATACTGATAGACGAAGGTTGATACACTCGAAACTGTTACTACGTATAACGATAGTTGTTGCTGAGACGTGATTCACTATGCTCTCGAAGGTGGCCGCTTGACCAGTCGAGGCGACTTGCTACAGGCTCTTTGCACTTGACTTGATTAGCCGGCCTCTGAAAAGCACCTGACATGCATGAACCGGATCCTAGCTGTGAAACATGTGTCTATGGTGCCCCAGGTCTTCAATTTGAAGACATGCATGTCATGGTGACGTGTCATGGCACCCAGTGGGCCAGAGTCTCTGTACCTATAGTCACTTGCCGTCAGTATTATGCCGGCAGGCTCTTATAGAGTCTAGACCTTGTCGGTGGGACCTCGTACAAGTTGGACAACTCGTGTTCAAGAACTGGTGCTACGTGTATTGCATGCATACATCCTGCTGTGTCTCATTTCCGCATGCATACGTCCTGCAATGTCTATTCCCCCTGATGTTTTTACAGGCAGACTTGTGTTGTCCTGTTGTCCCCTGCCTGTAAGGGCTCTACTGTATCGAATTCAGCCGGCTGGGGGATATGAACAGTTCACTAATAGGGCGGAGATGCCACATTTCGCATGCACAAGAGAATCGCAGAAAATGGCTTTTTTCGTGCGAGAAGGGGTTTGATTACCGATCTGCAGAGCAAGAGCTAGATTGGCATTTGAAGGATGAATTGACGCAACACCACTACCGTCTCAGACGGTGATTGTCACAACGTGCTTCATGGGAATTCAGTAGGGAAATATTTGGGCCGCAGATATGGCCATGCAAAACATTGGGCGGCTCATAAGAGCCCATGATAGGACAGATCAAGGATCTATACAGCACTGCATTAAATCGATAGAGTATGAGGCAGAATCCGCAAGTGGAGAAGAGAGGGGACTCTGTTTCTGTGTTTTGGCGAGATTTGCTTACTTGCATGCACTCAGAGTCCTGGAGAAGCATACAGACAGAAGCCATCTGACGACATTCAAGGTTTGTCTTTGCTTCTCACGACTCACACGACGCCCTGACTGGCGCATGACCAACTTGAAATTTAAGAACGAAGGGGACATTGATAGCAACGCAGTGACCTTGCAGTATTACAGTCAAGTCGCCGCTCATAGCTTGCTACTTTGTTTCATCGCCTTCCTTCTCTTTACAGATCGTGGCTTCGAAAGGAGATATACATATATTGTTGTTTCGCACAGTTGAGAGGAATGGAGCTCTGTTGAATGTTATATTCCTGCTGGTTGGGCAGCAGAAAAGAGAATGAGAACCGCACCGGTCCATTCATGTTGGAGTTTAGGGGGTACTCAGCTGAGCTGTTTCTGACACCCATTTTTTTCGCACACAGAGCTATCTGAGGCAGGCGCTGGGCGCAAGTGAGAAGGGAGCAGAAGCCCGTTCTTTGCAGTGTTTGATCTTTCATTGCTGCCTGGCCTCAGCTGTTGGCCACCCTGGATGGCAGGAGAAGATGAAGAAGTGAGAACCTGTACTTCCCAGAACTATTGACAGATCTGCTTGTCGATCGCTCTGTATGGAAAATCAAACCAAGGGATTAGTCTTGTTCTTTCTGGTGTTCTTCCTCATCTTCTGTGCTGCTTGCCGCCAGGTGCATGGCAGCTCAAGAATGGATTGATCCAGGCCTGGAGCTTCTGTCAATTAGGGAGTACAGAAGCTTTATGCTGCCATGTGACCTGGTGAGGACCGCGTTGCGCAGCACTTGATCGCTTTTTTGTTGCGTATTGTCTGGTTGCATGAGTGTGCATTCTCCTGGATCCTAGATCTCAGGTTCCCTGGTTTGTCACCCTGCCGTGCCATGGCATCATAGAGGTCAAGAATGCGTTGCCGCATAATCTGGAAGATGCAGAGCCTGAAGCAGACACTCAAAGAAATTCTCACCTGCAGCTGCATGCATGTCAGGTTGAGGGGACAACCAAGGAGCAGCGGTGCAAGCGGAAGCTGTCTGATGCATTGAGAGTCATGAAGCTGCATATCGAGCTCAACAAGGTGCAGATGAAGGACGAAATGGCGGGCATGCTGCTGTCAGAGCTTGTGAACTCGAATTCGCTGATCCGCCCGGCAGACTGGCAAAGCAAGGCAATGGCAGTCTGCCAAAACTACTTTCAGGATCGCCTTGTACATCCCAAGAAGGTCCGACCTCAGACTAATTCCGAGTCAGCCTCATGTCCTGGCTGATGATCCTGGTTCAGCGAGCAAGGAACTGCAACTGAATGAGAGCGTTTGTTTCAGCATGTGACTTGCGATGATTTCGCAGGTTGGTTGTCCTTGTTTTGTTCAGTGTCCCAGCATGCTGGAGCCTGGAAGTGACAAGATCGCTGTGCCACATCGTGTAGTATCTTATGGTGAGTACGAATGTTGTAAATGTGTGCAGCTCAAAGAGGAGCAAGAGGAGGCAGCCCAAGTGGCAAAGGGTGCCAAGTTGAGGCAGGAGAGCCAACGTGGAAAATTGGGTGGGAAGAAGCTCCAACAGAAGGCGTCTGCATCTATGCTTGACAAGGCATGCGCCTGAGGGGCTCCACTCACATGTCATTGAAGAACATTTTCACCAGGGTGCTCGGGAGATTTTCACTTTTTGGTGAGCGTTTGAAGTCAGGAAAGAGGAAAGTAGGAGCCACTAAAGCAAGCTGAAAAAGCTTCCATCATGGCGCAGGTGCTCTCTCTGGTGGATGAGATGCTGAAGGAGAGGGGCAAGGTGGGGAAATGGATTCTTGCCCTGCCTTCCTATCACTTCCGTGCACCCAAAATGTACCTTCGTCTCATCGTGCAGGTAGGGATTCAAAGAGACAGAAAGGTAACATTCTTGCACTCTGTGTGTTTGCAGGCTGTGGTGTCCCGCCTGCTGACTGTCCCTGTGGACGAGTTGGAGAAGAGGCTGGAGGAACCTGATAAGGATGGAGAGCTGACGGTGAGCTTTGCGCTGCCTTCATGTTGAATTGCTGCACTTCCTCTGGAAGTCTCAGCACACTGCGGAGGCAGGGCGGCTGCTGTGAGTTGTCGGGGCTGACCTCTGTCCCTGTATCATGTGCTGAGAGTTGTCGGCTCTTCATTCTGTCTGTGCAGGGGAGAGATGCGCTGAAGTTCTGGGTGGAGAACGAAGGGATGCCATATGGGATCCTTGACGTTCGCAATGGGGCCTTGGCGCACCCAGTAACCTACAGTGACCACCTGCGAGGGTTGGTGCTGCGGAACAGAAAAGACAGCTTTGTGAGGCCCATGACCCGCACATTGACAATCATTTTCCTTGTCCTGCAACAGCTTATATTGGCGGTGCTGTCCACAGCATTCCCATCAAGTAGTCAGCAGGTATTTAGATTGTGTACCTTTCTGTGCTTGCAGCTCCAGAGACAGCTGAGGGATCACTCTGGAGAAGATGGGCCCACGGACGACGCAATAGCAGAACGCAGCAAACAGGTGGGCCTCCATCGGGGTGTGCTGTTGACACTTAAGGCTGCTGCTATTGTGCGCTGTGATCAGGCATGATATTACTAGTGGAAAGAATGCAAGAATCGAGAAGGCCGGAATGCTATATTTCATGTGTTGCTCAACGTACCTAGTCCTAAGGACTGAAAGCTGTAGTAATAATGATAATAATAATTATACTTGTGCGCTGAGTCAATTACATGGGCGTGTCGATGCCGCACTTCTGTCTCTGCTGTTCCGAGAAGTTGCATGACTTCCTCAAGATTTCAAGGCAAAGAGACCACAAAAAAGAGGGGACACCTTAGTGGCATCTTCTGCGCGTGACAAGGTTGTGATGTGCTGCAGGTGCTGAATGGGGATGGCTTTGTGTATATTGGGGACTTGCCCACCGAACTCCTTGAGGAGCCCAGTACCAGTGGCCAGGCATCCACCTCAGGGCAGCAATCATCGATACCCATGCTGCCTGTGAACGGCCGAGACGCACTCATGCATGATGCCAGCGCGGATCTCAGCGAGGCGCTAACAAAAGCATACAAGGCTGGGTGCGTGTGCCATCAGCCATTCTCTAGCACAGGGGCCAAAATATTGGCTAGGTCACCCCTGCACAGTGCATTTGGGCCCAGCTTGTACTTTTGCATGGATCCTAGTGAGGCGGTTTTGGTGCAGTGTAGAAGAGTGCAGCGCAGTGCAGGACAGGACACATTGGAAGGGCCTAGGTCGATGACCTCAGGGAATCTTAATGGGGGTTGTGCCTGCTTGCAGGGTCTTGAGCGCACATATACCTGCCCTGCAGGATGTCAGGTCCCGTTGGGTAAGCGCTCCTCTGCCCTTCAAGGCGTGCGTGCCCATGACACCTCTCTGTAGACGGCTTTGGGAAGGGAAAGTAAGTCCTGTCAGGCATGGCGTTCTGAGTCATGTGGTGCACATCAGGAGACTTCCAGGCGCCTCAAACAACACTTGGACCGCGTGAGACAGGAGCTGGCTACCGCAGGTGTGCTTCCTATTTGCAGCCCTGTAAACGAGTCGATTGAGGACTGACTGCCGCATGATGGTTTGCAATCATATACTGGATCTCTGACTGGCATTTTATTTGGCTTTTCCTTGTCATGTATGCCAATCTTACCCCCTTTTGGGCTGCCGCAGAATTTCAAGCTGCCGTGGACTCTGACACCGCTCCTGACATCCGCTTCCAGGACGTGGGAATGCAGACAAGAGTCATGCTGACGGACAGGGTGTGTCCTAGTCCCCTTTCTGCGCGTCCTTTGCAGCATTTCCTGACCGAAAACCCACCAGACCCAACCGAACAATTGCTCTTGCATGCATGGGGAGTTTGGCGGTCTCCAGAAAGATGAGGCGTGACAATAATCTGCAGGGGAGGGAGATCAGTGAGGAGGGCGAGACTAGGTTGAAGTGCCGGGGCTGGCAGCTCCTGGAGCTCATCCAGTGCTACGGCCGCCTCAGCCTGCTGCAGTGCACTTCTGCGCAGTTTGAGCCTGGCGATGAGATGCTGGTGCTGGCAATGGAGGGGGCTCTCAGCAACTTGGCAGAGGAGAGGAGTGAGAGTAGCTGGAAGCGGGTCCTGGTGCGTCGCTCCCATTCATAAATTGTTGCAAGCTTTTATAAGCTCACAATTCGACAATGCATGCATGCGTGACAATACTGAGTGCCGGCATATTCGCTTGGTCCTCCTACCTAAGCGCTACATGTACTGCTGATGTTGCAGATGAGGCTGCAATCGAGATGGGAGGACACCAACAGATTCGCCTGCCACTTCCTGGGCCCGGATGCAGATGAGCCCGTGGCCAGCTCTCTTGCCCTCATCAAGGATCCTGATCTCTGCCGGGTGGGTTCGGTGAAGTTTTGCATTCAGATGTGCTCTTGGGTATTTGTATGCACCATCGAGGATGCAATGTGCACTATATGAGTTGTCTCTGCGCAGGTCAAAGAGGACCAAAGTGCCAAGCAGCAGTTTCTGGACGTGATCCTGGACGGGCTCTGGATCCTGCAGCGGAACAAGCTGCTGACCAGTGGCTTTGTGTACCAGATCGCTCTGTACTTGCTGTTGAACAGAAAGGTGCGCAGAGCAAGGCCCGACAGGATCGCTAATATTGTGAGCCCGCTCGCCAAAGTTGTGATCGCACTAATTCTGCCGGCTGGTGTGCAGGACGATGAGTGTGTATCGGTCCATTCCTTGTGCTGGGAGCACCTGGGCAGCCTGAGCGATGGCGCAGTCGAAATGCTCGCAGATACGGTGTGCATGCAGCTGGGCCTGTGCCAGCACCTGCTGAAAGACTATGCCAACGCGCGGTCGATGCTTCACAAGGCACGCACCGCGCTCTTCTCCTGTGCGTGACAACGACTACTCATCCCTCTGTACCTGCTCTGGCACCAGCGTTGCAAACTGCATCACTGACTCTACCTTGGAGCCTTCCTGACAGAACAGCCCGGCAAAGGAAAGCACGTCTTTTGCTCGTATAAGGGAAGCTGCCCACTCACAGGCGCTTGAGTGATGGCTCACAACAGTTGATGTCTGCAGGTGTCCGCACTGGAGCTGGACGACCCAAATGTGGTTATCAACCATCTGCGCTGCCAACCAGAGACCCTTGGGCGCGAAATGGCCTATGCAAACTCTCTGTTGGGCTCAATCAGCCGACGCTCACCACCCGTCGACCACATCAAGGGTTATCCTGATGTGCGGCACCATCTTTCCTCTCCCTTGGCATGTTTCTCTGCGTTTCACGCTGTAACAAGCTCATGATTGGGCTTCAAATGCTGAGCTGCAAGACCCGGCGCGGTGTTGTCCTTCCTGTGACTCATACCTTTTTGAGGTGATATGAATGGCCAGAATGAGAAAATGATGGTCACGTCACATATGCATGGCGCAGGAGCAGGAGCAGGGGGAGTTGATGAAGGACTTTGTGGGTGCCCTGTATCCTGACAGCAAGACCAAGATCCCTCCGATGCCCTCGTTTCAGCAGGAGGAGTTGGACAGAGAGGACATCCTGGCATTGCTGCGGCGGTGTATGGGGTGTATTGACCAGGTCAGGGCCCAGCCTGTTGCCTGGAAGATGGTACCGGCAAATTTTTCTGTGGAACTTGTGCCCGATTTTGGGGGGTGGCTCATCTGCTTTTTCGACCGCAGGCGATCCTCTGCCGCTTTCATGCAGACGAGATGCTCCTGCACCACAGGACCTACCTGCAGGTCATCGTTGATCTGCTCAACCGCATCTCAGAAGGGCTGGTGAGCGCTCCTCCCCCTGGCCCAGCAATCTGCATGTCCACTTTGTCATGTCCCGTCAGGGTCACTGTGAGGCAACAGGCAACAAATGACCGAAGGTTTGCAATTTCAGGTGCTTGAGCATCTGCAACTTGACCCTGTGCTGCATCTAGTTGGCACCTCACCGTTGTGCCCAACTGCAGGAAAACAATGATACCCCTCAGAAGTTCTGGAACAGCGTTGGAATGGCAGTGCAGGCCTGTGAGAAGACAAGCGAAGGCAAGCGCAGCTTCTCAGACATCCATCTTCTTCTCAATGCTCCACAAAGAACAGCACATGCTGCCTATGCTCCAGAGAGACCTGCATCTGCCACAGGCTGTGTGCACCTTGCTAATGATCCTTTCATGCCCGCCCGCAGAGTTCCACAAGGCAATGAAGGCAGTGGCAGAGCGGGAGCAGGTCCTGCTTGCTTTCAGGAAGAAGAGCGCCCTGCGCTGCTGCCCTGAGGAGGATATCTTCGATTTGGCAGAGTTTCAAGGGTGGGTGCACTTGGCGACTTTTGGATGCTTTGTGGACTGTCAATCAAGTCACAGGGGCTTCAATTTAAACTCGATGCGCTCGTGATCATCAATCGCATATGTGTGCAATGTGTAGGTTGCTAGGTCCAGAGACAAAATTCGTCCATGTGCAGCCGGTATGTCCGGAACCCCTTGCTTCCATTCATACACCCATTGTTACAGGGTCAATCAAGTTATTGGTTTTGCCTCGGCATCTCATCAAGGAGGACGTCACATTACCAGGAGTATTGCCATGTCTGTACAGGGCGACCAAGGAGCGGGGGCTGCAAAGCGCCTGGGGTCTCCACTTTTGGAAGCGCTCCAGGAGCAATTTTCAGCATATGGTGAGAAGACTAATCCAGGCCCTTGGCAAATTGATAACATATGCAAGCAAATTTGAGAATCCAGGTCCTTACTGGTCCAATAGCCAGGCATCTTACTGCTAAATCAAAAACAACTGACAGCTTTTTGGGTTGTGCAGCCCTCCCGAAATTCGGAGTCCTCGTCAAGGAATTTTTCATCGCAATCAGGAGTCCCCAGTGCGTGCCTCTCCTGCCTGATGGTTCCTTTATTGTCCGGTGGCCCTCCTGCGTGGCTTTGTAGTGGTTCACCTACTTACATCTCCTATCCGCGAAAATAGTCTGGTTGTCAATGGCAGCCTCAGAAGCGCGCCTAGACCAGCGATGCCCTTGGTTGTCAAGTGTGTCATGATGGTGTCTCGCAGGCGAGAGGAGGCTCTTCCAAGGAGCCTCGGCAACATAGTCAACGCAATCCTTGTGGACCTCCTGACAATGGAGATGAATGGCATGCAATTAGTGGACGTCCAGATGGCAGGTGCTCGGCTGGCTGCCTTGGAGACACTCAGGCAAGCACTCTTTTCCCCAAGCTTTGGGGTGTGCATGCGCGTTCTCCAGAGGATGCAGCAGCAGCCACCCTGATTATTGCACTGTTGTGCTGAGCATTTGGTCCTTTATAGAGCGCTGAAGCAGCAGCCAAATATCATGCCCACATGTTGAGCACTCTTTTGCTGCATGAGCGTATCCTTGCAGTGCTTTTATCGCTTGCAACTGTTCTGCAGGATCATTGAGCGGCGCAATGAGGCATGCGTCCTGAACCATGTCGGGTTTGCGGCCCTTCACTGCCTGAGGGACAAATTTGACGGGCTTGTGGCGCAATGGGAAGGTGTGTCCCAATCGCCCAAAGGGCTGTGCATCATGCACTTCATTCCCAACAATCTGTACCCACCATGTTTGAGTGAGCCCAAGGACCAGCGCTACCCCAGCTGCTGTTGCCGCGGTATACCTCGCCCTGTATTGAGGAGAACCTGCTCACCACTGGTTGCTATTATTATGTGTGGCAGACCACTCTGGTTGTGGAGGCTCACGCTGAAGGGGGCGTGTCAGCCCTCCCCATGAGGCCACATCAAGGTCTCACACAGCTCATTTCCACATCACTTTCCAGTGATGCGGATTGTCCGTGCGTGACATGGGTGCACAGTATCCCCAGGATCTTGCATCTTCTCTCACATTTGTCGATCGTCCATATTCTGATGTTTCAAGAACAGATCCCCAGCGGTGTGACTTGCAGGGGAAAAGGAGGCTGCGGAGAAGAAGGCGCTAGAGATGGCGGAGGCAGAGAGCACCAAGATGCAGGAGGAGCTGCTGAGGGAGGTGGAAGAAGAGGGGAGGAGGAAGGCTGCGCAGGAGGAGAAGAAGCGCAAGAAGTCCAAGGGGGCTGCTAAGAACAACGCAAAGCTGGAGGAGGAGCGGGCTGCCAGGGAGAAGGCCGAGCAGGAGGAAGCTGCCCAGGTGCTGCCCCTGCCACCCTCATGCGCACCAAAATTCTGTAGCAACGGCGGCTGCATTTTGAGGCGGGCTTCAACAGCTGCTTTATTCTGCTTTTGGGATGAGTCTGCAGGATGCACCAGAGCATCTTGGGTGATCACGTACGGATACTTTTGGCTTGTTATAGCCTATCTTGGGGCCGGCAGCATGCTATGAAACTGTGAAAAGGGGAGCATGTCAATATGAATGTGTTAATGTTTCATGACGGCTGTGCAGAGGGAGGCTGAGGAGGAACGGGAGAGGGAGCAGCAGCGGCAAGAGGAAGAGGAACTGAGGAGGAAGGAGGAGGCCTGGCAGCAGATGCAGAACGAGATCGCTGAATCAGAAGGTGATCCCCACTTGCCATCCCACATGCGCTCCCTTGGGAGCTCCTGTGTGCTGTCTCTCTGGGCGCTCGCACCTCAAGAGCAAGGCTTCCTAACGCTCTCACATGAGAATTGAACAGCTGCTGCCAAGAGAGTGCCAACATGCAGAAAGGTGCATTTTGACATCTGTTGGTACGCTTGCCAATGCTGCTTGTGTTCTGAATAGATGGGGGCTGCTGCAGCAGGCTCGCAAGGGCAGCCGGACGCCGTCAAAGCAGTGGCCGCACGGGCAGACGACGAGAAACCTGTGGAGCGGGCAAGCCAGGCAGTGCGCTACGAGGCGCTGCATCTGCCCCCGGGCCGGCCCAGCAGCGGCCGGCGGAGCGGGAGGGATCGACGCGGGTCGGAGGCCACGCGCTCCGGCAGGGCCCCCCCGGGAGAGGGACCCCCCGAGCCCAACGGCCACGCCAGGACCGCCACCCCAGCAGACAGCAACGGCGGCAGCGCCGTCGTGCCATACTATGACAAACTGCGCTCTGGGAATCCCCCTGGATTGTCCAGGGGTGCCACAGAAGGCGCAGAGGGCGCGCCTCCTGACAGCGCAGCCTCGCTCGGGGACGGGTGCGCGTCTGGTCCCTGGTGCCTCTCTCTGCTGCTGCTTGCGGCGTGGCCGTCTAATTGTGGAGCAAGTGTGCTGGTCCTGAACATGCTTTTTTCTCTGCTGGGCAAGGGTTGGCATGGGTCAGCTTGTTTCAGGGTTCCCAAACTCCTCCTTGGCATGCATGTATGGCCCTGACTGTCTAAGGCACGGCTTGCAGGGACAACGGCGATGCCAGCGGCGCCTCGCACCAGGCACCTTCGGCTCAGCACGGCATGAGGGACAAGTACCGATCCCGTGCAACTGGGTACGCAACACTTCCTGCTATCATTGGCCAGCAAAGCATGTCACAATAGCTTCCCTTCCTGTGTGGCCTCAACTTGACTTTAATCCGCCCTCGATGCCTCCACTTGGGGTGCCTTTCTGAGCATCGTGGTTGAGTGCGCAAAGAATTATAATGGTGCGCTTGTGCAGGGACCCCAGTCACTGCCTGCACTGCGGTCATCCAGAGCACAGCATGGCCAGCTGTCCCATTCTGGAGGGCATGGAAGCATCGGAGCGGGCAGCCGTGACAAGGGGCTACAAGGTGGACAGCAGGAGAGGGCACGAGCGGGAGGCAAGGGAGCAAGAGGGCGGAAGGGGCTCCAGGAAAAGCAGCGGCAAGTGAGTTTATGCTTGCCTCTGCATAGAAGCATTTACTGTGCTCCTAAGCACACCAGTCAGCTTGCATTGTGTGGGGTACCGATCCATTGCTAGCTGGCACTGTGTGCACCGCTTTGGCGAGCGTCTTTGTGATCTACGATGTTGTGAGGTTCCTAATAGGGGATCAACTGCAAATGTGACAGGCCGGGCAAAGGGAAGGGCGCAGCGGTGGGGCACTGCCTTCACTGTGGGGCTGAGGATCACAAGTAAGGCCTCGCTCCCACATTCCATCAACTGCTTCGTTTTGCCTCGTTACACAATGGGCTACTGGCATCCTTGATGACATATCTGATGAGTGAAGCTGTGCAAGAGGGGAAGGACACAAGAGAGGATGTCTGATTCTCGGTCATGTGTCAGGTGCATGAGGTGCCCAGCTCTGGCAGACCTGGACCTGGATGCCAGGGCTGGCATCAACCAGGCCTACCTGGAGACTCCCAACAGAGTGCAGACTCTTCTGGCGAAGCACCTCGGCCCGAGGTGGGTGGAACTGACGGGGGGTCCGGCGGCCGCCACTGAGGAGGCAACACCTATACCCGCCGAGCCAGAGGTGGATTGCTTCTGCAAGCTCTGCCAAAAGACTGGGCACAGGTGAGACCTTGCTTCCACCCCATACATGATCTGTGCAAGAGGACGCCCGTGCCTTATCTGTTCTCTATGCGCATGTGATACTGCTATTGGATGTAGAAAGCAGACTCCAGCGGAGCCAATCTTTTTTTGGGGGACATGGTCGTTGCCCGTCCACAGACACTCTGCGAGCAGACTGACGCATGTCATGTTTCAGCCCTCACCGTGGCCTGATAAATGCCTACTGTCAATGGTCCGCTGAGGACAGCATGCTTGTCTTGATGGACCAGGGAGGAGGGCTGCCCCGTGACTCTGGGCATTCCAGCGCACAAGCTGCAGACTGTCTTGGAGCTCGTCCACAGCAGAAAGCGGCACTATGCGCTGAATGTGATCGTCCATTACTGGGGGCGCACAACCCCACGCAGCCATCCCATCCCAAAGGACGCTGTGCTGGTGAAGGACGTGCGCTTCATCAAGCGCTTCTGCTGCCACTGCGACGCTGACAACCACAAGTACGGCAGCGTGTGCCTGTGCCATGTTCCCACCCCCCATCTCTTCAACGCGTCCAAACCCAGCAACATGCAAAGCTTCTCACGCACCTTAGTGGCGTAAGGGCTTTTGAAATGATCCTGTGAGGTCGGAGTGGAGCAAATTCTTGTAGAGCTGACACAGCCAGAGCCAGGGGTGCAAGCAATTTGCCTGAGCAATGCTGTGAAGAAGAATACGATCCAAACGCCCGCCAAATCCTGACGAGTATATGCTTGTGCAGGTTGTTTGACTGCCCAGAGCTGGAGGGCATGGACGCAGCGACGCTGAAGGCCCTGGAGCATGCGTACGCCGACACTGTCTACAAGGGACAGACACCGGAGCAGGTGTACCACAAATGGCTGCAAGGCAGCTGTGATAGGCAGGCCATCACATGCGCCCTCTGCGCCGAGGAGCACAGGTGGCACCCCAACACGCTTCCTGGCCCCCACTTGGCTCATTTTGCAATGCCATTTTACCGGAATAAAAACGAAAGTGTGCGGCACACCAAGGAAGCTTGGTGGCCTGTACTACAGTACTATGGCTTTCCCGCATGATATCTATTTGCAAGTTTTCAAGTACAGGAAAAGATCCAGTAATGTCATATATCCCATCTGGACGTCCGAGATGACCTGCAAGTATGAGGCGCCTGCATGTCCTGGGAGAGGCCGTCTAACGGATCCAGGAGATACAGCAAGCAAACATGCAGCAAACATAACTCCTGGCATGAGTACTTGGGTAGTCAGGGCACTGACTGATCGTGTGCCGGGCTGCGCAGTGTGGAGGAATGCCCGCAGCTGGCCTCCCTTCCGATCGGCCCCTTCAGCTCCATCATGGATGCGTGCAAGGCCGGCAACGTGCCCGCTGCAGTGGACCTGCTGCACAGCTGGAGGGAGGAGGCTGCCGGGGCGGAGGCTGCTGCAGCAGAGGCTGCCAAGCAGCAGCAGCAGCCCCGCCCGGTCCTCCAGATAGCCGCTGCACCTGCGCCAGTAAGCCCTTTCATCACTTTCTCTGGCAATCAATCTACATCCCTTCCTGCTCGCCAGGGAGACGTCCTGTCCGCAAGTTGACGGGGCATCTGATGGGCTGGCCGCTCAGCATTTGTTGCAATGCTGGCTGTCCTTTTTAATGTGCTCAAGCCCTCTCCTATCAGCCTACCTGAGTACTTCATCAACATGTGGTGTCACCTTCTCCTGGGCAACAGGGCTCAAAAGTATCGTGATGTGCCAGGTGGAGCCACAGGACAGCCAGGCAGCGCAGTCCTGGCCGCGGGCTGCTAGCACCACCCAGGCGTCTGCGCCGGCGGTGCAGCCGCTCAAGCCGGGGTTCTGGAAGGCCATGAAGCTGCCGGCCAAAGACTCACCCTTGGGTGGCATCAAAGTGCGCGCCGACATGGTGTCTGACGCGTTCCAGGCCTGCCTGCACTGCCTTAACAAGAAGCACAGGTGCGCGCATCGCTGCTGCAGAGCTTATATCCTCAAATGGATGCCCGATGCACGAAGGATTCATGAGTGCCGAGGGTAACCTAAGAGCAGAACATGTGTTGCTTTGATTGGCTAACATGACAGGCGACCCTCGGTGGATGCCATTTCCACCACAGAGGAACAACTGTGCATGCATGGTCTCACGGGCATGACAAAGCAGGGCGTTTTGCCCCTTGCGAGCACATGGCAGACCTGAGCTGGACTGCAACACATGCACTGTGACCTGCTGCCTGCTGTCTGCAATCGAGACCCATGCACTGCTGTGTAGCTGACCAAAGCAAATCACAGAGAGGCCTTCTGCACTCCTGCAGCTTCAACGAGTGCCCGGAGCTGGAGCGCCTGCCCAAGGCTCTGCCCGATGGGAAGTCCACTTTTGGTCAGCTGCAGCGGGCTTACAAGGACGGAGACCTGCGGCATGCCAGGAAGATCGTGGAGATGGCCATGGGCTGCCGCATGTGCAGGCGGACGGGCCACTGGTGAGCCATGTAATTGGGGCAAATCCTGCACCCACTGAGCATCCCCCCCCCCCCCCTCCGGGCCCCATCTGTAGTGTTTGAGAAAGTATTGACGTCCTTCACTGAAGATGTGGCTGCACGGTTTGGGTGGCTGACAAAGCGCATGGTTTGCATGGGGCAGCACTACAAAGAGGAATTCTTAATATTTCTCTGCAGCTGGTGTGGTTGTTCTGAGGATGTCACAGTGTGCTATTGCGTGGGCCGTTCCCCTCAATAATACCTCTTTTGCTGCCTGACATCCATTTTGCTGGGCGCTCAAAACAATTTGCTTTCAGGCTGCCCAAGTGCCCCCGGGTGCCGAGCCACATCTCATGGGAGCTGGAGGAGATCTACAAGAAGGGGCCGGTGGAGGCTGCGGTGAAGCTGGTGAAGAATGCCCTGGAGGTGCAGAAGCCAGCAGCAGCGCAGAAGCCCGCCGCATCACAGCTGCCCACGTCAGCGGCAGGCCCCACAGACAGGTGAGCTCCGCTGCAGTTCTCTGGAGCACTCATCTTGGCACAATCTTGTACAATCCATACTTCTAGGTTGGTTACAGATATTGGGGGCGCTTAAGCGATTACCAACATGACTGCCAATGGCCTGGTTGCATGGATTTTTGCAATGCACTGGCAAGGTGATGTCATCAGTTGACGGAGGATATGTGAAAAGGACGTGACGCCCTCTTTTCTGAGCACACTGAATGGCCCGCAGGCTGCCAGCCAAGGCAGCGCCCGCTGCGCCAGCCCCTGCCAACTGGGCTGCGGCACTGAAGAAGGGAGCCAGCCAGGTGCTTCCGCCATTCCTCTCCCCGTTGCATCGTCTGCATGTATCCATGACAGGGCACCTTAGTGTATCGATTCATGTTAAATGGTCGCTCATGTAGCCATCAGGACTGGCAATGGGCACTCTGTTGGAATCTTGTGAGAAGGAACGCAATTGACAGCTTCAGCATGCGGGTCAGCTGCCACATTCTGAAGATGGCCCGCGGTGTTGCAGGAGCAGCAGCAGAAGCCAGCGAGTGCGCAGGCGGTGCCTGCCCCCATGCCAAGCCGGCCTGCCACCTGGCCAGGGGCTGCCTCTGCAGGTGGGCAGCCGCGGCCGCCCCTCTCAGAACAGCCGGAAGAAGAGCAAGTTGCCGAGGCGGCTGCCCAGGATGTGAAAGCCAGCGAGGGGGTCTGGAAGCTCCTCGCCGACGACAGCTCCCAGTCAGACACCGCAGACTCCGTGCAGAGTGAGCATGCTACCTTCTTGCTCCCGATATTCTGCTGCCACATGCAATACAATTCTGCTGGCGTCCAACATCTTCATAAGGCATCTGACCATTCATAGTAGTTGACTAAACGCTGTTTGATCTCCTGCGAAACAGGTGGGCTCGGGCTGGGCGGCTCGAGCCGGCCGCAGCCGCAGGGACTGGCAACAACGCTGGGAGGGCCCTTCTTCCCGCCGCAGAGCCCCCAGCGCCTCTTCCCCAGCGCGCCCACGCGCATGGACACCGCGGCAAGCAACGCAATACCGCCGGAGCTGCTACCGGGCAGTATGCAGAGCCTGTCTGACACCCTGCCAGCACCGGCCGCACCGCTGGCAGCGCCGTGGCGTGCCAGCGCGCCCGAGGCACACGCAGCAGGAAACCCCGTGGGATACAACCCCTTTGTCATGCGCATGCCACCTCCCGGCCTCTTCCCGGCGGCTCCAGCGGCACCTCCCTCCGCAGCTGCGCGGCGGCTGCCGCCCGGCTTCCTCTACCCGCTGGACGAGGCTGCCGCGCGCAAGCAGGCCGACGTGGAGGCAGCCATGCGAGTCTTCAGCGTCAGCAATGACGGCACCAAGGCATCCTCCGGTCCGCCGGGCTTCCCGCCGCAGCCTCTAGGGGCCCAGTCCCCACCAGGGATCCCCTTGCCGCATGCCTGGTCCCCCCATGGAGCGCAGCAGCGGCCCACCGGGGGGGTCGCCAGCGCACCTCCGCAGCTGCAGCAGCCGCCACAGCCGCAGGAGCCGGACAGCCATGAGTTCCTGCTGGGCTTGCTGGGTGTTGGCGAACCAAAACCGGCCCAGCAGCAGCAGCAGCAGCAGCAGCCCAGAGTGATGTCACAGCCTGCGCCTGGGATATTCCACGTTGCCAGCCAGCGAAAGGCTGAGCCTGAGGGGGAATATGACGAGCGTGAGTCCCCACCCAGGAGCCAGCAGCACGTGCACTGGCAGAATGCAGGTCAGTCCCCTCCCTCCGCCTATCTCCTTTCCCTTTGTGAGGCCACATCTTCAGAGCTTGGACAGTGCAACGTGACCCACCCAACCATATGCTGAGGCCCTTATTGGAAGGCGCTGTCTGCTAAAATGGACCTTAGACATGGCTGGTTTTGTGCAGGTGTTGAGCCGGCGTTGCAGATGCAGAAGGGCGCGTGGCGTAAGCCCCTTGGGCCAGCGGTTTTTGAATACAGCGCGCCTCCCAGTGCTGCCTCAAGCCCGGCCAGGCCACAACCCAGTCCCAGCAGGATCGGCCCACATGCCTGGCCGCCAACCTCGCCTGCTGGCCTTAAGGTCCGGGCGCACTTCATTTGCATCTGCTTCTGCGCTTGACAGGCAGACAAGATTATCTGTTATGGATTGTGTCTGGTGGGACGCCTGCGTGCAAGTGCACCTACTTTGAGGGCCTGAATTGCTTGATAATTATGCTCAAGACATACCATTTACCTGAATACTGGCGATGGTGTGTCCTCAGGCGAGTGCTGCGGAGAGGGCGCCCTACTTAGCGGTCCACACCGAGGAGCAGATGTCTGAGTCAGAAGAGGAGGAGACAGAGGAGAGAGATGAGGAGGACGAGGAAGGCCTGAAGGCTGCGATCCAGGCAAGCGTGCCAAACTTCCATGGGCAGCATCTCTCATTGTGAAGAGTGTACCTGTGCTGATGAAGAAGAATGTTGATGGTGGAACAAAGCATCTGCATGTCATGCCCAAGTTGTAAGGTGGGCATGTCAACTTCATCTGTAGGTCCCTTAGCAGGATTTCCAGCAGCGATGGTCTATACTTCATTGGTGTGGCCTGACATGCAAAACAACTCCAATTTGCCAACGTGACGTTCGGCTTGTTCTCGTGCCAACATGAGACGCACCTCCTGAATCCGAAGATAACTTGTTCTTATGCTGTTTCTTTTTCTTGAGCCCCTTATCTTCGTTCTTTTTCACCTGTTGTTCTGATGCGATGAGTGCACCTGCGCGCAGGCAAGCCTGCAGGACTCCAAGGAGCGGCTTGGGCCGCTGCACGACGCGGTGAGGGCGGTCGAGGCCGGCCAGCCGCGGCTGGCACTGATGGGCGTGGCCACTCCGGGGCTGCAGAACCAGACGGGCGAGTACAACTGCTTCCTCAACGTCATCGTGCAGTGCCTCTGGCACTGCCGCTCCTTCCGCTCCGGCCTGCTCTCCCGCCTGGACCCCCAGCAGCTGCAGGTGGGTCAATCCCCATACCCGATGCAAATCTCTCTCTCACTGGTCAACGCCTGCACTTGAGCAACGCCTGTACTGCATTGTCAACGTGAACAGCCTTCCACTTGTGCCTTGGTACTTGGCAATTCTGTCACTGAGCACTGCTGTCGTCAGTTTGCAAAAGATATGCGCCATGCTGCTTCCCTGTGGTGCCTACCTTGACAACCTTCCTTTGCGGAATCTCACCAGAGATTGTTGCAAGAGGTGGCTGTCTGCATGTGGCCTGCCAAGCGCAGGTGGTCACATTCCTTCAAGAATCAATGATAGCTTGCTGTGAGCGTTCAAGACAAGCACCTTGAGGCGAGCAAAGTCAGCCCTGACAAGAGGTTGATGCGCTGCGCGCAGGAGGTGCCAGTGGTGTGGGAGCTGCTGGGGCTGTTCATAGCATTTGCCAAGGAGGAGGACCAGCGCCGCACCGTGCCGGGGGCCGCCCGCACGGAGGCCGTCGCGCCCAACGCGCTGCGCGAGGCGCTGCACGACCTCGACTCCCGCCTCTTCTCCATCGGTGCGCACCTCCGCCCGTTTGATCCCACGCTTGGATCTCCGGAGCATCTCTGGAGTTGCAATCCTTTGTGGGTGGTTGCCCATCTTCGGAATGCTCCGCCAGCAGCTCTGAAGAACAGGACTTTGACGTCTCTGCCAAAAAAATGGTGTTCCTCTCGAGAGGTAGTCAAAGTAAGGGATTGGAATCCTGTATGGGTTTCTTGCCCTTGGGTGATGTGAACCTCTTATCTGGTGAAAACAAGTTTTCTCTACGTCTGCTTCTTGGAATATTGCGGCCAGTGAGTGCTTGCCTGAAGCACTCGGGGCCCGAGCACTGAAGCTGCCTTATTCGGGTGACAGGGGAGATGAGCGATGCGGCGGAGGTGCTGAACGCGGTATACGACAGCCTGGGCGCCGTCCCGGGTGGCGCTGAGCTGGTGGACTCGGTGTTTGGGCTGCGCGTGCGCGAGGTGGTGCACTGCGGCAGCTGCGGCCGGGACACGCACGAGGCGGCCTACACGCAGTCCTTCTACAACGTGTCCACAACGGCGCTGCGCTTCCAGGCGCTCTCCCTCGAGCCCGGCGAGGCCTCCCCCACCCTGGTGCGCCCAGTCTCAGGCCAAGGGATTGCAGAATCTCTTCTGAGGACTGCCCATCAAGGTCACGCCTCTTTGCATGCTGATAGCGGGATCGGGCCTCTTGCATCAACTTGGCAGGAGTTGTGGAGAGCTTTATGGAACCCCTTGGTGGGATTTGTTCTTGCTTATATGCCAGGGGTTGACAGCACTGCAGGCTGGCCTGTCGTAGACCTCTCTGCCGCCCATCTTGCATCTCTTACTCTCACAAGTGAACACGTGTTCTGGTCTGAATCGATTTAAGCTTGGGAGTCTTTGACCCAGAAAGACACCCTGTGCAACGCCCACCCTGAGTCTATTCAGACAAGACGAATTTGGGCAGAGTTAGCAAGATTGCTTACTTCTTCTGTTCTGGCGCATGACTAATGCATGTGCGTGTCTGTTTGTATGTACAGGGCGAGGCGCTGCGGGGCGTGGAGCGGCAGACGCTGAAGAGCTGCGACACGGACGAGGGCGGGTGCGGGCGCGATCAGGCCGTGCTGGCCTTCCTGGAGGGAACGCCGCCCGCCGCCTTCACCCTCCAGCTCGCCTGGGAGTCCCATGCCGAGTCTAGTGCCGACATCCGCGCCACCATGGCCACCATCCAGGAGGTGCGCGTTTTTTACAATACTTACTGCTTTGCCGAGTTGCTGCTTCCCAGTACTTGAACAGCCTCAGCGCAGAAATAGGGATATGTGTTCTGTTCAATGCTTCCGCCATCCTGCAGCCGCCTCTGACCAGTCGCAGCTGTGGTTGGGTTTATTCAAGTCAGCAAGCAATGAGGTCAAGACATTTTTTTGCTTGCTCTGTTGCGCATGGAAGAGCGTTCGGCATTCCTGTATTTGTACCTCGTGGTCTGCTCGGCAACTCCCAGCACAGCAAGGCATCCGTCTGAGTTTGGCAACACACTGCCTGTAAGTGAAGCAGCAGTCTTTATTTGGAATGTTTATTTCATGCGCAGACGCTGGATCTCGGGGAGGTGTACTTGGGGCTTCCCAAGGGGCAGCACCTGTACCGGCTGAGCAGCATGGTGTGCTACTATGGCGCGCACTACCACGCATTTGTGCACGCGGGCAACCAGTGGATCATGTTTGACGACGCCACCACCAGCGCCGTCGGCGCCTGGGACTCCGTCATGCACAAGTGCCAGCTCGGCAAGATCCAGCCCTCCGTCCTCTTCTTTGAGGCCCCCTCCTCATAGGTCTTAGGGGGCCTCAGCTGTACTCTCTGCTGGCCCGTGCCAGGTCTTTGAGACTCACATTAGAAGGTCCTATAGCTGTTTTTGCCCCTTGTGATTGTTAGTAGGTTCTTCAGAGAACGGCCGTGCTGTGCATGCTGGAAGTTGCCACAGCAGCGCAAAGCTACACATTTCCAGGCGCTGTACCTGTGCTATTGAGCGAGAGAGATTTTGCATGAGGGGCTGGTTTTATTGTTTGCTGCTGCGCATTTGTCACAGCACATTAAGTCGGAGAGAATGTCTCGTATGAAACGGAGGAGTTGCAGCGTGTGTCTGCGGGTGCAGTTAGGTTGTGGCGTATTTAGGGTCTCTGTGTAGGATTATTTGTGTGATCAGCTGGCAATGAATATCGACATGAATCGCTGATAAAAGAAATCGTGCGCATGATGCTGCGAATATTACTCACAATCCTTGGGAGTTTCTGGCTTACAAATTTTCTATTGAGGCCCGCTCAGTGAGTGGCCATGCATTTTTGCCAGTGTTATATAATATATTGCATTAATGCACAGGGCATAATAGTAGCCGATCCTCCCCAAATGCCACAATGCACCACACGTGCGAGACAGGACCAGGCCTAGGACAACACAGTAATAATAATGGACCATCATGGACAGAATGATGATTACGGTGATGACCATGGTGGGTTCGTACGGCTCGATGTTGATGCCCAGCTCTGCCGGCTGAGCCCGGCCTGCATGCATTTGCATGCATGCCACGGTACCGTATCAGATGGGCCCAGTGTGGGTGCTCTCTGCGTGGCCCATCTGTCTGTGAGTCCTGCATGTTGCTGACGACGTGCCCGAGCATTCTTGCCTTGCGCAACATTTACATAAGAAAAGGGCGAGCAGTGGGCAGACGAAGAACTGAAATGGGTGTCCCAAATTAGGCGTTCCGACGTTCGTAGGTGTGTCATGGGCCAGGACTTCCGACATCAAGGGATGGCCGCTGAGTGAGTGCACAGAATATGATACAGCTACAGTGATGCTAGCTGTAATATCCGGATGGATTCATGTATTGGCCAGGAAAGACGAAGGATGCCTATGGGTTCAGATGTCCACCTAGGTTTTTGTCTGTGAAAATCCTTGCTTCCTGTCGAGGCCATCACAGCTGGATCTGATACATCTTTAACAGGCATGTCTTTGCGTGCGCCCCTTTTGTCTTCAGATAGGCGCCCCGATTGCGATGATAACGAAGTCCCGATCTGGCAAATCTTCAAAGACGAACTCATTGCGATCATTGCGTTAGCTGGTCCAGCTTGTGTACAACTCGGCTCTCAACAGGTAAGATGACTATCTCTGCACCATGCATTTTGAATCTTCCTTTCATCATGTCATGGGCAGAAGCAATGCACCCCACCCTGTGGAGTCCATATCAAGCCCTCCTTTCAACGAGTAACTTACATCCTGCTTGGAATTTTCGGTCAATTACCAATTAGGAGTTGTGATTGGGCTTTTGAAATTTTCGCATGCAGGCGGTTCTGGTCACCAACCAGGTCTATGCTGGCAGCTTGGGGGCAGAAGCCTTGGCTGCTGCTGCGATTGGCTTCACGGTGACATGCCAAATCTTGCATTTTTTTCATCAGAGTTAACTTCAAGGGCTGAGAATGGGCCCTCAGCTGCTTCAGTGTCATTGAGTTGCATACTAGTACTGATACGCCTTCCACTGCTGCGCAGCTCTTCAACCTAATCTGGTATTTTCTCTTGGGTGTGTCCTCAGCTTTGGACACATTGGCAAGTCAGGCTTATGGCGCAGCCGATCGCGCCGGTGTGATATCATGGGCCATCACTGCAGCCATTGTGATGAGCGCTTTTGGGGTGAGTGGTACTATTGAGCTGAGATGATCTGCAGAAGCGGGGGCTGTGCATAGCATGAACAAAGAAGGTTGGTCATCTAGCTCTCACATGAGGTGTGCTGCAGGTTCCTATGGCTGCAGCTCTATACTTTGGCGAGCCAATTGCCATACACATGTTCAGGCAGGACGTGGAAGTAGCAAAGGTGATATCTCTCTTGCATGCCCGTGATGTGTCATCTGAAAAAGCCTGCAGACATTGAGGCACCCAACGCCAAGGGAGAAGAAACGTAGTGTTAATCAACTTGCCACTTGCCGTTGCCAATATGAGGCTCAGCTTGACACTTAAATGTGGGTGTGGTGCAGTTGGTTGCTGTGTACACGAGAGGCATGATCCCAGGCTTGTGGCCCTATATCTGGAGCTGCGTCATCATGAAGGTACTGCACCTTGTTGCAGCTATTCAATTGGTAACCTGTTAATGCACAATTGCATGCATGCTTGTGTCAACAGGAAATCAAAGCGACTATGCACGCGTCCATGTGTGTGGTATGTGTCAGGCGTTGCAGGCGCAGAATCTGATGTGGGCCCCAGCATATGTGACAGTTTCGATGTTCTTCCTTAACATTGGCTTCAACGCCGTGCTGGTGGCCCACTATGGGTTCACCGGCGCTGCCTACGCCCAGTCAGCTTCGCGCATCGCCCAGTTCCTGCTACTTGTGGGTGCGCCCCATGCCAATGCCATTGCTGTATTGCTCTGGAGTGACTAGGGGACTCTGAATCAATTTGAGACAATTTGGCTCTGATGCGCCTGGTGCAAGATGACATTTCCTAGGCGTTTGGTGCGAGATCAGCTGCCAACTGGTCCAGTACTTTCTGAATTGGTCATCTCGAGGTGGTAGAAGCCGGCACACTTGCATGCCCACTCTCTCTTGAAGAACCAGATGCTGCATGCTTGAGTGAAAAGCTATCAGCCAGTCATTTGCGCTATGGACAGCCGATAAAGGGTCATGGTGTGCTGCTGCGTGCAGTGAACGTGCTGACAGTGGGCAAGGCGTGCCTGTCCTTTGAGCGCGAGCCCATCGTGGTCCCCTACCCACACAATGACATCAGCACCACCAGCCTCATCAAGGCTGCCTTCGACTCCTACAAGGACGACGAGGTGCGCTGCCAGACTCTGACTTCGACCCCATACTCCACAATATTGCAGCAGAGATTGCCTTGAGAGAAGACCGTGAGAGCCAGCAATGGCACAATGAGAACAAAGTTTGGCTGCATGCAGGAGAGCTCCCATCACGAGTACCGCAATGGTTCTCCAAACAGCCCGCTCCCTCCCTTTCCCGTGAACTCCGCCCTGCAGCACCAAACATCTGGTAAGCCTCACAGCCGCGGATTCCTTTTCACCTGCTCGGGGCTTATTCTCATTGCATGCAGACATTGTGCTTCATTGACATCTATACATGTTGTTAAAATGGCCACGGGAAAATGCATTGAGGCATGTGAGCCACTCAGCACATCCTTGCTGCAGGCCTTTGTAGCAGCACAGAATCACATTGCTGGCCAGAAACAAGCGACGTCTGCTGTATTTATGCATGCACTCAGTGCATGAGAATTTTGCACTAATTTCGTAATCTAGAGAAAATGCGACTTGTCTCTGCAGGCGGCGCTGTGAGCGCGCCAGTGCCGGAGGTACCCTACGTAGCGCCGACCCTAAAGGCGGTGTTTGCGGATGCGGTGGCGCCGGCGACATTTGCAGAGTTCCTTAAGCTGGCTATCCCAGGCGGCCTCATGATGCAGATCGAGGGCAACAGCTTCGACATCACCAACGTTCTCGCCAGCCTTCTCGGTGCGCGCTCTTCTCATGCCAACAGCTTCACTCAGTCACGCCCCACACAATGACCTGTGTCTCTCCTGCGCGGCCGAGCACGCTGCACTCACTTCGCAGAGTTTGTGTGCAAGATGTGCCAAGGGACTGGGAGCTGATTCTTGGGCTTTTAAGAGCCTTACTATGCCAGTGGCAGCACCTTCTGCAGCTGCTTGCAAGTCAAGGAAGGCACACTCAGAGCATCTTTCAAGGTCACATGGGTGCACCCACATTGTCGCGTGCATCCCAGGCTTGGCATCAGATATTCTAGTCCTCTATTTTCTTACCCCCATTATTCCTCCTGACTGGGACCAGAGGTCAATCATTAATGGAACAACCAACAACGGGCGGCGGCTGAGGTCTGGTCGTCTGTGTGTCGCCAGGCACGGTGCAGGTGGATGCGCATAATGTGATGCTGACGCTGTGCGAGTTCAGCTACGTGGCGCTGCCCTTTGGCATCGCGACGGCCGCCACCATCCGCGTCGGCAACATGCTCGGCGCCGGCAACCACGCCTCCGCACGCAGATCCGGTACTACTGCTGTTCCCTCCCTTCCTGGCTGCTTGTAGTGGCTGCTTGCCTGCTGCATGCTCGTGGCAGTGACAGTGTCAATGACCCCTCACTGTTGATCATTCCTGCAAGTCCTGGAGCCAGCCGCCCCAAGCTGTTGACGGCATTTGGCAGCATTTGGAAGGAGTGCATACCTGTCCTTGAGTGATTAGCAGGCGTTAGCATCCAGCGCTTGTTGGCGGCAGCCACTCGCCTTCCAGCACTTATACCGCAGCACTGTCCAAATTTGCCCCACCCTCCTCCCATGCAGACCTTTTCTGGCATCCAAATAAGGTGATTCCAAGGGATGCACTGGACACCCGACATAGTTTGATTTGGATGCGTGCATGGTGCAGGCTATGTGTGCATAGCGCTGTGCATGGCGTTTGAGGTGGTGTCGTGCTCGCTCATCTTCGGCTTCCGCCACCGACTGGGCTACCTCTTCGTCAACGACAAGGACGTCGTCGACCTCGTCTCCAAGATCGCGTGTGTTCCCTCCCTTCCCTCCACCCCATGAGCATCCATGGTGTTGTGATTATAGACATCTTTGCCAAACTTGCCAAACTTTTAGACACTTGTGATCCATTGAACTTCATGTCGATGCCCAACACAATGGGCCCGCTCCAATAACTGCCCATGAAACCTGTCTGCGATCCCTCTGTTTCCTGCAAAAACAGTGCTCAGTGGGGCTGTGTGCAGACTTCTCGACCCAGTGCAGCAATTGAATGGAGCCTCTGTAATTGGACAGGTTGGAAGTGGGGTGGTGCCCAGTGCTTTAGGAGCCGTTCACACCTGCCAGTGAGGCGTTGGCGAAGCCAACCGTAGCCAATACCGCCAAAAAATCCAGAACACCGACTGGCGCGCGCATGCGCAGGGTGTTGGCGGCGCTGTACCAGCTGCCGGACGGGGTGTATGGGACGGTGTCGGGCATTCTGCGCGGCCTCGGGCGCCAGCCGCAGCTGCTCTGGGTCAACCTCACCGGCTTCTGGGCGGTCGGCATGGTCACGGCCGTCGCACTCACCTTCCCCCTGGGCCTGGGGGAGCTGGGCCTCTGGTGGGGCGTTCTCTCTGGCATCACCGCCACCGGTGCGCTCATCCCATCATTAGTCATGACCTCTTCTCTTCCCTGACCCCATGAAGAATTGCCCATGTGCCTATGTCAGGCTTGGAAGACCTGCGCAACAAACTCCGCAACAGTTACTATCGTTTTTGTGCAGCAAAGGGTATGTTTGAGGTGTGGTCAAAGCGGAGTTCTTGCTTGCTGCCTGGGTGTGGGAGGAGAATGTGGCATGCATACCTAGGCAGGATGGGAAGAGGTATGCAGCTGCTGGGGCTTTGCGCGGGGCTGAGGGTGACTGTGCAAATACCGCAGCGGCGATCTGCTCGGTGATGCTGGCAATGGTGGACTGGCCGGCGGAGGCTGCCAAGGCGCAGGAGATGATCGCGCGAGCCGCTGCGGAAGCCGCCGCGGAAGCCGCCGCCGCCGCGGAAGCCGCTGACGAGGACGCTGCGCCGGACCTGGAAGCTGCGCCCATCGTGCAGGCCCCGCCCTCGCGCACAGGTCCCGCCGCGTACCTCCCTGACCTTACACACATGTCATCACTGTGACTTTGCTGCTGTTCAGAGTCTCCTGCTTCAGGCACATGTCCCCTAGTAGCCCACCCTCTGGTAAGTCTTACCCTACCGGCCTTGAAGACTAGCTCCAATGCAAGAATTTGCTGCTGTGCAGAGCAATTTGCCGGCCGATTCCACCTGCCTTTTCAGATAAGGCACCAAGGTTGGGACAAGAGCACCAGCCAGGCAGCCTGCATCCCCACCCTCTGAGCGTGTGTCTTCTGCCGGTGAAGCAGGGGAGGGAACATCGGCGCAAGATCCGGCCGACAGGTGGGCGCACCTGCCGCGGCGCGGCGGCCCGGCCCGGCCGCTGCAGATCCGGCGCGCAAATTCGCTCTCGCAGCGCAACTCGGGGCTCTACGGGTCTCTGCACAACCACGACGTGGCCACGCGCATGTTTGCTCCCGGCGTGCGCAACTGAGTGTGCAGCAGCCTCAGACATCCAAGTCCCTGGCCGCCGTATTTCTGATAGCCACCGGTGCTCGTCTCAGGATCTGTAAGGTCTGAAGCGTTTGCAGCAAAGATAACGCGCTACGCTGCTGATATGAATTTGACAGGGGCTGCGCTAAAATGCGCGGAGGACTAAGGGGCCTAATCGAGATTTCCGCCCACAGTAAGAAGTCTCAAAGTAATGTTCTGGTCACTGATCACCCGAGAAACACCGGAAATTCAGGTTCAGGGTGAGCAGGGTTGTGGGAGGGGGCACAGATTTCCTGCGCCGCGCCCTGATATTGACATGTCCAGAGAGATCTGTTGTGTGTCTTGTTTGCTGTCAAGGTTCTGCTCAGATGATCAGGCCCTCTTGCGAGGGCGTGTGAGGTTGCATGCGACCATCATGACCAAATTTCAGTGCGATTGTGACCAGAGCAGTGATGAGTTGGGTGTTCAGGGCTGCATTGCTCGGAGCTCCTACAGATTATCAGGAATGGCTCCTACCAAGTAGTCATGTTGTCTGGAGAGTGTGAATCTAGTGGTATCAGTATTGATGAGTGCTCTGCGACATCTATGGACCACGCCCGTCTTCTGTAGGATCCTGTGCAAGGTTTAGGGTGACATTAGTTCATGGCACTGATAACTGCAATGTACTTGTTATGCTCAAATTATCTGTGACGCATTCCATGTTTTGCATGCAAAAGCACAAGGGCGGATGACACTGAAAGATGTTATCGAGATGAGTCAAGATCTTGACTCTAGAGCCTCTTGAATGGAATTGTACATGTAAGATTATTGCCAAAGTATATAAAATTACATTGCCCCAAAAGTTCAATCCAAGGTGGTGTTCTCTGATGTTTCAATCACTGCCACAAGCATGCTGATCACCGCCTCTGCTGGTGTATCAGCATTGCTTGGCTGCAGAGCAAGCCATGTGAAAATATTAGCCACGGGAATCCCTGCAGTCTTCGGGAAATTCCTCAAGATGGGCATTCAACCAACAGTCCAATGAGCCTTCCTAGAAAAATGTCACACCCAAGCTGGCACCAGCAGCGGTTGTACTTGCTTTGATACAGGCTGCAGGGAGCGGCTTCTAGCAATGAAGCAGTCACAGACCAACCTATCCAAACCACCCTAGTAAACTTCACATCATCAGAATTCGAATGGAAATGAAACAGACACCAGATGACATGAAATGAATGTCCTTTCACAAAATAGCACTGGACCCTGCAATCCTAGCAGGGCATGTGGCGCACAACAACTTGCTGGAAAACATTGCTCCAGCCCGTCAAGTCAAGTACACACAACATGCTTCGTTCCTTCAAACCGCCACATAAGCAACAGACACAAAGAGAGAGCAGACTCTCTATGGCAGTGCGGGGAGGGCAACTGACACGAGTGTGTCAGCGATGGCCAGAGGGCCGACTGGGTTCACCACGGTCTTCACTGGTGCGATGGCGATGAGGGCGGGTGCAATATTCAGCCCCTGCACACACACAAATAATTTGTCAGGCATCTGCCGAAGTCAGTCCCCTGGTATGTTCCACTGACTGCTGCTGCCAGAACAACACTTTGGCAGGGAAGAATAGCTGTGTACGAACAGCAGAAAGGCAGAATGAGGCGCTCTGGCAAGTGTGAGAGGTGTCATCCAAAATGGCAGATAAGGCATAGAGGTGGTAGGAGCGGACCTGGCCGGCAACAGTGGTGTCATAGGGACCGATGACGATCAAGTTAGGGGAGATGGACAGACCCTGGGGCTGCACGTTGACACCTGCACACACCAGATCATGCATTGGCAGAATGTCAGCATGCATTCGGGCAGCCAAAACTTACGACACCCACAGCACAAGTCACTCGTCACCATGACATATGTATTGATAGCACAGAACTCAACTGCCATAAGTGCTGCTTGGGAGACGGGCTCAGCTCTCACAGGTGAAGTCAGTTCATCACAGGCGGGTGGATCTGTGGGACAGGTGCAGGGCAGAAGGGCGGCGCACCGGTGGGGGCAATGTTGAAGAACTCGGGCTGGATGTTGATTCCCTGGGGGAAGACACCAACGCCGGTGGGGACGATGGGCACGGCGCACGGCGCGTAGCCGATGCCGGTGAATCCAAACTGGACGGCGGCAAAGGTCTTGGCGATGACGGCGGGGGCGTTGTTGAAGAAGACTGGGGCTGAGATCTGCACCTTGTTCTTCAGCAGGTTGGAGAGCACGTCGGAGAAGTCGCCGGTGGTCAGCTTCTTGAAGCTGTTCGACTGCACGCAAGAAAAGAGAAGTCGTCAGCGCTGTTTAGTGACCTGGCAGGATGTGCTTGAACTGCTGTATCACTTATAAGCAGCGTGTGAGCAGACTCAGCCAACGGCTGTGCTCAGCTCTTTTGATGCTTGAATGAAATTGTGCATCTGCTGCACACCCTGTCTGAGAACTACTGCTATAGGAGCATGGTCAAACACTGTGTCAGAGCTGACTCAGACAAGCAATGAAGCAACAAGGCGGTACCTGCTTCTGCATGTTTGCCATGACCTTGCCCTGGAAGCTCTTAAGGGCCTGGAGGGACTCTCCCTGGTTCTTGCCACCGAAGGACATGGCCTTGCCAACAACACCTGCCCATTGCTCGAAGCCTCCGGTGGCCACTGGCAAGTCGATGTTGTCCGCAGCGGATGCGCATGAAGCTAGGACGACAAATGCCAGAGGCACGAGCGCTAAATACCTGCACGCAAGAACGACAAGCTCAGGGGTCTGAAGGATGCAATCTCCGGGGAAACGCGCAATCTCCCGCACGGCTCTGTCCACAGGTAGACCAGTATGCCGAGTCCTGCTGACCAACGTGAATCCTCTAAGCCTGTGCAAGAGTTAGGTTGCACCTTTCCTGGGCTTCTGACACGGTCTTGTGCACAGCGCAATCAAATCAAACCGGTTGAGTGGCAAACGTCAAATACGAATTGAGCCAAATGACCCTAAACAACTCCTATTCGCTTGCTGAGGCTGGTCTCTAGAGCAATAGGAGGCACAATGACATAGCACAGCGCAAGCTTGCGCTTCCGCCCGTAAGATTAGACCCGTCAAATGTTTGAACCTTCACCTGCTGAAAGGAGTCTTTGGCAGGCGGCTGGGTATACTTGCCACTGGAAAAGTAATACAGCTAATACTCTGACAAATTTGAGACAACTACATCTACAAGACGAGTCCATAATGCTGCTGTGGCACCGATGCTGAACAGATGCGTGAACCCCCCCGGCCGCAGGTCAGGGTATGCACTCCACCATTGGACATTGCAAGACCGCGTGCAGACAGAAGAAGCCTGTAAGCTAAGGAATTGACCAGCCAGTCGCATTCGGCACCAGGCAACCACTGGCATACGTATGCGCATCCAACCAAGCTAACAAAAAGAACCCCTGTGTCTATCAGCGCCTACGCAAAGGCCTAACCACCCTCACTCAGCATCCTAAGGCCTCTGAGAGGCGAATTCCCAGTGTTTCTCTATTTCGCAAAGGCAGGATGCGCGACAATTTTTCTCACCTGACTGCCATTCTGACTGTGCCACAAGAGTGTCTTTCCTCAACGATAGCGTGAGCTGCCTCTCTCCGCTGTACTGTGCTACGGACGGAAACAGAACGGTCTTGAGAGAGCGGAGATTGTGAGAACTTTTGCGGAGTTGAATTCTGTCACATGACGGTTAGCTCTGACACGGGGGTTTGCTTCTGTCAAATCACAGTTCAGGCTGCAGGATCGCCAAGTTAGGCAAGCCTCAGGAGCTAGTTTTGGAAGGGGAACGCGCATAGCTCGAATGGAGGGAAAAAGGTAAGAGGCGAAGGATATGTATATTTTAAAAACGCGCAAACCGAGTTTGTGACTGCTCTATTGCTGGTGTGCGCTCTATTGCTGGTGTGCCCGACTGCATGGGAAAGGCAGCTGCCTTTCCCATACAAGAGTCTGTCAGGTTGACTGAGCTGTAACTCGAGTTACATTTTCCCTTTAGATTCTTAGAACCTTGCTGAAAACAGTTTTACTATGGTCTCAAAAATTTGCTGTGGTGCGATGCACTTTCCGTCTGAGTTTCATCCCATTTGGACAAAGAAGGCAGAGACCAGAACAGCCTTACTTTTTGGCAAAAGGGGATACACCTTGGTACACAAATGCAAGCTTGTCTTCATTCCTGTAATGTCTGCAGACTGCAGAAGTTTATATATGAGCCTGCACGCGGTTTTAGTCTCCTGCCACATCGCGGCCATACATACAAATAGCACAACGACCTCTCCAAATGAAACCCGGAAGGGCACTTGATCAGAGGTCCCTAATAGCCGCTGCGTTCTCTTGGGCAGGGCTCTGCCCCAGCAGCTCTTCAGGGGAACATGTTTGCCAGGACCGACTCGGTGTCTCCACCGAAATCCTGCAGCAGCTCTATGGCTGCTGCCCTCCCCAGACTGGCAAACTCCATGATCAGGACAATGTCGTCCTCGCTGTAAGCCCCATCCGGGCCCTCGTCATCGCTGTCAGTGGCAGCTGCTGTGTGTCTCTGTGCTGGCGCCTGCTCGCCCTGCCGTCCATGCTCACCGTTGCCGTCACCCCCTGCAAACATTGGCACACCGGAGTGCCTCACTCCCAAGGTCGCTCCAATGCCACAGGTACAATCACCACCCCAAACGACATCCCTCAATAACATCTCTCCCTCATCAAGATCCCTGCTATCCCTCACTGGTATACAAGAAAGTGTTCAATCCAGAGGCGCAGATTCTAGCCCTGCGATAAGCGAGTCCAACAGAGACAATAATTGCATCCCTGCCAGCATTTGAACACAGGGCATGAGGTGCAATAAAGGCACCGCACGACGCACCTGAGCCAGCAGCTGTGCTGTTGTCGCGCACTGCTGCGCCTGTGCTGGCAGTGGCGGCTGCTGCACTGGACGGCTTCTCGGAGCAGGACTTCAGGGCATCGAGGGACAGCAGCGGCTCGAAGCGGTCCTTGCAGCGCTGCAGCTTGAGCCACGCCTTGTGGCTCGCTACCAGCACCTGCCACACACCAAAATGTGTCCATACCTTGACATCATAAGGGGACCAGCACACCGACCTCTCATTGCATGCAACGATAGTGATGGATAGGTCCTGTTAACCCTTATATTCAAGCCTCACGAGAACTCCATCCCTCAGGCATATGCAGAAGAGCACAGTATCATGCGCACTCAAGGCAATGCATTCTCTCCCTCGGGCCGCAAATGACACCGCAGGTCCTGCAGGAGGTGACAAGAGATTGCAGCGGTGCATGCGCACCCGCAGCAGCTGCACGAGCTGGGGCTCCCGAATGTCCAGCACCTGCTGCATGCGCGAGGCCGCCAGCTGACTCAGCCAGACCGGCCGCAGGCATGCGCGCACCTCGCCCGGGTCCGCCACCGCCCTCGCAAGCGCCGCCTGCAGCCGCCAGAATTAGATTACTAATAAGCACATCGGCACTTCTCCTAAGGCCGTACCCTCAGAGCAGCTTGCAGATCATTGCCTTATTTGCTACTATACAGCAAGCAACACAAGGCCATCTTGTCAAGGACGCATCAGCCGCTCTGCTGTGAGACATTGCCGCAGGCCCTTGCAAGGAGCATGCAGAATCAACACCTGTTGGGCCGGAAAGTGCCAGAACCACCAGCCAACTATTGCTGCAAGGGAAACGAGTCTGCAGTGTTGCGCCATAAGAAAGAGCGGTCAGGGGCGCCACCTTGACCTGGGGAACCAGGTGGGGCTGATCCTGGGTGAGGGGCGTGAGGTGGGAGCGCGACAAGCGGATGGCCTCCGCAGTGCGCCCCTCGGCTGCCAGCTTGTAGAAGCAGGCCAGCTGCAGCTCAAAGAGCAGCTCCACATCGCCCTCTAAACACCCCGGGGCCACCACCCGCATGTCATCCATGGCCTGCACCAATGAAGTTGGTCAACATCATAAATATTGAGCACTGCCCTACTCACATCGTGTGCCCAAGCTCTGACTGCCCCTGCTTCTTGTGCTGAACCCAACAGTCCCAACAGGACCCCCCACATGTTTTTACACCAAAAAATGCTGCACCATGTATGACTGGCAGACCACTTGCTCTCACCTTTCATCCTCCTGAACAGGACTCATCGCATTCCACCACAAGTGCAGCCACATGACAGAGAGCACGAGCAACCATGCTGGAGCTGCCAGGATGGCGCACCTCCTGAAAGCTCTCGGCCTCGATCTTGCGGCGCACGCGCTTGACAAGCTCGTGGCGGAAATCCACCTCAAACGGCTTAGCGCTGCCCGCCTGCCCCAACTGCGCCACCTTGTGCCAGCCACTTTCCCGGCCTCCCACACCGTTCCCGCCTGCCACATTTACCAACATTAGTCTCACAGGACGCACAGCCCATTGGGTAGCTGTTCCTGCAACTCCCACTGCTTGCCAGTTGATGCCGCCTTGCACATTCCGGTGGGCATGGCGCAATCGGCAGCATATAGCGCCATGTGCGGAGGAGGTCTTGACAGCTACTTTCCTGGTCCAGGCAGCAGGAGTCAAGCACCCTTAGGAGAGCGCTTTCTGCTAAATACCCGGGACATGGAGCTGAATTCAGTGAAGGAGTGCAGTAGGAAAGCTTTTAATCAAGCAGGCTCACATTGTGGGGAAGCGCCGTTGCTGCGGGGCGGCGAGGCAGCGCTGTTTTCCGGAGCGCGTGGCGACGGCCGCCGGCGCCCGGAGCGGCCGCGCCATCGCGCAACCTTCTTCGGCGGGCTTTTTGACGGGTGCCTGTTGAACGCCGCTGTCACGTCCTGCCTCTCTGCGCACGCCCCAAACCATCGGATGTCACAATAACGTAGTTAGCCGTTCCATATACCAGCATTCCCTCCGATTTGCACAGAGAAAGACACTAAACTTTAGGCAATGCCCACTGCAGCCCTGCACAGCAAGCATGCAATGACTGCTGCTTTGCTTGCAGGATGCAGACCACTGAAATGAAATAAGGGGTGAGAATCGTAGATCACCTCCTTCAAGGCGTCCGCGGACTGCTTCATGCTCCATCGCTGCCTCAAGGCCGCTGGCTGAGGCGTCCTGCTTGGCCTCGCGCCTGGCCTGACCATCGATGTCCATGTCTGTCGCCGAGCAGGTTTCCCCCGCCTTCTGTGCCCCTGTTGAGTGCGTCGGGCTGCTTTCTGTGCTGGAACCCACTCGCAAGAGATCCCTGTGGCGGGCACAAAGACCCATGTAAGAGCAACACAACACCCACTCATACCCAGGGCAGGATCCCTCGTATTGGAAAAGCCCATTCCGAGCCATAGACGCATGATACAATGGCTGCAGTGACTTGAGCATGCAGCACCTGTGGGCAGCATAGGCAAGGACCAGGTCGTCCACAAGGGCGACGTTGAGGTGCATGGAGGCCAGCTCGTTGATAAAGGCCTTTTGCACGTCCCCCTTGGTGTGGCGCAGGGCCTCCACCGCCTCCTGGCGCGATAGCTGCACCGCCTCCTTCAAGCTCTGGATGTCTGCCTCTGGGAATCCCTACAACCAGAGAAAGAACCATATGCTTGCACTCTTGGGCCCTTCCAACTGAGCAAATGCACAGGTTGGACACACCCTTCAAGGGCGACATTGAAATTGGCGAGTCACAAGCAGTGCTAGCAGGTATGCAAGAAAGGAAGTCAGCAGGCAGAATGGCCCCCTTCTCAATGTGCTTGGCAATGATCTGGGGAAAGCTGCTCAGCTACTGCAATTGCAGAGTGCAGGAAGGTGGCTGAATTCCCCAGCTTATTGTACCGCTTAAGAGGCGTACCTGTCCTGACAAGGGGTCGAACTCTGGAGGGAAGGGGGGCGGGTCCCTCTCGTCGCTGAGCAGCTTGCCCAGGAGCTCCTCAACCTCGGGGCTGCAATCTGTGCCTGATGGCCTCGCGCTGCCATCTGCCTGGGTCTTCAGCAGCCGGTGCGTGAACACCAGGTACCGCAGTAATAGCGCCAGCTTTGGAAATTGGATGCCTGCAGTGCACACATACTCTCAGCACCCGCCAAACTTGCGCATTGATACTTTCCTTGTGGCAGTGGCAGTGGCATAAAGATATCGGCCACAGCCTCACATGGCAAAGCCACGCCAGCAGCCGTAAGCCTGGAAGGGTTGAATATCAGCACATGTTCTGATGAATGCAATCAGTGATGACTGATTGCATGGCAAAGCTAGGGCACCTGCAGCCTGGCGCAGAGTGCGGCTGAGGATGGCAGCCAGGTCAGCGCGGGTGCGCGCAGACCACTCGGACGCCACTGGGGACACGTCTTCATGCTGACTGTACACCAGCAGCAGCAGAGCCCGCTTGAACTCTGCATAGGCCTCTGGGTATGCGTTCAGGGCCAACGGCGCAAGCTTCTTGCGTACACACTCTGCAGCCACCAGTATTTACCTTCAGTGCCACCGTCTGTACAATGAAGCTGTGATGATATATAGTCTCCTTCTGATCACACTCTGCTGTCCCATGCACGTCCTTCATGCACATCCTTCATGCATGCTTCCAATTGCTCTTGTTCTGGCAGTCGTGTTACTGAGGTAGTGATTAATTTAGATATGTCATAGCGGGACAACTTTCTGAGATGCAGGCAAGATAGGGTAGAAGCTACTATGCACATTGGTGCTCACCCAGCGCCGTTTTGCGTCCATCCTCAGTGTTGCTGCGGAGATGCTCCACAAACTCCTGCTTTAGAACTCTGAAAAGTAGCCTCGAATCCTTGCAAGGAAAAAGAGCTTGCCTCAGTCTTCACTGCACTTTACTGCAAGCAGTGCAAGGAGGTGTCATGCGTGCATTATCTATACCAGAACCAGCAGATACTGCAAATTGTTCTGAAAACCAGCTTAGCAAGTTGAGAAGTGCCTCCAATGTCAGGCACCTGGAACACCGTCAGGTTGACTGACTCAGCGAGTCGCACAGCATCATCCAGAATTCCAGCCTCAGTACACTGGCGAACACTTTCACAAAGAGCCCGAAGAGCATTGTTGGCTGATGGAGGGGTAGCCTGCTTGTCAAGATCACCAAGCAATGAGAAGTATGATATTGAAGCATTGGTCCTCACACCATAAATGCATTTGCTGAAGGGGCGCTGAGCCTTTCACAACGGTTAACTGCTTTAAGAAATCCAATCTGCACAGCTATACCTGCCTCTGCTGATCAAACAGAGGGCAGACAGAGAAATGGGGAAGAGCATAGCACATGCCGAATATGACAGAACACAAAGCACTTCTTGCAACGCACCGGAGCAGACCCTTCTGCACGCATCGACGTTCCTTCCTCGTCAACAAGATCTTCCTCGACCATGTAATCCTGCACAAGTCGGTCCAATACCACCAGGTTGACCTCGGGCTGACCGTTCTTTGTTTTCAGCTCCACCATACTGCTCAGAATGTCAATAAGATAAATAAATGAAGAATATTATTACATTTTACTCCGCTCTGCAAGCATATGGCTAGCTATTCCGTATGAGAAAATCAGAAAGGGGATGACACAAGATTTGCACATATGCAATCAATGCACCGGACTGAAAACCGCTCAAAGTAATTCTACCTATTCTATATATAAAACTGTTGATGTTAATCTTGATGAATTTGAAGCGTCAGATCTGTCAATGGCACATTAAGGAGGCAGCACTCACCTAACCTGTAGTCAGCATGCTGGATCTGCAGATCACTTCCACAACGCATTGCGCAATGTCTTCATCGCCATCGTGTGTGAGATATGCTGTTAGAGATGTATAGTCTAGTTGTACCTAGTGTCTGGCTTTGTGTCATGTATGCTGTGCTCCAGCTCCATTGAGCATCTGGACTACTTTCAGACTCTTGCTGCGTTAGAGCAGACGTCCTGTGTTGCCTTCATCTGTGTCCAAAGTTGTGTGATATTAGGGCGCATCAGCGCAGATGCAAGAGCTTCAATGCGGGTACAATTGCCTTCAGTAGCAGACCCATGCCTCGTTACCAAACCCGATCGGCTTGACCCAAAAAGAGGTTAAAAGCGTCCAGAGGCATCCTGCATAACACCTCCAATTTGCTGACAGCAAGAGGTGAGCGTCGAGGCAGGGTCATGTGTGTGCCTTGTCTACCACACAGGCGCCAGGTGCATAGCATTTTGAAACCTATGGCTGTGATGATGCAGTGTAGATTTTGACTGTGATCTCACGGTCCTGCGCGCTATGAGCCGTGATGTGGCCATCCAAGCCTCAGCCAAATTGTCTGGGGACTGGAGTGCCCCAGAGTATACCAAGTCCCTGACCAAGGAAGTCCTCCAAGAGCTGCTGCCCCGCTTCCCCAAATTGGACCCCCTGGTTCGCATGCGGTTGCTCCTCTCCGTCATGTCGCTTCCTGCAGAGGCCCGAGCCGGCATGCAACAGGAACTTGAGGTGCTGAGCTGTCACTCTTTGAATCACCCTCCTGGCCGAAGTGCACTGCAATTGCTAGATGAAGCATACATTGCCAAAAGTCAGGTAATTGCAGCCAATGTCTCATTAGCGTTGCAAACTGTCCAAGCCGAAATCAGATCCCCACTTAACATCTCTTGCAGGCCCTGTCAGCGGCTGTAAAGGTGGACAAGGAGGAGTGGGTGGGGGTCATTGGGAAAGCAGTAGGCAGCTTTGATGGCCATCTGGACTTGGACGCAGTTGTCAGGAAGTCATCCGCTGTGAGCTTCCCTCTGCTCGTTCAAGGACTGCTGTATCTTCCAGACGTCCCACAACAAACCCTTGTCTAAGCAGAATGACAGCGGAGAGGTGCTAGCGTCCTGTTGAGGGACAATGTGCATGCACGTGACTGGCTGCTGCTGTGCATGTCAGGTGAGGGAGACGCTGAAAGACCTGCGATCAAGGGCAGACAGTGGGAAGACTGCCGGCATGCGGCCTCTAGAGGTGTGTGCATGTTTCTCATCATCCTTGACCTGTAGGCCTCCCATCATTGATTCAAAGGCATGGATGACCAGCCCAGGCAAATGCAAGAGCTCAAGGGCTCAAGGCAAACTCCGTCATTCCTTAAATTCTGGCGTTAACAATCGCAGGAGATGTATCTGAGCAGAAGGCTGCAGGCTGCAGCTCTAGGCGGGGCAGATGAGAGCTCGGGACACAGGCACTTCAAGCTCAGGCAGGGCTTCCGTTTTCGGCCCCTGTGGTTTGTAGCATCAAAGTGTAATAAACAACTTTATGTGCATGCACCCTCGGCGGCACCAGATCATACAGAGTATATGCAGGGAGGGAGTGGCGACTGCATCGGCGGCTCTGGCGCAGCCGGCAGCCAACGCAGAAGCCGCTGCGAGCCTGGCAAACGCTGCAGCGGTCCACGCAGCTGCCATGTCAGCCCCAAGCCCGCCGCCGGTTGAACATGCTGGCCCCTCCCACAGACACTCCTCCGACGCAGCCTCACAGTCTCTGGGTGCGCACGTTGATCGCTCTATGATTGCTCGTTGATTGCTACCATCGCACCACATCACCGTGTCAGCTGCGTTTCCCTGACTTGTCTGATTGTGGACATCATCAGTGATTCTTGCACCTTGTGGTGGGGACAGGGAAGCGCTCTGGCGGGTTGGGGGACATGTTCCGCTCTACAAGGCCTGTGCATGTCAACAGGCCAGCAGCGGTGGGTCTCTTCATTTTTGCACTTTAAAGAAGAGCAACCAGGGTCGTCAAGTGTCATGCATGGGAATGGCCAGAGCACTCCAAGAACGTGCATGAAAAACGTGATTTGTCACTGCTGCACAGGGGTCTGCAGCATCAGCAGGGGGAGTCGAAAGAAAAGGGATGCAGCGCACAGCCAAGGCCAAGCTCATCGATGTGAACGAGGTCATTGCACTCCAACAGCACAATCAGCCGCAGGCCCCCAGCGCTTCACAACCTTCTGAGTCTGGTGCGCGCCTCTCGTTGCGGTGATTTTTGATAGCTCTGGACAGTGGTGTGAGGGCTCCGTGTCGACCAGATCTCCAGGATTCGCCAAGAGACAGAAGGCATTTCTTTTCTCTACATCCGAGACATTGTTTCAGTGGAGCAGTGCTCTGCAAGTGGTGCAGCTGCCATTGAGATTGAGATAGAGATAATTAAATAGCAAGGAATAGTGACTTGAACATCCAATCTGATTTGTCACTTTGCACGCCAAGGCCCCACAGGCCTCAGGAGGACTCACAAGGGTCTGGCAGGCGTTTTGAACGTCTAAGCAGGCGTGTCTTGGCAGAAGATGTGGCTATCGCGAATAGCAGCGCTTGTGCTCTGCTTCAGGAGATCGCGGTGCAGCTGCCGCTGCGAACGGCGGGACAGTGCATGCCCAGGATCCTGACGACGAGCTGGAAGAGGGTGAAGTGGCCGAGGAAGGCGAATTGCCCATGCCGGCTGCCAATCCCACAAAACGGCACCGCCTGAACGGGCCCCCAAAGGTGGCGCAGCAGCCCTACAGGTGGGCCATTCACAGCACTTTTCAAACCATGTCAGGGAGCTTGCACATGTTAATTGGGTTTTTGTTCGGTCACTCGCGCTCAGCATTTTAATGCATGCAGTGCCGGGCAATGCAGTATCCATGTACAAGGCAGTATGCAATTGTTTTGGTGCATGGACAATGGGGCTGCCGAGCAGATCACAACATTGTGTACGGAATGTGCGAGGCAAGGCTGAGGCAGACGAGAGACAAGTATCTTTCACACTCGGGCATATTTTTGTCAAACAGGGATAGAGGGCCGTACAGCCCGCCGCCGCGATTCTCACCGCAGCGCTATGCAGACGACCACCTCAGCCCTGGACGCAGCAGGCAGTATGGGGAGCATGCACACCAGCGCGGAATGTATGACAGCTACAATGGGGGCCCTTATGAGCGCTCAGGCTCATGGCAGGATTTTGATGCACCGCAGCAGGACCCTTCTGGCGGCATGTCAAATCACCGAAAGCGGCATAGCATTGAGTGAGCACTCTACCCAATTGGGTGCACTGTGCACCGTGCACAGACCTCAGGAGCCAGTGTCCTTGGTCAGGCTTGTGGGTGCATGCTGGGTTTAACACGGTGTTTGCAAATGTGGTACAGTGACTGCTTGGGACCTCTGCGCGGTCTCTAGCTGCACGGTCTATAGAGCAGGAAATGCATGACACCAGTGCTAGGCCTAGGGCTTACGCTTCAAGAGCTCGAAGAGAAGCTTCATTGATGGCTGGGCCCTTCCTCTCGCACCAATTACTGCCTCTTTAACATGGTGAGATAGTGTTTGGATCTCGATAGTCCCAAGCGGAAAAAGTGACACTGTATTGTCCCGATTGTCTATCGGGAGCTCCATGGAGGTGTATGGCATATCACAATCACGCAGGTGTCGTGCGGGTTCCTCGTACTTTCTCCACCTGGTTACATGATGTGTGCCAGATCCTTTCCTGCAAATCGATAGAGAGGATCTAATTTCCATATTCTTTGATTTTCTTCTGGCGCCCACATCCCTGAATCTGTAATTTTGTGGCACTGCTGCTGCTGAAGCCTACCCTGCGAACAGGGGATTTCCGAAATCTAGTGCCATTTGGTGACGGCCTTCCATTATCCAGACATGGATCAAGCACGGTATGATCTTACTTCTTATCTCCTTCTAATTTGAATCAGGATCATGTGGCGCTTTATGAAGGGTTTCACATCAGTACGGCATGAAACCAGAGCCTCGAATTTCACCGAGATACTCGTTGATGTCACAAACCCACGAGCGCAGAGCATTCTGAAGTCCCAAAGGAACGATTCTTTGACGTGATAGCCCCGTGTGTCGCAGTCAGCAACTAGGGTATCTGACGACACTGGCGGAGAGCATCGCTTATTATGTCGTCAGTGGTGGTGTCAATTTCGCCGCGATCCTTATTGCGACGGCATTGTTCCCCATGTTTTACACGGCCGGCATCGCCATCAAAATCGCAGATCTGAAGGGTCGTGACAACAGGTTGGCTGGACCTGGGAAACCTGATATTCAGTATCCACGTTTCCTACCGCTCGGGGGTAAAAGCCAGGTATGCATCCTCCAATACCGAGTGATTCGTCTCATAATACGTTCAAATTGCACGCCTGGATGCAGCATTGATTTTCTGGCGCACACTATTGCCATCCTAAGCTCCCAGGTGTGTTTGAGATGCAGCTAGCAGAGGGCGCCCGCACTGGCTGGTTCGTGGGGATACTGTGGATCCTCCAATCCGAATCTTTCCTGGAGGTCGCCATGATCTTGCAGATTCTCCCTCTTTTGCTGGTGCCTTTGCAGATCATTTTCAACAATGTCCTTGAGGAGGTGCTGTCTTGGGTGTATGGTACGCGTTTTTGTGCCTTACAGCTGCGTTTCCAACGACCAGTCTCTTTACTCGCCCAAATTGCACAAGGATGCCCACCTATGTGAGCTTCAACCTCTGTGTTGTGTAGGTAAATATGACCTTGACGGCGGCTGCAACGAGCCGACAATCAACTCCTTGAAGCTCCTATTCACGGAGTTTCCATGTCGACTCATACGGAGCTGCCACTTGTTGAACAAGTGGCTGTCATACCTGGTCTTTGGCAGTCTGGTCTTTGGCAGTCAGGAGGAAGGGGTGCCTCAATATGAGGGTTACATCCAGGTGGGTTCTGTGCTTATGTCATAACACCACTGCACAACTTGCTCTTCTGATCCTGTTGTACTGACACTGCAAGTTTCATTTTGCTTGCAGTGGGGCTATCGGCTATTGAAGAAAGGGGTCTCGTACCTTGTGTTTGGCAAAGTAGAGACAGAATACCTTCTCAACAAGAATCATGCCTTCATCAACTACATCCAGGCGTGCTCAGCACATATCTAGCAGTCTCTTGCATGGCAATATTTTCCAACACACCCTGATCGACAACCTTGAAGGCCCTAGTACTTTAGTCCAGAGCCTAAGTATGTTTGTGCGGGTATCTGAAACCTGCCTTATCTGCCTGCTTTGCATGAGTATGGCCATGCATGCCCAGTGGGGGTTTAACATTGCCTACGTATGAAATTGATCAATCCAGCTTGCAGGGCATTGACTTCAGCATTGACAGGGCGACATTGGCAGCCTTTCCAAGCACAAAGGGAGCAACTTCAAAGGAGAATGCCCTGGTGCGCTGTCCCCCCCAATTGGACAGCACCATGGACAGCACTTGCAAGAACCATGAAATTCATAGAAAATGATGCCAAAATGTGTTCTGCTGGTGTAGTGCAAAAGACTCATGACAGCTTGGAAGGCGCACATCCTGAGCTGTCTGCTTCTTTAGCACCGAGATATTGTGAAAGCCTCGCCTAGAATTTCTTCATATGCACACAGGTCCTGGCCATTGCATCACAGCTTTCCTACAACCGCATCTACCTTATCAGAGACATTGTGAACAGGAACTGGACAGATGTAACCTTCAAGGGGGGATGGGAATTTGACTATGTCAGCCTGAAGCCAAAAGGTATATACGCTGATTCTTTGCAAAAACACCCTTAAGAAAACAGGGCTTGCATTATAATCCACAATTTTCCAGGGAGATGTCGCGGGTATTTAATGCACCTCGCTGTTGCTGCAGACGATGTGAAATATGAGCAGAAGAACTCCGACATCTCAGCAGTCCTGCTGCAAGTGGGTGGCCCGGGAGAGGGGCGAGCTCTCATCCTGGCCTTCCGTGGGACCGAGCCCCTGAAAAATGTCAATGTGGGCCCCCAGTAACTCGACTGGGTTCAAAACCCTGTTAGATGGGATGCTCGGTATGCAGAGTAATATTCAACGTACCTGAACCATGTAGGGATTGCATTCATGGTGCCATGCACAGGCAAAGCCCGAGCTATGCAAGTGTGCAAAGCTGCACTGTGGAGCTCTCGACGTCCTTATCTACATTAAGTGAGCAGATTTCTTGCTGAAGATATGCACAGAGCTGAAGGCATCAAATATATCACGCCACGTAAGCAAGTTGACTTCGATTCTGCTTTTGCATGCACTGGGCAGTGGGCAGTGGATTTCCAGACAGAGCCGCCGCCAGAGGATGAGGAGTGGAAGTATGGGGTCTACCACATGGGCTTCAGGACTGCCCTTGGACTGGGCCCTAATCTGGCGTCTGACAGAACCAGCAAAGTCAAGTGAGATTCGCTCTTTCCTGTCTTTGCATGACTCCGGTGACAAGAAGGCCGTTTCAGGGCTTGTTAGCACATGCAAATGTCTGTGAAGCTCCTGTTCTGTGTTTCTGCCTCTCATGAAATAGGTGTCACTTGGGAAATACAAACAACAAGACCAGTTGCCTTGACAATAAAAATTTACTGCCTAAAAATGACTGCTTGTGCTCTGACAACTGCACAGCAGCATCAGTGGGGAGGTGGCTATAAACGTGATCACATACATTGTCAGATACTGACTTGAAGATGGATGCTTTGTCGCAGGTACCTTTCTTGCAATGCAGAGAATGGACAGTATAAGCGAGAGAAGGCAAACTCCTCACCCTTCCTTGTCATGAAAGCCGCCATCGATGCAATTTTGGCCAAGGAACCAAAGATGAAGCTGTACGTCACAGGCCACAGGTAATAAGAACCCACTCTCCATCACTTCCTCCAGCTTTTCATCATATGCCGTTCAAGTGTGCAAACTTAGAAGTCTTAAGGAATGGAATCCAGCGGCACACAAGACTGCTACAGGGTGCTATGACCAAGCTTCAAACTATTGTTTTGATTTCCCAGCCTGGGCGCTGCTCTGGCCAGCATCTTTGCAGCTGCACTGGTGGTTCCCCCAGACACAAAGGCGGTCTATGACTTGGACCCCAAGCCGGTCTTTGGCGCCCTCTGCACCTTTGGACAGCCAAGGGTAAGCATGCTGCACACTTTGGGGAGCACAGCTTGACACTGCCACTATGCGGCAAGCCAAATCAACCTTGACTGCGCTGTCATTGAGAGATGTATGCCTCACAATTGAAATGGCAGGTGGGCAATGCAAAGTACACCATCAACCTGGAGAGTGCCCTGAGCAAAGACCGCACGGATCGCCGGTGAGCCTTGCTTGCATGATGAACCATCGTTCTGCTGACAAGGCAACCTGTTGCAAATGCCTGTTCTTGCTGCAATGGTCTGTGCACTTCAGTGACGGAAAACTTGAATGCAGAGAGAATCAAGAAAGCCATGTGATAATTACTGCATTCAAAGGCAGCCATTTGAGAATAACACTACACGATGTCTGCCATGCCCCAACTCACCTTGAAGGAAGCCACCGGGCTGCTGTATGCGTACAGGTACATGCGGGTGGTCAACACGGATGACATCGTGTGCCGCATGCCGCCGCCGCAAGTGTCTCCCCCGCCCTGGTATGCAGGTGAGGATATGCCAGCTCCCTGACAACCTGATCCCCTGCAAACAACAGAAATCAACTGCCTCTGCCGACGAGCTGCAGCAGTTGACCCTACCTGACCGACGGTGTTGGGGAAGGCCTGCAAGGCTTGCAAGCGACGGTTCCAGACAACGCATGAAGAACAATCGGCTCAGCCAGGAGAACAGGACAAGTCCGAGTGTGTTGACCGAAAGCACGAAGCCTCAAAGGGGCGCTTCTATCATGTTGGAAAGGTGTTATCAGAGACATACCTGTCTTGCTGCGAAGACGCGCCGTTCTGGCAGCACCCGGGCCACCTGGTCTTCCTGCCAGCAGTGCCAGCGCGCTTCAAGCCGATGCGCGCCGCTGCGATGCAGAACGGGTCTGCGTCCGCCCCCACCAAGACGCCGACAGAGACAGAGGAGGACGCGCCTGAGAACCAGCCGGGCGCGCGCGAGCGCAACCCTTCGGTCGTGGAGCTGTTGGAGCAGCCCACCATCTATCGCGGCAGCAGCCTCTGGTGCGCCCCTACAGGCAGCGTCTTGATCAACATTTGCTACTGTTGCAGTGTCCTTTTTCAGTGTTCTGTTGCTTGTGTCATAGCAGTGCAGGCGCTGAAGCTATTTCTGTTTTTGTTTCGTGTTCTCTGCTTTTTGGCAAAGCATGCACTGGGCAGGCAGGCATATACGGCCCTTTCCTGAGGCTGGAAAATGCCGTCAGCCATTTGACACTGCCACCATTGCCTCACTCCTTACATGACCCCTGCCTAGAGTGACCATAATTCAAAAGCTGCAAGAGAGATGAAGATCCCCGGCCTGCTTCTGGGTGCAGGCACGCCATCAAGAAGGCCCTGTGGGCGACTCTGGACCTCATCAGGGGCGGGGCCGGCATCAACAAACCCAGCACGCTCACCTTCAATCCGGCACCCAGCCTGCTGCGCGTGCTGACACTGTGGCTGGTGGTAGTCACTGTGCTGCCACTGGGCTTGCTGCTGCTGCCGACTCCGCTGTTCCCTGTGGGAGTTGCGCTAATTCTGATTGGGCTGCTGTGGGGCGGGTTGACTCAGGGCGTCAGCGACCATGCTCTTGACGGCTACATCCGCGCGATCGTGGCCTCCAACAAAAAGAACTGGACGGTGTAATTGCGCCGGGCGCGCAGTTGCGCCGGGCAGTGTCCTGTGATGACGGCCGACTCTGTTGGGCAGTAGGTTGTTTCCAGCAATGTGGTGTTGCTGGAAAGCACCATTCTCAAGCTTCTGTGGCATGTGATGTGGTCTCAGGAATGAGAAATTAGGTAGCGACTAGGAATTTCATCATGGCCTTATCTCCCTTGACAAAATTTTACTCGAGTATGTCACCATGGCTTGGGGCTATGATCCCCATGTCAATTGCTTTCTTCTCAGACATGAAGTGTCACAAAACCATGCACAGTATTTTTTTTCCTGTTCCGCTCTATTAGCGCTTGCAGACCGTTGAGTTGAGCAGGCTATATCTTCTTGCACTCTGAGAACGAGCATGAGCCTCTGTGAGCCCCCAAGACGACCCAAGTGCCCCCAGGGATGGGGGCTTGTTGGGGGCAGTTGGGGCTGCAATTGCTTCATTTAGAAGCTCCCGAGATTTGAGTCCTAGGACCTGCACACTGTGTACTGTTCACGACGTCTGTGGCACGTCGTCTTGGATGCTGAATTGAGCATGTCAAATCTGAGATTTTTAGGTAGGAGGTCAGCAATCTACAAGTAGTTTAAGGATGATCTGATCTGCCTGCTTGAGCATTTGTGGTTACTGAGGAATGTTGTGAGGCGGCTGCTGGAGCTCCCAGCCGCAGCCTGTATTTGTATTGCATTTGATATTGCAGCCTCTTGCTTGGTTTCATTTACTCCACTTTATCTTCGTCGCATTGAAGTTCTTTCATAAATGGACACGTATAATGTTTGAGCACCTTATAAGGCGCGTGTGTCCAGACGTACTAGGTATCCTAGGACTGTACAGTATTACTGATGGTGGTGAGTGTTGCTTTACAACAGTTTGTAATGCAAGTAACCATCATGTGTTAGCTGTGAGGTGCACATTTACCAAGGTGCTAGCATGAGCAATGGTATACAGCAGTACTGGCAATCAAATACATGTGATGTAATGTACAAATGGGCTCGTGCATTGGAAGGAAACAGGAGCATGTGGCATTCCAGGCACAAACAGGCACAGCTAGCTTGCGCAGCCTCGCAGAGCAATGACTCTGTGCAGAGCAGTCACGTCCACAAGAGGAGCCACTGTGGGACGCCCATGCGCGCAGCAGTGCCAGGCTCTGGTACTCTTCAGGTTCTCCAGCAGCCGCTCACACTGATCGATATCCAGGACGTCTCCAAACCTGTCCTATCATGCAACCCCACTCAGCAGCCACATGGACAAATGGGCAGGCTACTAGTGCCGTTTCCTGCATCTTGCATGCACAGCATGACAAGCAAGCTGTAGCGCATCTATCAGAGGGGACACCCACCGGATGGCAGAGTGGCAGGCTTTGGAGGCCAGCACGCGCAGGACTCCTGGAGGCACCTTGGCAGAGCCGCCAGTGCTCTCCAGCTGATGCAGAAAGGTCTGCACAACACAAATAAATCGCAAGTAGTAGCACCCGTCTGCGCGCATCACATGCATGGTCCTGAGCCAACACACGCATCATCCACTCCAGTTCTTGATGCGCTTTTGCAAGTAAGGAAGCATGTGAGAAGCATACCTGCAGCTCGACCCCGTTCAGGGGCGTGCCCAGCACCACAGCAGCATGTGTCAGCCTGGCGCCACCGTGTGCTGCTGCAGATTCGATAGTGCATGCGCCAGGAATGTCCCAGTGCCAGCCCCAGGCCTCCAGGATGTCGTTGAACCTGTCCAGCGTGTGCTGCTCCGCTGCGCTGATGTCCAGTGGCTGTGGAGGTGACAGCGTGCAGCTGTGCGTGGCCACAGGCACACCACCCGCACCCACCACCTGCATGCAGGACAAACACTGTTATTATGTACAGTACACTCATAGCAAACGTCAAAGCATGGGCACAACATGGTTGGATTTGGCAAGTACCAAGCTTCAGAATCCGCAAAATGTACCGTATTTCAATGCATGGATACAGATCTGTCATTTAGAAGCAATCCGGCAGCGCATGAAAGACTCACACACTACTATCCAAATGCAGATATGCTCTCAAAACTTGCAAGCACCTCAAATGATGCAACACAGAGTCTTGGTTGTGTGACACACAATCAGTCACCGACCTGGTCTTGCAGATGTTCCAGCTGGACGCGCTCATCGGCCGCGTGCTGATCCATGATGGCCAGCTGGGAGCCGCACACCAGCGGGATGAACTTCCTGTCCACCTGTTCAAACACATTTCACCCTCAACGGACTACAACATATTGCTCCGCAGCAGCCAAAGCTCGTTATACTTCAGCATGAGATTGCCCAGCGCCACTATAAGCTATGCTAAGCTATAAGGAGATCTAAGCAGAGCTACTTTGCTGCCTCAAAAAATTCCCTACAAACACAGTACACCAAAGCTGTTGACGTGGAAGTTGAGTGTTGCTATGGCAAATGGAAGCACCTGGCGCAGGGGCCGAGCAGCGGCAAGGGCCTTCTTTGTGATGGAGGCAGGCACAAGGCCCAGAAGATTGCCGCATGCCAGGCCGGCCAGATCAGGCACCTGCCGCTGACTGGACGCGCACGCCGGGTTGACCCACTCGCGCAGCAGATCCGCCAAAGTGCCACCCTGAACCGCCGCCGCTGCGCCGCCATCATGACTGATCATGACCGCAGATGACTGATCTGACTGTCCCACAGCTCTGCTTGCTGCTGCATCTGTTCCTGGCAGGTTGCCCCTCTGAATATCTGTTTCTGACGCCCCTTGTAGAGGCTCTGCTGCGCTCCTGAGCTGTGGGGAGCGATCATCAGGAAGTGGGTGGCACTGTGAAGGCTGCAAGGCTCCTTTTTCTGCCTGGTCAAAGCTGCTGATCAGAGATGCTGGACCTTGCTGTGTTTCTGCTGCCATGCATGCCAGGACATCCCCGGCAGCGCGGCCGATGCCACATAGCTCTGCTGTTCTCTGTGGCCTGCGCCGCCGAGCAGGTGCGTGCATCAGGACGTTCCTCTGATGCCCTGCTGCTTGCGCATCCGCACACTCGTCCTCTGCCAAGAGCTCACATGCGCCACTTCCTCCTGATGCACACGAGTTCCTTCCTGCTTCCTCTGCTCGGCCTCCCTCCGGAGCACTGTTGTGTGTCAAATTTGCTTCGCTGAGCGGCTCTGACCCAGCATCTGGATGTCGCTGCTGCCTCTTGGGGGCCATTGCCAGCCCAGGCCTGCTGCACACGCCTGACACTGTCTGGGATCCGCGCTTCCCTCTCCTCTTCGCCGGCACAGTGCTGGCACTCTGCCTTCGTCCACTCCCCTCCTTTGCCTGGCACTCCTCCATGCTGATTCCAGGCTGCCCACATGCTGCATGGTTGGCTGGAGGATCGTGGAGGGAGGTGAGGCCTCTGCCAGAGGAGCACAGGCTGGCGAGTGGGTTGGTGTGGGCCGCGCGCATGCGCGACCGGTGGTGAGGTGGCGCTGAGCTGGCGCGCTGCCTGCCAGCTGGCGGCCTGCGATTGGCCACGCAGCCCTCAAGCAGATCCGCAATGTCCGCCTCCGCACTCCTCTCTGCCCTCCCCAATTGTTTCTGCTGCTGCTGCTGCTGATTTGAGAGACTAGGTCCCTCGCTGTGTCCAGCAGGAAGCTGGGCAGCCTCATCTGCACGGCAGAGTGCTGCTGCAAGCGTCTCGCACTCCTCGTCATCCCTTTCCATCCATTCTGCGAGTGCACTGTCCATGCTCTGCCCGCTTGCCGAAGCCATCTGAGCATCTGCCGGCCAGAGAGGCTCGCCGTTGAGTCCCGCGGAGCTGCTGGGTGACTGAATCTGGTCCGTCATGCTGCAGCCTGCAACATTCCGACGTCCCTCTGGTGCCAAGCTGGGCCCACATGGGCGCCGCTGCACGCGGAAGCCAAGCTGCGGCTGCCACTGGCGCTCTGTACTGCCTGCAGGTGCACTTGGGCTGGCAATGAAATCTTCTGGCGAGTAGCGTGCAGGGCTGGGCAGCGTGGGTGAGTGGGGCAGCTGCGCAGCAAAGGCAGCTGTGCTGGGGCTCTGTGGGAAGCCCGATGGCCCGATGCCACTGTCTGGACCTTCAAAGCTCCCCCTTACGCCTGCCATGCTGGCTCCTTCAGGATCACTGACGCCCACCTCTGCTTGCTGTGCCTCTTCTGCTGCGTTCTCACTCCAGCAATGGGTTGGCTGTCCGTCCCAGTCACTGCTGTGCAGCCAGCTCAACGCAGGGATGGCTGCTCGGCTGGCATCTCCTTGACTCACGTCCAGCCAGGCTGCCTCTGACGCATCCTGCAAGCTGCCGCTGCGCATCCATGCTGACCCATGAGCAGGCTCTGCTGGGCCTTCCTGCGTCCTGAGGGGCCCCCCAGGTGCAGATTCCATGCCCATGCGGGCGGTGTCAATTTCAGCATCAAGCGAGAAGCGGACCCGCTTTGCCGCCCTGTGCTCCGCCCTGTCTCTGCCTCCTGCCGCAACTGCTGCGCCGCAAGAAGCCGCCTTCGCCCGCTGCACCGCTGACATGCCCTCCGCGGCTGCACAGCTTGCCCCTCCCTGACTGCCAACTGCTGCCAATGACTCTCTGGGCTGTGTAGCTGACGGCTGGGCCGGGGCTGAGGCGGGGCGAGGGGTGAGCAGCCAGAGGGGGGCAAATTCGTGCCAGGCCTGCATGGCGGCGCCTCGGACAGCGCTGAGCACCGGGGTCCAGTCAGTAAACTGTACGGCGGTCTTGTCTGGCCGGGCGGTCACGTCGGGCAGGCCGGGCGGGCAGCTGATGTGGCAGATGAAGGCCGGGAAGCGCCGCAGCCTGCCCTGCTGCTCGCAGCCGCGCCTGTTCAGGTCCTGCAGCAGCTGCGCATGCATGCAATGTATCAGCACACCCTCATCTTACAGCGAGAGACTGATTGTCCGTGCATATTGCCTAGTTTTCGGTTGCTTCAGCAGCACAAGGCAGGTGTCTGCAACAATGCTGAGAAGATGTCAATTCTGTAAAATGGGAATATGTACGTACCTGCTGGAAGAGGTCATTGAGGAGCTTGGAGGCGGCATCCCCGCTGACATAGCGGCCGTTCACATACATGTACTGGCGTGCTTTGGAGGCAAAGCCCTCCAGCGGGTTGCATATGTAGAGCTCGGCCTTGATGGGCCCATCATGGCATGCCCCACATTGTACCAGCCGCTGCCCAAACACCAGCGGCAGGACATCCCTTTCTGTGCGGCCCTAAATGGAGCAACATTGTAATTAGCAAGGTGATAGGCAGGAAGGAAGGTGATGAATACCTCAAAGGTTCTGAAAAGTAGCAATTGGCGCTGTAAGGGCGGCTGCGGCAACTTGGCTCACCCTTTTCAGGCAAAGCAGCACGTCATGACGCATGCTGTCCACAAAGGTGAAGCCCACATTCGAGCGCGGCAGCGCCAACCGCAGGATGTGCTCTCTACAGTCATCCACTTCCTTCTTGATCCTGCATTCACCAGTGGCATCTAAAGTAGCCTCGTCCAGGAGCAAAAGTGCTTGAGGGTGGTGGTCAGCACTGCTTGTGTATAGATAGAGGTAGTGTAAGAGAGCGTACCCTGCCCCAATGAGATGCTTCCTGCGCACTGGCTTGTTGAAGAAGAGGTCCCTGACGGTCACCCTTGTGCCCTGCTTGATCCGCTGTTCAAGCGCAAGCCCTTCCTTGAGGACCCGCCCCCCTTGCAGGAGCTTGGTGTGCGTCTCAAAGGCCCCTCTTGCCTTGGATGTGATCTCCAGACAGGCCGCCTCCGCAAGAGATGCAAGTGCTTCCCCCCTGTGGCATGATCTTGTGAGTATGCTGTTGTGGCATACTGAAGCTGTAGGAGGACAGTACTGTGCAGGAACCCACCTGAAACCCAAAGTGATTAGGCCCTGTGTCATCTCTCTGGAGCCCTGCACCTTTGAGGTCGCATGGCGCACGGCCAGCTGTCCAAAAGAGGTGGATGGTATCCCATGGCCGTTGTCTTCAACTTTGAAGCTTAATTGGCTTGGCTTGACATCCACCTGATTGAGCAGTGCCACACACACGGAGTATTTACATCTTCGATTTCTGAGACAATGCGTTCACCAAAATGGGCTGTACATCATTGCATAATCAGGGATGTAGAGCACGTACATAGCAGACAAAGCTACATACCTTGATCTCCGTTGCCCCGGCATCCAAGCTGTTGCACACAACTTCTTCAATAGCTTGAGATATGCTTGTGACGATCACGTCAGATCGAAGCTTCGCAACAGCGTGAGAAGACAGCTGCTTGATCTGAGCCACCATTACAAGTTCAGTCCGTTCTTGGCATGCTACGTAAAGGAGAAAATTACGGTCTCTTGTGAAGGATCCAGTTCTCGCTAAAACGAACAACTGCTGTGCACAATCTGTTCCAAGGTTGAATTCTGGTTGCATGTGCATACGTGTCATCGGCCGGGCTGCGGCCTCGTGCGGACGTGTGCTCAGATCTTGCATAGATCTGTCGCAGTGGACCGTTTCTCGTGTACTACAACCACCAGTGGGGATCAGAGTCCGCCGTTCTTGGCATCTTGCCCCTGCTTGTGCGAGCAAGGAATTTTTCCTGGAAGACACGTCAAAGATGAGCTGTTGTAAGGGACCTGGCTATGCGACTCCCTTGGTGAGATTAAGACTTCTTCATTCGGCATGCCTTTTTTATTTGCTGCACCTTCAGATTTAGAACGCGCTAGCAAAAGCCTGCACGCAGCGCGCTGGTGAAGTAGCGTTTGTCGTAGTGCCCAAGACAACATGGGAAGAGTCATCAAACCTCAAATGCAGTAGAGCTCATCCAGTTTCAAACTACCGCGTTACTGTGATGTTTTTCATATCTGGCATGATCACGGTCTCACCAATGCCTGAGACACCTCCCTTAAAATTCCCAGGAAGCGACGAAGGGGCCGAGAGAGAAGCTGGTGTACTTGCCAGCCATTGTTGCGGATGGTTCTCGTCCTGACTACCTAGCAACCGTCGATGTTGATCCCGAGAGTGCCACATACAGTCAGGCAAATATTGCCCCAACTTAATGGATGGTCTCTTTTGATTTGTTACTAGCTTCACAAGACAAAGCAGCCTAACAGTGAATGCTGCTGTCGCAGGTCATTCACAGGCTTCCCATGCCCTACAAGGTGCGCAACTCGTATATCTGATGCCCGCACTGCCGCCTAGCAAAGTGGGCTAAGGGACACATAAAAACTTTGTCTGGATGACTGACTAACGGCTGCATGGTCTCATCAGGGGGATGAGCTACACCACAGTGGTTGGAATGCCTGTTCCAGCTGCCACGGTGACTCCAGCAGATCTCGGAGCCTCCTTGTGCTGCCAGCATTAGGCACTGGCCGTGTGTATGGTAAGTTTGCAGCATCTCCCTCCCCTTAGCTCAGAATCCCTGGCTCGCTGTACGGTGAAGATCTTTATTATTGAATGTCTTCTCTGCAGGAGTGGATGTGGCTTCAGATCCAAGGGCCCCCTCCTTGGCCAAGATTGTGGAGCCAGAGGAGATTCAGAGCAAGACAGGTATATGCCCTCAACTTGTACCAGCGCTGGGCATGCCGCCGTGTTTTCTCTGATCTATATGTATCTGCTGTCTCATCTGCACCCTTTCCCTGACTCTGACTGTCATTGCCACCTGCAGGCCTGGCTTACTTGCACTCATCGCACTGCCTGGGATCAGGTTGGTATTTTGGCTCGCAGAAAGAGTTTTCATATCCTTCAATTCACCTCTTTCCATTGTTGGCTATGTCAGCTTTGCAACAATGCTGCGACACTGAGGCTTTCTGCAGGGGAGATCATGGTGAGTGCCATGGGGGATGTTGACGGGAAGCCCAAGGGCGGGTTTGTTCTGCTCGACGAGGACTTCAAGGTATCAGGGCCTTCACTGATTGTTCTTATACAAAGTGCACTGATTGAACTTTCACCAAGTGCAAGGCATATTTCCTGACATTGTTGTATTGCAAGCCCATACTTCAGTCCGTTCAGATTTTCCTGGCAGGTGAAGGGGACGTGGTCAGACACAGTCACCGACTATGGCTACGACTTCTGGTGAGCGCTGCAGCCACGTTTGGTGCTGTTGCAAATTTTGTGCCATAGATGAGGAGAATGTAGCATGGGACAGCCCACCAACAGAGTGAACGCCTGCAGGTACCAGCCTCGGCACAATGTCATGGTCAGCTCGCAGTGGGGGGCTCCTTCCAGCTTCACCAAGGTGCTTCTTCTCTGAATGCTATGCAGGGCAGCAAGTGGCTTGCTGTGCCACCTGCGCCCTGCAAACTCAACACAGATGGGTATCAGAATTATCAGTGTTCTTGGAACATTGTGGCGGGAGCAGCGGGCTGCACCCCATTTATGTTAGAGGTGTGGCAACGGGGAGCTTAGCCTCTGCACTTACCTGCAGCATGCTCATCTAAAAGACTTGATAGGCCACCGTGCTGAACGGCGTCAGCAGGACTTACCCGCATAGCTTAAACCCCCTGCTCTGAACCCTCGCAGGGCTTCAACCCCGCGGACGTCCCGACGGCGTACGGCGACACGCTGACGTTCTGGGACTGGGAGAAGCGCGAGGTGGTGCAGACCATCAAGCTGGGACCCGATGGGCTGATCCCCCTGGAGACCCGCTTCCTGCATGACCCCTCCCAGCCCCACGGCTTTGTGGGCGCCGCCCTCTCCTCCAACGTCATCCACTTCACCAAGGTGCGCTGTGCTGAGCTGTGCTCGGCTGCGCTTTGCTTGGTGCGGAAAGTTTTAGTGCTGCCCTGTTCTTCTTCCGGGTCCAGGGCATGCTCAGCCTTGGCCATGCTGCGCTGTGCCATGCTGTGCGGTGCTCGGCATGCAGGGCTTTGCAAGGGCCCTTCTCTTCTTGGCCCCGGGAGAAATATGTAGTAGTCACTATCATTTTGTGTGCACGCACGCATGAACATGATCATAAACACATTTTGCCGCTCTGCAGGGGGAGGATGGGGGGTGGAAGACAAGCGTGGTGATCCGGCAGGAGTGGACGAAGGTGGAGGGGTGGGCGCTGCCAGAGCTGCCGCCCCTGATCACCGACATCCTCATCTCCCTCGACGACCGCTTCCTCTACTTCTCCAACTGGCTCCGCGGCGACATCGTCCAGTACGACATCAGGCACGCACGCCCTTGCACCACTGAAGCACCATACCAGGACCAAGCCATGCATGTCTCGGCATGCCTGCTTTGCATGGCATGTACAACATTGCCCAAGTGATAGTCATCTTGTTTCCTGAGGATCTAGAGGAAAACCCATGTCAGGCATGGTTGCGATGCCACCGGCCCGTCAAGGGTTTCGTCAGCTGCGCCTGTATATGCCATGTTGCTTCTTCTCGGCAAGCACTTGGCGTGCACTGTGGGCGATATGGTAATGTGGGCGGTCAATTACCAAATGCAAATGGATTGAACTTGCATGATGAGCATAATGGCGTGGTGTGGGTGTGCAGCGATCCGGAGCACCCCAAGCTGGCCGGGCGGCTGTTTGTGGGTGGCAGCATCCGCAAGGGCGGCCCAGTCAAGGTGCGGCCGCCTTTCCCCGACTGCCTCATCTGACCGCAAATCAACAGATTTCTCTGCCAAAGTACTTCAGGCAGCCATTGCACAGCGCAGCCTGCACACATGCTCAGTGGGCCTCTGCCTCTTAGCACATTTGCCATGAATTTGATCTGCTGGTAGGCATTGATCGCAGGTTGAGAGTTTGAGGCTGTGAGGGGCATGCGGTTGGGCGCACGCCATTGTGGCGATCAAGAGGGATACCCACTATTAAAGAAGAAGAATTGAATAGACTACTTGCTAGCGCAGGTGCTGGGAGGACTGCCAGAGGACGTCCCAGAGGCCCCAGAGGTGCCCACAGTCCAGGGACATGAGCTGCAGGGCGGGCCCCAAATGCTGCAGCTCTCGTGAGCCCCTGGCCTCAAGATATGCTTGATTGACTGAAGCCGGATTAGCTGCAGTCAGATATAGATAGGATTCAGATGAAGCTGATAGGTAGCGACACCCATGAGGGTCTTGTTGCACTGCTGCAGCTGCTTCCCTCATTTGAAAGGCTTGCAGCTCTGCTGAGAGATCACGAAGAGTGCCATTGTCAGTGTCGTGCGAGCGGCTGCATTGCAGAAGGGCTGATTTGTTATAGAGGAGTGTGTGGTGTTGCAGGCTGGATGGAAAGCGGCTGTATGTGACCAACTCGCTGTTCAGCCCCTGGGACGCCCAGTTCTACCCAGACATGGAGAAGAAGGGCGGCTACATCCTGCAGGCATGCTTTTCTCCTTTTGGAAGACCTGTTGATGGGGACTGTGATATCGAGCTGCCAAAAGGGACATCGAGGAAGCATGCAACCCAAAAAAGCATGCAACCACAGTACCTTCCACAGAGGACGTTCACCCATTAGTGTTATCAGTACAAGGGGAGCATCTCTCCTCATCTCTCCTCTAGGTGAGAGAGGAATGGCTGAGGTGCTGGGATGTGTTGTGCAGGTTGATGTGGACAATGTCAATGGCGGCTTAACGATCAACCACAACTTCTTTGTCGACTTTGGTGCTGAGCCAGACGGCCCTGCACTTGCTCACGAGGTGATCATCTGCTTTGGCTCATATTCTCAACCAAGAAAGATAAACAATGTCTTTGGACCCTGTAAACGATGACACGCTCCAGCCACTGGGGCCTGGCATGTATCTTAGAGTATCCGTCACCCATGCCCATCCGGCATGCTCTGGGCGGGAAGGTTGTAGGGAGTGGCAGTGTGTCAGCATCACACGGCTCACACTAAGTTGCAGTGAAATCACTTCGACCACTGGGTTGGCCTGCAGGTCCGGTACCCTGGAGGAGACTGCTCCTCAGACATCTGGCTCTGATGTTCTGCCTTGAGCATTACAGTGACAGATACATGAGCGCACGTGAATGCTTTCTGAGGCAAAGGTGTTGTCCTTGAAAGGCCAACATTCCACCCGTGATCTAGATCTTGGCAACACACATGAAGAGGATTACAAGCACTCGGCCATTGCCAGTGTTAGCAGGGATCTGTGAGTCTCAACAGAATGCCGGAGTCATTTGCACAGAAGTGTGATTCAGTTGAGTGTTGGTTTCTAGCTAGCAATGACCTGGACATCTGCATGTTTGCTTCAATGATTGCAGCTCTACAATTGTGGATGTCTGTTTGTCACCAGCAAAATGTTTTTGATCAGTATGTCTAGAGTGCTACAGCAGATGCGTGCATGTATGCGCATGTGCAAAGGAACAGGCTGCTCGACCCCAGAATATATGTTACATATTCAGTGCGAATATAAATAGCTTGCATTCGGCAAATGCAACAAACTGGAGGGTCAAATCGACCAGAAGCAGTGAGCCTGGCTCTCACAGTGTGCGCGTTTGCATGTCAAGGGACCTCCCTTGTTGAGTCAGTCAAAAATAGTCACCCCCAACCCAGTCAAATAGTATTTCCCCATCCAGTCATGAAATGTCACCAAACCAGCCTGACTTCAAACCAAGTGCGGCTTCACGTACGTTGCAATTACACCCTCTGAATGAAATACCGTGGCTGGCAAAGCTGCGGGGTCAGCAACTACATAGCAGCCAGGCACAGAAATCAATCCCGAACCTATTCACACTTCCAAAGCACCCTTGATCCGTCCAAGCCACAGGCCATCCATCAGGCACTTCCCCTGCCAGCCAAAACAGGATGGTGGGAAATGCACACAGAGACTCTGCGAGCCAGCCATTCGCAGGTGGCAACCTGCCTCCGGCTTTGACCCGCCGTCAGAGAATGAATGTTTGTAACGCTTTATTATTGGGTGGCAGATGTCATGACTACTGTGCCTGTCAAGCACACATGGCAGGGCAGAGTGCAGGGTACCACGGCAGACTGCGCCGCGCATATTGCCCGGCTGTGACTGCTCGAGTGTGCGCGCAGAGAAGAGCCGATCTATGGCTGCTCGGCGGAGACGGAGATGAGGGCAGGGCCGATGGTGCCTCCCTGGGGGTTGATGGACACGCGGCCGGGGGTCACGGCGATCAGGGCGGGCGCGATATTCAGTCCCTGCATGCCAGCACCAGCTTACATCAGCAGTCTTTTCTCTTGCTGGAGGACGTTGCACTCCTTGTGCCCAAGGTCCAGATGTGTACTTGGCAATCAGATTGACAGTCAGCACAGATCATAAAACAGGCTGCCACTTGTGCGCGGAGACAGTTAAAAGCACAGGATGGCAGGGCTGGGAGGGCAGCACAAAGTTTATGAAGGGAGGAGGGGAGGTGTGGTTACCTGGGGCTGCACGTTGACGCCGACAGGGAAGATGGTGATGAGCACGGGCTGGATGTTGAGTCCCTGGGGCTGGATGTTGACACCCTCGGGGGTGATCACGGCCAGAGAGGGGGCGATGCTGATACCGGTGGCGGACACACCCACGGCTGCACAACACAAAGTCATGGCAGTCAGTCGCTGCTCACAGGGTGTTTTTGAAGGGAGTTTAACAGAGCACGCTCGAAGCAGGGTAGAGACTTGCACACAAGACAAGACGTGCGAGTGTCTAGGCAGGTGGATCTGTAAGGCATCTGTGTTCGCGACAGGTGTCACCAAAGGCAGAGCTGCATGACAAGAGGCAAGGGGAAGAGCTCTGGACTCCAGTCAACACAGCTGGCTGTGGGCATGCATGCATGGGAAGGGTCAAGGCAAGGGGGCGCACCTGCGGGTGCGAAGTTGACGAAGCATGGCGCATAGGAGAAGACAGCGCCACTGCCGGCAATAGCGGCGGGGTTCTCAAGGCCGGCCACCAGTTCCTCAAACTGCTCCATGAGGTAGGTGGTGTTGGCCAGCTGGGTGGCGTCCGGCTGGTTCTCTGGGGCGAGCGCGTCGGAGATCTGCACGGCACAAACTTGATGTCAGCACGAGCTGTGCAATGAGCCAGTCAACATGGCGCGGCACAAATGCACATCAGCACAAGCTGTGAAATGATGCAGTTGCATGCCAGCAGATCACTGGCTGAACTAGGCATGCATGCAAGCGCAACAAATACGACCCTGTGTGCATTTGCAGGACATGCTTGGGACCAGAACTGCTGTCTAAGAAGGCATCTGGTGCAACATGACCAGGATAATGTCTTTACGGAATGGATGCAGTGGTGAGGAAAAGAAAAGGTGTGGCACTCGAGTTTGCTGCGTAAGAGTGAGGTGCGCACGTTCTTAGGGAGGCCTGCAAGGTTCTCGGGCAGGTTTGTGACGAGGCCAATGGTGCCTTTGATGTAATTCTCCACTGATTCGAAGAAGGCGACCAGGCCCATCTCGGCAGCCAGGACAACTTGGGATACATTCAGGCTTTGGAAGGCCTGCAGGTTGCTGCCGTGGTGCACCATGAAGACTGAAGAAATCATCTCTGCCAGCTGGTCAACCTGGCCACAGATAAGCACCAGCCGGGTAAGCATTCTCTCTGGCCCAAGCTCAGCATTTGTTCAGGGCATAAGTATGGATGGTAAAGCTTTCAGTGCTTGCAATGACAAGAAGGATAAATGGCACGTTGGTGACGGGACGTTTGAGTCAGCAGTCGTTCAATTTTTGACTCCAAAGGAGCTTTGCATTAATAAGCCAATGAGGTGATTGGCCGTCAAGAAGCAGGATGGTACCTGGTCGTTGTACGCCTGCTCAACAGTGAGAACATTCTCGCTCTTCGCCTGCAGATTCCGCATTTGGGCGCCGCGTCCTGCGTATGCGCCTGAAACTGCACATGCTACCAACAGGACGCCAAGATACCTGCACAAGGGACACAGCGATATCAGATACAGCTGCAATTGCAGAAGACCAGGAGCGATGCCGTACAGGGGACAGACGCATGGGAGTGTCAACCAAATCCGTAAGGTGACAGCCCACACACGGGTGCTCAGAGAAGACGCCATCAAGTGCACAATATCTCTCCCAAAGTCCCTTACCCTGAGAAATTCCTAAACACACAGTGGCATGCACTTCGCTATCCTCAAAACTGACAGAGGGGTATTGTGAACGGATCTCGCATACGGTTGTGTTGAGGCAGTTTCACTGCTTCGAGGCGCAGGACTTAGGGGCATGGCACCAAACATCCTACAAAGGATGCAGACCACAGCAGGACTGCAGCTTTCTCAGCTCACGGCTAATGCACGTGATCCAGGTAACACATCTTTCTCTCATCCTGGCTCACTCCCCCGTCTACGTTTTGCTCCTCTTGCGTGTGTACCCTGGCCTCTGCCCTTGCAAGCGAATGAAGAGGGCAACCACGAACCTTGCTACGCCCGTCATCCTGCCTCTCAGTTGTCCTTGCTCCACCTCTGCATTCAAACGTAAGCCGTCATTTTCGGCGGATTTCGACGAGAGAAGCTGAGCATCCCACGGGAACTTTTTAGACATCTTGAAACCTTGAATATGCCAATATGTGTGAGAATATACATCGATACTGCAGCCAAAGGTGAGAAAGCTTGTGACATGAAAGCGCGTCACAAGCCTGGAGCGTCATGGGCCGAAGCGCGAGTATCACCTGTAACGTGACAAGCTGACCTACTCCTCACTCCTCAGAACCTCGTAGAATTTCTTTACCGTGAGAAAGTGGAGAAGTGGTATGCCCAGACTGCGTTGCGAAAGTCAAACTTTTGACGGGGATGAACGGTGGTTGGCAATGACGAGGAAAGGGGATAATGAGTGAACGTGAAGCATGTGATTGGCCACGTGAGAACCACGTGGTGATGATGGCTCAAGATCCAATTCTTTTGGATTTGCTGGGCATTTCTCAGCTCACTGCTTTCGTTTAAAGCCCAGATGAGGCTTGCAATCTTCCTAATAGGCATTTGCTCTGTTTGCATGCATTGCTCAGGTGTGACGGGGGCGCTATTAAGCTTGCCAAGTGAAAGGCTTCGAAGCTGAAATTAAGCTGGGACCGTCCCTGTAACAGCTGTAGCTGTCCAAGTTGCACATGCCAGAAAATCCACGTTGTCCAATGAAGTTGGCACGAAAGAGAAATTGCATTGCTTGCATGCGGAATTGCCTCGCTTGGAGAGATTTATGCCATGAGAACCACCGCACTCACAAGTTAAAAACTTACAAGTTAAGTTTGTCACAATGTTGTTACCCACCACTCACGCTTTCCATAGATCGACCAATGAGTCTTATGAATCAACCCTTGCAGTCACAGTTCCACATTCATTTGCCCTTGCAAGCTACAAGCTGAAGACGGCGCCCTAACAACATCAAGCCACAGCTTCCAGCCATCAGTTTGCGTCCTCCTGTTCCGACGCTTCCAAGGCAGAGTCTGCAACGGTGCACACTGGGAGAAAGTACGTGTCCAGCTGCCAGTACTTATTTCTGACGCCCTCCCAAATTTTGGGGTCTGCCACGTTGATGGGCAGCGGCACAAACTGCGTGGACAGGCCCAGGCTGGCCAGCTCACGCTTCACAATCTCGCTGTAGACTGCGTGGAAGAATGCGTTGTCCGCTGCCAGGCCGTGGAAGAACGAGTAGATGCCATCTGGGTGCAGCAGTTTTGGCAGCAGCGCATGAAAATCCCTGTCGCACAATGCCAGATCAATCAGACGGAGCGATCCCACCAGCACAGGGCAGTTCCCCTGAGCAGTATGCAAGTGACAGAATTGCAGTATCTCGCACCAACGCGCCACCGTGGATGCGACAATGCAGCCCAGCATTTCAGCAAAGACAAGAGCCTGCGCCCATCTCGGAGCACAAAGGACACCAGTCAGGCCCTGAGCAATCAGGCTAAGCACAGGACACGGGATGTGGGGGAGGGTGACTCACTGCATGTCACCGTAGAACTCCGAGTAGGTGTCGAAGAAGATGCCGTCGAACTGCGCGCCCAGCTGCGGCAGCACGTCCTGCCAGCGGCCGAACAGGATGCGCACGCCCGGCCGCTGGTCCCAGCCGAGATCCAGCATGCGCGCGTGCACGTCCGGATGCGCCTCCACTATCGTGTGCGACCGCGGGCTCCGCCGCTGGATGGCCTGCACATGCGCACAGGTCAGCGCCAGGTCAGCAATTATGTCATCGCCACGGTGGCGTCAACAGGTTTTGAAAAAAAGGTGACATGTCACGGCATGTGACAAAAGACTTTGGGGCCTTGCAAAGCTGCCCTCATGGCCAGCATGGGCATACAATTATTCTGTGAGGATTGTGGCAGCCTGTGGAAGAAAGCAGGGGTTGCACCACGTGGCACCGGATTTATCGACCTGGGCAGAGAGAGTGCACCTCATCCACAAGGCCGAGTCCAAAACCCACATTCAAGACATCCCCCCCCGACGCTGCCACAGCATGCGCATGTGCCTCCATCAGCGGCCTGCATGCACATCAGCCTTGCAGTTGCTCCTGTTACATGCACATCAGCATGACATGGAGCCTGACACGCCGCATATGCAAGTGCCAAAGGGAAACAAAGTGAACAAAGTACTGCTCTGTTGTAGGGTGATGATGCAGAGCCACCCAGAATCATTCTGGAACAGGATTATGTCCACGCGAGCGAGTCAAAGAAAATAGAACGGGTGCATGCAGGGTGGCGAAGCACAGGGCAGCTGGTGACGGTGCCCCACCCTTCCCAGGCCATCATGACTGCCCTGTCATCAGCATCCATCAGCCGCTCGCTGGCGGCATCGTACTGCAGCCTCTGCTGCAGGTACTCGTGACTGGGCCCTGCTGCCTCTTTCCCAAGCTTTCTCTCCAGCGCTCCCAATACCATCTCCGCCCGCACACCTAGCAAGTCAAAAGGACTGTTCAGCCACTGCAAGTTGCCAATGCAGTTGGAAAAGATTATCAACGAATGCAACAAGGCCAGCAACACTACTGGCAGCCGGAGCGCATCCCCCACATCATACTTGGCATCAGACATCATGAAGAAGCTGTCCAGTAGCAGGGATTTCCTTCCGACCTGCCAAGCAGGTGCATTGTTGTTCTTTCGGAGTCAACGGTCAAGCATCGCACAGGTGAAAGATGCATGGTAAAATTAAAACCTGCTTCAAGCAGCAGATCGATGGTCGACTGGTGGCCAGCCATCATGGCCAGGTCCCCAGCGCAGTGACCCTCCTTGTCAAAAGCGTTCCATGGCGTTCCTGCTTCCAGCAGGAGCTCCACAACGGGGTCATGGCCTCCCCTGGACGCCAGCATGAGCGCATTCTGCCCCCTCTCGTCCTGCGAATAACAAATGCAGATCATGCCCTGCTCGATGCGAAGCCACCGAGCACTGGGCTCTTTTCGGCATGCAGCGAGGCAATAGGAGTGCCAGAGGGTCCAGCGGCCTTTGAGCGAGGACAGGAGCACTCTGCTTGTCAATAACGAGGTTCCTGTTTGATGAAGCTGACCTGGTGCAAGTGGTCTGCACCACTTTCCAGCAGCTTCTTGACCCCATCAATGTCCCCCTTGGCCGCAGCTTCAATCAGGGTCTCAGCATTTGACGCTCCTTTTTCCTTTCCTTTGGCTGCCTCCATGGGCTCTCCCGTAGTGCTAGCCTCCACCATTCAGGCGTGACTGTCTCTACTTGGCGTACAGTCGAATTTATTTTAACAGGAACACATGTTCAACAGAACTGGATTATCGGACTAGTCTATTTGGCTGACTCTCGAGCAGCACTTCCACTACAGATCTACTGTTGTGCTGAAATGGGATGTTGCAAAGGTGCCAATTGCCGATCCCAGTAAAGTGAGACTTTCAACAGCTATTTTGGATCATCCGAAGCAGGATGATGGCTTGTACACGGCCTGTGGCATCACGGAAGGGCTGCATCTGGAGGGCACCCAAGTTTGGGTCACATGATACTCACGTGCTCTTAATTTACCGTCTTTGCTCAGGATCCACAGGATCCGAAACGCTCAATTGCGGTGATGATGAAGCATGGAGTGTGCACTCTTTACTGGAGATCTCTTAGGCGGGTTGCAAACATATTGGAAGAGGGCATGTCTGCATGATCAGGCTAAACAGTTCACACATTCGGGTGAGCTTTGTCTCGATTGATAAACGACAGTTCAATCCAAATTCTCTTTCTTATTGTTCCTAATGTCTGGCTTGCACAGTAGCAACGTCGGCAGGCATCGCTTGTCTTGACGCGCCATTTCAGTGCTGAGGCATCTGAGGCATCTGACATCTCAAATCGGTGTTGCAGACATTAATTTATCGCAAGTTATTCTGCACATATGGAAAGGGAGAGGCGAAGAGGTGAAGTGCATCCCAGGAGAAGCCCTCCAAGGCCTTCCCACAAGGCGAGCTTTCATAAAGACGACCCCAGTGGGAAAGATGATGATCAGGGTCGGCGGGTGAGGGAGCCCTTCTCTGAGATGGGCAGGGATGGGCAGAGCGACCGCCGGGACAGCCATCACGCCAGCCATCGGGAGGAAGCCAAGAGCAGGGATGCAGCCAGGGAGAGAAGCCGAGTTGAGGGGTCCCGACAGGATGGAGAGAACCATAAGCACCACAACAGCAACAGGGACAGGAGAAGCAGGGGCCAGGAGAAGGAGGAATCCAGGGCAGAGCGGCGTGGGCACCGGCAGAGAGAAGCAGAGCGGGAGCACCGCCGCAGAGAGGAAGACAAGAAGAGGCATTCTCCTGAGGATAGGTGGAGAGACAGGGACCGCGAAGAGGAACAACGAGCCAGAAGGCGCAGGAGCGAGGAGCGTGAAAGAGCAGGGCAGCACAGCGAGGCCGCGGGCAGCAGGCGCAGAGATGGTGACAGCAGCAGAGGCAGAGGGGAGGACAGTGGGCGTGACAGGGACTCAGATGCTCGGGAAAGTAGACACCTACGATATCGCTCGCCAGCCAGGCATGCTCATAGCGGCAGATCCCACAGTGAGCTGCCCAGGCAGGAGCACCGGAGGGCAGACAGACGGCATGACAGGGGCCCAGAGAAGCACTATAGGACAGATTGCCGGGGGCAGAGCCGTGGCGAGAGGCGCGCCAGTAGCCGCGACGGGCGCCATAGCCGGGACAGAGATCTCAGGGAGGCACGAGAGAGGTCGGAGTGCAGAGAAGAGGTGCTGCGTAGTCGCACAGCCGCCTGGAAAACTGACGGCCGCCGCTCGCCAAGTGGCGGGAGGTCGGAACAGAGGGAGCACAGGTCTCACAGCGCCCCAAGGACTGAGAGCAGGGCTGACAAGGGTCATGGACGCGATAGGAGCGGCAGCAGGGGGTGCGATAGGGTCTTTGGAGGAGATGGTTACCGGGCAAGCGCCACAGGAAGTAGGCGCGAGAGGGACGCATTGGATACGCGCCGCAGCAGAGACGGGGAGAGAAGGGGGCAGAGGGATGCGCAGAGGGGCGATGCAGGCTCTGCAGGTGACCACAGGAGAAGTGATGTTCCTCGCAGCGCCAGCAGAGACAGGCTGGAGGGTAGATGGAGGCATGATGGCAGCCGGGGTAGATACGACAGCGAGAGGGGCTGTGAGAGAGCCAGCAGTGCCCCTGGTGTGCCCAGAAGCTCACAGGATGACATACGTCGGCTTGGCAGTGGGAACACAGATAGAGGCGGGCGGCTGTTGGAAGAAACAGCTGCAGGGCACACCGAGGGCGGAGTTGAGAGCTCGCACAGATCTCGCCTGTCAAGGTGCTCTCAACTTGATCCCTTTGTTCTGATCCCACTTTTTTCGGCAGGTTTCCTTGGCACATGTATGCAGCGGTGTGACAGAACATGCTGATTTATCTAAATCTGGGGTGTTTTGCTGCCTTGTGGATCATCATCACTAATCACCACTGTCAGCCCCTGCCACCACAGGTCAGTTAAGGAGATGGCAGAAGCCAAGGAGGCCCCCAGTACCCTTGAATATGATGCCACCATGGACTTCTTCAGCCCCCAGTTTGACGCTGCAAAGGCACTGTCCACTCCAGGCCTCCTGCCTCCAAATCCCAAGGTCAGCCAAGGAAACCGCCTAATGCCATGCCCTTGATTTCCTCCCCAGGGACCTAATGCCTGATGCGTGCCCCATTCTTTTGACATGCATGCAGAGAGTGGAATTATTCATGCAACTTTATAAGGAACTAATTCCAATCGTTGTGCATGCAGGTACTGCCACTGGATAATATATCCAAGTGCAGGGCTATCTTGCCGGCAGAGCTGCCAGAGTCGCGAGCTGCCAAGATGGCAGTCAACCCAAAGCGGCGCAGATCCCAGGTGAGGCACATCTTGCAGTGCATTACCCGCCCACATCACCTGCCTTGCATGTTGATATACCATCCAGTGAAGTGAAGACCCTTCAGCAAGTCTTTGGGATGGCTGATGTCATCTGTGCACAGTGAGTGTGCTCACCAGCAGTCAGGCGAGAGGCAGCACCGGCCGCACATCCGATGCACCTCACCCATATTGGTGTCTGTAGACACCCTTATCATCCATGGAAAATCAGCTCCACGGTCTGAACATTTACGTTTTAGTGATTCAGACTCCATGCTTAGCAAGAATCTAGAAGTCGGACAAATTGGGGCACTGGAATCGGCAATTTTCCCAGAGCTTGTCAACAGAGAATGGTCAGTGCAGGACATTCCAGCCATGTTCCATCTCCTGCATTGGGATCAATCGGTTAGATCAAGCATCAGGGAAGACTGGTTGGCCCACCAATGCAGTACTTGTGATCTGCCTGCCTCATAATGTGCACGGCGCTGACTGTGCTCCATGGTCTCCGCGTTCCTGAACAGGCTGCCCAGGCAGCATTGGAGCGCGCGAGAGCACGCACGGCGACAGTGCGCAGCCGCCAGGAAGCTGCGCTGGCCGCAGAGCGGCCGCCGGCGCTGCAGCGGGTTGCGGCCGCGGTCCCCGAGGGGCCGCTGTCGCTGCTGCGCAAGTGCTGTGGCTCCCGGGAGCTCAAGCTCCGCGTCGTCACCCGGCACCAGAGAGGCGTCCGCGGCGTTGCTACAGGCACGTCCGCTGACCCCCGCCTGCGCGCTGCAAGAGTGTCTCTGACGTCCCCACAGCCCAGGAATAGAACCTGCAACCCAAAGGCATCCCGATGAGTGGAATCAGATTGTGTACAACACTGACGTCTCGCAGGCTCGCAAAGCAGCCTTTCTCTGCGGGCTGTGCTCTTGAGCTCACTTCTTTCGGTCTGGATGAGGGCTTGCAGCACAAGTTATTCAATATTGTCAGTGCATAATTCTTTGATACATGCAAGAAGAGGGGCGTTTGAAGGAGTGCTGCCTGTGCCTGTGCAGGCTTCCTGAGGGGCTTTGACAAGTACATGAACCTCATCCTGTGGGAGACGGATGAGCACTACACGGTGCGGCTGAGAGTGGAGAGGAGCAAAGTTGTGGGCGTGCCTGCAAGGGAGAAGGCTGACCCAGCAGAGGACAGCCCTCAGCAAGGTGCCCTTCTTTCCTGTTGACATCAATAATAAGAAGAGCGCGACACATAATGTCATGGTCTGCAACAATGTAATTGCCCATTGTTGATGTTGGCGTGTGGTCTGATCCGTCCACTGGTTGGTGACTGGTATGTGTGCATGCGTTAACATGCAGGCAATAAGAAGCGTGGCAAGATGGAGAATAGCCGATTAATTTGGAAGCAGGAGAAGCGGGTGAGACACCTCCAGCAAGTGCTGCTGAGGGGCAGCTCAATCGTCCTTGTCAGCCTGGTGCCTGTGGAGCCTAACCATTGAGAGTTGCAAATTGTCCATCGTGACCAGCAAGAGAGGTGTCAAGTATGTTGGAAGTTGCAGATGAGGCTAGTCAATATTAAGGATAGCTATGAATCATTTTGAACGCTATTCAAGATTACAAGGTACAATGTATCCATCTACATCAGTATTCACGCGATAATACCATGCCGGACAGGGCACAAGGAAATTCCACTGCTTGATTTGCGACAGCTGCAGTGTTGCACACCATCCACATATAGACGTATCTCCACATTACTGGTACAGGCAAGCCTCGACCCTCAAAGCATTTTAAAACCTCAGTTGCCTCCACGTAGACGCAGTACCAAGTGCAGGGTGGACTCCTTCTGGATGTTGTAGTCAGCCAGAGTGCGGCCGTCCTCGAGCTGTTTGCCGGCAAAGATCAGGCGCTGCTGGTCCGGGGGGATTCCCTCCTTGTCCTGGATCTTGCTTTTCACGTTCTCAATGGTGTCAGAAGACTCCACCTCCAGGGTGATGGTCTTGCCGGTCAGGGTCCTGCAGGTCACAGCAGGGGAGTGAGATCCTGCACATAGATGGCAACGCATGCAGCCGAACAAAGAGCACAATGTGGCAATGGCAGAGACCAAACACAAATGGAAAAGAAGACTCACTTGACAAAGATCTGCATGCCTCCACGCAGACGCAGCACCAAGTGAAGGGTGGACTCCTTCTGGATGTTGTAGTCAGCCAGGGTGCGGCCATCCTCAAGCTGCTTGCCGGCAAAGATCAGGCGCTGCTGGTCAGGAGGAATTCCCTCCTTGTCCTGAATCTTGCTCTTCACGTTCTCAATGGTGTCAGAAGACTCCACCTCAAGAGTGATGGTCTTGCCGGTCAGGGTCCTGCAGGCAGCAGTAAAGACTGCTCAGAGAGTGCCCAAGCTTGATGTTCACATTCCATGCATGACACAACCTCAGCAGACAGCAGGTCAGAGCAACAAGACCTGGCATGCATGTGGTGGAGCTACAGGATAGGAACCCACTTGACGAAGATCTGCATGCCTCCACGCAGGCGGAGCACCAAGTGAAGGGTGGACTCCTTCTGGATGTTGTAGTCAGCCAGGGTGCGGCCATCCTCAAGCTGCTTGCCGGCAAAGATAAGGCGCTGCTGGTCCGGGGGGATTCCCTCCTTGTCCTGGATCTTGCTCTTCACGTTCTCGATGGTGTCAGAAGACTCCACCTCAAGAGTGATGGTCTTGCCGGTCAGGGTCCTGCAAACACCAGTAGAAGCAGCCATCAAATGTGAGCAAAGACAGCTGTAACTTCATGGCCAAAAGACAGAACTGCAGAAGAGACATATAGGGACTGCTGCATAACGTGGCAGCTAGAGGAGCAAGGACACACTTGACAAAGATCTGCATGCCTCCACGCAGGCGAAGCACCAAGTGAAGGGTCGACTCTTTCTGGATGTTGTAGTCAGCCAGGGTGCGGCCATCCTCAAGCTGCTTGCCGGCAAAGATAAGGCGCTGCTGGTCCGGGGGGATTCCCTCCTTGTCCTGAATCTTGCTCTTCACGTTCTCGATGGTGTCAGAAGACTCCACCTCAAGAGTGATGGTCTTGCCGGTCAGGGTCCTGCAAACACCAGTAGAAGCAGCCATCACTTTGTGAGCAAAGACAGCTGTAACTTCATGGCCAAAAGACAGAACTGCAGAAGAGACATATAGGGACTGCTGCATAACGTGGCAGCTAGAGGAGCAAGGACACACTTGACAAAGATCTGCATGCCTCCACGCAGGCGAAGCACCAAGTGAAGGGTCGACTCTTTCTGAATGTTGTAGTCAGCCAGGGTGCGGCCATCCTCAAGCTGCTTGCCGGCAAAGATAAGGCGCTGCTGGTCCGGGGGGATTCCCTCCTTGTCCTGAATCTTGCTCTTCACATTCTCAATGGTGTCAGAAGACTCCACCTCCAGGGTGATGGTCTTGCCGGTCAGGGTCCTGCAAACAGAAAGATATATGTAAGTTCACGTCTAAGGAATAGAGCCACAGAGCAGACGAGGAGGTAATTCTGGAGACACAAGCAGCTGGGGAACAGGCACGCACTTGACAAAGATCTGCATGCCTCCACGCAGACGCAGCACCAAGTGCAGGGTGGACTCCTTCTGGATGTTGTAGTCAGCCAGGGTACGGCCATCCTCAAGCTGCTTGCCAGCAAAGATCAGGCGCTGCTGGTCAGGAGGGATGCCCTCCTTGTCCTGGATCTTGCTCTTCACGTTCTCGATGGTGTCGGAAGACTCCACCTCCAGGGTGATAGTCTTGCCGGTCAGGGTCTGCAGCAAACAAGGCTTCAGCCAAGGATGACAGAAAAGGTGCCAGCACCACAGCAATCCAAATAGTAGACACTAGACAGGGTAAAACCGCACGACGGACATACCTTAACGAAGATCTGCATCGTGGAAATGCGGGTGCTTGACTGGAACCTGCACAACAGAAGCACAAGTATGTCACCTTTGCTGTCACCACAACGATATCCTTCTACAACTACAGTCGCCAGTAAACCGACTCGATGGCCCCGGTCACGGATACAGATGCTACATACGAAAAATCATTGAGGCAAGCCTTGACACAGCTGGAACAAAGCTTCCATTACGTACAAGGAACTGAACAAGGAACCGCCAACGCGCTCCCATAACTTTGTCAACAACACAGATGCACGTCAAAGCAACTTGTCCACATCCCTGACAGCCTGCTCAGCCAGTGCATTCGATCCTAGAGCAAGCAAGGCGTGTGAACCGCGCGGGGGCGCGTGAACCCCGAGGAACCTTCTCGAACGAGATCTTACTCAAGCGAGCAGGCGGCATACCTCGAAGCGCTGGAAGACTCGGCTGTGGTCAGGAGCAGGCGAATGAAGTCACTTGCAGAAGGCCGTAGTCGCTCCTTGAGAGTTGAATTGCTTTGGAACTCGGTGCCACGTTGAGAGGTGTTTAGATACGGTGGATCGCCGTCGGGCATACGCATTCTGACTCACCTCATTACGCCAGAGCCAAAACAGACACAGGACAGGTTCCAGCGGTAGGGAAGCTGCTTTTAGAAACTGGTTGATCAGAGTATTAGCTTGGGGGTTCTAGTCTGATTATTGGCACGATGTCAGGACAGGAGGATAAGATTGGTATCGGTATCCTTGGGGCAGCTGGAATAGCTAAAAAGAATGCCAGGGGCATCTCCCTGACTAGAAACGGTCTGGGTGAGTGCCGACAAATCACCTCCTCGATTTACAAGAAAATAATATTTCATGTGATATCGAGGCTAGTGCAGTGCCTAGCTCTCTCTAGAATTGCGTCATGTTGAGGTGTGCAAGAACACCTTCAAGCCAGTGTCTGAGGGGGGAGGGTTTTGCAAAAGATCCCGCACAGATAGGAGTGGAGATTGATCTGAGGAGTTCTCTTGACATGTGCAGAGGTGGTAGCTGTGGGCAGTCGAACATTAGCAAAGTCGGAGGCCTTCATCAAGGAGGTCGAGGGGGCTCAAGACGCAACACCATATGGAAGTTATGAGGAGGTCCTAGATGATCCACGAGTCATTGCCGTCTACATCCCCCTACCAACCTCCATGCACGTCCAATGGGTGGAGGCAGCTGCGGCAAAGGGGAAGCACATACTGCTTGAGAAGCCCATTGCCATGGTAGGACTGCAGCGCTCCTTCTGCAGTAATACTAGCTCACTCCAGCAGAAAGAATTGATCATTGCCTTAGAGATGCCATGCCATGCAGTGCTGCCTTGTCATGATTGCACGGCAGTGACCTCTCACATCATGCTCTGCAGACGAATGAAGATGCGGATACCATGGTGAAGGCCTGCGCAGACGCCGGTGTGCAGCTCATGGATGGTGAGTTTTATCTATTTTGTTTGCCGGCAATGCGACACAAGGCATGGGTCCATCTCCTCCTCACATGCCGGCACACCTCATGCATGGTGGTTGGTGTAATGCAGCGCAAAGCAGCATGGCTGAAATGCTCATGACAGCAAGGTGATGTGTTGCATGGCAGGCACCATGTGGATGCACAATCCACGGGCATCGCTCATGCGCTCTGTGCTGGACGATGCAAGGGCGGTGGGCCTGCTGAGGAGTGTAACCTCATCATTCTTCTTCCCAGGCATGGTCAATGCACACAAACAATCCTCCTGCCTCCTCAGCATGATCATGACATCTCCCCTATTCGGCGTGCTACTCCCAGTGCAACAGCCGGAGTTATAATTCATTTTGCCTTTTGATTCGCGCAGCCACGGAGTCTTTTCTAAGGGGAGACATCCGGATGTCAAAGGAGCTGGATGGGCTTGGCTGTTTGGGTGACATGGGCTGGTACAATGTGAGGGCGACACTGTGGGCATATGACTTTGAGCTACCACAGTATGTGCAGGCCTGCCCAGGTGAGCTGAGGGATTAAGTCTGATCCTTAGGAGAGGATCACGAAATGCTGCGAGCAAATGATCTCTCTGAGGTTGCCCTGCTCAAGTTCAAGCCCAAGAGGACATACAATCCTAAGGGAGTTGTAACACTGCAATGGGATGCAGGGTATATCTTCACAAAAGGGGATGTTCCTCTGTACATTGCGGCCACGCTCGTATGGACACAAGGGCGCAGGGCTCACATTGAGGTGCGAGCCCTTACCAGAATGACAGCTGTATGTTAGCAGCTCAGTTTGAATCATAACAAGAGATTTTTCCTGCAAGGCCTCAGAGTTTCGCTAACAGCAGCGTTCTATCAGTTCCGGTCTCCAATATATACCACCCAGTGCTTCTGAGCGACAGGCGTGTCCATGCAGTGTGGCTTTGATCGCGCCGGAGTCCAATATCTGGAGGTGAGCCATGCATGCTTCACCGAAATTGCATTGCGGCAATGGTTGCTCAGGCTCCAGGTGGTGGTGGGCACGCACAGCATGTCGATGAACGCCTGCTTCTGGTAGTCATGAAGCACTTTCTGCTGGCAGGTGGCTGGCACCAGCGGCGCGATCAGGCTAGAGGACTTTGTCATCCCTCGCACCGAGAAGGTGTCACAGTTCCAGGTCAGGGATGGCAAATTCCTAGAGGACAACGCCACCAGGGTCGCTCAGAGCGCAGAGGAGCGCACGGTGACCTCCTAGGCTCCACCACGTCTGCACTCTTCACGATATCCAAAGTCCTTTTGGCGCCTAAATTGCACGAGTATGATCGTGCTGTTGCCCGTGCTGAGCTGGTCGAAACCTGCCCAGTAGCTGGTGTTCACAGAGGCTTCTGTCAATGTGCTTTGAAGATGTCAGTGCTGGTCTGGAGGGGTTGATTACCGTACTACATCTCCCTTCTATTGTTGAGTAGGAGGGGTGATGCGTAAATGGCATTGCTTGGGCAGGTGCACCTGGATCGGCCGCAGGAGACGCTGATGTGGGAAGCGTTTGGGCGCTGCATAAAGAGCATCAGGGCAGGGGGCAGCCCAGACAAGCACTGGCCCAGGATCGCCACGCTGACTCAGCAAGTGGTCCTCGCCATCGAGCAGTCTGCCAGAAACGGCGGCAGTAAGGTGGATTTGTGATCCGGAAGCCTGCTGAACCTCATTCTGATGTGGGCATGATGTTCAGAAGCACCCAGACTTGACAGCTAGGTCCGTAACAGTGCCTATGATCTCAGTCACTGAGCAATAGTTGCAACGCTAGCAACGGTGGCTATGACTGGATGCCATGCATGCCATATGGCAGGCCTGTGCCAGGTGGATTCTGGCAGGTCATGTGATCTATGCTACAGGGTGTACAATGCCCTGCCACTCATAAAGCTGGCATTTGCAGAGGAATCAATGACACCCAATTGGCAATAGAATGGCAGGCATTGTGGCTGCACTCATGCAGAACAACATGATTTTTCCATTCACCTCTGGGGCGGACATTTGGAGGCAGAGCAGCTGCCGGCTAACCACACAGGCTCATCTGGCAGATGCTTGCCTGCCTAGATAAAGCCACGATACAACCACTGGTTTTCTAAGCACAGCATCATTATTGGGTCATGCAGATCAGAAAAGGCTGTATAATATGGTCCCCAAGACTCAATTTTAATTGACACCCACTTCACTGGTGCCCTCTTCCTGCCAGGCTAATTGGGGTGTGGGAGCTGTTGTACAGCTCATAACTCAGAACAATGTATTTGGAAGCAGCCATAAGTAGGACTCACTGGTGCAGAGCATTTCCTCGAGGTTCAAGATGATAACTTGAGTAGGATTCAGTTGTGCACTTTCTAATACTCCTATGTACCAGCGTATGAGCAAGGGACACATCTGATCTCCCAGCAGCTGACCAGTGGCCCACCACATTAGAGAGCCAGAGTGTTGGCCCTGCTTGTGTACATTTTGCACACACAGCTAACAAAGCCCTGCATGCAAAGAAATATTACTGTTGGCAGGGCTGACTAAGCCTCTCTGCTGCTTTCCTGCTGGAACAGCCTCTTCGTCGCCCTGATCACACGCTTGAGAATTCTCTGATCTGGCTTGTGTGTTGCATGCACACATGAACTCTGTGAAGATCTTGCCACCTATCATAGTACCATATGCTACAGCCTTGAAGATACTTTCGAAAGTCTCCCTTGCCTCCACATTTTGGCAAGCAGCCAAAGGCTTTGCCGCACACCCAGGATCCGAACGTATCGCGTAACCCTCTAGGCATCAGCGCCCTATTGTGAGGCACTGCTAACTGTCCTAAGCAGCACAACAACTAGCCAAGTTGCAGTGGCATGCATGCCACAGCACACTCAGCGCCTTCACACCCAAGGTCCCTCCTAATCCCTGCACTCAACGCCCTGCCACTTGTCTGTGTGCATGCAAGTGTACGCAGGTGTTCTAAAACTCCACCACCGACGAACATGTAGCTATGATGCTAGATTTCGCGTTGCTGCGAGGCGGCAGCTTATCACATTGTTTTGATATATCTTTGTACCCGTAAATCGCCGTCACCACGAGCATTCTCTCTAGGACCAGGTGTTGAGCAGCACAAGAGCGGTGATGTTGTCGCGCGTTCCCTTGCGCAGTGACTCATCCACCAGCGCCTGCGCCACGCGTGCGGCCGCCCCGTCATCGATTGTCCCCAGCTCCCCGCGCACCTGCAAGGGGACTGACAAGTTCAGATCAAGAAAAATCAAAATCTGAACTGACACTCTAAAAAATATAAACTAAAAGTCTACAGAAAAAACATTGGCAGCACTGCGCTTGACTACAAATTGAGCACCATGCAAGCATCTTGATGCTCACATACTTCCCAGAGGCGGGGCAGTGAATACCGGTCCTACTGCCTTACTGAGTATTGATGCCTGCTCTAGTCTGAGAATTGATTGTGAAGAAAAGTGAGTGGCACGCGCCTTTGTGACAATGCTGACGACGTCGGTGTCGGACATGACATCCCAGAGGCCATCCGTAGCGAGCACGACCGCTGAGTCGCCCGGCTGCAACTCAATGCGCCGCATCTCGGGCGTGCAGTCCACCACCTCCTTCCCATCTGCCTTGAAGGGCGCGTCCCCCAGACACCTGCGCCACATCAGCACGCCACATCGGTGCCACTCGCACCCGGATTATGATTTCCTTGTCTCGCTGATTAACCGCCCGCGTCAGCCATACAAATGCATGCAGCCTGGCCCAGCTGATCCCAGAGAAAATTGCTGTGGGCAGGCCTGCATACATGCTGTCTCGACATAATGTCTGGACATGCTGTACCAGCCATCTGCAGGATTCTTCCACAAGGGAAACATAGAGCATACTAGCAGAAATTTTTAGAGTACCTGCTCACCATGACCAAGCACGGGTGCCGCGACGCGGCCTAGTGCTTTTTGTTCCATTTGATGAGTGACATTTTACTGGCCCTGGTAACAACTCAAGAGCTTTCTGTTACCCGAGCTGGAGAGAGACCACTCAGAATGCGTGCGCACCGGGACATGGAGAGGAGGGTGACGCGGCCGTTGTGGGGCTTGGGCTCGGACACGACGCGGTTGTGGCGCTCGTCGATGGCGCCCCCGGCCCCGGCGATGCGCGCATGCTCGTCCGGCCGGTTGGGCTTGTGGTCCGTGGTCAGCCGCAGCGGGAAGTGCAGGTCGTACGCCGTGCACACCATCACCGCCCCGCTGTCCCCCACGTGAGCCAGATACAGCACCTGTGACAGTGACAGGGAACCCCTTTTGAGACGGGTATGTGATCCGACAATTATGGTCCCATGCGCTGCCAATTTGGTCCACTGCCCCCCCCCCCCCCCCCGAAGTTCTCTGACAGACAACAGCTCTCAGCATGACAATTGCGCCGTGTGAGACGAATGCAGACAACTCAGGAGTCAGGCGCGGTGATAAGATTGTCAACAATCCGACTGCGCCAGGCTTGCGATCAGATGCGCGTGGGCTCAAGGTCTTGAAATTATGAGTCACACGGTACAGAGGTACAAGGCAGAGAGCAGAGACACCTAGATCCCCCAGATAGGAAAAATTGGTGTTGCAGCATGGAATGCACATCCGGCTAGCTCTGTATCAATTCCCACCCAAAGGAGAGCGCACTGTCAGCAAATGGGTGACAAAGGGGAACAGATGAGTCACTGCAAGGGCCAAGATGGGTGGCTCACATGGCCGATGCGCAGGGCCATGAGGGCGGTGGTGCCGCCAAATTGGCAGTCAGCGCAACCGCTTTCGTGCGCTTGTGTCAGGATCTCATCGTCCAGCGTCAGGAACGCCCTCTTGATCGCGCCAAACACCTCGTCCCGCGCGCTCTGCCCCTGCATCCCAAACACCGCCGGCTCCCTGCACGCAGGTGGCAGCCTGAGATCCTTCTCTCTGCTGATTGCAAGCAAGCACATTCTATCTTAGGTGAATGACCCTGAATGGCTCATCAAGGATCCCCCTGGCTTGTTTTCATTAACTGGGTGAAGGGCCCGCACTCCACAGTGGAACAGTGCACAGTGAAGTGCACCGGGCAAGGGGGGCTCACTTGGCCAGGAGGGCATGCAGCCGATGGCGCGCCGTCTCTGCTGACTCGCTGCGCTTGTGGCCGTCATAGACCGCCGCAAAGCTTCGAGGCTCGATGGACGCCAGGCTGGCAGCCCAGGGTTCGCTGGAGTCCGGCAGCAGCTCGCTCACTATCGTGTGCCGGTCCTGAACAGGCAAATCCCCACCAGGCTCAGAAGTTGCAGGCACTTGTGGGAGTATGTTTCCTAATTGGAGCTTTCAAATGTTGGGTCTCTTACCGTTGCCGTGCAAATGTCCTTTGGGGTTGCCACGACATGCTCAGACTTGTTTGGGCATGTCTATCTGTGCATCTGCAGTGAGGGGGGCAGGCTGATGCAGGCTCATCTCAGGAGCAAGGATAATCAGGCAGCACCTGCATGTAGTCGCGCGAGCTCCTGTCCTCTGCAGCCCCATAGAAGATGTCCAGCGTGGGGGGAATGGCGGGCAGCCCCATGGCCAGCACCCCTACACACCCAACACTTCTCTCAAATTGAGCCCCACGCCCGCAACGAGCCGGCCAGCATGCTCTGCATTGACATGTGATTCATAGTGATGCACTGCACTAGGCTCTTCATGGGAGCATGAGGCAGTGGCAAGTTGCATGAGGCAGGGGCGAGTCCTGCTGTTGGAGGGACAGGCAGGGAGGCTGCAGCATGAGCAATGCGGCAGCACGCGCAATGCGGCTGCAGCTGTGATGGCTGGCAGCACGCAGACTCAGGCTCACCGGTGCCGGGCCCGCCATGGAGAGGGTCTGCGGCGGCTGCACCTCCCAAGCTGGCCGCCTGCGCGCCGTCAGGCATGGTTGCGCTCTCTATTGAGCTGCGCCCCTCGCTCATGTTCTTGTCCTCTTCACCGGGGCCTGGGGTGGACCCGTCTGCGCGAGCATCAGAGTCAAAACGCTTTGACATTCCTGCTAGGAAGCTAGCAAGCGTCACGAAGTCCCTGTGATGCACTTGGATAGGACCTTTGAAAATGACTCAGCAAGCACACAAAGGACAAAGGCACCAGAAGATGGTGGACATCAGCTTAAGACTCCAGAGAGTGTATGAATGTCGTCCCAACCGGGCTGAGGAAAACCCCTAGACAATTTCCCGGGACGTCAGACATCGTTGTTGACGGTACAGTCCGCCAACGAGGTACAACAGGCACTGCCGAAAGGGCAGTACAATATAGCAATCAGAGGGTTTTGGAGCATCATTAATTTACTATGACGACTCACTGTCTAATGCCGATGGGTTTGTTACCGCGAAGTCGTCCATGCCCTTTGTACTGCCCGATCGTCCGTTAGAGTTGACTATCCTCGCTCAAGCCGACAGTTGGTCGATCGTAAGTCTCACAACATTCGTGTATAATAATATCGTGCTATCCGATCAATGTGATATGCCTGTCGAGAGGCTGCCTGACTTGACCTGCACACAGAGACTTGAGGGGTGCGCCTGGCCTGAAGGTTCCGTCTTTTCCCTCAATAACCACAGCAACCTCCCTTACTCTTTCTCACGGTTGCCAATTTTCTGCATGACAGTCGAATGATGCCGCACTGAATGATGCCGCACCAGTCCGCCATCCGTTATCAATTGATGATAATACAGAGAGGGGAGGGAATTGTATCTGCCCAGCTGTCATCGTCACGTGCATTTGGAGCCCAAACATCTGCAGGTTGTGTGGATGCTCATTCAAAATTTGCTTGTTGGAGTCCTTGTGGTGCATGGCAAACGCTTCAGTGTAGCTTCCTGCTGAGCTGCGAACCGCATTTGAGGTCCGGTTTCTAGATGTTCAGCCTCAGGCTAATATGAGACTTGACTGCAGAGACCTGAAATCCGGAGGTCTACTAGCAGTAGACCACCCCGGGCCCAGGCAGCGCCGCATGCGCGTGACGTTTGAACTCACATTTGAGCTCGAGCTCGCTGCGGCAGTGCGCTGTTCCTCTCAAAATTCGAAATTCGACACCGCCCGCTCTGCAGCTGCATGCAGGTTCCAGACTGGAACTTCCAGTGGCACTGTGCATGCGGTTTGGATGGTATCATCATTATGGAGCCGCGGCCTGCCTGGCAGGCAATCCTGTCCGCACAAGCAAAGTGAGATGCTCTGCGGCTCTGGCAGCACTAGATGCCGCCACTATTTACCATTGGTGGCACGTGACTGACAAGAAATGTCCTTGAGCACATGCATGCAAGATATGATCATAAGGGCCAGTTGCGCACAGAATGTCGCACACTCATTACATTCTACAAATGCTGTGCAAGATGTGCACATGACACCTTTTTTGGAGATGAGACCTGGTACCCAAGACACCTTTTAGCCAAGATCTTTTGGGAAGCAGTCACTGCCAGGGGCAATTTGCCACCTACAGTCCACCACACGAATCTAATTCTGTCTAAGGCTCTTGATATCTGTCCGCAGCATTGTGCAAGATGATGGTTGTCATTGGCGGTAATTACTGACATATCGCTAATCTTCACAGTACTGGTCATGACGGCGTCCAAGGTGCAATCATTCAAGTCAAATGGCAATGTAAAGAACGTTCATAAAGCAGTCAATCACGGTCTCCTTTGCTCATGAACAACATTTGCATTGGGTGTAGATTGTGTAAGTCAATGTTTTGCCGCCACGGCCACAACTGTGTATCGCACCAGGCCATATCCAGCCGCTGTTAGGCTCACATGGATGCAAGCCTGTTCAGTATTGTGACCCACGAGCAGTTCACAGAAACACTCAAGAGCTAGACTGGTGTACTTCTAGAGCCACCTCCTGCAGCAGGCTTCCAACAACATAATTTCCAGCACTCCTATGCAATAGCTTGAAGCAAGTTTCCTTCACATACCTCCCAGTTTGTCAGACCTGAACTATTGCCAATCACCCGCAATGACACTAAATGTTATCCCCCCCAGAACGTGTGAACAGGACTCGGTGCATGGATACAATATAAACAGACTGTGCTGTGAAGGGGCAGCACACAAAAGGACATCCCTTTGGAATCTACCTAAACGCCAAAAAGGCACACAACCAACAATCCACTACGGAAGACTGACTTGAACAACCCAATTGGGAAGTGAACAAACTGCAAGGGGGCTACTGTGTCCAAGAAAAGAAAACATGCTTGCCCACCAATCCGATGGGCTCACATCTATCTGTCCAATGATTGCGTGAAGGCCTCAAAGATTTCTGTCAAGAGAAGCTAATACTGAACTGCCAGTCCCTTGCCACGAGACACTCAAGGCAGGGCTCCCACATAGCATCAAAAGGGCTGGCTGAGACTCCCCCAAGTCCTCATTCCCTCTGCCTCTACATCACCACGGCCTCAGAAGTACATCTGTCTGGCATCTCACCGCAAACCCCTCAAAATCTGCACCGGCCTGTGAGCAGCCTATCGCCACATGCAAGCGGCTCAGGCCACTGCTGACCTGACATTCCTGCCTACCACTCATTCCACCCTACCTAGGCATCTCGACACAGAGCAGAGTCCTGAGAATGCATGCTGCTGACACACAGCCTCCCGCTGAAATCTAACTGGGTGAATTGCAGGGGTGCATCAGCCAGAGCTCGCCCAGTCAGAGAACTTTGACAGGGGCCCCTCAGGACCTCCAGTCAGCATTCTGCTCTGTCTGCGGCCGAGATTTGGCTTGATGCGCCCCCCAGGTGTCGGCATGGCCGACTCTTGAGTCACTGCTCTACTTGCGGCTCTTCACGAGATCAGGCAGGTGACCCCGCAGTATTGGCGGGCACCCCGTTTAGGGGGCCCATCAGGTGTGGTTGGGCCGGCAGTCTGCAGTGCCTGCCAGCCTCTGCGGATGTCAACAAAGTAGATTGGCTCGATGCTGCGGCCCTCAGAGCCGTCCTCTGCTGTGGCCGGTGCAGGCCTGCACTCAACGGGCAGCTTGTCACAAATCACTCCACCCACACGTACATGATGCTCTGCTAGTGCAAGCATGTCCTTTGAAGTGGCTTGAAGCAGGTACGATCAACAAAGTCGTGTGTGACAACTGCTGTATAGTCTGCACAAGATCAGACTTGTCTGCATGGGTGAGTGTGCAGCTCCTGGAAATCCTACTGTGCAGCCCAAGCTGACATTGGCTATGAAAAACACATGGGGAAGCAGGGCAGTATCGCACCTGAAGTGCAGAGTGAAATTGGCTGCAGATGATGCAGCTAGCTGGCGCACCCGCAGAGCAAACTCCTTTCCACAGATGATCTTCTGGCCCAGTCCAGTGGGGACTGATGCACTTTGTCCCTCCTCCTGCAGCGATTCACCCCACAAGCTGAGGTGCGACCCATGAACCATTATATACCACCGTGAAACGCTGGAGCAAATGCGGATGGGTGCCACTTGCTTTTGGCGCCCTTCACATGCGTGTTGGCTTGGGCCAGAAAAGTGTGATTACCTAGAAAAGATCCAGGGATTAATGCCAGCGCTAGAGCTCCCTACCTCAGTCTGTGGGGCGTCGGCGAACAAGTCCCAAAGGCCTCCCAGCAAGCCGCCCTCTTCCACAAGCCCGATGCTCTCCTTGGCAGCTGCATTTGCCTGCAGCACCTGCCAGTTGACTGTGGCAGTGTCCACCACCAGCTGTGCCTCCTGCTGAGGAGCTAGCGTGCGCAGCAGGTCCCGTCGCCGCTCCTGCACGACGACATGCAGTTGCATGGCGTCAGCAGAGATTATGATGTTATAGGCAAACACACAGCATCCTGCCCAATTGACGACTGGGCCTCTCCTCTGTGGTACAGCTCTGCTGAGACAGAAGGATGCAGCTCACATTGCAGCGTGCATGCATGCACTGGTACCACAAATTTGGTGGGTAAGTGCAAAGTCTCACCAGGACTTGGGCAGCCACGCCCATCTTTTCCAGGCGCTTGATGGCCGCCTTTGCAAAGTTCTTCAGCGCCAGGACCGCATCCGTGTCAAGCTGCTGCGGCTGCACATCTGCAATGTACCTGGATGCCATTTCAAATGCTCAGGCTTGCCAACATGATCGATCGAGGAGAGACATCATCAGCATGGCAACACAGGTGAAATGACCAGCTCTTTTTCCAGGCTGCAACCTGGGAGAGGACGGGAAAGGCAGCTCACAGCGAGCCAAGACGAAGCTGAGAACTGGTGATGAGCGGGACGGCCGCATAGGATCGAAGGCCTGGGGGCTCCAAGACTGCCGCATTTGACTTCAGCCTGAACAGCAACATACATGCAGCATGACACATGCGATCCCTTTCTTTCCGCACAGGCGGCATTGGCTTGCTGGTACACACAGCTTTTGAGAGCAGGAGTAAGGGTTCTGCGCATAGCAAAGATGATCCTGCATTCTGTGGTGCTCACCTCGGGTGCTGGAGAGTATCCTCCACAACCAAAATGTCCACTGTGCTCGGTTCAAGCAGGGATCCGATGAACCCGGCGTCCAAGGGGGCTTTCAAAGCGCCGCTGCCATAGGAAAACTGCAGGAGGGAGGTCATCTTGTCATCTTCAAGCAACAGAATACCTGCACGAGAAGCAGCGTCATCACACAGCTGCCCAAGACACTGTCACAATTGAAGTGGTAAAGAGATAGTCTGAACTGGGCAATAACGTAAACAATGTGGACTGTCTCAACAGTGATTTCTTCAATAGGGGAGTAGTGGGCGATATCTGTGGTGAGGCCAGGTTGCTCACCCACAAACGGCATTTGCACCAAGGACTGGGCCGACTGGCACAGAGTTGCCAAAACAGCCATGGGGTTTGGGTTGCCGGAAGGGGGAGTCGAGAACGCTAGATCAAACGACTCCCTTGGAGCCGACCTGCAAGCACACAACATGCAGCTGTCAAGCCCTCGGCCTAGATTTTTCTCTTAAAGTCTCATGGCACAGGCACAGCAAAATGGGCACAATGCCCCTGACACACATGCGCTTGGTGCCCACTTGCACCTGCATGCATACGAGAAGGAAGCATTTATGCGGACAGGGAGCTTGAAGGGCCACCTCTCTGGAGATGGACCGGGCGTCCTCAGCACAGCTGTGCCGGATGCAGTCTCAGAGCCGACGACACGTTGGATTGAAGGGGGGCTGCGGTTGCTGCCAGCGCCTGACTCCAGCTCGTCAGCGTCGTTTGCTGAGCGGCCCGGGCTTGCGATGGTGGGCAATATACCAAGCTGCAGGTCCGAGCGCGAGATGCGCAGGTCTGTGCTGCGGTTCATGTAGTCGAGTGCAGAGTCCAGGCGGCTGTTTAGGGGCTGCCAGCCGCGCGCAAGAGGGCTCGCTGCCTGCACCAAACAGGGGCACAGCGTTGTCAGGGCGGCGGGCAACGTTATACAGATACAGAATATGATGCGCTGATGACAGATCAGAGGTACTATGCGCACGTGACTCACAAGTCCCTAAATGACACAGGCCAACCATGCAACCACGAGCATGCTTGGTGGGATCAATACTGCACATGATGACGTGAGCAGAGCACTAGCGATGATAGATCATGCACCACGGTGTAGATTCTGACAATGCTCAATGTGCAATGAAGGGAACACTCACCTGGGACGCGGCATCAAAGGGGGAGGTGATTGGTGACGCAGGGGCTGTGTACAGCAACTTTGGCTCCGGGGATCCTTCCATGGACGTCCCTGGCACATCTGGCGCAGCTGCAGCTGCAGCAGCCGCCTCTTTTCTCTTCCTGCGTGCCGCCCGCCAGGCTGAAAACCCACTCCTGCGCTCTGGGTCCTGGCGCGCAAGAGCTGAATCCATCCGGTCCATTCCTGTCCTCGAGTATTTGCCCTGTGAAGCTACCTCTGTTTCTGAAGGGTGAATCACAGCAACCAGTGGCTGCTGCAGGATGGGGCTGGCACTGGAGGCTGCATCGCCCTGCTCCCCTCCTGAGGATGAGTCTTCATCCTCTTCAGATGCTTCGTAGGAGTAGTCACTGCCCTTGTCACAGATGGCGTCCACGAGATGCATGTAGGGGTCGCTGGTGCTGCTGCTCTCATTCGACGTTTTCTCTGTAGGCACATCTGGCGGCGACAGGCTGGTCTGTGACACTGAAATAGCGGAGCCTGAGCCTTGTGCAGCTGGGCTCTGGGAAGAGGTGACTGGTTCTGGTTCGGGAAACCAAATGTCTGTCCCTCCAGGGGTGGTCATCAGCAATCACGAGAGTTCCTGCGCACTTTGACAGAAACATTGGCAATTTGCATGGGCAAAGAGAAACTTCAGCCTTCCACGACACGCATGCATGGTGGTGATAAACAGAAAAGCGAAATAGCAATTGGCATGGCAGGTCAAAAAGGTGCAATTCTACCTCAACGAAATAGAAACGTACCGTAGATTCATGAACGTTCGTATCACCGCATTTTGAGCTGCACGAGCTGGGGACGAGCAACTCAAATCCTCCCCTGACAAAGAGAAACAGTTGGCAAATTTTAGCAAAACTAACCTTTATGAAACCTGCTCTTGACGAAACACCAGCGGGAGTGTTGTGAACGCTAGAAAGTGCAAGCTCCGACTTATTCAGATTTCCCGTACACAGCAGCAGAAGCAATCTCACAGAATATTTAGCGAGGTAGGACGTCAGAACACAATCAAGCAGCTTCTTTGACTTCCGTGAACATTTTGCAGAGCAGGTTTACTCGCCGACCTGCAAGGAGGCGAATATCGGAAAGGTCAAGCGACTCTGTGGCATCAGTAAGTGCCCCCAAGAATCAGGAGACGGATGTCACTGTTCTACCTCACCTCACTACAAGTGTTAGCAAGGGATGGCAGCAGTGCTGTTGCCTGCAGCGCGAGCGAGGCCCAAGAAGAAGTGGTGAGTGGGGAAAGTCGCAAGCGGCAGGACAGGCCCATGTGACCTGACTCAGTGAGTCAGGATTCTGCTGGGATCTCAATTGTGACAAACTAAGAAGTCAAATGTGACAAACCGTGACCAGGTGGAAATCGGACAAGCATGCTTCACGCAATAGGAAGAAGTGGAGACGAACCTGGATCTTCTGCAGCAGCATATCAGCTTCTCTGTGCTCTCTATCTCTTGCAGCATAAGCTGGGAAGGTGCTGGCCAGCACCAACACCACCACCACCACCACATGCATGATGTCTGTGAACATGAAGAAGGAGAGCTCACACTGATGCCATCACTGACCACTGGTCAGCGCTGATGCTATGCATGCTGGAACCTGAAGCAGTCAGGCCAGCAGCTCCCAATTGGACTCGAAGTTGGAGATGCATGCATGCGCAGCATGCTTCCGCAAATGCAAGCTTGAGATGCAGTCTGAGACGAGCAGCACCAGCATGATGCTAGCCTTGAAAGAACAGAAAGCACTTGCATTACATCACCACTGATATGACAACAAAATGATTTGTCGGGCCGTATAAGATCCAAGAGCTCTCACAGGCACAGCCCCACCACCGTGGTGACCATCAGGGTGTGGGGGACACCTTCTCATGGCTCAGAGTCCGGCAACAATTCAGGACGCTACGACACGGCAAACCGGGGCAGATCCCCGCTGGGATAGCCAATTATTCGAGGACATAAGGTAAAATCCTGGCCACTACGACTGAGCCGAGGGAACACGCCACAGCAGGACGGGAAAGCACCTCCTAATGGCCTGCTGCAAGAAACACGTGAAACTAGCGCATGATCGGCAAATCTCCGTGGGATCAACTCAAACTGTGCTCTAGGAGCTGCGCTGACAGGAAACGTGAAATGTACACAGTACAGTACCTCTGCCTTGAGATATGTCCTTACGAGTCGACTTCTTCCTGGAAATGCTTCTTGCTAACGCAGACAGAGCAGACAAGTCTTCCGCACGCAGAGGATTTTTCCTAGTCAAGCAGGGACGAGCGAACAAATTCTCTCTGTAAGCAAAGCCCCCACTCTACCCACTATACAGCATCCCACGGCGCCTCACACCTTGCAAGGGGAACCCTTGCCGCAGGCAATCAAGCTGCAGCTAACACCAGGGTCAACGTTGCAAGCACCTCCAAAGCAGCTCAGTGGGACCGAGCACCTCCTAGAACAGCAACTTACAGGCATGCCTGTCAGGTCGTGTTACCAACGCTCTCTGTCTAGTCTGTCCGGGCTGACAGGTGACAAGTCATCCACCACACGTGCTGAGCGCCACCAACTGAGGCGCCCGCACGCACAACTATCCCCTGCCCAGTTTCTTGTGACAAATCTGCCTAGTACATCGGCTTCCACGGCGGGTGCTGCAACCAAGCAGCTGCGCCTTGCGCGCTGCTTCTGTGTTTTCGTATATAGAAGAACGATGATGCTACCAAATGACACCTCTTTCTGTCTTTAGAGCCGCCCACATACGCGCTGGTAGCGCGCAGGGACACTGCAATCCAGTCCACGCACCCTCACACAAGGGTCAGCAAGATCCAACAAAGTCCGTCACAGGCTGAAGACCTCAAACCGCCTGGCGGATAAACCGACTACAGGATCTCCACACTCACCCATCGAGGGGAGATCCCCATGCCAAAAAAACCAGAGAAAGATATCGGTGATGTGGCGCCACTGATTCAAGAAGGAAAGTTCCATATGTATACACAGCTCAATATGGGCTGACCAGTACACATTGTCGTTTGCGGTGCTGTTCTGCTCGTCACGGCAAAACGCCAAGGAGAGCACAAAACGATATCGAGATTTCTTCAACGCGGGGCTTCAACCCAAGACGCAAAAGGGAGGGGGGGGAGGCCATGTAAGCAGTACAGTCCGATGCATGCCTCAGCAAGCAGGCCCAGCCACAAATCAAATAGCGGACGACATCCGGGAAGGGGGGCTCTCGGCTGTCGCAGGACAGCGGGGCAGCTGCGCCAGGACCGCTCAGAAGTTGCCGTGGGCCATCATATGCTGCTGCTGCGCGAGAAGCTGGTCATTCATCTGCGCGACTCCCTCGGGGAGGTCTCTGGTGAACCAGGGGTGCCGCTGAATGTCGGCCATGGTGATGCGCTTTGCCGGGTCAGCCACCAGAATGCGCTGCAGCAGGTCCTTGCACTCCGCCGACACCTGCTTGTTGTAGGGCAGCTGGTAGTCCACGCTCAGGATGCGCTGCAGTGCACCACACCCACCCTCAGCATGCCTGCTGCCGAATGCATTCTTGTGTTTGTCTCTTGCCTGGCGGCCCCGATGGAGGGTTTAGATTATACCAATACAAGATTGGACACTGGCTTCAGCTCAGCTGAAGGATGCTGTTCTTTGTTCATCTACAGCTGCTGCGAGCAGTATGACGGCAGGACGGGTGGTATGGCAGCACTGGATCATGCTGTCTCTGCCACACAGAAAGTGGGTCCTCACCTGCAGCATGTTGTGCATTTGGCGAGCCAGCTTCAGATTTGTGTCCTCCGGCCGTCCAAACGGGTACTGTGCAGACAGCATCACGTAGAGCATCACTCCACACGACCACACATCCGCAGCCTGCAGCAGCGCACAATGTCATCATCAGTCAGCTAGACAACAGTATGTGCAGCTCGATTTTGCAGACTTGGTCACCATGCACCAACACCCAGATTGCAATTCGGACACATGGAGCACAGAACAAAAATTAGACATATCGCCAGTCACAGTCGTCATGAATGCCTCACCTTGCCGTCGTAGGTCCTGCCCCTTGTGGTAGAAATCACCTCTGGGGCCAGATACGCAGGCGTTCCCACTTTGGACCCTGGAGCAGACTGGAACTTTTCGTCCTGCAGAACGCATCACAGCAAGTCTAGATCAGACTTGATTTTGACTACACTTCGGTCTGGTATAATTCAAAGGGCAGCCTTCAGGAAAGCAGCAAAGCAACACATATGCACCTTGGAGTAGCCAAAATCACAGAGTTTGATCAGCGGCCGGGCGCTGCTGACCAGAAGTGTGTTCTCCAGCTTCACATCCCTATTTGCCACGCCCTGCAAGGCAACCATGGAGGCCTTCATTGAATTACTGCAGACAAACATAATAGAATACTGCACTTGAGGGAAAAGCAGCATGCAGATTATTGATATGCGGGGTGAATATGGGCCGCACCATTTTGTGGCAGTAATCAATGGCAAAAATGAGCTGCTGGAAATACCAACGAGCATCAGGCTCTGGCAGCCCGCCACTCCTAGCCACTAGCTGATACAAGTTCCCCCCTGCCGCGTACTCCATGGCAATTGCCAGGTGATTATTTGTGAGGAACACCTGCAAACGAATGAAACCACAGCCTGTAAAAAGAATAGATCCATGTTTCTCTGACGCCCCCAAGCAGTGATAGTATGCAGAGAGCAAGAAACACACCTCTTTGAGCTGAACAATGTGAGGATGGATGAGTCTCTTGTGATTGAGAATCTCCCTCTCCACATATTTGGATACCTGCAGGGCGACCACTAGTCATAGGTGCCAAGATTGAGGGTGTTGCACTCAGCGCATGTCCAGAAGCATAGCTGGCCCTCAAAAGAGATTTATTGGGTATTTGCAAAGCATGTGCAGGTCAAAGAAAGGAACTTGCAGGCAAGGGATCTTCTAGCAGGAATCAGAGGTCGATAACTGAGCCATGGGATACCCTCGGCAAGCCTTCTTCAAAGCATACACAATGCAGCTGCTACCAGAGACGGACAATGTACCTCTTGACTCCGCTCGATGAACTTTATGGCCACCTGCTCCCCTGTAGTCAGGTCCACTGCGAGCTGGACGAACCCAAAGGTGCCCTTGTCCAGATCCCTTATCTGGCATGCCACATAAAGTGTGTCAGACTACATAAAGTGTGTCAGACCACAACGTGTATGCACTCCTGGTGACAAGGCCACTTACAGGCAGTACAGGGAGCCTTCACCAGGCATTAAAAAGATCGCCGTTCAGCACCTTCTGATACTTGGGATGATCTTCGAGCGGCTCAAGCACCGAAGGGGGATCGTGTTCTACACTCATAAGTTGCGGCCTGGGGAAGCTGGCTGAACTGGCAACTGCGGCCATGCACACTCCAGGCAGCACCAGTGTTGGGCAAAAACGGGGTCTTGCCACGCCAGAAAGGCCATCACCCAGAAAACATATCACAATGCAGACGCTCGCGCATGCCAGCAGTTGCAATGCACGTCGGAACCGAAGGATTGGTGCATTTTCATTTCTCACGGCGCAAAGTAGAAGGAGAAGGCAGAGGGTGAGTCACTGCAACCGTGGCGTCACTCACCGGATGCGTCCGCCATCTAGTCCGACGCGCTTGAGGGATACGCGCTACATGTTCGTACTTATCACTTCATTGAAAACAAGGAAGAAACGTTCAGATATTTGTGCGCTACATTACATGCACATAACGGAGCCTAAGACCTTGTTAGCCCACTGGTAAAGGCTGCTGATTCCGTAAAAACGAGTTTCGATCATGGGATTATTCAGCAAGAAGAAAAAGAAAGATCGGACGTATCGCAGCGAGGAGGCCAAGGATGATCCGGATCCCGACTTTAAGAAGAAGAAAGATCCATATCTCATCATCGGGGATGCCCCGCCGAAGCCATTTTTCGCTGGCGCGGGCCTGTCTTCCAACACAACCTACCAGGTTCAGAGGGGTCGATCAGGGGACCAAGGAGAGGAGAAACCAGGTGGGACGATTGACACTTTTTGGTGCACTTTCTTTTGAACAATCCCGTGTTGCCATCAGGTGGCCCTCAAACATACTCCATCCCGCATTGCGATCTGTACAAAATGAGCATCATTTTGACCATTGCAGTGCTAGTACTGTTGCTTGGTAGTGGCACGTAGATCAAAATTGTTATCAGAAACGATAGTACTGCCAAGAGTGCGGTGAACCCTTTGTTGATTGCCTGGGCCTATGTTTGCCTAGCTGTACTAGGTGCAGCCCTACACTGCTGCACATCACTTCCAAGCCATTTCAATTGTTCTTCAACCCACATCTTACCGCCAATTGCGCTAGTCATTTATCATTTCAACCTGCCAGATGGTCCCGAGGCAGCACCACCCACTCGGACAGTGAGGATACAAGAGCCCAGCAAGGAGGAGCTCGACAAAGGGAATTTAAGTACATTGCCAGCAGCGGCAAAGGAGCAAAAGTCAGACTTCCTGCCTGATGAGCCAGCCGAGGACGACACCATCGCTGCAACTCAAAAAGGTTCATGGCTTCCTGCCAGCTTCCCTGGTCTCCTGCGAGCTTCTGCACTGCTTTGGAACGGTCCTCGACCTGTTGCATCATAACAGCCTACATGTATGATGTGAATGAGGGTAAAGGCTATACAAACCATCGAGATGTATTCTATTGTAGAGGGTTTCTGTGCATATCCTGCATGGCTTCCAAGCTTCAATGCCGAGGGTGGAAATGGGAGGCTGATCAGTGTGTGTCTGCGGGATGCAGGTGTGCCCGGGCCAGTCAAGCCGGTGATCCCAGACCGGCCGGGCAAGGTGGTGCACGTGCTCAAGCTGCTGCAGGCAGCGTGCGTCGTCTATGTGGTGTTTCTTGCGCTGTTCATCAAGTGGCTGAAGCCCCAACCCTTAACCCTGTTCAGCTCCATTCTGCTGGGCATCGCCCTGGGCATCGGCTACAGCTTCCTGCACCAGTACTACCGGACCCGCCAGAACCAGCTCAGCGAGCTGGTGAGCGCCAGACTTCCACCAATTCCATTGCGTGCATGCTGAGGAGGATGGCATATACTGTGTGTACCTGGTGCTTTGCTGTCATGCTCTAGGGCTCTGTGGCTTTCGCTGGATCTTCGCGCTTGTTTGAGAGCCGTACACATTGCACCAGCACATTGCTCTGGTCTGAGACCTGATGGTGTTCATGTGCAGCTGAACTTGGTCCCGGGGCGGAAGGGGCTTAGGACTGCACTGGGGGAAGTGCCCTCGTGGGTGGCCTTCCAGGACAAGGAGAAGGTTGAGGTGAGGCAATCATTTTCCATCCCATTTGTCCTACGATCCGCTGCCAGCTCTGGTTGCTGGGGTCGCCAAGTAGCTTTGTAGCTCTGCGTGTCTGTCGGGTCATGGGTTGCGCCCTCTTACAGCTGGTGCAACCCACCGCTCGAGAGCACACCTCCCGGAAGGAGTCTCACACTGATGAGTGGGGGCACGCTGCAGTGGCTGAACCGCATGCTGCAAGGCATGTGGCCGTACTACGACAAGGCGATCGGGGCGGCCATAAAGGAGGCGGTGGAGCCCATGATGGAGCAGTACAAACCGCCAGGCCTCATCAAGAAGATCTACTTTGCCAAGCTGACCTTTGGTGATGCGCCCATGCGCATCGACAACGTCTGGGTTGAAGACGAGGGGGACCAGCACGTGCTGCTGGAGGTGCGATCCAGCAAGCTCGGATCCCCTGGATGCATGGCTTCATGGTTGCTGTCTCTGCTGAGCTTTGGCTGTCCGTGCAAATGCACGCCCCAACTCTGCTATAGGCACCATGTTTTCAGTGATAGCAGCATTTCATGTGTATCAAGCAACTTGAATCAATGACAGGGGAAGTACTGAGGTCCTTGCTCAGTTTACAGTTGGATACAGATGGCCATGCTGTATGACCTGTCCCTGATACGTGACCAATCTTCTATTTTTCAGCTCACCTAATGGGGAGGGGCCAGCCAATGGGTCACCCTGGACGACCAAGGTGATTTGCCTTGTCTGGGGAATGTGTGGTAGAGGTGTGACTGAGCAGGGGTCGCCTTGTGACAGGTGGCGTTCAGGTGGGCAGGGGATGCAAACATCGCCATCGCCATAGAGCTGCCGGCGGGCGGCGAGCAAACGCGGCTGGTGCCCAAGGTGACAGACCTGCAAGTGGCCGGCGTTGCGCGAGTCATCCTCAGCCCGCTCGTCCCGGTCATCCCCGGCTTTGGCGCAGCCGTCATCGCGCTCAGGTGTGTAACTGCGTTGCATGCACAGCGCAAATTGCTTGAAGGGCACTCTGCTGGTGCCGCGCTGGGATTTCCTGTATGGCGTGCTCCAGAATGGGTGTCTGATTTCCTTACGGGGCTCTGATCCGCGGGGAAGTCCTTGGTCAAAAGCTGGATCTAGGAAGAGGCAAAAATTCCTTGAATTTTTTTAATTTTTCTGGTTGTGGGGAAGTTGCCCCTCTCCGTCGCGCGTCATCTTTTGATGGTCCGAGCATTGAACAGACCTTGGAGCAGCAAAGATGAAGCCATTGGACTAGGGTATTTCTTCCACTGCCGTGCGGCCCTGATGCAATGGCCTCTGGTTTGGCGCATCGCATACCCTCGGCTTTACGTGAAGCTTGTACGCAATTACAGCAGCCTCTTCAAAGGCAGGCAGTCTGCGCAATGCTACTTTGGGAGTTTAAAATGCTCGCATCTTGCTTGCACCTCTTGAGTAGCTTACCAATGCGCGCGCAGGAAGCCGCCGCTGATCCGGTTCAAGCTGGACTTTGGCAAGGCGTTTGGCGGCAGCCTGGTGGCCAAGCCTATCCGGCTGTGGCTGGACCCCTTCATCCGCGAAACGCTGTCCAACATGATCGTCTGGCCCAATCGCATCGTCGTCCCCATGCTGCCCGAGGAAGCCACCGGCTCACTCGACCACCTCTACCTGCGGTCAGTCGCACACATCAGCTCAACTCTCCACAAGAGATCATGTTTCATGTCAACTTCTGCTGTCTCAGAAATGCCTTTTTGTCATGCCATTGTCTTTCTGTCTGGGTTCAAACCCACATGAACGTGCACTGCATGTTCTTGTCGCCTGACTGTCATCAACACTCAATTTTGCGCGCGCTGTGGCACATGCGGATTAAAGCAGATCACGGTGCTACCCAAGGGCTCTTAAGTTTTTCAAGGTTTATGTAGGTCAGATGCCCTCATGTGTCTGGCATGAGGGTGTAGGGAGCTGATGTGAGCGCATTGGCGTTGACTTTGCCTTGTTGCGGCGCAGGCATGTGGGTCTGCTGGTGGTGCACGTGGCGCAGGCGCGCGACCTGAAGAAGGTGGACACCATCGGCAAGTCCGACCCCTTCGTGGAACTCCACACGCAGCCCAACGCCGTAGCCAAGACGGTGCGCCCTCACTCTTCGTTGTTCAAAGCAGCCTGGGGGTCTTGCCAGTGTCTGGCATATGAAGTCTGTTTTTCCCAAGGTAATCGAGGGAAATCGGTCTGTGCCAGTCCACATTTGTGAAGGTAGTGTTATGAGCCATGCTGACCGTGCGCCCCAATGCCGGCAGCTCTGTAGTCTTGCCGATCCTGGTAGTCTGCCTGTGTTCCCTGATATGACAGCAATCTGAGCGCCGCCATCATGCAGAAAGGGAGCAATGCGCCTGTGGTGCCGCCAATGCTTCTCACCCTGTTGGGAAGTTGATGCACCTACAAGCGTCCAGGTCCATTTCTGCATGTAAGCTGCCCTGTCATAGACAAGCCCAAGATGGTTGGCTGGTTAGTCAGTCATTAGGCGCTCAAGCGTCATAACATGTGACTGTATGCCGATGCTGATGCGGTGCGGTGTGGGGTGCGCAGGAGGTGCAGAAGCGGACGCTGACGCCCAAGTGGGAGGAGGACAAGTGGCTGCTGGTGCAGGAGCCCAAGACGCAGATCATGCGCGTGCAGGTCTTCGACCACGACGTCGTCAACCTCAAGGCAAGCCCCTGCCTTCTTAATTTATATTTGTACCCGCTTGTTGTACACCTTTGGCGCAGCCCTGCAAAGCTGCCTGTTGTATTGCAATATGACCTTGCAGCACTCTCTGGGTAGCGGCTGGCAGCCAAATCTAATTGTGCGCTATCAACAGCCCCCATAAGATCAGTCTGCTCGTGGTATGTTTCCTAGTCTGAAAGTGCGGCGCCTGCTGTGCTCGCAGGAGCTCATCAGCATCAACGTGGTGAAGGGCATCAAGGACACGGTGGGTGCCAGGACCTTCCTGGGCCGCGCTGCCATCCCCGTACGCCCCTTCGCCGACCGGCCGGGCGAGACCGTGCAGGACTGGTACGACCTGGGCAAGGGCGAGTGGTCCAACGAGGACGGCACGGTGCGCGCGGCGTTGCCTCCCTCCCTCACATTTTGTGCAAATGCAAGACAACAGTGGTGTAGGCATACATAATTTATGGGATAGCTTTCTTCAGGGCAACCTGCTTACCACACAAGCAAGCAAGATAAGATACGGTGAGCCTTTGTTATCTCGACATTCCCACAGTGGCAGTCCTACCACTGGGCTCCTCCTCGCGCCCCTTGTGGACCTTCATTGGGACAAGAGGCACGAGGGGTGGCCATGCTGATTTGCCTCTGGGCTTGCATCCTGAAAAGCTCTCACTGCAGACAAGCTGTCACTCCAGATGGTGGCAGAGTTTTTCAGGCCATTGTGCAAGCAGAGCATGTGCACGAGGCATGTGATGTAGCATTGCCTACATGGTTTGGTTGGACGACGCCCCCAGGATTCTGCTCCATACAGCAGTGACAGCAGATTACCGCAGCGCTGTGTCAAGATGATGGGCACTGCTGATGAGAGGCGAGGGGTCTGTTGGCGGTTGGTGTAATGTTCACAGTCCATGCCACCGTGGCCGTACCCTTACACGCTGGCAGTCTTACAAGTGACTAACGGGCAGAGTACTCTAGTTGTTGAGCCCAACCGGTGTTATTTTAACACCATCTTACCATGGAAACCAATCACATTAGAGTTGGGCTGACGTGTGCAGTGGTGGGTGTGCAGGGCAAGGGTGAGGGCCAGCTGGAGCTGAAGGTGACCTACTTCCCCTTCGAGCTGCTCTACAGCAAGCCTCGCGACGCATCCCTGGTGCGCGCGCGTTCTCTCCTTACCCACCTCCGTACGCAAGTAATTGGCTGTTATGTCTCGTCTGTCCATCCAAATCAGTGCCCTTGATCCCCCTCTTGCACACCAAGGCGGGTTCCAAGGGTGTGGAGTGGAGAGACATGAGGGCCACCCTGTACATATTTTAGAGGCCCACGAGATTTTGTGTTGAATAAGTCAAGAGCCCCTGAAATACTTTGATTATTGACACAATGAGCGAGTCTCGTGCCAGCAGCACAGTGCACTTTTGCGCTAAACTTTTAGAAGCTTGTTTTGAGTGTCAGATGTACGTAGATGGCTGCAGAAGTTATCTAACCTGCGTGTAAGCTTAACAAATGCATGCTTAGTTCATTTCATATTCATACGCATGCTGGTGATTCTGAAGAAGGTGTCAAATCTGCACTGTATGGTTTTGAATGCGTTTTTAAAATTCAAATGTGCGCAGGGGGCGGTACTGGTAACACTGAAGAAGGTGTCAAATCTGCCGGCGGCTGACGGCAACGGCACGAGCGACCCCTACGTGCGCTTTGAGCTAGATGACCACAAGCGCACCTCCTCCGTCCAGCAGAAGACCCTCAACGGCTCCTGGAACGAGAAATTTGAGTGGCTCTACGTGCGCCCCCGCCACCGCCCCTGTCTTTACATGGATTGCACATCTGTGACCTGGCATTACCCCCTGTCTTGCCAAAAGATTTGCATGCAGGCCGTGCCTCCAGCATGCACGGTGTCATTGCTGGACTGCGTCTGTCAAACACCACGTGTGAGGTTATTGGAAAAACCTTCATGGAATCCACTACGATCTGTGCCCCACTCGCCCTGTCTTGCTGCTCTGGAATACAGACTCGAGCAGTCTCTGTATTCTGGCTGCAACTCAAAGTTTATATCGATCTATACATCCAGCTGATGGTCTACGGATTGGGCTGTACACCAGGAGTGACGTCGGTGGAGCTCTATTAGTGTCGAGTTTGGTGTGGCCTACAGTGGCCTAAAGTGGCCTGCACCACAGGTGTACCTTATCCTGTGCTCTTTGGGAGCTCCAGGGCATGCAGCCAACGATCCACACATGGCTTGGGGCTTTCAGGGACACTCCAGGGGATCTTTGATATCCCTGAGACTGTCCGGGGACCCTCTGGCCGTATGTATTTCTCATCACTGATGCTGTCCTTGGGTTCCGAAGTTGGCACGAGGAACTCACCTAGCAAGGCATGCAATCAGCGGGTCCTGGTCCAGCCTGTGCACCTTGTTGAGTCATGGGTTGTGTGGATGAATGCAGGTGCCAGTGGTGGAGGTTTTGGAGGCGACTGTGTGGGACAATGACCCGCTGAGCAACGACAACTGCCTGGGTGTGGTGGAAATCGACATCGCGCAGGACGTTGCCAAGGTGCCCGGCGGGCGCATCTACAAGACCTGGTACCTCGAGGTGCGCTTTAGCTTTGTTTGTCAGCCCAATCCACTGCTTCTAAATGACTCCGCAGTCTGTGCTGTTGCACTGCACCTCTCCCTGTGTGCTTTGCTATCCTGGTCACCCACGCCCTTTGCTTCTGCGTGGCTGCAGAGTTTGTGCTGTTGAGCTGCAACAAGACAATGCTGCAGCGCTTTCCAGTATTGCTAGATTGCATGTTGAGAGAATGTCGTGCCAGTTCACACTGCTGGACACAGCCACAATGCTCACATGGATAGTGTGTGCGCCATGTGGGTGTACGTAGTACGGTGAAATGGCATCTGTGCCTATAGTTTCTCTATGAAGGGTTTTTTGCAGGGAAATTGCGGGAAAGTCTGTTTGGAGGTCTGTTGCAGACTGCCTGAGAAGTAGGAGGATTGCTGATGCTTGCTTGCCTTGACATGCAGGACGTGCCCAAGGACGTCAAGACGAAGAAGGTGCCGAGCGCAAACATCACCATGCAGGTCCAGTGGGTGCCGTTCGACTTCAGCATGTGAGCGGCCCAACAGCGCTGTATTATCGCCAATGCAGCAGTCCCATATACAAGAAGCCTAAGCCCTGAAGGAGCGAGCTCAGATCTCTTTTCATGATGCTTCCCTGGAAGGGCAACAGACGATGCAAAGGAGCAGACGGATGCATATGTGAGAATTGAGTCATGCATATGGCTGTTACCATGAGGGACACAGCAGCGGCGGGTAAGCATGAATGCTTCTGAGCGGTAGCCATATTTTAATGAATCGGCCGCACCCCGACAAAAAATTCATGGCGCATGCGCAGTGAGCACTCATGACCAAGGCTCCATGCTCTCAAGAAGTTTTTTCTTCCTTGACAAGCAAGGCGGGCAATCAATATATATAAGAGGTCTTTCGGGAATGGGATTTCCTTCAGCTGTGTATATGTTTATCCAAGGGTGATGCAGCACCATGCTCGGGAGTCGATTTCATGTAGCTCAACAAAAGGTTCTTGTTTTGTAGCGACATACACCATATGCACCACTTATAGAAGCAGAGACCAATGGATGGTCATATTCAAGCTCTCGAGAGCACATCTCACCATTTGAAATGTTATCAATCTTGCACTTACACTGTTCTGAAGGCGATATGCAACACCTGAAGTATGAGCTCTTATTCAACTTGTGTACACCACCATGTGACAGTCCTGCCGTATGTCTGCCCCAGTTTGAGAAAGTCTCCTGTCCTTGAGCAGTCTGCTGATCATTTGGATTTCAAGTCTTCATTTCTGTAAAGAGACCATCTTTTGACAGTACTGAGAGATCACCTTAAACAGTGGAGTCTGGCAATCCATGGCAGGTGTAAAAATTGCACATGCATGGATATTGTTACAACCTCAACATGCAGTCTATCCCATTAAGACAAAAAAAAACGTAGCATTGTCACTGCAAGGCACAAGAAATGCCAAGAGCATCCATTTTACAGAGCACCAACAATGATCGCATGTTCAACTTGCATAGAGCAGAGCACCTGAGCGCCTAAAAAGAGCAAAGAAACGCAGGAACACTTCCATGAGAAGGTCTTCTCGAAATCTTTCCAAACATCTGCTAGCACTTGTATGCATCTGAGCCAAAAGCGCCATGCAACTGGAGAACGAATTGTTCTGAACAACGGGCAGTCTCAGTGCCTGCCAATGAGAATGAAGTCATCATCATCCAGAACCTTGATGTCTGTGACGCCGGGCAAATGCTCTGCCACGGCCCTGAGCAGCTTCGCTCCCTCAACCCTCTGCTCATAGCTGAGGGGCACGTAGGGCAGCCGGAACACTGGCTTTGCCATGCCGCACATCGCCTGCGCGCACCCATAATCTTCTAAGGCTTCTTCAGCCTGAGTGCCTCCCTCATTGGCAAGAGAACAACACTGGACTCTTTCGTCACAAAAAAGCATGACTTCTGATCGGACAAGTAGCATGGCTTTGTACGGAAGGAGCAGAGAGCCTGGCGGCAAAAGCAGCCTCGGCCAAGCACCACCAATGGAGCCACACAACAGACTTCACATCAAATCAAGACAGATGGCAGAAAGTCAGAGCATGGAGGGGCCAGTGAGGGATGCTCGGTGTCATGCAGAGCCTGTCCCAGTCCAGCTCATCAGAATGTCCAGAGGTTGAGGTCCCATGACAATCAAGTACACCGCGCAGTCACATGGCGCGCATCATGGGCGGTGTTACTTCACAACGCCACACCGATTTCAATTTCCCATACAAGTAAAAGTAGACAGCGCACCATGGCGGTGTTGACGCCGATGGGATTGGGTTCGCAGAAGAGCCAGGCCACGAGCGCCTGCAGGCTGTCCATGAGCTCCGGGTTGGGGCTGTTCATGAGCCGCGAGTACAGCCCCGGCAGCAGGTTGGACGTCACCGATATCACCCCCTGCCCGCCAAACTCGTGCCGCGCCGCGTGCGCCTCGTCATCGTTGCCGCTCCAGCACCGGATGCCCTGGTTCGCGTAGTCCTGCGTCGCGCACATGCCCCCACATGTCAGCACATGGCAGCCAACCAGAAAATTTGCAATCCACCGGACCCTGAGGTGCCACCTTTGACCTGATTGCACATGGGGGAGCCTGATGGGGAATCAGAGACATGCCAGTCTTGGAAATAGGGGCACTCGGATACTGCACGGTGTGCTTTTCTTCACCCCTTGGGAATGTGGGCATTTCATGCGAGTAATCAAGAAGAGACATTATCGTGACATAGAGTGAGCTGAGATTTGCAAGCGGCTGACACAAAGCTGCCAGCTAGAGAGGTTGGAGATGTTGATGCCACCTGTATTCTCTGGTTGCCTGTGCACTCCTTGACTCCCAGGAAGTTGGGGTGGGTGGCAAGCTGATATACAACATCGTTCGGGATGTCCTGGCCAGTTCTGCAGCAGACGGCACTTCTCAGCAGACTGCCCACAGCAAATGCCACCAAGCATGGAAAGCGCTTCCATGCTCAGTACTGAGCCATGATGATCAGCTCTCCCGCCCACTGATCATCATGGCTCATTACTGGGACCATCAAGGCATCTGCATGAAGCGGGGAATCACCTGCCAGGTACATTGTAGATAATGGCTGGCCCCTCATCCAGCACTGCGCCAAAATGCCTTACCAAGCCTGCACGCGAACACATGGCATGATCAAAGAGCATCAGAGCCAGAAGGGATCAAACAGCCCTTGCCAAAACTCAAGCACACACTCAAAGGAGTATACGGAAGTGTAAACAGACTGTATAAGCGACACATACCTGGCATGGAAGTTTTGCCATAGTAAGGATTGATCTGCAGGGAGGCATGCATGCCCACGGCAAAGCCCTGCTCTGTGGCATGCAGGGCTTCTCTGGTGGAGTTACTGCCTGTGTTCCCGATGACTAGAAGGTTCCTCCCGAACACATTGACTGTGTGGCTGATGAGCATGATGTGCTCATCCCAGTTCATCAACTGCAGCCAAACAGCATACCATTGAGCACGCGATGGATGCCACAGAGAAGCACAATCTCTCTGTTCACGACAGGCTGGTGTGGCTAACGCCAACGAAAGCATGCAACGTGGCGGGCGAGAGCGATGCAGGGTAAGAATATGCTTCAAGCAGTATCCAAGCGGGTTCCTAAAGGGTTCATTCTGGAGCCCAACGAGGTGGAGTGGTGCAATATGCCACAGCACAACGATATTAAGTGTGCAGGCTATGTAGCGTCTGTCTTTCAGCAACGTGCCTCCACTGCTAGACCACCAGTGCTAGAAAGAGGAGAACAACAGGCATCACACAATGGAAGTACCTGGCCTTCCCCTGTCGTTCCTCCGACGATGACTCCCTCCACACCTCCCAGTGCTTGCTGCTCTAATAATCTGTCGTAGGATTCCAGATCCATGCGGCCATTCTCAAGATAAGGTGTTTTCACTGCCGTGATAGTTCGAGCAGCTTGCAGCGCCTCAAGCGTGGATCGCTTCTGAATCTGAACTTCTCGTGGCGTTGCAAGCACAGCAGTCACAGGAATTCTTCGCCTCTGCCTTTGGCTGCTGCGATTTAATGGGCATGGTGTTGTTGTGCTTGGCAACGTGCTAGTGCCTGCACCCTGCAACGACATTCTTTGCTCGTTTCAGAGGTCGCGATTGAAAGTATGCGTCTTTCGTTTCCCCTTCTATGTAGTCCTGAGTGCACCGAATTCTTATTCGGATGTTAAAATGCTTGTCTGCTGTCCTACATAAAAGCCACGGGCCGCGGTAGGCACGTGAAATTCGAAGTCATGCATGACAGCCATAGAAAGAGGAGCGTGGCTCTGAGCTGAATGTACAGGATGCATCGCTTTCGGTGACGATGGAGATTCTGTTGATGTGTGCACGTGCACTTTGCTAGCTTTACTTGAGGTCCAACAAGCGCAATGTGCGCAGTGCACTGTGCACGTGCGTACAGGTTGACCTTTCAAAGCAATGTAGATAAAATCCAAAGCTTCAAAGTGCTAACATTACAGTCTGCCGATTGTGCATCAGCCTAAGAGCCATTCGTGCCCATCATAGAAGCTCTTTCTCAGGGCGAGGCTCTGATCTGACAACCGCACTTCTAATTGTTCCTGCGTTCCTGCTGCACCCCGAAAGCCCAAGGCTTCTCTAAATGCTGACAATCGCAACTTCTTCTCCTCGCGCAGCTCTTTAAGCTGCAAAGAATTCATCATGTAGCGCGCGCACCACCTGCTTGGCCTCGCTGTCGCTGACTATGAGTGAGATGTTGGTCTTCGACGCGCCCTGACTCATCATCTTCACATTCACATCCTGCCTCCCCAGCACTCGGAACACCTGCACCATTCCCTCTGTCAGCGCTTGATTTGCAAAACCTCGAATCCATACTCCTCGTTTATGACTAAGGTGAGAACAAATAGACAGTGTTTCAGAGCACTGGCAGGAAAGCCAGTTCAATGCATCAAGCTAAGCAGAAGGGAAATTACCCTCTCGAGGATGTTGGAGGTGCGCGCGACGTTGCAGATGAGGGAGATGATGGACACGTTGTGCGTGCAGGACACCTTTGCAAAGCCTGAGAAGGCTGACATCAGCGCCTCTATCTCCTCCTCAATCAGCTCCCTGTCCCAAATCTTGCTGCACGCAACCAAGTGCACCCCATTGACTTTCAATTCGTGCCAAATGAGGTTGCAGCGGTCCGACAGACACGATAAGCCCTCCAGAAAAACCCATCAGCCACCCTTTTTGTGAAGTATGGGGTCTGACATACCTGGGATCAAGTGTGAGGGAGACGGAGATCTCTGATGTGGCAACGACATCCACACTGACCTCATTGTCCCTGAACACGTCAAACACCTGCACAGCCACCAGCTTGGGTATAAGCAGCCTTTGAAGAACATGCAAGTAGGGTAAATCCACGCTCATGTTTTGCGGGGATGCATGATGTCAGATGAGAGGGGCCACCTTTGAAAGGAACCCATACTGGCCCAGCATGCGGGTGGACACGATGTCCAGAAGCGTCACATTCGTCTTCAGAACTATTGACGTCATGAGCACATTAGTCATGTCCCTCTCTCGACAGATCAGCGTACCCGCCGCCATCCTGCGCAAAAGCCACAAAGTCAAGGACCACATCATGCGCTGCATATTTGACAGATCACAGACAAATACCATGCCTTGCAGTAAGATTAGATCCAATTCCTGCATCTTTGGTAAGATACAAAGGGCCAGCATGTTTTGAGGATGGTTGGTGGGAAGAAAACCTGTTGTAGGAGTTCTTCACTCGCACATCCAGGTTGCTGGTCTGCAGCGCGGGCTGCATGGCGGAGGGGTGCAGCACGGTGGCCCCAAAGAAGGCCAGCTCAGAGGCCTCCTCATATGTCAGCAGCGGCACCGGCCGCGCATCGCTCACAATGCGCGGATCCGTTGTCAGCACGCCTGCATGCATGCATTGATGCTGTCAGACTCGCGGATCCCTGGCCCGTCACAAAACTCCCTTGGAAAACTGCCTGGCTTCTGTTTCCCTCCTCAGACACTTCGTTGAGCTTCAAGGAACTTCAGATCAGAGAGTGAGTCTAAGTGTTGAGAAGTCTTGGGCCTAGTCAAGGCAGTGTTACTGACACAAGCATCAGACAAGGTGTTGGCTGCAGAGGTCAGAAAGGAAGCATGGCAGGACGCGCACCGTCCACGTCCTTCCACACTTGGACTTCCTCCACTCCGAGGGCCGCCCCGATAACCGTGGCCGTCAGATCGCTCCCTCCCCGTCCCAGCGTTGTGATGGCCCCTGCAAAACCCCGAAACAGCTGCTGACACTTCCCCCGACAAAAGGCAATACAGGGCCCCTCCACCTGACCTTCCAACATCATCAAGATATATCCCAGGGCCAGCCGGCACAAGTGGGCCTGCATGTCACGCACGCGTATTCTCTTCATCTCATGCGTCTGAGGAACAGCTATGAGCCGGACTGGGAGGTCGCCAGCTTTCTCAGGAACAATAATGAACCAAGCTGCAGGTCTTAAGCTTGTCAGGAATGATCTTGAGCCCGCTGGAGTCCTCAAGCTTGCCAGGAACAGACATGAAACCGGCTGGAGAGTGAGGGGTCCCCACCTGTGTTCATGCCGCGGCCCAGGAAGCCTGTGACAACGGGGATGGTCTTGGGGCCGCCGGGGGGCCGCGTGAGGGATGCCTTGATGGCAGGGAGCGTCTCCTGGTAGACCACCTCGGCGTTCTGGAAGTCATCCGTGGTGGTCATGCCGATGGAGAAGGCGTCGTGCTGGTTGGCGGCGATGCCCTGGGAGCGCAGGAAGCTGGCAAAGACCCGCGTGGATAGCCGTTCCCCAAAGGACACCAGACTGTCCTGCGCACGCGGCGTCAGCTCCTGCAACAGCCACATCAGGAGGGCATGAAAAACTGCTTGTTCCATTCTCTGTGCGCCCTGCTCCCTCCGCTGACCCCGCCTCAGAAGCCAGTATCTGCATCATGAGGCACTTTTGTTCCCCAACAATACCTTCCCACCCAGCCAGATATCATTGCCAGAACTTTGATGTGGGGAGTCAAAGTGACTGCCTTGCAGATCTCCCTGCGCAAGGCGGCCTTGAAATTCCCAACATCAGAGTCCAGCACCGGCTGCATGCTCTGACACCATGACGCCTTCCATGCTCATGACTGTGAGCCTGGCAGGTCAAAAAAGACGGGAGCATTGGGCACATCTAAGGCCGGCAAAGGGCGCACGCTTTACAGCAGCAAAAGCGTCCACGAAGGCCGTACCTGCATGATGGAAATGCCAACGAGCAGCTGCTGCACTTCGCTGAGCAGACTCTCAATGTCCTCGCGCGCGCCAAAGCCCAGATCCCTGGCCGTGCGCCTGTGCAGCTCGCGGATAGTGCGCAGCGGCGCCAGTGAGGGCACATTCCCCGGTGCCACCTTCAGCGCCTCAGCTCCCGCTTGCAGCAGCAGGTTCGTCGTCTGCACAACAGGTAGCCAGTATTAACTTGTTAGTAAAGACAAGGGAGCCGGCCTTGCAATGAGTTGTCCCTTTCATTGGCTTGCAGGGGATAGCAAACATCTGCAGCATGGGCTTGATGTCCTGGCATTGGCGAATGTGGCCAATGTTTTGATTGACGGTTCCAAATGAAAATTTTGGTTTCAAATGGAAATTTGGTGCAGGTCTGAGGGCTGAGAGGCAGACCTTGCCCATTGCAGAGAGCACCACGCAGGGATACTGATCAGGGAAGCTGCAGATGATGCTGGCCACCTCCTTCATGCGCTCTGCTGACGCCAGAGACGAGCCTCCAAACTTCATCACCACCGTTATCTGCACGGTGGTTTGCCAGTCTACTCAAGACAGGTGACAAATCTTTGCAAGCATGAAGCTCATATCATACTAATTGTACAAACTATATTACCCAAAGCAACCAAAAGGCCTTTGCAGCAGACAAGCTGACTGGAGACGGACTTGACTCCTTTGTGAGACGCTTCCCACCTGTTCGCAGTCTACGCCAGGTTGCTGAAGCATGCTGGTCGATGCGTTTGGCAGTAAAGATGTTTTGCATTGATGATGACTGAGCCGTGCATGGCGCGCTTGGCTGCCCTTGCATTCCAGCTTCTGAGAGACGGCTGGGCCATACGAGACAGGCCCATTGGGACAGCGATGCTCGAAAAGATTCGATCGCGCGAAAGAGTGTGTAACATATGTGACCTCAGGCTTGTACAGAAGCCCAGGAGGGCGCAAAGCGCTCATTTCGAGCTGTAATCTAATATTCTAGTTTCTTGATGGGCGTCAAATTATTTAATGTTTGACATGTAGGGAGTTTGCAGAAGTCGATCAGACAATCATATTCTATGTCTAATGAAAGCCTGAAGGAGCCCGACCTGTTGCAGTGTCCTCTGAAGTCTTCAAGAGCCTGCCGCCAGCACGTGCCATTGGCTGACTCAGATGCCTCCAATGCTTCACAAAGTGACAATGGCGCATGGGATGACCTCCGAGTCTGATCAGAGTCTGATCATCTTCATGAGATATATGGCAGGGCATTACACGTGATCATGTGTGGGACGCCTTGATCACGTCATGCCAGAGCCTTGACTTACAGACATCCATGAGGATATATATATGTTCAATAACTTACACATCATGTAAACAACATCATGTAAGTTACACATGTAACACCGAGTGCGGCACCGGTGCACCGGAGCACCGATTTCAGCAAAAGCCGCATCCCGAGACCTTGATGGAATCCTGTCAACATTGACATCATTGTGAAAAAAATTGAATATTTCCAATCAAGCTGTGCATGACGTTTGCATGCAGGCCAGCTGCTGTCGAAAATTGCATCACAGATATCTCAAGAAAAAATTGAGCTGCATCAACAGAGCAGGCACCACTATGCAGCACACATCAATAAGATCTGGCACTACTCTACAGCACCGAGATTCCAGCTAAACGCAAAACAGCTGGTCCTGTCAACGCCAAGGTCCGCAATTTTGGATAGATATAACCGGCAACCAACCGGACACCGAAGATGAAACACTACTGCCAAAATTTTGCTCCAGGCTGACGATGGTAATCCTTCTCGATGCAGATCAACTCCCCTCCCCTGGGGAGCCTACTCATACTTGATGGGTCCTGTCAGGCTGCCAGAGGCAAACTGCCGCACGATGGGCTCATCGGTGGAATCAAATTCCTCCACAGGCCCCTCCCACACCACCTTGCCCTGCACACAGTGAATCCCTTCTTAGACCGTTTGCAACTCAGCGCTCCTGGGCCAGGGCATCATTAATTGTTGCTGCATGGCGTTCACTTGCGAGGCAGCCCTTCTTATTATTTCTGGGCATTTCTCTTTTTCTGAGCAGTGCAGCGCTGGACTCATCACAAATTTTCAAATGCGCACCATGCACCATCCACCCAGATGCATCAATGCAGCAGCAACAGTCTTGGAAGGCTCTGAGCTTCCATCTAGAAACAGAACTATTGATTCAGAGGGCTCCTGATGGGAGATGGGAAGAAATTTAATAGGCCCTAAAAACCCAATTACTAACATGCGTGTGCCTTAAGAGGGCTGCAGACCTCGTGCAGAAAGATGATGCGGTCGACGGCGCGGCGGATGGTGGAGTGCTGGTGAGTCACCACAATGTAAGAGGTGATGCCGCTGCGGGGGCCGGCCCCGTTGCTGGTGGGGCTGGCATGCATGGAGCGTATGAGATCCTCCACCACCGTGGACGCCACCGGGTCCAGCCCAGCTGTCGGCTCATCATACATCACAACCTGTGCAGCACGCACCAGCAGGACCACGTCAGCACACAATCTTCATATGTTGTCAGGGAGAGCTTGTCACAGCTCATCTGTGGATGGCCAAAAGACCGCGGGAAAAAGTGCATGCATTTGTGTCCTTTCTTTTGTGTTGAGCAAACATGATCCAAGAGCGATTCAGAACATTGCATGCAAGAAGAAGTGTTTCTGAGCCTGGAGCTGGCGGGGAGCGGGCTTGCCTGCTCGTCATTGGCGTGCACGTCGTCGCGCACGATTGCGCGAGCGAGTGCCACGCGCTTGCGCATGCCGCCGCTGAGCTCGGATGGCAGCAGCCGCTCCACTCCGCTCAGGCCCACGGCCGACAGACTCTCTGCCACAATCGCCTGGACATCCCAGTAATCATAAATCAGACATCTCAGATTTGAACGCACAATGTAAGGGGACCTGCCCCTTCTTGACACCATGCTTCTGCCGGCCTGACCCCAACTCAGTATTCTGAATCCTCTGCAGGTTGCAACAAAGGCGCAGCTGGATCGTAGCTCGCAGAAGCCAGAAGTCTGAGGGCATGCGCCTCGGCTGATACAGACTCTTGAAAGGCATAGAAAAGAAAAGGAGACCTGAATGATTAAGAGGGCAGCATGGTAGACTCCTGACCTCGATGCGGTCATGTGGCAGGGACGTGTGCTCGTAAAGCAGGAAGCCCACATTCTCGCCCACTGTCAAGGAGTCAAACAGAGCCCCGTTCTGGAACACCATGCCCACTTTGAGCCTCTCTGCCAGCTCTGGGTCATCTGCCAGCAGGCCCTTCCTGGCCTGACCCAGTATTTGCACCTCCCCCTGCACATCAAGCCTATTGATGGGCTCTTGCTCCTTCATTATGCACTGACATCGGGGTGCGCTTTGAAAAGGGAACATCAGCTTGCCTGCCCACTGCCAACATCTAATGCACTGAGTACAAATTTCAAAATGCACAAGACCTTCTCAATTTGAATGCAACTTAGCCGTATGCATGCTGGGGGGAAAGAGTTAAGCAGCTGGTAAAGATCCCCAGCACCAAGATGGAGAAATGCGAGGGGCTGTACCGCATCGGGAGCCAGAAGACCCGCCATCAACCGCAATGTTGTTGACTTCCCTGTTCCAGAGCCGCCTATGATGCCCACTGTTTCGCCTCGCCTGATCTTGATGTTCACACCCTGCAGGATCTTTTTGTTCCCAAAGGACTTGTGGACGTCTTTGAGCTCTATGAGGACCTCATTATCATTCTCTGTCCTGCCGGCCGGCGATATCAATGGACGTGCATTGTATCTTGGTCTATGGATGGTATCCACCTCCTGCAAAGCTGTTGTAACCTGCCACAGGACAACAGGATGTATTTCAGGAAAGACTGCAATATGAGCAGGCTGCTGTCTTGGTACGACACAGCTCAGGATGCTGTTTAGATCACGACACATATTGTGTCTTTCATATGATCGCAGACTTCTTCAGGCGAGTGAATTCATGTGAATATGGGACTTGGCTAAGGTTGCCAGCCCACCTTCCTTGCAACCAGCAGCTCTGTCTGCGGTCTGAAGGGTCGTCGCCTTCGAGAGCATATTCTATGAATGGAAACTCTCTGCCCGAATAAGCTGTTGCTGGGCTCCAGCTTGCAGGCACTGCTCTGGCTCGTGGAGCAACTCTCTAGGCATTCTGACAAGGCTCCCATTGGCGCCTTGGCTGCCATGATGCTCCTGCTGGATGTGAGATCCGTTTCTATCCGCAATAAATGTATAGCAAATTGCTGATTGGTCAAGCTGAAGTAGAGGCAAAGTCCACCTCAGCAAAATCTCCCCAGAAGCTACTTTCAGTTAAGACTGCTCTTATCCCTTCAGAGAACACAACTGCACGATAAACTCCTCCTTTGAAAGTTTACCTCTGGGAAACGATCGTTACTCCCTGCCCGCACAGCACAGCAACAACAGGACAGCTTCTCGCCAGTGACGTCAGCTGCCGGGACCAACCCACGTGCAGCTGGAACACTTCTTCTTTCTTCGACCATGCACGATGGTAGATCGTAGACAATTTGCAACTTTCGTATCATGAAATCTCTGGTAGATGTATGGGTGGCTGTACCACTTCCTGACAGATACATCTTGTTGGAACGAGAGAAGATGAGCAGTATTGATGATCCATTTGTCTGCCAGCCACCATTAAAGACGACCGTAGATGATAGAAGGAGTTAAGGGAACTGCAATCATGTAGAGCGCCCTGTCAGGTCGCTTGTAGGAGAGTGATGTCCATCTCGAAGAACGCAGGAAGGAGAAGGTTGACACCCACTACCACAGTGACGTCTTCCCGGCAGCATGGCTTCAGGGCCATGTCCTTGGGCAGCAGCTACAGAAGCCCAAACGCTAGTGCTGGTTCTTTCCACGGCCCATCTGGGCTCACAGACTCCGAGGACTCTGATGACGAGTATGACAGCCCTGGATTTTCCTTTCTGGCTCCAAGTGGCTTCACAGGTGACCAATATGAGAGCCTCACACCTGCTCTTTCAGAACTAGTCTCTATAAGCGCTCGATACTTATCTCCGAGCGGTCCAATGAGCCTTGGATTGATGTTTTGTGGTCAATTTCGTGAACAGATTCAGACAGCGAAGAAGACGGCGAGGAGGTACAGAGCAGGCCTGTGCATTCTTCAAACACAAAGGCCAGAGTGTCTGTGCCAAGCCCAGCTCAGCAGGCAGCGTCTGCAAAGAAGACACGAGCGCGACAGCTGCTTCTTGTGAGTCCCAACTGCTCTACAATTTGCGTCATGTTCTTGCCACACTTGTACCTAGACCTCAAGTCTTGATCAAGTCTGTGCTTTGTGTAAGTGCAACGTTCACTCATCAAGGAAAGCTGTTGCAGGAGGCAACACAGAGAGCAGTAGGCCAGTTTGACGCTGCAGTCCTGGAGATAGATGCGGAGGAGGCTGAGCAGCTGGCTGCAGTGGAGGAGGCCATGCGCCGCATGCGCGTAAGCAACCCACCCTATGCATGATGCCTAAAAGGCAGAGATCTCCAAAATCTTGTGGGAGCCTCCAATATACTGTACCTGGCCAAAAGAAATTGAACACCTTACCCCACCAATCACCCAGAATGTTTACTGCCTTTGGTGAAAGGACAGAGTGCACATACGGTCTGCAGTCCCCAAGTCTTGCAAAGAAGCACTGTTAACAATTGCGTCTGCAATGTGTATGCCAGCAACGTGCTCAGAAGCAGATGTGGTTCGATTATCACATGCAGGCAGAGGATGTGGACAAGGCGTCTGCACGACTGGAGGCAGCAGACGATGACAGGGCGGCCGTGCTGAGCCGGCTGCAGGTCGTGCACCGGCAGAAGACTCGGCAACTCAGTGAAACCGTGGCCGCCGTGCAGCAGGTGATGCATGCGATTGCCACTGAAGTTCCACGGCTTTTCCTGAGTGTGGCTGGCTCGGCAGCGCGGCGGGAGTGCACCCATCTGCATTCTTGAATTGATGGAAGGGACTTCTGGCGATATCAGGTGGCAGCGGAAAAGGCAGCAAGGGAGGCAGCAGCAAAGAGGGCTGCCAGGGAGGCAGAAGAGCGGCAGAGATTAGAAGCTGAGCGTGCGCGGCAACAGGTACACTTGTTTTACAATCTTTCTCCGCCCTTCTTTGTGGTGCTTTGCCTTCACCTGTTGCTTGAAATGCTGCCAGGGCGGATCCTTCGCTCCACAGCCTAGTGCTTCATTGCTCGCCAGTCTCATACAGTTTGGGTGGAAAGCGGCGGCATGTTCGATTGGTTGGATCAGAGATACTTTCGCAACCGGGTGGCTATTGCAAGCAGGCAGAGGAGGAGGCCAGGAAGGCAGCAGAGGAGAGGCAGAGGGCGCAGCAGGAGGCTGCAGCAAAGGAGGCGTCTGAGGCTGCAGCCGCAAAAGCATCAGCTGCTGATGGGGGCCAGTCTGCAGAGGCGTCCTCTGGGCGAGCATCATCCCTGCGCGTGGCACAAGGCGCTGCCGAGGTGGAGAAGCAGTGTTGGGACGCCCTGAGAGCTGCCGAGGCAAGACTCGCCTTGACACCATCTCCCCCTTTAGTTTACCTTCCAGTTGCAACTGAGCATCCTGTCTGCCTGTCTTCCATCTTTTACTTTGTATGATGCATCTAGCATGAGGAACATGCATGGCTGTGTGGGGCCACAGGTCTGCTGAGATTCATGGTTTACGTCACAATATGTCAGCTGAAATCAGCATGACGCATGTGCAGGATCTGGTGCGGCCCCTGGTGGAGGACGAGAGCCAGAAGAAGGAGCGCAGGAAGCTGGACAAGTTCATCACGCTCAGCGTGCAGCAAATCTCCGGCACACAGCAGCAGGTGCACTGCCCTCACCTCTACCTTTTTGGTCATGATTTCCTGCTCCACCCATCTCATTGCTCCCATGCCATCACCTCAAACTGACACCCTCGTGCATGCCAGACATCTGGCTGCCAAACCCCCCGACCCTGACATCGGTCAAGCTTTGCCCCTTGCTAGCAGCACGAGTGTCATCATGACCGGGGCTTTGCCACAGGTGAGTGCAAAATTCATCAATGAAGAGGAGGCCGCTAGCACACAGCTGTGCGCGCGTCTTGAGTGTGCTCACGATTCTGGATGCTTATGCAGGTGAACGCGAAGGCGAGCGCTCTGGTGCAGTTTCTGCGGGGGTTGGGGCAGGCTCCGCGCGCGTACGCGCTGCTACAGCTGGCCGGCCGCCTTGTGAGTCAGTGCGAGTGCCAGGTGGCGCTCAGCCACGCGTTTGCGTTCCCTCTCGCCGAGGTCACCGCCGCCGTCGCCGCCGCGCACCCCGACCTCACCCCCATCCTGCTCGCCAAGCTGCACCACGTGCGTTGCCTCTGTTCAGCACATTCCTGTGGATTTTTGATTGAATACTATCCATGTCTGGTGTCAGACCCTGCCTGCAGTGTGTCTGCCATAGGTGCGCGAGACTCTGTCAAGAGTAGGTTTAGTTTGGGGGCCAAGCCAGGCTCTAGCCTGGAACATACCAAATAGAGCTCTCACAGGACAGCAAACGTGATAAATTCGGGGGAACATGGGATATGCATCAGGTGATCAATGCGCGACCTTGTTTCTTGAGGGTGTGAAGAGAGAGATAGTGGATGTATTGCCTGCAGGCGTGCGTGCTGGCGGTGCCAAAGTTGCACGTGCACTACAAGGGCAGGGACGAGGCGCAGTACCTGAAGAGGATGGGCTACAGGGAAGTGGAGGCGCCAGCCAAGGGGGGCGGGCCCCCCACAAAGCAGCACGAGTCCACAGACCAGTATACTGCCCGCATGCAGGGCTACATCCTCTTCTACGGCGCCCTGGTGCAGAGCGAGCGGCAGGGCAACCCCCACAACCTGTCTCACGGCTGGCAGTACGTCGCCAGGTGCGCAGTCAACTGTCCAACATGCTGCTGTCTCACTTTAGCATGCCAGCCTGCAAGAATCTTTTGCATGCTTTTCCGACGGTGTGCATCAGTTGGTACGCACTCAATTCAGCAGCTTCCGTCCGCTTGTAGGGTACCTCAAGCAGGTGTCGGTTGCCACCGTGAGTGCCTCTGCTTAGCGCCTCCTCACTACAAACTTGACGTGTAGTGAGCTAGGACTGACCGCGTGATCAATGCTCTGGTACCCGTAGTAGTGCAGTAATATCTCACCTCTTCATTAATCTTACAACGGAAGATTAAGGGATATGTTTTGGCTGGTCAGGCAGCCGAACACTGCCAAATTAGGTGCTCTGCTTAGCATGTGCTCATCAGCTAGTTTAAAAGTCACTGAACCTCTTCGGGCTGAGCGTGCATGTGTTGGGAAATGACCAGGCTGCTGAACGCGCTGCCGGCCTCGCGGCTGAGCGCCACGGCGTTGGAGGCGTTCCTGAAGGCTGCCGGCTTCCGGCTGAACGCCGCCTTTGGCCGCCAGTTCCACAAGCTGCTGGCCTACATAGACTCGGTCTTCATGCCGGACCTGGCCAAGCAGGGAGATCCGGACGCGCGCGCCGTGCACTCGCGGCTGCGCTCATATATGCACGACCGCCAATTTCTGAAGGAGCCCGAGGGCCGTCGCATGCCAGTTTCGGACCTGTCAGGGCGCGAGCATGCCTGATCAGAGATCGAAGCAGAATTAGGGACCTTGTCCAACGATCTCTTTTGGGGGAGAGAGGATGCAAGACATGAAGGCATTGCGAGCGCCACGTAGGAGGAAGGGCTGCCTTGCAGTGTAGACAGAGCGCATCAGACAACACAGACATCTCTGTTTGAAGCAGGTGGTATGAGAGAATTATGTGCCACTGCCATCCGACTGCTGTGTCATTGTGCGTTTGGGTCCATTGGATAACATATGCGGGACTAGCCCTGGATGCGCGTCATGACGGAGCAATGCTGGCAAAGGAAGTTGTCCTAGATTGCACGTTCTGACCTGACAAGAGACATGTCATGACATGACATGAGTATACCGTACAGTCAGTGGCCAAGATACTTCCGGGTCATGGAAGTGCACGGGAATATTAACCTCATGGAATCTTAATTGGCTTCCGACATTGTGTTGCAACTACTTTACAAGGCAAATATTGAGCTTCAGTAGCACAGGGCAGTGCAGAACTGAGTCAACATAGCGGTCTTTCATGACAGGCCCTACAAGACCCTGGAAACGGCCCAGACATGTGATGGCCATTGATATAGTGTCTAAAGTATCTCTTAGATGTCATCATGATCCTTCAATATCATTTGCTACGAGGCTACATTTAGATTGATCTTATTAATTTTGATTGGCTGCACGTCTCACACAGAAGTGCTTGATCTCCATCGTGTCAGGAGAGCTGTCCGGCAGGAAAGCTGTTGGCGTCAATCAAACGATCTTCTTGTCGCCCACTTTTGCCATCTTGGCAAGCTCCTTGTCGAAAGATCTGAGCGCCTTCTGCTTGGCCTTGAGATCCGGGATGCCTGCGACAGGAAGCATGATCTGATTGTAAACGTGACACAATCTTTGAATGTGTCATTGCATTCCAATGACTGCATTGGCCTCTGGCCCGCCACCCTTCTGATAGCCTCAATCTGGTCTATTCTCTGCGTGCAGTGCCATCAAGTCACACTTCAGAAGACTCAAAGATTCTTGCAGGAGCCTGCAGATGCCGCCCCTATTCTATCGGCAGAAGATATGCATGCACAACTTGCCTGCTGATATTCCTGCCACTATTTCAACCAGCTTGTCACCCCTGACGCCCTGTCAAACATAACTTTTAACAGGGAACAAAGATTTCACGGTCGATGGGAAAAGGGCGCACGGTCTATGTCATCGAGCTTCTTGACCAGAGCGTCGCGCGCTTCCTGCACAGTCAGCGTGACTCTGGTCTTGCGCTCCTCCACCGACCTGGCCTCCTCCTCAGGAGTCAACGCCTGCACAGCCATTTGATTTTTCAAAAAATGCGTTGCAACCTGCCAAAATGCACACTGTCCTGCCATGCTCAGCTCTCACATACAGTAAGCTATGGGATGGCATTGCCCCAAACCGCATGTGTGCTGGGCACGTCCCCTTTTTTTGCGGCTGCTCGGGAAAGCAGATGTGGGCTGAACCTTGGGGCTTGATGGCATGCAGGTCAATCCGTCGAGGAAAGCAGATGACGGGTGGACCAGTTGCAAGTACGTGGTGCCTCGTAAGGCAATGTTCCTTGCAGTGGGGATTCAAGAACACTCTTTATAAAGCTGCCAGCAACAAATTTCTGGTGAAGTCACCTTTGCAGGCGCTGCGTCCTCCTGGTTCCAGAACCGCTCGAGAGCTGGAATCTTGTGGAGCTCTGCGCGCAGCTTCGTGGATCCAGGGCCTATGATGGTCTCGTACACCCAGGTGGCCCCCTTGAAGTGGGGCAGCACCAGCCATGCCAGCAGGATGGCCTTTGCCTCTGCATACAATGGCACCCTGCCACATGGCCCCATCAAATGAAGTGATGTGACCAAGCATCTCGTGGTAATTCAGAACGAGGGGTACATGAGCTGCTCATCATTTCAGAACTGAGACAGGGCGTCAGGCATATGTGTTTGATTTGCACTATGAGCATTGACATGCCAAGAAGAGAAGGATCTCACCATTTCAGGACTGGCCAGAGCAGGGTCTCTGCGATGAGGAGGAGTGTGTAGATGACCCAGTACATGAGCCACTGCACCACGGATTGAAAGTGTCAGGCCGTTATGGCAGTTGCACTGAGAAACATTGAATTGTTCGCTAGTAGAGATTTACCTGTGCATCGTCATGACCATTGTCTCCACTCTCTACCGCCTCAACAGACTTTGCTGTGGGGTATAGCAACCCAAAGAAAAGACTGCGTACACAAAATCTGTCAGCGTCAACAAAATTCAATACAGCACAGTAAAGCTAGATATGGTGCAACGGTGTATTGTGTATGTTGGGCTACATGCGGGCATCAGCAGGCAAACGTACTTCAAGGCATAGGTCAATACGATGCGGAAACTCATCGTGGCTGTCTGTCAGTCACAGTTCTGCTCACACCAGATCCTTGAGCGGAGTCACTTATCCCGTATTGGAGGAGGAGAAGGACGGGAGATGAGTTCCGAGATTGTGTATAGCTTCCTTCAACAGGGAATCTGCGCAGGGAATTTGCTTGCACCGGCGTTCCTGCCAAGCGGCTTCGCAGCTTGATGTGCATGTAGGTGATTTCTTCCATACGTTACCATATTCATCACATCGTCGAAGAACTGGCTTTGAAAAGCATTACAGGAACCCATTAAGACTTGCTTGCAAATCTTGTGCAGCCCGGAAAAGGCATTGGGCTGGAATTTTCTTACAAGAGTTGTACCTGAAGGAATTGAGACATCATTAAGCTTCCAAATCTTAAAAAATCTCACTGTCGAGAATCAGCAGAGAAAGAATGGCAGAAGAGGACGCAACTGTGAAGGAGCCTCTCGATCTCATCAGATTAAGTCTTGATGAAAGAATATATGTGAAGCTCAGAGGAGATCGTGAGCTGCGCGGCCGTCTACATGTAGGAGATCCACGCGTTGTTTGCAATGCCGTTATGTATTCTCAAGCAGCTCTGTCTGCCATACCTGGAAGACAGAAAGCCAACTGTAATGAAATTGTCTTTCCCTGCAGGCGTATGATCAGCATCTGAACATGATCTTAGGAGAGGTGGAGGAGACCATCACTTCAATTGAGATTGATGATGAGACGTACGAGGAGATCATCAAGGTAAGCTGTGCCTGTCATGGATCCTTCATGTTTGGCAGCGTACAGCCAACCTCTTTGCGGCAGGCTTGATTGTCTGCTGTCAGGCTGGGCCTGATGAGCTGCTATGAGTACGGACAACTGTGCTGGTCCTTCCAACAACTGAAAGCACCTCTCTGTGCCTGTGCAGACGAACAAGAGGGCAGTTCCATTTCTTTTTGTGCGAGGAGACGGCGTCATACTGGTATCACCACCTCTGCGGCAGTAGTGCAATGTCTTGGGGAATTGCAGCTCGGACTTTTACAGTAGCAGCTGCAGTTCTGAAGTAGCAACACCTTTGCAGAAACACCTAGGTCGAAGGAACAGGAAATAGAGTAATAAACTACCAGGATTGGGCACACAACCTACGTGAGAGAGCTGTGTACGGCGTTGAAGTCACAAATACAGAATCAAGAACGGTAATTGGGAAAGAACTGGGGCACAACAGCCACTGTGTCCGCCTATGGTGTGATGGATACCAGAAGGCATCATAGATGTGATTTGTTTGTCCTTGCCAGAGCGGTCATCAATAATGACGACAGAGATCATGCAATTTTGGCCATGGCCACTGCGCATGATGACTCCTGTAGTATGCAGTCTGCAGCTGCACTGACTTGCTCTGCCATAGCTTATTACATTTGCTGCTGCACATTACTTGCTGGAATGGCCCAATTCTGCCATTCAGCTTTTGCCCAATGCACCCAAATACGTTGCAAGACTTCCTGCAACCCATTTGGGTTCACCCCAGATTTGTTTAAACAATGCACCAACCCCCCGACAAGATTGTCTAAAGGTGCCTCTCTCAAACAGAAGATACCGATGCGATCGCTCCTGCTGCTCAAGCCTATGTACAAAGTCTCGCGCCATCTGTCCAGAGAAGTTCCCCGCCTGGCAACAGCCCATCTACACAACAGGACTCCTACGTTGCCGATTACCCGCCAAGTCTCTTCTGACAAAAAATATCAACATCCTGCACAGACTGCAGTGAAGTTGCCCTCACCACCCCTTGTCATGCCGTGCACCCCTGGGTTCCAAAAGGCTAAGAAGCGCTGATGAGCACAGCATGTATGTACAGGCCCTGCCCATTCCCAAAGGACTCACTGTGTCAGCTGTCTCAAAACATGTGTTCTTTCGATGGTCCCGCGCAATCCTCAGTTTGTACAAATCCAGCACATTATTTACTCCTCATCTGCACACAGCTGAACTGATGCCGACAAAAGGCACTCCTGACGACAAACTTATTCCAATTGCACAAAATGCTTGGGTCTAATGACAAACAAAAAGCAGCAAAAGCGCACTATCAATCTGTGCAGCTCTTCATTTCTGGAAATTGCTGCTGGGCACTCAGCATTCTGGAGCTCACCATCTCTCATTTGGATGTCGGTCACAGGCTCATGTTAATGTAAACCTCAGGCTCAAGAGGTCGGCCTGCTGCTTCAAGAATGTGCTTGAAAATGGTGGGCAGATTGGTGGACAAATGAATGGCGACTGTAACGTGAGTGTGAAAAAGCACCAGTGCACCCTGCACAGCCGGGCTGAAGATCATCCAGGGAGATCTGCCACCCCCCTTCATATCCCTCCTGTCCCTGTAACTTCAAAATTGGGCATGTCAGCACTTTAAACAGCTAGCAGCTCTCAGTCTACGCTACAGAACACCTATATGAGGGATGGTCACGCAGTGCGCGCATCCTCCAGATCACTGCAGGAATGCGAATGGGTCCGTGGACTCCAGGATGGGAGAGGCCTCTAGCTTCTCCTCGGCGGCCTTTGCCTGAACAGGCACTTCTGCCAGCCTCAACTCTGCCTCATCACCAGCCTGCGCTGTCCCTTCTGGCACGCCAGATGCCTCTTCAGTGGTACCGGCTGCTTCAGGCTGCTGCAGTGTCTCCTGAGGAGTTCCCTCTATCTTTGTGGCAGCATTCGCCGCCGCAGCCGGGAGGTCGGGAGTGGCCTCACGCTCTACAAGGTTGACTGGATCGGTGGCGGTGCAGGCAGCTGCCGCGGCAGCTGCCTGCTGCTGCTGCAGCTGCTTGTGCGACCAGGCGGCCAGGGAGGGAACGCTGGTCAGGACCGGCGGCTGGCCGTCGGCTGAGGTGGCGGGCGCGTCCTGTCTTGGCGCAGCTGCGATCGCCTGTTCTGGCGCGGCCGGCTGGAATCGGGGGGATGCGGCGCTCTTGGGCAGGAGAGGTACGCCTGCGAATCGCATGGATGGAGCCGCCGCACCCTCCAGATTCGCGTGGCTGCGCTCTATCCTTGCTGGCACCGTCGGCACCGATGCAATTCTGGCACACAGCAGGTTAAGACTGTTCAGTGCAATTGTATGGCTACGAGTTTGCTGTGCCCAACCAACTGCAGTATTCCATCATCTACTCTACTCGCGTACAGTAAGGTCATGCAGCAAGTTACGCATAACACCTATTTGTTTGTTTGTGTCAAGTCAGCCACAGTTGATACTGTGCCTTCAGCAGGGGTAAAGCAGCTTGATTCCATGGTGATTGAAAGTCACCCTGTTATTCTAAACCTTAGAATAACAGGGTGCTTTGCAAACATTTGGCTCTTGTGTCTACGCCTATGAAGATGAAATGGCCAGCAAAAGGAGGCATGTGGCCCCATGAGCTCTTCTCTCAACATTTGTGATCTCTGCTGTACACCAGACAACTGCGCCACTGGTTCAAAGCAACGCAGTATAGCATACAGACCATAACAGGAGGTGGGCTCACTTGCGCTCGTGCAGGACGTCGGAGGACCCGAGGTCAGAGAGGATGCGGTCGAGGGAGGAGGCGGCGCTCGGCTGGGGGGTGTCTGAATTTGCGCTGCCGGTCCCCAGCTGGCTGATGACCTGGCGGCCCTCCAGCGAGCCCAGAGTGGGAAACAGCGCCGCCAGATCAGCGCCCAGGCTCGGGCTACGCAGCTCCCGCGACCCCGCCATGCCTGCAGCGCACACAGCAGAGGGACGTTTATATACTGCTGTCCATTACCACAGGCAAGCAGCTTGTAGTCTTTGTTCCCTGCAAGCCGCAGAGCATTGGTGTGTGACCAGCTGCAAGAGAGCATCCTTCCTCACATCTGCAACCAGCTTCTGCGTGACTGTGAGGCATGTTCTGGAGTACAACTTGGTTGCAACTTGTCTAAAATAGCACAGGAACACTTGCGTTTCACTCTCCTCTGTCACCTAAGCAATCACAGCTGAGCACAACAGGCAACAGCGGTAGTAGGGCAACAGTCAAAGGCAGTGCGACTCACCGCCGGGGCCTTCCAAGGAGCTGAGGCGGTGGGACAGGTCCAGTCCGTCGGCACCCAGGCCACTGAGCAGCGCCGGTGAGCTGACAAGCGGGTAGCTGAAGTCCTCCAGGATGGGCGTGTTCCCTCCCACTGCCTCCCCAAGTCCGGCCGAGCCGCCGCGCAGGAAGCCGTGCAGGTTGAGCGCCGGCGAATGGGGGGCACCACCGGCCCCCCGGCCACCACCGCTGCCATGGTAGGACCCACCGCTGCTGCGCTCGGGGGGACCAAACCCCCACCCCCCGCCGGGGGGTGCGGCGAGGTCGCGCGGCTCGAAGGCCGGGAAGCCAAGTTCGGCGGCTGCGCCGCGGCCGCCGAGGAAGCTGCCGGAAGCCGCGCCCGCGGCCGCGCCGGCGCCCCCGAGCAGCGCTATGGCCTCCTGGATCTCGCGCACGAGCTTGTCCGCCGCGCGCGGAGAGCGCTGCGGCCCCTCGTGCGAGTGCGTGGAGTGCGAGTGGTGCGAGTGGTGGCCGCCGTGCGAGTGGTGCCCTCCCTCGTACGCCGTCTGTCACAGGAACAAAAACATTAACTTCAGTCAGGCAGCGCATGTGTGCGAGCAACAGGGCAGACAAGACATCTGGCTGCAGCGAAGAAGCTCCCAAAGACAATGTGCTACTGCAAATAAGGCTCTAGGCGTGCCGGAAAAAACATGCAAAGGCATGCCATTGATTGCACTTGCCTCATGACCCAGTGGTCAATTTCCAAATTCACAGCACTAATAGGCGATGTAAATGGGACATTTGCACCAAGAACTGGACAAAGCAGGGGGTATGTACGGCTTGGATATTTGGGGCCGTACCTGGTCCTCGGAGCTGGAGCCCGACTCGTTGTCGCGCAGGCTGCGGCCGGGCACGCCAGGCCAGACCACCTCGGAGAGGCCGGGCAGGCCAAAAGCGCCGCCAGCGCCGCCATAAGGGTGCTTGCCCATCATGTGCGGCGATATCAGAAAGTCCCCAGCATCCTGCCAGCCAAGGCTGGCCTGGTAGGCTGCGTTCTGGTGCTGCAAGTACGCATCCCCTATGCTCAGCGGCGCCCTGCGCAGCAGCAGAAAGAATCTGTCATGGTAAATGAGCCACCAGCTGGGCTCATGATCACCCATCAATGCTAGCAGCTGGGGTCACGCACGGAGAATCCATCATTGCCAGCAGCTGCTGATACTGGTGGAGATTGGCATTTGCATGGCTGAGGGCATCTGCTGAAAAAGAGGTCATGGTTGCGCAGCTCATGCACTTTACTGGGCTACAAAGATGTTTGTTAGGGAGGGCTGGATGCGGCCCCCTGTCTAGCAATGTTGCAGGTTCGTCAGTGTGCATCTGCACAGATTGTGGCTGCAGCAGGAGCTCTGGGAATAAACGGCTGGAGTGGCTCACCTGACAGAGCTGGAGCGATGTCCTGCTTTGCTGTGCCCAAAGTCCCCATCCATCCCTTCTCCAAGCATCATGTCGTCGTACTGCTTTGGCTTCCGTTGCCTGAATGCACATGCGGGTCTCAAGGTGCTGCTTTCAGGCCATCTCCTAGAAAGCTGGCACATCCAAGATGTGCCAGACGGAGGCAGACGGAGGGTGTCTTTGGGCGTACGGAGCTCTACAGAGCCTCTGCTGCGCTAGATTACGGCTTTGGAACATATCTCACCTCTTCGTCCTCCTGATGCCCCCCTGCAAGCGCTCAAAGGCGCCACCGTCTAGGCCAGAGTCGCCCAAGTTGTGCGAGTGCTTTCTTGGCGAAGTCTGCCCTGTTCCTAGCACTTTCGGCGTCTGCAATCCCGCCGCTGCACAGACAAACATCGGGTAATGCACTATGTTTGCGCAAAGAGCAGCTGAAGCTTGAGCGAGTTTGCCAGAATGTCTGAAAATGGCGACTCGATGTCAGACAGATCGCTGGTCAATCTGACCAGATGCGCCCTGAAAAGCTCAAAAAATTGGTCTTTGGGAGTATTACAAGGCGTCACTTAGCTGCAGCGAGCGACGAACGGGCAGCGTCACGTTGTGCCTCGAACTTCAATGTTCACGCCCTAATTGCAGCGCAATACAGCAAGCGTGGCTCACCTTCCATGAGTTTCCGACGGAGCCAATTGTTATTATTGGAAAATGTGGGGGCTCCGTACACCATCTTAAACTTAGCCTGCGATCGGACAGCACAGTCAGTCTCGCCAGATCAACTCCGTCTTCTTGTAAGGCATCGTGCCAGACTCATAGCTTCTGCCTCTACCACAGCTCCCATAGGCCACGAAATTTCACCTGCAGCTCCTTCTGCCCCATCCTTGCGATCTCCTTTGCGATCTCCTTGCTATCTGTGGTCCCAAAGTGTTCCGCCACGTCTATTTCCGGCAGTGTGTGCCTGAGCAGATGGCTGCGTCCTGTCTTCGACATGGTCGCCCTGCCGACCTCTCCCAGCCCCACAGCCTTCCTCTAAAGCTACTCTATGTTTCTCATCAAGATCTTGTGCCTCCAAACGCTATGATCATGCTGCAAATGATGTCGAAACCCTATTGTGCATGTCCCAGCGGGCAGGACAGCTTGGGAATTGAGTCGACCCATTCTGGCCGACGCCAGCTGACGCCAGCTTCGATGCGCCCTTCGGCGACAGGACGCCCCACCCGCAACGATCCCTTGAATGTTGATCCGTTGCATGTGAAATATCAAATGGTGCCAGTTGTATCTGTGTCTCAAGCGGTATTGAAGCTGCCGTATATTGTGTTTCATAGCGAATTTTGCCAAGAATGGAGCCAAGATGCAATGCATGCGCATGCGAGAATGATGATCATGTTGCAGTGCAAGCATGTCCGATAAAGTCTGCTGCAGCTGCTGCTGCTGTCTTCATCACACTGTGGAATATATCATGCTGTGCCTCTTGGCAACAGCTGGTCCAGAAGATCAGCAGCACAGGCATCATGCTGATGAAATGCCATAAATGATATTCATGTCGGCTCAAATTATTTCAAATGATGTTCAAGCTCAAGCACTCAGGGTCTCAAATGGGGACTTACACTGTTCCATTGCACTGCAGATGCTAACTCACTCAAACACTGCACCTGAAGATGATTCAAGCTCAAGCACCAATTTGAGCCCCTGCAGCTGAATGATCAAGAGGCTGGGAATTGTTTGTGAGCTGACAGCCTTTTATTTGCTCACTATATTCCACAGGTGGTCGACTTGCCAATCGAATCAGGTCAAATTGACAGCTGTGAGGATAGGTGATGATTGTAACACAGAGCAAGTCGCGTTCGCACGGCCTTGATATCTGGACTTGTTGGAGTTCAAAGAGCATCTCTGATGGCAAGCACTATTGCTGACTCCAGGTCACTTGGTGCATGTTGCCAGCGGCAGTGCCTTCCAGAAGCAGGCTTTTGAGGCGAGTGTGGCCGCGAGAGTCTCTTCATCTGTTGCTACCACCCAACTGGAGATGACTCGATAGCAACACCTTCTCTGCGCTCACACCAGCAGGGAGATAAAAGTGTTCCAGACAACACACTACATTCAGTAAGAGTCCCAGTGACTCGCTATTTTAATGTTTATTCCACAACCCACCCAATCAACATCCTGAGTAACTCTTCTCTGCATCCATGCCGTGATGATTCTGGCATTTTCATCCGCGTTCCGCTACAAGAAAATTTGTGGTGCAAAAAATCCAGCAAGCTGATGCGGCTGCCTACTGGAGAAAACGTGGAAGTACTTGAGGAGGTGATGATGCACCCTGAGAAGGACCGGAACCCAGCAGAGACATAGATGGCGTTGGTTCACACTCCTCCGAACTCAAAGCGATCAGTCGTGCAGCCTACGGTGTGCGCAGTCCCCCAAAGCCGTCCCCTGTCTCATAGAACAATTGTCGTACACTCTTCCTCTGTCCTTCCTCTGTCCCGCTTCACTTGTTGTTCTCCCAGCTGACTCGGCTCAGAGGTAACTCCAGACCACTGTCGTCAAATGAGACAAAAATCCTGGCCTCATACTCAGAGATTGCCGTGTCACTCATGCACTTCGCATTCTCTTCTTGACTTGTATCCTGACTGTCATCTGGCTGTCCAGCAGGTGAATAGCCAATGATAATTGTCCCTGTGACTGATGATAGACAACTTCCAGGAGCTATCTCAGCAGCCCATCTTGGGCCAAGGACCAATCTCAGGAGCCAATTTTGTTTAGGCAGGCGCCGCCTTCTCACCAATGCTCCTCATACATGAGTGATGAGGGATCCAGGAGTCAGTCTCAGGAGCCAATCTCGGCCGGGGAGGGGCGTCCCTCGGGCATGGAAGAGGCGAGCTCATCAGATGGGCTGGGCGGCTTGGACAGGCGTGCAGCGGTGGTGTGGCGGCGCACTTTGGTGGTCTTGCGCGCCTTGGCGGGGGCGTTGCCTCCGCCGATGATGTGGCTTGCGTCCATTGCGGCCGGGGCAGCTGCATAGCAGCCGCCGGGGGCCGCGCTCGCCTGAACAGGCGCCTGCTGCGCAGCTGCCGGCTGGCTGCCTGCATTGCTGGCCGCGTTCAGGCCCGGCAGCAGCATGCCCAGCGTGGCCAGCATGCCCGGCTGCTGCTGCGCCAGTTGCGCCACCACATTGTTGCCTGCATCCATGCATGCAAAGTTCCCATCAGCACCTCAAGCCAAAGTTGCAATAAAAATACCCTCTTTCCTCAGCATCCCTTCGCATGCAACTTGTTTGTTAGACCTCCCGTGGCTGCAGATGCGCCGCACGCATGCCAGACACCTGGCAACACCTGGTTTTTGGGCGTGGCAAGTTTTACAACCATTTAACACAACAGGGCGGTGCAGTCAAGGCAAGGGGCAGGGCAAGAAGAGCTCACCAGAGAGATCCTGCTGGGTGCTCTGCAGCAGCTGCTGCAGCTGGAGTGCCAGCTGGAAGCTGCCAGCCTGCACAAGCTGGCTCTGCTGCTGCTGCTGCTGTTGCTGTTGCTGCTGCAGCTGCTGCGCCAGAAGCAGGCTCTGCAGGTGCGCAGCGTCTCCCTGGCCCTGCATGCAATATGGGCCGTAAGAAACGCTGGTCAAATGAAGTGCACCTCCCAGCCTGCAGCTTCAAGCCTCATTTACTCTGAGGTTGGGGAACAATTGCCGGTGATCAAATGTGCTTGCTAAATGTGCAAGACAGGGCCTGCGAGAGCACCCTGATTGCCTTGCAAATGCGCTGTTGAGCAAAACACAGCCAAAGACGAACTGCTTAATTCTGTGCTTGGGAAGTGCAATTAGCTTGCCTTGCTCTGCCTTGATGTCTGCATCTCCCCTCTTTGAAACACGTCAGGGGCAAGGATGATGCGCACCTGCTGGATGGGCATGTGCAGGCCGGGGAACTGGACGACGAACGGGCCGGCAGCGGCCTGCGCAGCCTTGGCGGCGGCCGCGGCGGGCTCCTCCTTGCGCGGCAGTAGCACGCGCACGTTCCACTGCACCTCCTCCGGCAGCTTGCTGACCGCGCCCATCACCAACAGCTGCTGCATAACCGCCTGTTAAACCGGCATGCAAGTCCCAGTCAGCCCACAATGTCGGTGCCGCTGCCAGCTGTCTCAGGCACAATCTGACACAAAACCCGCCACGACAAACGCCTAGCTCCTCACAAGATGAACAGAAGAGCAACCGCGCAACTTATGCTCTAAGCACAGAGCCAACTGAGTCAAAATGATGCGAGGATGTTGATCTGCAGACTCTACAGCGCAGGAGCGCACGAGGAATACTACTGCAGACGCTACATGGGGGACATGATGTGACAGATATGATCGATGAAGCAGCACCTGCAGCTGGCGGATGTACGAGACGCAGGCCATGAGGAAGTTGGCCTTGTCCATCTTCTCGGTCGTGGGCAGCAGCTCGCGCAGCGCCTTGAACCCGTCGTTTATGCGGTCGCGGCGGCGCTGCTCCGTCTCGATATGCCGCAGCGTCGAGCGCGCTGCCCCCGATTCCGTGCGCGCCATTTTGGCCGGCCGGCCCGCGGCCTCGTCGCCGGCGGCCTCCTCCTCCTCCTCGAGTATGGGCCGATGCGCGTCCGTCTCCATGTCCCTGCGCAGGTGTGGCAGTCAGGTGAGCAGGAGAACGGCGTTCCAAATGCAACTTGCGCAGGTGGATGATTTGTCGCATTCTGGGGAGAAACATGCGCTGCAACGCATGCGCTTGCAGTGATGAGCATGGCTCTGGTGAGAGTAACAGCTTAAGATGACCGACAGGCAGCAGTAAACAGCCCCCTGCTGTGCGGGCAACATACCCAGGGTGTCTGCAGATGTCAGCGAAACACTCAAGCAAGGGCTAGATGTATACGCCTGAATATGTGAGCATGTTTGATGGTTCAGGCAACGATGCACACGTTTTCTAAACGTGTGCATCGTTGCTAAGGAGCCCTGCATGCATGGCCCTTTGAGCAGGGACATCTCCAAGAGAACAAAGATCTCCCCAACACAGCTCGTTTCCCTAGAGCCGGTCGAGCTGTCAACTCCTCTGTGATGTTCGGGAAAGACCAAAAATACGCACAAAATTGCCCCGGGCAAGCAGACAGAGGACGCCTGCTCTTCACGTGCGTGGCCCTTCGCCCACCACCCTTCACGTGCTGAAAACTCTTGCAGGAACACTGTCAACTGCTCCAACCCAACCGCGAAACGCACCTAAGAGACTGAGCGGCTTCTGCTAGCCCAGCTACGCCAGACATCACGTCCCGATGCGGTTCCGCAGTCCGTGGGCTCGGAGAGGCTCCTGTGGAGGACTTGAGGTCGCCTCGTGCTGGTGCGGGGTCGCTCACGGGCTGTCGCGGGAGCCGTTGGGCTACTGCGGCACGATATCGGAATGACGCCCGCACTTACTCCTAACACGGCGAACGACAACAACAGCAGCCACAACAAAGGCCCTGACACACTGGAGCTGCAATGCTGTTCACCTGTCCCTTCTTGATGATGATCAAAGCCTGCATATCTGGACCAGCGCCCTCTTCAAATCAAGCTCTTGAGATCAAGATCGCCGGATGTGAGCAAATGCACAGCATGCAGTCAGGATGCGTAAACCACCTTGTCTGAAAGCCTTGAGGAAGGGTTTTGGGTTTATAACGAGCCCAAGGGAGTAAAACCAGGGGAAACCACTCAGTCATCTGCGGTGATGCATCATTCTGATCGAGCCTAGTCTGAAGAAGTCGCGATGCGTCGGTTTGCATCTTGAGGAGTAAAGTGGCGTGAGGGTATCTCTCGCAGCATTGACACGATGCGAGGCACCATGGGCTTGAGTGCCTGCCTCGTGCTGCTGGCCATGCTGCCGTCCGCGCTGTGCTTGGGCAACGAACTAGCGCTCACACCGACTATGGGTTTCAACACCTGGAATGCCTTTGGCAGCGATATTAGCGAGCAGCTTATATTACAAACAGCAGGCTTCATGAGGAACATGAGTCTCGTTCAGCTGGGTTACGACCTCATCGTGCTCGACGGTATGTTTGCACCCTGATCTTGCTGCTCAACGGCATTCTTCCCGCCGACACAAACCTGACCTGCATCTATTGTGTAATTCTGTACCAGCCTCGCTCTTACGTAGATTTCCTTCATGATCATCCCTTCACCCCGTCGAAGTAAAACAGGCAGTCTGAGAGAGTCGTTTGCTTGGGCTGGGCAGATGGCTGGTCCACCAAGGAGCGTGGAATAGATGGAAAATTGCAGCCAGACCCCAAGAAGTTTCCTTCTGGCTTGAAGGAGCTTTCAAACCGCCTGGCTGGGATGGGTGAGACAGCACTGCTTACCTGAACCCACGTCCCTGCGACAGTGCACACAGCAGCAGTCCTTTCGTCCCTCAACAATGCCATGTTACTTTGCATCTTTTTATTCAGGATGGATCAAAGTAGCAGCACTGGACTTTGATGATACCACAGGGATTCATTTCCTGGGCTGCATGTGTAAGCAGAGCTGGCCTGCAGGAATCAAGCTGGGGTTGTTTGGGGATGCTGGCACGAGGACTTGCGGTGGAGCAGCTGCCAGCTATGGCCAGGAGAAGCTGGACGCTGCCACTTTTGCCAGCTGGGGCATATCATACCTCAAGTATGACAACTGTTACGCGCCGAAGAAGGACAAGTGAGTGGCCTCCCCGCTGCCAGCCCCTCACACGAGCCTGTGTTTCAGTCATTCAAGACGCTCGGCAGTCATATTGTGGGAATAAAAGCGCCCTGCTTTATTCGCAGTCTACCAGATCAGTCTGCTGTCGCCGTGCAGAGATCTCTCCTAGAGAGCGAATTTGCAAGGGGGCGCTGCATGCATTGTCCAAACAAAGTGAACGCTCATGCTGGCTGGCATGCATGCGCGCAGGGAGAGCGTGAGAGGGAGGTTTGCTGTGATGAGGGACGCCCTCAACGCGACTGGGCACCCCATCACCTACGCAATCGATGACTGGGGCGTGACAAACACCTGGACCTACGGCACCACGGTACTGTCTCAGCCTCGCCTTACTTATTCACCCTTCTATATCTGCTTGGACAGAGCATCTGGGCTGTGATGCACAACCTTGATGACATCATTTTCTGTGCATGCCTTGGACTCAGCTCCTTGCATGCACACTTCAAGCCAGCACAAGCCATTGTGGTCAGTGTATCTTAGTATGCTATCGGTTTTGCTGGGGCTCTGACTGCACATGTGCAGCCCAGTTGCATGTGCCTATCATGCTGCAGAAGGTGCTGCGATTGTGCTCCAAGTTGCCATTGTTTGGTCATTATCAAGCTGAAAAGTGCCGGGGAGCGTGCCATCATGTGACGCGGCATGTGCCGGCAGGTGGCGAACTCGTGGCGCACGACCGCTGGGCTGACAGACCAGCTGCAGGCGACGTGGGAGGGTATCCTGCGCGTGCTCGACAACAGCGCCGGCCTCGGCCGCTTCGCCGCCCCCGGTGGATGGAACAACCTGGACCTGCTGGCGGTGAGTCATCTTGGCCCCTCACTGCACCTCCAGCAGTGCTGTTAGATCACTTCAAATTTAAAACCAGTATATCATGTCAACATCTGCCTGGCATTTTCATTGTGGGTAAGTGCATGAGCACACTGACAAGAGTGTATGCAACTTCATGGATTGTCAAACACACCACTTGTCAGTTTGCTCGTACCTCTTTCATGCAATGAAAGGAGGAACCTCAAATGGTCACTGAAGAGCGAGGGCCAGGTGTGATGTGGCTGCCTGAAATTTCAGGTCGGAGAGCCGGTGAGTGAGGACCTCACAGTGGAGGAGATGCAGTCCCACTTCGCCCTATGGGCCATCGTAAAGTCACCCCTCTTCATCAGCGCTGACCTCAGGTCAGTCTTTGCTCAATTGCGCCCTAGCACAGGCACAGATTTCAAATCACTGAGATGGACTTTCAGCAGTCCAGCGCTGGCAGAATGATGAGTGGAGAAGAGTGAAGGCTGAGCAAACTTGCATGACACTGCAGGCAAATCACAAAGACTGCGCTGGACATCCTGAAGTCTGACGAGCTCATAGCGGTCAACCAGGACCCCCTGGGCGTCGCAGGAGACCTCATCTGGAAGCAGGGCGCCAATGAGGTGATGCCCCCTCATAGGCAGACATTATCAAGACACCCTGTCCTTGTACCTAACAGCCCTTTGTCGATATGAGCGAAGGTTGGGTGCGGAGGCGCGCAGGCACATTTTCACTGAATTATCGCGCACAAACCAGCCCAGCACTTCCAGTTTCAAGAGCACTGTGCTGCATGGTGACTGATGCTGTCTGTAAAGACAACGATGCAATGTTGTCACAATTATAAGTGTTATGTTTACACGCTTTTCCCGCCAACAGGCAAGGTGCATCCCCAAACAAGCTGCGCTGAAAGGCTGCCATAGTCCTACCATTTCTCGATGCAGTATGTGAGTCAATATTGAAGGGATTTGGGTCTGCACAGATTTGGGGCGCGGGATTGAGCGGTGGTGCGCGCGCGGTGGCGTTGCTGAACCGCCATTTTGATGAGGACCCGCAGTTTGACAACTCCTCCATCACCCTCCACTGGCACCACCTGGGCTGGGAGGGTGACATGGCGGTGAGTCACCCTCATAATATTCTCGTCCCTCCACTACACCTAGTTCCACCATGTGCGCGCCCTCTTGTCACATCTCAGGGCACATTCCAAAATACACATTGGCGGATTTGGCGGAAAACAAGAAGGTCTTTCATGCTCAAGATGCTTCCTCTCTTGAAAGGGGCTCAATTCCTCTGCTGCAGGCATGCGCGTAGTGCATGCTGAGATCTGCAGCGATGCTTTTTGTAAAATGGTGGATTGTGGGATGCGCGCAGGTAACTGTGAGGGACCTGTACGCCAAGAAGGACCTGGGACTTTTCACCCACAACTTCACAGCTGTCATCCCCTATCACGGAGTGCTCGCCCTCAAGCTCACACCCAGCAAGTGCGCACCTTACTCTAATAGCAACCTTTGCTGTAAATTAGATCCGCAGAGAAGGTTCATCTTGTACACCCAAATAGACGCCTTGCATACCAAAGCTAAGAATGGGAGAAGGGATGGACTGCACACACTGCAAGTCCTCCAGAGCTCACATCTGCCATGTCAGTCTTGCTGTGCCGTGAGCTCCTCATGCATGACTAGGAGTCGGCAGGTGCCGGACTGCACATTCTCTTGGTTGTCACTGCTCCAGTGCCTGGAATTCTGTGTGCATATTTAGGAAACAGCAGATACAGGACTGCATGCTGTGCTGGGTATGATTGCTCCTGCATGCAAGTGTGGGTGTGTGCTGATTCGGTGCCTGGCTGCAGGTATGTGAACAGCTTTGACCAGTGGCGGCCGTGGGACTGCGGCATCGAGACCGATGACGGCGCCCACGGCGTGTGGGCATGCTTCAGTGAGCGCCCTGTCCCTATCATCTTGCAGTTTCATCACTTCACAGTGCTTGTCCGACTGCAGATGCACCTTGCCTCTTGGCGTGAAAAGTTTGTAGCAAGGAGTATGACAATATCAGTGCATTGTGTTGAACCCAATGGCTGCAGCTTTGATCTCCTGCCAAGAACCTGTTGTCCCAAGCCCTGTATGTTTTGCGGGAGACCTGGTAGGACAGCCTTGTGAAGCCTGGCAAGCTAGAGCTGCGGTCCCTCTATTCTTCCCTATTCTTCTTGCGGTCCCTCTTCTCTGCTCTCATTTGCCAGCATGCCGCTTGTATGTGTATCTTCGCTGAACATCTCTCCTCTCTGCTGCAGGCCACACAGCGCTGGACAAGCCCATGCTGTATGGGACTCTGCCGATCACCAAGACGGTGGCGGCAGCGCTCGGAGCGGTCATTGCAGTCCTGGCTGTGGCCATCGTAGGCCTTGCAGTCGGCTGGAGGCTCTCCGTCACGCGCAACAGGAAAAGCTACAAGAAGTGGAATGAGGAGGTGCGCCTCACCCTCTATAATTGCAGCACAGCGAGTCAAGATCCGCACTCACTCGATCTGAGAGTCTCAGGATGCGCACATTGTGATAGGACTGGCATTGCAGTTTTGTGTGCTGTTGTACTTTCAGCGTCTAAGATGCTCAAGAAAAGAAGTGAAGGATTGTTCTTGAGAGCGAGGCAGGTCTTGGGTGGTGAGACTGAATGTGGTGTGTGTTTCTGCAGACTGCAGCAGCAGCTTCATCGTGAGGCATTGCTGCAATGAAGCAGGCGAAAGAGCAGAGTGCAGCCAAACGAGGACGCCAGGCCTAAGCAGGGGCACATGTGCAGTGCACTGCTGTAGTGCCATGAGTGATTCCAATCTGTGGCAACTGTACTGCATGTCAGGTATTTGCTTTTTGCATGCACACCGTATATGTGACATTTGAAGGGCGTCAATTTGTTTGCTGTCATTGTTTGGGTTTCAATGTTTACAACTTCCAAGGAAAGTCCTGGGGCTGTCTAGAATGAACGAGTGCAGCCACAAGAGGCTGCTGTCACTCCATTGGACGAGGCTATGGTAGGATCAGCTGCGTCAGTCATTGGGACAGAGCTCTTTGCAATGCATGAAATTGTCTTGCCCAGATCCATTGCAAAGGGTGTAGGATTGCAGTATTAATCCGCCTCGCTTTGTACACTGTAATTGTGCTAATACCTGAAGGCATCTCAGTGTCCGAAACAGTTTGGCCCCTGTCATGGCAATCTCTTCCCCTCTGGCCGCCCAAAACCCGTCTGCCTTGGCTGGCTCTGCTCTGGCTGGATGTCCTTCTCCTGCCATTCAGCAATGATATCCCTTAAGCCAGGGACGGATGTAGATTGAAGCAAGACCAGTATCAAGGTGCAGGTCCCCGCTACATGTGCGCATGACTTTCAATTGCTGCTAGCTGCGCAAGTGATCAGGACATGGTAGTGACAGGTGGTTGCTGAGGGCTCACGGGGCCAGAAAGGGGAGGTGTCTGTGTGTTGCTTCTGGAGGTGCGCCAGGTGTGTGCACGAGGTGCTACATCCTTTGCTGCAGGCTTGTGAAAGCAGCTAGGAGGCTCTTTCCCCTGCAGCTGTGCCCACCGCTCCTCTTCACCTCCTGCTGCATAAATTCTAGCGTTGCATCTTGTCTAGTTGAATCGAGACACCCTCGATGGTGTGCACGAGCATTCCTGATACTGTCTTCGCTACGAGGCAGCGTAAAAGCAAGCTCGCACCATAGCATAAGAGTCCAGCTCCTTGCATGCCAGCCACATCGATCAAGAATGTCATCGTTTGGAATTAAGGATATCCCGAAGAACTGCCAGTGGGGCGAACTAGCTGCTTTATAGCTTGCAAGTCGGACGCCCTTCGATTTCTACTAACAGGACAAGCACAGGTATCGATCATGAAGGGACCTATCCCAATATGTCTGTCGATTCACATCCAGCGAGTCGATCACTCCACCGAGATCATCAGTTTGACTGGTCAAAACCCTACAGGAAGCTAACGAAAGCCCTGCAAGCTCAGCCACAACTGCGAGACTGCGATTTCGTTGCCATCCCCGGAAACAGCACACCCCTGATGCTGCATAAGAACAGCAAAACATGACGTCCACTCTATTACAGGCAGGTAGTCGAGCGAGGTGCGCGGACTCCGTTTGCAGGTCAACATTTAGATCGGCCAATCGACACTCACCAAGCTTACAGATCCCTAGCACAAGTCTTTTGAAATTCAACAAGAGTCAGAAAGCTACAGAATCAAGCAGATCTGCGCATAGGATGGTCGTCAACGCAACCTCAGTGACCACAGCCCCCCCCGGTATTGCTCCATGTTGGCCCTAGCTGGATCATCGGTTCTTGGCACATTACTGGCAAATGCTGACATCATAAAGCTCATATTTATACATTCCGCCAGTCAAGTACCTCTTCATGCACAGCCATGGTGATCGAGAAACTTTCATGTGTGCATTGAGCAGTGAAGAAGGCTACTGAGGATACCAAGCGTGCTCTCCTGGGGAAGGTGGACTGCTTCATCTTCGACTGTGACGGTATGTCGTGCTGCACATGACTCACTTCCTTATCTTGTTCAAGGGCATGCGCGTGTCCTGCGCAAAGTTTTTGCTGGTCACCACTGCAGAATGACACTGTCTCCGCTGCATTCTGCAGGCGTGATCTGGAGGGGGGACTCTGTAATTGACGGCGTCCCTGAAACGCTCGATGCTCTGAGAAAATTGGTGCGAACCTCTTCTGCACCATCCCATTTTGTCACACCTCTAAAGCACTTGGCCTGAGCTGTTCAATATGCAATGTCCTTCGCAAATATAACATGCATTTAGTGATTGAAGTTAGTAAAGCTGCTGATTGAGGATGCCTGCCAATGACAGGGGAAGAAGCTGGTGTTTGTGACCAACAATTCCACCAAGTCGCGCAAGGGATACCTGGGCAAGTTCACGAGCCTGGGCCTCGATGTGAACGCGGAGGAGATCTACTCCTCCTCCTACGCGGCTGCTGCCTACCTGGAGTCCATCAACTTCCCCCAGGACAAAAAGGTCGACCTCCCTCCTCTCTAGGCCAGCCAGATCCTAGCAACCTCAGACTTTCGAGCTTCTGACCGCCCCATGCACGAGCATACTCTCATGTCACTCTGCCAGCAACCGGCCAATAATGCTAGCTGATCCACACTCTGGCAATAGAGTATCACTGCCCAGCTCTGCACTGTGGCGACCAAGCAGCAACATGCAGCTTCGAACTGTGGCAATAAGGGCAACTATCCGGCTCTGCAATGTGGCAATAAAGCATCACCACGCACCTCAGCACTGTGGCAATATAGCGTCACTACCCAGCTCTTTACTGTGGTTGCCAGTCTTGCATGCACTCTCTCTACCCCATCTGCTGATGATCCTGTAGGCCAGTGAGAGACACTGACCTTTGCAAATGTTTTGAAACCGAGGTTCATGAATGTGCAGGTGTACATAGTGGGCGAGGTGGGCATTCAGGAGGAGCTGGACCTGAAGGGCATCCGCTACTGTGGCGGGCCCGACGACGCCGACAAGAAGATTGATCTCAAGCCCGGCTACGCGCTGCCCCACGATGAGGATGTGCGCCGCTGCACCTCCCTTGAGAGCTTGCATGGACCAACTTATCACATCTGCGCGTCTCCCAGGGCGAGGAGATGAGGGCTCAAGGGCTCTCTTGCTCCCAACATGATCATGCTGAGAGAACACCAGAGCTGCCAAAACAGGCTGAATCGTCCGAGTCTCTACGCATGACAAACCATTTCCGGCAGCGGCGCACCCGAGCTCAATGTGGGTTCGATCAGGTGTGTAATAACAGTCATGACATTCTCAGCCCCAAAAGAACGGTTTTTTGAAAGTGGGTGTGCGCGCGCAGGTGGGTGCGGTGGTGGTGGGCTTTGACCGGCACCTGAACTACTACAAGATCCAGTACGCGACGTTGTGCATCAGCGAGAACCCGGGCTGCCACTTCATCGCGACTAACCTGGACGCGCGCACGCACCTTACCGACGCCCAGGAGTGGGCCGGCAACGGGGCCATGGTCGGTGCCATCAAAGGTGCTCATAATCCCTGTGGAAGATTCCCTCCAGTTGTCTAGCCCATGCGCAGCTGGCCAGCCCACAAGGCAAAATCAAATGTCGTGGGTGCCAGATGCCATGTGTCCTTCTGCAATGAATCCTTGATACCGACTTCTTGAGTACCCGATGTGGCCACTAGCTTGACCAAGCGCAAGCCGACGGTGTTGGGCACTCTGAGCAGCTGCATCTGCTAGCTAGTTAGGTCACATTGAATGCAGCCTGTCTGCATACGCACCTTGCCTTTTGGCAGGAAAAGCGTGTAAAAGGACTCACGATAGACCCAACGCCGGCGCAGGGTCGACCAAGCGCGAGCCGACGGTGGTGGGCAAGCCGGCGGAGTTCATGCTGGCCAACATCGCGACCACCTTTGGGCTGAAGCGCAGCCAGATCTGCATGGTCGGCGACCGCTTGGACACCGACATTCTGTTTGGGCAGCAGGGCGGCCTCTCCACCATGCTCGTGCTCTCAGGTGGGCCCCTGGGCCATATCCAACTACATTAGAACATGTGAATGCAGGCATGCACACAGCAATAGTGCTGTTGCTTTGCACGGCAGTGGAATTTGCGAGCAGCCGAAGATGACATCTGATGACATGCCATGGGAATGTCTGATGATTTAGACACCTACTTATGAAGAGTTAGGGGACAGCAGAATAGGGAAGCTTCGGAGCAGAGCGTCCCACCACTGTGCTTTGCCGGTGACAATAGGCGTGAGTGGGGATGAGCATGTCTGAATTTTGGTGAGCCTGTGCAGGTGTGACAACGGAGCAGGCTCTGCTGTCTCCAGAGAACACCATCCACCCAGACTGCTACACAGATCAGCTGTCAGACCTCCTAGAGGCGGCCCAGAGCGCAGCGTAGGTTGCAGGATAAGTCTTGAGAACACTGATATTGTCTACCTGTGCCATGAAATTGTGGTACAAGAGAAGGGACATAGTTGCCTCACGCTTACAGTTCTGTGAGTATTATGTCAGACCACATTCATCACTTCATTTGGGCTTAGAGTCGGTTGCAGGCCTCTGTTTTTTCACAACAAAGCAGGTCTGCTTCTAGATCTGCCCGAGGGAGTTTTCTTTAATAGCAAATTCCGCCCCTTAATGACAGACAGGCATATTATGAAGGCTTCAGCCTGCAGGTGTGTGTGAGGTGTTGGGATTTAGTAATACAGAGGATCTGTGGTGCACATTGCCACAGTGAGGTGAAGAGCGTACTGCTTTTCAGGTCTCCTGACCAAGACAAAGCAATCGGATATGTCCAAGTCACAGTGTGTCGTTAGCGTTTGAGAAAACCTCCTTGGGATTAGGTCCATAGACCTCTATAAAGATCTAGAGATAGTCTGCAGGACTGATCAGATCATGAGAGTTAGCTGACTCCATCGATACACCAATTAAGTTACAGGGGGAATTTTGATCATCGCGCTACATATCACACTCTGACATGCATGGTCTCATTCTAATTTCTTGGACTGAACATCTGTCTTGACAGAGAGATCTACTAATCTTGCAGACACCCATGAGTGCATAAGCCCATTCCAATATGTATTATGGATAGTCTTGAGCAGTCCCGTCGCATGCAGGCAGAGGCCAAATCTTCCTTGACCTTCCTTGACTACTCCTCTGCATTCTCCATCTGAGTCGGCACCCCAGTGGTGTAGGGCACCCCTGAAACATCACTGTGCATGATGCATCTGGGCAGCCTGGTATGACCAATAAGATGTCCATAGGCAGCAGCAGCCTAGAACAAATAGACAATGCCGTCCATGATGCGGGTCTTCTGGTCCTGCGCGACGCACTCGGAGATCCACATGAGGTTGCGAATCTCCTGCTCGCGCAGCCGCATGTAGGAGTAGAACACGCCGTAGTGGAACTGCTGCTCAAACGTGTCCGTCAGCCGGCGTACCTCCTCCTCGTACAGTACCTGGCACCACCCAGAAAACCATCAGCATGTGTTTGTGTTGCACATTGGGGAGTTTGCCGATGTCTGCAAGCCTGCAACCTGCCTTTCTTGATTAAGGCTCCTCAAGTGTCTGCAGCTAGGGCTGTACAGTCAGCAAACATGCTGAGTGGTTCTGGTGTGCACCAACGTGGGCGCAACGCACCGCACATGCAGCACAACAACTTCAATTTCACATCAGCGCCTGCGCCAGCCAAGGAAATGTTCCTCGGACCGACCAGCGTTCTCCAGCGCAAGAGAGCATCCAGCGCGCACCTTGTCAAGCATCTGGGATTCGCCGTAGCCGAGCTTGTTGAAGAGGGCCTGGTAAGGGGGGCACTTCTCCATGGCATTGCGGATCTGGTCAAAATCTTCCGCGCCCGCCAGCTCGTGGTGGCCGTGCGGGTAGAGCAGCCCAAAGTTGCTGTACAGCTTGCGCCGGTCATCGCGCGTCAGCTCCGTCCCAATGCTGTTCAGCGTTATGTTCAGCGCCCGCCGGTCCGCCTGCAACACAAAACCCAATCCTCAAAGTGTGTTTTTTGATATTATCTATATTAATTGTGATGTGGAAGGTACTAGGGTAACATCTGATGTACTGATGTGCAGTATAAGGAATTGGCCGTTCTGTAGCACACGTCATGCATCTTGATCCAGCAGCTGGGATGCTTCTCTCCTTGTGAATTCCTAGTCTAAGATGGTGCATTGCAAAAAAGCTGCGCAGGAACAATTCACCCAAGTCTACAAGCCATGCTCGAGGTACTGCGATGGGAGGTCTGCCCATGACGACGGTTCAAGGCAATGCAGCAAGACGAGCACAATATGCAGACCGAAAAAGTTGATCACTGCGCGCTGAAAATGGGCAAAGCTTGTCAAAGGACTGTTCCGTGGAGGCTGCGCGGACCTCGAAGGAGAGCAGGCTGCGCATGACCTCGGCGGTGGTGCCGCCAAGCTTGTTGCAGAAGGCGGCAAAGTCGTCCAGGTAGGCCTTGTACAGCGTGTTGCGCATGATCTCTATGTTCATCTCGTCCAGATCCTCTGCGCAGCGCATGCATGTAAAGCTCAGCCCCGCATCTCATGAGTAATTTCCATCCCCAATTTGCAAAGACACTCAATATGCAAGTGTGCACTTTGCCACATTTACATCTCTGCGCTACAGCTGTGGTTGAGTATTGCTGCAACGTTGAAATCAAAGGATAAATGCAGTGCTGACCATGAGTGTGGCAATGAGAGAGGCCAGCAAGGAGGCTTGCGATGCTCTGGCATGTGGAGACAAGGCAAGAGCCAAAGTCCTGGGGGTGGGCCACACCTGCAGAGAGGGACTCTGAGAAGTATGGGGCGAGGGGAGTGTCGACGAGGACCAGGCGGTAGAGCTCGCGCATGTTGGAGGCCACTGCCAGCGTGGCAATGGCATCAAACATGCCCAGCGGGTGGCACTTGTCCAACAGCTCCTGCGCAGCAGCAATGCCAGCTCAACACCACGCACGCTGACTAGCGCTGACTTTTTGCACAGTACGGAGCGGGCGTTGGCACATCCTGACGATGCAGCATGGGGACATGGTTGCTTGATTGCCTTCAATGGACACAGAAGCTCAAATCCTCAGCAATCGTCATTTGCATGCAGAAGACATGTCATCCCCTTGACTAATGCGATTGCTTCTGGGCAACCTTCCCTTGGCAATGGGGAGCGATTTGTGTGCTAATATACCAAAGAAAACAGGTGAGGCAGGGGTGCAACAGGAACGCACATGCACATCGCGCTCGTGCAGAGTTCCGGTGACAATCAGCACAACGTTGTCAATCATGTGGCCATAGGTGCAATAGTCCAAGAACTGGCCCAGGGGCTCGTCCGCCTGATACACACACAGCGCGACAGGCGTCTGAATTCGCTATATTGCGCATTTTGCACATCCTGCTGATTACTCCAGGGACTCCATAGGTAGAGTTGAAGAGGCGATGAAAATGCATGACATTCCTATCAATTCTCGCGCCCCAAACATGGACTTAAAACTGCATCAAAGTGTGCTTTTTTGGCTGAAGCGAAGGGCAAGGGCAGGAATGCAATGTACGAGCATGTGTCCGCTGCATGCTTTCACATGTGGTAGGGAAGAAGGCCCACGTTTGTCCGCATCTTGTTCCAGTCATCCACAAGTTTCTCTGTGCAGCGGTCCACGATTGTGGTAGTGTGCAGGGGTGATGGCTCGTTTGCGAGGTATGGGCCATAATCCGTGCTCGTCTGCACATCATCATCATAAATCTCAATCCTTGCTTTTACCTGTGAAACCTTGGGAAGCCATCCTCTCAGTTGGACAGGCTGTTGCATTTCCAAGTCCTCAATATGGATCAGCAAAAAGAGACTCGCTTACCAGATTCAGTTTAATATCCTCCAAAGTCTCGCATTGGCACAGATTATTGTAGTCTGGACTTGTGAGGAGCCCTGACCTGTGCCCTCGCACCACGGCATCTGCAGGCAACACACTTTCCAATCAAGGTGCACAGGAATTCAACGGATCTTGTAAGTCCGCGTTCTTCTGAATAATATGCTCTGATAGCCAGAGCACAAGGGATAGACATATGGGCGTCCAGATGTTGTAGCCCTAACAAGTCCAGGCCACAATAGCGGATGATCATGCTCACCTACATACCCATCCTTGATATTGAACCAAAGGGATTCAAGGCCGTACATGCCGACAGCTCTGATCAATGAAGCATCAAGGCTTGCTTCAAGGAATAGGTTGTCTCGATAGGTTTACTTCACAGTGCTTTCGAGATTTGTATGATCTGTGGGGACTTTGACGAGTAGATCTGGATTGAGAAAGTCCAAAATGCTCCACTGCTGTTCTTGAATGCAAGAGATTGCTCGAGCTCGACAGGAAAAGCTGGTCGCTTTCACTGATGACAGGAAAGGACTGACGAGGAGTCCTCTTCGAGTGCTGAACTTGCGAAAGATGCCAGGGCAGGGAACCTCTTCAATCAAGTGAGGATCTAGTGGTGATTGAGGGCCAGACTACTGTCTGTCTCCCATGCACAGAATGAGGGCAAGAGAGGAAGTCTTAGCAGGAACGCCTCAGGAGCGCGCGCGGGACCTTCACGAGAGTGTGGAGCAACTACATGAATGGAGAGCATCATGCTGTAATAGTGCCATTCATTGCGACCCTCGGCAGAATTTTCAAGGAACACGATGGGTGGTGGCAATGTTCACGTCGTGGAGACCGAGCTGGAGTGGAACCAGAAGCTGAAAGAGGCTGGGAGCAAGCCGGTGAGCAAGATGTGTCAAGTACCCCATTCATCGTTGCACCTACAGAACCTCAAGAATTCATCTATTAGAATTTCAATCTTCCAGCATGTGTATGGAAGAATAAGCTTGGCCAACCGGTTTTTGTCAGTGCTGTTGACTTCCCGGATTGACACGAGTTTTTGTTGTTCCAATTGGAAGTGTGACCCTCGACGCCTTTTCAATGGATGCAGGTTATCGTGGACTTCACTGCCACATGGTGCGGCCCCTGCAGAATTATCGCGCCTGTTTTTGAGCAACTCAGCACAAAGTATCCATCAGTCGTCTTCCTGAAGGTGGATGTCGACAAGAACGAGGTGACAGCCAGATTCTACATCCCAACCTCAGAGTTATGTCAACATGATTTTTTGTCATTGCATTCCAGGGCCCGAGAGGTCCCAGAATGCACTCATTTTTATGTACATGAAAGACAGCTGCGGATGGCGGAAGCTGTGGGCTGGCAATCATATGTTGTGTGTGGAAGGAGAACCACCTTTACTGCGTTGCACTGAAGTCATTGTGATCTGCTCGCAGGCTGTAGCTGCAGCATGCGGAATCAGCGCTATGCCCACCTTCCAGGTAGGACGCCAAATTCATCAGGAGGCTGCATCAGCCGTGCAAGGTTAACTGGATTTGACAGGAAGGATGTAAATGTATTTGTAACTTTGTTTTTACCATGTCCCTTCATTTTGCCTGACCTTACAAATGCTCCAACATTGATATGCCAGCGCAGAGATTTGGGATTTAGTGCAGCACCCAAGTAACGCTGGTGTCTTTTGTTCCCTTCAGGTGTTCAAGGACGGCAAGAAGATCCATGAGATGGTTGGAGCTTCAGCGGACAACCTTGAACAGCTTGTTGAGCAGTTGTCAAAGAGCTAGACTGGCACGGATTGCCCCAGCAACCGCCCAAGTTGGTGGTGTTGACATCAGTAGGAGTAAAGTAGTTCATTTCTAGATGTACCTTCGCAACTGTTGAGCTGTCATTGTTTTCTGGCTGCTGATGCATTAGGTTGTGCATGGCCTTCCATGTTTGCTGCACTTCAGGGCATGCTCCCTGCAACCTTTGCTTACAAAGCCTCGAGTGTCTCTGCTCACAGGCATCCGGATCCATCCATTCTTTGAGTTGCACCGTCACTGCTTCGGTTGGGAGCATCACAAATTATGATGCTCTGGGTTGTAGGAAATAAAACACTTTGTTAAGAGTAAGTGCCGGTGACGATTGCAATGTGCAGCTTTGGAAAGGAGCTCCCTCTTGAGAAAGGATGTCAACCATCTACTTTGTTGCAACTCACATCGCATGCGCGACATTCCTTGATCATTCACTGGGTAGAAGTGGCAGCGTGCAGCTCAGCAAAGGAACAGTCCTTGATCCTGGCCATCACATGGATGAGATGTTCCCACGCTCTCCAGCTTGGATATTACAATTTTCTGATGTGGTCAAACATGTCCGACTGTCTTTCTTAATTGCTTACCACTCTGCTGCCAAAGTGCAAGAGCGCTTCTCAAAATTAATGAGCCATGGCACACTTCAAATTATAACATGATAATCATGGCCAACCCCCGAAAACTTAGTTCATCATAAAAACCCTCAGAACCAGCTCATCAGGAGGCCGCCACAACCATCAGGCCTGGGCCACAAGGCCTAGACCACAAAGACAAACCAAAAGACTTCCCATCTCTTGTGCAAAGCCTTAAAACAATGGTCGAGCGCTCCTCTCAAAGATTTGCAGTACTATTTTATGCTCCAAGTCAACAGCACTCGACAAATTTGGGCAATGGAGAAATCAGACGATGGGCAAAACAAGTGCTGGAGATTGCAAACTATGGCACACTCGATTTTCTGGTAGACAACTCGGCAAACAAGATTTCTTGCAGGTCCGTGAAAGCTGCAACACATGAAGAAGTGGCTGCAGCGCTCGCAGAGTTTTGCCACCCCTTCTCACAAACCACGCTAGGGTGCAGGGGATGGTGCAATTGGCATCATGAGCCCGAGGAAGCTGTGCGAGACCATGCCGCATTGTGAACTGAGTTCTACTTGGCGCTGGTCAGCTGAGTCTCTGCATGCTTGCCGTTGGTGGCGTGCGCATCACCATTCAGGGGCGCAGCTGCACACAGACACAAGACCCACTACAGCAATTAGACCTGATCATAGCACAGGATGCACACATTGATCCCACAAGACAACTTCTCTGTACAAATAAGATACTCATAATCTGCCATGATCTGCCCAGCTGAAAAATTTAAGCTGCTTCCAGTGGCATTCAAGGAACTTGATCTTCCTCAACATGTGTATTCCTCTCCCAAACCTCCTGAACCCCACCCAGCTTCTGATTAAACGTTTATGTACTGATGGCCAAAAGAAAAAAGAAAAGGTGGCCGGGATGCGAACCTGGGACCTTGGCGTCTGGCGACGGGGGAGTTCCCGGGGCGGTGACTCCCTCCTTAGGCGCCAGAGCGGGCAGAGTGGCACCCTGCCTGCCTGGGCGCTTCTTCATGGCGCTCAGCAGAGTTCCCCTGGCGGCGCGCGCGCTCAGCACAATGATGATCTCCAACCAGTAGCCAAAGTAGGCAAACAGCCAGATCGCAGTGCCCGAGTCCTGCGCGCCAGGACAGCCCCCGTTTGAGTCCCAGACATACAACAAATTGTTTTTGCTTGGTTTTGCTTCTTGCACCGGCCAATGAACAACTGATGCCATGCATGCTTGCGACAGATGCATAGCAGCAGGTACTCCAGTCTCATGAGCACTCAATGCCTCTCCTGAATGCCGCTCACATCGCATCCTTCTAGTAGGACTTCACAGGTGAAGAGACTCGATTCTAGTTTACTGCCACAGGAAGGCAAAAGAGTGCTGAGAGGTGCAGGTGCTCTGAGATTGGAAAGGCAGCTCACAGTGTAGCCGAAGAGGGCGGAGACGAGGCCGAAGAACTTGTTCTTGGTGACGTCCATGCTGCAGCAGCGGCTCCAGTCCCACAGCTGCCTGTTCTGCCACGGCCGCGCGCTGTTGGGGTAGCCGTAGTAACCGAACCAGCCCACAAACTGGAAGTATGTGAAGCCGCGCGCAGTCAGGCCTGTAGCGACCACACAGTCCATCTTGAGTGACAGCAACAGTGAAAGCACCAGCGTGACCCAACAGCAAGGGTCATGGGCCGCCACATACAGCAAATTGAGGCAACGTCAGCCTCTCCAAAACCAGGGGGGGGTCGTAAAACTTGCTCAAGACCAATATCACGACAGTGGCACATTCCAAGGGGCAACAAGCTGAGCTAAAACTTGTTGAAATAAGGTCCAAAGCTATGGTGAGCTGTGTGTCGGGCACCTGCTGCAATGAAGAGCAGCAGGACGCTCATGATGACCAGGAACCAGCCAATGTTACTGATGGATTTGCCCCTGCGCCACACAGCACACCAGAAAGTCCCGTCAGCATTTCTGCACTTTCTGCGCTGAAACATAAGCTTCTGTTCATCAGCCAAATTCCTGCAGCAGGCAGCCCTGCCTACCGCCACACCCACAGCTAGAGTCCAGCCTCGCGAATATCCTTGAGATTGCGGATGACAACTAGCAACCAGAGCTTGAGGGACAGGCATTGCATGTGAGATGACTGTAGGGCCTACAGTGTAGGCTCAGCCATCTATGGTCAGGGAGGGAACACACGTGTAGTAGAGGATAACTCCAACGATGACACCAAGGATGATGCCCACAATGCCGGCCAGGGGAATTGAGCGCGGATCGACGCCGGCAGTGACTCCACACAAGAACACCACAGACTCCAGCCCCTCTCGCAGCGTGTTGGAAAAGGCCATCAGGAAGATCTGCCACCAGCCCTGCGTCCTGCCTCCCTTCGTCTGCGCAGAGCAAAACACACCCCACTCAGGCAACCACCCCCTTGGTTTTGGTCCCCCGACTTGCGCGCAATATTGCCCCTTTTTTGCCTCTAGCCCATGTCCCGGGCCTCAGTGCGCTGCATGCAGTGCTGTGCCTCTGTCCTCCCTAATACCGTGCACAGCTTAACAGATGACAAGTTGCATTGTTGAGTAAGGTAATTTTGTGGCATTGTGGGGGGCTGTGAAGTAGGAAAAAACCTGTGCTTGGGAGGCGTTCTCCAGCTTTGCTCGCCACTTCTCCTCGTAGCCCTTGTACTTTAGCATCATCATGGCCAGTAGGGTGATGAGAGCAGAAGCGATGAGCATCAGGAAGGCCTCAAAGATTGACCTCCCTGAGCCCTTGAAGACCTGCTGCTGGGCCACGTAGAACAAACAGATGAAGATTATTCCGATCACGATCGCCAACCCAATGCCAGCGATCGCTCCCGCCCAGACTGCACGCCACGAAACCTGTCAGGGTCCTTCGAAATGCCATTAGTACTGACTCATATATGGTATTGGAGTTGCAACAACTCTCCAGGTCCTGCACGGGAGTCCCGTCCATCCAAGAATTAGATGCAACATTAGTGCAACAGCACGTATGCGATGTTGCCGGTAAACGTACCCCATTTCTTCAATTTGTGCAGCCCGAGCTTTGAGCACAGCTGCAGCATCACAGAGATGATGACCGCCGCCTCCAGCGTCTCTCTGAACAGTATGAACATCGCGGCAATGGAGAATATGTCGTTCATTGTGGCGATTTGGAAGGATGCAGCTCTGACAAATCCTAGTATCGACCGAGAACGGTGGGCAGGCACCGGCTACTGCTCGAGGAAGAGTCTCGTTCGGCACGAATTAGGACAGACAGCGACAGCACATTGTGAGGACTATCAGCCCCGCGATCGCAAGTACAGGAGACGCCAGTGTCCGCAAGGAGTACCTTGAGGATGGGGTGCAATGCCCATCTGAAAGTGTGCAAACCTCGTGCTACGGCCCTCGGTTCGGAGCACGCGGAGCACGACCGCAACGACCGCTTGTGACGTCAGGATATTTAGAATTCATCTGGTCCCTTCAAGAGGAGACGTGTGTCTCTCTAATGGTGCTGCCATTCGGACCATGCAACAGTTCATGTGGCAGTTAGATATTGTCAGTGTTGCACACTTTGTCATGGATTGTTTTGATCACTTGGATGCTGTCAGTACATCCAATCAGCCCTGGGCGGCTGGAGTTGATGTGTAATTTCCTTCCTTCCTTCCTTCCTAATGCAATGGTTTGCCCAATGTGGAGCTTGCTGCCAAACATCTGGAGCTGTGTGGTTTTAGGGGGTGTCTTGAAGCAGATAATTATGTGCACACATTGCTGTGGAAACGTGAGCGCTCAGCATTTTTTTTTAGTAATGCAAAGCGCATCTCTAATTCAATGAGATGCTTGCTCAACTTGCCAAGTGGAGACGGTGTCAGGTCTCCACAAATCAGACCATTCCAAGCCAAACGTATTGTATCAATTATATCACAAGCTCAGTGGCCCTTAGGCACAAAGGGACATGCACATTAGTGTCCCAGCCTTAAATCTTATTGTGTCAGCAACCATAAGTCCGTCAAATCTGCACTTCGTTCATGAAGCGTGTTTGTGTCTCTCTAGCTAGCTCCGGCATCAGTCATGTCAGTCTGGTCAATTGCCCCCGCTACCTCCCTCAGAATTAGGGGCTCACGCTCTCACTCCTGAAAAAAACAACTCTCAGGAATACTTCCTGCAGTTCCCTGCAGCTGAGGTTCGAAAGTCAAATTGCCTTTTCATCTGAACCCCATCTAAGCCACGGCCACAGGCGTCAGTATAGACTTGGAGGCACATTCCCTTGAACACTGCCTTTTTCGTCATACATCTAGCGCAGCCAAAAGGATACACCCATGTGAGCCGTCATATTGGGATCAGGTCCACCCGCCTGTGGCGTTTCATGAAATCAATGGCAAAATCTCCCAAAGAAATAATTAGTCTACATCGTGGGGCTGCCTCTCAATGGGGCCAAACCCCATTCAAGCCGCGCATTTCGCCGGCCGGCAATGGTAGCTCGATGGAGAGGAAATTGTCCCGACAGTACAAATGCGCATGCAACGGCGAGCGCGTCAGGTGATGTGCAAGATAGCAGTACACACAACCGGCACTCGCCACCCGACACATGCACACAAAAATTCTAGCTAATGATGCAGTGAACACCAGCTTGCCAGCAGCAGCTGTTCACGAAAGCCACTGACCCTTTTTCCGGCAAGGACAATGTGCTAAAGTGAGAGCCTCTGGATGAGCCCTTAAGCAGCGCAGCCCTGGACGGGCAAAATCTGGGATTCCTCACCAGTGCTTCAGTGGTACCACTTGCAGGAGCCCTGCGCGGCCCAGCCCTGGACGGGCAGAGCTGCTAGCAACACACAGCTGCTGCAGCTCAATGTCTGAGGCAGTAGCTACACTGAAAATCCCTCAAGAGCTATCACTCCCACAACATTTTCATGCCGTGCTTCAGTGGTAGCCGTTGGAGTTGCCGGCCTCGGGATCAAATGCGGCGTCGACAAGTCTCGCCCGCGCCTCGGCCGGGTTGGCCGCCGCGCGCCGCCTCGCCTTGCGCCGTTTGAGTAGCACGATCGGCAGCACTACCAACAATGCTAAGCCCACCAGCACCGCGAGTGTGACGCCCGCCTTTGCCCCATTCGACAGGCCCTTGCTCACCGGCACGTACCTGCAATTCAAGCAGATTCATTATCAAAAATTGCTGAAATGCAAGTGCATGCTCTCAACCTGTCATGGTGTGCTTACAAATGCACAGTGGGGGGGGGGCCGGTGGTAATAGCATCCCAGTAATTCTCATCTTCAAATTTCATCATGTCAGGAGCAGCAATTTGATGGGAGATACAGCATTATGATGCCAGCAGGCTTGAAAGCAGTCATTTCAGAGCAGTGGAATTGTGTTGAGCGACAACATATAGAAGGACTGAGGGGCTCACGTATTCTCCAGCAGCTGCGTCTTCATGATGCAGCCCTCGTCAGAGTGCGGCAGAATGTGGCAGTGCAGCAGCGCATAGCCCGTCCCTGCACATCCCCAGTGCATTCACATCACAGGCCTGCTCTCAATATCATCCAATACAGACGCACCGACAGTATCCTGATCTGTACAAAAGCTGCTTGGCTCTTGTGCAGAAACAAAGAAAATAAGGTGCAGAATCATGAAATGCTGCGGTGAGGTCAATAGGGAAAGAAAGGAGCACCTGTGATCTCGACTGGGCCCGGGATCCAGCGCACAGTGGCGTTCTTCATGCCACTGCTGGGCAGCAGCAGGGTGTCCACATAGTCCCCCACCTGCGCACAACCAGCCACTAAACTCTCAGCAACAGCCGCTCATGCATCAGAACCATCGCAAGGATATACGAGGTACTGCCTTTTCATGGATCTCAGGACAGACACTGCCAGTGTCCGCTACGCTGCACACACAAGATTGGCACTTCCTGTGTTTCTTGCTTAAGGCATCTTTACCAGCTTCTCCATTAAAGTTTCCTTCATCTTAGTTCAACCGGGCCAGATGCGTAGCTGCTGTGAAGGAATGCAGATGCCCAGCCTTTGGAGCAGGCAGCTGCAATACTTACTAACATGGTTGTGTCATTGTGTACACTGTCAACAGCACTCACTCTCCAGAGGCTGTTGAAGGCGTCGGTGTCGTTGGGCAGTGAGACAATCTGGTAAGGCTGGATGTGGTGGTGGTAGGGGTGCTGGTCGATGTTGTCCACCTCCAGCTGGGTCACCTCGCCCAGCACCTCCTGCAGGGGCTGCGCCTCGTTGTAGACCAGGGAGTTGATCAGGCAGTTGCCCGACGCCGGCCCCGTCGGGTCCTTGTTCGTGAAATTGACCAGACCCGAGTAAGTTATGGAGGTCACGCCGTCGGTCGTGGGCCCCACATTCCTGCGCGCATCAGGCGCTCTTAGCATATCTCTCTAGCGTTGCCGGTGAGGGCATGCTTGGCATGGCGGGCTTTCAAGGTAAACTATAGATTCCTAATTAGATTGTGCAGTGTGGTGCAGGTGCATGGAACAACACACAGCACACATGCTCTTCATAATTGGAGCAGCTTCCCAGCTCCCAATACGTTGAGGAGAAGGGTAGGAGGCACGTGTGTGGGCAATACCTGAGGTCGGAGAGGTAGGGAGGGAAGCGGGGCTGGCAGTTGGGGGCGCCAAAGGGGGCCTCCGGGTACACCTTGTAACCGCCCTCTGGGCTCTGTCGCCACAACACTCTCACATCAGCACGATATAAGCAATAATGCCACAATTGGGGCCACCATTAACATGATCGGTCACCAACACGTCGTATCCTCACAGCACACGCCAACCCAATGCTCAGGCTGCCGCAGTCATATCCTTATCCCTGACAGAAGTTTAGGGACAAAGAAAATCTGCACAGAAGGAAAAATAGCAAAGGGGCAGCAGGAAGGAAGGGGCATTTGCAAAAAGGGGGACTTACCACGACGAGGGTGGCCAGGTTGTCCTGTGTGAGCAGCTCGCAGTGGGAAGATCCGCAGCCGAGGTCGTTGCCGAGCGGCCCAGCACCAGTCCTCAGGCTGTACTCGCCGGCCTCACACACCACCATCACATCCACCCTGCACACACCATGCTTGCACATCGCATTTGATTTTGGACCAGCCAATCCCTTGGCATGTTCAGTGCTGATCTTTCTTGGGCACATGTGTTTGAAGCCTGAGAAGATGGCAAGTCCCCAAATGTGCGAGCAAAATCAGTTGAATACGAAAACATTAGCTGAGAGAAAATTACAGCAGGGGCATCTGGCATTTTCGGGATGTCGCTGGTCATGCTGTTGTGCATAAGAGCTCGCCCTTCCTTCCATGCACGAGCGCAGCAAGAGAGCTCTGATCCTAGGGTTCCAATACTAGAAGTTGCGATTCTGAAGGGAATGGCGTCTCAGTCTGGAAACATCCCACTGATTTGGGATGTACCAACCAGCTTACAGATCTTTTGCTAGGTGCAGATTTCCAAGAGAGTGCGGAAATGCACACACCTGTTGGCAGCTGACATGACGATGTGATCAGTGATGCGGGGGAAGTCACGGAGGAAGTTGCCGTCGCGCGCGTAAATCCCCAAGTGGCAGCCGCTCTGATTGAACGACAAATCCATCCATTTCATTGTGGCACCGTTCACCATGCGCCACCTGTACGCCTGCCCCGCCTGAACAGGCACCCAGTCACTTTGTCAGCAGCAACCTTCCTGAAAAACAGGATTTGCAACGACAATATGATCGTCAGCTGAGGGAGATCGCTCCTAACTGCTGGAAGAGGTAACAAGATGTCAGGCCTTTTGGGTTCCCAACACCAACCTCCCCTCCTCAGTGGCCTATAAGTGACTTGGTCACAGTGGTTATGACATACCTGCTTGTCTCATTAACACATTCATCTCACATCTGTCACCAGTAAACACCAAGCATTAATGTGGAGCCAACAAAGGCGGCTCACCTTCATATTGATAATGGGCGAGAAGACGCCATTAATGACAGTGAATTGCGCATTCTGACCGCTGGTGTAGAACGCCTCCTTAGTTACCGTGGGCTCCCAGTCGTCGCCGGTGCTGTTCTCGCCGCCTGCACCCGCCCACAATCCAGTCCCTGCCCCAAAAGCATTTTATCATCAGTGCCTTGTGCATAACAATATGACCCGCTGCAGCTTTCTCACGCATCTGCCATGTTTGCCCACATGACCCAATAGCTACTAGAGCCCCTCCTACAATTCAGTAGCATGCCGATTTCTACACGCACTGAAGATCCCACCCCTTGATATACCCCTAAAAACACGCAGATGATGATTGGAGTTGAACGGTGGCCCTGACGCAATGCGTCCATCAGCATGGAGGCTAAGAAGACAAAGGGGGAGCATGTTTACAATGATGGCTTCTTTTTACCTCGTCAGCACCAAAGCCTTACAAGATGTCTGTACACCAGGAAAATCACCAAAAAGCGCAAGAGACAATAGGAGCGGCGCACCATCCTCTTGCTTGTCAGGACCGCTACAGCAGAAGGGGTCCTGCGGCACCGACTTGACGGCCACCGCTATGTATCCGTCGTCAGTGGGGCCCGGTGAAGGGTCCGGCAGGCCTGTGTCGTTGCCATTGATGTTCATCATGAATGTCTGCGCGCACCACACAAGTACATGACAAATGCTGGATGATCTTGGGCGATTCAGCATCGGTGACATCCCTTCCAATTGTACAGAATAGCTGCATGGCTTGAGCTTGAGACTTCTGTCTGGGGTTCAGCCAGAGAGTTCCCATGGGAACCGGCAGATTAACACAAATATTTGCGCGACAGAAAGGCTTCTGCCCAGGAAACTTGCATTTCAGCCCTCCCGCCGCCTTCTTTGGATATCATTTTGGCCTCACAGCAACGACTTTTCCTGTGAGTGCATGGACATGAGAAGAACCTGCGCGGCAAAGAGCAGACCTGCATGTGCATGATGACCTCGTTCTCCGGTGCGAAGAGCGGCCGGAAGCGCTCGCAGGAGGGCGTCGCCAGAAAGTCAAAGCCGGTGGCCGGATTTTGGTCGACCACCAGAGGCACGCTGGCCGACTGCGTCTGCAGCGAGCCGGAGCCGTGGTGGTGCGGGTGCATCCTGCACACGTCATGAACGCCTCAGCGCAAGTATAGCGAGTCCAGAATGGCTGTCAGAACTGCACAAGAGACAGCTACTGATTGTGATAGGTGTGTGTGAGAGCCAAGCTCTCTATGCATGTGTGTGGGTTTCAGAAGATGCATGCATGATAAGGCACCCCTGACAGCCATTTCAATGCGGCAGAACACTCACTCAGATTAGCAGAGAAGAAATCGACTGCTTTGACATGCAGCCAAATGTCCTGAAGCAAGCTTAACGTGGATGAAAGTATAGCGAGTCCAGAATGGCTGTCAGAACTGCACAAGAGACAGCTACTGATTGTGATAGGTGTGTGTGAGAGCCAAGCTCTCTATGCATGTGTGTGGGTTTCAGAAGATGCATGCATGATAAGGCACCCCTGACAGCCATTTCAATGCGGCAGAACACTCACTCAGATTAGCAGAGAAGAAATCGACTGCTTTGACATGCAGCCAAATGTCCTGAAGCAAGCTTAACGTGGATGAAAAGCCTGAAAGGGGTTGACTGGACAGGTGAAACCTCACCAGAAGGTGCCGGGCGAATGCACGGCTGGAATGTCATACTCGTACTCGACGCATTCACCCGGGTTGATATCTGCGAAGATGTTGTCGCCTCTGAAGCAGGTAGTGCCGTCTGCTGGTGGTGGACTGCACGGCGCGCCATCGGTGCCTGGCCGTCCATAGTGGCCGTGGAAATGGTGTCCCAAGATGTTGGGGTCCTTGAATGACTGTCCTCCCTGCATTGTCAGACACAGCGTTGCCTCCCTTAGTGCCTCGGTGGTTGAGTGCTGTAGTTTCAAGGAACTAAGGGCATGGATGGGTGCACAAAGGGTGTCACAAAGGCCCACGTATTGAATGCTGCATGCTAGGAAAATGGCCGGGTTGGGCTTCCAGCAGGCATCAGGTAAGCAAGGTGCACTCCGGTGAATGAGGGGTGTCATTTGGGGTGTCAAATGCATGCATGCGGGATTAGTAAACAGGCAGGCAAGGGACAGTTGACATACCTCGAGTGGGAATGCGGAGACGCCAAAGTTGAAGGAGGAATTGATGGTCTCGGCTGCGGCCGGCAGCGCGTTGCACACCCTTGTGCGAAGCACAGAGTCTGCACAGCAGGGCTTGTTTTTAGATGGTCTCGCAATCCCATGCATTTCCATTGACAGCCAAGAATGGATAGTGCTTGCTGTTACTCAGAAACTGAGACATTTTGACTAAGTTTGTCACTCAGCAGCAGGAGGTTAGAGCATACCCTGTTTCACACGGACAACTCCAGCGACCAGCTGTTCGTTGTACACTCTGCCAGTGTACAGAATGAAGGGGTCTGCATCGGATGTGTTGTCCCCAGGCCCCTGCGGCCATGCTTATACGTCTGAGAACAGCTCTCAAAGGGCTCAGAACCCAAACTGCTGCAAAGTGACGGGCGACAGATGAACAATGCATTGCATTCGATGCAATCACTCACCGTGATCCTTGCTGCGCCCATTGTCAATGTAAATCTGTTCTCCAGCACAGCGAGCTTTGGGAGCTCAACGCGTGCAGGGATGTTCACGACAGGGATGCTCGCCCCGAGAGCTGCAGAGGGCGCCATGGCCACGGATGGCGCCTGTGCTGGAGACTGAGCATGGACGATCGCTAACAGAAAAAGGATCGCACTTGAAAGGACTGATACAGACATCGACCCCATCAGAAGACAGTCCGTCCGATGTAAACCGGCCACTCAAGGTTCCCGACTCGAGCAGGCCTCGCGCTCACAGGCAACACAAACCCATCCCGCACAGCGTTTGAGAGGAAACGTACCAGAATTGACCTAACAGCGCTATCCCCGCACGTCGCAGGCAGAGGCTCAAAAGCTCGCGCTTGGAGCGTGGAAAGCATGCGCTGGTGATGTCATCGTGGCGTCTAGTACTTTGGGCTTCATGTCGCGGCCCGTATTAGGATCCGGCCTCCTTCGTCTCGTGACGGTGACCTCGCTCCAGGAACACACATGATGCGTGGGGTGTCCAGTGTCGCATAAATAATTTCAAGAATGTTTTTGTTGCTCGTGTGCGCCCTGGCGGGCATCGCCGGTGGGTTGGCATACGAGCAAGGGAATGTTGGTGCCCTCCCGCAGACCTGCAAGACCCGTTTGGATCGGATATACGAGACGTACTACTCCATCGATGTGTTACCGGGCACCTTAAATTGCACTAGCGTCCTGATGGACAACCTGGACAACACGAGTGGGGTGGACTGCAGCACGCCTGAAGAAATTAGAGCATGCTTTTATGTGAGCCCTATCCCTGCCTGCAGCCACTGAGCAACTTCACTTGTTCATACTGCCTTGTGGGCTTGTTGAATTGTCCTTACACGGTTGCAAACCCTTAGGCCTGGGCTGCCCACTCTGAGTATTGCAGTGCCCAGGACCTGCCCCTCTCAATGCCTCCCCTAAGTCTTGATAGTCAGTGAGCCTTGCCATTCCCATAGGTGGCCAATGTCAGCCTGACACTGTCAAGTGCGGCATCACACTCCTAGAGCAGACTAAGGACAGCCCTGCGCATGCTGTGCAGTATGCCTACAAGCCATGGACCAGCTTTGTGCGGGACTGCGAGCTGTTCTCCCTGGCACCCACCTGCACACCTGGGAGCCCCTGCAGCAAACCAGTCTCTGACAGCCCCTGGTGGCTGCGCTCGCTGAACCTGCTGTGGCGACCAGCCAGCTATGAGTACGGCACCGGTGTTGTGCCCAACAAGGGCGACGGCTGGCAGTACTATGCTGATGAGGGCGAGGTGAGTCACTATTCCCCTCCAAGCGCTGCTATGAAGCATGAATTGATGACCCATCTTTGAACAGCACAGGCCCTTTAACAGTTCAGCACTTGTTTGAAACGGGTGTTGTCCTTCTCAGCAAATTTTGCCATCTTATATCAATGCACTGCCCAGGCATTGAGGTTCCTTAATCTATTGGTGTGCGCATGAATGTAGCAAGAAGTAATTTTGAGGGTGCCGGGGTGATGCAGGGCACAAGGAGGAGGTACAGGCGGCTATTTGCTGAGGGGGAGGGTGGCGCGAGCGGTGCCAGCGCTGGCTGCTTCCCAGACTTTTACACTCCACAGGACTTTGAGGACTGGCTGCAGGGCAGCTTCCAAGGTGAGCCACTGACCCACTTCAGCATGATGGCCTTTCTGTTCCTGTCATTACCAATCTCGCTATTATATTACAACTCTTATTACCAACACTACGGTACTGTTACAACACATATTGTCTGTGTTCTGTGCGCAGACCCAGTGTACACCAACCAGGGATCCAGCCCAGTTCCCATCATCATCTGGATTGTGCACAGCGCGGCAATTCTCTCAATGGCTGCGTTCTAGGAATGGTGTCTTGACCGCTGCGGATTGCGCGGTGACATCAGACTTCTTATACTCTAGGTGACAGGACAAGGACCCACATTGAGGGATTGCACTGAAGTATTGCCCTGCTCAGGGTGCAGGTTGAAAATGATGGCAAATTGCTTGAGGTCATGCAACCTCTGCCTGGGTTGAATTTTGTTAGCTTCCCCAAAGTTGGAGTGAGTGAGGGGTAGAGATGCAGAGTATGTACTGCAAGGAAGCAAACAAACTTGCCTGCCTTCATTAATTTAGAGCTATGCACATTTTGCTATCACATGATGTTCCCTGCAGAGCGCTCCAAGATGCAATTGGTAGACATTGTAAAAGAGTTGGTAAGATCATTTCTGACAGACTGGCAATGTATGCAGGCTCACAAGACTTTAAACTCTCACTGTCCCCGCACATAGGCGCTCTCATGATCACGCCACGCACACGCCAACTTGCACACTAATCCTAGAGAAAGACATATGCACACTAAATTCAATAGCTTTTCATGCTGGTTTATAGTGTTTCAACACCTTGCCTGCCTACTGGACTGCACGTTTCCACTGTCTGGAGCCTCATTATTGTATCAGCAGCACTACCACAGCTTTCCTTGCATTGCAAATGGAGGGGAATACCCAAAGCATTCATTCAAAATTGCTATTCTTTGTCTGCATGATTAAGCAGGAAGGATCAAAGCTGGTGATTCAGGGCCCATTCGGAAAGATGCGCAGCGCATCAAATCCCCCTCCTAGGACATCGTAGTAGCAGGGGTAAGGACGCGTGCTCTTGGATTGCAACACTCCAGAAGAACTGGTCTGGATCGACTGTCCACCTGCATGGACAGAAAGAAAGTTCTCATGACTGAAAAACTGTCTATGCAAATACAATTTAACAATCTCAGCCTCACAATTGACGCATCTGCCTGTCCCCATGCACTGGCTACCTAGCAGAACTTCTGAGACACCAATCTTGTCGTAAGGGACTACCATGCGCCAGCTTTTGCTGGAAACGTCCTTGCGTCGCTGCCTCTACTGTTTCAAAAATTATGCACTCTTCTCAGGCCCGTCAGGCATCCAGAAAAGCACCACATGTCACCAAGATGGGACACAAGGGGAAGAAGGGATGTGTCTACTCACCGCTGGAGGAACTGCTGGAGAGGGACTGCTGCAGGCGGCGCTTGCCAAAACCCCCAAACCCATCCGTGAAGCCGGGGGTGTTGAAGAGGTCTGGCACAGGGCTGTTGGTCCCGAGGTTCTGCTGCTGCAGGCCCGGGCCGGATACTGCATTCGCGACCTGCGTGCCGGTCCCGCTCGCGCCGGCAAACTGGGGGCCGGAGCCCACGCGGCTGACGATGTTAGGGGAGGGGCCTGCGCAGCAGTGATCCATCTTTCAAGCAGGGAAAATAAGGAATCCCACGAAAAGAAAGATTGCACAATAAGAGGCATGAAAGCGCGCTGCATGTTGCCATGCCAGTCATCTCAGGCGCGCGCTGCAAATTTGGAGCTTTACAATTGGAACAGAACAAGCAGACTGATTGAATTTGTGTTCCAATTAGACCTGACAGCAATGCCAACCAGGTGATGCTCAATCAGATGATGCTGGCCACAAGTCACTCGAAGGTGGTGCAGCATGGGAGGAAGCCTCACTGGCAAAGAAGAGCGGAGGAGGGGGCTGCAGTGTGGGAATCTCCGTTACAGGAGGCGAGACTGCAGCGCCGCCACCAGCAGCGGCGAAGATGGGGGAGGGAGGTGGCAGGCTTGGAGGAGGTGACAGCGGTGGAGAGGGAACGCGCGTGACTGCCGCTGCCAGCGGCAACAGCCCGGCAGCTGCCCGCCTCTGCGCCAGCTGGATGCCACCTGCTTTTGCATCATTACACCCGCTCAGATGCAAGTTCAAGCACGCCATGTGTGGTGGCCAAAAAGAAGGTCAGCTGGTTTCCAAAATAATCCCTGCGCTTTGCACCCTGCCACCATACCTGCTCAGATTTGAGACAGTCTCAGCCATGAAAGTCTAGTTGGGCACCGTTCTGTTAACAAAGAGGAGCGCAGATTGTGTCGTGTTAGGTGGAGCATTGGTACTGAAGGAAGGTTGCTAGGGACCAACCTGCTGGGCAGGTGAAGTTGCCGGTGACTCGCAGGCCGCAGCTCCACAGAGGGTCAATTGTGGGAACATCAACGTAGTCTGTCTGCTGGCAGGGCGAGCCAAACAGGAATGGTGTCTGCGCACATCACCCAGCCAATCCTCAGATCAAACATCCGGTGCCAATGTTGCCATTAGTTGCTTACATGCCTCTGTGTGAACAGTGGATGAACAGGGCATTTCACAGATACTCTCTTGAGTGCACACATGCATCTGCCCGGAACGATTGTCAGCAAGCGAGGGACGGGATGACTCACCGTGACGAAGCAGGAGCCCATCTGATATAGCACAGTGTTGATACCTGATGCCTGGCCTGTGATAATTGCCGATTCTGCATGAGAACCATACATCACTTCAGTTTTGCCCGCCGCAAACCTGCTCAGTTCAACGTCTTCTGCAAGTTCTCCAGGACACTGAAACAAACAGGACATGCTCTGGTGCTATGGCTCACCATTGGTGGCCTGGATGTTTGCAGTCACAGTGCCTGCAAGGTTCAGGACTGCTGTGTCCTCCAGCCCAATCACATACACATCCCCAGAGCCAGACGCTGCAATTGTGGCATTCCCAATGATTCCATCCACATAGATGCGGCCCAACCTGTGCCCACACAAATGACCGGCTAACCATTGCTCAGGCAAGGACTGGGACAGACAACGTAGTATTATATCACGCTTTTCGTGCCAGAGGCAAGGTGCGCATGCAGACAAGCTGCATGTAAAGGCTGCCAACATCCTACCCCTTGATGGCCCCGCCAGATCCAAGCAGGGCCCAACAGGATAATGAAAGCTACAATAAGCAAGCATGCATGCTCATGCGAAGGGTCCTGCAGACAGCTCAGCATCACAACTTCATCACTGCATGCATGGGTGGATTTGGGATCTCACCCAGAGCTCTGCACCCTCAGGGTGTCCGCGGTGAGGCTCAGCACATTGAGGTCCTGAGATGAGAATGGAGCTGACGCGGTGAAGTTGTCTGCCACAAACCCAGGCCCCACAGTGACCTCTGCTGATGGAGATGGTACGAAGACTCCAGAGAGGGAGTCAAACGGCAGGCTCACCTGCAAAAGACGGGGATGATAAGCCAAAGAGAGCAGGACAAAGGGAGGAAAAATCCCCTCACAGGGGCTGGACCACTCAGCATTGGCGGTGTGCTTCCAACAGCATGCGTCATCACTATCTGCTGAGAAATTTTGCATGTGAATGGCCATAACTTACTGCTGGTCATCATGCCTCAATGTACTCAAACAGAACAGCAACAAGGAATCAACTCAATTGCTAAGCATAATGACCAACTGACTTGCATCCGAGATTGGGACAGAGGCGTACGATGGCAATGACAGGGTATGGCGTGCGGAAGTCGCCTTCAGTCCACAGCTCAAGCGTGCCATCATCGGTCACATTCAAGTTGATTGCTCCAAGGACCACATCCTCTGCCTGGATGTCCAATGTGTAGTTGTCGGCTGGGATGATGTATGTGTTGAAAGGCCAGCAGACCTGCACACAAGCATGTCACTTCAGAGAGTTTCAAGAGATACATCCTGGTGCAAGACAAGTTGATCCCCATGCATGCAGTGAACCGCACTCCTTCATTGGAAGGTCCAAAGCATTCCCAGATCCACTGCAGCTAAAACTTCTGACGTGTGCTCGACAAGTGCAAGGTTACTTCGGGGAAAAGATCGATGGAGATTCCACCTGGATGGAGCTGAAAGGTGTATCGCTGAGGTCGACATAAGTGTACGTGACTGGTGGGGCGAAGGTCTCCTGAGAAGGCGTGGGTGCTGCTGCAGGGACTTCCGCAGGTGCTGCAGCTGGGACCTCAGCAGGTGCCGCAACAGGAGCTTCCGCTGGTGTTGCTGGAACGATGACCTCGGCCGGAGCTGCAGCGGGCACAACAGAGGGACTGGGAGCTGCAATAAGGACCTCTGGAGCCGCTGTGGGTGGCAGCTCGGCAAAGAAGTTGTCCGCTTGTCCCTGAGTGCAGGCGATCGCAGCGAGGGCAAGCATCAAGCACAGAGGCATCCGCCATGACCAATTCCGAGTCATGACGTCTGCGATCGTGTAGCTCTCCTTTGCCTTCCTTGTATGGATCGACTCAAAGCATAGTCCCAAGTCTCAGTCTCTTCTGCAGTGGCTCGGCTTGCCAAGGACTGAATAGCACTTGCTTTGCTGGAAGGTTTAAGGAAGCTTCGCTGACATGAATAAAATCGCAGCGTGCCACCTCCAAACGACAAGTGGCCCGATCACCGAGTCAAGATTTGCGCTTGCATGCACGTGGTCCTCGTCACCCAGGCTCTTCTCAACTGCATCTTCAGGTCTCAAGAGCAAGATCAGGCAGCTTCACAATATTCCTCTCAATCCAATCATGCATGCCATGCGGTGCAAGCAGTCAGCTTATTGAGAGCTTGCGATGCATGCATGGGCGCGTCCGACGAGTCCATTAGGCTCTTCAATAATCTACCTCCTGGAGGAATCTTTTTAACTGGCGCCAAGGCAATATCCAATACCACTCACAGCCAATATCAGAGACATGCATGGCAAACAGGGCAGCTCACAGATGCAACATGTGTACACTGGACAGGCATGGACGCAAGCAAGCAAAATTGGTGCTCAAGTTCTGAAGGCAAATCCACCTGGCCAAAATGTCTAATCTACTGCTCTCTTCCATGAGGCAATATCACACGCAAGGCAAGTACAAAAGTCAGCTCACAGTCTCTACCCTATGGCATCAATGACAGGCCCCAGCCGATTTCATAGGTACTGCAAGCAAAGTTCCAACTCACAGGAAGGCAATGCAACTGCAACTACATGCATCCTTTCAAAGCAAATTGCTGACATGATCAGGCTGAAAATCAAATCTTCTGACTGCAGGCCATTGCGAGCAGAATATTCTTACTTTCCGCACCTCACATGCTCTCAATCTCATTCATGATCTTTATATCTCATCAAAATCTTGACATTCTCACTGCCACTGCAACTCTCTCACGGCTCACTTGCCCAGCGTGTTCATGAAGGGCGTGTCAGCAAAAATCTCCAGCGCATTATAGCCCCCGACATTGTCGTAGTAGCAGGGGTTCGAAGTTATCCAGACTGCTGCTGGGTCGAAGGCCGTCAGAGAGCCACCAAAGGGGAAATTTGTCGTCGCGCCTGCAGCATGTCAGGACGTGACGTCAGCTTGTTGCGATCAGTAATCCTTGTCACAAGATGTACCAAAGAACAGCCCAATGCCTAATTCATTCACAGAGCAAGTGGCTCGCTTCCAAAAAAATCTAACATTGTCCACAAGAAATCCCTCAGTTATGAAGCTTTCTAGAGGCCTTTCAACATGCACAAGGAAGATTTTGATGTACAAATCAACTGGCTTCCTTTTACACACGAAGAGGCCTCCAGTATCGACTGTTCATGTTGTCTGCCGTCGCTTTTAGAACCCATTGGAGCATCCACCAGTTTGCCAGAAGGAGGCAATTTAAAAGGATCATATGCATAAAGCTGCACGTGGGTATTGCCAGACCTGTGGGGTTGTTGTTGAAGAAGGCCTGCTGCAGCTTGCGCTTGCCCAGCGCTCCAAAGGTGCCCTGGCTGACAGAGCCGCCGTTGCCGCCCGCAAAGGTGTTTGAGCCGATGTTCTGGCCCTGCAGGTTGGGGTTGGACACTGCCTGTGCCGCCTGCGTCCCCTGCCCTGCAGTGCCCGCAAACTGCTGCCCCGGACCAACTGAGCTCGCCAGGAAAGCCGGCCTCGGCCCTGCGGGGCAAAATTTGCACTTCTTAAGCTTGAGCACCTTTCAGAAAGTGTTTGTCCACTGGATTATGTCCAGCCGCAGGGATGAGGGCATGTGCAACTCTCAGGCAGGCACTGAAAAACGACAAGCTCAGCTTTGAGCTTGTTTCTCGGTCAAAGTGTCATGCATCTACATACAATGAGAATGTGTTCATCATGCAGTCCATGATGTCAGGATGTATTCATCAGCGTCATGGAACCTGAAGGCAGGCAGGGCCAGCAAGGTTCCGGGTGCATCTTCCAGATGACTTTGACAAGCACCCATTTGGTTGCCAGATCTTCACAGAACTGCAAGTGCTGGCAGGGGTGAGGAATGCGCGCGCACCAGGGGGGGTGAGAATCTGGAAGGGGGAGATGGGGGTAGGGTTGATGATGGTTGGGAATCCGGCCACAGTCCGCTCCTGGGGGCTGCTCACGGGCAGAATTGGGATGTCCAGCAGAGGCAGCACCCCGGACAGGCTCGCCTTGCCCGCAGCAAAGGTGCCTCCTGCATGCATGCACATCATGCAGTGCTCTCATCTCATGGTATTGGAGCTGCTCAAGAACGATCTGCCATGAAAGATCCTGGGCTCCGATGCTGCTTCAAAATAAGAATTCAGTGCAAGGCCCTGAACATTCATGTATCGGGGCCAATGGTGTGCTGTGCAGAATTTTGCTAATCAGCGAGATGGCGTGACCCATTTCGATGCCAGTGGCTCAAGAGAACCAAAGGCAGCTCAAAATCGGGCAAATTATCTACACTGGTGTGGAAATGTACCCAAGCTCCTAAGATTGTCAAGTAAAGGATACAGACTGACCTGCAGGGCAGTTGAAGTTGCCGTTGATTTCCAGGCCGCATGTCCAGACCGGCTGGGGTGCCGGGATGCCGACATTGTCTGTCTGCTTGCACGGAGACCCAAACAGCCACGGAGACTGCACAAAGGCACACATCAGAGGCCTCAGTCTGCATTGTGATAGTACTGTGGCTCTGTAATATTTATATATCACCCCCAGGGTGACATGAGGACTCCTATCCTGATGTATTAGACAGTCTTGAAGCAGATCAGGTGCATGGCAGTAAGAACAGGTAATGCTTGCAGTCAGTGCGTGCAAAGATATCAGCACTGGAACAGGAAATCGCACATTAACGATGCACCGCCCCATGTCGAAGACCACAGAGTTGACGCCTGAGGCCTGCCCAACGATGAGGGCATTATCTGCATCACCATAGCATGCACATCAGCTCAGACATATCAATTTATACTGTCTGGCATGGCAATACCCTGAGCTGTACGGTAGAGTGTGCGAGGGAAATCATGCCTTCCCTAGGCAGGCACAGTGCAATATGCCGGTTCACAAATGTCTCTCTGTACACCATTGCAATCAAGTGCAAAGACATGATCAATGCATGCCTCTGGTACTCTGCAGCTCTTCAAAGCAGAACTTGAGTGGGGAGGGCATCGAGAGATTGAACCCACACCGCTCATGGGCTTCACGTACACATTGGCAGTGCCGGCGAGGTTGACTGTTGCAAAGTTCTCCAGGCCGATGACATAGACTGTGCTGACGCCTGAGGCTGTGATGGTGGCATTTGTGATGGTGCCATTCGCCAGCACCTGGCCCAACCTGCACAGCACCAGACTTTCTGATTCAAGAGCCAATTCGGCGCTGGATTTGAGGTGGCTAGAGGTCAACAAGACACAGCAGATCAGAAATTGTAAGCTATTCTTGATCTCATGTGCAAGAGGCTGCTCGGATCAGCACTGTTGTGTCAATTTACCGACCCATGCAGTTTCTGCCACAGGGGGCAACAGTGCTTGGCACAGGCAGAAGTGATGCATGCATGTCCACAAGAGCAGCCTCTCGGATGCTACTGGCCATGCATGCAAGCAGGGAGGCAGGAGATTATAGGCAGGGTTGCCCACCCGGATGTCTGCACTGCCAGGGTGCCAACAGTGAGGTCGATGAGATTGATGTTGCCGCTGCTGAAAGGCGCTGCAGCGGTGAACCTTGGAACATTCAGGCCGGGGCCGATTGTGACCTCTGCAATCGGGGATGACACAAAGAGCGCCGCCAGACCATTGCTCGGCACTGTGATCTGCATCACACAATCCATGCCTTGCACCAATCAGCATGATGCATGCGTTTTGTGGTCATCAAAGATGCATGCATTTTGCAGCATGTGCCCATGTTCAGCAATAGTGTTTAAGCGACAGGAAATACACGAGAACATGCCATGCCTTCCACTTGCCTCATGCCCCAAAGGTGCGTGCATGTTGTGGCGCGTGCACTTGTTGAGCTTTCGTGTGGAAGCAACAGTATATGCATGAGAATATGCCATGCTTTCCACTTGCCTCATGCTCCAAGGTTTTGCAATCTGCAACCTGCTTCTATGCAGCGGCTGCTTTCCTTGAAGCTGGATGTATGGGTCTTGTGCATGGGCGCTATGTTGCATAGCAAGGAAAAGAGGGGACTGACCACCACAATGACGGGGAAGGCAGACTCGATGCTGGCGGTGGTGAAGAGGGTGAGCGTGTCGTTTTGCACATCCCAGCCCAGGCCATCCAGGACATTGTCCTCTGCTTGGAAGTCAAACGCGTAGCTGTTCCCGATCTGCACCAAGGTGTTGTACGGCCAGCACAGCTGCATGCCACAGGGCATTTTCAGCAGATTCTTGGAACAATCCTGCCACCAGCTTTGTCATTCACACTTGTGCGCGAGGCTCTCTAAAATATAATCAGGGATCATCTGCAAACAGAGAGGCATTGGCCCCCTCTGTGTCAGGGTCTGGAGTATTCGTGCTGCAGAGGATTGCTGCATGCATGCGCCAATGGTTGGGACTGTTGCTGCTTGCACAAGCAATCTGTCTCGGACAGTGTCTGTCTGCAGAGGTGAATGGCAATTGCAGCTAGAAAGGTAAAATTTGAAACGGACCTGGATGGTGTGAAAAGGCCGGTCCCTCAAGTCGACGTGCTGCCTCTCGGTGGAGGGAGCCATCTGAGAGGGAACCGGGACTGCGTGCAAACCAGAAACGTTCGTGAGTCTTGTTCGAGGCCCAGAAAAGGCGTCATGGTATTGAACTCGAGGACAAGTTGCACCTGATGTTCCGGCTTCATTTTCGCCTGCGGGACCGCCAAGAGACGGAGTCGGGGCAGACGCCATGAGTGGCCGCTGCGCAAAGCTCCCTGTGAGAGCCAGAAGCAAGCAGAGAAGCAAGAGGTTGCCTCGAAGCGTACAAGCCATCGCAAGTTGCCGAGCTTCAAAGGGAGGACGAGCCTTGTCAGCAGCTTTCTGTGGAGCGTCTAAACCTCAATACGAGGATGAAGAAAGCTTCAATATACCAATCAACGGATGTTTGAGGTCCTCTGCACACAAAAACTTGACAAGAAATCGATATCGAAAGGCCTTTCCTGCAGGACAGGATCTCCAAGATTGACTGCCCACGGCGTGATGCGTTCGTCTCCTGTGGCGTTGAAACGCTTGCATGGCATGCATGGGTCACTTTCCTCCTCAAATGAGGAGGAGAGGGAGAGAAAATAAAGCATGCGCTCTGAATTAATCTCTTAATGCATCTCGTGGGGAAAGGAGGTCTCCTGCTAGTCACATTGGCCATGGCATCAGTTGAAACAAGGCAGACCTGTAGGGATCTGCTGTGCTGGCTGTGGCATCCGCATTGCATGCATGCCAAACAATCTCTAAGGCGCCTAGAGAGTGCAGCTGAGATGCAGATTTCAAGTCAAAATAGTTACAAATTCCCTCTCAAGCTTACATCAAGCTGACTGGATTCTGGATCATGATGAACACACTTCAAGCAAGCAAAATACACTTTTCAAGGGCTTATCATCTCAACTGGGTCAAGGCACGCACATGGCAATTGGATTGTGGTATATACGAGATGTCTTAGAAGCAGAGCCGTCTCTCAATGGGAACTCCTTGATCAACATCCCAAGGCCCCAAACACACCCACTTCAGAAGCTACAAAGCTTCTGCGCCCTCTGGAAATTATCCCGAGAAGAGGCCTAGAGCCAGCGGCGCAACATATTTCTCTTGTCCAATAATTCGTCGGCCAGACAGGCTAACCATCACAAAGAGCGCATGCAAGCCCATCAGTCGGAGCCAGCCCAAACTTGCCACCCCGCACAAGAACTGCTGGAAAGATGCACAGCTGCAGTGCAGTCAATCCAGCGCTCATGCACCAAGCAGCCAGCCGGCCAAGCTTTACAAGGAGGCACCCACAACCACTTAACAGGAGCTTTTGCCCCTTCAATACCTGACCTAAAATATGCCCAAACGGCCCATACAATCGGCACTACCCAAATCACGCCGTGATCTACCCAATTAATAGGGTGGCTGTCCTTCAGAGAGGCTCAGAAATACCTCTCCAAAGCGCCTTTCCCCAGGACACGCAATCAGAAGAAAGAAAACGCTCCCGCCCTGTTTTGCCCAGGGCAGTCTCTGCTGGACATGTACAGAATGTGGACCCCTCAGATCCCTTTGACTCAGGAGGCCTGAGCACAAAGGGCCAAGAACATGTGCGGATGTGTGTCCCACTCCCTAGATTCACTACAAAATGGCTTGCACCTGACAACAAAGCCTCTAGGCAGAACTCGTACAGATGTAATGGAAGGCAGTTGACCCAGAGGGGGCGAAAGCCATTACTACTCCAGCACTCCCGTGTGAAAACACTCTCCAAAACCGTGGTTCAATTTGCGCGGAAAAGGTACTTCCCTGGACTGTCTACATTCTTCCCCAGCAAGGTGACTCCAGCATTGCCCGCACACCCCACTTGACTTGCCACCACAGCCTCAGGCAGCAGAGCCACCGTCATTGCTATGCTGACATGCTGCAACACTGGCCGAATTCTGAGTGCGGGTGCTGTCTCAGCTTCTGCTCTCCGCACTGAGACAGCCCTGCACCCCTCCCTTAATCTCTCACAAGCCGCAGATCAGACACCCACCAGACTTGTGCATGGCACCAATGATGTGCCACTGCAGATTCCCAAAATTATTGGCATGCCGCCATGGTCTCGCCACTTCCTCTGGACTGCAACAAACTCTATGATTTCTCTGCTCACCAACGAGCATCCGCACGCCCATGTTTGCAATGTGTCTTATTCCAAGGGCCCAAGCGCGGATGTCTTCTTGACCAGATACATGCCTATTGGAGACCTAAAAAGCGCGCCATGCATGCACAGCGCCTTATTGCTAGATGGGAAAGCAAACACGGTGGCACACAAGGTGTGCCAAGCCACGCACTGGCAGGCCTTCACCATTCCTCATGGACGGTTGTCTCCTCATTGCACATAGCTGCCAGCCAAGCCGGCCATCATTCATCATTATTCCACGAAGAGGATGGTGCCACCTCTCTCCCAGTCAGCCGGGAGCCATCATCATTCCTCTCTTGACAACCTTAGCGCCAGAAGTCTTCATACTCATCATTACCTGCTCATCCGCTGCTTCCTTGCCCTTTCTTTCTTGGCACGCAGTGAGAACAACTGCGCGGTGGCGTCACTCATGCTTTCATCATCCATCACAGGTATACGTGTCCAGTCAGGCGGTTGAGGCCGCCTGCTGGTTCAGCGCGAGCTTCTGCAGTTCTTTCTCGCCAAAAGTGCGCGCGCCGACGAGGCCGAAGGCGTGGCGCCACTGGCTGCCTTTGCCGTCGGCAAAGCCTTCCAGGCTGACAGTGAGCGCCGGTTTGGTCAGGCTGGAGTAGGTGCTGCGCAGCTGCCTGGCAGCTGCCTCCTGCAGCTGCGCCTCCGCTACCTCAAGGAGCCTGCTCAAGTGCAGAGCAAATGTCAATTACTTAATTTATCCAGATTGCAGGTCAAGGACCATGGAGCTGAGATGACCCAATGCAAAATTGGCAGGCCCATGTTCAGCAGTGTGGTAAGGGGAACACTGCAGCAACAGCAGGGATGGGAACCACTGCAATGCACTGCGCACTTGATGGCTGTCCCTCACAAGGGTAAGTTCAAACATTGCACACCAGAACGAGCGCCCTGCATTGCAGTGATTGTCATCCTGCTTCTACCCAGTGCTATTTTGGCGATGCAGCGGCACCAGCTAGAAGGCCAATGCAAAACAGAGAGAGATGATCATGTGATGCTAATGCTGTCCTCCCAGCTAAATTGTGTGTACCACCGCATGGGACACCATCTGCACTCCATGCACAGCAGCTACTGCAACCCCCTTGCTACGGATTAGAAAAGGGGAAGAGAATATATGGTTGCTCACTTGGTGTAGACGGCGCGCGCTTGCTTGTCGGCTGCATACCAGGCGTCGCTGGGATCCTCCGCCTGCCAGTAGGGGACCAGGCCTGCCGGCAGCCCCAGCCGCTTCATCTTCTCTGCATCATCGGCAAACAGGACGCCCAGACTTGGCGCCTGCCCCTTCTCTGCTGCCCCATTGGTCGGCCCTGCGCAACCAGCCAATGCGAAAGCCGGTTGGAATTCTGCGTGACAGCAGAGAAGGCCTCGGGTTGCAGACAGCACTGCTGAAATGCAAGATGGACATCAGCAGACATGCAAAGGCAAGAAAATTTCACTCATCCTCATAGCTGGGCATGCGCTTGCAAGCTCTGCGCAAAGATCGAAGCAAACGATAAGATATTAAGCTCATCGCAGCACAGAGGTGTCTTATGGTGGACAGCAAAGGAAATCCCATCTAATCCAACTACCATTGCACTTTGCTGCAGAGGTATAACGCCTGTCAGATTGCGAGGCTTAAGACCCGTTGTATCCAGAGTAGGGGGCGTACGGGGATTGGTGTAGCCGTCGGAGGCAACGGAGGTGCGCGAGTTGTTGCGGGACATGGGCCGGGAGGGCGCCGGGGACGTGATGGTTGACCGCGAGCCCCACAGGCTGGGTAGCGGGAAGGAACGCCGTCGCAGCCCAGCGCTCAGCGTCTGCGGCTCCCGCCTCGGCTTCTCCGCAGCTGCTGCATCACAGTGCAAGTCCTCAGCGACTAGTACGTTAGTAGTACGCTTCTCTACCTACGAGACAAGCTCGCTTGAGCGCGACTATGCTGCAAACCATGTGCGCTGCCCTGATTGTTCTGGGCTCTCAATCGGCCCGTGCATGAAGAAGATGCTTCATTTACTGATCACGGCAGCTACTACGGGGACAATTGAGGATGGTGAAAGATCTGCGCAAAGGCTGAAGAAGGAAAAGGGGGGTACCAGGAGGGGCAGGGGTGTCATTGCAGTCCTCCCAGGCGGCAGTCGCGCTGCGGCTGGTGGCCAGGGGAGAGCTAAGCGCGCTCGCGACACCCTCATGCAGCGGCTCCTGCTGCTGCACCCACACAGTCCCTTGTCACCCCGTTTGTGCAGTTGCAATACAGTGTTGAGCTGCCGACAGCAAGCCATCCAATAAAATTGGGCCAAACATGTCGCGCGCATCGCCGATGCCTGCAAAAGGAATACTGCGTTTTGCGAGTAAACATGGTCTCTGCAGGTCAAAGCAAATCCTGCTGCAAGAGTCGCTGAGACCATCGACATGCACGCCCACTCTTGTTCGCCTTCCACTGTCCCTCATCATCAACGCGTCAGCATGTGCAACATGTGCCACACACCTCGACAGGCGACGCAAAGGCCGAGCGAGCGCCGAGCACGAGCAGCCCAGAGGGCGGCGTGGGGGACGCCAGGCCGGGCAGATTGTGCAAGGAGGGGGAGGCCCTTTGCCGGTCTGCAAAGGCGTTGCCTCCGTGCAGGGAGCCGTGGATGGTGTTGGCCAGATTTGGCATCGGCAGCGCTGACGTGGCGCCCAGCTCGGCGTCGTTTGACGGCGCGCGCGAGCGCATCCAGGAGGGGAAGTAAGACTTGGCCGGCAGAGCGCTGTCCAGGCGCACTTCCTGCAAAAACACGGTGGTCAATCCAACAGTGCGTTGTCCGCCGCGAGAGAGGACACCACCAAAAAAATCTGCAATTGCAAAGACGGCGCTCGTCGGCGCTCGTCTACGCTTAGCAGATGTCAAGGTGGTGTGTTCCCTCCTGATGGCCAAACAATGCCAATAAGCGAACTAAGGGATTGCACATGAGGCAGCTCCAGTAAGGTGCGGAAACAGGGCCACGAGACGGGAGACATGCAACGCACCCTGAGAGCGTTGGCGGCGCGGCCAATCTTGCGATCAAACGATTCCAGCTTGCCGTTCTGTGGCGGCTGCATGGGCGCCCGGTAGCACAGCAGCCCCGTCAGGTACCCACCCTGCTGACCTGCATCTGCCTCCTCCTCGGCAACAGCCTCTGCCGCTCCAGCCGCCGCCTCTGCCGCATCAGCAGCTCCCGAAGCTTCGGCAGCCGCCTCTGTAATAGCAGCGTCCGCTGCCGGGGCCGGTGGATCTCCAGGCTCTGCAGGTGCGGAGGGAGCAGAGGCCTGCTGCTCTGCAGAGGCAGGCGCATCGCCTGCGGTGTGCTGGGAGCGGCGCGTGCCTAGCGAGGCACCGGATAGCCGAGCCAGACTGGGCTGGCTGTCGTACAGCTTGGCTATGGACAGCGCACTCTCCAGGCTGGCTGCAGACGCCTGGCTCTTCAGGTCCGGGGCAATGTCCACCTGGCACAATCCAGGAGTCAGCACTGTCCCGCGACTCACAGCATCTGAACTCTCCCTTCCAAGACATATTATGCAGCTTTTGTAGATAAATGGCTGTAAGATGGAGTCTGTGGAAAGAATGACAGAGAAAAGCAAAGAGCCAGCACCTGCATCTCGCGAGGAGGCAGCATGCCAAGGTCCAAGCTGCCGGTGCGGGCGTTGGAGGCATCGGCGCCAGAGCTCTGCCGGGCGGCCAGCGCCGGAGGCCTCGGCTTCGCCTCGGCAGCCGTCGCCGCTGCTGCAGTGTCACCTGCCGCCCCCTTGTCCATAGCTGGCTGCTCTGCCTGTGCTGCCGCCGCAGCCTTACTCTCAACTTCCATGTCACCAGCTGCCGGCGGCGCCTGTTCTCCGGTAGCAGGTGCTGTGTCGGTGCCTGAAACATCCGCCACTGTCGGTGTCGAGTCGGGCGTCGCAATCCTTGGGTCATTGCTCCCCGATGTCTGAGGCCCCAGCGCAACTGCCTGGAAGGGAGAGGTGGCGATCTGTGGGCTGCCATTGCCTGTGCCGGCCGACGCGAGTACTTCTGCGGCACGTGGGGTGCCAAGTTCCTCCTCGTCGTGGGGCACTGAGCGCGACAGGAAGGGGTGGCTGTCTGAGGCTGAGCGCCGCATCCCCAGGATGGACTTGGAGGCCTCGAAAGATCCGGTGGAAATCTCTGGCAGCACCTCCGATGCCTGCATCATCACCACAAACACCAAGAGTCACGTACTCCCAGTAGCTTACAAGTCTTCTTTCACATTGACAAATTTATGGTCTCGCCTCATTTGCATCTGCTGTACATTGACGGAACATGACTGCAAAGGATTTCAACACACAAAGCCTCCAAAAGCGCTAAGAGTGCCCAATGGTTGATATCTTTATTTTGCAGTTTGCGCAAGTGGGTGCATCATGGTCCTGCGCATCCGCCTGCAGGAAAGAAGGAAAAGAAGAGAATAAGTGTGCTACCTGTGGCATGATGGCGGCCTCGACAGCCTTGCGCCGGGCAGTGGTGTCTGCAGGGTTGCTCGAGTTGAGGATGGTCTCTGGGATGCTGGGCAGCAGCGACCGCCTCCCCAGACCTGCAGTGTCAGCGCAGCAATTTTGAGCATACAAGATTTTATGTGATCGTCCCCACACGCTTGTGGTCATGCAGGCCCAGGCAATTCCCAAATGAGCAAGAGCGACATGGATGGGGTGACACTGAGCGCAGAGCACGTCTGCACACAGCACAGCTCTGCACTGCGCACCACTCCTTTTAACAATCACACTGCCGCTGAAGCACCCGTCACAAGACCAGAGCTATGCAACAGTGGCCAATTTGTGGGAGGATGGCATACTCAGCAGGTGCCCATGCAACATGCAGAGCCCTAATGTGAATCTGACAACATAGAGCACGCCCAATACGGGGATCAACGCAAGCAGATTCACCAGACCAGGCAATTTTCTCTCTCCCCCTTTGATTTCAAACACACCAGAGTGCAGGTAATGGTCGGAGTCGAGGTTCCAGAGCTCGGATTGGCCGAGGCAGGGCTGGTAGTGGCCCAGGAAGAGGTTGATGGCGCCCTGCTTCTCGTCGTCGTACCAGCCGTTGTTGATGGCGCGGCGCAGGCTGATCAGCTTGTCGCGCACGCGCGTCGCCGCCTGCCAGTCCCCCCGCTGGTGCTTGAACACCGCCGCGTGGGCACCGCTGCCCCCGTACTGCTTACGAGGAAACAATAGCAAATCAGACCAACATCCACTGCTGTTATCAAGCCCAGAGCTGCCGGCCAATTCAGATGCATACAACTTCGCGTTCCATGCAGTGCACAGGAGACGTACAAGAGAAATGCTGTACTAATCTTGCATGCACTCAGACATTTCAGGCTGTAATACTACCCAGCAGTGGTGATACCTTCTACATGTCAGCATAAAGTTGGTGGTACTGTAACAGAGAGCGCAACGAAAAGGAACCCAACATCAGACGGTGCAGGTAATCACAGTCATGCGCAGCAGGCTTCAAGGTTGCTGGGAACCCCTATCCCAAGGAATTTTAACGTCAAGGAATGCAGGTAATTACAGGTAGGCAGCATGCCCGCACCTGGCGGGCAAGCGTGTTGCCCATGGCCTCGTACATGGCCATGAGCTGGGTGGCCGCAGAGGAGCGCGGGTCAAGGTCCGGCCGCGCCGCCAGGCCCAGCCCCACCAGCTGCCTACCCAGGCCGGACAGGCCGGCAGCAAACTGCGCCACGTTGGTGCGGTCCAGGCAGTCGATACAGTTGGTGCGCAGGATGCCGCCCTGCCTCTGCACCTCCGGCTCCTGCAGTCAACGAGCAGGGTATTGTGGGTCAGGTGCACCTCGTATTACATGCGTTAATGATGTCCGAATTGCAGAGTTGAGCGTCTCCGGAGCGCCTAGCTGTGACTCTTGCAAGGCCAGCTGTTCGCATACCATGCATAACACTTGTCGCACATAACCCCTGCCTGACTGCACACAACAGCATGCGGACATGAGTTGACGACCAGCATATGCAGATTGAGGCACAGTAGGCCTTGCAAAAGGCAGAGAAGTACATAAAAATTACATGGGTGCAGTGCATGGGTGCAGTGCAAGCATGCAGGCTTCAAATAAAGCATCTCGTGCAGAAGCAAGCGCAGCAGGCCTCGCAAAAGGCAGAAGAGTCAGGTTGTGACCACACACGCCAAACGCTCAAGAGCATGTCAGGAGGAGCTGTGGCGCACCCAGGCGGAGGCGTTGGTGCGTCGGGCTTCGGAGGAGGGCGCGGCGGGCGCGCAGAGAAAGAAGCCGGTCTCGTCGAGCGCGCGCGTCATGACCGGCACAATGTCTGACAGGATCTGGCCCCCGCGCAGCTTCGCATAGTACTTGAAGTCCCAGGGGATGTAGCGCACGCAGTCTGCCGCAGGCACCTGTGAGGTCGAAACTCCTGAGTATAGCATTCCACTGATAGGCATGCTTCTTTTTGCATTGATCTACCCTCGATGTCCTTGGGCACGGTGGCTCTGATTGGCTTCTCAGCCACCCGGCCCTCACAAGGTCACTTGGCATTTGCACAAAAGAATTACGCCAATCCATTCTGCCTGCCGGCTTGTCATTCAAAGGACTGCAACTTCACAGTAGCGACCCTCAGAGCGGTAATATTTCCTATAGACTTGCGCATGTTCAAGTTGGGAACGAAGGTTACAAAGGCGCGCACCCCCTTGTTGATGTAGGCCACAGCGCGCGCCAGCTCTGCCTGCAGGATGGACTCCCTCGGCCGCTTCTCCGCGCTCTTCACCAGGTTCAGCACTATGATGGGCTTCCCGTAGCGCGCCGACAGGTCCTGCACAATCAGAAGGTAAAGATATTACTTGTGACGTTCACTTGGCAAATAATGACATGAAAATGCAGATTTTAGAGAACATTGGAAAGGCAACGTCAACAGGAAGCGCAGGGGTGAGGGCCCACTTTAAGATTATCACGTGCTTTGATCTCTCCCTGCATCAGATAACATTGAATGCAGAATATACTCATAGCTTTTGGTGACCCCATCCGCTACAATGTAGGAAGGATAGGCAGGCAGGCCAGCGAGAGTACCTGGAAGTGGAGTCGGGTGGCGGAGTAGTGTGGATCATACTGCTGCAGCTGGATGGCGGGCTTGGGGTTGATGGGGGACATGCTGGTGGTGTCCTGAACCCAGTACAGTGGAATGGAGCCCCGAATCTGCACGTCACCTACAAGTTGAGTCGAAGCCACCAGATACATGACATCCAATGAAGTCAAGGAGAGCATCTAGCAAAGTGTGACATGGCTTTCCGAGTGCCTGATATTGCCCTGAGCAACAAAGGACAACATAGGCACTGGGAGCACGATGTCACATGGGGTCTGGCGGGCACAACGGTAGTACTCAATGGTAGAACGCTGCAGTCAGAGTGAGTGTACCTGGACGAGGGAGGCGAGCAGGGGGAAGCCGGTGCGCCAGTCAAAGCCAGCATCCACCACCTGCTCTATCTCCACCTCATTTGCCACCCGCCCCGCGTCATTCACCCCCCTCTTCCGATACCTGCACGCACAGCACAACCCTTGTACCTCAGCAGCTGTTCTCCTGCAAGCTGCATGCATTGCTAAAAAACGTGAAGTTTCATGTCAGTCAAGCTGAAGTGTCATGTCAGCTTGATGTTCACGCGGAGGAAAGAAGTAGCACTGTCATGTGCGTTAGAACAGATGATCATTGTGGGGTACAAATGTTGTGCAATAAAACTGCTTCCGCTCCCCCCCTGTTGAAGATACTGATAAATAATGAAAATGCATAAGGAATGAGGTGAAAGAGGCGGCGCCTCACCGGGTGCCGGCAAAGTGGCGGGAGCGGCGGGCGATGAGGGTGACGGTGAGAGCACGCCCCAGGACGGCCAGCGAGCGCTGCTGCCAGAAGCCGTGCACCAGCGGCGTCAGCCACCGGTCGTTGCCCAACGCCGAGCGCAGCTGCCTGGGCACATACGCACCAAAGTATTAAGACCTAAACTATTATATTTATTATCACACACCTTTCCTGCCAAAAGGCAAGGTTTGTCCTGCAGACAAGCTGCAATTTTGGGCTGCCACAACCCTAAGCCATGTTGGACTCGCCAGATCCAAACAGACCTGTAGTAGTACCAGGCCCCAAAAGCATGGCCTCCAGGCGAGCATTCTTACAGGCATTGATCTTTGGTGAGTATCCACACGAGCTGCTGCATTTGAAAGGACAGTAATACATTCGGAGAGTGCGGCTGCGAACAACGGGTCTGTGTATGGCAGGAGATGGGATCCTCACCGTGTCAGGAACTCATTCCAGACAAACATGCTGTCGTACGCAGAGTCTGGCACCTCTGCCGACATGTTGCTCTGCACTGTCCGCCACAGCGGCCATGTGTAACTCCACAGAAAGTCCTTGGACAGCTCAATCCCTGCAGCAGAGTCAAGGCTTGCACACTCAGGTGAAGTTGGGTGTTTGTGCTTTCAGTAGGGAATGCACCGAAAGCTGATCACATAATTGTTTGATCACCGGGTGCACAGGAACAATAGATGGCAGGCAGGTGAATGCAGCATGGTGCCCTGCACAGATGTATGGGTTGGTGATTCAAGGCAACCTTTAAGAGAATGTTAGATTGCTCACCCTGCATCATTTTCTTGTAGCGCCTCTCCGCGCTGCTGGCCTGCAGTAACAGGACAGTGCCATTAGCTGCACTGATCATGGGGGAGAAAGAGGTGCACCAGACTTGCTGTACCACAACCCAACGAAGATAGGAAGTTCCAGTGCTGCAGTTGAGCTGAAGCGTACTACAAGCGTACTACAAGTCTGACTGTAGTACAGCTACCCTGAACTTCATGCAGTATCTTTTTGCCACTACAGCAACAGGTCAGCCATGCACCAGGATCTTTAAAGATAAGATTCTCCATGCATCAGGATGGAAAAGAACCGCCACTGCAACAGCCTTTGAGGAGCTGAAACCCTACTCTCTTGCCCCCATGCAACAGAACCTTCAATGTCTGACCTAATGCCCTTGTTCCAACCTTGTGCGATCTAACAAGAAGTTTAAGACTTTTATATACCTGGCTGTCAGCGTTCTGGGAAATGGGGATGAGCTGACTGCGAGCAATGCCATACACCTTCCTTCCTGTAGTACAAACAAAGCAGATTCCTCACACAAAATCTTGCACGGCACACACTCATGGACAAATTGGAGAACAATGGGAAAAACAATATTTAGATCCGCTAAGTCTGTGCCATGAAATGCTCAAGAGCTACAAGAAAGTTGGTGCAGTTGGAAGGTGTTCGAGAACGTGAGGAAGATCACACTCACCGCACACGCTTCCGTGCAATCGTTTTTTCGTGACTAGTAGGAGGTAGCAGCCCTCCAAGAGTGCAAAGCAGCCCACCACCGCATCCGCCTGCAATCCGGCCGACCCTTTAGGCTGGGGCGCCCACTTCCAGCCACACTCGAGAACTTTTTCCTGTAACCGAACCGCAAGATTCCCGCTTCGAAGCTGTAGAACATTGGGTGTGTATGAGACTCACCGTGACCTCAAATTTGATCCCCCCATGGCCCGCGTTGCCTGCGCTTATCTGAGTGAGCAGCATAGCCATCTCCTTCTCTGTGTACGTCACGGGGTCCTCCACCGCCTCCAGCTCCGTCGGCACCACCGGATCTCGATTGAACTTCACTAGCCTCCATGCCTGGCGATCTTTACTCCTTGCTACAAGGTATAGCCTCTGTATCGTGGAGTAGAGGTAGAACTTGCGCAGAGCAACATCCCCCATCTCTGCAGGGAGGTGTATTTAAGCTGTGTCCCACCTGATGTCTAAGAACCACCTGCAGGCGGCGGCCTCCGATTGCCCCAGCATGTCTGGCCCGCGCCAAAGCAGGAGGTGCTGAGACAAAACTTGTGCTACATGCTGGTACATGCCAGTCACTGGTGTCGATCGAGGGTTTATCAAGGGTGATATGATAAATTGCCCTCAATTGAATGTTTAGCTCCCTCAACTTCCAAATGTTCGCCAATTGGGAATCTGGATGATCGCCAATCCCCTTTGCCTCCGTTCGAAAAACTTGACGTCCCTTAAATCTAGTACCCCTCTTACAGATGACATCGTGCGATTTCCCGTGCGGGTGTCATTGTTTTGCGCCGTTGATGTTGGCATTGCTTTCGGAAAGTAGTCTTTCATGCAAGTATACATGCACTGGTGATGGCAGAGCTTTTAATATTATATATCAGATTGTCAAACGTATCTAGGTCGATGTGTTATTGAAAATATCGAAGAGGGAGACCCATGAGGTTTGGGGCAAAGCTGAAGGAAGAGGCAAAGCCAGAATGGAGTTCTCAGTACATCGATTACGATCTATTAAAGAGGAAAATAGGCGAGCTGAGGGCTCTGTCTGAGGACCCCAAGGCTGGGGAGGTCTTCAAAACAAAGAGACATGTCTTCCAAGGCATCCTCGATGAACACCTGGAAAAGGTAGACATTACACCGTCTAATCAACTCATAGTTACGCATGATGAGCGAGATCGTCTGAGATGCGTCTACAAGCATTGGCCATCACTCAGACCGAGCATTGCACGTTGGATGGCTCCAGGGTCTGACTCAGATCTGTGCCTGACGTGATATCTGAGTAAAGGATGTCCCCTCTGTAAGTTTGGCCCCGAAAGATTTCTACCTGCCCAGGTTCTCACGTTCTACAAAGAGCAGCTGGCCAAGATGCGGTCCCGCCTGGCAGCTGCCAACATAGGGGCACCAGCACTGGCCAGGACCGTTTCAGGAGATCTCGATGTAGATCTGGAGGATCTGAGCAACCTGGCTGGTGTGCATCAGCAACAGTTCCTTCACTTCTGCAAATGACTCCAACATGTTGAACACAGGCAATACAACACAGCCATTCTCATCATGCACAGAAATTCATCAAGCAATAAGAGAATTCTTGTGTGGCCCACCTTCCTTGAAAAGTTGCTGCTGCTCGCAGGGGAGGTGACTGATTTACTGAGCTACGTCAGCCTGAATCTGACGGCAGTGCGCAAGATCCTGAAGAAGATGGCCAAGCACATCAAGCCGGAGGCTCCCACGCCTGGCTACATGAGCCTGGACATCCGGCATCCCCACAACCCTGGCTACCGCCTGGTGCAGGTACGTACAATTAGTGATACAGATGTTTTGGTGCAGCAATGCAAATTTGAAGCCCAGTGCAGGTGGGTCTCAGCAGTGCAGCATCTGGCTGCAAGCCATTCGTCATTTCTTGGCACTTCTGCTCCAAAGGAAAAATGTACAAGTAGCTTCCTTTGAATGTGGGAGGATGCGTGCTCCCTGGAAAGATTTGCATCTCCACCTCAGGAGTTGCCAAGCAGAATATGAAGGAAAAGCACTACAGCCTGACTGCCAGTGCTTGCGGTGTGTCCAGGGGACATTCCTGCCGACAACAGTAGCAGCCGACTTGGACGCAATGGCGTCCCACGACGAGCTGACAGAGGCAGCAAAGGCGATTCGCGAGCGCATGTCGGCGCTCAAAGCGCAGAGCGACACGGAACCTCTCTCTCTTAGCGAGGCCGGCCGCCGGGGGTCCCTGCGCCGGAGCCTGTCCATCTCGGCCGCCGAGCGCCACATGGCCGATTTTAACCGCATCGTCAGGGCGCGTTCCCTCCTCAGTGGTCTTGTGGCAATGCGCACATGAGGGATGACATGGGAGTGTCATAGCTCGCCAAATGTTAAAATGGTGGGGAACACGCAAAGGCCTGAGGAGTGTGATTCTGGTGCACTGAGGCATTGCTGATGACATCTTGACGCCATGCATGTGCAGATGCGCAGCTCAGAGCCTTGATGAACATACTGCCGGGGGATGTAATGGGAGCATCTGTACAAACGAGCTGGTGATGATGTACAGGAGTTGGAGGAAGCTGAGGCGCTGGCAAAGAGGAATGCCGGCCTGGTGCATGCCATCACCTACCAGGAAGCGATTGCCGGCATCTTCCAGCCGCCGCCTCCTGACGAGCAAGCCACCTCCGACCTTGCAGGTACTCTGTGCTACCATGGGGGATGAATGTGCAAGTTGTTAAGGTACTTCTTGAGGGCAGATGCTGCATGAGGCCACAAGCATTGATCGGTGGCCACTGCACCACACGATTCTCGGTGGTATATACATGCTGGCGTGACTGGAAGAGGGTGGCAGATTGAAGGGGGTATAAATTGTGTTGCTGTGCAGGGCTGACGCTGAATTGCCTGGTCGCCGGCCTCTACATGGCCTCTTACATGTTGATGATCCCCACCGCCGCCGAGGTGCGCGCTCTGCCGCCTCCAGGAAAGGGCCTGTCGCAAGCCCCTTGTTACTACTCGTGAACACTCGTTGCTTATCAGCGCTGGCAAGAAGATTGAAGAAAATGTTGAGAATTTCCTGAAATGCGAGGATCCCCTTTTGAGGGTTTCTTATCTGCTGACAATCATGCAGAGGCACATCTTCTCTTCTGGACAATAAATAGCAGAACTCAATGGTGCTGTGGGTTGCAGTTTTGTCGTCACATTGGCGTCAGCCCTGGGATGGTTGGCATCATTGCCGGCGCCTCAGACTTTGCCTCCATGTTTGCAACGCCAGGTGGTCCCTCCATCCACCCCTTATGCTCAGCATGCCACCGAAACATAAGACAGCCTCCCGACTTCCTTCTCTTGTGCGGTAGCACTTCTCTGGTGCCACACTCCCAACTATGTCTCCAGTTGAAGTGTTAGCGTATGTTTGCAGGCTACAGCATATGGACCAACTACAACTTCCGGTGGCCGATCCTGGCGGGCGCGGTCACCTGCCTCGTCAGCAACATCATGTACCTGCTCAGCTATGACGCGCGTTCCCTGTCGCTGCTCGTCGCCTCCCGCTTTGTCATGGGCTTTGGTGAGTGACCTTGTTGGAATACTATCACATACTTGGCTAGGTGCCTTGCAGTAACTTCTTGACATGTCAAGAATTGCCTTCCAGCATTCCCGGTCTTGGCACTTCTTCGCGATGCATATCAGTCCCATGGAATGCAGGTCCCCTGTATACATGTCAACATCTTTAGTAACACTATTGTAAGCTGGCTTGCCAACCTGGAGGGTGTCACAGAAGGTCGAAAGAGTTCTTTATATTTGTGGTGGCTCAGTATCTTGAGTTCAGCATGGCCTGCGTGACTGCAGGCTCGTCTAGGACGGTGAGCCGGCGCTACATTGCGGACTTTGTCAGCAAGAAGAACAGGATGCGGGCCAGCACAGGCATGCATCTTCCATTCCATTAGTTATTTTTACAATATATAATCAAAAGCTGCCCAACTGCTGCATGGGTGCATGCTGCTGTTAAGAAGGATATAACGTTCTCAGCTCCGGACTGTGTCTATATGCATGGAAGGGCGTGTACCGTGCAATATTTTGATTTGATCTTTGGCATGCCATGACTTGTGTTTCTTGCTTGCAGCTTTTGTGTGCGCAAGCGCGACAGGGATGGCGCTGGGCCCTCTGCTGGCGCTGCTGCTGGCGCGAGCCCCCAGTGTCAAGGCCGGCCCGCTGACATTTGACCGCATCACTCTCGCAGCCTGGATCATGGTCGCCGCCTGGCTGGCTTTCATCGTCGCCTGGGCCGCCCTCTTCAAGGACCCCCTAGAGGAGTGCGTCTCCCTCTCCTACCTGCAGAGCTTGCACCCATTGGGATGGTTTTAAAGAGGTGAATGGCAGGACAAGTCCAGTGACTGAGTGCAACACAAAAGACAGTACCTGGCTGACGAGTGTGCAGTGTGCAATGCAACCCAAAATTCCAAGGACATAGCTCCTGGCTTAACTCTTATTCTAAGCGTGCAAGCTGTTGTGGAACATGTCATGGACTGCAGCAATGCATGCATGAAGCAATGGTGGGTGGTGCGCAGGCAGAGGAGGCGGGCACAGCTGGTGGAGGCAACAGAGCCAGATTTGGAGCAGCCGCTGCTGCAGGACAGTGTGCAGAGCGCTGTGCGGCCGGTGGAGCCCATAAAGGAGGCGTCCGAGGAGGCAAGCACCGAGGAAGCGGGCGATGAGGAGCCTGGGCAGAGTGCATTCAGCTGGTGGGACGCCAGCATGCAGGCCACGCTGGCCGCTGTGCTGTGCCTGTGGGCGCTCAAGCTGGTGCAGCAGGGGTACGTGGACGGTGAGTCTCCCCAAAGACAGCCTGTTGATAGGCGGTAATCTGTAAATGCTTCATATGACAGTCTGCTCCCCTGAGCACAGGGATGCCTGAAACAGAGTAGGATCAGAGTCTGGATGCTGTACTGGTATCGGCATTCCCAGCTTGATATCGAATTTATCGTACAGCTCTTCGTCCCCTTCAAGAGTGCCTTATGGCAGCAGCTGCCAAACCTTTGCCGCATCCAAAATTTCCCTTGCACATGCGCTGGGTCTCTCCTTATCCAATCCACCTGTCTGAGGCTCTGCTGACTTGATCACTGTGAGCATGATCACCTTTATCGTCTCAGTAAAGAAACACCAACCAGCGTAGCAAATCTCATATGACATTCAAAGCGAATTTGGTGCGCAGGGCTGTCCATCTTCACGGGGCCGTTGTATGGCTGGAGCGGGTCGGAGAACGGCCTGCTGCTGGCAGTGCTGGGCATCGCATCAATCCCCCTCTCATTCATGGTGGGCGTGCTGAGCCCCCACGTCAGCGACCGCGCCCTCACAGCCTCCGCACTGCTGGCCACTCTTGTTGGCGCCACTCTGTGCACGCGCGCCGGCAATGCGCGCGACCCCGCCGCCTACTTTGGCGGCGGCGCCATCCTCTACATGGTGCGCGGCCTCATTACCAGAATTCAAAATTGTGACAAGCATTGGTTCATTTTTACAACACATGGATGTGCTACTTGGACAACGTCCCCACATTGTTGGCGTATACAGTCACTCTGCATGGGAATGCCTTCAGCGCACTGCCTCCACGATAATTCTGTGTACTTGCAAAAAGGTGCTTCCGGGGAGATTTGAAGAGGGTTTCACGTGTTCCACAGAGTGCGCTACATCTGTGACATGCATCCAGATGAGGTAAGTGAAAATATGCTGTTGATGCAGGGGTCGCTGATCCTGGAAGGAGCCAGCATGTGCTTGCTCAGTAAGGTGCTGCCTGGTAGGCTCACCAGGGGCATCTTCAATGCAGGTACACACGTGTCCTTTCGCGGGAATTCAAGGTTCTTAAAGCAGCTGCGATTGCATGGACCGGCCCTAGGCTATGCACACCAATTTTGCTGAATGTTTTCAGTCAGAATTGCATCACATTCAGACATAAAATGCGTGTCATTGGGATTCTTCTCCGAGGTGGAAGCCTCCATGGTTAGTAGCTGCCATCTTTGTCAACCCTTTATCTCCCTGCAAAGTCAACCAGGCGGTTGTCAGGGTTGTGTCTGCTGCGCAGGCCTGCTGACGACAGAGGCTGGGACGCTGGGGCGATTCTCAGGCAACATAGTGATGTCAGTGGTGGCCAGGTTGACTGGCGTGGACAGCAGGCAGGAGCTGCTGCGCTTTGGGCTGACGCTGTATGGCATCTTCTCAGCGCTGCTGCTGCTCATCGGCTTCTACATGCTGACTGTCTGGCGCAAGCTGGCCACTTGATTTAACAAGAGCAGAGAGATACAGGAGCATACAAGGCAGTGCGAGCGCCAAGTAGGGAGAATTTCAGAGAAAGGGGCTGCCTTGCGATAGTTGCAGACCCAGGGTCTTGAATTTTGTAGGTACGTAGGTGTGTGTGGGGTTTTCAGATATATGGTCGGAGCACATAAAGATGATATGCAACCTAGTGATAGACATAGATATGAAGGGGCACGGAATGCATGCTCTTGACTTCAGCAATGCAGATTTCTGGAGGGGTTCCCTCCTGAAATCTACATCGGAATGGTGCAGGCTGCAGCTCCTGATCAGAAGACTGACTGGGCTGCATTGTGTCCATCAGGCTATGTCCAAATAAATAGATGGTTGATAGGCAAAAAGACTGTTGAGTTTCTGTCAAACAGAATGAAGACGGGTGTTCATGACAAAAGAGGGCTTGTGCTAGGATGGCTTGTGCATGAATTATGTAACGTAGAGATTGCATGCCATAACAAGTACAGGATACAGAAGACCATATGGGACATTTTATAAAAAGGATGCACTTGCCTTACCAATCTGAATGCTGTAGCCTAGCACGAAACTACGAAAAGAAAAGAACACACTTTCAGCACATATTCATCCTTCTCATGACTCCAATTGCCTGTCAAAAAGGTGCTGATCACAAATATTCTGTTAATCACTTTTTAGCATTCAATTCTTCTCACGTTCATGCTTTGGAAATACAGTTCACACCTGCAGGTATCAAACCCATACACATAAAACTTTCCATCTCACGCATTGCTCTCTTTCATTCTGCCTCCTTCACCCCCACACCACTTGCCAAGTAAACCTCACTCACACAAGCAATCTCAGGACCGTGAAATTGCCAGACCTATCCTGCCTGATAGACTACGAGCAGAGCTCTGTCACATCCATCACTTAGAGCAAGGCATCATATGGCAATAGACCCAGCCGCCACTTTGTGACTCTTGAATTTCAGAAAGTGGGCACCATAGTGCGATCTTGCTGTGAGACAGCGCCGCTGCACAGATCCTGCTGGGTTCCGGTGCTGGTGCTGGAGCTGCTCTGCTGCAGGCCGCCGCCCCCACCACTCGTGAAGGTCTGGCCGAAGATGCCAAAGGGGCGCCCGCCGGTCGAGCCAGCCGCGAACGCTGAGCCCGAGCCTGTTTAAGGAATGCACAGAAACCTAAGTGCAGTGTTGGTATCCTTTAGAGTAGATTGCTCCCTTGACAGCATTTTTGCCTGGATGTCCAGGCTCAGGAGAGCCGTCCTCTATGGTCCAGGTAGGCGAACATATTTGCTCAGCAGCAAGTCTGGACACCAGCCTCGACTCTAAAGAACGGCCCTGTAGCCATGGTGACTGGGCAAAACATTCCCATGCATCTTCTCACAGGTTATCTGCACAGCAGACATGTCACAAAAGTAAGGATAGATGGTAAAAGCTGACCGGAGGAGAAGGTTTGGGAGGAGGTGCCGCCGGTGCTGGTGCTGCTGCTCTGAGCGCCGCCAGGCCCACCGCTGATTATTGTGCTGCTGCCGCCCGGCCCAATGATAGTGCCAGAGTTGTCTGCATCTCAATTAATATTATTATTATTATTATTATTCTTATTCTTATTCTTATTCTTATTATTATTACACGCCTTTCCTGCCAAGAGGCAAGGTGCGTCCTGCAGACAAGCTGCAGTTAAAGGCTGCCACAATCCTACCCCTTCTTGGACTCGCCAGATCCAAGCAAGACCCAATCAACCGTGGGCACGGTGCTCAATATTTGTCCCCCCGCCAGCCGGGGCTGCATCCCAATTAATGAAAGAGATTTCACAAAAGCACCTTCTGAGGGCATGAGCGGCACGCAGTGATGTACAAAGCAATGCTGAGGTCAGGCAATACACTAAGGGAAGACTGTCATGCGCAGATGGATTAGGACCAAGGCGTTGGCAGTTTTAGCAGGTAGTCATGCTCAAAGATGGGCATTGCTCCAGTGCTTGATGGGTCGAGCAGCAGGAGTGCTTACATGAGCAGTTGAAGGTGCCCTGCAGTCTCATGCCGCATGTCCACTCCACGCCGGTAGATGGGATCGTGACAGGCCCCTGGTTGCAGGGGCTGCCAAAGAAGTGGCTCTGCAAAGGCCAGCGAGCACACCTCAAATTCGCAGCAGGGTATAGCCGGGATCCCATTTGCATTTATGTCATTTTGATAAAAAAATTTAGGCGACAGTTAGGCGTAATCATTGCTTTTTCTCTACATTCTGAGGGTGATCACAGAGAAGAATATGCATTGGGACAGCCATGCATTACATCGAGAGCGCAGTTGCCCCTGTTGTAGTAGACATTGGCAAGCCCAGCTGCCTGGCCCCTGATGTTCACTGCATCTGCGCGCAAGAATCGAGCTGCTTGATTAGCGATGACATGAATCCTGAATTGGAGAAGCAATTGCAGATCCTTATTGCTTCCATACACCATCGAATACGGCAGCTACAGAACCGGAATGATGTGCCATCAGTTGCATGGTGGGACGCTTGTGCATGCGAGGAAAGCAGCAGGTGCCAGACGCTATACGTGTGCCGTCTTTCATCTCTCGAGCAAACAACGCTTCACATGCATGCCATATATATGCCATGTATGGCAGGGCCAAGCAGGAAGTGCTCACCTGATGCGGCATCAATGACAGCGTTGCCAATGCCGGACAGGTTGACCATCACGTCCTTGGTGACTCCTGAAATATACACTGTGCCCGTGCCGGAGCTCACAATGACAACCGAGGGGATCTGTCCCCGGACGATGATGTCACCAGTCCTGCAGGCCAGAGCACATATGAGCAGCAGCAGACCTTTACAATACATGACTCATTGCGCAAGGTTGAGGTGAACATGTGCACTTCATATTGCAGCACCCTACTCACCACTCACACAACATCCTTCTGAGTTCATGTCATGAATATTGGACTGCTGTGCATGGAAGGAAGGATGAAGGAGCTTGGAAGGAGCGGCACCCTGAGTTCTGCAGCCTGACATTGTCTGACTTGAGGCCCTTGACTTGGAGGGTGGATACGCCGCTGTTTACCGCTGTAAAGGAGGATGGGCTGAAAGCTCCCATGACAACAACCTGGACGGCTGTGGCTGGTTTGACCTCAACCCTCTCAAGCTGCGAGGCTGGCAGCCTGCGCATGCAGATGAACACGGCAGATTTGAGGCAGGCACCAAGCTCCCAAGGCTTTTACAAAGAAAGAGCTCTGTGTCAGGACATGCATGCAGGAACATGGGTATGGCACAGCGTGAACGTATGTGCTTCAGTACCTCGTCCTATAAAATGCCAAGGTGATCCAGGCAGCGTGTCATGCATGCCAAAACAAGAGCTTCAGGTGGAGTCCAAAAGGTTCAATCGAAGACAATTACGAGCGGAGATTCTGCAGGAGCCAGTCCCGTACTTGACAGTCAGCTTGATGGGCTTGGATGTGGAGAAGCGTCCTGAGACGCCAAGGCTCAGGACGCCATTGGACACGGAAGCTTGCAAAGCCCTGCCCACGCTGTCGTCTGCGTCAAGAACGATCTGGTACTGGTTGGCCTGCGAGGAGGGCGACACCAGGACGTTGAAGGGCTGGCACACCCTGATCGTCTTGAAAGCCGGCACGTCCTTGGCTACGGGCGCTGCAGAAGTCATGCCTGTTACAGCTGCCAAGGCCACTGTCGCCAAGAGCCAGACTCGTCCGCTCATGTTTCCTTGCTCTGTCGCTGATCTCTGTGTGCTCACCTCCCGCTGAAGCTTTCTGCAAGTTTCACTTCTGACGAGATCGTCTGTGAAGATCTTTGCCTTGAATCATGGTGTCGACTTCTGGACTCGCATGACTGAGCAGGTGGCTGACTGGACTGCATGCCAGCTGTCATGTGCCCACCTCGATTTGATCACAGTGCAGATCTGCAGAGGCAGATTCCAGACCATGCTCTTCTGGGCCTTGTCACACTGCACGAATCTCTCACAGGAAGACCTTCTCTCTGAATGAAATCCTGGGTGCATAGGCCGGGTGCGCAGGAACATGCATGCGAGTGCATCAAGCATGATCTTGTGTGTTGCACGCATGCAACCTTGGCAGATTGAGCGAGGTGTCCATGCTTCCAACTAAAGCAGCTTTTTTTAGAAAGAGACACAACAGCTTGAGATTTCGTTGATCTGTGCTTTGCACCTGAGAGTCAAAGTCCTCAATGACCCTTAAAGCCTCCAACTATATGCATATGATAAGGCCCACCGATGGGCAATGGACCTAAAGGAGCTTCCTCATTTGAAACGATTAGATTGTCACTAATAAAAGAGATTCGCCAGAGGCAAGCGAATCATCAACAGTCGGTCGGTGAATACCTTGTCTTCTCATAACCAAACGTCTTAGTACATACACATACAGGCTAGAAATACAGAAGTGTCACAGCCGAGCTTCTGAAAACACTGCCATCAGTGCGCCGCAGGTGTCTCTGCACATGGCATTTCAGGGAGCGCTGGGGCTGTCTCCAACTGTGACACCCCCGGCCGGCTCAGGGCGGCTCTGGAAGGTTGCCAGATAGTCCTGCGCCCTTTTGGTCTCTGCGCGGCGCCTGCCCCACCACCAGCCCTTCTCCTTCGCCATCAGCTCCACGATCTGCGCATGCCCCACATGCACATCTCTCCATGGACTGTCTTCACGGCACCGCTGCTTTGCACGTTATGTGATTGGGTGGAAGAATCAAGGTCTCATCTGAGGAGTGAGCATACAGACAAAGACACATCTCCCACCAGTCGTAACCCTTCTGCGCTCGACCACGCCGTGCATCAGGTTTGAACAGATGCTCTGCCATCTCAGAACTGCACAGTAACATCCCCTCGGATAACACAGGATCCAGCCATCGTCCTCCACCAAATCAAGCCGGCCAGGATGCTACACGCATGCAGAAACGCTGCGCTTGTCCCCAAGGACAACAGAAGTCTTAGATGTGGCTGCAGAGCATGGGTACCAGGTATGACACATGTGCTTGTCTCGAAGGCCCAGAGATGCTTGCAAAACAGGGGTGCGGGGTCAGGCTGGCGATTATGACACACACCTTGGGCAGTGCCTGTTCCGCAGCGGCGGTGTCGACGAAGGCGAGGCGCGTGCGGCGTGCGATGAAGTCCTCGGGGTGCTCGCAGTACTCGTTGTGCACCGCGTAGACCACCTCCGCCTCGATCATGGGGTGGCCACGCACCAGGCGCTTGCCCAGCTTCTTCTCCTCCGCTATGTGCGTTATCACCTTGGCCCGGTCCCCGTACGCGGCTGCGCCCGCCATTCGTCACATTAGTCAAGGCAGCATACGTTGCACCACAGCATTATTTAAGTGCGTGCCCATCACCTCAAACACAATGTTTGCCAATCCTGCTCCCAACCCTGGCGCAGCAGTGTTCGCCCTCACGTTTGTCCTCCTCTGCACAAGCTTGTCTCCCAACAACATCCTGGGAAATCGTGCCATGCTTTCAAGACTAGCCTTTCCTTCTACCACAGACAGTTCTCTTCGAAACGCAGTGAAGACCCTCCAATTTTGCTGGGCGCAGGCACATCGAGTTGGGAAGAGCAGATCACCTGCGAGGTAGCGCGCAACACTGGTGTCAATGGCACCCGGGCGATGGGGGACCTTGTAGTGCTGCGCAACGTCCGTGAACAGCGCGGGGGTGTATCCGGCGGCGCCCACCAGAGGCAGGTTGTGCGTGCGGCAGGGGCCGGCCGCGTGCAGCCGCCCTGTCGCCAGCGCCTTGTCAATCGCATCCTCTGCCATCAGCCGGTAGGTCGTCCACTTGCCGCCTGCCGGAATGCTTGCAAGTCAGACTCCTCGAACGGCTGTGCAAAGGAATTCATGGAGATCAGATGCATGCATGCATGGAATACATGCAGACTTTTCAGCTGTTGCATCCTGATATTTTGGTGCTCCTCAGCTGCAGAGTACATTGCTACACACAAAAAGAGTAGAACATGCAAGTTGCATGTGGGATAAGCCGGAAAATCTGAGGGCGCATGGAAAATGATCCTGCACTGTTGCAGCCCGCATATCGCATCCTGTCATGACAGCAGCTCCTGGCCATATGAAGGATGCCCAACGGAGCACAGACCACCCGCGTGTCACAGTGAAACGCCCATCTCGTGCTGGTACACCAAGCGCCCACCTGTAACAGTGATGAGGCCGTCGGGGTCTTGGGTGACAATGTGGTCCCGCGAGGCAGAGGCAGTGTCCTTCGCATTGGGGTCGACAGCTAGGGGCCGCAGCCCGCTCCAGGCGCTCTGCACGTCGCTGCGGCGCACCTCCACTGTCAGATACTCGGAGATGGCGTCCAGGATAAACTGGATCTCCTCCTCCGTCGGCTGCGGCCGCATCGTGATCTCCGAGCTGCTGTCTGCGCAACAGGAGACAGGTCCCAATCACTCTGGCAGCACTTGCTGGATCTATCAGTGCATCAGCTGATGACATCAGGTGAATGTCAGCGGCATGTGAATGATGCCCTTGACAGCAATGATCCTGCTTAGTATAGCAGTTGCGCAAATTCGGGCTCGTCTGCGGCTTATGATTTTTTGTGTGTGTGTTGGCCACAAGCCAGGATTTCTGAAACACTCAACTAAGGAAAGGCATTGAAGGGTAGTTGAGGCACAGTGGTCTGCCAAACTGAACTGTTAAGTGGAAGGGGGGCCTCACCAGTGGTGCCTGCAATGGTGGCCTCGAGCCAGGGGAGCATGAAGACCACCCTGCCATCCTTGGTCTTGGGCACAATCATGCCCAGGTGATCCGGGGAGTAGTAGTCCGGCAGGGTCACATGCACGCCCGCGCTCGCCATGATCATCTTGGGCGCCTCGGGCTCTGACATGTGCCGGATGCCGTCAGAGAAGGGCCCAGTTGCGTTGATCACCTGAAACAATGGCAGGCAGGAAAACTCAAGACACGAGCCACTATGCATCAAGAGAGCACACTTCCCAATTAAATTGTACAAAGAATCCGGGCACTATCAGGTCGACTATGCATGCAGGCAAGAAGGATGCAGAAGCGTACCTGGCGAGCGTATACATCATGTGATTTTCTCCCAAGCACATCCTTCACAGTGGCCCCGACAACTCGCCCAGTCTCGTCCTGCAATGCATATCAGGTCTGACTTAGAATAGAATCGTGTACTTCATGCATGATCTGATCAAAGAGAAGGCACAATGTGGCTCACAGGTGGCCTCACTGGATCTAGGACGGCCTGGCCAGTTGGCCATCTCTTCAACAAGTCACCCATGCAGCATTTCACCTTGATGACGCGGGTCACTTCTGCATAGTTGAGGACCGTTGCTCCAGCCATGGCCGCCGTGCAGGCGAGGCTCACATTCAGCCGCGAGTCATCAAACTGCCCATCGTAGTACACAATCTGCATGAAGCACATACACCTCATGTCCCAGATCCTCACTCCACACGGTTGCAACCACATTCAGCATGCAGATTTTGATCAAGGCAGTGCCAGACGCTCTGGCGCATGCCATGCAGTGCCATTGCAGCTGGACATTCCTGGAAATAGAGTCACTCCTATTGTGAATGCGCTCAAGCGTGCCCTTGAGAGAGAAGGTGCAAGGGCTCTCACCGTGCCCTTGAGGGAGCTGTGGTCAGGGCCGTGCTTGGCGAGGGTGGGAAACTGCCGGCGCGACTCGGCCGGTGTGGTGTAGCGCGACAGGGTGAGGCCCTGTGTGCCCGCCACCAAGTCATAGGCCTTGAGCCCCGCCCAGTAGTAGGGCACCTCCCACCACTTGTAGCACGGCTGCAAAGCAACTCACCCATCTCAGCCTCACTCTCATGCACCATTCGGAATGCTGGAATCTCTAGACTTATTGTCATGCTGTGATTGGGGCATGCATGACTTGATGGTATGCATGCCTTTGCCAAAGGACATGTGCACTTGCTTTCGCTCTAGTTAATTGGGTCTACCATATTGCTTGGGCAAGGAAACGCAACATGCATGACTGTCACACGTGGGTTTCTGCATCTTCAACTCAGGAGACAGCTGCAACAAGAGTAAAATAAAGGGCACCGTCATGATGGGCAATGCACTGCTGAGGTGGGGGGCGTTCTGCAGCAGGCGCTTGCGCTCGTGCAGGGCCTCAAAGACAAGCTTGAGCTGCCCGTAGTCCAGGTTGAACACTGCCTTCTCCAAATACCTCACGCCCCCATGCACTAGCTTTGTGCTTTTGGAGGAGGTCCCCGAAGCAAAGTCCTCCCTCTCCACCAGTGCAGTTTGCAGACCCCTGTTTACAGGTGGCCATATGATATAGAAGCACCAGGATATCATCTATTACCGTAAGAAAGCCAGGTATGGCACGCTAGAATTGGCAGGTTGAAGCAGAAAGCAAAGCGCTTAGTGAGTGTGATGGTGATGACGGTGTCTTGACCAGACCTGGTAGCGGCATCCACTGCACAACCGGTGCCGGTGGCTCCACCTCCAATGATGAGGAGATCGTAGGGATTGTCCGCCGTTCCATTTGCCAGGTGCTGAAGCTGCTGCTGTCTGGACGGAACCTGAACACCAGTACTTGTATTGTCAGAGGGGTATGGATCCTTCTGTAACTTGACGATGTGCTTGAAATATCGTTCTATGTGCGATGGAGATAAGCAGTTGCAATATAGGAGTCGCAACAGATTTTAAGGCATCGGGGTAGGGTGTTTGATGTGTCTGTCTCACCTCGTCCAAGAGGAACAATCCTGCCGTTTGATGAGCTGCATCAGGTCTTTTAGAGTTGTAAAATGCTGATATAGCCGCAGCACCTGCACCTGCACTAACGAGCACGAGTCCTCCGCGCACAAGGGTGCGAAATCTCGACATGATCAGGCAATGCTCCAATCCGAGCTCTACTCTTGCAGGATCGTTTCGTACGTCGGACAGAAATCAAAAGCCCCAACACCGTGAGGGGACTACTGGGCTGCGTTCATTGAGGGACCATGCACCCATCCTAATGCTGCAATTCAGCTCCCGTACTACAATGTGTCCTTGATTAAACAACAATCGCGATGACGTGCAGGAATCGCCAAAATTTTCTGCAACTGTGCGTTTGGTTTCGGCAGGAGTGAGAAAGTGAAATGTGTGCATGGCATTGCATGATGGTGACTAATCCCCGTAGGCCAACAACATTGGACTGCGCTTCCCTGCCGCACGGACGCAAACATTTGGAGTAGCTGAGCTTCTGATGATCTCGTATGCTTGAAAAGATTATATAATGCGTCCGCAGCTGCCGAGGTAGATAAAGAGGCCGCAGGTCCAAGCAATAAGGGGTGTTGACACCAAGTCACATGGAAGGAACTTTCACCAATTCCAGGTGACCTACACCAGACAGATGGTGTAGCAAAGCGGCTGCTTATTGATCTGCTTTAATTTGCTCCGCTGGAATTCATCACCTGGCGGGCGATGATTTCCAGCACGAAGAAGTGCTTTCGGCGATGCCGCTGGATCTTGCAGAGCCACGAGACTTAGTTTCAACATCATACTCTATTCTCACTCTAGTAACGCACGTATGAGTTTGCAGATCTGCTGCCCATGCAGGAGCCAGAAGCTCTTCTACAGAGCCTATCTTGTACCAGCTGGTGCAACTTCCAGGAGTACAGTGGTATTCCATCATGGATATGGCGCCCACTCGGGTATTTATGAAGAAGGTATGTCAGGATGGATCGAAAAAGCTGCTGTGCTTGATTATTGTCCAGCATGCACCCCAGAACCTGTCCTGGCTACAGCTCTGTGTTGGGCGGTGGAGCAGCCTGAGTACAGTTTGCGCTGTGATATTCAAGGAGTGTGTGCTGGACATGGTATGAATGTGCAGACTTCAGGGAGCTGCAGAAGGCAGGGATCTCGGTGTTTGCATTTGACGCGCACAGCTTTGGGAGATCAGGACCGCTGGACGCCAGATGTCGCGCCTACATCACCTCTGTGGATCACTTGGTTGACGATGTCTACAGCTTCCTGAAGGTGCCGGGATGCTTCCTCTTGCGCAAGATGATGTCGCTATTCAACATGCCATTCTCGGACCAGCTCACTGAAAAAGACTGCTCGTCTATATTGCCCTGCATGCACGTGCGCGTCTTGATGAACTCCTGGAAGTTGACCAGAAGCTGAGCGCTTCAGAGTCAAGACCTGTACCCCTTGCACTGACATTGCACCTCTTTGTATTGTGCAGGAAGTCGTAGACCGGCATCGAGACCCAAAAGCGCCTCTGATCATGGCTGGGGTGTCCATGGGTGGCATGGTGTCGGTGCTTACTGTCAGAAAGGTCCCTTCCATCTGGGCGGTGAGCATCATCCTGTCCACTTATAACATGTTGCAATGATTGGCCATTCCCAAAGGGCTGCTGAATAGATTAATGGTGGCCGGTTCAAAATGACTGCGCTGGATGCAGGGTCTCTTGCTGCTGTCGCCAGCGATCGATGTCCCGCGCACGCTTGTGCTGCGCGTCATGTCAGCTGTGCAGAGCGTAATTGCGCCCTTGATTCCCGGCTGGCGCATTGTACCCCAGCCGACACTTGACATGGTCACAGAGGACCTTCAAAAGGTTGGGAACCCTGCCCTTGTCACTACTTACTAGAGTCTTTGGGCTTGGTCCCATGTTGTCCACCATAACTATTCTTACTAAGCAAGGATCAAAGGAATGATCCTGTTCTCTTGAGTGCCTTTTGAGTACTGGATGGGTTCAAGCGTCCATAGCATTCTGCATGATGTTGGCTCTCTGGCCATAATTGGTAAGACCAAGATCAAAAGGTCAGTATAGCTGAAACAATGCATGCACAGCAAGAACGAATGTGGGCGGTGCATGACAGAGGGAGGAGCTGAAGGCCGATCCATTCATGGATCTGGCAAGGTTGCGCGTGTGCACGGCGCGCTGCTTCCTGGACGGCTTTGCACAGATCAAGGAGATGCAGGGCCACGTCAGCCTCCCCATATTTGCCGCCATGAGTCCAATCGACAAGGTGCTGGCAGCTGAATAAATGCACTGCTGCGTGCACCATTTTGGGTGCCTTCCTGTAAAGTTCCAACAGATGTGAGGATTCATAATGCAAAGATCAATGGTCTCTGTCAGCGGGAGCTGCAGGCGTTCAGCTGCTTGATACTTTCAAGCAATTTGATTCCCTCAGCTATCAAGGCCCTACTTTGATGCGTGCAGGCATGCGATTACGGCAAACTCAAGGGCTTCCTGGGTGCGGTCGAAAGCAAGGATGTAACTCTGCTGACTGTGGAGGGCGCTCGCCATGAGGTGCTGATGAGCCCTGAACGCGAGCACGTCCTGCAAAGCATCATCGCGTGGCTCACACGCTGAGTCAGACGGACACACTCTGGATGCTCCCGCACGTTGGCAGGAAGGCCAGTGACACCAAATTCATGGCTCGGTGAACCTTGTTAGAAACACTGGATAGAAACACTGGATAGAAACACCGGTTATAACCTACTAATTAGATGCACGGTTGTGCACTGTACACAACCTCTTGAACACAAGCTGAGGCTAAGGCCAAGGCAGGGGCTGTTGCGACTGCAGCTGCACAAGAGGTCATTCAAACAATACAGAATGGAAAATATCAATTGTAGAACATGCGATCTGCCAAAACTTTCTCCATCTGTTGGACCTAAACAATGGGAAGGCTGCATGCATGCAACCTAAGTTAGGGCTGCGCGCAATTACAATTACTGGGAGCGCGGGCCTGGGGTGCCAACATGCGGTGTAATGTCGTACAGCATACTGCGCTAGATAGGAGCTTGTAAGAGCGCTCTGTTTAGCTTAATTGGATCGAGTTTCAAATTTTCAGCTTGCAGAATTCGCATCAGCGGCTTTGCTATCATGATGATCCGACGGCGGCCGGTAAATGCCATTGGAGTCCCGATACGAGTGTGTAGATCTTGTTTTGAACCCAAAATTGTCTGCTTGAAATACCTTGCCGCCTCAACTGGCAAGTTTTTGGGGTGAACATGAGCTCTGTCACCATGCTGTCACATGCTATGCAATGGTGGCATGATCGACCTTTATGAAGCCAAACTTGGCATGAGCATCATGTCCAGTTTCCTCCTGGCAAAGCTGGTCCCTCTTTGCAAAAAGTATACATCGCAATGGCGTTACAACTTCAGAACTCTTACTGGTGAGTATACCTTCCATCTGCAGTGGACTGATGCGATCTTTCAACTTTATTTATCTGACGAGGTTGGCCACGTGCAGGGTTCTGAGGCATGGACGCAGCAAAGCAAATGATGCAGGATTAATCGTCAGCACAGTGGTGAGATCTGTCTACAATCTCTGACCCAGAAATATCCAAATTGATAGGCAGCAGATTGTGAGAGACGATGCACCTTCCAGAGCACAGCAGATCAAGATGGTGTGCACTGACTTTTTGTTTCTGCTACATCAGGAAAACGGCGTACCACCAAGATATGGATTGAGCGATTTAGGAAGGCAGCAAGCTAAGGAGGCAGGGTAATTTTCTCAACGAACCTTCCAAGGCCAGTCAGTGACACCTACTATGATCCTCGCTCTTCACCACGCACACCTTGTAAAACTCACAGCGCACCTCTCTTCACATGTAGGAAGGAGCTGAAGCAGCAGCTGGCGGCCACTGATATTGCGGATGTCAAGGTCTTCTGCTCTCCCCTCACCAGGACCCTGGACACTGCAGTGATTGTGGCAGAGGAGCTCGGTATTTACACTACAGACTCTCAATTCCAGGTACAATTCCCACAAAGTATTTGTTTGCTCCATAGGCGTGATGCATGCAAGCACAATTAGCTGTGCGCATGCATCTTCCAGTCAAGACTTCTGTTTGGAACATAGCAAAATCCCAGAGATGACAACAAGTCGTTCCATGTATGTGTCAGGTGGTGCCAGAGCTGATAGAGCGGAATTTTGGGGAGTATGAGCTGCAGTCAGACAGCAACTACCAGAAGGTGTGGGAAGTGGATGCAGCAGATCTGTCAGCAGTCCCCAGTGGAGGAGGGGAGAGCGTCGAACAGGTAGCAATAGAACACACTGGAGCTACCTTGCGCGTTTCCTTCAAGATTCTGTATTGCTAGGTCAACTGCCCATATATTGTCTGGCATGAGTCATCTGGAAGTCACAAGCATGGAACCCCATGCATGACTTATTTATCCCCGAGCGTTTCCTCAGGTTGCAGAGCGCGTGCGATCCCTCTTTGCCACCTTGGAGGAGAGCAACAAAGGCAAGAGCATTCTGCTGGTGTCCCATGGGGATACACTGAGCATTCTGTGGGCCACTGTGAAGGGCTTGCCTCTACAAGAACACAGAAAGCATGGCCTGAACACTGGCCAGCTCAAGCTTCTGCATGCTGCTTGAGACATCCCTCCATCCGCGACAGAGAAAGCAAGAATGTATGATAATGTTGGTGGTATGCACTGCTGAGGAACCTGTGAAAAGCAAGAGAGGCGCTTCTCTCAACGTCCACTTTTTATAACGTGACCGGAATTTTTTTGCTAGATCAGTAGCCTGGTGCTTTCTCACTGTGCACATGTGGCTGAACATCTAAACTTAGTCTCAAACGTCAACTTGAAATACTCAGTCTGTAAAGAGAAGGTGCACGTGCTCCAAGAGTTTAGTCAGTACAGGACTAGCCGCTGCGGCAGCACTGCGCTCGTTGTGGACGTTTGGGATAATTAATACACAGCAATGTGGCAGACCTTGTCATGCGGCAAATTTGAGCCCTTTTGTACCTCACAGGACACATGCCATGAAAGAAGCGGCCAATTGGCTGCAATCTGTCATTGTTGGGACAGGAGTCTGCTCTATCAGGAAACCTTCAAGCTTGTAAGGGCACCATTGTTGGCGTTGCCATTTGCAGTTGCACCCAAGGCTTGTGCAAAATCTGCAATGAGATCTTCTGTGCCCTCGATACCCACCGAAAGCCTGATGAGTGACTCGGAAATTCCTGCAGCCTGCACGATCAAGATCAAGCCCTCAGAAGCCGGCAAATAAGTATCACATGCATCATGTCATTTCTGCATGCATGGCCCGATTGCCCAGATCACTGCATGAACCTGATCTCATGAGGTGACCATACTTGCACGTGCACACGCAAGCGAGTTGTTATGCTCAGCTGCCTCACAGTCCAGAATCTATTGTAATCTACGTGATCAGGCACTGCACAGAAATGAACTTACCTTGCGGCCTTCCACCCCCAAAGCTTCATGGGATGTGAAAGATGGCATGGTGATCAGGGACTCCACCCCGCCCAGACTGGGAGCTATCAGCGGCAGCTTCAGTGCCTGCATGCACAAGTGAATTGAGTGTGTTTCATATCGCTTACCTAATCAGACATACGGTCACTGTGAGATGCCCCGGCAGCTGGATGTTCTAATATGGTGACGAGTTGCCAAGCAGCTGCAACATAGTATTGCAACGAGAGGCAATTTTAATTGCTCCAGCAGCTGATGAAAAGTCTTCTATCCTTTTGAAACTCGACTGCTTGCACTTGATGCCAAACAGCAAGCTATTGCACTTGTCTCTTCCCGTTGGCATACCTTCAGCAGGGCCTGTGCAGCACTTGGGCCGCCCTTCACTTCAAATGACAGCACTCCCCCGCCGGAGCCCTTGAACAGGCGCTTCGCAAGGCCGTGGAAGGGCGAACTCTCCAGCCCTGGGTAATTCACCTTCTCCACCTGCTTGTACAGAATTTTATTTTCCTAATTAACCAGGAGTAATGTCATTCCTGGGAGCGTCCACTCATCAGGACTGGGGCGACCGGCTTAGCTCGCAGGGTTGGCTCTGATGAACTGTGCCGCTCATGCGACAGAGATTAGCTCTGATGCCCGAACCAGAGGGAGTTATGCAGGATAAAGACGCAGGCATGAACGGCATTTGGCAAGCTGCGACTTGATATGCAGTCACCTGGGGATGCTCCTCCAAGAAATTAGCCAGGGCGAGTGCAGAGGAGATTTGTTGGCGCACTCGCAGGGCCAGGGTTGTCAGGCCTCTTTGCAGCAGGAAGCAGGCATGCGGGTCAAGGACGCCCCCATAGACAACAATCTTCTCCCTCACCTGCGCGTTTTCTGCAACATTAGCCAAAGCCGCAGTGCTGCAGTAAGTTTCTAGCATTGCAATGCCAGGAAGGGTGACATAAAGCAAGCGTCTGCATGCAGCCACAAGCAGGCACGCTGGGCAAGACAAGTGCTTTTGGATGTCCTGAACTTTCACTGCAGACAGCTGTCTGCAATGAATTCATGAAGCCAGGCGCAACAAATACGCTCACAGATCCCATCTGGCAAGAGCTGTTGCCCAGGTTCCAATCTTTAGAGCGTCTGCCCGGCGCACACTTTTGCAATGAAGTTGGCAGGGCCGGCGACAGCCCCAGCGATGATGTCGGAGTGGCCATTGAGGAACTTTGTGGCACTGTGGATGACAATGAAGCCCAGCCGCGCCGGCTTGAGCAGCACTGGCGTCGCAAAGGTGTTGTCCACTACATGTGTGAGACCGTGCTGCTGGGAGAAGGCTGCTACTGCCTCCATGTCGGCCACGCCGATCAGAGGGTTGCTGATGGACTCCACATAGAACACCTGCGCAGGATGCCACCGCAGCATTTGCAGCATTCAGTTCAGGCAAAGCCACCTTGGAACAAATTGCAATCCTGAAGATATTGTGGCCTCGATTTCCTTGACTCTGTGCAAGTCTGTGCATGCAGGAGTCTGCATGTTAAGCATCTGTGGCTTTGGCACGCGCAGCAAATATATTTCTAAAGTCAAGCATCCATGTAAGCCTATTCTACAGATGTGTACAATGAACCATGAAGGACTGCTGTCTGACAGGCAAGGACAATGTCTGCACTCTGAGCATTGCAGAGACATGAAGGTCTGCACGTACCTTGGTGTTTGTTCTGAGCGCTTTCTCCCAGCTGCCAGGGTCTGCTGGGTCCACAGTGGTGTGCTCGATTCCCAGGGAGGACAATTCTTGATGCACTAGCTCAGATGTCCCTCCATATGTGGCAGTCTGCCAAAGTGAATGGTCTCAACAAAGACTTGAGACAAGTAATAAAACACTTGGCGAGCAACAGTTGGTGAAACTTGCTGGATCGTAGCAAGCAAATTCGCAGATACGGTATGGATAGGGTCATGAGCAGGCGCAAGATTTGCTGAGTGCGTGTGGGATCTTAGCAGGCTAGTGGTTACCTGGATGAGCAGGTGGTCGCCCGGCCTCAGGAGGGCCAACAGCGTACTGCTGATAGCTGCCATACCACTCGCGGTCACCAGAGCACCCTCTGTTCCTTCTATCGCTGCGATCGCTCGTGCAAGCGCCTGCGGGGTCGCGATGCAAGCCTTCATGGGGTTTCAACACATTGACAGGGCGACAGAACCTAGCCAACAAATTTACTTGGCGGACCGCAGATATAGAAAGTGACACAGGTCACTACACTGTTGAATCTCACGATAGGCCGCTTCGGGTGCCTTACGTGATGGTTCGGAGAATCAGCAGGGCGAGTGTAGGCAACGAGATCTTCATTGCCATCCCCTGAATACCCGTAGGTAGCGCTTTGAAAAATCGGCATCACGGCAGAACCCAACACTTTTGGGACACCAGTGTGTATCACAGCCGTTTCAATGGACATTGGGCTTGATCCAGCAGGCGCCATGTCGCTGGAACGCACGCCGATTACAGGGCTCCTGCCGACAACTTCCACTGCGAAATAATCACTGAAATTGTACTGATCAAATCCCGGTGGTAATTAATGCAGCTTTCGATAATTCTTGTGTGCAGAAGCTGGAGGAAACTTCATATTGACAACAGCACGTGCTACTGGCACGTGCATCCAGCATGCAAACAGGGATATTATAAATTATAATTCATAATATTATACTAATTATATTATAGTAAGTAGTACAAACGAGTGATAGCCGGCATAAAACACGTGCAGTAAGGGTGGATCAGCAGTAAATCTACCGTCAGTACAACAACAATTAATTCATGTGGCAGTTGGACATTGTCAGTGTTGCACATTTTGTCATGGATTGTTCTGATCACTTGAATGCTCAGCAGGCTGTCACTACATCCAATCATGATTTCTGATCAGCCCTGGGCGGCTGGAGCTGATGTGTAATTTCCTTCCTTCCTTCTTCCAGTAGGACTGGCAAGGAAACATGCAAGCAAACAAAGCAGATGGCATGTAAATGACCTGGCTCAGTCTCTAGGATCCTCCGGAGTGTATCCACATCAAAGTAGGTCAGGACAAAAGAGAGGCATGAGGAGAAGTGCCAACCTGTATAAAAGCAGGAAGACCTCCAGTCAGCGCCAGGTGGACAGCTCCCAAAAACCCACGCTCGTGGATGCAAACTGCCAAGTTTAGCCAAGACAGTAAGTAGGTAGTATACCGTAGTAATTTGCCTGTCTGCAGACGCACCTTGCCTTCGGCAGGAAAAGCGTGTAATAACAATAATAATAATAATAGGAATTTACCCCTACATGCAAATTTGGTGTGGTGTGCCATTGATTGGTCTCGGTACTCTGCAGTGGACTTTCGTGTCCAGACGAATTCTGACGATGAAATCATTATGATATATATCCTCACAATGGCCATATGCCAAAATCCCCCAGACTCTGCCACCAAGCGCATTACAACCCAATAGGGAATTCCAAAGTCTATACCATCATATGATACCAGCATGATGCATGATAGAACCAGTGTAGGAGCTGCGCACCCTGCAAAGCAAGACCAAGATCCCTCACAGCATTCGCTGATTCACAATCTGACCCATACCTATGCATGTGCACAACAGGCTCGCTCTGAATGGATCCGTGATTTCACACCATGGTCATCCCAACCTCATATAATAGATCCGCCAAGCTCTTGGGCATGCAACGTTGCAACGTTGACGACCTAAGGGAACTGTGACGGGCTCGCAAGCCCCTAATAGTACATCACCCTACCTGCTCAGCTCAATTGAGTAACGATTCTTGAGTACAAGTGACAGTTGACCCGAAAAAAAAGTGTGCACGAATGACTTGGCCTAAAAAACCACCCGTTGATACATCTAGGTCTCAGACCATGCTCCCAACACCCCACACCTGGCATCAAGACAATCTCCAGCTCTACCCAAGGCACCATAGCCTACAGAGGGCGCTCAGGACTGCCAGACTTCACAACACTGACATCAGCTCAGCTTGTGGTACATACAAGTGTGTACAAATGTAAAGCAAAACTCAGAATGATCCCCAAATATATCCTAACGACAGGTAGGGAGCTCGAGATGACCGTTGGATAGTGCAGCAAAGGAACGCTGCATCAGAATACAATCGCTGTTGTATGTACACGTTTGCAACCTCTATATATTGTACTGTACAAACTTTGGGAGCAGCAAGACCCGCCTCTGCCGTATTCTTCTGATAAAGAACGGCCAACTTTTAAGATCACCAAGTGTTATATTACTGGATACACAGTACATTCCAGTATACAGTGCACAGCCCAATGAGGCCTGCAGTACAGGGCCTTCTCCAGTCAAGGCTCCAGGTTCATCTTCCCCAAATTGTCATTCAGCACAATCCATGGCACATTGTTGGTACACAGATGGCAACCCAAGCTCCTCGAGCTTGCTGCCACGCCACGAATGCCCAATTCAGATCTGTCCTGCTGCTAAAATTTCGCAGGCATTCTTCTCCAGTATTTTAACAGGCCTGCTCAATCGCTCAAAATCTTCTCCATCCTCTCAAGATCGCCTCCGGCACGCCACAGACACATCACGGGCGAGTTGATTTCAGCACTTTTGAACATTGCGGAATCATGATTGCAAAGCCCTGACGGCTGTCCCATGAACACATGCACCGCTCTGGCGGAGCGCGCGGCGCGCCGACCGGCTCCCGGCATCGGCCGCCAGCGGGCGTTAGGGTTATTTTAGCTCCCTCAGTCCCGGGGGCGGCGGAAGGCGCTGCAGCCGCGGTCGCGAAGTTTGTCGGCGATCGAACGCAGGTCGATGTCGGGGAAGCCGCTCCAGCTGAAGAGCTCCTCGGGGTCCATCCGCCATACGTCATCCTCGTCCACCGCCGCCTTGTCGGAGTGTATCGTTGGTGGCGGCTGCTCCGGCTTTGCGGCGTCGGGCGCCGGATCGGCCGCGACTTTGCCAGCCGCCTCAATCGCCGCCAGGCGCGCCTGCTAGACAGAAATCGTATGTGCAGCTCAGCAGAGAAGGGCTTGCACATCCGGTCTTCGTAAATTAAGCGCCTGATGTTTCAACACGATTGGTGCAAGCACTGTGCAGGCATGGTTGCACGTCTGCTACCTGTCTGCTCCATAAAGCTTTGTACAAACGAAGCACCACAGAACATGTTGAGGCATCCACAAAACATGTGCAACATCCAGACAGCCACCGCAGAACCATGCTGGGGGCATCACAGGACATGTGTGAGATCCAGGCATGCAAGGGGCACGGCGGGGGCGCACCTTCTTGGCGGCGTGCTCGGCGCGGATGGCGCGGCGCTCGGCGGCGGCGACGCGGTCGTGCATGGCGCGCTTGGCCTCCAGCATGGACGACAGCGACTCCTTGGACGCGCGCAGCGTCTCGTCCATAGCGGCCGCCAGCGCCTCGTCGTACCGCCGCGTCTCCGCCCCCAGCGTGCTCGCCTGCGCGCACACAGAATTAATCAGACAACCCAAGACCAGCAATATCCGTCATGTCACATAACACACAGCCTCTGTCACGAGAGCGCCATGCACTGAGCGAAGCTTGCCTTTCCCATCTTGAGCTTCATGCAGAGGAGAGTACAATATATGGGGTAAGTCAATTAAGATTCAAGGGCAAAGTCATCCAACCCTGAACCTGCCGGTAGTCTTAAATCCGACAAGCTTCTGTGGGGCAAGTGCCATGTGCATGTGACAGTCAGCTCAGAGGGGCCTTGGGGGCCGTGCCTTCTGCTCGACGGAGTGGACCTGGTCCGACAGCTGTTGCATGGTGGTCAGCGCCGCGTGCTGGGGCTCCCAGGCGGCGAGCGAGGGGCGGCAGAGCACGTCGCGTGCGCCCTCCAGAGCCAACGCCCCCAGGAACACCGTCATTACCGCCAGCAGGCTGGCCGCCGTGATCCCCCAGTACATCTCAAGCACCTGACCGCCACACATGCCCAGCGCAAGCTCAGGCAACAAGAACATTCCTGCACTCCGTCAAGGCCATGCTTATATACCAAATCTAGGTCATTGTATAGCAGCAGCCGATGCAGGGAATCTGCAAGGCTATGAGTACAAAGCGTTCAGGCTGAACACAGTGTGCCTCATGAGCCCCAATGCACATACGAAGGTGAGAGCCTGCGTAAAAATAGGAACACGATGCGCTGGGACTCCGGCCAGGCACTTGTTGGGAAGCTTGGGGCCAAGAGGTGGAATTAATGAATGAGGCGCACCTCGAGGACGTCCTTGCGGTGGAGGAAGTTGGAGAGCTGCTTGCTGAGGTGGCCAAAGAACAGGAAAGGCTTGGACGCGGCAGACGGCACCTGGGCGATGGTGTGCTTTGCCTTGCTGACCTGCATGCATCAACAGGCAACCTCTCAACACATATACGACTGACCTCTCCAACATCGACCCGACGATCTCTTTCCTCCAAATACTTGTTATGCGATCCAAAAGCAATGATTGACAACTGCAGATGACAAGGGTGATGAAGAATATAATGTCAGGGCCGAACCATACAAAGATCAGACTTGGATGTCCAGCAATTGGATGAGATGCAACCAAAAGGAATGTGCAAAGCTAGGCAGGTGCGCACTGTGAGATTGTGCTGGACCCACGAGGCGCTGACAGCGGCGGCGCCTGCGATGCCCTGGGCGCCAGATCTGGCACTGCAGCCGGCGGCCACGGCCCCGTGCTGCACCGCGCTTCCCACGGCGGCCGCTGACGCCTTGAGCGCTGACGGAGTCGTCCTGATGGCCCGCAGGGACCCCTATAGAGCATCTTGGCTGGTCAGACACACAGCATCGCTAATCCCTATTTGGCCCTCATGTCCTCCAGCAGCTCTGTACTTTATTTGTAATCCACTGGACCCTAAGGTGCCGGCTTGACCTGCTAAGTATGAAAGCGCCCGTCAGAAAGGCAGGGATGCTGATATACCAAGCGCCACGAGGTAAACCCAGGCTTCCTCTACATACTGCAGAAGAGCTCTGCTTCCTTTTCCTTGGCTTTGATTCGGATTCTCCATGCACAAATCTTGGAGGCAATATCAGGGAGGCGGACTCACCTGTCCTGCAGATCGGATGGCGCCTGCGCTGGCACCCAAGACGCGGCCGAGGCGGGAGCTGCGCAGGCGTGCTGCGAATGAGGACGTCGGCGGCCGCAGGACAGCCGGAGCGTCGGCGGGGGCGACTGTGGGGCGCGCACGGGCCTGCAACACTACCAGAGTCTCACCAGCTGCCTGACTGCACTGGAAAATTCTCCTTGTGCTCGCCATGCAGCCCTCCGCGACTGACTACAATCACTTACTGGCACCCTCCACAGCTACTGGTCGGTCTTTTGACTAATAACATTGTGCCATTGCAAACAAAGTGCTGGCATCCGCAGGGGGGGCCAGGCAAATTGAGCAGTCGAGAAGACACCGACAATTCTCGTCGTCAGGCCGAGACATGCACACTTTTCCCTTTCTGGGCTTGAACTCCTCACGAGTTTGGCCAGATCTCTGCCGGGCCCTTGCACAACAGCGAAAATGCAACGCCCACGGCACAACCTCCAGGAACACTTGTAGACTGGCTTGATTCTGAGCTAAAGGCAATAACGGTCCCTTGATAAATATCCCACCTGGAGGCAGATGTCGAGGGGCCGGGCGGGTTCGCGCGCGCGGTCCATGGCCTTGAGGGCGTCAGTGGCCTGCCGCGACTGCAGCGCCTCCAGCAGGGTCATGTTGGGGCCCACCGTGCCCAGGTGTGCCATCAGGATGTTGCTGCGCACTGGCGCCGGCGTCGGCGCTCCCAGCACTCGGCCCTCCGCCACCGCCGGCGGCGCGATCCGCGCCGGGCCTGTGTGATGTAGCCCCACGCATCAGCAGGCGTTCCCATTTGCTTTCTATTGACTCTTGCGTATTGGAGTAGCCCCATAGACTGAGCCAGGCCCCTTTCTATACATAGCTCTCAGTGCCCAGAGGAACCAAGATACGGTTTCTAATCGGCATGAATTTTGGGTTAAGACGTGGGCAGGGAGTGGCGCTCTGTTGCCAGACAAGTGACCTGAAGCAGACCCAGCAGCACGGCAGCGCTCAGCATGCAGCAACAATCCGAGAATGCTCCCAGATGGCGGGACTTTGAAAGCCAGCAGCAAGGGCGTCATTACTCCAACCGTGGCAGCATGGTGGGCAGCTAGCGGCAAACGCCACCTGCTTGAGTCAACTTTTACTTTGTATGCTGTAAGGGGGCTGACCTGTCGGGGTGCGGTACGGGGCAGGCAGGGCGGCGAGGGCGGGGGTGCCGGAGGGGCCGAGCTTGCTGACGGCGGCGAGGGTGATGTCCTCAAAGCGCGCAAAGCGCTGCTCCAGCTCTTCGGTGACCAAGCTGGCAAATTCCTTCTCGTTGTGCTTCAGCTCCAGCTCCAGCGCGTCGCGCGACGCGGTCATCTCCCTGCATGGTCACACAGAAACTTTTGGTATCAAACATGTCACAAATGACGGCTTTGCTTGTCATCATGCACCACAGGGGTGACAAAGGAACTCTTGTGTAAACCTCTGGCGAGTAGCCAGATGATCTCGAGCTAGGGCGCCCTCTTACAGCATGCATAGGAGATGTGTGCCAAATGCAAGCCTCTTATGTCACAGATGCTGCAATTAACTTCTGCCCGACATGATGCACCACGGAACACCTCATCAGCACTTCTAACATCCTCCGCTCTGTCTGCAAGCTAAGTAACACGGATGCGATTTGGACATGCATGGCTTCATGCACGTAGCCACCCATAGGCAGCTGAAGATAAGCTGCCCATGGATAGCCCTTATGCATGAAGCATGCAGGCGATCCTTACGTACGCAACAGACTGCGCTTTCATCTGGATCTTGGGGTCCAGAGACATCGACGCTCAGGCAAGAGTAACAGGGCGGGGCTTACTGCAGGGCGCGGGTGAGCTCCTCCTTCTCGGCCTCGCTGTTCTTGACCACGTTGCCCAGCACCCACTCCTGCTGCTGGTTCGCTTCCTCCAGCGCAGCACGCAGCCGCTCGATCTCCCTCAACGCCTCGGCCAGCCGCTCCTTCAACAATGGTACCGCCTTGGGGCTCGACACAGGGCTACCCACTGCAACCTCCTTCTCTTGTGCATCCTGCGCGACAAAAAGGATCCAGCAAATAGTTAGTCAGAACGCAGACGTGGGGGCTAGTAACAAGTCGACATTATTTAGTTGCCCAGGAGTAGAGGCATTCAGCAAAGTACCGAGCAAGACCTCAAGGGACGCGGGTCAGGAACGCATGAACAAGAGGAGAAGGACGCACTGGCTCAAGACAAAGTAGAAAGTACTGCTTCCTCCTGCTTGTGAGCTTGTGCTTCGACCATCATTTGAGTGTAGAATGATAGTAAAACCAAAACAGAGGCACCCACAAGGCTGGCAGGTGCTCACCCCAACCTCGGGAGGAGGGAGCTGCTTTGCCGGGACGGACAGGACAAGGCAGGGCCCTTCTGGCTGGCTGACCAAGCTCTCCGCCCCCTCAGACACCACCCTTGAGCGCTCCTCGCCTTCTTCTCCAGCATCCTGTTGCAGTGCATCCCCATGCTTGGCATCAGGCCCCATCGCATGCAAGCAGCTGCCTGCATTGCGCGGCGCTCGTCCTTTGGGCCTCAGATGGCCCGTCAGGGTCGTCAAACAAGTTGGCCAGCTATCTCTACTGCAAAGGGCTCCTGATGGTGGCTTGCCATGCATGTTGTGCATATTTTTGCGGGATCATGGATGCATTCGCTTAAACGCAGATCAGAATGAGTATTAGGCAGGTCTTGTCCACGTTACTGATGTTTCACCTAGGGAGACTAGGGATTATGCAAGTAGCATGCATCCAGTACCTTGATGAGCTGGACGCCAAGATGATCGGTTACGTCAAAGTCTTTCCCAAAGACCGCCTCGAGCGCTGCCGCGCTCTTGGCATTGATGGTGGCAAAGTGCAGGCGTGGGCTGGGGTAGCTGTCCGGGGAGGGCACAACCAAGTCCAGGATCTTAACTGGAGAGGCAATGTGCAGTGGGGTTCCCACAGGCGTAGCACAGGCTGACTGCAAAACCATACCACCGGGTTAGACACTTTGACAATCTTGCTGTGACAGGCTTGCACTCTGAGCCGCTATGGAACACCACGAGATCCCTTGTGCGATCCACAAGCGAAAGTTGGCTGTGCTGGGTGTTGCCCTGTCACAACTAAACCCTTGGATGGCAACATCGGGACAACCTTGTGCATACTTTCAGGCGCGAAGGCGCATCCAAAAAACCACAGATGCATTGCATTCCGTGCTAAAAGACAGCATGCAAAGAGACGGGAAGGAATTTCTTTCGTGCCGTGACGCACTGGAGATATTTCAAAAAGTGCCCTGAATATCTGCACCCAACCGAAACGGGGGTTGTGCGTTTAAAATGCACCTCGATGCAAACATGCACCCTTCCTCAGCAAAGGCCAGCTAAAAAAGCACTAGGCCGGAGCCCAACAGATTCCGTCACCTGCATGCTGGGGCTTCAAGCGGCAAAACGCAAATCTCGCATCGTGGTGTAGACCCCATGACAAACAAATTTTCCGGGACATGTAGGATCACAATGCATGTACGGCGCATGCCCGTCGCTTGCTACGCAGTAAAGAGGGTTTGTGCATGTTGTGGTGACTTTGGCATAACGCCCACGACAGCTGGTTCATATCATATATCTAGGAACGGACCCCAAAGGACCGGAAAAAGCATCACAGATGATACTGTTCCAGCCATGCAAAAGCTGCACTGATGTCTGCCAAAACCCACTCCATCGACTTCCAGCACGTCATCACAAGGGCAAAAAGGATTGAGTGTTGCAAAGGTTCCTTTGGTGCCGCCATCAGCCCCGCAAAATATGTCGTAAGGTAAGAAAATTTACTCTTCAAAGAGTCAAGGCACAGCTTTTTGGACTCTGCTTGAACAGCTGGCAATACTCATCACAAAGCAAATTTTACCTGCTCCTGGGAAGAGTTGGCATCCTCGTTCACCATCACGTAGTCAAGTTCGTGGGCATGTTGACCAATGTTCCTCTTCCCCGGCTCCACCGCAGGCAGCACAGCTACAACTTCCTTCGTCCCCGCAACATCCAAGTGTTGACCTGAAGCCATGGTGGTAGCTGCTCCTTGTGCTGTTGCACGTTATTTGAGGAGACCTGGTCCTGCAACTCTGCCAAAGCAGGTCAGGCGGTGTTTGGGCTCAAGATTGGCTCCTGCCAAAGGATTCTGCGAATACTCGCGCCCTTCTGGGACAGCGAGCCCAAAAGGACCCCCCTGTGACGACAGCACAGCCAGATTTGGCGAGCCAGAGCAAATACCTGTAGAAGTCAGCGAGTGCTAGCAAGGTTGCCTGCTCCAGTGGAAGGTCAGTGTCACCTATAATCCAGGTATATCAGATGTGGTTTCACAACCATTGCCAGACTGTTCCAGTGTTTGCCATGGTGGGGCAATGTTCATCATGAATTCAATCGGCCAACCGCACACCGCACACAGTGACTGATGCACGCGTTGCTGTATATGTCAATGCCCTTTGCTGTTGACATCAGCGGTCCACTGCTCAGCAGTCAGCAGCCTTCTCAGCTGGGCTGCCCCCTAGTAGTGTGTGCGCCTATTAGTCACCATCATTGGCGAACTCTGGGCCACCACCTTGCATGCATGGTGCGCACCTTGTACAACAGCATGCATGACGATTCGCATACATGCGCAAGTCTTCTAATTCCTCATGCTTGACGTTATTACCAAGCAGTTACAGCCGCTCAGGCGGTAGCATGATATCCACTGACTGCATAGGTGGCCTTACAAAGCAATGGTTCCCATGACATTGGCATACTGCGCAGCACCCATGAATGTATATACTGCAGCCGCTGCACGATGACGCTATCAAAATGTCAAACTTGCAGAATTAACTGGTCTCTTAAGGGGGTCTGGCCGGAAATTGGCCAGCAAGCTGATCACTAAAGCTTGTGTGCCCTTGTATAGCTGTTGTCAAATTTGGGGATCCAATCAATCACCTCAAATCTTCATTCCTTGATGCAGTGCTAGTGAGGCATCCGAACCTGACACGTCAATTCAGCAAATTAACCAGAAGTGATCAACGGCAGCACTGGATGCTCACTTGTGGAGCTTGGATCCTGGCTGTCAGGCCCTGGATGTGGTTTTCCTTTTGTGGGAGTTCAAACCAGGAGCCAGGCAGCCAACGGGCCAAGTGGCATGTCTGCATTCTTGTCGAGCAAAAAGCAAAATCCGTGTAAAGTTGGTCTGACAGGGGTCCTGCAGGCTGCATGCAGCGCAGCTTCAGGCAAAGCTGAAGGTGAGTCCTGGTGAGTGAGCCCCTCCCCATAGAACGGATTTCCTGATTCCAACTTGCCAATCGGACAATCACATGCACAACAGCTTGAAGATCAAAACAAGCTCGCAGAACCAAAGGTGCCCTTGAAAAATCCCTCTCACGTCCCGACGAAGTTGTTGCAAACCCGAACACCTAAGCGTGAATTCAAGCAGAACGCGCCCTTCAGTCTCTTCTCTCTCCAAACAAGCCCCACCAATCATTGAGCAACCTCCAGCTTTTCCAGAGCCGCAACCACCTCCTTCATGGTGGGCCGGTTGGCCGGGTCCTTGCTCATGCATTGGGCGCCGATGCTGGACAGCTCCTCAGGCACAGTTGGAGGGAACTCCAGCGACTTGTTCTGGATCGTCACGTGGAAAATCACCTGCAGTTAGTAAGAAAAATAAGTCCTCGGCGCATTTGAGCCCACACTGCTTGCGCCACAGCCATTGCTGGTGCACAGCGCACTCACCCTTCAGCCCTTCTATGCGGTACAATTAAACATGCAGCTAAAATAAAAGTTGTACTAAGTTAATACAGCCAGCAAACAATGCTACAAACACCATCATTCTTTCAGGATCGGCAAACCCAAAGTCAGAAGCTATGAAAACCATACAGGAGTCTGCTGCCACATCTGCAGATTCCACAATGGTCTCCAGCCTGGGACCACCACGCTTCCAGAAACCAGTGAATGCAAGAGGATTGGGTAGGTGGGCAGGCAATCATACCTGCATTTGCATGAGTCCCGCCCAGGGCCGCTTGCCGGTGCACATCTCCCACAAGAGCACGCCAAAGGCATACACATCCACCGACTTACTAAGCCGGCCAGTTGTCAGCAGCTCTGGCGGCATGTGTGTCACCGTCCCAAAGGTGCCTGTGCTGATGGCCTCTTGCGACAGCACCCTGCTGAGCCCAAAGTCAGCCACCTGCGCCAGTAATGCCCGCGCTCAGCTTATGCACTATCTCCATTGAAAGGTGATCGGCGGGTTTGCATCCTTGCAGAACATTGACTGCAGACGACATACGGTGGCATCATTCCTAGCAGAATGACAACGGGTGCAGGGGTCTCGTATGCTGTGAGTCGGGAAGAAGGCGCGCACCTTGCATGTGAACTTCCTCGTGTCCTTACTGCTGGACGTGAGCAGTATGTTGCCGCCGGAAAGGTCCCCATGCAAGATGTTGATGTTGTGCAGGTACGCAAGAGCGCTGGCAATCTCCATAGCAGTCTCCCTGCGATCACAACCAGAAAAACAGAATGAGGAGAGGTGACATCGTGCAGACTGCCGGGCAGAGTACGCCTCAAGACCTACCTTTGAAGCTGGTTAATCTTAATCTCACCAACAAGTCGGTCAGTGATGCAGGACCATGCATGCAAGGATGAAGATACCTTGCACTTGCTACGAGCGACACACACAGGCCACACACTGCTCACAGCAAGGCTCAAGCCTCCCCGTTCAGAAATGTGCGCTCACCTGACAGCCGTCACATTGCAGGTGTGCTTGAGGGCTCCTGATGCGCTGCCATCGATGGACTCAGGGCGGTGCCGGTTGAAGACCCCCCTGTCCACAGCATCCTGCAGGTTGCCCTTGTCACAGTACTCCAGCACGAGCCAGGTCTCTGTGAATTGCCGCCCACATGACTCCTGGTCTGGCGAAGATATGCTCTGCCGCCCCTCCTGCCCGCTCTGCACCCACAACAGCACACAATCAATCTTCTGCGATGAATTGGATTCAGCCCTTCCAAGCTGCTGCAGCCTCCTGCCCTGTTTCAGGCGTTTCAGCTTCTACTGCTGTTTTGTAAAAATGTAACAACTACAGGGAAGGCAGTACAAGCGGGAATGTAAGCATGGACAGCTGCCGCGCAGCGGCAATGTCAAGTGTGCAAAACAGTGCCACATCTTTCATGTCGAGAAAAAATTCTGGCAGTGGTCTCAATGCACGGATGAAGCAATTCTGCACAAGGCCCCAGGTAACTTGCTGGTACTTGCTGGCTCCCATAGCCCATTACTGATAGCCCACTATGTGAATCGGAGCTCCAAGGTCTTCCTTGCTGTGTTGATGGATGGACAGCTCCCACTGCTGTCTTACATGGCATTTTGCTGGGGCCGCTCATTCTTGGTCATTAAAATTTATGGACAGGGAAGAGAGCATAGGAAATGAGAGGCAGGAGGCGTGCCTGCACGGCGCGCTGAGTGGACTTGAAGGTCTGCACGATGTTGGGGTGGCCCAGGTCGACGGAGTGCATGGCCTCCAGGGCGCCGCGCATGGTGGAGGACGGCGTGGCCGAGGCAAGGCCAGCGCCCGCCACAAAGTCCGGGTCGGCAGCGTTGTCGTTTGCGACCGGGATCATGGATGAGTCATTTGCCATGTGGATGATCTGAACGCACCAATCATGCCATCAGCTGCTGGACGTCAACCTTGTGTTGCATCTGCTCCCTTTGAAACTTGCATGTGCATGTGCAAGGATAAGATACAGCCCACACATACCAAAAGGTCGATCATGTGTCCCAATTGGGTGGGCCAAGCTATGAAGCACTAATAAACATTCTACACCAGCTGCCACTTCTTCCGGGCCTCTGAACGCATCTGTTTACATCAATTCTTGAGCAGCCCGGTACTGATACCAGCTTTGGACAGGGACACTGCCAAACAAGCGCAAAAACTTCTTTTACACACAATCCAATACCGCTTCCTCAAGAGGAGCATGTGGCAGATGTCCCACCTTCACAGCGACGGGGGCGCCATTCCAGACGCCACGGTAGACCTTCCCAAAGGACCCCTGGCCAATCAGGGGCCCCAGCTCCACGTCCTCCCAGGGATGCCTCTTGGCAGCGCCCCCCACCTGCTTGGGAGCCCACTTGGGCTCCTGCCCTGGCAGCATCGGCTCCTCCAGGCTCATCATCGCCTTCTCTGTCACCTGTCAGCCAAGGGAAATAATACTTTTTACACAGCCAGGCCAGCAGTCATTCACTCTGATGACCATACGTCATGCTGATGCAGCACGTATGCCTCATGCAAGTAAGGGTTCCCCGGCGCAGGCTCCGAGAAGTCCTTCTGAGTCAGACTCTTAGGGGTTCCCCCCCGAATTGTACAGCATTTGAGCGCTGTGCAATGCACTCACCGTCAAAGAAGGGTCATGCAAGGCATGCTTGGGCGAGCGCTCACCGTGACAAAGTAGTACTGGTCTGCTTGGCCTGAGGGCCACTCGGCAAACCCTGGGATGCCGATCGGCTTATTGTTGTCCAGTGCATCCGTTGAAGCAGGCCTGCAGCAAACACATGCAGCTACATCAGCAATCCACTTCTGATGCACAGAGACATAAGCCCTCAACACCGCTGGAAAAAGTAATCAGGAGCACAAATCATCAATAATTACTACATGAGAAGGTGGGCACAGAGTATGGGGCACAGGGCTCACCTGAAGTTCGTCACGTATCTAAAGCTGCGGCCATCCGGTGTGTTCCGAAGGAGGTCAATTGTGAAGCTGGTGTGCTTCTTCACAACTCCTCTGTACTGCGCCATGGCCGCCTCCTGAGGAAACATTGGGGCAAATAATCAGCGAGCGCCCTCCTTCTCGCAATGCGCTACACAGTAGACAGTGGAATAACAAGTGAGATTAAGCTGGCAGGGGCGCACATGACTCGTGCCGGGGATCTCAAAGAGTTTGAACACTGGCTTCCCCAGACCTTCCTCCCTGGAGAATCCTGTCAGACACAGCATGAAACTCGTCTTCACCTCTTCTTGCCCACAGCAGCAGAGCAGCAGTCAGAGACATAACGATTCAAATCTCGGCAGGAACAGATGCATGCATGCTTCTCGACAGGAGGCCCAATACAGCATTTGATCTGCTGTACACTGCCATGCATGCATGCATGCATGCATGCAGTTGCCAGCTATGCTCAGGGCCCACCTGTGACCCTGGACCAGGCATCATTGACAAAGAGGATGTTCCACTCCTCATAGTCGGTGTTGACCAGCATGATGCCCTCTGAGAAGCAGTCCATCGCCCCTATGAGCCCTGATGTCTGACTGCGCAGCCGGTCCGTCTCCTCTTTCTGCACAAGCCACAGCACGCCTCACAAGTTGATCGCTTCCTTGCAAAACCTCACCTTCCTACGGGACTGCTCCGGCAGCTGCATGGAGTGGGCATCTTGTCCACAGACAGAGGCCAAAGCACTAAGACAATTCTGTGACCAACCCAGCAGATGGGTGATGATGTTTCGGCAGAGCTCCAGTGACACTGCTGCATGTGTGTGTGCCGCAAACAGGTCTTCCAGAATGCAGCTCATGGTCCAGGGTAAATATCAAACAGTAAATTTAGATATAGATCCCCCAGAAGGGTCTTAGAAAGGTGCTTTGAAGCCTACCCGCGCGATGTCCTTCTCGATCTCACGCACAACCACCTCTGCAAAGTTGGCCAGCACCATGAGCTGCTCGGCGTCCAGGTGGCGCGGCTCCTTGTCGATGACGCACAGCGAGCCCAGCCGCATGCCGTTGCTGGTCACCAGCGGTGCTCCAGCATAGAAGCGGATGTGGGGCGCCCCCGTCACCAGAGGATTCTCCATGAACCTGCGCAGCCGAGCCCCCCTGGAGCGCTGCTGCATCTGTGGTCTTCATGCACTCAGCCCGCCATGCAGAATAAGAAGGATGCCACCTGCTTGTTTACAAGAAGCATGCGCACGCCCTGGTTCACTCCTGCTAGACTAGTTGGCAGAAGCTGTAGCTTAATAGGGTGCATGATGCCTTGTCAAGTCTTCACCACAGCAATAATTGTGTTTGGGTGCATTGTGGCGAGTCAAGCTAGAAGGGGCGTATGTCCAGCTAGCGTGGCAGTCACTGGGTGAGCACATTAGACACTTGTCGACATAAGGAGTGGACAGGGCAGCAGAAGAAGCCTCACCGTTCGTCCTCGAGGGCGTCGGTGACAATGAGCACCTCGGGGTTCTTAGGCAGCAGGGTCCACGCGCAGAAGGAGGTGGCTCGGCTGGTCTCTGTGACCCCCGGCAGCCCCTGCGCGCTCTTGAACCACTGCCGATCCGTGTCCACCAGGGAGACAATCGCGATGGGCACTCGGAAGATGCTGCACAGCTGCACAGGGAGTGGAAAGTCTCAGTTGACCACCGTGATCCAGGGAGAGACATGGAGCCATGTAGGCGCGCATGATGACAGTGACCAGCTCTCAAATGAGCACAAGGGAAGCCCTTTGGCAGCCAATGACCCAGGCGTGCTAATGTCACACCTTTGTGTTCTGTGCATACACGAGCGCAAAGGATGATGGTGCAGGTCAGCTCCACATGAAGACATGAGTACATGGCAAGCAAGTCGGCTTGTAAGTGTGCGCACCAGTTTGGTGATGTCATCAAACCGTGGGTCTGGGGCCGAGTCGAGGATTTGGCATGCGCACAGTGTCTCATGCCGCTCCTTCTCGTTGGCAGGGATGGGGGCCCCATAGAAGCCGTTCTCCTCGGGCCTGTTATTGGTGGCAGAAAATGGCAGTCCGGCCGTTGAGGGAGGGGGCGCTTCTGGGACCTTAGCCTCCGGCTCTGCCAGCTTGACTGCATTCCCCTCCTTGCCGTTTATACCCCCATTCAGTGCAGGAGCCTCCACAGTGCCATCAGCCTGCTGGTCAGCGACAGGGATCAGCTTGCAAACACATCTGATCTAAATTATCACGTACATCTTCATGAAAACGCATTTTTTGAAATGTGATGTTGTCAAACAGTGGCCTAGTTCGACTCGTGCTTCTGTACATCTGGTATTCCTAGCCACTTACCGACGTCAAGCAAGATACCTAATCTGTCTTCCCATCTGCAATTTTATTGATTACTGCATAATGGAATTCTGCAAATTGCCAGAGCTGTTGTGCCGACACCATATACATTTGGAGCAACTAGCAAGTCTGCACTGAATATACGTTGGCCAAGAGCACGGAATAGGTGCACTCCCACACTATTTTGATGCATAGCTTCCCATCTCAGGTGAGACCTCGTCATATGCCTTCGATTCTGCTTCTGAGCTCGCGATGAACACAGCTTCGCACATGCCAGCTCGCCTGTTTACCCAAGGGTTTGGGGCTCACCTTCACCCCGTGCTTTCCAGAATCCGTTGCAAGATTACTCGCACCCGTTGAGGGGTCTTTCACAGCCGGTTTTGAGCTCACACACCCCATTCTTAACAGCTACCTAGTCACCCATCGCCTGGCCTCTTGCTTTCCTCGGTGCAGATCGCCGATGCGAGCCGGTTACATGCAGATGGCATCAACGTGCCCGCTTCTGTCTCTCAGCACTAGCAACAAACCCTTTAATCAGCACGGAGAAATGCATCATCATATCCTCCTCACTCCAAGAGAGGGTTCTCGTGTTGCCAAGGGTCGAGATCTAATTCAAGGGATTTCACTTATGAGGTCACCCTGAGAGATTGTGATGTCAACACAGTTTAATCGACATCCAGGGCACAGTGGGAGCGATATCACAGCTGCTGAGAGGCTGATCGGTGTGATTACTTCCAGGTTGTGGCAAGATCTGGGTGGTCCGCTCATACCCAGGGAAAAGACGTACATCAGGACTTACTTTGGGCCCATCCCAACGGGCGCAAATCCTGGGGCCGATCCAAGAGGTTGCATGATAGGCCGATGCCCTTGATATCTCGGTATGCAAAGGAGCCAAGGGTCTTGTAGAAATTCCAAGAGAGATGGGCTCCGCAGCGGACTATCTTGAGGATCCCTTGTTTGGCCACACCCGTTATCGCAAGATAAAGGACCTCAACGAAGGAACCTTTGGGATCGTTCTGCTAGCCTTAGATGTGCGGACCAATGAGCAGGTAGTCACCATCCCGGGCCTCTCCTGTGCCTTTATCCTTGTTGAAGATCACTTCGTCACCTCAGCGAGTTATGAATGCAATGTGATCAACACCCAACGTGTCCCCAAGTTTTGAGTGCATCCAAAAAGAAGGTTACTTTGCACATGCTAAGCCCATGTCCAGGCTGGCTGCGTGTTGAGGGAAGGGGCAGAGATGGAGTCCACGTGGAACTCCCACAACTGATGCAGCTGCTGGGCATTTCAGTGGTGACATGTTCCTCCAGGTGGCCATTAAGTTCCTGGAGCGAGGCGCAGGAGTCAACAAGAGCGTGCTGCGGGAGATCCTCAACCACAGGCTCTGTGTGGTGCATCCCAACATTGTGCAGTTCAGAGAGGTGTTCCTGACACCTGTCCACCTGGCCATCGTCATGGAGTATGCGGCTGGCGGTGACATGTTTGAGTACGTCATCAAACACAAGCTGCCGCACCATGGCCAGGGGCTTGTAGAGCCCTCAGCACGCGCATTCTTCCAGCAGCTCATCATCGCTCTGGAGTTCTGTCACGAGCTGGGCATCGCAAACAGGTGGGCTGCACCCTTTCTCCTGCCTTGTAGGACCACCTGTTGCATACAATGCAACTGGGCATGTTGCAACACGTGTTTATATCCGTGCCAGATCTCACAGAATGCATCCTGCAACTAAATGCCAGTGCATGCGGCGATTTGGTGTAATGCCCCAGCTATGTCACTCACCTCGCTGCATCATGCCAGGCTTGCATGTTTGAATGTTGAATTCAAGTATAAAACTCCCCCCTGCAGGGACATAAAGCTGGAGAACACGCTGCTGGACGCAACGCAGCCGCAGCCGAACGTGAAGATCTGCGATTTCGGGTACAGCAAGAACGAGTTTGTGGACTCGCGGCCGAAGACGGTGAGCGGCACGCCGGACTACATTGCGCCGGAGGTCCTCATGGCAGACCAGTACGACGGCAAGAAGGCCGACATCTGGTCCTGTGGGGTCATGCTCTACGTCATGGTCACAGGTGCTCCTTTGACTGGCCTATTCATTGGGCACACTTCGCCACCCTGCTGTCGTGGGGGTGCTCTATATTAAAATCATTGTGGTGGCTGTGATTCACCGGTACTGATTAGGCTGCATCTCTTCATCAATGTTTGCCATACCCAAAGATGGCATTTTGTGCGAAGCTGTTTTGTCGCGAGTCCACCGGCCCCAGTAGCAGTTGTTGTGAAGAGATGTAAGTGTACTTTCAGCCTGCGCCTTGGGCCTGAGTATCAGCTCGCTGTGCAGGTGTGCTGCCCTTTGCAAAGCGGGGCGACGACAGAGGCAACAACCTGATCCGGCTACAGCAGATGTTTCCGCGCATTGTGGCGGCCGAGTTTCAGCAGCCGCTGCACGTGAGTCCGGAGTGCCAGCACCTGCTCACGCGCATGCTCACGCCCGACCCGGCGCGCAGAATAACCATAGGCGAAATAATGCACCACTCCTGGTGCGCTGCCTCATTGATCATGTTGTCATTTGGCCTGGCTGCAATGGAAGCCTGCCCAGGACTATAAGCCTGCTCAGGATTTGGTAAATGCCCTGTTTGCAACCTCCGCTTTTTAGGCTTTGCAAAGTGTGCAGCTGGCATGAAAAGATCTCTGCAGAATCCTGTTGTGTCTGGTCCACTGGCACGACTCTTTGTCAAAAGTGCAAGGGAATGCAGGGATCTGCCAAACAGCAAGGTGGTCTTCTGCAACCTGATGGGGTTGCTGGATGGATGTGCGCAGGTTTCTGTGCAACCTGCCGCCGCACATGCAGCACTTGAACTACACGCTGGTACAGACGCTGGTGCCTGTGGGCCTGCAGAGCGTGGAAGAGATTGAGACCATTGTGCACCAGGCCACTCGGCCCTCTGCTTGGCCCAATTGGCCCCCTGCGTCCGCATCTGCATCTGCCAGCCACTGACTCCATCAATCAAGAGAGTGGGCACTGGAGCCACTGGACATATGAACCACAGAAGGGATGCTGCTGTTGCAATGCTGCGAGCTCTGACAAGCACAGTGCTTCCTAGGAACAGCTGGCAGCCTTCTGCTTCGTACCCGAGAAGTGATTATTGACACTGGCCGTTATTACTCGTTGGGCGGCCCTGGAAGCTGTCCTGCATGGACTGCTGTTTAATTTTACATGCGTCGAAGCCGTCAGATATTTTGTCTGTCTTCAAGAGACGCTTATGCACTGGGGTGGGGAGGTTAGGAGCGGGTAGCTGCCCCGACATAAAGGGTGAGGCTGGCAAGAAAAGGTCGCAGAAGGGGCGTGAGGGATAGAGCGGCCAATGCTTGGCAAGTACAGATGGCAACGTTGAACGGTGTGCTGTTTGATATCTTATTATGCTCCCTCACAGAGCCACAGATCTGCCTATTTTACTGGACCCTCTTTCTCCTTGCCAACATTTTCAAAGAATTGGCTGCACTTGTGGACACCGCCTCTACAGGATTCTCCAGTACAGAGCTTGACGGAAGGAGGCGGTCTGCTATAGGAACAAAAGCTGAATTTGCTAACGACAAACAAATGTGGAAGAGGTTGCGTTGCTGACTGGGTCTGTGGCACCACTTATGGTGCAATGCATGTCGGTCATGGGAGACCCAGTGTGACATGTTATTGGTGCTGTGACGTCTTGCTCCGGACGGGCAGGTGTTCTGACTGAAGGAGTCAATTCTGTGCGTCCTCATTGCGACATAGGTGTGTCATTTGCACCTGCCATGTGCCCCTTGGGATATTGATACCTGCGGTGATTGGGATGGCCAAGAAGACTGACCAAGATGTGGCGTTCTTTGTCATCATCAAAGGAAGCAACTGTTGAACATCCTTTGGAAAGGGCTGATCCGATCTGAGTCAGCTGCAGATCTCTAGTAGAGGGTCCGATCTGAGTTAGGGTGGTACAGAGCTAGTTCTGTTGTGAGGCTGTGCCCAAGCAGATTGTATCGCATGACAGATTTGAGGGCTTTGCATGGAACCTAAACAGCACAGAGATATTCCTGTAGCTTTGCTCCACCCAGGCCAAGGCTGACAGGCTGTCACGTCATGCTGTGTCCAATCTGATGACTCACCTTCACCTTGGCTACACGACCTTTGACTTTGGAAGAGGGGAGGAGCTTTCACTCAGAAAATCAGTTCAAGTGTCAATGAGAATGCAGATAGTCCTATTCGTTGGGTTTATGGCGGACAAATAATATTTTATTGCTGTACTAGAAAACCTTTGTACCCCTCTCATCCATCCTGAAGTACAGGAGTAGAAGAAATTTTAAATCGACCGATTCACCCCTGGTCCACTCTTTGAATCTTGTCGTGAGGCCTTGAGAGTGAGATGGTCTTTTTAGAACACCTGTTCATTCCTCCGAAAGGGGGACATTCCTGGTCGCATCCAAGCACAATAGTCGCCACATTCTCGCTATGTTGGGCCAGTTTTCTGGTGATGCAGTGGACGGGCTTGACGTTGCCTAAGCAAAAACTCAAACGGAAGGACCAGGTGGAGTGGCATAGCCGTGTCATTTCCTCTGTCCACGCCTTAGTCTTGTGTCTAGGTGAGGCCTTTAAGGACACATCCACCTAACTAGAAGCGGATGCACTGCTATCGGTCCCTCCTGCAGTGCGTGGACATACCACATTAATTGCACATCTAGCTTGTGAGATTTCTGCTCTAGCTGGCAAAGGCACTGTCAGGTGCTGTGTCAGAAGTGTGAACAAACGCTCCCCGCTCCTGCCATGTTGCAGGGTCGCTCATGTGCTATCTGGAGCTCCAGGACAAGAGCAGAGAAGCATTAGTATCTGGCTATGCTGTCTGGCCAGACGTCTTTGCCCGGATATTCCTAGGTATGCACCCAGGCTGTGCCAGCATTTCCGTTGGACAAATGCATCTGGGCTGTCTTCTTGAGGTGCCACATTTCCTCATCTGCTCTTTGCAAAGAGCACCCAATGCCTCTCTTCATTGCAGGGTACCTCTTCTATGACACCACAAATATGCTGGTGTACTACAAGTACCTTGGTGACAAGTCTGCCATCATCCATCACATAATCTTCGCCTGCGCTGCGGCGTACGTGCTGGGTCACAGCATCATGGCGTTCCCGTTTGTGTGGCTGTCTCTTTGTGAGATCTCCACTCCCTCGCTCAACCTCAGGTGGGCACCGTGGTTTCTTTGCTCACCTCCAATACGGGAAACTCTTTACTGTCGTCTCTGCGGGATGATCCAGGTTTACTATCATGACTGTGGGCCTCGATGTTCTTTTCCACTGCACATGGCAGCCATAAGACATCGAGTCAAGCACTTGACACTACATCGCTCTTGCAACTCTTGAGGATAGAGTCTGAAGGCAGCAACTCAGCTCTTACTGGAGGGGACCAGAGGGTTCGCGTGCATGAGACCCTTTGCTCAAAGATTTCAGTTCATGTGGGGTCTGCAGATGGCATCTGGCGGTGACAGACCAGAAGAATGGGAGCTTGTACGTTGCAAACGGCGTTCTGCTCACAGTCTTATTCTTTGCCTCGCGCGTGGTCAGCTACGGGGCAGGCATGTGGCACCTGTGGGGCCTCAGGTCAGCTCCTCTGCCATGCTGTCCTCATTCCCAGCCTCTATCTGCCCGGAACAGGCACATCACAAATGACACCCCTTACACCCTCCCCGGCTCTTTTATCTGAAGGACACATATTGTCAATGCATTCCTTGGGAGTGTCAATAAAGATCTTGAAGGCTGGTCCAAAAACGCTGAAGGGGCGGTCTGCGCTGCTGCTGTGCAGGGATGTCTGGGCTGCTCCAGGGCAGGACCCTCTCAACACAGCGCTTGTGGGCCTCTTCTTCCTAGGTGAGGCATTTACTACTGCTGGAACTCTACATGCATTGCTGCACCGGGAGGTCTCTGTGCAGCTTGCTCGGCTTTGCAGAGATCTGACCGCGTCTGCAGGCCTGCAGTGCCTTTGTAAGATGTCTCATATGTCACGGCGATGCCTTGCATCACAACTTCCTGTGCTGTTGCAGGGTATGTGTTGAACCTGTACTGGATGCAAGCAATCCTGAATGGAGTCCTGCGGGCGCTGTCACGCTCCAAGCCTGCCAAAACAGCCTGAGCAGACATCCCACTCAATGGCGGATCCCACTCACGGAAGTCTCCCTGCGGGGGAAAAGCCATGCATTGTACAAAAGGAGTGAGCAGGCTATCAAACACAAGAAGAGCAGAGAAGAGCAGCAAGTGTCCGGATTTTGGGAGCAGTCCTTAGGGGAGTGCAGGATTAAGAGAGCACAGAAAAGAACGTGACAACACCAGTGCAAAATTTCCACTGTACAAGTGTACCATCATGATCATGACCGTGTGATGCCTGGACCTAACTCGAGACTGGTTGCCACCCACTTCATCGCCAGCAGGCGCCAGCGGCTGGCGGCTAGCTGGCTAGGATTTGAACATTAACGTTGAATGACCTCCCGTACCGGCTAGATCTATCTACATTCTCACAGTACTGCCAAAGGGCTCAGGATGTATCCGTGACTCACTCGGAGCTTGATCTAAATATTAATCGAGTTGGGGCTTGTACGGTATTATTATTATTATTATTATTACACGTTTTCCAGTCCTCAAGGACTAGGTACGTCAAGCAACACCTGAATTATTGCTCTCCAGTCTTCTCGGTTCTTGCACTTCCTCCACCAGTCATATGGATGCCCAATAGCATCAAGGTCATCTGTCACATAGTCATTCCAACTCTTCAATGGTCGGCCTCTAGCCCCACTGCCTGACATTGTAGTTACTTACAATGATTGTACTGAACATCATTGGGTTGCTACAACTTTGAGATAACAAGGCTTTAAAGAGTACAGTAGCCACGGCCTAGCAAGGGCCTCACGCCTTGAGGGGCCTGGGCCCGCCAGGTGCAGTGTAGCTGCCGGACTGTGGCAGTTAGTCTGCACATCATGTATGATGCCATACGTATACTTCAGGCCTAGGCCTTTAAAAGAGTAACATGCGCGCAGATGATAGGCAGCCAAAACTCCCAGTGCATCAATGAAGACAGTGGCAATCTTAAGGAGATAGAGTGAAGGAAGGAGCAACGCCCATCATCTAGCACTGCTAATGAAAGTTGCAAGCAGGATTCCCCTTACCAATGTGATGTCATGGCACATGCTCTGACATAATGGCTGAGGTAAAGCTCCTCGTAATGAACCCTCGCCTTCAAGTCTCGCATTCCGATTCTTTAAAGGCACAACCAGAATAAATTGATCACCCAGTTCGCCTTGAGAGATCCTTTTGCACGATCGCAATGCCACTCCACCGCATTTACGCCGCGAAGGGGACATTCTCGCCTCCCGAAAAGAAGGCCATTGCGCAGAGTATTACCAACATATACAACTCTATCCCAATTCCTGCCTTCTACACTGTGGTGGTGTTCATAGACGTCGATGAGGAGAGCATCTTCGTGGGCGGGGAGTCAAACGCTCGCTTTGTACGCATCGTCTCTCAGCACCTCGCGAGGTCGTACTCAACTCCTGAGGCGTCTGCAAAGGCGAGCTTCCTCGATCGCAAAACTATCATTTTACGTTTGCTGCTTAGAGAATTGGACATCTCTAGGAGTTCTGTGTGCGTAGGTATGTCTGTCAGAGAGCGATGTGCATCTGACTCACTGGTGACGATGATGTCACAGGTGATAGATCTCATCCAAGACGCCTTCGCACCATACGTCCGTGACCGTGGCCTGGACTGGGAATCTCACGTCGAATGGGTGGAGAGAGAGTTCTGGAGGGAGAATGGCATGCGACCTCCCCTGCCCAACACTGAAGCAGAGAAGAAGTGGGTCGAGCTGAACAAGCCGGTCCCATACTAAGGGCGAAAGTTTATAGTGTCGACGAATAATGCTTTGTATGGGTTAAATGGATCGTACGTCCTGCACTCCTGAGCCTGCACTCGCACGGATCTGTGCCATGCGATCGTTTGATTCTTTCCTAGATCGGCAGGTGAAGTAGATAATTCACGTTCGACCGTTTGGAGAATTGTAACGCTTGACTGTAATCAAATTGGCACCTTTTCAATCTACCACAGGATCTTTGCTATCAGATTGTCGGCCTTAGCAATTGAACCCTATACCAGCTTGTTTCTTACCGGGGTTCCACGCAGGGCCCTGCTTTTACAGTCTTGCTAAGTTTCTTATGTTCTCTCATTACTGCACGAATTGAGAAGCTGACAAAAGCAATGAATACTTCTGTCGGTGATTTGGTCTGCGATTTGAACTGCGGGCGTAACGAGTGTGTAACGCCAGGACCGGATGTCTAGACGGGTTTATGAACCTGGACGCAACATTAACCCTTTGCAGATATTTCAATTGGTAGAATCCAATAAAATCGTGTTGTGAGACACATTTACTGCGTATCATGGACGCCGACGTTGTCGTGGAGGATGGAATACTCAAGGTATGGCAGTTGAGATGTGTGTACAAGTCGCAAGAAGAAGGAATGCGCCGTCCAGTATAAGAGAACACAATGCTGTGGCACAGAGTATTAGAGGCTTCACATGGCCTGGCATCGAGTATGGAGAGCCACCACGCTTTAAGCATAGCTTCTTTGAGGTGACAGACTTGCCTTGATGTCCCTGGTTTTGCAAATGGCCTCTCAATTTCCCAAATCTTATAATTCAACGCCAGTTGTGGCTTCTGGGCACAGTACATCGACGCACTTCGCTTCGGAAATCTAGACCGGTTCAGAGAAATCGAAGAAGAGAGCGGAGACTGGTGGTTTTCATCACTGGACAGAGGCGCCGGTGCTGCCTTGCACTTTGCAGCAGAGTGTGGTCAGGTCAGATTGACCTTCCATCTCAACTTGCACAGCTCCTTACAGTCTTTCTCCCTGCAACGTGCTCGGGTATATAAGTTCTCCAGAAACATATGAGAGAACCCTTTATCTGACATCCTCTGCCTCGTGGCTGCTGCAGCTGGAGTGTGTGAGGTTCCTGGTGGAGCAGAGAGGGGCGTCGGTGAACCAGGGGGACCTGGGCAGGGGATGGACGCCCCTGCACAGATGCGCGCACATGGCGCATTACACGCACGCCCCCTTCCTGGCCACCTTTGAGTACCTGCTGATGCAGGGCGCTGACGCCAGCATTCTCAGCTCAGCAGGCCCCCAGTCAAAGCCGCTGTCAGCTGTGCAGGTCGCCGTTTCCAAGGCATGCATCCACCTTGCTCATGGCAACACTGCTGGCGAGAAATTGTTGGCTCCCCTTGTCAGCCGCTGCTGTTTCCTGTGAGATCAGCGCTGCAGCAAGTCATGCTACTGGAGGATCAGCAGGATCAGGATCCTTTATCCAGGCCCCAATCCTGGTGGATACTTGGACTAGTCATTTGGCAGTACTCCAGAGCTGATGGGTGCTCCCTGATTTCAGACATGCAGCAATGGTGGCTGCAATTTTCAAAGATGCAGCACCTTTGCACCTTCAAGGGCGATGAAGGGATCCTGGTAGATAGGGTGGGTGTGTGTGTGTGTGTGTGTGCAGGGGCGAGGCTGGGAGCCTGGGCAGCTCAGGGCCAAGCTGCAGGAGCTGATTGAGAAGCACAGTGAGGTGCCCAAGGCAGCGGTGTACACCCACAGCGGCCCCCAAATCGGTGAGACAAAAGTCAATCCTGCCGAGCATGTTTTAGAGGTTTAACGAAAAGCACAACCGGACAATCTGGAAGGACGTGGCACTCGAGCAATGCACACCTGAGTTACATCTGTGATGGTTGTAGATTTGGGTCCCCCTTGTCTGCATTTAAGACTTCGATAGCAACAGGTCCAATTTGGACTTGTGGTAAGATGACATGCAGCTGCACCTGAGCTTAGGTCATGAGTGTTGGGTGATTACAGGGGAGGCTGCTGAGGCTGTGCTTCGCGCTTGGGAGGCGCAAAAGCCGCTGCTGCCACCGGCCGACTGGCGCGCTCCGCCACCGGCCGGTTTTGCCGACGCTCAGGGGATGCGGCGCGTTGCAGAGGAGCCGTGGAGACCGGTGCGCCAGAAGGACCCTCGATGAGCATTGATTGCTGCAAAACACCATCAACTGCAATTGATAGTACAGTATCTGCAGCTGCACATCACGTCATGCATGCCCGAGACACCTTGTTCCTGGGAAGGAACATCATTCTCTGGTTGGAGCAGTGGCGATGAAGAAAATGCGAGCGGAGCACTGGGAGGGAAGATGGAATGTGTTGGACACAGTGCACACATGTGTGGTGAAGTGAGACGCTGGTAATGCGCTCGCAGGCGGGGGACGAAGATGGTTCCTTCTTCACGCGGCCCATGACAGAGCTGGAGCTGCAGGCACAGTCGAGAGCGGTTGCTGCCGCCCACTGAGTGTGCAGTGCTGTGCTAGCGGCTACTAGCGCGCTTGAGGTGCACTTGCAGCACCATGGATTTCTGTAGCAGGCGCGCTGAATGCTGCTAATCTATGTGTGTTGAAATAAACTGCCGGGTAAGCTGCGTCCCTGCGCAGCCAGTGCCAGACGGCCTGCTGCAAATGTACAATTTGACATGGACATCACAAAATGAAACGCTCACGTCGTTACAAGATAAGGCATGTTTGCCTTCATCAGCTCAATCACTTCAGCCCAATCTAAAAGCATGGCGCAATCTAACAAGACCACCGCGTGGCTCTGTGGACGCATATTGAAATACACAATCACGGCCTGCATGTGACTTGCTTCTCTTTCATCTTCAATATCAAACACCAAACTTACACTGCATGCAAGAAGCCTTCCAAAGCGCCAGGTCACAGCCGGGCTCCTCTAGACAGGTACACCAGGCACTCCTGGTCTGTGGCACAGAAGAGGTCCTGCCCACTGGTGGCATCCACGTCAAATGAGCGGATGCCGCTGCAGGGCTCCTCGTACAGCACAGCGCTGGGCTTCAGCTGATCAGCTGCAGAGGCTTTGCTGGGAGAAGAAGAGGGAACAGTGCCCAGAACACCACCGCTGGTGCAGAACAGCACTGACGGGTCCGCGCCGCCGGCCGCGCCGCCGAATGCCTCGTAGCCGTCAAAGTGCACCTGATCAGCAGAATCACAGAAACTTGCTGTGCGATTTCAATTATTTGGTTAATCACTTGACCTCGTTGCACCACCATTAAGTGTCAGAATCTCTGCAATTCTCGTGGCACCAGACTTTTGGGCTCTGCGAGTGTCAAAGTCTCTGCCATGTGCAGCGAAGTTCCAGCCATCCACACTGCCCGAGTCATGAACATAGTTCACGCGCAAGATCTGCGGTAAACGCCTTGTGGCATAGAGGATCAGAAGCTGAGAGATGGGTTTGAAAGGGATGAGGGCTCACCTCCCAGACTTCCCCAGAGCCGGGCTTGGGCGAGACATGCACGGTGGGCTGCGCAGTGAATCGCAGGTCCCAGACGGCCACAGTTCCCGCGCTGGCGCCTGTCGCGCACAGGTGCGGCCGCGATGGGTGCGCTGCTATGCAGTTGATCTGCCGCTCCAGCCCCTGTGTCACACCGCGGGCCATTTTGTGTGTCGCATCGCGCACGAGTGCTCTCCCACAACCCACACTTCTTGTTTGTGTGTTGAGGGGCAGCTTGTGCTTTCTGAGTGCGTTCTCAGCAGGCGGACACCATGCGGAAGCCCTGTTCTGTGTGCAACCGGCGAGATGGAGTAGGCCTGTGGCTCAGTATCTGTGTCATGAGTGCCAGCAGCACCATGCATGTCATCAAGCAGCATGGGCATCTGGGGTCCCTTCTCGGCACTGGATCATGCAATCAAATGGAGAATCACTCCAAGCAGAAATGGAAGGCACAAGCAAGATGAACATTATTTGGACGGTGCGCGCCTGTGAGGCGTCCAGTGCGGGGCTGCCTGTCAGGCCCCAGGACAGGGGGGACCTCAGCTGTGGCCTGCCCGGCCGCCGCTTGTCCCACACCTCCAAGCCCCCTTCACCACAGATCACAAACGCCTCACATGACAAGACTTGGCCGGCCAAGAACTCTTTCCCATGGTCCATCAGTGACTGGTAGTTGCATACAACAATCACTACTCAACGTGATGGAGAACATGTATTTCTCTGAACCTCAGGGCTCAAATGAGCTCAAGGTGGGGCACCCCTTCAGACGACAGAAAAGGCAGGGATGCTAAAAATGCATTGGGTGCTCGCTGCCCGCCACACCCTTGGCTCCTGGCTTTAAAAGCAAAGTGAGTGCTCAGATGCGCAAGACCTAAACAGACACCACTGAAGCTGATAGGGACTATGCAAGAGCGCACACACCTGTGGTGCCGGCACTGACAAAGGTCTGCTGGGAGGCCCATCGGACGGCCCTGTATGACGCGCTGTCCCTGGGCTCGACAAAGGGCTGCGGCGCAGAAGTGGACTCTAGCGGCACCACAAAGAGCGCGCCATCCTCCCCTGCTGACACCACCTGCCAACAGAGAAACACTCCCCTGGTGAGACTCGTGCGATGGGGTCAACTTCCGGAGCAAAAGGAGACATCTAGAAAGCAAGCCGCGTCCTTGCTTCCTGAGCAAATCAAGCAGCTCTCTCTGCACATTTCCCCATATTGTAGCCTACATTAGTCATCCGAGCTGGGAAAGCTCTGCATGACAAGCAGACAATGATTACTAAGACCGCGCAGTGAGTCCGCAAAGTGAATGTTATTAGGTGTCGTCTACCTCACGAGTTTCGGCGCAGATGTCCAATGCAGCGACTCTGCCCTGGTGCAGCGTCATCCACGGCAGCAGCTGTGCTCCCTCCATGTCACCCTCCCCTCGCACCTGTGCATGCCATATCCGCAATCTCATGAGTACGCCCAATACTAGAGAGCCCGACTCTGCGGGGGTCCAGTGGGTTGTAGACTGCCCAAATCCAAATCAAAATGTATAAATTCTGAGGGATTCTGAGCGAGATTAATGAAGATTGGAGATCTAGAATGTATCAAACTTGAGACAAAGTCCATGTGCGTACCACTCTAGTTCACATTTACAGGCTTGCCATGTCAGCATGCAGAACAATGCACAGCCTGATTGAGATGCGTTTGGTCTGCTTGTTGCCTTGTTAGCCATGCAGCCACCGCAAGAGTGCCATACACTAATTTTTTATGCATTTGCTTTGCATGTGTGGGATAAATGTTGTCCTCACCTGAATCTCGCTTGGATCTGAGCCTGGTGCTGGCGGTGATGTGAGCCTCAGCCGATGGAGGTGTCCTCTGCTTGAGCCAGCCACAATGACCAACTCTCCAGATCCCAGGTCACCCACCTGTCAGACATCAGAATACACACTCCTGACCATCTTATGTCACACAGAACATATTGCTGAGGGCCTGAACAGTTTGTTTCGAAGGTATCTCGTTGGATGTCAAGGTTCATGCGACAATGCCTAGGAGAAGACAGGATCACCTCCATGCTATTAATGCTGCCATCTGTCAGCCAGGATGCGAGCTCCTGGACCGCAGCGCCTTCAACGCTGCCCTCCTTCTGTCGCACTTGAAGATCTGCTATTGAAAGTCTATATTGCTGCATCACCAGTACAATTCATCGTCACCACGTTTGTAGGCCATGGATATCATTCCTCCATGCACATTCGATCATCACACAGTTTTACGCTGGATGTTATGGGTGAAGCCGTGGTGCACTCTGGCGCCTCTAGGGCCTCTAGGGAAGAAGGGGGAACACCAGATGCAGTTGGTGGGGCATCACAGCACCTCACCTCACTGTCTTGATTCCAATCGGCCAATGCCAACAGAGAATGTTTTACGGCTGTTCCATCTTCATCCGGAGGTCCAGCTGGTGCGAATGGTATGCTTCTCAGCACGCTTGGTTGCGTCCCCAAGAAATGTCTCGACAGATGGTTCTTGGTGTCCATTGTCTGGGGTGGTCCACGCGGCGAATTCTACAAATAGTTTGTAATAGATTGCTGTGAGATTCTATTTGTCTTTATGTGCCTACTTGTCATCCTTAAATAAAGGTACTGTTGCAGATCATCATGCTCTGCCTTGCAAAACAAAAACCAGAAAGCCGATGCGAGCTATCAGGCGCTCAAGATCAGTGATGATACTTCATAATGCTGTAGTGTTTTTGGACGCAGCTCTGCAATGCCCACGGTTTGTGCAATATTGTCACGTGCCATTGAAGCCAGCTGTTGGTGGCTCCAATTCAAACTTGCGGAGATTCCGGCATAATCCTTGGGAATGATTGATGCTGCTGTTGGACAGCAACAATTCACACATTAAAAGCACTGTACGGCAAAACAATAAGGTTTTGCTAGAGAGCTAGAACTGACGCTGCACAGACTTCAGACAGTCAGCATTACCCAGAGGCAGAATTTGGTTGGGAACGGATCCTGGACACCAAATCTGCACTATCCGACAATATTACAAGGTCTATAAGTTGTTCTGTGTTACTGCTTGATTGTCTTTTGCTCTGTGAACAGTGTAACGCCCCCATCAAAACTTCAATGCACCTAGTAAAGTGAGGACTTCACTTGATAATCACCTGTGGAATTTTAGCAACTGACAGCTAGAAAGGACATAGATTTATTTGTATACACATACGCTAGTGCTTCCTGATTCCTGATGTAAAAATATATCTACAAGAACTACAACCCAGTTTGTCATGGCAGGGTTATACTCTTGACTGAAGGGACCTTGGCCGTCAGACTCTGCTCACCAAAGCTCGAGTCGACAGTTTAAAAGACTGGAAGAGGAGGCAAAGGAGCCGTAGGCAAGTCAGAGGTCCACTAGTACTTGTATGCTGCCGCTGTCCCTGAGGCATCCCCTCATGTCACAGCTGGAAGCCCATGAATTCCGGCCTCCTGGTCACCATTTGTCAGGTGCGCATGAGCTTCAAAGCAAATCTATGCTTCAATTGTTCAGTCATTTTCGGGCACAGACAAAAGGCATGCGGCGGTGTAGATACCTAACCATGCCACCGCTGCTCTCTGAGGCTTTGCATGCTTGACTTTTCAGGTCCAGCGAGCTGCAGTGGCCGCCTGTTCTCCTTCGGGGTGATATCTGACATTCAGTACGCCAACATAGAGAATGGGTTCTCCTTCAAAAAGGTCCCACGGTACTACAGGTGCGAGCTGCTGCACAAAATCATGCCAAACAGACCTGTGGACATGCTGATGCGTTTGCGCTGCTGGGGATTGGCTGATTCTTTAGAGTTGCTCATTTGTAGCTTAGTTCTACACAGGGAAGCACTGCCAGCACTGCAGAGAGCTGTCCAGATGTGGAAGAAACGGGATGTGGACTTTGGCATCCATTTTGGTGAGCCATTAGAACCCACCTTAGTCATGTTGTCTTCAGCACCTCTTGTTCAGTCCAACATGAAGTGGGGCCCATTTGCAGCATCACCTTTTCAGCCCATCAAGAAGCACCTCTCTCTCACGCAATGGACATGAGCAGGAATGGCATGCATTGCAGGCGACATAATTGACGGCTACCACCCGAAGGATCAGTCCCTGGCCGCCCTGGATACTATCACGGCAGCCTTTGACGTGCTGGGCAAACCCCATTGGCATATGATTGGCAACCACTGCCTCTACAACCTCCCCCGCAATGTGCGCAACCTCAAGACCCCCTTCTGAAATTCAACAGTCATTGTATTCAACATGCGTCTCGTACTTGCCAGCACTCGCTCTACTCAAGACATCACATTTTTTGGGATCAGGCCCATATCGCAGGCCTGAGTTGCCTATAAAGATCCTCGTTTTGTGTGTCTGGTGGGGGAATGTTTTGGTGAGGCGCTTGGGATTGGCTCATGGGGAGGAGCGTTGCTGTGCGCAGGTGCTGAACGAGCGGCTGAACATGGGGGGACCGGGGGGCGCGAGCTACTATGCCTTCAGCCCCCACCCGGCCTGGCGCATAGTGGTGCTGGATGGCTATGATGTGTCCCTGCTGGGCTGGCCGGAGCAGCACCCACTGCACCAGCAGGCGCGGAGCATCCTGGCCGAGCGCAACCCCAACCAGGTGCGCACATGCACACCCCTGATTCTCTGATCTCAGGAACGCCATGATCAAGTTGTGACGGGTGAAGCTGAGGGAATGGCCTCTCCTGGTGGTCAGGAGTTGGAACATGCAGAATGCTGCTGACAGCGTTGTTTCTGGTGCCTCAGCGTCATGTCGTCAGCAAGTGCCCAGCATTCCCCAGCGTTGATCATGGTCTGAAGCACTGCACAGAAAGCTGGCATTGTGAGTGCACTCTCGAATTGGCTGCACTTGCCTTGTTAAAATGGCAGTCAGGCTGTTGTAGTCAGGAGGTTGGTTTGAGTGCGGTGAGCGCTTGGCAGGAGAAGAACAGCCCGGACGGTTTGGAGGGCCCCGCGCGGCGCTTTGTCAAGTTTGGGGGAGGCGCAAGCGATGCGCAGCTGGAGTGGCTGCGGCAGACGCTGGCGGCGGCGGCTGCCGGGGGCCAGCGAGTCATCCTGTGCTGCCACCTGGCGCTGCACCCTGGCACCTGCCCGGGGGCGTGCCTGCTGTGGAACTACGAGGAAGTCCTCCAAGCCTGCTGGCAGGCCGGCAATGTTGTTGCCACCTTCTCTGGCCATGCGCATGAGGTGCTGCACTCTGCCTTTCCTTTGTTGTCCCCCAAGAAAAATGAGCACGTTGACATGTTTTCTCAGCATGCAGGCCTTTGACATGTGAGTGGCACCTGATGCTGTGGGAGCTGCCGTACCGCACCTTTCCTGATGTGCAAACGCACCAGGCTCTATCATCTGGCACACCTGCGGATCCGACATGGCTCAAGGACTTTGGAGGTGGCTTGTGAAGTGGCTTGAAACCAAGGGCTTGTGGCTTGTAGCTTCACACTGCAGTGCATATTTAGTCCGCCCAATCTAGAGGAGCACCTGAGAGATATGGCCTGCCCAAATTCAAACCCAGCTGCACAACGAGGGGCTGGGGAGCTCATCACAATAGCATAGTTAACTCAACGTAGAGAGTAGGAAGCAAGCGCATATATGCGGACCACTCTAGTTGCTGGCTATATTTGAGCAGAGACGGTGGGGTGCAGGATGGCTATGCGGTGGATGAGCATGGAGTGCACCACCGGGTGCTGAGCGCAGTTGTGGAGACAGCTCCCGGGCGCGACTGCTTTGGCATCATCAGCGTGTTCAGCGACCGGCTGGAGCTGCAGGGCTTCGACCGGCTGGCCTCTGCCACCATGCAGTTTTGCGCAGAGTTTTGCGCAGAGCCTGCGGATAAGGAAAATAAGGAGCAGCAGCTTCTTGGATGTGCCTCCCAGCCAAGCACTGTGGCATCGTGAGGATCGTTAGAGTATGCTTGGACAGTGTACGGAAAGATGCTCAACTTTCAGCTGATTACTGCGGTCTTAGAGAGTACTGTGCCATTCATTGAGAGCATCAACAAGTTTCAAAACCCATTCCGTCGACCAGTTGCAACTTCGGTGTTCCTAGTGGGCACTTTAGCATCTATTTGGTTAGGCATAGGGGCTACCTTGCCTATTGACGGTATTTTTGCATCGCTCTAGCAAATTCATTGAGGACAGGTATCAAATTGCAGCTCTGTGTCAAACCCCGCATGCAGCTGACTGTCTTCTTGGGTGCATGCTCCGATCATGTCACCCTCTTTTTTTCTTAATGCAAAACTGGGAAACAAGGGCTAGCCAAACAAGGGCAGCGCTGTCGATGCGGCTGTACTATTTAGAAGGGAATTTTGACTTGCTAAGCTGCTGAATAACCTGCAACTTTCACCACTCGCTCTTGCTTTCCATTGTCCTGCCTTAGGGTCCAGAGGACTCCATTGTGTTCGGAAACCCCAACCTTGTGCGTACATACTATGTAAGGGCCCGGATCGTTTTTAAGACAGCATTTGGCTGAGGCCTCAGCCTAGGCATGACTTACCTTTATTACTTTCAGCAGCTGTCACTGTGGTGGTGCTATTCTTCAAAATACCGGAGAAGTACAAACCAGTAATAGCCTGCCTAAAACACGTGCAGTAAGGGTGGATCAGCAGTAAACCTACCCCCAGAAGTCCACTGCCCAATCGTCAAGGGTATCGACCCCAGCTCGCCAAGGGAGTTGCCGTGCCTAAGGGCGGGGTATGACGTCAACAATCTGCAAATTCTTGGACAAATCTTCATTTGGGAAGGATTTTGGTTGTGTTTTTCGGGGTGAAAACATTCTTTATTTCGCGATCCTTGCCTTCGCCTCTCCGTTGCACATAATTCATGTGGCTCGCTTTGGTCAGGTGAAGGATCTATATAAATTTCACCGAGCATGCTGAGGTCCATACTCAACCAAGAGCATGGATTGTGTTGATCTTACGGTAGCAACAGAAAATGAGGAATACCATGACCCAGCGCGACGTCTTCAACAAGTAAATGCCGAGCTGCTGGAGGTGATCACGCCTTTCAATGGGAGCTTCAGTACCTGCTCGAGTCTGCTGTTCCAGATTGCTGTTGTGGTTAAGTTCGAAGCCCATAAAGTGCATCACAATTCTATGTGTCTTCCTTCTCGATGTCGATGCGGTGCTGTGTCACTTGCCTCAGGCAGAACAGGAAATTGAGACCCTGCTGGGAAGACAGCGCAACTTGTTGGAAATAAAGGAGAAGCTTTCGGAACAGATTGCCGCAGATCAACGCGCCCCCAGAACAGACTGGCAAAGCCAGTTCTCTTGGGATGGCCAGGTTCAGGGTGTCCTGGAGGAAACCTTCAAGCTCACTGACTTCAGGTATTGTGCCCATTGCAGTATCCAGCTCTCGATAACTCCAGCTTCTAAATTCGCAGTGAACTTCCACGCAATGACATTTGGGATCTCGGTGCTAACATGCCTGGCCTGCAGGCCACATCAGCATGAGATCATCAATGCAACGCTGCAGGGCAGGGATGTTCTCTGCTTGATGCCCACAGGTAAGTTTGCTTGAATTACAGAAGAGGCCGTCTGCATTCTGCAGCTCACCCACAAAAGTCCTTTCCTTTCCTGCCACTGGCGCAGGACCTCAGTTCTGTCTCAATTTCAGCAATGCCGAGTTTTGATATGTTGGTGGGTCTGTGGAAACAGGTGGTGGCAAAAGCCTGTGTTACCAGCTGCCTGCGCTTATCAGTGGAGGCCTGACTCTCGTTGTCAGCCCCCTGCTGTCTCTCATCCATGACCAGGTGAAGGAGGCCAACGAGCTTGCACTCATACTAAGAGAATGTGAGCGCCTAAGTGTATCATCTGGCAGAATAAAGAATGACTCTAAACAAATGGCAGCAGACATGATTAATTGCTGCTGAGGGAGCAAAAGCATTGCAGGTACTGGGTCTTCGCAGTCTTGGCATCCCAGTAATTTCTCTCAGCAGCCTCACTCCCAAAGAGGAGATCACTGCAGCATATAAGCAGATGGACTCAGATACCGACATCCGCTTTGTGTATGGTGCGCCATCAAGTTGACCTCCATTCATGTATTTTTGAGCTTCAGCATCCCTTGGACTGCAACCCAGTAACACGAATGGGCAATGCCTCGGGGTAGATTTAGTTAATCATTACTAAGCGTGTTTCCTCTCAGCACTGCAGTGACCCCTGAGCGAGTGGTCAGTGCCAAGCGCTTCATGTCAAAACTGGAGAAGCTTTACAAGGTCAGTCTTCTGCCATTTCTGCGCGAAAAGCATTCTGCATGAGCTATTTGCTGTGACATTTGCTCATCAGGCAAGAATTCTATCAAAGTTCTGAAGATCTGCATTGCCCACAGGCAGGAAGATTGACACGCATTGCCATAGACGAAGCACACTGCTGCTCACAGTGGGGCAATGACTTCAGGTGCCTGCTCATCTCCTTGGCGCCCAAATATCATTGGACAAATGCCATGCATCACCTATATTTCAGAAGGGAAGATGCCCTTAGTCAAGGATGAATGAACCACCTGCCCGCCACATACCAAATGGCATGTGTGACACGGTGAAAACAGCACAGGAGGAGTTGACTTGAGCTTTGGGCAGCGCAGGCCTGATTACAAGAAGCTGGGAGTGCTGAAGCAGCAGTTCCCTGAGGTGCCAATCCTGGCGCTGACAGCCACCGCAACAGACCTGGTGTGCCAGAGCATAAAGGACATTCTGCGCATCAGCGCCTGTGAATTTTTTCGCTCCTCTGTGGACCGACCGAACCTCTACTGGACGGTGCGCAAAAGCCGTTCTTCCTGCAGAATGTTAAGCCGGTACGGCCGGTACCTCCTTTTAGTTACAGTATATTGTATGTGCATGCTGACGCCACCCACTTGTCATCTTGGCGAAGGCATCGCATGCGTGAGAAGACACTGTGTGTTGATGAGCAGGTGAGGCAGAAGCCAGCGAAAGCAGAGGATGTAACGGCCGACATGATCGCCTGGATCAGAGGCAACTACCGTCTGACAGACTGCGGAATCGTGTACTGCCAGACTCGCAAGGTGGACCCTCCTGCCACCTTTCAATCATTCTTCTGGTTGAATAAGTCACAACCTATTCGACAGAGACATCAAAGTATTTGCCTTCGAATATTTTACGGGAATAGGCCACTCAGAAGTGCCAAGGATATGTTGGGAGGGGCTAAGCTAGATGGTGGGATGCAGGAGAGCGAGAGCCTGGCTGCTGAGCTGCGGCAGCAGGGCATGCGCGCAGCCTGCTACCATGCTGACATGGCCGCTGGTGTCAGGGAGGCTGTGCACAGCCAGTGGAGCGCAGGTGCATGCTCCTTTCTGTGACATCAATGCGCCGCCAAATGTCAGCCATTTCTTTCCCCTAAGTCGGCCCAACTGCCTTGGAAAAACCATCCTTTATCTATTTAGTTTTCTCACAGTGAACATAGAAACTCTTAAGAGTATCGTTGGCTTGGTGAGCGGTGCAGGTGAGGTGCAGATCTGCGTGGCCACGGTGGCGTTTGGCATGGGCATCAACAAGCCAGACGTGCGCTTTGTCATCCACCACAGCCTCTCCAAGAGCGTCGAGAACTACTACCAGGAAGCAGGTCAGCATCCATTCAACTATCCACACAGGTCCCTTGCTTACTTCTGACTGCGCATCTGCAACTTGCTCTTGCCATCCTGACAAGCAACAGTCACTCGAATGTTCCCAGGTTTGGATCCAATCTCAATTGATGCGCAATTGCGACATGCCACTGGCTGCATAAGTTGCTGCATCTGAAGCAACAGTCACATGACTCGGGGGCACTTCGGCCCATTGATCTTGGATGTTATACTGGGCACTGACTCTGAGAGTTTGAATCAGGCAACGGAACAGCCCTAATCTGGCAGGAAGCAATGTCAGGTAATTGACCAACTGACATGCTGGGCGCCTGGCATGTCACGTGTATCAGGGAGGGCCGGGAGGGACGGCGAGCGCGCGGTGTGCATGCTGTACTACCGATTTGCGGACGCGCTGAAGCAGGCGGCCATGGTCAGCTTCGAGCCCGGCTGGGAGCAGCGCCTGGGCGCCATCATGCGCTACGCTGCCGCCTCCTCCACCTGCCGAAGGAGCCTCATCTCCCGGTGTGCCCCGTCACCAAACACAGCGCCTCCCACGATACCAGTACTCTGTCAAAGTGTCACTCCTCGACAGAGAGCGGGATGCTCAACGCAGGATCTGCCTGACATTCGCAAAGTTCCTTCACCATCGTGATGTAAGCAAGGGAGTATTGAAGTTCTAGTAAGCCCCTTGAAGTAAGCTAGATCCAGGGGCTTGCACACCGTTGTGTGCACTCAGTGAGCCTCCATCCCAAACGGTGTGAGATGTGTTTCTCCAAGGATCTATGGATGTTTTGCGCGTGTTCAGGCATTTTGGCGAGGCGCCCGCAAAGTGCCACGCGATGTGCGATTGCTGCGCCCAGGCGGGCAGTGGCGCGGTGGCCGAGCGGCGGGGCGTGACGGATGCGGCCGCGGCCGTCGCGCGCACGCTGGCCGACTGGCCGGCAGCCGAGAAACGCGCCACCCTCCTGCAGCTCATCGACCGCTGGCGCGCCAGCAAGGCACGTTGTCAAACAACTCCAAGTTAGCATGACATTCTCTGGATACAGAGTGCAACTGCTTAGCTGAAATGATTGCTTGAAACAGGGCTTACATCCATGAATTTTGTGATCATTGCTCCTTTCTTCGCGGGCCAGTGGGAGTAATAAAAGCTCCAAGATCTTGAGACTATGGTAAGATGCTTGATCAGCAATAGGATTGCAAATTCCGTGCGCCTCTGGTATGCTCTTTATGGCCTACTGTGTGCTTCCGGTCACGCTTTACGTTCATCAGTTCTCAGTTATGGATCAAAGCGTGGGTTTTGCTGACGGGCAGGTTGCGGCAGATGCCAAGATTGGCAAGGGGATGTCCAGGGACGACAACGAGCGCGTCATCGCGCAGATGGTCTACGATGGGTACATCCAGTTTGACTTTGGGTACACTGCCTACGCAACGAATTCCTACCTCAAGGCGACACAGCAGAGCTCCCAGCTTCTCCAAGGTGTGATGCTCTGTCCCATTTTATATTACCTGCTCCCTTCAAGAAGGGAAAAGTGATTACCTACAGTGATTGCTCGCTTGTGGGATGGGATTCAGATGCGAAAAATCTCTGGATTTTTGTATGCATGGGCTGAAAGCGCATGATTTGGTGTGGCAACAGGCAGGAGGAAGGTTCACATGGAGTGTGTAGCAGCAGAAGCTCCAGCGGCAGCTTCCTGCTTGGAAGTACAGCAGCAGGAGAATGAGAAGCAGGCAGATCACACTGCAGGAAAGCTGCAGCGCAGCAGCAAGAAGCAAAAAGTTGCGCCCATGCCTGAGTCAGCAATTGATGGGGCTGAGAAGGAGCCGGCCTCGCAGCGCAGGAGAGGGGCTGTGCAGCCACAAATAGGCGAAGGAGTCCGTATGGAGAGCGTGTCTGATGACGATTTTGAGTGAAAAATACTGACCAGAGCCACACAACGTAACTGCTAAGAGCAGCAAATGCCACGCACAACAATGGAAGCTCACGCCAGTGACCATGGCAGCCATGTGCTAGTGGCACTGCTGGCAATCACTTTACTGACATGTCCTAATTAATAACACCTTGTGAGATATCATCATGATAATTATCATGATTAAGTGATGTCAACAGCCATTGACACCATGATGGTGGCTAGTTTTGAGCCCAAAGTGAGTTCACATACGGGGTTTTTCAATAAGTTAAGCATGCTGAATCACTGTCATCCTGATGCCTTCAATCTTATCAAAATTGGATTGCTTGGGCCCATCATGATCAGGCATGCAAAATTTGAAGCCTACACAGGCGGTCCGCAATTGTCCACTCATTACGTCAGACCAGGCTCTCTGCCGTGAGGCTTGCCGACACATCGCACACCGTTGCGAACTCAAGCCGACATGCTTTATTATCCCGAAGCCGGCATCTTCTAGCAGGAGACTTCTACGTTATGGTGAGTGCAATCATCCCCCGGTGATGCCTCTTCTCGCAGCTTCCCGACCAGATCCTGCTCACACGTGAGAAAGCGAGTTTGCGCAGCAGGAAAGCTCAACACATCCGGAGTTAATTGTGATTATCGTCTTGATGCCGTTTTGAGGACATTCCGATGTTTTTGTTGTCGCTTTGCAAGGAAAGCGTCGCAGCATGGGGCGCAGCATGCCCAGAGCTAATGTAACAATGAATCCTCATTGGGTGTTCTTTTGTTTCTTCTTCTAAAGTCTATCTTAAAATTTGGCGCTATCGTGGGTGTCACATAGAAGATCTGCCTGAAGAGGATTGTTTTGCTCTCCATCTTGCTCTTTGAATGCTGAGCCTCAGCGAGGTGTCATGCTTTGCAGGCGATTGGCGCGACTCTCGCGTGGGTTGCACCACGAGTAATCTGGGTAGCTGCTCTGGTGGTCTTCGTGGTATGGGTACAGAAGTACGGCTACGGATTCAAGTATTCTGAGGGAGACATCCCATCCCTGATGAGCCTCCACTATCTCTTTATGTTTCTGGCCTTCCCCGTCTTCATGACGGAGGCGATCCTCTCCTATCGAGTACCGCTGATCACCTTGGGAAGTCGAAGGTAGCGTTCCTAGCATTTTGCCCTGCTTGATTTATGCTTCAAAGCTTGTTCTCTTCAGCCTGCCTGTTGCCCCGTTTCTGTAGATGGTGTCTGTGACTCCACCTATTGATCAGACATGCCCTTCTACCTGCAGTGCGATCAAGTACCTGCACGCAACGCTGCACAGCTTGTCGGGGGTCTTCATCATTCTAGGACTGGCCTTCGTCGAGAAGTTCAAGGTGACCAGCACAGAGAGGCACTTCTTCAGCCTGCACTCGTGGGTCGGCATCACAGCCATCGCCCTGTATGTGGGGCAATACGCGGCAGGTGTGCGCACAGTTCACATTAACAAACTTTTTATGCGTCGCGCACATGGCTGAACATTGCCAGTTCTGCGCTGACTCAATGCAAATGACCAAGAAGACAATGAGGCCTGTCATTTTTGTCTCGCCGGCAGTGAGATGCAGGCATCCTGTCAAAGGCATTCGTTGTCTAGCAAATTAATCTTCTAGCATGGATGCAGGGCTGTACATCTACCTGGTGTCACAATGGCCGCCAGAGGCAAAGGCAAATTTCTACAAGATCCACCGCTACTTGGGGGCGCTTACGCTGCTGACAGGCTTCACTGCCATCCTGCTGGGCATATTGGAGTGCCAGACCTTCTTCCTGTGGTCCACTGGACTGGAGACATTCTTCTCCCCGGCTGCCTACTCTGTGGGGTCCATGCTGCAGCCCCTGCTGGGCTACTTGCTGTTCCTGCTCGCAGCCTCTGTCATGCTGCAGTTTGTGGTCTTTGAGGATCAGGCAATTCCTGCTCCCAAAAGTGTCAAGGTCACAGCCGTCTAGCTCTTCCTCCTAGGTGCACATGAGCAGCACATTGCCTGCAACGCTCCTTTCTGGCCAGGGCACAGTGGGCTGAGGATGCATGCAGGGGATATTTTGTGCTGTCTGGGACCTGCTTGCCTCCTTCAGTGTTATCCGCTTCTTGTAGGCTCCAAAGAAATTTTGAGAGTCTAGCCTGTCAGATCTGCTAGAATTTGTCAAGGCTTGTCAGAGTTCTCAGACACATGTATGGGCCCATACATGGACCCGGGTCCATGGGGTTTCTGCTCTGGTTTCATTTGCCAGTGCGCCTCTTGAAGTGGCATGGAAGTGTGTCTGAATTGGGGTTTTAGAATGCTTGCTTTTGCATCCTTTGCCACTTTATTATTATTCTGCATGCTTCAATCGGAGAAGTATCGTGCCTAGAAGGGAGATTTAATTGAACCAATTAATTACCAGGCCTCTTAGCATGTGTCAATATTCTTTTTGGGATCTGCTTGTGCTCCTGAATTCCTCTTGAAATAGATTTGTGTTGGGTGACCTGAGGTTATCATGAGCTCAATATTAAAGACCACCATCTGTATATACGCTAAAACTTTTGAGTGAGTTGCCTGTGCCTTGGCTCACGTGCGATAGGTTAATTGGGTTTTGGGTTTCTCAATCAATTGTGTTATGGGAGATTTATGCAATAATGGTGTGATGACAAAATGGCACTGGCGACAGGGCATATTCTTGATGATCTCTGCATGTACATGCAGTATCAATTGCAATATACGGGATATATTCGACGATTTCTCTCTGCATCTCTTGCTGCAAGATACAGTACTCTTGACAGACAGACTATAATGAATATCAATTGGACTACCACCAGGTCTGTCTTGCCATATCACAATTTCCAGGGACAGATCCAAATGTCTTCCCATTCGTCTCCCAAGGTACCACGTGCGTTTGGCGGGAAATACGAAGGGGGGGCTATTCTTTTCCTAATTCTCCCTGTTCCTCTCGCAAATACCAAATCGGAGAAGTTGAGAACATACTGCTTGCCTAAGGAATGAGACGAAGCTGATGCGAGCATGCGATCTTAAGCCTCACGCTCTTCATTAATCGTCCATTCAGGGCTACATACAACTCTGCAGACCGATATACTTTCGCAGTAGCTTTGTCATGGTAAGAGAAAGAAATTGAGCAACATTGTCGACGATAAAAGTTATCATGAGAAGGTTGCTGGGCAGGAATATTGATAGGTCTAATATCCAAGATTGACCCCTTTCTCAGAATCACACACTGCCTTGGAACCTGCCAGAGACGCAAATATGAGGGTTGGAGGTCCAAAATCGGCACCTCAGACACGAAGGGGTGGATTCAGAGGGCAGAGAGGCAGGAAGCCAACGGTCAGCAGCCCATCCAGCAGCCAAGCAAAGGACGACATCGTGATTGATTTCAATGATGATGGCGACTCTGTCAGCGAGGTGTGATACTGCAAATCCAATGTTTTCCAAATCTGGATTGATTGTTCTGCCTGATATGACAGCAGAGATTTTCAAGCACACTGATGAAACACACCGTGTTTTTAACAGGACACGGAGCAGCAGAAGTTCAGAGCGCCAGCCAGGAAGCCATCCCCAAAGAAGGCTCCAGGCATTGTAAAAAGGAGGGGCTCCCCGCGGAAGGCAGTGGTACAATGCCGGCAGGCACTGGCGCAGCAGGGAGAGAGGAGCAGACAGGGCCCTTCAGAGGCAGCATGCAGCACCCCAGCTGCCATGAATCCTGGCAGCCCCGCTATTGCTGGCACCTCAGACAGGGCAGAGGGACAGCTGGCCTCCCCAGAGGCGCTGACGAGGCTTGCTCTGGCAGAGCGATCCGCGGCCGGCCCTGCTTCAACATCGGGCCAAGAAACCCCTGCACTGCCGGCGGGCTTGCAGCAACAGGCTGCCATGCAGGCACAGAGGTCAGCCACTAGACCTGCCTTTTCTCTACCTCAATCCTTTTGCCATCAAGCTTCCTCTGTCCCACATTGGCCACAGTATAGAAAAGAGGCCTGCCTTCTGGTTGCTTTCTTGCCGACAGGATTGACCCATAGATTTTACCCTGTCGGGGACCTGCGTTCCTATTTCCTAATTCCACAGGAGAGAACCAATGCAGGAGGGGCTTTTCAAGGAAGCAGGAGTTTCCTTTAGCGTTCTCAGCCTCACAGGCGCTGTGTGCTTGGGCAGACTGCTGCGGCGGAGGCTGCTGGATCCGCAGGGGGCAGGCATGGCGCTGCGGCCGGAGCTGGAGGCAGCCAGGGCAAAGCTGTACAAGCAGCTGAGCACCACCGTGGAGCGCCCGGGCGCCAACACCTCCTACCTCATCATCGGCGCGCGTGGTACCGGCAAAACCCTGGTCGGGCCCCCCATCAATACCCCCAGAAATTAGTCTGCCAACCCCTGTATCACTCTGACTCTGGCCGTTCAGCCCCTGTCCAATGGAGATTGGGTGTGTCGGAAGGCATGTGTGCTTTGCGCATGCCAGTGAGGTCATTCAGTGCACAGGTTGCACGCTATGCCGCCATTCTACCGGGTGTGAGCTGCTCTGTCAGGCGAGCCAGCCCTCCACAGCACACTGGATCCAGGGGAAAAACTCAAGACCCCGTGCCAGCAAGAATCGCTTGCAACCTAGCATCCTTCGGGGCAGAGAAGGGGTCATCTGGCTGAGCTTGGTGCACGGGAGCAGGCATCATGCAGGGTCAGAGTGCATAATGACAAAGCATGCATGCATGTGGCGCCAGATGGCGGAGCGGACAGTGGGGGAGCTGTGCGCAAAGTACAACACAAATCCGGACAGCCCTGTGGTGGGAGTGGTGCGGCTGAGCGGCCTGGTGCACAGCGCGGACCGCGTTGCCTTCCGCGAAATCGCCCGGCAGTTGTGCGAGTGAGACACCTGTCACACCCCTCTTTGCCCTGTGGTGTGTGGTTAGCCTGGCAAGGCCAGAATGGATTACTGAGAGGAGCTTCCTCAGATCATTAGTTGGTATCCATTGCAATTTTCACATCAATAGGCACCTCCCTGCTCTGCGTGCTGTAAGAGGTCATTCCGCTTACTGAAGGCCAGGGGATTGCAGTGGCACTGTAGAGCATGAAAAGTGTGTTGAGGGGTTGGTGCTGTGCAGGGCCTTCAATGTTAGCTTCAGCCGCGCAGCTTCACTGGGAGACAACCTGGACTTCCTGCGGGACATGCTCAAAGAGCTGCGCAAGTAAGCATGGGGTCCCACTTGCCACGCCTACAAACAACCTTCCTGCTGACACTGACACGGTCAGCCGTCCTGCATTAAGCCTGGATTGTAGGTGCGCTGATGCATGTCGACTTTGTGTGATAGGGGCCACAAGTCGGTGGTGTTTGTGCTGGACGAGTTTGACCTGTTTGCCAAGCCGGTGAAGCAGACCGTGCTCTACAACCTGCTCGATGCCCTGCAGGCCTCCAACATCCAGGTTGGGCCCCTAACTCGCCTCAAACTGCCCGTTTCAAACTGCCCCTTCCTGTGACATACGGCTCCAAACCCCAACTTCAACATTTAAATCACAGAAATGTATGACATCTATTTTGCAAGGCTGCTGTATGAATGCTAGATCTACACACCTTGATATGTGCCTGACTGAACCGTGTACCTTCCTGGCACAAGTTGACATTCGCCGCTGAAGACTCACAACCAAGTTCAATGCTCCCATATGCATGCTAGAGTTGAACACCTTTCCATTAGACCTGATCGAATCGCGTACCTTCCTGCACAAGTTTATGTCTGGCGCTGACGTCTTAAGAGAGCATTCATCTGATCTTCAAATTCAAATATTAAGAAAGGATGTGCGCACATGTGCAGGCGGCGGTGGTGGGACTGAGCGCGCGGTTCGATGTGATGGAGATAATGGAGAAGCGGGTCAAATCGCGCTTCAGCCACCGCCGCGACATCGTGCTGGAGCTGGACGCGGCCGGCTTTGAGCATCCGCACAGCGGCGTCCCCTCCCTCCTCGCCGCCATGCTGGCGCTGCCGGTGCGGATCCTGCTGCTCTGGCCTTTTTCTGGCACTTGTAATGCAGTGTGTGCCATTATGTCGTTATTTCGCCTGCGTTGGGCGCCTTGAGCACTCAAGATCAAAGCCACCTGCATTGCCGAATGCTCTCATGACCTGTCTTCCCTATGACAGGTTGGAGGCAGTTGCTTCAGCAGTGAGTTTGGTTGTTCTGCTGATCCGAAGTGGATAAGTAGAGGGGAGTGGGAAGTTGCTATTGGGGATGAAAGGTCCAGAGGGGACGTATGATGAATGGGCAGTACTTGGACAAACTTTGAACAGGCGTATGTGGTGCCGCAGGAAGAGGGTGCCTCGCCTGAGGCACCATGCACAGCTTTTGCCAGGGGCTGGAACAAATCGCTGCATGCGGCACTGCAGGACTCGGCCCTGCTGGCAGAGCTGCGACTTCTGTTTGACAAAGGCACGTACCCATGCACTCTTGCAAGCACCCATAGACGTCCCAGGATTCCCTGCACCCGCAAACTTGCAAGGCCCTGAGCCTGTTCAGAGTGCTTGCGGAGAGATCAGATGAGGTTAGCGCCACCTTCTGGTGTGATCCGACGCAGCACAACTTGGGATGTGCCGTACTGAACAGATGCGATGAGGCAATTGTGACATACGCATAGGCAATCCGAACATACAAGAGCTGTAACAGACCGATGATGAGCATCTTGCCTGGGTTGATACACCAAGGTGGGGTGTGAGGTGTTACGGGTGTTGCGCAGGGCTGGGGACGCCTGCAGACCTGGCGCAGATTGCACTGGCGGCGGTGATGCGCGCCGGGCGAGAGCCGGGGGCGCCGCAGCTGCACTGCCTCACAGCCGCCGTCGCAGCCGCGCAGCACCGATCCCAGGCATGCCGCTTGTGCTCTCTTCCTTGTCTCCCTTGTGCCTTAACCTCTTCTTCACTCAGATCTCGAGTCCATGCCGGACTTTGCAAGAAAACAGGAGACATACACAAGCTGCTTTGACCCTCAGGCTCTGATGCTTTCCAGTTGTGCCCTACCTTCCTTTGTGTTTCCCACAATTCCTGGTGAACGGTGTATACCCCAGACTGACTTCGCCGGCCCTTTCCATGAGAGCTGCAAAGCATTCAGCCATCAAATACCTGTGCCTCTTATGTGACAATGGACGATCTCAGTGGCTGACAGTGTCTGACCCCACGTCCAAAACATGACCTCAGATGAACACATCCATGCCGGCGCATGCGCAGGTGGATGCGGTGGCGTCGCAGGGAATCCTGGAGCTGTATGTGCTGGTGGCGGCGCTGCGGCTGCACCGGCGCGGCTACGAGCGCGTCAACTTCGAGCTGCTGTGGGCCGAGTACGCCAAGACGGCCGGCATGGGCCACGCCGATGTCTACAGTAAGCCGGCCGCCGCGCGCGCGTTTCAGCGCCTCCTCGACGCCGCCCTCCTCGTCTTCACCGATGCGCGGTGCGTGCCGGCACCCCGCATCACATCGCCTTCAATTATCTTAGAGCTGATCCGAAGCCTGTTTCTAAGTTTATCATAGTCAGCGCCCGTCATGGCATCCAAGAACTCAGAGATGTATGTGGGTATCTCTTAACAGAATATGGCCAGTGATGGCAATTCATGGCAAACTCTCGCTGGCCTCTTTACATCTTGCTTTGTCCGCATTGGTTGCATTCTGTGCGTCGGTACTCCCCGCTTATATGCTTGATTTTATCAGGCTGTGGCCTTTAATGACTCTACTGGCCAATGATGAAGGGCTCTTTGTCCCTCCAAGCAGCTTGTACGAAAGAGGACTTCTGCAGCAGGTGTTCATTGTCGGCTGTGCTGCATTTGCTGCACTTTGGCCCTGCTCCTGCGCACATGCTGTTCCTGCTACCTCGCATCACCAAAATGCGCGGTTGTCACGGCAGGTCGGAGCGGCGAAGCGGGCTGTGGGAGTTTTCAGGTGTCGTGGCGCGAGTGGAGGAGCCGGAAGTGGCCCTGGCACTTCAGCAGCGAGGGCAGTGCCCTCCGCTGCTCAAGAACTGGCTGGCCAAGGACATTGTCCACGTTGGCTCCTATGCTGACGAGTAAGCGGCTAAAAGGAGCGCACTCAGTGTGACATGGAAGTCCTGAAGTCAGATATGTATTTCTTTAGTAACCAGACAATCTCTAGGTAGATTTAAGCTTATTACAGCATGCATATCAGAAGTGACAGTGGGAACCAGTGCGGGGCACTGCATAAGGAATGATTTTGGCTGTGGTCACTAGGTGATTGGGGATCTGCTAGCATGTAGTCCCAGTATGCAGATGTCACATGATGCAAAGAGCATATTTTGATCCTGAAGCTAAGGAGGATGTGTACTAGGAATATGAGAGCATCACATGCACAAGTAGCCACAAGGTTCAAACATGCCGTGATCACAGTGTTCACAATACAGAATGATCAAGATGCCTGCCACAAGGAGGCTTGACAGCAGCTGCTGCGCAGCACGCCCCTAGCTAGGGTGACACCGCTACGCGAGACGCAAATTTTTTTAGTTTAGACTTGCAGATTTACCTGAACCTAGATTATGCTCAGGATCCGCCAATTGGCAGTCAGGTGTACACTTATGGCAAAGATCCACAGATGTATATTGCTCTAGCTAAGAATGAACGTGCTACTCAATACTGATGCAAGAGTAATACTGCCAACCACCGCAGTCCCTATTGTTGGCCCCACCACAGACTTCGATATTCACACATTCTTGGCTTCTAGAGATCCATGCGCACATCTTCACAGAGCCGCCGCCACTTTGCCGCCTCAGCCTGCACAGGGGGCAAGAGAGCAGGACTCATGTCTATACGCACACAGCAATTCTTCTCTTCAAACCAGAAATGAAATACTTCAAACGTGACGTTCCTCCTTAGTCATGACGTCAACAATCGGTCCGTGTCAGCATTGCATTGGATCAGTGCCAGAGTCAATTTCTGATGTCATCCTTGTCAGATAAACAACGCAAATGGGCGTGCAGGAGGGGTGGGTGCGTGCTGCAGTCACATGCGACATCACACAGCTTGCTGGTTGTGACAATATGTGAAGAGTGAGTGATCACCTGTGCCGCCGCGAGGGCCTCCTGCTGCTGTGCAAGGGCCCCATCCAGCGCCTGGGCATGGCGAGCCTGCACCACACGCGTTTTGAAACCTGTCCATGCATGCATGCGCGAATGTCCAGGCATGCTGGTATGACCCAGGGTTGTATGCATTGCTATCTGCTGTTCATTCAGGGCTTTGAAGCTGCACAATGTGAGATGCTGAAAGAGGCTGCGTCCTGGACGACCAAGCCAACCAGGTCACCAAGGTTGATGTTTTTCTGATACATCCCATTCTGGCAATATGCCAGTGATCCTGTAATGATGTAATTCTAATCAACCCGCAACGGGGTGCAACAATCGGTGGGGTGGTACGCGCACTTGCGCGGCGGTGATGCCGGCCTTGTGCTGCAGGTCACTTTGCAGCTGGCCAGCCTCCTCGGCCACCGCCGCCAGCTGGCCCATCAGCACCTCACACGCCTCAGACAGAGCCCTGCGACCACGCACAGCCGTCTTGGTCACTTTTGCAATTTCATGCACCCGAGAAAAGCCGCACATGCTCACACCATGTGTGTCTTCAGAAGGGGCAATCTCCCATGAGGGGCATGTGGCCTACGACGCTCGATTGAGTGCCGGCAAGATTGCCCTGCAAGGAAGCGGAGCCCTGAACCACCAGGCAAGCGGGTAACCCAGGACAGCTGAGCCCTTGCACGCCAAACGATCAGGTTGGCATGCATCATTAATTGACACGCAGAAGTACCTGTCCTGCTCCTCCGCGGCGGCGTCCGCGTCGCTCAGCCGCTGTTCCAGGGCGCAGCGTTCCTTCTCAGTCGCTGTCGCTTGCGCGCGCGCCGCGGCAAGATCGGCGGCGGCGGCGTCACAGATGCGGCGGGCCTCCCCGGCCATTCGGCACTGCTCCTCCAGTTCCTCACGCAGCGTTGCAATCTCCTCGTTGCGCCTGTGACACATATGCAACACTTTGTACTCAAGTAATGCAATCTCAGCCCCAGTGTTTGGCTATAAGGCTGCATACTGGATGTGGTGTATGTCCATCTGTGCCCGCCAGCAATTATGACCGTTTATTTTGGCGCAACAGTGTGCACAGTGCACCCACCGCAGCTGTTCCAGCTCGAGGGCGTCGGCGGTCTGGCGCTGCATAGAGGCCTTGAGCGCGCCGATGGTGGCGGCCGACTCGGCCGTGCTGGCGGCCAGGGCGCGCTCCAGCTGGGCCCGCGCCGCGCGCAGCTCCGACGCCTGCTCCCTCAGCACCGCCAGCGACGCCTCCTGCTCCGCCACCGTCGCCTCCGTCTGCACGCATGCACATACGGTCCCATGCCTCAGTACAATATTCGTGCACATGCCTGCATCTCACACTGCTATCTGCCACTGTGTAGCCGTTTAATTCCAGCTGGTGTCTGCCTTGAAAGTATGCTTGACTGACAGGCAGGTAGGGGGGGGGGGTCTAAGAGTCCTCAGTCACAGGCATTTGGAACATTGCAGGACAGCTACAAATACATCCCTCAGCCATAACATGCATTGGTGGTATCCTAGGCATGATCAGCTATTTCAATACCAATGAGTTCTCTCCTTCCTCAGTTCTGCAGATGCATAGTCGTTAAGGGCCTGGGAAATGCTGTGAGCAGGCGGCCTCACCCGCGCGCGCAGCTCCTCCTCGGCTGCGGCGGCGTCGTGGCGCTCGGCCAGCTGCTGCCGCAGAGCGGCCGTTTCTTCGGCGGCGGCCATCGCACGGTCGTTGGCGCGGGCCGCCTCGGCCGACAGCTCCTGCTGGTGCCCGGCTGCCGCCCTTAGCCCCTCCAGCTCCAGCCGCATGTCCGCCGCGTCCCTGTGTGGCATTGAAAGCACGCATTAACAAGCAGCCTTGTAGAGGCCTTCTTGCATGCCGCAGCAGGAATGGACTGTCGTTATCTGTAAAGGAAGAAAGCGGCTGCTGCCCTTGAGCAGGTCCGAAGAAGCGTCGTATGTGTGTCTGGATACGCAAGAATATTTGAATCCTCGCTCATCAGGACACTGGCACAAGTGCCCCTGCAATCATTGGAGTATGCTGACATCCGAGATACTGTACCGTTTGGGCAGAAGTGAAGGCCGTCACCGGATTCGCAGGTGCAAGAGCCCTCATGGCCACTCCCAATTTCAAATATGAGCAGCAAGGACAAACAGTATGAATAGCTGGAAAGCCGCCCAAATTCAAGCATGCAGCCGTGCCTCTCATCAGCCCGTGCATCTCCCTGATGGCATCCACCAGAGTTGTCTTGTGGTGGTCACTACGAGGAAGTTAGTCATGCACATCACTCAGGAATGCAACGCACGTGTGGGCCTGGTCCAGGTCGCGTTCGAGGGCGGTGACTCGGTCTTCCAGGCGGTGCACGTCGGCGCGCGCGGCCGCCAGCTTGGCGTGCGTGTCGCGGCGTCCCTCCTCCGCCTCTGCCAGCCGGTCCTTCAGCCGCACCACCTCCATCGCCTGCGCGCAAATGCAAGTTTTGTCAGTGACTAAGCAACAGTCTGCACTGCAGTCCTTGGATGTAGAGCCTGGACTCAAGGCTTCATGTACAGCTCACACTATGTCTCTGTGAAGTGATCTGAGCAAAGAGAAGGGACTGGAACCTTGTCAAGTACGGTTGCATTCTGGCCAAGGGGACAGAAGCATGGCGGTGTCCTTTTGTTTCAACACAGGGGATGGAAACACAGTTAGTGGAGAGAGAGAGAGAGAGAGAGAGATGAGGCGATCATTATGCGCACCTGGCTGTGGGTTTCCTTGGCGGCCTTGCGGCGCATCTCCTCGGCCTGCGCCATGGCGTCCTCAATGATCGCCGCACTCTGCGCCGCCGCCCGCTCCGCCGCTGCCTCCACCTCCTTCACCTAATCAAACCAACGAATGACAGGTGAGAGCATAGTTGCACCATTCGGTCAGAACACTTTTTACGGACCGTATATACGGCCGAAAATACGGTCATACGGTATTAAAATATACGGAGTACGGTCAAAAACGGCCTATTTTGGCCCAAAACACCGAATATACGACCGAATATTCACCGTATGCCGAATGGCCGAATCCGTATGGTGCAACTATGGGTGAGCGTCTTACTAAGACCGTAGCTGCAGTAATGCACCAACATGATCTTGACAGCTATCACAGCACCATGACTGTTCTTGGTGAGAAGTATCAGCTTGTATTCTTATGAAACGCATGTGAAGTTGTCGCGGTGACTGCCGCACTTGCAATAGTGACTATCAGCGCGAAATATTGTATGGTCACTGCACATTGCATGCAGGTTGGGAGAAGCAGCGTATATGTGAAAGCGAGGTCTGAGAGACATGCAACACCTGTGTGCTCGCTACATGCAGTCCTTAAATGAAGGGGAATAGCTCAGGCTCGGGCTGTTTACCTTGGGGGTGCTCTGCAGCCGCTTGTTCTCGTCCGTGAGGCGCAGGATCTCGGACCGCAGCAGCGCTATGTCCGCATGCAGTTGTGCGGAATCGTCCCCACCGCCGTTCTCTTGCAGCCGCCCCAGCTTCTCCGTCAGCTGCATGTTCTCCACTGCACAGCGACACTGACTGTCAGACATGCCCAGCATGTCCTCAAAATCACAGCTCCGACACATGCCAGCGAGGCAGAGCACTGAATGTGCAAAAATTTGCACTGTTGAAGCTAAGCACCGGCCCAGCGTCAGTGATGTGAAGGCCCCTCTTGTGCGTCAGAAGTCAATTCTTAGCTTCTGTAACAGGGACAAGGATTGTGGCGCGCCTGCGTATTTCCTGACGTCAGGGTGGTTGTTGAGCTTGTCGGTCAGCAGCGCCCGCTCCTCGCGCAGCGCCCGCAGCTCTGCCGCCGCCTCATCGTCCGGGCTCAGACCCGCCCCCGATGCAGCTGACTGCGCCAAATTTCACAGCCTCCGTCATTTATTCCCTTTGATTCTATTGCCCTGACAGTAGAATCTGTAGGTGGCATGCTACTGTATGTGGGCATGCTGCAAGTCCAAAGGATAAAAGAGCACTGTGCATGTACTTGCAAGGGAGCAGGTCAATCCTCCTTGATCCGAGGGCTGTCTTCACAGCACAATGAAGCAGACAGAGGGGCTGCTGTTGTTCAAGGGGCTGCTCACTGAAATGCTAAACAGAACAGAACAGCACAGAACGCAAGACAGAAAGGACAAACATGCTGGGGCTTCGCACCTGCAGGCGGGCGATCTTGTCCTCCTTGAGGCGGATGATCATTTTGGTGCGCTGCGCGTCCATCTCGCGCTGCTTGGTGACCTCGCGCTGCGCTTCCAGTTCGCGCGTCAGCCGCGCCACGCACCTGGCCGCCGCCTCCTCCCGCCGCAGCGCCCCCACCAGCGCAGCGTGGCCGCTCTGCACGCACAGATTCATAAAAATTCGACATGAACTCGCCAAAGTTATGCACGATTTGAAGCGGTCTCAAGCTCGGGAGGTCAGCACCGGCTGTTTGCATGGCACATGTTGCTCCTCCCCGCACACCGCCTGGTTTTCCTGGCACACCAAGGAGCCCTATGGGGAACTTGCGCGAACGTTAGCATTTATAGGAAAGTAAAACAGGCTTGGTTCACGTCCTGAGAACTACACTTTCTCAATAATATACAAAGGCATGCTCACCGCTGGAGTGAACGGTGGCGGTGCCTGGGGCGTGGACAGGGCGCCAGCTTGCATGTCCTCTTGGGCCCTTGAGGGCGTAGTAATCGCATGCGGCGGCTGCCCAGCAGCTGCCGGATGCGCGCCTGACTGGTAGGCCGCCAGCTCATCCTTCAGCCGCTGGATCTCCGCTTTCAGGCATGCCTCATCCCCCCGAGTGTCCTCATTAATAACCGCCTGCAATTAGTAATTTTTGGCTCTTTGCCTCACAGGAATTGTTGCGACATGTGCATGTCACTCAACAAGATACACGAAGCCTTGCAGGGTAATCAGCCTTGCTTGTGAGAGAGAAAGCCTAGTAATGCCCAGACCTATTGCATGCATGAGTAAGTAATGTAATGGGATGCGCTAAAATTTCAGGAACAGGTTGACGCCTTCAGCAAGGAATCTGACCTTGTTCTTGATGCTCTTGGCGCGCTGGGCAAAGCGCAGAGTGCTGATGGTCTCCGCCAGGTTGGCGCTGGCCGGGCTGATGTTGGCCACCATAATAGTCTTCGAGTTGCCTCCCAGAGAGTCCTGCACCAATTTTCCTTCATCTAATGCTGAAACTGAACCACAAGCACTCTTTGACATAAGCTTTCATGACACATGCCTTGCCGACTATGTGAGATGACAAGCATGCCATGCCATACTTCTACATGCAATTATGAGTATGCGAGGAGACATGCATGCCGCATTTTGCGTGAACACTCACAGGGAAGCCTGGCATACGCCAGCTGCAGCAGCAGTTCAAAGTTGAATTTGAACACATTAGCGCTCAAGGCAGGAGGTAACGCGCGGAGACCTGCAGCAGGTAGGTGAGGCGGGAGTCTCGGTAGGGCACATGGCGCTGCGCGCCTCGCTGGACGTCCACAAGGGACATGATGACGAGGCCAAGGGAGCTGAGCGATTTGTTGATGCTGGAAGCCTCCCGCAACCGCTCGCCCGCCGCCCCCGAGCTCTTCTGCCGCTCGCTGCCTGCGCAGAACCATATCCATGTGTTTTCAGCAAGGGTGCAGCTGATCTGGTTTCTTAGTCATGGATCTGACAGACAGCTGTTGTCCCCAAGGCCCTGCCAGTAAGCAATCCTGTCTGTCCAGAAGCTATATTGAACAGCATTCCTGGATCATCTATTGAGATGAAGTGAGTGGCCATATTGTGCAACTTTTGCAATGCATTGTCCTTGAAGGGGAAAGAGGAGCTGCGTCGGTCGCATGCAGCCCCATTATGCGCCTTGCAGAGCACATCTTCATGCTGCAATGTGGGCACATTTGTCACATACTGAGTGTTGGCTGTCTTGTTGGTGTGATCTGCAGAAAGCACGGAGAACGAGGCATCTAGCAGCATGGCACCTGCCAAGTCGACCAGGTTGAGGCGGGAGCGCAGGATGTTGGTGATGCCTGACTCATCCGTGGTTCTGCTCTCCAGGGTGCATGTGAACACCGAGTGCGATCGGCTCGATTCCCTGTTCATGTTCGTCTCGCCCACCCTCCGCGCTGCTTGGCCCCTTGCCAGCAGCCGCGCCACATCATCCACTGCAGCATGCGCAGCATAAGACAACAAATTCCGAGCTAGAAAGAATCAATGCATGTTTTGCAAGGGATGCTAGAGGTCGCAGGCAGAGTGTGAGCCGACTGAGCGCATGCATGATGCACTCAATGCTAAAGGTGCATCTCTGTATGCGTTGCTCTTTATGTGAGAATATTGCACATGCAGGAGCAGCAGCCACAGGAGTAGCTGTTTAAGCAGAGCGCCATGACTTTGCAATGCATGCAGACTTCAATGGCCTAAACTGTGGCAGTGAAATTCACCCACCTGAGGAGACCTCCTCCTCGCAGAGGTTCTCAACATAGGGTCCACGGGCTGCGTCCTCCCTGATCTGCAGGTGCGCCTCTGAGGGGCTGAGCAGGTCTGTGATGTTCTCGTTGTATATCTCCAGGAAGGAGCACTTGCACGACACCTGACAGCAACCATGCGCGTTGAACTAAGATCGATGCATGCACATTGCATGCTACTATCAGACTGTCAACATGCTTCCAAGACCAGAAGCAAATGCACCAGACATGCTGAAAGGCCATGCTCAACATTTGCACCTACCTGTCTGCTTTGCATCCTGGCAATGCGCGTGAAAAGGTGATCAAAGACCCTGGGAATCAGGCCTTGTTCCTGCAGAGGACATGCACATCAGCTGTTTGCACTCTCAGTCATGTCAATGATGTATCTCCATGCAATCATAAACAACATCCATATGACATTCAAGGAAGTGCGGCATGCAGATACCTCATTATTTAGGTGGCCCACAGAGCCAGAGGGCCCGCTCATTGTGTATGTTTTGCCGCTGCCAGTCTGGCCATAAGCAAAGATGCATGAGTTGTAGCCCGCCAGGCAGTTCTCCACAATTGGCCGACCAGCAACTGCAAGCACATGTCCGCTTCAATCCTATGACTTAAAATATTAAATAAGTACATGTTCAAGCTCCGACTAGTGTGATGATTTCAAGGGGAGTTTCAGCATTTGGTCAGGCCGCAGCATGGTTTTCCTGTAATTGCAACGACCACTTCCAGGTGATGGTATGAGCATGTGTTTCACAGACCTTGGAAGAGGCCCTCTTGATCTGTCCCTTCGCTAGCGATGGCATCAAAAGTGAAGTACTGTGCTTCGCTGGTCATCACCTTCAAGCTCTGCGAGCTGCTCTGCTGGACACACTTGTGCCCACCTGCAAAAATCCAATTTCGACATGTCAGAGATATCATCTGGACTGCAAGCATCAGATTGCAGTTGCACTAAGGGAATAGCCATCCAGGACCAAAATTGCCATCTCATGAAAGCTCAGACTGACAGAACTACAAATGTAGCTGCCTGAAACTCACCGAGGCCCCTTTCTCTGTCGTTGATCGGCCTCACGCGCACAATGACCTGCACATGTCAGGGAAAGGTGCTCAGCCACCTTCCATGCTTACTTTCCCAAAGCTGATGCATTCAAAGCTCATTTGTCAACAATCCAACGCATGAATAGCGAAAGAAGGACCTCACCCTGAGGTTGTCACTGGAGGTGGGAGCCGGCTCCTCATACTGGTAGGTGCTGGCTCTGCTCGCGGCAACAGATGCAGGCGTCTGCTGCCGCAGCCGCGAGCTCTCATCCGCTATATAGGGGCTGCGCCCCAGGCCAGCCTCAGGCCTGTGGAATGTGCGCTGCAGTCTGCTGGCGTTCCTGGCACTGGCTGCAGGGGGCGTGGGCTTCACTGGCGAGGGCTGGCTGGTCCAGTGGACACTGTGGCTGGCTGGGGGGCCCACCAGGAAGGGGGATGAGGCAGGATCACCACCCCTGGTGCTTGCTGCTGCAAGGGCGGCCCTGCGGTCCCACAGCTTGGATGGCGGAGGCTGCTGGGGCGAGGGTGGGGCTGCTGATGGGCTGGAGCCCCCCAGCAGCGGCCTGGCTGCATCCTCTCCTGCTGCCTGCTGATGCTCAAACCTGCATGGGATCTCTCGAATCAGTAAGTGGTACTGGGTTTGGCACATCGTGAGGGCTGAAGGTAAAGCTGGCAAGTCCTCGATGGCCAGTAAGTATACCTGGAGCGTGCAAGCTTGTATGTAGCTGCCTTGGGCTTGGAAGCTGCAGCCTTTGGCGGTGTAAACCGCTCCCGGAGGCTGACATCATTCTGCGACCACAGCAATTAGGCATTCTAAATAATTCTCACGCCAATTGCAAACAGTAGAAGAACACCATTGACAAGTATTGAACACAGGAGCCTTGGATGTAACATGCAGCAGGGCTTTATGCTAATTAAGATTACAGAATAGTGAACGTAAGTAATTCTGCGACGTTATGTTGCTTGGCACAGTGTTGACTTGAAAGCTAGGTGCGATTTCCTTAATTTGTCAGACTGGAGGTTTGTTGTCGTACCGCGGCTGCATTGGTGAAACTCCCAAGCGCATCACTTGATTTTCTGACGACATCGGGAGAAGGGCGCGAGCTCACGGGCGTCAGGCTGAGCTTCAGTGGCTTCAAGGGAGTTGGGTCTAAATTCTCATCATGTCGTACACTCCCCCTCGGCATTGTCTTGGATGGAGACTTTTTGCCAGACTTGCCGGCGGAACGCTTCAAGGCACTCAAGAATCCCATATCAAGCATGCACTGGCCTCCTTGAAAGCTTGTTTGGTAACCCCATACTTCCTATTAACTCGGAGAGTTTGCCTGGTGACACCGAGAAGTTTTCTGCAAGCAGATGCTGAAAAGTAGGCTATAAAACCATGCAAGATTTTTCCAATGGGTATAAATGCTTTCACCGACTTCAACGTCTCGCAAATTTCGACAGCCTTGTCTCCCTGGCGTTGCTGATTTTGAAATGTTGCGTCGCAGTTGCCAATCTAGGCGTCTCCTTGGGTGGCAACGGTTTTGCCTCGCCTTGGTCTCACTCGCATTTTCGACAGCATGCTTCGGTACCAGAGAGATCTTTATGCAAGTCTGCGAGCAGCTCACTATGTGCAAGGCAACGATACCGACAAGAACAGTGTCAAAGTCTTTGACTGATGATACAATCCATATATCCAGATGTCTTAACAGAAATGCCTCACGTGCTGGGAGCATTCGCTGGAATTAACTTTTATATTATTACATTGCAATCTATTTGAGTTTTATAGATCTCTGAGGAACCATTATGATTATTCCTCTCTGGTTGGACAAAGATCACTAGACTGCAAGCTCATACCATGTCAGCAGAACCAGCAGATCACACAGCATCTCAAATATCAGATGCTGAGAGTAGTGCATCAAAGTATGACGCGAGCAATGCTCTTGAAGCTGAGGGCTCGAGGTCAAACACCGCTTCAAGCAATCTAGACACTTGCAGTAGTACCACAAGCGAGGGACGTGAATCAGCACAGAGCCCCAGCAGTTTGATGAATCCATCTTTACAAGGAGCATGTGGGGACCCGGAGATCCGTGATCAGGAACTGGAGACTCCAAAAAGCAGCGGCGATGACGTGCTGTTGGAGGAGGAGATTCGCAGCATCAGTGACAACACTGAAGCTGAAGCGTATTCACAAAGTCCTGAAGATGATGGTAGCTGCAGCGAGGGAGCTCTGGAGTGTGTCTCAAGAGACATCGGCCTCGGCGAAAATCCTTTTACCTCCCCAAGCAGGGCTGTAGGAGCTGTGCAGCACAGCACTGCATCACCACTCCCCAATGATATGCAGAGCTCAGACATGCCAACACAGAGGTACGCCATGTACCAAGCATCTTCACCCAAACCTGCTGGACACTATGAAATCTGCACTTGGGAAGGTGAGTACGTACTAGCACCTGAACGTTAACGCAGTGACCAACAGGTTCTTCCAGGACTCTAGGCTGCAGGATCCGCTTGCAGGGGCTCAGATGATTGAGCAGCAGGTGTTCCAGGGCAGCCCAAACCCAGCGCAGCTGCACAGGCGGCCCTACACCCCGGAGAAGTACTCTCCTGAGCAGCAGGATCGCAGGAGGTCTCACCCCAGTGGAGCCACTCAGCGTGATCTGCAGTCTGAGTGGAGCGCCAGGGATGAGGTCCTGTGGGACAGCCGACTTCAGGATGCTGATGGACACACGTGGAGGAGGCATTCTTGGAAGCATGCAACAAACAGCCAACCAGGCACAGCCAGGCAAACCTTCGACTCCCCGCGCAGCTATGCACCTTTCCCGGCGAATGGCTATGGTGCACAGCAGGCTCCCTGGCAAGGCGGTGCAGCAGGCCCGCCTTACAACTGGCAGCCAGATCACCTGATGTACCCCGACAGCAGGCCTCGGCAGGGGTTCTATGAGGGGTATGGCGGCTTCGGGCGGCAGGGAATGGGCCCATATGGGGCCCCATCTCACCAGGGGGACAGCGCTGGATACCAGGTGCACAGCTCCTTCACAGCAAGCCTCAGTGAGCGCTCTGGACAGCAGCAGCAGCAGGGCTTCTTGGCTCACCCGCCACATCCGCATGCCGGCCTGGCGAGCGGCTGGCCCATGCATGAGGCCGGGAGTGCAAATGCAGAGCAGTCCTGGGATGGGGCAGAGACCTCCGAAGCACATAAGCTGCTGCAGGAACTGGCTGATGCGCAGGCGGCTGAGAGGGACTATCTGGTGTGCTCACATCCTTGTTTGGTGACGAGAATGTTATTTGGATGGGTGGACAGGAAATAATATGCTATCCTGTGCCCTTGGCTCAGTGGTGTAATGCTGTACAGAGCCACAATGCAGCGTGCTGCATTGCCATACAGCCCTGAAGGAGACTTTGCTTAGGCGTGCCTCCGGAATTTACAGGGCACAATCAAAAGCCTGTCTGCGAGGCTGGAGGCAGCGATGGGCAGGGAGGCCACACTGAGACAGAGGCTGTTCAAAGCTGAGGCAGCTGCCAGCACTCTTGACACAAGGCAGCCCTCCGCGGTGGTGGAAAGCCCAGGAGTTCCGTTGGCACCGGCCAGCGAGATCAGCACAGAAGCGCCTGGTCAGGCGCAGAACATTGTGAAGATGCCTGGGGAGAAGAATGAGACTATGGCAGAGCCACTGCCAGCACCAGAGGAGGCCGAGGCTCCCCAGCAGTAAGGCCCTTACTTGAATGCTCCATGAGTGCTTCACGTGCTATTTTCAATTGGGGATATCCTTGGTCACTACCAAAAGCACAGCATTGCAATCTGCGTGCATTAGGGTAGTGACGTGGCATTCAGGAAATTGGAGAGCCCTGCAGAGCAATCCGCTGGCAAAGATGCAGCATTGGAAAGGGAGCGTGCGGAGACTGCCGCACTGCAGATCAGCCTGGATGCAGCCAATGAGACGTGTCGCAACCTCCAGCGTGAACTTGCGTTTGCCAATAAACGGTATGTTTAAAGTCTACTCACTGCATGCATGTCAATGTGAAATCTTCATACTGCATCCTGCATTCGATGCAGTGGCTGTGCTGCTTGCCACCTCCCAATTCTGAATAATGTAGGCACCAATTTAAAAATAAAAACTTTGGCCATACTTGCTACCCTGAACAGTCTCAATTTGGCTGATAGAGCACTGGTATTTTACTCTGATGCTTACGGCTGATCTTCTGTTTGCTTCTGCTCTTCAGGCTTGAGAACACTGCGACAGAAGGTCGCCAGGCGGATGCACAGCTGGCGCGCATGCGGGCGGCCAATGCTGAGCTGGAATCCAGCCTGGAGCGGGCCAGGGCAGAGATCTCCCAGATGATGGACCAGCTGCGGGTGAGATGCTCGTTGTGCATGCCAATCTTCATTGTCTTTTTGGCACTTCATCGCACAAGCAATCAAGAGTACCCTGCACTCCCCACCAGCCATCTCCTTCACGATCCATCGAGTCATGGTTTTTGGCTTCCCTCACATAAACCCACCTCTGTTGACAAGGCTTGGCGGCATGTCAACTCAATGTACCGCACATTCAGACCAGAAAAGCACCGACAGACACTGTGTGCGCAGGATGATGCGCGGGCACTGAAGGCAGCAGAGCGGCAGAGGCAGGAGGCAGAGTTCCAGGCCGTGAGCCTGCGGCAGGCGCTGGACGCTGCAAAGAGGAGCGTGGCCACGCGGGAACAGGACTTTGTGCGCCTGCAGCAGAACCTGCACACCGCCAGGGCAGAGCTGGCAGACCTCCAGTCGCGCTACAGGTAATTGCATGTCTAGACTGAGATTTTGTGACACCACAAGAAGCAGTAGATAACAGGGAGAGGGGCATAGGCAGTAGGAGTAATCAGGAATCTGGCCAAGCAGTGGATGTTGGCCCCGTGTATGCAAGCTCGTGCAACCTGTTCCTTACTTGTGCAGAGTGTCTGATGGCTCAGGCAAGGTTGCCTGAGCCATCCAGAGTGATAGGTATGGCCTTCGTCTGTGACTTATGTTCAGACAGGCAAGGTGAATAACTCAATAACTTCTGCTACAGGCAATTGGAGCGGTCCTCGCTGATGTCACAGCCCGTCGTGCTGCCAGCTGGCGTGCGCACGGCCAGCCATGACGGCGCGAGCCCGCTGCCGACCTCCCGGCAGGAGGGGACGCCCCGCCAGACAAGACCGCCCTCTCCGCGCAGCAGCAATGCCTCCCTGCCGAGCAGCATCGAGACCGCCACCCGTGGATTCACCCGCGGCCCGCCAGCCACCCTGGTATTCCACCCCGACCCCATGCCAAAACTGGCAGCCCTGCACAACGGCCACCACTGTGTCAGCTCCCCTGAGCTGCCAAATGGACGACCCAACACTGACGCTGCCTCCACTGCAGCCTTGATGTATGACCCTGACCAAAGGCAGCCGGGTCCTCTGCGGCCGGAGAGCGCCCTCTACAATGACCGGCATGCAAGGAGTCCAGAACCTCCGCCGTCCCACTCAGAGGACCACAGAAGCCTCATGTCCGACAGCCAGGACAAGCCTCACTGGCATTGGGAAGCGGGAGGGCGCCAGATCAGGCACGCGGCGGCTGCGCAGCTGCAGATTGGCGCCTTTGACAGCCAAGCGCTGTTTGCTGAGCGGCCGGCTGCGGGGCTGGCGTCGGACCATTCCGGCGCTCGGGAGAGGGCTGCAGAGCAGCAGCAAGCGCAGCAGCAGCGGTACAGGGCAGAGCAAGCGTGGGCTGATGCCGCCGACCCGCCAGCATATGGAGCTGAGTCGGCAGCAGATGCTTCGCCATCATGGGGCAGTAATGATGTGCGTACCTGATCCTCATAAAAGTCCTAAGAATTTCATTGACCTGTACTTCAGCCAGGTCTGTCACGCACATCAGGCACGATGAATTGCCTAATGAGAGTGCGTTGCCTACCTGCCTGATGACAGACCATTTGCCGCAGGAGAACGAGAGCAGACGTGGCAGTGTTGCCCAAGGGAGCGGTGTCAGAGACAGCAGCTCTGTGCATAGCGACGATGCCGGCTATGTATTGCAAAATGGGGCCAGGAATGCTGCTTTGGCGCTCAGGCAAGAGCAATATGACGATTCAGGCACCGAGAGCGGCGCCTTCCGGCCGTACGCCACCGATCTGTCCCTGCAGGTGCCAAACCCCCTTCCTAGCGCACGGCCTGCGACTCTCAAGGAGGCTCTCATGTGCACCTTACTTCCAGCGCACGCATGCAGATCTGAAGCCTTGCAGGCTTCAAGCTGCCGTGAATAGCCCCGGCAAAGTTCGCGCTTGCCAAAGCGTGAAATGAGGCAGTATCCCTCATCTGCATCCACCTTTGCATCCCCTTGAAAGTACTTGAACTTTCTGCTGTATCACACCTACTTGGCCTTTTGTTGCAAGGGGATTTGCACAACAACACTGAAATCTGAAGCGAATTTAGCAAAGGTAGCTCTTATGTCTAACGGCAGAGCAAGGGGTCATATTGCCACAACGAAGACCCATCACCTGACAACATACCTGCACAGGACTTCATGCGGCGGGAGAAGGTGCTGGAGGACCGGCTGCTCGTGCTCAATGAGGAGGACAAGCGGCTGGAGGCCGAGTATGCGCGCATGCCAGCCGTCAGCGCCGGCCGCACTCTGGCCGAGCGCCGCCGGCGCGCTGAGGTGGAAGCCACGCTGGAGGCCAACAAACGCGAGGGCAGCAACCTGCGCCTGCAGCTCAAGCGGCTCGGCGTGAAGTGATTCCGGGGGTCTCTGCGCGCCCCGAGCGTTGCACGTGAAGTGGTATGCAGAAATTGGCGCTGTGCAGGCTGATGGGTGTCTCATAATCATAAGTTTTAACTAGCCCAGATTGCGGCAATTTGCGTGCCATTGTTGATGATCAACAACGGCACCAGGGTCTTTGATAGCAGAAGTAGCACTCCTGAGGTCCAGAATTCTGAAATTTGATGCAGCCCAGGCTCAAACTGATGGGAGCATGACTTCCTTACTAGGTAGTCACTACGGTACCGGAAGTCCATTCAAACGCATGCTATGTATGGTCGTTGCCAGCCTGGATGTTCCAGGTCCCAAAATTGTGAATGAATTGGATGAACGGCCTTAAAATTAGTCTCTTTCTATAGTTGCGTCTGCCAAATTTAAATCTGCAGGCAATTGCATAAGTTTGAAACTGATAGAATCTTCAATCTATATAGATGCTATATTGCTATGATGCTGACTGATCAGTCATGACATCGGATGCGCCGCGGCGGCCAATGCCATGCATACTATGCATATGCCAGCTGGAGCGGCCATCCGGAGCAGCATTCGCTTTTGCTAGACATCCAAGTCTATAAGCGCTCGCCAATGCATGCACAGCATCTTTGAAGCCTTTTGCAGCCTCTGGTAAGCCCTTCGAAATTAAACTCGATTATGCATAGTCTGTCTTTGGGGAGTTTGGGTGCACAGCCAAAATTGGGTCGGGCTGACAAGGTCTCAGATGACTCGGCTTCCTGATATGGCATCCACTGGGCACGTTTCAGATTAGCACATTCTTGTCTCTCCACACTTGCTAGCCGCTGCCTTGGTCACCAAAGCTGGTACATTGCAGCATTCAGGGATCAACTAGCGCTGTGATCAAGCTGCCATCCTTGCCAGGGGAGCAGGAGCCATACTGTATTACAGTGTTTGGTAGATTTGTCACCCTTTTGGCGTTGCAGGGAGCCTCAAACCCGGCCCGTGAATAGCTGTTGCTGATCTGCGACCGTGTAGGCAGCCAGCAAGATGACCAGCCCGAGCAAACGCCGGGAGATGGACGTTATGAAACTGTATGCCCCATGTCCAGGGTAGTGAAGATGCGAGTTCCCAATTCGATCCGTGCTTGCCCGCTGAGACACCAGAGGATCAATCTTTTATCTCCTGCGCAGGATGATGAGCGACTGGAAGGTGGAGTTAGTGAACGACAGCGTGAACGAGCTCTACGTCGAATTTCAGGGTCCAAAGGACAGTGAGCACCCTTCTCCGGACTATCTGCATTGCTCAGTACTGGAGATGTGATAGATGTAGCCTTTGTAGAGACTCGTGCGTCCGTTTCGCCTTCTGGGAAAGCAGAAAGGGAGTTTTTAAGGGTTGCTTCTGTCTGACTTGTTTTATTCAGCTGAGACAACTTTATCGTCTCGCAGGTCCGTATGAGGGAGGATTTTGGAGGGTGCACGTTGAGCTTCCGGACGGCTATCCTTATAAGTCACCTTCCATCGGCTTTGTGAACCGAATATACCACCCCAATGTGGACGAAATGTATGCCAACCCCACCTTATCTTATAACTTCCTTGTCAACGCTGCTAATTTCTACTGGCATCTCAATCTTCATCCTCCATGGCACAACTTGAATCTTCCGGATTCCGGAAGATTCCAAGGGCTCGGCTCTGAGATTTACTTGGATGGTGCAGGGCGGGCTCAGTGTGCTTAGATGTCATCAACCAGACCTGGAGCCCCATGTTTGGTATGCTCCTTCTTCCACACTCAAATGTCCAAGGGCTGCTTCGTAGTCCTGTAACAGCATAGTTGGCCGTTGCCTTGCTCTGAATATCTCAGCTCTCCCAGATACCAGCGGTGCTTTGCGATGAAACTAAATGAAAGTGGAATGGGTAATGAAATAATTCCCTGAGAATGCGTTTGTTCTGCAGACTTGCTGAATGTCTTTGAGACATTCCTGCCACAGCTGCTGTTGTACCCCAACCCCACAGACCCCTTGAATGGGGAGGCAGCAGCGCTCCTCATGCGGGAGCCCGAGGCCTACAACGCAAAAGTGAAAGGTCAGCCCTGTCTGTCTTGAAGTCCTGCACGCTTCACATCACTTGCAATTCTTGACATGCCAGTATCTCCACTTGTGTATCTTGATCAGGAGTGGCCGCCTGAGCTTTAGAGCTGGGCTGTGGTGCAACGAAATCTAAAGAGAAAACTTAAAGCATGACAATATCAATGCAGCTGCATGCCTTCCAAAGATTTGGATGCCAAAGTGCGATGCCACCTTCGTGCTGCGCAGAGTGCACAGCAAGGTTTGCAAAGAAGGAGGATGTGGCGGGGCCGGAGAATGGCAGGGATGGCAATGACAGCATGAGCGCTGACTCAGAGGGCTTCCTCTCATCCAGCGATGATGAGGATGAACACCCCACAACAGGGGAACCTGACTTATAGGCCATTGCTTCTGGCACTGCTCATTTCTTGCCTCTTGTAATTGCTCACCGTCACAAGATTGTCGCTGCAGCCCACTGTCCCTCTGGACAGCGAGGAGAGCTTTCGGCATTGGCCCCTTTGTGCTCTTTCAAGCCTTGTTCAATTGCAATTTAACAGAGTGTTCCTTCCATTTCTGCTCATTGCAAACTGCAGTGGAGGTTTTATGCTGCTGAAGAGAGCAGTCTCGGCAGGCAAGGATGCCGTGTATAAAAGGATTTCGCCGTGCTTGCGCAAGCAAGGATTGTGCGACTTGCGGTGTATATTAGGGAGGTGGAGGCTGGATGTTGAAAACTTTGGCAAGCTCTGTGTGCGGCATCAATAATCTAGCTTTGCTAGACAATCTTTGTTCCTGATTTTGCTGCCTGACAGAAATGACTGACAAACTGGATTCTTGACCTGTATGAGCACTCAGGTGTGTAGAGGAGACATTCCAGATATTTTTCTAGAGCTCCGAGAGGAGTCCGACTCCTCTCAGGAGTCCTCAGATCATCTGCATGATGCCAGGCAGTGCCTAAACCAGTGGTCTGTTTATGTGTAAACTATTTTTAGCATGCACCGGTTCAGACGGGCTGTATACCATTGTTGCATGATGTATCTTGTCCCTGGTGCTGGATTGACTTGCATCAACAGAAGTTGGGCAGAAGTTGACCTGGATGGGGCATGGTCCACCCTGGCACCTACTTAGCTGACATTGCATTACGTGATGATCTGCTTTCGACAAAGTCCTGTCCTGCAACGCAAGATCTGTCAGAAATTGGACCTGGTGTTGTAGAAAAGGAACAGTCTATCTCATTACACTGTTCACGACTCGCTGCGGAAGTTGCTGCTGACAGCTAACTTCATCAAAGGGACATCGGAACATCGATAAGTCTATAGTTGCTGAGTGAGCACGCACAGAAGCCATCATTCTTACAACAAGTGGTTCCGAACAGTTGTAGATCGGGCACAGCTACCGATCGTAGAAATAGTTACAGTAACCATATCGTAAACTGTTTATCACAAGCTGCTTCGTTGTATCTTTGAAGTAATCGAGGAGAAGAATTAGGCCGTGAGTACCTTGGTGCTCGTGAATGGTGAAATCTGAAAATGTGGTAAAGCCCGAGGAGAAGGCGTCCCTAAGAATTAAACTAGGTGGCAAGGATGTGAGCGCAGTAGGGAAGGAGGGGTCTGGGGCGACCAAATTCAAGATCAAGCTGCCGGCTGCCAAGCGTGATGTCGAAGAATTTGTCAAGGGCGAGGAGAGTGAGAAGCCAGCAAAGAAGGAGAAGCGCACAAGAAAGAGGAAGGCATCTAGCCCAGACGAGGTATTGTCTGCAACTATGCTTTCTAACCGCATTTTGGCCCACGATCTTTTAATTTACACATGCTCCAGTAAATTTGCACGGGAGAATTTGTCCCATTTTATGCTGATTGATCTGTTTCTTCTGGACACTGCGCACAGTACATCCCCGTGGGAGCGGAGATAGAAGGCATTGGTGCAGATGACATCGAGGAGCTGTCAGAGAACGATGATGACTACTACAAGCTGGGCGCAGAGGACGACGAGTTCAAGGACTACGCCTCTTTGAAGCTCAAAAGTGACCATGCCAACAGGTACATACTGCTGGAATGGATGTGGCCCGCGCCTGTAGAAAAGGATGACCTCTGCAGTGTATCTTTGTAGACAGAATGCAATTCTCTTGATTGCTGTGTCCAGTGTGCTTCCTTAGACGGCTGTGCGTAATGCTAAAGTGACTAGAAGGCGGCCTCTTCATCCAGCCATCCCAGGTGTCCCTCAGGCTACTGATGTGGGCAGACTTAAATTGTGCTTATTGCCAAAAGCTAAACAATACGTGGCTCGCATGCAGGCCGCTGTGGGTGTGCCCGGACGGGCGCATCTTCCTGGAGACTTTCTCGCCGGTGTATCGCCAGGCGTACGATTTCCTGATCGCCATCGCGGAGCCTGTGTGCCGGCCGGAGTGCGTGCACGAGTATGTGCTCACACCGCACTCGCTCTACGCCGCTGTCAGCATCGGGCTCAACACACAGACAATCATCACAGTGCTCAATCGCCTGTCCAAGGCGTGCTCCTTCCCCCGCTTGAAAAAGTTTATAAAGCTCCTATCAGCCTGCCAAGTGACTGCCCAAAGTCTTTCCGCACAATCTCAGCAGGCTCACTTCCCCTCCTCCTGTTTGCTCTGCCCTACACTCATGCACCTTTGGACATTTTTTCCCTGAATAGGAATGTCCTGTTCCTCAGTTGTCTCCCCTGCATTCAGCAGCTTGTAGTTGGTCCAATCTGCAGTCAGTGCTCAGCACTTTGTGAATGGTCAGCAGAGGCCAGAGAGGGGCTTGTGATGCGTTGTCATGTGCTGAGGTTGTGTCGGGGCTGAATTCACAGGTGCAGCTGCCGTCGGAGATCAGCAAGTTCATTCAGGAGTCTACTGGTAATTATGGCAAGGTGAAGCTGGTTCTGCACCGCAACAAGTTCTGGGTGGAGAGCCCCTTCCCAGACATCCTGCGCAAGCTGCTCAAGGTGCGTTTGTGGCCTGCCCGGCTATGCGCAACCTGCTATCACATCCAAAACAACCCAGCTAACTTTAGGCACTCTCCAAACTTCGTTGTACTTCATAAGGCCTTTTGCGGCACACTGATGCACTTCAATACTTGTGCGCTTCCTTGCGACAGCTAGAGGTAATGCTGTGGCTGAATGTGTTGTTGTCGTGGTTCAGGATGAGGTGATCCAGAAGGCGCACGTGGTGGCGCCAGAGGGGAATGGCTTCACGGTGACAGCTGGGCTGACAGAGCAGGCAGCGGTGGACCTCACCAAGGAGGTGGAAATGGTGAGCTCTACTGGCATCCCCAAAACTTTGCTGTGCTCTCGCGCTTCCTCACCTTTGCATGCATCCATCTCCGCAATGTTGGCAATCTCGAGTGCAAATGTGTGACCGATGTGAAGCAGTATGATTGCATCAGTAAGAAAGTGTGGCAGGCATATTGGGGTCATCCCATCGCCTTCAGTGTGTTCTGCTCATGTCAGCGGTCATTGTCCTGCATTATTGCTCCTTACTGAGTTGTGTGTGTCATGCCTGCACGGCCGCAACTCCCCAGTCCTGATCCTGGAATGAGTAGAGCAAATGACACATGCTGGCACTGTATTTCAGGCGGAGGTGGAAGAGATAGCAGAGGGCAGCAACCCAGAGCCAGACCCGGCTGCTATTGACCCTGGCCTGGCAGCCGCTGAGGCCCTGGCCCTGGCAGAAAATAAGGAGCGGGAGCTGCACTCCTTTGAAATCGAGCCCTCCCAGGTAGACTTTCTCACATGCAGGCCTCAGCAAGTTACTTGAAACACGGCGCGGGTTGCTGCACTGGGGAATGTACACTTAGAGATATTTCTGCCCTTTGTTACTCCTGTCTGAGCTGATAGAATCTGATGATTTGATACTGTAGCATGCAAGGCTTCCTGCTCTATTCAAATTGCCCATAATATGTGCCTGCTAATGCTGATAATATGTGTGACAGGTGGAGCATGTGAAGGCGCGATGCTTGCCTGGCGGCTTGAACTACCCGATGCTGGAAGAGTATGACTTCAGGAATGACACAGTCAACGCAGACCTGAACATCGAGCTCAAGCCGCACGTGCAGCACCGCCCCTACCAGGAGAAGTCCATGGCCAAGATGTTTGGCAACGGCCGCGCGCGCTCCGGTGCGCCTGCAAGTCAGATGGAAGTCCATCAGTGGTGATACAGCTTTAACAGCACACGCGCTTCAATGGCTGTCAGAATGACATGCACCAGTTATTACTGGTGCATGCATTACGTGCATGCAATCTTGCTAGCCACTGAGCTGCTTGTCCTGTCATTGCTAGATGAACGCAGTGTGCATGCTCGTAAGAACCAATCGTGGTGCACAATGTCTATTGCTCAGTTATTCAATGGCAGATTGACACCACTTCAAGTGTCACTGGTTCAAGCTGACAAGATTGCAATGTATTATGGTGCCCTGATTCGCCCACCCAATCATGGTGCCTTGGTTTGTAGGCATTATAGTGCTGCCATGTGGGGCGGGCAAGTCGCTGGTGGGCATCACGGCGGCGGCGCGAATAAAGAAGAGCGTGCTGTGCCTGGTGACCAACAGCGTGTCGGTGGACCAGTGGAAGCACCAATTCAAGCTGTGGACCAACCTGCAGGACCACCAGATCTCCAGGTCAGCCCATTTTATTACCCAGACACAAATGTCACAGCTGGAGTCTACTTCTGAAAGCTGAGCTCTGCACCCTGCAGCTTCGATATGTGTAGATCTTGGCTGTAATGAAGCAAGAGAGCCCATCCTCTGAGAGAAACACGACATATATTAAGACTTTCCACTAGCATTCTGCCAAGGGCATGTATCCTACTGTAGCAATCAGTGAAGAATGCAATTCCTCCTGTGCCCTGGGTGCCAGACCAGAGAGGGACATGCCCAAAAATGAGGCTGCAGCTGCGGCTGCTGAGAGTACAGGAGCTTAATTTGATCTGACTTTGGCTGGTCCAGGTTCACGTCGGACCAGAAGGAGTTGTTTGCGGGCGTAAGCGGGGTGACGGTGACCACGTACACGATGGTGTCGTACAGCGGGCGGCGCAGCGAGGAGAGCGCGCGCGTCATGGACGAGATCGCCAGCCGCGAGTGGGGGCTGCTGCTCCTCGACGAGGTCCACGTCGTGCCCGCCCAGATGTTCAGAAAGGTGCGCTCTAGACACCAGCCCTCCTCTGGTGGCTTGAGCCTGAAGTTCCACCAGCCTCCGGATGTTTAGGAAGGTGCGGCCAGACCACCAGCAATCCTTTTCTTGCTTCAGTCGTGCGTGGTGCTGGCATTCTGGGCAGGCCCTTGGCGGGCATGTGCGCGGAGCAATGCAGTGCAGTTTGATGTTCAAAACCTGCTGGCCGTTCGGCAGGGATGTCTACCCAAAGTTGATTGTTAGGTCAGATCATGCAGGTTAAGTTCTCATGCTTGCTTGACCTCTGCTGATTGATGTCTCCTGGGTAAGCTGCATGACGGGTCCCTGACAGAGAGTGCTGCTCCTGCTGCTCAGTGAGCTGGGTGACCATTGTGCACGCATTTATTGGGAATATCAGTCAGCAGAAAGCCGGTAGGGGTGACTCATGCTATTTTGTCTGTGTCTGTCTAGGCACAAGTACCTTATCAGATAGGTTTTCTGCTGGGAACGACGCAGCAAGGTGATCTGTCAGTAGGAAGACACATTGCTGGAGAGCTGCTGGCAATCCTATTTCTCTTCTGCACGCAGGTAATCGGCATAGTGAAGGCGCACTGCAAGCTGGGCCTGACTGCGACGCTGGTCAGAGAGGACGAGCGCATCTCCGACCTCAACTTCCTCATCGGCCCCAAACTCTATGAGGCCAATTGGCTGGACCTGACCCGGGCAGGGCACATCGCCAATGTGCAGTGCGCCGAAGTCTGGTGCCCCATGACCAAGGTAAACCACCCTGCATGTATCTCGAGCCGTGCTCATACCACACAGTTTGTGGAGTGAAGTCTGTCAAACTTCACTTCTGCTGGCGTTTCTTGGCTGTGGTGCACCTGCTGGTGGGTATGCAAGGGCGCCCAAGATGCAGAGCAGGTCGGAGTATTCTGTAAGCACATTGTCCTGGCACCCAAGCATCAGACCTTGCACAGCTTACCTGCCTCTCAGATTTGCTGAATTGCATGCTTTGCTGACTAAGGGGCGGCATGCAACACTGCGCAGGAGTTCTACAGGGAGTACTTGAAGAAGGACAATGCGGCCAGGCGGCAGCTGCTTTACGTCATGAACCCCAACAAGTTCCAGGCCTGCCAGTTCCTCATCCAGTACCACGAACAGGCATGCACCCTGCTTTCTCACACAGAGATGGCCTATCTCTCACTGTCATTGTAAGCTGCAATCATGCACATGAAGCATAGTTTGCCAGGACACCGACAGCACATGGGCAGTTCAATGATCTTTGCAGCATGTGCTGCTTTGTAATGCATTCCTATTTGGTATTTATTTGGTGATCAACAGCTTAGAGCCATTTCTGTCTGCCTGCTGGGCATGATGCTCTTTCCATGCATGCCACTGAAGGGAGGAGTGCTTGTGCGCAGGTGCGCGGCGACAAGATCATAGTGTTCAGCGACAACATCTTTGCGCTGCGCGAATACGCGCAGAGACTGCGCAAGCCCTTCATTTACGGTGGCACCTCCCACCAGGAGCGCACCCGCGTCCTTGCCGCTTTCAAACGCTCCGCCGAGGTGCACTCCCGCATTGTTTCAGGCTAGCCACTCTAATTACCGCAGACTGCCTTCAAAGTCAAGCTGCTGTGGTCTTGGACCCCCTGCATGCTGTATTATCATATCACTCACAAGCTCGATGGTTGTCTCGCTGTTGTCGTTCTTACTTGGTGGGTGTTGTGTGCCATTCTTGCACAGCCGCTCATTCCTTAGAAGATCCTTGCATGCTGGTGTTGTTGCCTGTTATGCTAGCTGGCCAGGCCGTCATGCAAGGATCACCCGCCTAGAGGAATTGGGGCCATCGCCAGGAGATGCACAAGCCATTCCTGTCAAAAAGTTGTCTTCTGAGGCATGCAGTGCACGGTGTGCGCAGGTGAGCACGGTGTTCCTGTCCAAGGTGGGCGACAACTCCATCGACATTCCAGAGGCCAATGTGCTCATCCAGATCAGCTCCCACGCCGGCTCCAGGCGCCAGGAAGCCCAGCGACTCGGCCGCATCCTGCGAGCCAAAAAGGTGCGCCGCACGCCCTTTGACAAGGTCCTATTTAGGGGGCATGCAGCCTCATGAGAGAGAAATGTGACCCTAAAAGAGATGACAAGAGTGTTGAACACTGACCTGCAGCTGGAGGACACAATAAAGAGAGGTTGTCAGAAGGCTAGGTATAATTGATGTGTTAGTTTTCCAGGCTACACCTCTTTACTATGATCTTGGAGCCTTTGAATTTTATGGAATCCTCGATATGTTTACTGTCTCCGGTTGTCACAAAAGTGGGGTTGAAGGAGGAAGCCTGGGAGAATTTCTCAGCATGCATTCCTATCGTCCACCAGGAACATTTGTGAGGGGACAGTCTTTGCGGCCTTTTTTTCGACCCTGCTGTGGCCAGCTGAACAAAAGTCTCTCAGAGGCACGCAGGGCTAATGGGGGGCTTCAGAGGAACAAATCAGAACCTTTCTCAAGCAGGCAATGCAGCACGCTTTACCTCTTGATGGTCATCCTCTGGCTCAAAGCCACAATGTTGCCAGATACAATGGGTTTGGGAGCTGCAGCCTGTTTTGGCTCCAACAGGGATGGCCCATGCGAACCCATTTGCAAACACGACGCTGAGTGGGTTAGGGAGCAAGTCTTATGTGGATGTGTGCCATATCCACGAGAAAATGCTTCTCATTGGGCAGCGTTGGGATGTGTGCGCAGGGGAAGCCGGGCAGCCAGGGGGCGGACGAGTTCAACGCGTTCTTCTACACGCTGGTGAGCAAGGACACGCAGGAGATGTACTACTCCACCAAGCGCCAGCAGTTCCTCATCGACCAGGGCTACTCCTTCAAAGTCATCACCAACCTCCTCGACGCCGCAGGTGACCGCCCTCATCCACACCTCTCATTGGAGGTACTCTGTGAACAGCTTTGGTTGCACGTACGATTTGCAGCACACTGCCATCTTGATTGGGGCAACCCCTCTCTACCGGTGCTTTTCTCAAGGCACCAACACCTCTCCATCTTTCTTTGACTGTCCTTACGCTTGCATTGCAGAGCTCTGCGGAAGAGCTTCAAGTCTATTCATCGCAGTACAAGCCCGTTTCTGACTGACCTGGAGAGCTCTCAGCACCCCTCTGCATGCTGACAAGGAGCCCACATGTGTGCTTTGTTGTCACAGCACGGGAAAAGGCGCAAGTTGATGCATTTGTACATGACGGTGTCTGAAGGTGTAAGCAAATCGATTACAAATCCGGCATGGCACGCAGGCGGTGCGAGCCTGCAGATGAGCACGCGCGACGAGCAGCTGGACGTGCTGGCCAAGGTCCTGGCGGCCGGGGAGGACGAAGCTGGCGTGGAAGTCGCTGACGTCACCGATGACGTCACCCGTACTAAGAAGGCCCTCGCGCAGCGCACCGCTGGCAGCCTCGCCGCCATGAGCGGCGCCCACGGGCTCACCTACATGGAGGTATGTCTATCTGGAGTTCCTGGGAGTTGCTTTTGAGCTTTTGAAGCTGTTCTTGTGCTGCGGTGGTCGCCTTGTTGATGTGAATGCGGCTGTATTTATTTGTGGTAGACTGGGCAACAGGATTAGATGGGGTGCCTCACCAACATGCGCATATATAGCTGTGTCCAGCCTTGGAGGTCTGTTGTGCTGCTAAGAGCACCTTTGGAAGCGGTTGCCACCTTGCTTTGATCTCTTGTTTGAGAGTGAGCAGCACCGACATTGCTGCCAAGAGCGTTTGGGTGCTTGAATGCTTTTTTTTAATGTTGATGTGGAGCCGAGCACCAGATTGATGGTGGATAGATGATGGCTTGTGACTGCACGGCAGTACACAGGGACATGGGCTCTGGGTTCTAGTGTTTCTCTGTGGGTGCCGGAGCTTTGGAAAGGAGGTGCAGCCATCGCCACAGTTTTGGGATTGCATGTTGCCATGTAGAGTTGAAAATATTGTCCTGCAGTGCTGACTTGTGGATATGCATGTTGCAGTATGGCACGAACAAGGCGCAGAAGCCGCGGCTGACCACCAAGAGCGGCAAGATGCGCCACATTATGTTCCGGAAGCATGCTCAGGGCAAGAATTGACAATGGCTCTGCCGAGGACTCTACTCAGAGGATCATGATGGCCACATGGCAAGGCTTGGAAGGCATTTGGGCAAGCCTCTCTGCAAGTATGGCATGGCATGCACATGCATGCGGACTTAATTTGAGCTCGTGCGAATGGTATAACAACCGGCCCGTGTGAGTGTGTAATTGTATAGTGTACAATGACAGGATGGTGCCTGTGGGTTGCCATCTATGGTGCTCAAGGCCAGGAGCAACACGAGTGAACTGCAGAAGGCATCCTTCATTTCATGAGTGGTTAGCTAGCTGAGCCTGCACCCTGCGCAGTGATGACTGATGTCTGATTGACGGAGTGGAGTCGTCTCGAGAGAGCTTGAGGGATCGATGTACAATCCAAGGTGCATGTGTTGTGCGTGAAGGAATAATGTAGCATGCTAATACTGACACTCGACGTGGTCGTCTGGCTGCCCTTATGAATTTTATGCTTGACGTCACCTTTAATTCAGGACACAACATGATGATTTTTAGGCTGCACGGGATCACTAAAATTTATTCTAGCATCTGAGTGTAATTATAAATACATCAGGACGAATTCCATCGCAGCATTCCGAGTTGGGCGTCGACTTGGCTGCAGGATGCCCACATCTCGGCTGGTGCGCGGTTGGGAGTATATGTATTTTCACACGCACGACTCGATTGACATCAACAAAGCTATTCTTCACATCCTTCACATCATTTCAAATTTGTTTTACAACAAGAAAGGCATACTTTTGGACAAGCGAGTTTTGTCCAAGGTTCTCCTCTCTTGTCGTCGTTGAAGTTTTAACGGTGAAGCGAGTAATTGGATTAATCTTGGTGGTTGTCGCATTGATATCTGCTTCTTTGGGTAAGAACACGCTAATCGTGTACCGACGTTGCTCGTAGGCGTCACAGGCTGCAGCCACCGAGCCCAAAACCAGGCAAGTCTTGCCAGACAATGAAGGCAGCCACATGGAATCTGCACCCCAGCTTACTGGAGGCGGCGGTGGCATTGGGTTCTGGTGGGAGGCAGGTATGATGAAGCACCCTTACCATAACCACTGCAGGCCCACATTATTCTATGTCTTATTCCTTCTCACCAGTGCCACTGGGTTCGCGCAGGGGTTGTCAAGTATTTGCAGCAGAGGTACGGCAGCAGCATGGGGGCCTGGCAGATGAGAGGGGCTTCAGCTGGCGCGCTTACTGCCACTCTGGCAGCCTGCAGCGTCAATGTTGATAAGGCATTTGACTGCGCACAGAGGCTTGCACAGGAACACCGGCTCTTTGAGCGCTCCATTGGCCTGACCGGTAAGCCTCTTCAGAAGGCGCATGTCATTGCAGATAATGCTCACGGCTCTGTGTGTTTGTCCCTGTCAACTCCTAGTGGTGCTGTCCTGTCAGCTGGACTCTGACAGCTGGGAGAGCTAAGCTGCCAGAAACGGCTGCCAAGGAGTGATGTATGCAGTAGGGTGGGCTGAGCTGTGTGCCTACATTGTGCGACGTGCATGCAAGGCAAACGCAAATTAGAAGTTAAATTCACATCAAAATTAAAATGCGATAAGGTATGACTGGGCAGGTGTCTGGGGGAAGATTGTGCGCCAGTGGCTCGATGAGGTGCTTCCAGCAGAAGCAGCAGATCTGTGCAGGTGAGGCACCAGACATGTACCATATTTACTGTCTGCACAGTGTTGCTCCTTTACAGAAGAACTGCATTGCAATGCAGCTGCATCTAGCAAGAGCAGCAAATTAATAGATGCGTGTGATGTGATTGGCAGGAATCGGCTCAAGATAGCGGTGAGGGACATGCACACCTTCAAGCTGGTGCTGCTTGACCAGTTTGACAGCAAGGCCGAGCTCGTAGACGCCAACCTGGCATCTGCCCACATCCCCTTCTTCCTCGACTGGAAGCCCTTTGCAGTGTACAGGTATTCATTCATGCTAAAGATATGCGACTCTCCGCATGCGCTGCTGCAATTCATCGCTGTCTGTGACACCCCTTCTAGTTTTGCTTGCACTTCTGAGATTGCAAAAGGTGATGTGCTCATGTGATTGCAGGGGCAGGCGGTATGTAGACGGCTCGCTGCAGGATGCTTGGAGAGGCAAGCACAGTGACAAGCTGACCGATAATGGCAGGTCATTCTTGATGGACTACCATCAGGCAAGGCCCCTTCCATCTGCATCCAGGTCACGTCTCAGTGCTACTCTGAAGGCCCTGATAATTGAAGGCCTGCTCAAGATGCGTCCTCCAATGTGGTGGGGCGTGTATGGGTGCACATCCTTTGAAGGTCGCTTGTGATTACCCTACAGGATGACAAGCTCGACATGGGCCGCTTCGGCTTTGTGAAGCTGAAGGACCCGAAGGAGGTCAAGGGCATGATATCGAGCGGCTATGCATACGCCGAGCGCTTGGATGCTGCCGGCACTCTGGCGCGCCACTTTGGCACCCGATGATATCACAAATTGCAGTTTGCAGTATTGATGTCGGCCCTTTTGGGTAGCGCGCGTCTCCTGTGTCACAAGCCAGCGGTACCACACATGCGCGCGCACAGGGCTGCGTGTTTCAGCAGTTTTCTGCAGTGCACTCCAGCGCCATTCAAGTGCTGAGGTTTTTATTAGTCGAATTTGTATTCTTTGGTGTGCTAGGAACATCTCTTAAGTAAGAAGTCTTGGTGACTTGAGTAGAGCTCACTTGGCTGCGGCTATCTCCCGTGTGGCTGAGATACTATCAATCCAACAAGTATGTAGCATCTGGCCGACAGCAACGCTAATAAGACTTTTTCCATATGGCCATGTGCCCTCAATGGAGCGCTCTCAATAGATATTATTCTGTACTTGTCATAGAACGCATTTTGTCTGCTTTGCGTGGTCATGACTGGTCATCATGGCACCTACCTTCGCCTTTGATTGTGCAGACATTGTGTATATTCAGGGATAGCAACATTGCTAAATAGCCGATAGGTTGCAGGTAGCTTTGAGACATATTGATTGCGCACGGCGGTTGTGCATGCATGTTGCAGACATTTAAATCTGGTGCAGCAATTGCAACGCTGACATTAGCTAGACCTAGCAGAAGCAAGGGATAAGAGGACCTGTAAGTCAAGGGGACGTTGCCTTGGTATATATTTTCAATCAATGGATTGTTTCAAATTAAAGGTGCTACACTGGTCTAGACTGGCTACTCATGAGCTACTGATCAGCACATCGCTGCATCAATTTGGGACTCGTTTCTAATGCTTCTGATGTCCAGATCCCACCCTAGAACTCACTTGATGGAGTGCTTATCGCAACTTCAGAAGTTTTCTTTTGCAAATATACAATATTACCTGGGCGAATGTTCAAAAGCTGTTCGTAGAAGAGTAAGTTTTCAACAGTTCCCATTCCTTAGGCCTCAACCAAAGAGAAGCTTCACCAGTATCACAAGAGCATTCACCGCGATCAAGGGTACTGCAGGCCGCAAGGAAACTCTCAGACCAGGGAACAGCCATAGATAAGTGCAAAGTGAATGAATGACATGCAAATGTACCTTCTGCACATGACTTTCTACATATAAGGTGCCTCACCTCTCAAATATGCCACAGCATGGAGCAGGCCAATCGTTTGCTGTTTTATCGCCCCTGGACCTGGTCCAATACCGCTATTTCCTGACATCTGAGAGAATCCCCAGCCGTCTGTACAGGTCATCGCAGAGCTTCTCAGACATCTGTTTGATCGTTCAACATTAATATTGGCCAGAAAATCGTCATCACTTTGCGCATTCGCGGGCAAGAGATCTCACATTTTTCGAGAAATCGCTCATTGTTCAGGATTGCTAGCCCGTTCACAAAGAGGAGGACTGCCTGTAACCACCAGAAGTCACTGTGTCAGAAAGCATTTTCGCATGGCAAATTGGGTAGAGTGAAAATTGTCAAAGGAAACTTTCGACACGACATTACCTGCAACAACGTCCACAAGGACATTGTAAACGCACACACAGTCCGATTTCAGACTTCCAGGCGTACGGATGCCAAACATTCGTCAGCTGCTGCACATTATTGAAGCCATGATGCGCTCTGATGCCTTAGATGTGAATCTAATAACAATAACTTCAAGCCAGCATTATCTTCAAAGTGCATATTCTTCAGTTTGGCCAAGGGCACTCCGCAACTTCCTGGAGGGTGGAAGCTGCGCCTGTCTCCTGTGGCGTGCCGAGAAGATCAAAGCACTGTTCGCCGCCGCGGCTCCCTTTATTTCGGGTACAGAGAACAGTGAGCAAGCATGTCAGACTACGATTCAGATGTCGAGGAGGGTCAGGAGCTGGACCTCAGCAATGTACGTCTCGGAATGCTCTGGGCTCCCTTTTCTGAATTGATCTAGTCCCCATGGGGAACGTCATAACAGCTCATTTTTGCATGCCTTTATCGATATGTAAATCTTGTTAGTCTGTTTCTATCAACTGATAGAAGATGCTGTGAAGTTGGTGTCCTTGGAACAATAAAACTGACAATGTCAAGTGTTCATTTTGCAGTCAGATGTGGTGACAAAGTACAAGGCCGCGGCGGACATTACAAACAGTGAGACATTTACTACCAAAAAATCCTTAGCATGTAACGAAACTGAGTTATTTTGAACGAAAATGTCAACATATCTCCACAATGTTCGATGGAAGCTGACGAGGATCTGGTTTGTTGCAGACGCTTTGGCAGCTGTCATCAAAGCAGCTAAGGCTGGAGCAAAACTTGTGGACCTCTGCTCATTGGGGGACAAGTCCATTGAGGAGTAAGCTCATCAATCAGCGTGATCAAGAAGCCTGTTTTCAAGTTCTGCTCAGCCTGGCACGGCAGCAAACGTCCATGCAAGGGCATGAACGACTGCACTTGCTCAGAAATGCCGACAATTGTGTGTGGTCTTGGTGCAGTGCCTCTGCAAAGGTGTTCAAGGGGAAGACCATCGAGAAGGGCATCGCCTTCCCAACCTGCACATCTGTCAACAAGTGGGTGCCCATTTCCATGCGGCAGAGTGTTAACAAGTGATCAAATGATGTGATCAAATGCAACTTTGTAGCTGTCCTGTAGAATATGGAACTATGAATGGATGACACGCAGTGACAGAGCTGGGTGTGCCATGCTGCAGCGTGATTGGCCATGTGTCCCCGTTGGCAGAGGACACAGTGGAGCTCAAAGAGGGCGATGTTGTCAAAATGTGCGCGTACCTGTCCCTCCAGCAGTTGCAGAATTTTCCTGTGATCCTTGTCACAGGATACTGTTGAAGCTGACCCACGTCACGAGCATGATGCTCTGTTTATCACTGTTTCATGTGGGGACTCCCACCAGGGGAGGGCAGGCATAATCATGACAATCACCGAAGTCCTGCTGACTCTCAGACTGAAACTTTCTAGGAGGAGAGCAGCCTATCCTGACGCGAGTGGTGTGAATTATCTGGTGCAGAGACCTGGGGAGCCACATCGATGGGTTTGTGGCGACAGCAGCGCACACAATCGTGGTGCAGTCAGATGCAGAGGCGCCCGTAACGGGCAAGGCGGCCGACGTCATCGTGGCGGCGAACACAGCCCTTGAGGCGGCGATCCGGCTAATTCGGCCGGGGAAGCGGATATCAGAGGTGCTGCTTGCTGCCCAGCCCTCAGAATTCCAGGAGCTATTATTCCAGAACACCGCATCTGCATGATGTTGCATGACCCCGAAACATAAACAGTAGAGCGTAGGCCGCCTACAGAGACATTTGAGGCAGAAATTGCTTCTGCCAAAGCTTCCCGCTAGCAAAGAATCCGCAGGCAAGATTGCCGGGTCAGCTTTTGGAGAAGGAGGGCATGGTACTGGAGGGGATGCTTAATACCTTTGAACCTTGCAAGCCACCTTGCAGCCAGAGAACCTGGACCTCTCACAGGACATCACATATAGGAATGGGCAGACAAGCCTCGCTTAGTCATAATCTGACAATTGAATGTATCTCTGCTGGTGGGTGCAGGTGACGGGGGTGCTGGGTCAGGTGGCTGAGGCGTATGGGGTGAGCCTGGTGGAGGGCGTGCTGTCGCACCAGCTGAAGCAGTTTGTGATCGACGGCAACAAGTGCGTGCTGAACAAGGCCAGCCCAGAGTACCGCGTGGAGGACGGCGAGTTCGAGGAGAACGAGGTTTACGGCATCGACATCGTGGTGAGCGCCATCCGCCAGAATATCCATGTCTTGTGTGTCGCGGCGTCAGCTTCCCGGCTTGTGGAGCAGAAAGGAGCAGTCTAAATCACAGAGATGCTGTGGTCACCAGCTCAGGGTTGCACTATTTGAAGCCTCACCAATGTGGGCGGAACATTTCAGATCCAGGTCAACAATGCAAGCGTCGTGAAGAAGATCATCCAGAAAGCCCGCCCTGCTGATCCCAACGGATCAGCAAGCGGGCTAGTCTACTCAAGAACCCGGTGTTCTGGAAGTCCCTCAGAGCTGAAGTCTGAGCGTTCAGACCCCTGGCAGAAGCTGACAGTAACGCAGAAGACCAAGAAAGACAGTCACACAGTGCAGTCAGTGACCGATGGAATGCTGCGTGCGAAATCAGGTGAGCAGTGGTGAGGGAAAGGGGCGGGTGCTGGACGAGAGGGAGACGACGGTGTACAAGCGCGCGCTGGACCAGGAGTACAAGCTGAAGCTGAAGGCCAGCCGCAGCATCTTCAGTGAGATCAACAAGAAGCACCCGACCATGCCCTTCACAACGCGCGGCCTCGACTCCAAGCAGTCTCGCCTAGGAATCCTCGAGTGCCTCAACCACGGCCTCCTCCACCCCTACCCAGTCCTCCACGAAAAGGTGCCCAGCTGCACTTTTCTGACGTCCACCCACTGACAATTGTGCTACAGCGCTCCTTGTGGTGACAGTGTGGCAGAGTTGGATTGGTGAAGCTGGCTTGGATGCCCGGCATGCATGCATGCCAGTGCAGCAGTCCCGTTAGGGCTGGAAGAGGATGCTGTAGGTACCGGTATCTCCTCCGGCGGAGGGGTGAGTTGGCAGCTCAAAATGTGATCAACGAATTTGAAAGGCTTTCAAGTAAACATCATGCACCTTTCACGAAGGACTGGAAGAGAAGAGCTGCTCTGATGCGAGGCAGTCCTTGAGAAGGTCGTCAAAAAGGCACTGACTTGAGTGATGCTGAACGGTGATGTGGGTGCGTGCGCAGAATGGGGAGGTGGTGGCGCAGTTCAAGGCGACGGTGCTGCTGATGCCCAACGGCTCTGACCGCATCACTGCCGCGCCGCTGCAGAAGGTCGACAGCGACAAGAAGGTCGAGAACGAGGACCTCAAAAAGCTGCTGGCCTCCAGCGTGAAGAGCAAAAAGAAGAACAAGCCCAAGAAGAAGAAGGCCGCGCCCAAGGTGGGTGCCGACTGTCTGCTAGCCTCATGTCTGCGCATGCGCAAAGCTTTTAACAGCGGGCAGAGGCTCTGCAACAGCGCGCCCTTGTCACACATTGCTCCGCAGCCAGAGTCAGTGTCATGCAGACAAGGTTTACAAGGAAATCAGTCGGCAGGCACCTGAGGTTCGCTGCGCTTCGTGGCTTGTGCTTGCATTGCAGCAATGATCGGTGCCTGCCGTTGTGTCTGCCGAACGTCGTCTGCTGGATGCTGATAAACTTGTTGGCAACGCTTCTAATCCGAGTGGTTTGTGCGCGGTGCATGCCAGGATGGCGCTGCAAAGACGGTCTCTTTGGTTGAATGGGCAATTACTGATTGTGTGACCAATCATTAAGGTCGTGTGCGTGCTGCAGAACGGGGAGGCTGACGAGGAACAGACAGCGGGCGAGGCGGCAGAGGAAGAGGCAAAGACCGAGCAAGTGCGATTGCTCTAGGCCACCTGCTGACTGCGTGGTCTCAGACTCTCCGAGCCAGTGCTGCACCCACTGCGCGCCTTGAACCGCCTCAATTGCAGCAACACAGCCACGGGAAAACAAGCGCCGCTGACCTACATTGCTGGCGCAATTCAAGGCTCCAGCAAGAGGCAGCTGCGGCTGCAGCAGATTTAGGCCATGCTCTTGGGAGATGTGGGTCTGGGTTTTGACTGGCGTCTGTTTCAATGGGAGTATAGTGCATTCCTGCATGTCTGTTGACAGCTTGCCTTACAAGGGCAACCTGTGATGGCTCTCTGCTTTGCAAACGAACAAAGAGGGGATATGATGCGGGATGTCACTGGACTTTTGGTGCAGGGACTACTGTGAAGTTGGGAGGTGTGTATGCTCTGTTTTAACTGATGATGTCAGCTTGCAAACATGGCTTGCTCTAGTGATGCTGAGCGGCAAATAAAATTTGCTGGCAAGCTCTTCAGCTCAATTTGTGAGAGTCACACAAGAACAGGGTGAAAGAAAGCATGCGATCAGACCAACCAGACTGGATTGCAGCAGATCAATGATGGAACACTCTGAATGTGCTGGAGGGCTACTTGTCAACTTTGGGCCCAGTCAGAACACACAGAGTCTATGCCAACGTGTTAACAGCCACCAGAATTTGGAACGTTCTTTGTTCTGAGCTCATGCTCGTGCACAACGGCTGGGTTATGTCTGGACATAGGCTGATTGGCATGCCACACGTGTTGCAAGCCTTATCTGCATCGATATCGTACAAGGTCTTGTTCTCTGTGCAGGAGCTTACAATTGGCGAGACAAACTCTCGTTGGGGCTTCCCCCTCTATTGATGATGCGGGAGAGGCATGTGTGAAGCACTTGAGGATTTGTGGAGGCTCTTACGTGGGCTTGTAATGCTCAGCATGAATAAATTAATGCTGATGAAGCTGTTTCTTGCACTGATGATATCAGGCTAGCAACGCAACAGCGGCACTTGAATAGCTTCCAAGCTCTTTTAAGCATGACCCAGCCGGATCTGAGCGTGGCCCTGAACATGGAACTGATAGTTACAGTATGCAATGCAACAAGTCCTCACGATAACTCGGGGAATAAACCTTGCCTATGGTGACTATCGCACCTACACAAAAATATCCAGAATAAGATCCACCCACTTGCAAATGAATTGTCAACCAAATGAATCAGAGCCAGAACATTGCTGCCGGCCCATAGGAATATTCCCCTACTTTGCTTTGATGCAACTAATGCAAATAATTGACCATAATAGACGTGCGTGCCAAAAGATGTAAAGACAGCAAATTTCCCAAATCCAGGAGTCCCCTAAGTGCTGCAAGGAATCTGTAGATGTGTGCGATGGAAGCTCACACTGCATCACACTGCCAGACCGCCAACCGCCCATGCACACCAAAAGATCAGGCGATCTGGTGACAAACAGATGCGCACATGCCCTCTGCAAAGGACCAAGCTCGCATCTGCAAACTGCAGATACTGCTACGCCAAGCTGAAAATGGAAAATGGCCTCGCTGGCGCAGATCAAAAAGAAGTTTGCCCAGTCTGGCATGTCAAGAGGACGTTTAGCTCTTCTTTCTCATCCCATGATACATTGTAAAACTTCCAGGCCCTCGGCCTCACACACACACACACAGACTAATTCCTGATGATGGCACACTCGAGTAATGCGCCATCAGTCGGCTGTTTTCTTCTGGAGTACTCACATGTTGCCCTCTGACAGCACCACCCCCAGTAAAATCTCTCCTTATCGATGCTTTCCTTCCGCAAATGCAACTTTGCCATGCTGAGAATATATGCTGCATTCACCTTTCTGATTGCAATGATGCTTGCTTCTCTATACTGGATAGCCTGCCACCTTGCTTCACGTGTCCTGGCACAACTCTGCCTGCATCAGCCTCTCTTGTCTGCTGGCCCCTCCTACAAGAATATTGGGGCCGAAGCTCAATGAACCCACATGCTTCTGTAAATTTGTACAGTCCGTGAGCCTGAGACCTTTTCTTGGTCTCTCCAGCAATCATGCTGAGGCAAGCACTGCGATGGTGTTTCAGGCGGCTGCTTGGAGGCCACCATCGGCAGCAGCTGCATCACCACAGATGCTGCCCAGTCCACCACCGCCTCTTCACGGAGCAGAGTTTCTAAAATTGAGATTTCCCTTGATCCCACAATGCTGCAAATGGCTTAGTCATCACATTGGAAGAGGGTAAAACAAACCCTGCCATGAATCTGTTTCAAGCACTGCATTCAATGGCATTTGATCCGGAATCAGGGTTGGCAGGAGTCTGCAAAAAGGTGCCAGTCTGCACACAGGCAAACAAACCCCCTGACTTACACCATATCGGTCTTTGCCTTGTTTGCTTTGCTCGACCAAGAGCAGGCCTTCATTGTGAGGGAACTGCATGACGCCACTTGTGTGGTGTGTGATGGGTGCGCATGACAAGACCCCATTTAGTATTGAGACTGACACAACCTGTGCGTCTTGCAGTGCTGACCGGTCATATGCGACAGGCCTTGAGAATCAGAAGAACGCACAGGATATGCAGAAACACATTGGTGCAACCCCACACGGGTGAGCCCTGGGCTCATTCACAAAACGACTTATTGAAGTTGTGCCATCTGATAAGACACCAGTCTCTTTTCAGGAGCTTCCTTGAAGCTCCAGCCAAACAATTCTTCCTTCTGCTATGGTCCAGGACCTTCGCTTTTTGTATGCAGCGCTTCACATGTTGACTTGCGGCGGTTGCTGGCATCAGCTGCAAGTCCAGCCCAGAGCTGCTGCTCTGATGCGACACATGTTGCCAGCAACCCACCGCCATCCATTTCAGGGTCCACCCCTCTCCCTTCACCCAGAGCACAGTGACCTGCCTCCCCAGCAACCAGGAAGCATCAAGGGATCTACGCCTAAGGCGCAGAAGTTTGGCGTTGGCTACTGATCAGCGGTGGGAGGGAACCACGCGTGGCAGTCATCGTCCCAGCCAAATCTGGCGCCGCGACGGGTCTGCGGGGGCGATGCGCAATCGCACAGATGAGTCATTCGCCGGCCGGGCGGCGCAGGAGCTGCAGCCAGGGGAGATGCAGGTTCTGCAGCTGCAGCGAGGTCTCCATGAGGGCGGTGACGGCCACGCCGTACTGGCGCAGGGACAGGAAGCCCTCCGTCTGCTCCAGGAACTGCTCCCACACATTGTCCCCGCGCAGCAGCGTCATGCGCCTGCCAGCACACACGCACCCTTCAGCCCCAATTGACAACCATGCATCTGATCCACACTAAAAGAGATCTGTTCTCTCCCTCAGCATGACACATAAAACACTTCAGGGATCTGCAAAGCGTGTGCAACAGCTTGCAGGCACATGGTGCCTTCATGTGCCTGCAAGCTGTTGCACACAAGGAGGTGAGGAGTGCGCGGTGGAGTGCGCAGGTTGCACGGTGATAAATTCAAGGGAAAGGTGACCGAAAGTGTCCGCTCAACAGGTCACCAGACACAGAGCATAAATAGGGGAAATGATGGACTGGTGCTGAGCGCTCACATGGCGTCAAGCTTGCCGAGGATGTCTGGGGAGTCCCAGACGCGTTTGTCGGGCAGCTGGCCGGGCAGGAGGACGGGCTGCTGGGCAGCGCGTGCCCCCAGCTCGGCCAGCACCTCGCTATACCCCCGCCCCAGGCTGTTCTCCTGCTGCAGCAGCGACTCCTGCGCACAGAGTAACAATACATCAGGTGCGGCAGAATATACCTCCAAGGAAAGAGCAATGATTTATGCCAATGGGCAACAAGCACGAGGCATCACACCTCTCGGCATACCCAAGCCTTACCCAAGAAAATACTCGGGTGCTCGCTTGGGGCTACCATACTTTCGCAGCCTGCCAACAAATTTGTTTGCTGCTGAATTGTGTAAAACAATGATGCAAGCCTTCCTGGCTGCGAACGGATGTTTTGATGATTATGCTGTGGCTTGAACGATGTCAGGTCTGCAAGCACCCAACTCAATATAATTAATTTGGTCTCACCCGCAGGGCTTCCAGCTTCATGCGCTGCTGGGTGCCCAGCCCCAGGTCGGCCAGCTTGGTGAGCAGTCCGTTGCAGGCGTTGCTCGCGCGCAGGCCGCCCAGCCACGCATACAGCCGCTCCTGTACAAAGCAGAGGATATGCAGTCAGCACGACAGCACATGAGCATAACAACCCCAACACATTGTACGATAAGCTCGATGGGCTTCACAAGCACTCTAGACAACACGTTTGTCACCGCCTTGACAGTGCCATTCTCGCGCTGCGACTGCATGTGTTCTAGCTAACTAGTAAAACGCCATGATCTGCCCATCAGCACAGCAACAGTAAGAGGTATGTATAAAACAGAGGCTCTGATCATGATGCGCAGCAATCACCCGGCTTGCCATTATAAGGAGCACAGCATGGGGAAGTAAGGGGCTTGTACCCAAAAAATGGCAGGGGTTGTCAAGCTATGAAAAAGCAGGCAGCTATCGCACCGGCGGCAGGAGGTGCTCCAGGTTCATGATGAGGAGGACAGACTCGGAGCAGACGACGGCCTTCTTCATGGCGAACAGCGTCCACAGCTGGCTGCGAGCCTCCTCAATCAGTGGCCGCAGCGCCGCGTCCGCCGCGCCCTCGTTCACCGCCTGCCGCACCGCCAGCACCGTCGCCACGTGCTCCGCGCGCCACTTGTCGAACGCCTGCACACGCCATGCGCGCATCAGTCAGCAAGTTACTCAGCCATGACAGAGGGCAGACCAAGGCCTTGCGCACAAAGGTTGCACGCTGGACCCTGGAGTGACACACCTAAGAAAGGATGAGGAATGAGGTGGCCCACTGCTTTTGGAAGGACTGTTTACTTGACGTCTGACGTGAGTGCAAACCTCAACGGCGTATGCATATATGCAGATTTGCCAGTCAAGCTGTGCTGCTGTTCCCTCTCCATCAACAGCGCGGCTGTTCTGCCTTCGCTTCCTTTTGCACCGCAGCAATCTTGCAGCTCAGGAAAAGAGAAGAGCAGACAGGGGTGCAGTTGCTCGAGCAGGCAGATACAGGTAATTGTTTGCAGTCTCACACAGGGTGACGGTAGAGGAGTGGCGGGCCAGGAGCGATGGCGCACCTGCAGGACTTCGTGGTTCTGCTGCGCCAGGGCGTCGCCTGCGCCTGCGCCGGATGCCAAAGAAGAGGGTCGGTTCGTGTTGGAGGACCGCATTGAGCCCATCAGGCGGGACGAATCTACGCCATGAAATACCATGTGATCAACACACCCTCCTCTTCACCACGACTTCTTCCGAACATGGCCTCACACAGACTGGCAAGAGGCGAAATTCCTCCCAGCACAACAACTGCACTACATTGCATGGCCGGACAAATGTCATGGCGCAACTCGCGCACGGGCTCGGCCCAATTTCTGGCCGGACCGTCCATGCAGAGCTCGGCTCTCCACACACCGCACTGCCAGCATGTGGGCAGCGACAGCAGGCAGTCACTTCGTATGCACGGCAGTCCTTGGGTCCTAATCTTGTGTTTGAGATCATCAGACTCCGGCACAAGCGCACCGGGGAGGCTGCCGGCGGGCAGGCGGTGGAGCATGGCGGAGAAGAGGGAGCCGGCGTCTGGGCCCAGGCCGAGCGCTGCCGCGCCGCCCAGCGAGCCCGTGCCCAGCGACGACGACTGCGCCACGAGAGTCTGCGGCGGTATCTTGCCCGTGCGCAGCTGCCGAACCTGCGCGCGCGCATGCACCGATGTTTTCAGAGTGACGTGCAACAAGATGGAAGGGGATAGTTGGCTGAGGCAAGTGCAGCACTCTCAGCATTTGTCGGACACTGTGCAAATCGGAGGAGAAAAGCATGCATACTACTAACCGGAAACACCCTTGCGTGCCACATAACATGACTGGACACGTCTGTGATGCAGTGGAGTGCACGGCACGGATGATGTGGACTTCCGCAAACGCGACAGGAAAGAGTAGAGGGCGGCAAGGAGACCATGGCGCACCTCCTCCTCCAAGTTCTGCACGTATGCCTTGCGGCGCTGGCGGGACTTGCGCGCGGCCTCGCGGTTCTGCGCCAGCCGCCGCTTCACCTTGTCGTCCATGTCGCCTGCACAATTGAAGCATCACGAGTAGGAGGGTGTCCTAGCAGACCTTGCAGCACATTCAGCCAAACAGATCCTATAAAGTTACAGAGATTGTATTCACTCTGCATAGTCATCTCGACAGGATCCGCGAAAATGAACGTATTGCAATGATTTGAGGGGCAAAATCTTGCCGCACCTTCCTCCTCGCCGTCTGCCCTGGTGTTGTCGTCGTCGTCATCGGACTGGGACAGCGAGTACTTCTGTGACAGGTCCCCATTCAGATTAACGCCAGACATCGTCCTGCCAGACGAGCTCTTCCGCTGCAGCGCCAACGGACAGATGTCAGCACCATTTGTGATGAGGAGCATGCAGTGTATGTACACTAACCCAAGGTGATCCCAGACTACTAGCTGCCAGGACTCTGCATGCTCCACCTGCTGCTGCTGGAGTCCATGCCTGATGCACCATTGAACTGCAATACAGCAGAGCCCACCTGCATTTGTCCGATGCTCTAGAGCACGCGCACAGAGATTGGTGTTCTGCTATTGCGTCGTCCGTGGGTCCACCTTCTCCAGAGTGATCCCTTAGCTGTCTCTGGAGCTGAAAGCATATGGCATGCAGGGTGTTGCACGCCTTCTGGCGGCTCTCCAGAGCCTGGTGGCAAGCTAAGTCGGGTGAGAAGATAGCAGGGGCGGTTGCGCACCTTCTTGGACAGTTGTGGGAAGCCGGCTTGGTCGGCGGACTTGCTGGATATGGAGTTGGTGTTCAACATGGCCTCGCCCTCCGGCATGCTCAGCGGCATCTGGGCCGCAGCCTGCGCAGCGCCATCCAGCTGCTGGCCGCCCGGGAACATTGCCTGCTGGGCACCCTGCGCCATCAGAACAGACCTCTCAGTAGACCCGTAGAATCAATAGATAAAGTGTGTAAGCTGGCAAAGTCCTGAAGCAAAGTAAGGAACATGTGTCACCGGAGCAACTGTCAGGATCACATTGTAAAGGTAGTAGCTTGTTGACAGGTCCGCCAGTGCTCCAGGTGAAGATGCCGCATACTATGCCTAACCAGGCGCTTTTCTGCCAGTTAGGCCTGCCAAGTGCCGCAGCCCTCAACTCCCTTGCATCCATCTAGTCTCTGAATGTCACTTGCGGGATGCATCATTGCTTTCCACACCTGCATCTGCCACACCCAGATCCAACAGAGTGTCACATATTAGATAGAAGAGAGTGCGTGCCTGCATGCGCAGGAGCCATGGGATGGAGGACAGGTACTGCTGCTGCAGCATGGCTGCCGGGTAGCCGGCCATTGCGCCGCGCTGCGCCAGCTGCATCGCGGCCGGCACAACGCCGCCGCTGCTGATGCTGCCCAGCGCGCGCATGTTGTCCAGCGTGTTGTTGCTGCTCGCCATCATGCTCCCCAGGTTGCCTGCACCAGCGCACCACCTCTCACTCATCATCTGTGCTCGTCTGACTTAACTATGCTGTGGATGTCCAAAAATTGGGGTCCAGAGACTATCGTCTCACTGCGCGCCAGCGCCCTCTTGATGAAATACTCACCAGCCTGGAGAGACTCAGGCCTGCAGGTGTCTTGCACAGTTTGCGGCCGGTATGTGATGACGACCTCTAATGCGTCTTCCAAGACGGGACTGACGGTGGCAACAGGGACTACTGTGACAGTGCGCACCTGCCAGGGATTCAAGGCGCTGCCCAGAGAAGGTGGGGCGCTGCCCGACAGACTCCAGGCGCTGCCCGCCGGCCAGCTGCTGCCCGCCAGGCACCTCCATGCGCTGCCCGCCGGGCACGGCCGATTGCCCGAGCCGCGCCGCCGCCTGCACCGCTGTGCCTGGGGACACCGGCGGCGGCATCGACATCGCCGGCTGCACCAGGGCCGGCGGCGCGATGGCCGTAACCGGCGGCGCCGCCTGCTGCTGCGGCGGCGGCGAAGACGTTGGTGCTGTCATTTGAGCCTGCAAAGCGTGGGGATGATCACTAACTTCAGCAATAATGCACCGCTGATCTGTGCTGAGCATGGGGCCCAAGGCAAAAATATCTTTGCCTTCATATACACCGCAGATATTTTGCGGTCTTGATGTCAGACGAATCCGCAGAAGCTGCCAGACTGGAGGTAAGGCTGGTATGCTGTGCATATGGGGTCCAGGGAATCACCTCTGGCATTGTCTCTTCCTTGGTCATCTTCATTTCGCTTGGAATTGCTGCATTTGTGTTTGTGTTCACCTTGTATGGCCTGAAGCCACCTGTGCCACTTGCAAGCACCGCCTCTCCCTGTGAGCAATGCAAGAGCGTTGAACACACACTTAGAAGAACGATACGAGATTCGCCTCCATCAACTCAGTGATACTTCCATACCATCTTAGGTCAGCATCAGAACGTAGAAATTGCCTCAGAAAGAAACCTAAGACGGTGCACCCATGATCCTAGGGGCAAAGACCCCATTGTGGAGTGCGTATTAAGTTGATGAATGTCAATACAGAGGGTGGGCACCTCAGCTCCACCTTACATCCTATCACAATCGAAAAAGGCTTTCGGTTGAGTGTAGCAGGTGGGCAAGCGTTTGTGCGCTAATTGACAGCCATGACGTGCGAAAAGCGCAAGGATGAATGTTTCCGCCAGTGTCACAAATTCCTGGCAGGGCCGGCAAACAAGCGGTGAGAGAGATATATTGATGTGCCTACAAAGTACTCTCGAGGGGCCCAGCGCAGTCTGACACCAGTACGGCAGGGTTCGTTCCTTTCTTCGAGCCGATTTAGCCGCAAATAAACATCCAGCACCCTAAAGCCCACTGAAACCGTCCCCCGCCCGCTCCGTCACACGGTAAAGATCCAGCAGAGCTCCCGCAGGAGCATGGGCTGCGAGACGTGCGTATGTGGCCGAGTGGTTGACTAAAACAAGTACGGCGCTGGCTCAGGCCATACGTGCGCGCCGCAGCCAAGACGGCAAAGGCGCCACTCCCGTGAACTTCTGCTGTGTGCCCAGTGGAGCGTTTTGGGAACTCATGGACGCACCACTGCGGGCGCAGCTTCGTCGGCGGGAGGTGGCAACGTGCCCTCCTCGTTTGAGGCCATCTTGCCGTCTCTTTCTCAAACACTGCCGTACAGGCTGGCAAGAAAACCGCCCGCCAGCTTCCCGGGAGGCTCTCTCAAGCCTCTGCCCGCCTCAATATTATTGACCTCGCCTCGTGGGAGTCAGCAGGTCAGCTGCTGGCCACTCCCAGTCACGGTCTCGACCTCGGACCCCAAACACAGCAGTCTGATTCAAGAACTTGCAGACGATGGGTTGACGACTTGCGAATACGTCTGCCTGCTTGCGTCACGATTTTTGCTCAGCTGCTGCACCTGGGAAGGGAAATATCCCACACAGAGCCGTGCTCCCATTGGCGCCAGCTGTGCCGCATTGCTCAGCTTCTTGATCTGGCTTGATGATGATGCAGTGTTTCCTGGGGGGTGCACAGAGACGCCAGCTGCAGCTTCGCGCACAAAGCTGACTGGCCGGTTGACCCGGCCTGACCTGGAGGTGGACATGTGTCCAGGGCACGCGATGATCATTTGTCACAGTGCTTGCCAATAACAATCACAGAGTGGCCGCCAGTGTAACATAGTGATTACAATAGTGATTACTTCATGCACATGCAGCACTGCTGACATGTACTCTTTGCATCAACCTTGCACTGCTGCAGGTCTGGGATGCAGGCCTATCTAGGCTCCTGTTCAACTGTGGCATATAAGCCCAGTGCACCGCCTAAATCAGTGTTATTTGAACACCAGCAATTCCTGGAAATGTCAGAGATACAGCCAGTGACTTGATGCCAGTGGTTAACTTTGCAAATGACCTGAAGCCGTGCCGCGACCAAAATCGCATTATTAGAAATGAACATATGTTGTGCCAATTGTGCACATCACAGTACTATGTGACATCCGGATCGATCCTGGGAGCATCAAGCATGTGCAGCTGCTCAGCCCTCGATATTGGCTGTAGAGAATAATACATTGGTGCTGATTAGCACCAGGGCACGCATGCCAGTTCATCGGTTCGGAACCAAGCCAGGTGAAACACCCAATCAAAATCCAGTCACCATGGGAGCCCTCTCATGCTTCCTTCCAGAGCTGCTAGAACTGGTCCGGGAAGCGCTGCGCGAGGCCAAACAGGCCCATCATTCCCCCGCTGTGCAGCATCGCCACGCTGCCCTCTGCTCCCCCTGCCAGCTCTGTCGCAGCCTCCCAAGCTGCCAAACTGTATATGGGATCCAGCAGTATTCCCGTGTCCCGAGCCACCTGCCAGTTACAGTGATCAGCCAATGACTAAAAACTTTGTAAGCCTCTGCAGATTACATGACTGCCAAGGCTGACATTGATAACTGCAAAGTTCGTCACCCGCTAGATGTTCAGGCACCACATGATGGTGCAAGGATCAGAGAGGTATCCATGAGTGATCGAGATATCTTGTGAAAACAGCAAGAGCCTTATACCTCTTTGGTACACCCTAGCGCTCTATCCACAGCATTGATGCCCGGAGATACACTTCTAATGTACAGACAACCCAGCACAAGAACAGCCGATTGCCCACCTCCTGACAGGTGGCGACATCCCCAGGCAGCACAGCTCCAAACTTCCTGGGCCTAACACGCGGCCTCCAGTGCAGCGGGAGAGCACTTGTAGATGCTCCATCTGGCAGCAAGACACCTGCGCCATTAATTTCTTTGTTTTTACAAGCTTAATCCCCACACAGCAGAAGGTGAATGTGCGTCTGCAAACATTGCTCAAGACAAATGGGCAAATTCAAGTTCACTGATCATGGTGACAGAGTAGACCAGCTGAGAGCCATCCTAAACAATGCGCACCGCAGAACTTCATTGCAACACTACAGAGTCAACTCCAGTGCTTGCCTGCCCCAAACTCTGCATGGAAAGCGGCCGTCAGCTCCGCCTGCTGGCGCTCGTAGTATTCCTCAGTGCCCGCCAGCATCACTCCGTGCACTTGCCAAGGCAGGCCCTTCAGAGCCACACCCAACGCCAGCCCTGTCACAACAACCATGCACATAGTGCCAGATTTTTCTACCACCAATGCATTTCCGACCAGTCCCAAACTCAAAAGAGACTTATCAAAGGCTGATCCACCTGATGTCCAGGACCTAGGCGCTATTGTGAGAGTGAGGGAGATGAAGAAAAGAAATGGGCGGCGTACCGATGGCGGTGGCTCCGGTGCCGCAGTCGGTGACGAGGTGGCAGGGGCCGCGGCCGAGGGTGGCAGGCTCCGACAGGTAATCCACGAGCCTGATCAGGCCCAGCAGCGCCAGCGGCTCGGCGGCTCCCTCGTGCACCGCGCGCACCTGGCTGAGTCAGCAGCGCCATTGCACGCATCAGCGCTGACATCACATCATATGTGTTTCAGTGCGTTTCAGTGTGGTGCACACTCACTTTTGCAAGGCTAAAGAGACAACTAATAGGCTGTCGTGCATGACGGTCATGACACCTTGTGCTTATCCGTGGACTGCAATTGTCTTGCTGCTGCCTGCACAAATGGTGAAGCCGTTCGAACTCTTGACTGCAACATGTGACCATGAGGGTCCCACAATTGACATCTCCCTATGCTCTGCTAGCCAGGACGTGTATTTCAACAACCAGGGACTGCCACGGCTTGGCAGAGAGCGGTCTTAAAAGGCACCTTGCATTGGGACCGGCAGCATCAGTCACGCGCGCGACGTGCTTGTCAAACATGGCCTGCCGGTGTGCGTACTCGCTCCTGCTCACATAAGTCACCCGCCCAAACATGCGCGCCAGCATGTGGTAGCCTGCGCACAACCAAACACGACTGCCTGAGAATGGAACAAGGTACAATCCCGCCCTCTTGCTACATGCATGAGTTAACGTTATCATGGGATCCCGGACCGAGCAGCAAGTAATCTCAGTGCTGGGCGTTGTCCTGCTTGGCAATTCTGCACACCTGTGGGCACAGCGGGGCGCTCCCCGCGCACCAGCAGGTGCGCAGTGATGCCTCTCTCTGCGCAGGCAGCCGCCACTGCGGCAGTGTGTGCGCTCTGCAGCCCTCCACAAGTGACCTGCATGTAGAGTACGGGGCCTGCTCAGCCTAGGATGTCCGCCATGCTGTGAAGCACGTCTACAGTAATCTGTATAGCACAGAAGCTTGGCTGACCAGGCACATAAGAACACAAGGGAAGCTGGTGCGTCAGCTGTACCAGATCAGTCACGCCATCAGCTGCCAATGCTGGCATCAGGCCATCGAGCTTGCGAAGCTTGTTACCACCCAGGATCGGGTGTAATAGATCGTCCTGGATGACGCGCAGGCTTCCTTCGGGAATACCCGGGCATGAGATCGTCCGGACCTGTGCAGGCAATCCCTAGGGCAAATATATTTGTTCTAGAATGGAATCGTTACGTACATCCTATATGGATGACTTACATCTTGAATAGGTTGAGGAATGGGACTCTGGCGTAGATTCAACCTTGGTATTGGGGACATCTAGCATCCATGTCCGTGCTAATAGGTGGTTCACATCAAACGATGAGCAGCAGGAGCTGGCAAAGGCCCGTTTTCTAATGATTTTGCAGACCCCCACGGTACCCCGAAGTCGGTGACGACATGAATGTACTCCATAAGCAATGCTGGACCATGTCATGGGGCATCGGTATGATCTTCACCTACCGCAGAGCATGTCGCCCTTTATACAAGTAAAATGTGTATATCAGCAATATTCTACAACGTTAAATAATTAGGGGAAGAGCTTGTGTTCTTGCAACTATCCCGATCGAGGCGTGACGAAGCATTTCGTCAGCGCTATCTGGGCAGGGCACCCGAGTAATCAAAATCCACTACTTTAGTGGATGTAAACGCTACTAATGTGGTGGATTATTGGCAATCAGGGGCCATGCCACCTGGTAACACATTCCATAGCATGCCATTTTGGTAATAAAAATTAGGCCTTTCGTCAGTAAGCATGGAGAATGATCAGTGATGTGTTTCTGTACCGAGCATGTCACTTATTATTGCTAGGATCCCGTGTTACAAGTGTGGCAGTGACAAGGAGAAGCTTCATCCGAACTGCGCAAGTTCAGAACGCTTGACTCGCTGTGTAGGTTGTGATTATATTATCAGATTCTATTCAGAAGGTCTGACAAAGGACGAATACGGCCACGACGCTGTTGCCGACTGGGTCTTCAAACAAGAGGCAAGGGTGCCATTGCAACGTTGCAATGCCGTGGACTCAGGGGTCAGATATTTCCATCAGAGCTGCCTTGGCCGAGATGAACCTTCAGCATTGTCCAGAGCTAATGGCTACTATTCTATTCGCGGGAAGATTGAGAGCGAAAAGTATCCAGAGCTCAGAAATATTACCCACAAATGCTGTGAGGACTGCGTCATTGCAGCCCAAACCAGGGGCAAGGATCTCAATGAGGATAAGTTGAATTTTATCATGCATCAAGGAGTGATTGGTAGGTCTCAATAAGCACTCCATCTTTGAAGGTTGGGAACACCTATGTTTTGAATCTCCCCATGACCTTGACACAGAGTAACTAACTCTGACTTTTGCGTTGCGTTCAGAGGCAGAGACCGGCGACTTGGAGAGGAAGAGAGCCGATAGGCGATCAAGCAAGATTCGAGGCATCATTGGTGGTCAGCAGGCTCGCCTCGAAGACAATGGGACGACTTCGACCGCCATCTTTGCAACGAGACACCTCAATCAGAAAGTCAGCTTCAGCAAGAGCGCCAGCAGATTGCTGGCAGCAGTGCCCAACCTGAACAGGACAGTGATGGCAGCCTCGTATCTCCAGGCCAGTGGACTTCAGGCAGGCCAGACAGCCCAAGGACAGGCGCAGAGGGGCGCCACAGCTGCAGCAGGCGGCATGCAGGGTCCCGCAGCCCCAGAGGCAGAAGCTGCAGGACCTTCGCAAGCGCCACAGCCAGGGATCAGCCGCAGGCAGCTCAGCGCTCAGGGAGCCGAGCAGGACATCGTCCAACGGTGGCTTGCGTTCAGCCTCAAGGCCTCATCCACCGTTGCAGAGCTGAAGCGGTTCCTGCTTGACAGAGGCCAGCGGCCAGTGATCTTCACCAGAAGCGCGCTGCTCGCCAGGGTGGAAGGGCTGCTTAGATTTGAGCATCCAGAAGGTAGCTATCCATGATGGCTGTAACGATCAGCGCCTACACATCTTATGCCTGGCAAATTAATAACATGTCCTCACCATTTCCTCTGGACATCTTATGCGCTGGCAGCTAATGGATGCTGTCATGCAGGTGGACTGGAGCCGAGTGCGGCGGCGGTTGAAGAGATCACAGCCGCTGTTGAGGCCGCAGCCCAACCGGCACGGCAAAGACCAGCAAGGCAGAAGGTGGGCATCTTGTTGAGGATCCTTATGTTTGCATGTGCTTTGTGAACGCCTCTCATCTGTCAAGCTGCTGGTGCAGTGAAAGCGAGTTTGGCTGAACACACTGATTGTAAGTTATTGTTGTTACAGGCGCCGAAGAAGTCACAGCTTCAGATGGAAGCGGCCAAGTCCATTGTTAACAAGGGTGAGTGGGCGCTCTCAGCTGGAAGCTCTGATCACCTGGTGACTGTTGCACACCCGAGAAGGCTTTAACTTCTGCAGATTTGATGGAAGGGAATGATAGCCAGTCAATTGAGGCGCTCACATGTTTGCAGGAGTGAGCAGCGGCCTGCCCGTGGTCAAACTCAAGCAGATTGACGAGTTGCTCTGGACCTTCGACAAGTGCCACTACCTGCCGCAGTTGGGGGAGAGCACTCCCTCGATTGGTGTCGCTCTCTGGGCCGTCACAAGCACGCTGCACCGCGACGGGGAGTTCCCAGCACGCAACTTGTCCCAGTTGGGTCGTGCTGCCAAGGCTCCTGTTGGTTTGGTGCGCGCTGTGCAGCCAGGCAGCGATGGCACCCAGCTGCATATGGAGATATGGTTCCTCGAGGCGCGCGTGCAGACAGATAGCCAGGGGGAGCCCGAGGCAGCGGTGGCAGGGGAAGGCGGTGGGGCACGCGCAGATGTGGAGGGACGGGGTGCAGGAGAGGCAGCCACCGGTGGGGGCGTGCAGGAAGGGCATGGGCGGGGTCGGGGCAGGAAGCGTGGCCGCCGCGGCACAGGCGGGGCGCGTGGCAGCAATCGGCCCAGAAGGGGCAGCCGAGGCAGGCTCAGGCGCCCAACCGCCAGAGCCGCAGAGTTTTGGGGTCCCCCCACTGAGGGCGACGAAGACGAGGTTGGGAACCTCTTCTCTGAGTCAGATGCGGATGACCAGCCAGCGCAGCAGCACAGTGACCCAGCAGAGCCAGAAGGGCAGGCAGAGGGTGTCCTGCCTGAGGCCAGCGAAGTGCCGCCGCAGCCCACAGCTTGTGCGAGCCAGTCGCCGTTGCACGGCTGCTTGCTGGCAGATGAGTCGCCGCAGCCTGTGCCAGTCCCCAACGTGCGGCTGAGCATGCAGGGGCATGCCGCATCGCCGGCCAAAATGGCTGTGCTGGTGATCGACTACCGGCACATTGCAGCGGCCCTCTGTCATCCAAAACGGCTGAAGGTGGCTCTCGGAGGCGCTGCCGGGAGCTCGCCCATGAACGTCGAAGAGGCTGCAACTGGTGTGGCGCTGGCAATGTTGCTGGCTGAGGAGCAGAATGCGGCGCGCGCCGGAGAAGGTGAGGAGCCATCATGGCTCTCTTTGTCCTGGCTTATATGATTCCACTCACAGTGAGTTTCTAAGTTATAATGCCATGCGAATCATACCCCGAAGGTTTATCGACAGGTAATTGTCAGCAATAAGCTGACGACAGGCATGTGTTGTCTAGGTGGGAGTGCTACGGCAGCGGAGCAGTCGCAGTCAGCCTTGGAGCAGTCACCGCTGTCTGGCGCCATGGTCTTCTTTGATCCTGCTCTGGAGCTCGCTGCCGATGAGGAGCCAGCTTCCTCCTACCGCTCTGCAGATGGCCCAGCAGGCATGTACAAAATCCTGCTCTGTCATTCCTGTGAACTTGTCAACTGACTGCTCTCATACGCTGGTGTAGTTGATTTGTTCATGTCTTGTCTCTCAATGCTGAAGTGTCTGCTTGCCCCTTTGCCTGAGCCATGCCTGTCTTTCACGCACCCTGCTCCACATGCTGTGCTTGCCCCTTTGCCTGAGTCATGCCTGTCACTCACGCACCCTGCTACATATGATGTGGTAGAGTGCCGCACCTAAGGGTCATCTGGGTAATACTAACAACAGGAATAAATTTGAGCTTGACATCCTAGCAAGACACTAGGGAAGATATTGCTTGAATGCGGTAATAATCGCGGATTGTAAGCAGCTGTGTGTTGGTGCGCGCAGGTCGACCGTCCCTGGAAGTTTCCTCCCCTGGGATCAACATGGAAGCTGCAATGGGTGTCATCGCAGGGCTGGCATGTCAGCTGAACCCCTCGCCGCAAGCCAGAGGCCATTCGAGCGCGCACAGTGACGTGCAGATTCTGCCAGATGACACAGTCTATGTCCTAACAGATGACAGGAGGATAGTGGGGACGGCAGAGGTGGTGCATATTGGGCCTGGCACACGGTTCCACGGTGCTGAGCTTGAGGGGTTTGGTGTTATTTGCGGGCTCACCATCACAGACGCAACTGGGGCTGGACACCAGAAGGCATGGTTGAGCGACACAGATGAAGTCAGAGCAGGCAGAACACCCTTGGAAGCAATTGGGGGCAATCAGATGGTGGCAGTTCCCGAGAGGTGCCTTCGCTTTCTGAGGCGCCCACCGGCGGCTGGAGAGTGACTTGCAATGTGATCTTTGCACTTTCAAGCTAAGTCAGTTTCAAGCTTAGTCAGAATTGGCGTGTGAGCATGACGCAAATGTAGCATCAATTTTTTTTATGTCCTAAATTTGATATTGCAATGAGGACTGTAGTAGGTTGTGACCAAGTCTGCCTCACTACAAGGCGTTGCACATCCATGCGCTCTACGCAACTAATATTAGTCACTCACTTGTCCCTCTCTGCACATGTGCGCAACAATCATGACGGTAACCAGATATCATGCATGTAACAATCTGTAAGGTAATTCTGCTCCCGGTTGCCTCACATGCTCAACCTTCGAATCTGAAGTGGCCAGTGGGATGGAGCACTTCTGCTTGAAGACAGAGCACTGCTGCTGACCGCCACAAGGTAGTGGCGGTGGAGGGCAAGAAAATAAATCCCCTGAGCCTATCTTATAATATTATTAACCCCATCTGTCATTGAGCAGCCTGGCTCGTTCTTGCTGTTTCTCTACGATGTCGGTGTCGAAATCCACTCACATAGAATGTTGAACGTGGAAGAATTGCTACAAGATTCTTCTCAGCATCATCGCACTTCTTGGTCGCTGCATAAAGACACACGGCATGTCACATCAGATGGCGCAAAGGTGATGCCCTTATCTTGCCGGCACCCACGCTATGGTACACGCACGCGATGTGTATCAATCAAATGTGCCACAAGCGACAGAATTGGGGTGTCAATTTGCTGCACAGCGTGGGTGCCCCTCCTTGATGGGCACATCTCTTTACATCGAGCAGCCATCTGAGATCGCCAGGGTTGAGGACGTGCTGTCCGTGCAGCACGCACTCAGCGTCAATATTTAGACTCTTTCAATATTGATTATTGATGGTATTCTTGTGAAAGAGTCTCTTGACCGGCCCTGTAGGTATCGCACGCTATGAAGAGGCTTTTGCAGTCCAGGGTTGGGGCAGCACACCTCTGAACATAGGACCTGCCA